AGGGGAAGGGGGAAGGGGAGGATTCGCAGGCCCCGACTCCCTGCTCGTACTGAGCAATCATAATAATAACTACCTCAGCAGCAGGAGAGGAAGCCCGTGTACGTAGCACGAGTGGCAAGAGTGGGTAGCATCAGCAGCCACGCCCGCGCGCACAGGGTGTGGCCGTAGCAAGTTGGGAACCGCGCGGTGGTGATGCCCCAAATGGTCCAATTATCAAGGTGCGTTCGTGGACTCCATCATCGTACGTGGCTCCGTGCCGATAGATCCTGCGACCTCGCACTTCTGGCTGGATCCGGAACCGCTGGATGGACGATGGGCCTCGTGGCCAGCAGACGGGAGTTTGGGGAGGGACATAGGCGCCAGCCATCCTGAGCCTGAGCCTGAGCCCGAGCCTGAGCCTGAGCCCGAGCCTGAGCCTGAGCCTGAAGTTCTGAACCAGAGCCAGAGGCAGGGCCTAGGAAGTAGGAACCCAGCAGTCAGTGTCAGTGCCTTTCCACCACGGTCACCACCCACCAACGACCGGCCCACAGGCACTGATTACGGAGTAGTACAGCTTGTGCAGTAGCCTTCAGCAGCCAAGAGAAGGCAAAGCCCTTGAAAGTTGAGACGACTCGTACGCGCTGAAGCGACGGTACAGTGTCATCGTTGATTTTATTTATTATTATTGCATGCCGCTGAGCGGCTGCGCTGGTCCGCAGCTCCTCCTACTCGTACTAGGCTCCTAGTCTCACCCGGGGCATGGCCTAGGAGAGCGGGCGACGAGAGGGATCTTCCATAATAATCTCTTCTGGAATGTCTTCGCCATCGGAGACGGTCTTGGGCTGCATTAAGGATCCTGTCCTGTTACTGTCCTGTACCATATACCCTGTTGGGCCGCATGCAATGCTGCTATAACTGTTGCGGTGAACCATGTCGAGGCTTATGCCCTTGACGATATTAGCGGTGGGGAATCTCCATATTCCTTAAACTGGGACCTGGTGGACCGGAGAGGCAGGTGACGATTTGGAAGGTGGATGGAACAGTTGATACTTTGAGTTGCTAAGGTAAAACTACGGTCCGAAGTAGTGCTGTACCAAGTGTTTCTTTTGTAAGCATTGGTAACTCGTAGACCAAGCCGGCGGAGCACTAGATTATTAGGTAGACTGTCAATAGGCACGACTAGTAAAACAAAATTAATACAGAGCCCATACATACATACATACATACATACATACAGAGTACTGTGTTGGTGCATCCTGATCACCATGAGCGCCTTGTGTTGAGGTTACCTGCTCCGGAAGTCATGGTTTGTCCTACGATGCGCTGTGCATTCGTACTCCGCATGGAGAACTGCTTCGTACAGAGTCCAGGTAAGTCCGCCAAGCAGGAATCAACCATCAAAAGTCTGACGCAGGGGGGAGCGTCGAATATTGCTGGCAAAACAGCTCGCAGCCTGCATGTCAGTCGACGCCAAATACTCCGTACTAATAAGAATCGTTGCTCCGAGCGGCAATGCTGGACGGAGTATATACGACTTGGGCATGGAGGGCTGGTGGTCTTGTCTGGTCTTGTTGCCGGCAAGCCAGGCTCTGTGGTAAACGCTGGCAAGGCATGTGTTCCATCCGAGCGACCCTTGCTAATGGCCGGGTTGGAACTTGGCAGGTTGGGTTGACTATCCTGCTACGATGGGACCGGGTGGACCGTGGACGACAGATGGAAGATTGGAAGTGTTTTGGATCCTTGCGCACAATAGCATGGAGGCGTTTTTTGTTTGGAGGACCAAGCGACTCTGCAAAGGAGAGGATTTCTGTTTTCAAAAAACAAAAAAAGAACCAGGTCCAAGCTTCGGAGGCATGGGTCAATATGGGGCCATGGAGGTTGCCATGTCATAACCCTTGACGCCCTGGTGCATGGACGTCGACATCGCCATCGGGAACACACGAGGGCGGCGAGACCCAGGGATACTTTCCGGTCTGTGGCTGCGAAATACCAAACAAAAGGTCGAGTCATTGAACACGAGCCAGGGTCCCGACTCCACAAGGATAACGATAAAAAGGCTGGAATGTGAACTCCTACAGGGGCGAGAGGCTTGGGGGCGATAGTTTGTACGGTAGGTGAGGGCGATCTAAGACCGGCCCACTGCAACATATACTCGTCTGTTGGTTGTTGATCCTGAAGGGCGGCCATCTTCTGGAGTCCTGACGGATTGCAGAATGGGGCCCACACATATTGGAGCCCAAAGGATATCCATCCATCTGATATATTACTCCGTATTCGTAAGAGCCATCGCCTCCAGAATCGACATCAGACTCCCAGACGCAGACGGCTTCACCCCCACATTCGTCTCCCTGCACGGTTGCACTGCCAGTCCGTTGGAAGGGTTGGAAACAAACGTGGGTTCAAGGTCTACCTAAGAAAGGGACGTTGCTGTGCAGTGGAGATGAAGCAAAGCCATGACGCATGACGGTGGCCCTCTTGGGCTGGCAACGTGCATCGAAAGGAAAGCTATTGCTTCTATTAGACTAGACTCGAACCGGGTGTGATAGAGCGTGCTCTAGCTGGCCCTTGTGTAAGTGTAGCACTTTCCGTACGACGGTACGGAGGGACGGAAAACAAAAGTCGGCGCCTGCTGCTGACCATTACTGTGACATTGGCACTAAAAGCCCAGTCGCCTCTCGGTGTTGTTCCAACGTACGTCGATCCCATATTTCAGAAACCCCGGATCCAGTCCCAGGGATCGAATGCAGCGGCGGGCGCCTTGTCGATTTAGCGTGTACTACGTACCTCCGTGGTTTGGTACTTTGCATCCCTGTTTCCAGACTTCCAGTCCGCAAAGGAAGCGTATAATATCCGAGGGGAGTTTCAACATCGAATTGCTCGCAAAGTCGCTGGATTGGCTGCTGTCTAGGGCCCTACTCCGTGAAGAGGACTCGCGACAGGCACACTTCGTGCCTTCTTCGGCGTTCAGCAGTGCCCAAGACCAGCTGCCGTCTATTTCTGTCATAAATAAAAACGGCTCTGAAAGCAAGCTAACCTAGATAGACCTGGTGTCCCTTTGACTTGCCGTGTCTGCGCTTCGTATGCACATCTATCCCACGCTCGATGGTGCATGCCGTTGTGTTCTGAAGTTATGGAAGTTGAGTTGTTTTTCCTCCAAAAGCAAACGGCGCAACAGGGAACGGGGTGGCGGTGGCGGTGGCAGCTAGCCGGCCAGGGCAGTGTGGCACAAGGTCATCTTCAGGCTGATGTGTACGCAAAGTACCTGAGTAGTGCTCCGTACGCACTTGAGTGCTTTCCGTGATATAGGCGTCCTAGGAGTGCAGCACAGAGCATAAAGCCACGGAGTGAAGCTCGCCAGAACGGCGCTGGTGCATTTGCCGCGCGGTGCCTCTCGCAAGTAGTGTTTCTGGCCGGGGAGATGGGGAGTTATACTCGGTTCCGTACGAAGTATTCCGTATGGCCAGCCATGGAGAAGCAGCACATGCATACGGACCGTATGCTATATCATATACAGTGCTTCGCATGTTCGAGTGTTGAACCCGGCCACGATGATGTGCAGCACCGCGGGCCGGCTACCAGCCCCTGAGCCTGGGGTTGGCGGTGGCCAGTAACGCTCGCCGCATCCTGATAAGCGAAGCCCCCCCGACCCGACGTGTAGGTGGCGCATTCTAGCGATCCTCGTCCCCCCGTGTCAAGACCACGATGGATGCAAATCTTGAAACCTCGACTTCTAGGTTCGTAAGTATTAATACCCCATACAGAGTCCCGAGGCAGGTATCTGCACAGAGTACAGCAGCATGCTTATCCTTATCCTTATCCTTATCCTCTCCTTCACAACCGGGAATCAGCCACGTCTTGCATTGTTGTGGAGTGGACGGTGGTTGCGCCCTATTCAGCTATCCCGGGCCAATTATCCCTTCGCACTCCGTGCTCTGTATGCTCCCGACACGACGTGGCCACGGTGAAATGTCCACAGGTCAGTCGGAAGGCGAGCAGCATAGCCGTGCGAGGCCTATTACCCTTGTGAAACATTTGGTTGTCCAGCAATGAATGAAGAGAAACATGCTTTCAGCTCCAGCTCTAACCCCAGCCCGAGCCAACTCAATACGTACTGCGTAGGTAGGTGGTAACCCAAGGAGTATGCCATGCGGACGTAATCGACCGAGGCCAATCGGTCGGGGAACGGGGGTACTGCACTACAGTACTTCATTTACGGAGTACGAAGTAAGACCTTGGAGATTCAATAATTTGTCCAACCGAGGCAACCACAACAACCCTACATACCCCGTAGGAATTCAGGGAGGAAGTACACTCAGTGGTCCGTAGGATGAGTACATATCTCGTGTTACAAAAACCCCCACTGACTCACTAAGACGGGTTCGTCGCGAAATCTGTGGGTGACATCGAGATCTGTTTTTGCCTCCAGATCTGCCTGCCGGTAGCTCGTCGGCGGATGATCTTTCCCTGCGGTAACATGACCTGCGACTGTTCATCTCTTGACTTGTTTATATTGCTGGACCAGGAGTGCTCCAGTCGTGGTACACGTATGGTCGCGTACGAAGTAGGAACTCGTCCTTCGTGGTCGAGATGTGCTAGGTATCGGCCCAACCCGGGCGCAATTCTAAGATAGCGTGACTGCGCGCACCCACTGTTGAGACCCTTTTGCATCGACGAACCATGCTGTCATTTTTGCTCGTTGCAACGTCCGCCAGCCTCCGTTTCCCGAGCCGCTCGAGAGTGACGAGTTTTCGCTGGCATTGCTGTAGCTGTGGACGCCGGAAATAGCCTCGATATCACCGTCTCATCTAGTCGACATTCGCATTGATCAAGAAATTGAGAATGGGCCATGGAATGCACTAAACTAAGACTTGCCCTTGCACACGTCAGAAATCGGAAGCCTTGCTACCCGCACATTGGTAAAATTCGCCTGGATCTGCGAGACCTTCCGAGCATTCTGGAAAACTCAAATGGATGTATCTGGGTATCCTCTTTGATGCAAGCTGGCACAGCTCACAAAGCGGTCAGGAAAGGAGCACTCCACGTAAATTGGCTCCGTTGATGCCGGAGTCATCGACCATGACGTTTCATCAAACGGTGTATGGCCAGATACCCATGTACTTCATAAAGAAGAAGGTGGACTAATCGGCCTGTGCAAGTTGACACGACTCGAAAGTTCTCGTGCAGGATAGCGCGCGCCGATATTTTTGTTTCTGAGTTTGATGGTCGAAATATTGCCTGGAGTGCCTAGGTAAGGGGGTGGTTAGTTAACATTCCGGAGAATGATAATCGTACCCTTCCACTGCTCGACGACTCGTACTTCGTAAGGTGTCGCTTCCCAGCCTCCGTTAGCTTCAGCTCGGCCACCAAGCTATTATGGTACAGTACTTCGTACTTCGTACGTCTTTAGCTGGGCGCTGATGGCGGGTATTCGGTTTTCTCTCGCACGAGCTCGGGGGCTCCGGAGGCCTTTGTTAGAATTCGGGGGGGGGGGAGGGGAGGCGCGTCGCAGGAGTCAGGGCAGCGGGCGCATCTTGCATATCAAGGCGCACCACCAGACCCCGTAACTGTTTCTTCGGTACTTTGACCGACATATGCATACAGTAGTACGAAGTAGCTCCATCCTAGACCGCAAACAATGCGAAGTACTACGTATTATTGAGGCCGTCTTTCCGTCGCAGTTAGCCACGCTCCGTAAGTACGGCACTACCGTTGCATTGGCCACATTCTTCGCCCATTGTTGTTGAAGGTGATAAAGTTAATCGCCTTTGCACTAAGCACACTACACCTGCCAAAAGCCCCCTCGTTTTGCATCGAGACCTCAGCCATCAGAATGCCCAAGCTTGTGGGGTATTCGGCGCCACGGTCAGAATAGGCACCACTGGAACCTTTGGGGAGGGGAAGTAGGAACTGGGAACCGGGAACCGGGAACTGCTTTTCCTGTGATTCATCATTCATGTCAAAGTTGCCAGATTTGCGGCGAGTCAGTAGGAGTGAGAAGACCAATCCTAACTGACCTCATCGTCTGCATGGGGGGACCTTGGTTTTGGTCCGCAAGATGGGTGATTTTATGAAAGGGTTGAAATATTGGATCGCGAGTGCAGATCTAGTCCCAGATCCTCGCCGGGAATCCCAACTGTTGATGGAAAAGGGAACGGAGACCTCGACCAGTGCCACCAGAGATATACAGCAGGGCGGGAGAACCACCGACGGTTCTGGGACACGGCGATCGTCACTAGTAACTGCAGAGTTCTAACGGAGTAAGCCCTGGCTGGGTCTTGGAAGGGGTCTCCGTGGAGGCTGTCTGACGCTCCTCCAGGCGGTCTGGCAATTCTTTCCCGTGTACATAATAGTCGACCACGGGAAACCGTCTTCTGCAGCCAGGCGCAGTGCTAGGTGAGGCACTGCTTCGTATAACTACGAAGTGCGACTTCTCTTTTCCTTACTGCAGTCTCGGTGTCCGCTTCAGCTTGTGCCCCCTCTCCTGGCTCTGCATGTCTCCTTCTGCTGCCCCTCCGGTCGTTGATTCGAGGTGTCATATAAAGGTGCTGTTGCAGAACCAAAATGGATGGACTGGGTCTTTATAACAGCTCCGCTCTCATCTCCGAGATAATCTGGATGAAGTGCTGCTGCGGCTTGGAGTGCGGTATGGAGGGAGTACGCCGTGAATCCTCTTCGCTCCTATCTTGGCTCCTTCATTCCAGTAGGAGCTTATGGCACTATGCTCAGCTCGGGAATTCGCTATGGCCAAAGTATGGGGATAATAGAACCACATACGAACGAGAGTACCATATACCATATCAGGTGTCTGAAAAGGGGCTAGGGGTAACTAGATTTGTTTCCTCCGTACGAAGTAGTGGTGACGTCTTATCGATATCGATAAGGCTTTGGCGGGGTAACCAAAGTTGCGCCATGGTAGCGGGGGCTTTTAGCTGGCTTCTTGAAGTCAAAAATCGAAACCATACGGATAAGAGCTTTAGATCGTAAATTTATTCTACCTTAATATGCGGGAAATATCTTTGGTCGCGTCGAGAGGGTGTTGGCGCCATTACATCTGCCAATTTGTGCGGTAGAAGATGTTGTTTTCAGAAACACGCGTTAAGAGAGGCGGATACAGCCGAACACGTTGAAGCAACTTCAAAGCGCCTTAGCAGCTATCACTAGCCATCTGCCATTTGTAACACGGTTCCTAAACGCAGCCATTATGTCAGAAACGTTACCTCCAAAGATCAATTTACATTTACCTAAGAGCGGGGAGCCTGATGAAATGGCGGCGTCGTCGACCCCGCATGACGAGGTAGATACCTCATCTTTCCTTTCCTAGCCAATCCATTGCCTTGATTAACAATCTCTACACAGGATCAATCGGGCGGCAGTGATGGCGAATACCAGCACGCTCTAGAGGTAGTTCATATCCTCTAGCAAACATGTTCGACATACTAGCTAATAATTCAGCGCAGGTAGTCTTCGGTCCTGAGAGCGCACACCGCCGAAAGTCATCCCTTGTTACTGTCGACCATCCCGCCTACGCGAGGAGGAATACAGAATGCTTTGTCCATGCGTTGTTAGAAAGCCAAAGGGATCATAGAAGAGGGCCTCACAACAGAAACTTGGATAATGTGGATGACTTGCTCGGGGATGACAATCTGTGCATCAAGGAAGTGGACGAGAAGTCCGACTCTTCTGTAAGCCCGAACGACGTTGGTGGCGAAGGAGCAGAGTCAACGCCGGGCCAAGAAGACCAGCGATCATGGAAACAGCTTCTTAGAGAAACTTGTACGGATATGAGGGGTGCCACTCAGAATCCACCCGGGATTCAGCATGGAGAGGAGCCAAATGTGGTGCATAGCAGGCTCCTCACAAAGAAACAGCTTTCTGATATGACGTGGGGAGTTCGAAAGCTCAGTAAACGCCTAGGGAGCATAAAACTGAGGCTCAATGTCCGGAGCATCTTTCTTCTTACCAAAGCTTACGATGAAACCCTTATCTGGAAGGCTAGGGATATTGTCAAGTGGCTACTTAGCCCAGAACGCGAAGTTAGATATACAGTTTGGGTGGAGAATACTTTGCGGATGAATAAGAGGTTTGATGCTGCTGGACTTCTCGCTGAGATCGATCAAGAATACGCTCAAAAAGGCATATCCCATGATGGCCACAGAAAAATTGAAGAGAGGCTGAAGTACTGGGATAACAATCTTTGTAGGACAAGACCACAGACTTTTGACTTTATTGTCACACTAGGGGGTGATGGGACAGTTCTGTATGCAAGCTGGCTGTTCCAGCGCGTTGTACCACCGGTTCTAAGTTTTGCCTTGGGAAGCCTGGGGTTCTTGACCAAATTCGACTACGAGCAATTTCAGGATACCCTTACCAAGGCGTTTAGAGATGGTGTTACGGTAAGCTTACGGTTGCGGTTCGAGGCAACGGTAATGCGGAGTCAAAAGAAAGGAAAACAGGGTTCCATCGGGAATGAAGAGGGCCTGGCTGATGATGATGAAGTCGGCATGCATAGAGATTTGATAGAAGAGTTGGTTGGGGAAGAAAAGGGAGATGAGAGAACACATCGGCCTGATGGGTCACATGAGATACTGAATGATATCGTTGTTGACCGCGGGCCAAACCCGAGTAGGTTACCATCTTCATAGTTATGCCACTTCTAACAGGTTTCTAGCGATGTCTGCGACCGAGATATTCGGAGACGACGAACACTTCACCTCCATGCAGGCAGACGGAGTCTGTGTGGCAACTCCAACCGGCTCTACTGCATACAATCTCGCAGCAGGTGGCTCCCTCTGCCACCCTGAGAACCCCGTCATTCTTGTAACGGCAATCTGTGCTCACACATTGTCATTCCGCCCTATTATTCTTCCTGATACTATTGTTCTTCGCGTGGGCGTTCCTTATGATGCAAGGGCTAGCAGCTGGGCAAGTTTTGATGGTAGAGAGAGAATCGAGCTGAAACCTGGGGATTATGTCACGATCAGTGCAAGCCGATTCCCATTTGCAAATGTTATGCAACCTGGGAGCCGGTCTGAGGATTGGATCAATAGCATTAGTGGGAAACTGGGTTGGAATACACGACAGAGGCAGAAGTCCTATAAAGCCTATAAAGAGTGTGGCAAGTGAGGCCGCAACTAGAGCCTGGACTGTGAACCATTGAGTTAATGAGTACACAATTTGCCCTTTGGATATCTTGGCGTCATTTTACTTTTATACACCTCTTAATGATAAACTTTGTCTCTTTATAGGCGCGCTGAATAGCCCAGCCACCGAACTACTGATGGCTTCCTTGGGTTGGTATGGGTTATATCTCTCGAAAATCCACTATTTCCTGCACTTTACTAATTGGTTTGTTATATCGTTGTCGTATTTACGGCTCGTGTTTAACATGTTGCTTGTTGTTTGTCTACCTTCTAGGAGGCCTAACTTCCCCATTATGTTGGTCTCTTGGGGTCTGCAAGACTAACCTACTATCTCAATTGAACTGGTTCTCTAATTCAAGTCAGTTTCAATCCCATATTCCTCCCAACATCTTAGCTCGTATATTGAATTATTCGGGCTCTGCGCTTTCCCGAGCGATAAAGAGGTTTCTGTATTTTCAACTACCCTTCACTTAGTGTACATTTTGAATAGTTAGCAAGATCTTGCCTTGGTTATCTCCCAAACAACTTCATATACGATATACCTTCTAGTGATTCGTCTTTAAATCACCCGCATTTCGTAGTATTCATGTAACTAGAGTGCTACAAACTCCCCAGTCTCGTGTCGAAGGTATGCTTCAAACCTCTATCCCCATGATGGCCAATTCCCCAGAACTATCATCTACACTAAACATTATCATTATTTTATCATATTTTTAGACAAGCTATATATAGCTTATTAGATTAGGAGTATTCCACGGCGAGACCTTTAAGTCTTGGATGCCACCAGTCGAAGCCTTTGGTAGAATGCCAACCATCTGCCTGTTTCCGATTATGACGATACACGATGAGTGCTGTCAAAACTATTAATTACTACTAGCACCAGACTCCCCCAATTTGATAGGGCATGGTCCCCACTTGTAAAGGTACATACCGCATGTGGAGGAGCTTCCTCTAGATAATAGCTACTTAATATACCCATAGCACAAAACCACAACTCTCGTTATTAAAATTTACAACATTGTTGGATTCTCTCCCAACAGGGCACTGACTACATAGATTGTTTCTTTATCTTATCTGACGGCCACCCTTGCCTTTTAGTGCTCCTTTCCCCACTTTCTGTTGGCGTTGAGAACCAGCTTTGCCCCAATACGGACAACATTTGAATGATTCACGGAACCTTCTGTATTTACTACTTCTATGCTAATGAACCAAACTCGCATTATAAATTTACCACTTCACGAAGGACGGATAAAATGCTGCTCGAATGGTCTTAATCACTTCCCTTCCAAAACACCATCAATGAATCACAACATAGAAATGAGATGACCATCCGTCCATGCCCATTCAAATATAACCCTAGCATATTAATACAACTCCATCTAGTCTAAGTCTAAGAGATTTATTGGTGGCACAATTCTAAACCTGGACCATTTCGTTTATAGTAGAAAAGTCGCTCCGTCTACATCTACATCCATGAGCTTGGTACATTTCACCGTGATTCACGAATCTACTACACTTAAAAACTTCACCGATCCGCATATCATCTCTTTTCAGCCCAAACACAACCATTTAAGACGTGCCACAAGGAAGCAAAACCAAGAGGGGACCGTGAATCATCGTTAAAATTCTAGCAACCTGCTCATCGTTGCCCCTCAACCATTCGAACCAATCTATTCAAAGGCGGCGATTAATCGATCCTTAGCTCCACGGTGATATTAGCTGCTTCCCAGCGCAACACTTTAGAAAGCTCAAGACTTTATACTCGACACAACCGCCGGACCGCCGCATCGCTTTTCACAACACAGAAGCATCCCTGTTGTCATCCCCGTTCATCGCCCTCCTCACCCAGGTTAGATCCACTCCCGGAGTTGAAAATGGTACCCCGTGATCTACTACAACGGAAGTTACAACGGTTCTGTAAAGGCTTGTTGATAGATAATTGTTCACAAGCGCAAACGTGTGTACTCCTTTCTCTCGCCATTGCACAGGCTGGACTGTAGAGCGTATTGGCTTGGCAATGTCGGAGATTTTCGAGCTTGATCTAGCAGCTGAGGAAATCTGGGATCTACATACAACATGGCATAATTTACATGAGGATGAGCAGCCGGATTCCAAACTCATGGAGGGTTTCATGGATAGAGTGGGTGTGCGGTTGGAAGTCATTGGCACGCCATTGAGCGAAACTTTGCCTCCGGTATGTACCTATTATTACTCGACAAAAAAGATATTGCTAACTGGTTGGATTGCAGAAGACGGCGGCGTTTGCGAAATATTGGTCCCCACAGGTAAATTCACCCCACACTTGCTGAGCTATACTCATATTTTCTAGGCATCTGATGGCCGTCCCCTTTGCCAAGGGCTCACTGCGTTTGCCCGAGAACGAAGCCAAGCTTGGCTTATATCTCAAAATAAGGTACCCTCATATGATAGATTCACGCCGGCAGAAGAACCGGTCGTGGCCATGTTCGGCACTGGTGTGGCTTCGATCATGAAAGATGTTATAAAGCGCTGGGCTGATGCCATGGGGTCGAAACTTGGAGAAGATCAACGACTGAGGCCGATCAAGCCCATGGAACAAGGTAACCTTATCATGAAGTATATCACAGATTTTCAGCAAGCATATGAACTTATGTATGGAAAGATTGAGGATTCGAGATCCATTTTAGGAGAGCCCAGGGATGAGATCCCCCATATTCGAAGCACGGGGCATGGTGCAAAACTCCTGCTTGGTCTTATGATGACAGACCGTCTCCGCGTCTTTTGCCGGTTGCGAACGTTGGAGAGGATGGAGATCGGTTTTAGGGAGCTCGAGGTCAAAGACTTGGAGCAGGATTCAAGAAAATGTCCTATCTGCCAAGATGAGATAGGAGTTCAAGATGTAGACGGGTCCAAGGAATCACCAATTGTGTTGGTTATCTGCTGTGGACAGATTATCGGAGAAGCTTGCCTGAAACGATGGCTTCTAGACCGATACGACGAAACAAGAGATTCGTGCCCCATCTGCAGGTTCGAGTTTCCGAAATCATTTTTAAACAAGTTATTAGGTGAGGATTGGTATGACGAGTGGGACTTCCCTGATGAGGGCCTCGATGCTGATGACTACGAGATAATCAACTTGATTAGCCCATCTCCAAATCCACCTTCAAGTCCATCCCCAGAAGCACAGCCCTAACAGGAGAGTCAGATTGAGCTCGGGTTGGGGATTGCTAATGTACCATGGGCACGGAATGTCGATGACTTTATGGGGGAGGGTTAAATTTGGAATCGTGGCTGGAGGGCTAGCTGTTATGACTTTATGATGCATGGCGAGATTCGGAACTACGCTTCGGGGAATCGTTTTGCGGTGATTTTCTGAAATGGATGGATACATATCGGATGCCCATTTGCACGTTTAATACTTTAATAGTGCTCCAGTGATGACTTTGGGCGCAATGCCCACTTGGCGATGATTGGACCGAACAGTTGAGAGCGCAATAGACATACTTGACACAATCCTCGGAGACCACCTATTTACAGTGATATTAAAGCCTCGGTGAAAGCCCGGCTCGTTTAAAACTATTCCCCGTACGAATTATAGACATAGCCTAATTTCGGTCAAGTTCGGAAAGTTTGATACGAGCCGTTAATAAGGGAGCCTCCTTGGTGGGGGATTTAATGATCAAACCGGAGGCAAAACACATTTCATTTCCCTTCAAGTACTAGAAATAGTAGTTAAACCTACGAACTGCTCCCAGGACTTCCTAGGAGTTGATACCACGCTATATTTCGAATGAGGGGATGATACTGATTTTAGGGCACTTGCCCACTATTAAAACGCAACCTTCGTGGTAATGGCATAGGAACATCATTTCGATCGGTGCTCTTGTTAATTTGGGCAGGACCGTATATTCAAGGATTCCATATGGCGATCACACCGGGATTGATTCCATATCCATATTGGGTTTCTGGTCGAACGTAGATCTGTAGGGGCACTTGTATAGTCCGAAATCATGCATGTAGGAAGGCCCATTTATTCGAGAGCGATGTAATTTTCAGGCGCCGCATCGATATCAATCAACATCCACATGACATCCCTCCTCTCCGAACGAGCCCTCCAGCAAGAAATCTTCTGATCACCCATCCGTAAACTCCATGCCATGCGTAACACCCATTCGATTGCTACCAGCTAGCCCAGTCGCAGAACTCGAGTCGGAGAGAGGAGGCATCTGCCGGTACGGGGTTCTCTAACGGTGCTGTGTGAAATAATTAGATCGGGCGCTTCTGGAGACCGGTTTTCAAGGGCCGAAAATCGCATTGCGTACCTTGACAAATCCAATGTCCGTGGCCTTTTCTCTGAAGCATTGACGGCAGATCATGAGTCCATATTTGCGGATGAGACCAGCTTTGTGTGTGCAGACGCGGCTTTCCAGAACGGTTAGCTATTGTTCCAATCCCAATCCTCTTCCATAAAATTCAAAATCCGCCATGGGGTGGTTAATCGCCTCGACATACCAGGCACGAGACCCCTTGCCGTAGGTGCGCGGTCTAGAGTTCCAGACAGATTCGTGAGACATCTTGAGAGGATGCGAATTGGCTTTCGAAGACGGAGAGGGGTGGTTATGTCGGAAAGCAGTTGCTCGTGGATTCGCTGGGTGTCGTCGTCAAACCTTGAATTATCAATTATCTAGCGAATTTTTGAGTTCCCGCGTGGTGCGCACCTCGCTTTAGGGCTAAGGCGGTGAGTACCAAATATCACGTGATCAAACGCGGCAGAAACAGCCTTGAAAGTCAAGCTCGAGATACCGTAGGCAAGGTAGATAGTTTCTGAGAAGAGAAACCGGATGACTTATTGTATTACACTGCGGGTTCTTTGAAAATTCTTAAGGATTACAACTCCTATGTGCTGCCTGAAAAAATCGAGAAGCTTCATTTGTGAAATGGGTAACTTTACAGGGTAATAAGTGGTGTAATACGAAGGAGAGCAAATGGTGAGACCTCCTCGTCTGTCCATCACAGCATCGCCAAGATCAACATCAACAACCTCTCTCCACCTCTATGGCTTTCACCTAAACCTTCTCTGCCCTCTCCCAATTAGTACAAAACCTTGAAAATGGTATTTGCCCTTCCGCACTCCCGCACTCCCGCGAAACCACACTAACCAGCCCAACCACCAAACAGTCCAAAGACTCCTCATACACCTACGTCCACTTCAACCGGTCTAGGGACGCGGACCTTTTTGAAGACTTCTGCAAAGACAAGCTCCCGGACGACGAGATCTACGTGCCGCCGCATAATCAGCCTATCAATCCAGAAGACGAGGATGATGTCGTGCCCGACCAGCACGCCGCGTTCGGGATCCAGCGCGCTACCCAGAAGACCAAGGAGCCCGCGTGGAAGGATTTGGGATTGGCGGATTTGATGAAGAAGGGTCCCGAGAAGAAGAATGGTGCCGGGAGTGGGTCTAAAACCGAGAAGATCTTGATGCCTAGATGAGAAGATGAGAAGATCGGGATAAGGAAATGGGGCAAGGCGGTTAAGTGTTGATGGTTGGCTTGGGCATGGGATTCCTTGATTAAGGACATGACTGGATGGATTGGGAGGTGTTTGATCGAGATACCCTGGTGGCGTAGGGAGTTTTGGGGGCATGTTTGATATTCAAATGCTGGACCATTGAAGATACGTCGTAAGGGTGGCATCTGCAACAACCGAACAGTAGTAGCAATTCAAAAGAATAAACAGACTCATTTTGATACAAATCTCATAAGTCCATCTACTAGCCAAAGCGCAACCTGAAGTCCAATACCTCAATAACTCCACCCATGCCCAAGACTCCAACCAGATGACCATCTATCCTTCCATTATTCTCTCTTCACTATCCATCTCAGCTCCTCCCTAAATACGCCTCCCTCTCCACAACCTCTGGTTGAAACTTGATCAAAAACACCGTCTTCCCAGGCCACAGCTCGCCCTCCTCTCCCTTCCCCACACTATGCGCCGTAACCTTCGCCGGGAATCCCGCCCCGTCACAAACACCCTCCACGATCCCCGCTACAAACGCCGCGCAATTAAGCTGGCTCATCTCCTTCGGCACGCTGATGTACTGGTTGACCAGCGGCTCGTTGTCCGAGATCATATATTCCTCAGGGGTTTCTGGGTTTGAGGATTTTTCGAGGGCGTCGGCGGGTCGGGAGAAGAGGTGCCGCCAGAGGACTGTGGTTATGAATTGGAGGAGGGCGATAATGTTGAGGGGCCGGGTTTGGGTGCGTGGTGGTTCACGGTAGAGCAGGAGGTCGAGGAGTTTGAGGCCGATGGGGTGGCCTTGGACATTAAGTCTATAGGTAGAAAGGAATAGCTTAGCATAGATCATAGATTGAAGGTTTGATTCAGTAGTTGCTGAAGGAGGGAACTCATACCGTTTTTCAAGGTCTTGGATGCCTGTAACGCGCTTTTGCGCATAGCTGACCATTTCCCCAAAGAGATAGGCAAAGCTTGCTTGGCTGAGCTCTTGTGTCCGGCTGCGGTTTAGCGGTCTGTGGTATATAGTCTTGCCGCTTGATGGGTATCGTAGGCCGGGTTGCGAGCGTCGTTGAACTTGCGACGGCTGGCTCGCCAGGGGCGGCTTTACGGGTTGGGAGGAAGCCATTGTGCTTGGGATAGTAAGCCGGGCGAGTGTGACATCGATCCATATATTATCCTAGCACTTCTGGCGTCTGTCGTGGTGCATCTGTGAAGCGTGTTTGAGGAGTGTGTTTGTGAGGTTGTAGATGTCGTAGATATCGCGCCCCAAGCGAATAAATAAGACACCTTCGCGGATTATGAGCAACAACATACTTTAGGAAAAAGAGGGATGATAATTAATAATTTACGTATTAGTCTATATGATATACATGAATTGGTGTGATATCTTCAATCACCACTGATGCAGAAGACACATTCAGCTATCCTCCTCCAACTGGTTTTCCTCAACCCAGGTCTCTAACCTATTCTACCTATAATTGTAAGAACCTAAAGCAGTCGCTGCAATAACGAGCAAGCCGGTGAAAGCCTGCACTCCATGAAACTACACATAAACTCAAGCTTGAGAGGGTGTGGCTGCTGACTCTACGGCCACTTGGGTACTCTCCTAGTCTTTCTCTTCTGACTTTGTAGTATGACTGGGTGACTGATAGATGCTTGTCGCATTTCCTCCTTTCAAGTGGACCTCGCTCTCTCCATAATTCTTCCCCGCCTCGATCCAACGCTCCTTTTGTTCGGAGTGCCTCTCCGCGCATAACTTTAGGAGCGCCGGCCAATATTCCGAATGGTCATACTCAAAATCCAGATCTCCCTGGAAGTCTTTCCATAGCTGCTGAGGAGGAACATGTTGCCGCATATCGTCGTTAAACTTCAGCTTGTCTCTCGTCAATGGGTCGATAAACGGAGTAATTAATTTGAAGAATCCCCAGACAACCCATGGAACTGTGCAATTGTTAGATTCTGTACTCAAATGGTTCGCTGAACTTACCATTAATAATCAAGGCTCGTCCTAATCTCTCCGGGTAATGTGTTTGAAGAATGTTCAAGACCTCTCTGCCCAGACTGATGCTCGGGGTTGTATTCGATCTGGACTTCGAGGCCTTGAAGTTGATCAGAAGGGCCAATGTTTCTTGCCCAGGTACCATCAATTCAATCACCCTCTCCACCATGAATACCAGGTGCTGTACTTGTCGCGGGCTTGGCTCGGTATTTTGCCTGCCGGGATTGAGATAGTGACACGGCCTCGCTGCAATATCATAACCTAATAAAAACTGCTTTCCAGTCTCATTCTCCGGCGAAATATGATCTCCAGTAAGTTCTTCAACACCATATTCACGTCTCCATGCCAGCGTCCCAAGGAGGCGCTTCGCGGCGTCTGCTGTGACCCACTTCGTTGCTCTCAGATATCTCAAGAGACATTCTCTTGATAACCACATAATCTCACTATCTGTAACGGGGCCACCTTTGTCTGCTGAGGAAGGAATTTCCTCCCATGCCTTGACTGTCTCCAACAAGGCATCGTACTTGGCTTGTTGGTCCGCCGTAAGGGCCGCGGGAGGAGGTGGGCTGGCAGATTCGACTGGATCAACAATTGGTGTTTTCAGGGGCCCTGTAGGCTTCTCTCGTAGCGATGCGGCGACGGAAGACGATTCTGTTGGAGTGGCAATGGCGGTTGCATCCTGGGTCATATCTTTATTCAGATTGACCTCTGCAAGCTTCGTCTCCAATGGAGCATCTTGGGTTGCCATTGACGCGGCTGAATATTCCCCAAAGTTTTTAGGCCTGGTTGAGATAAGGAAAAAAGGGGGTTCAGGAGTAGCTTTTTTCTAAAAAAAAAGGGTGGTGATCAGTTGGCTTTTGGAGCAGGTCACAAACACGAAGCCCAAGGAGATTATGGTAGCACGAGGCAATGGAGAATGTTGACGGCTGAGATGTTGAGACAATTTAAATTGCTCTTCAGCCTCGCCTTCCAGACTACTTCGTGGGTACGAAGTAGGACCTGGTAGGGGTGGGGGAAATGGTAACCGGTCGTGCCGGAAGGGGGCCCACCACTAACTATTGGAGAGAAGTCCAACCCCTGATGGCTAATTGAGTAGTTACAGCAAGCGTACTTCGACCCACATAGTTTAATAAAAATCGATTCTTCTGGAGCTGTGATGAACTTTCACTTTTCCATGCTCTTATTATAAAAAAGATGCCTTTATTAGCTATAGGCGATAGAACTAGGGAGTTGCACTGTTATATTCTAATATAGAACTAGTCGTGTGCTTGTCAAAGTGCTCGCTATCTATCAACCACCCACAGGCTACACACGGTCTTATTAATGGCCACTATTAGCAGAATCTGGCTAAGTCAGTCCTGACTGATATTCTGATAATATATTTCCGGAGTACTTCGTATGTAGCTGAATCTTACAGCCAAACAAATGTAATAGTACAGCCCCGGTTGATAGGGGGTTTATCATACATCGATCATACATACTCATCGCCTCTAACGTTATTAATACCGGCCCATTGGCCCATCATTTGCCGCAATCCCGCAGCCCATGCTTTATCTTCGTCCTAGTTTCCAGGCCTCAATCCGATTTTGGATGTCTTGCCATTTAAGCTCCGTCCTCTTGACCCCCTTCTCATCACCTTCTTGCAATACAACAGTTGGGGCCCCACTGCCTTTTCCTGGATTACCTGCCATTCCACCAAGTACAGTCCTCGCGACCCTTCGAAGATCCTGAACTGTCAATTCCTCGATTTTTCTGCACATCTCTCTTACTCCCACCTTCCTTCCATGGACCTGAACCTGTCTGCCAAGATCTTCAAGCTCAACCATTCTGCTCTCAAGGTTCATTAACAGACTCGACCTCAATTGGTTCTTCGCCCTGCTAACCTCGGAATCCTGCAATGCAGAAAATCCGGTGTCTAGAGTTAGAGCTTGCAGCTCACGACACATTACGTCTAGCATGCTAGTGACCTGGTTCGGAGAACAGCTTGACGAAATTCCAAATAGACCCGAATCTGTGTATGAGTGGTTGAATGAAACACATGACTCTACCCAACCGTGCTGGTTAAGGACGTTTGTGTATAGCCTTGAATACATACCCTTTCCGGGGCCACCAGCAGAGAATGAGCCCCCCCCGCCAAGAAGTACCTGAAGTGTGGCAAGGGCATATATATCGTCGGAAGATATTGGAAGGGCTTCAAAAGCCAGGTGTATGTGAGTTAGTGGCGGCAGAGAGGGGTTGATTGGAGGTGGCAATGGTGGCAGTGAAAGGAAGCCTCCAGTATAATGAGATGATTGTAAAATGTCGGCGGAAGATGGGGTGAGAGCAGTAGGCGACTGTGCTGAAGCATTATTGGGCGTGAAGAGGGTTTTCAGGAAGGGCATGTTCGAGAGGAGCTTAGAAGACTCCTGTGGCGGGGATGTTGGCGCTGAAGAGGGTGATGATATCGAGCTGTTAAGACTGGATTGGGAGTCTATCGACGTTTCTGATCCGGTCTGTGATAAAACAGGAGTTTCGCTCGCTGGCATATCCCCGAAGTATTGCTCGGCCAGCGCGACCGCCTCGCTGTGCTGTACTCCAGCAAAGGCCACAACCATTCTTTCCGGCCGGTAGAACGACGTCCTATAAGCCTGAATAACGTCTTTATTGATTTGGCTGAGCCTTTCTTGGGGGCATAATAGTGGGTTCCCAAGGGTGTTGTCCTTATACGCAGCCATGTGCACCAATTCTGGCAGTATCAATTCTGGTTTGGACCAGATTTCCCCAATTTCATATGCCGCAGTTTCCAACTGCTGCTGGACCTCCTCCTCCGTTATTAATGGATCTCGGATGGTCTCTGCCAGTAGTCCAACTGTTGTGGGAACAGCGGAGTTGAAAGTTGCAGCCTGGTACATTAGGGACTCCCTCGACGAGTTGCAATGCAAATTTCCGCCCAAGGACTCCAAGGCTTCTAGCATCTGATCGCTCGTCCGGTTCGTGGTCGATTTGAAGGCCAACCTGTCCATGATGTGGCTCACGCCTCTTAGGTATTCATTTTCATACCGTGACCCTGCATCGATATAAACGCCAATCCCCGAAAAGGGTCCAGGCAGCGCCTCTGTCGCGACTCGAACGCCATTTGGAAGGGTGGAAATTTGGTCGAGCAATGCTGGATCCTGAATTCCTGTGAGCGCTGCGCCATGCAGATAACAGCGGTGTATGAGGCGGGAATACTTTACCTTTTGGATGGGCTCTATAACGGTTGCAAAGTTTCTTGACCGGAGAGTCGGGACGACGCTAGGAATAAACGACCTCTTCAACAGCGCTCGATTCAAGGCTCTCGAGGACGAAGCCTTGAACATGATGGTGTCTGGCTTCTGCGGTTGCGGTTGCGGTTGCGCAGTAGTTGGTAAGTGAGCGCAATGGTGCAGTGTATTATTTGTTGCCTTTGCAAAATATTTCGCATCCAGTATGGCGCAAGGGTGTCGCGTAGGTAGGTACGTACGTACTCGCAGCTCGTACCTGGTACTTGGTACACTTGAGCGGCTCCAGCCGGAAGCTCTCCGCGAAGTACTCGGTACTTCGTACCTCCGTAGTAACACAGGAACCGGGGACTCCCGTAGGGTCGTAGGTCAGGCGTCTACATACAGAGTGCTGGACAGTGCTTGACAGCGTAAGATTGAATCTAGGAGTCGCTCTCGCTCTAATCGTCAACCACTGTCCCTTCTTTTCGCCATTCTTTCCAACGCAAGAGAGCTAGTTCAATAATGGCTGCAAGCCTCAAAATTGGCCAACAGCTCGAAGAAAAAGTCGGAAGTTATATCGTCTCTGTGCAGGTCTGGACTGCCGCGTAAGATCAACTCTACCAAACTCAACCTTCCCCTATTTGATTACTCCCAGGAAAAGCAACTCTCAAGCTGGAAAAGTTATTATCAAGACAGCTCCGCAGGGACGCCTCGAAAACGAGCGGGATGTTCTAAAGCGTTTCCGCAATTGCCCATACCTATGTACATTCGCCAAGTGCTAGACGAAACCCAAAATCCTCCATCTTTAGTTCTACGACATCTAGACGACAATCTACTACATGTATCAAGTATGAAGACTCTAGGAAGTTCGGATGTGAAGTTTGTAGCCAAAAGAGTACTCCAAGCAATTAAAGCTTTGCATGAAGATGGTTAAGGTACACATATACTACTAGTATGACTACTGATATCTTGACATGCCACCTCATATTAGATATCCGTGACTAATACATGTACTCACAGACATAAAACCGGACAACATTTTCGTCAATTATGACACCGGATCATCCCGCTTCACCGATGTCCAACTAGCTGGTTTCGGTGATGTTACTCGGATAGATCCCTTAAATTACCTTAACGTCGGGATAAATGGACCCCATATGGGAGCTGCTATCTTTAGAAGCCCTGAGGCCATGATGCAGCTCAGATAGGGACTAACATTTAATCATTCAGCACGACGGTAGGTGATACCAAGTAGATTCGAGACTATATTAATAGTATGAGATGCGCTCATGTTCTTGTAGCTTATGGGTCTGATTTGGGGCCTCAACTGGCACATGACCAAGCCTGACCTTAAAGACGCCACGGCTGACGATGAAGAATATCTGATCCACATTACTATAAGACAACTAGCTCACTTTGGCCCTGTTCCTAAGTCTTACATAGATCTCATTCTGAGAGAGGATAATGACAGATGGCCAATTCTAGCCTCAGCCACCCAATACATCAAGGTCAACCAGAAGCAACGCCGTTTAAACTAATCGAGGATGACTGTCTAACGGAGGAGGATAGGGAGTTTATATTAAAGTTATGAAGCTGGACCCGAGGGATCGCCCAACTGCGGGGCAGTTATTACAGGATAAGTGGTTTAGTAATGTACCATAGAGAGGCTATTTTGTGGGGTTAAAGCGCGAGCCGCACTGCAGGTCTTGGCATGGAATTCATCCAAGAGGGGACTGACGACTTCAGAAAGTAAACCATTCTCGTATATCTCTCTATTTTGCTATGGATATAAATCAAACAGACAAAACGATGAGAATTTATCAAATTCGCGTAATCTTTGTAATATCTCATACTTAAATCAAAGTCGAAGTCAGAAATACTCGACAACTGATAAAGACGGTAGAAAAACGACTAGAAGAAAAATTATAACACAATCCTTTATCTATACACTTACTGTCTCGTGAAATTTTATAGATCTTCTTTTAAGAACTAATCTGGTCTGTTCCTACGTGTTCCCATAACAATTGAAAGTTAGGGGACTTTTGGAGGAATCTACGGCTTTAGGGAAAGTACTGGATGGCAGACGAGAGAAAGGGCCGACGAGAATCGGGCAAGGATGAGAAAGAGACATAGATGAAAAGAGTATGGATCGAGGGAAGAAGGGTAAACGATATAGTGGCATCTATTCTCTACTATAGGAACGAGTAGTCACAAGAACGACAAGATAAAGAGTGCGGGAAATGAACGAAATGTCGGAGAAATTTACCGCTGTGGTGGTGTCAAGTTGCCTACATGGCCATACAAGGACATATCATCGCATTAAAGCAAAAATAAGGCGCATGATATTACCTGGAATTTCCCGTAAAAATGCGCCGTAACCGCGTAGCGGTGAGTGGGAGAGCGTTGGTTTGAGCGAGAAATATGCGCGAGCCAAACACAAATATCTATCTCATAGATCTTAGGCCTGCGCAATACTATGCGGAGACTGAGGGCTTGTTGGGAGACCACTAAGCATGTCCCATACTTGTAAAATCTTCTGCCCGAGAAGCATCACTGCATCATTCAACGGTTTATCTAACAAGCCTCTTCCACTAGCAACCTCACCACTAAACCCACTGCCGACGGGTTTTACAATTCAAGGCCATGGAGAGGAAACTTTCGTCGCCAATGACGCCCACATTCATAGTGTCTGCACCAAGAAAAGTCATTGTCTTTGGTAAACATGCTGCCGTATACAACAAGCCAGCCATTGCCGCAGCCATCTCTCTCAGATCATATCTGCTCGTCACGACCCTCTCCAAGTCCCAACGCACAGTCAAGTTAAATTTCAGAGACATTGGCTTGAATCACACATGGAAAATCGACACTCTACCATGGAATATTTTCCATCAAACTGCCCAGAAAAGGTTCCATTACTCCCTCGTCAACTTCCTTGACCCCGAACTACTCGACGCCATTATACCGCATGCAGAGGCCGTGTCCAAGGACCTTCCAGAGAAGCAGCGAAAAATCCATGTACGATCTGCGACCGCCTTCCTCTATCTCTTTCTCTCCTTAGGCTCCCCGGAAAGCCCTGGGTTCATCTACACTCTTCGATCCACCATTCCAACTGGCTCTGGTCTGGGTAGCAGTGCTAGTGTTTGCGTCTGCTTGAGTGCAGCGCTGCTCCTTCAGATACGCAACCTTACAGGACCTCATCCTAATCAGCTTCCGGAGGAAGCAGAGGTCCAAATTGAGCGGATTAATCGCTCGGCATTCGTGGGCAAGTTGTGCATACACGGAGATCCTAGTGGAGTGGACAATGTAGTCTCTGCGGGTGGAAAAGCAGTGGTTTTCCAAAGAAACAACTCCGGGCCACCATCCGTCACTCCTCTTACCACGTTCCCGAAACTACCACTCCTTCTCGTTGACACGCAACAACCGCGCTCAACAGCTACGGAGGTGGAGAAAGTAAGGACATTAAAACGTAAGCTCCCTATAATGACGGAGATGATCTAAGATGGGATTGGCCAACTTACAACTTCTGCACTGGAGCTTATTTCCGATGCTCTCAAACACCTGGGGACTTTGATCCGTATGAACCACGGATTTCTGGTTTCATTGGGGGTCTCTCACCCCCGACTAGAGCGCATCCGTGAGCTCGTGGATTATGCGGATATCGGTTGGACAAAACTCACAGGTGCCGGCGGTGGTGGATGTGCTATCACGCTCTTCCGACCAGACGTCAAAGATGAAACTATGGAAGAGCTAGAGCGGAAGTTTACCGCAGAAGGATTTCAGAAATATCAGACTGTCTTAGGTGCTGATGGAGTTGGAGTACTTTGGCCCGCCGTATTCCGAAACGGCACCGATGCAGAGGGTGGCGAAGAGATCGATCAGGAAAAATTCGAGAATGCTGTCGGTGTCCAGGGTATCGAACAACTGGTCGGGGTGGAAGTGCAGGAAAATAGGAAAGGATGGAAGTTCTGGACGCGAGCTGTTGTCTGAGATGAAACAGAGATCATTGAATGGCTGATGGACTTCTACGCCACCCTTTAACGTACGGTACGTTAAATATAAAACAACCGCGGTCTACAGCGACGCCTACCAGAACCCTCAGTGCAATTCTGTCAAGTACCACTAGGAGACGAGTGTGGCCAAAAACCCTCGAATGTAACTACTGGAGAGCGCCCGAAGTACGAACTCAGGACTGGGGCGTCTAATAGAGTGAAAGGGATATGCTCTACACATCGCTCCTAGGCAAAGGAGTATATTTCGAAAGTCTTGAATTGTTGGACTGGACTCACCGTATTCTAGTTTTAGCTCGGGTAGCTTAAGGCGGAAAAGCGACTCGGGAAGGAGGGAATGGCTAGAGGGCAGGTCCGATTATATGTTAGTTATAGAGAATGCAGCGTCGAAAATTTCCAGCACTTCCGCTACGTTCTTAAAGCGACCTTGCCAGTAGCCTATAATTGTATGCCCGCACAGTATCCCTGTTACATTAGGGAACGGCCCATGGCTATAGAGTTGAGTAATCACATCGTCTGATTTTCCGTATGGATGTTTTCTAGCCATAACTTCGTAGAGTGTTGAACCAATTGCGAATATACCGGACAGAATCGTGCTTGGCATATTGCTATTAACATCGCGAGTTAAATGGTGTGACGAATTTTCGAAGCCGAACACATCACCGTTGCTAAAGCTAGAGAATCCGAAGTCGCTAATCAACATGGAGGGTGTCATTGAGGAGAAACTGGCAGGCAGCAAGGTCGGAATGAATAATGCCTCTACTGTCGATGAACACTGCGGCTTCTATAACCTCCTGTGCGAATCGAATGCGACACTCCTCCGATGTATCGCAGTGGCTTTTTAAACAGCTCTCGACGTGGCCATGTGGAGCATACTTAAGGTCTACAAATAGATTCTCCTTCGCAAGACATTTGATTACTCGGGGATAATCGCCAAGGTGGCTGTGGCTTTCGCCTTCTCTTCGAACTGGTTTTATAGCAAGGTCAAGGTTGTCGAGATCAGGAGCAGGACCTTTGCGTACTCTTCTGTCGCCGAGATCGTAAAGATGGGTGAAAACGCCAACTCCAATGAGATTACTGGAGGTTCCAGCTACGAGGGTGCTATGAAAGGTTAGCAGTTGCAAATGTTAAGGAAACGTTCGAGCGGTCTAGCAAGGTGGCTTTGGTCGGCTTAGTAGCAATTGTCATGCTTGACTAAAGCCTAGCTCGATGTACTGCGAGGCTATATTTATGTGGTACATACTATATTAAAGCTTGGAGTTCGTCTGTCTTTGGCTCGATCGGCTCTTTCGAAGGATCCGTATAGCTGACGTCTTTAGTAGTGGGAGAAGCTTGTGGTCGCTCTTAATACCCAGCTCAGTTGAAATACTATCCTTGCGATAACCATATATCCGTTGTATCGTTCTGGAAACCAATCAAAAAGGACCACAGGCCCCCGCCATGACCTTATCCATTGGTCTCAACTAGACACCTAGCGAGCAAGGGGCTTGTTTTAAGGATTGTAGAAACGTTAGGGAGGCTCGTCCGGCTAGGCTGAAGCGCATCCGAAGATGGGGAGTGTTTCGTGAGGAAGTACTCGAGGAAAGAAGGATATAAGAGGAGCAAACCAGGCGATGGCCCCCTGGTGGCGGGAGGTATAGAGGTGATCCTCAATCCAGCCGGCGTGTAAACAACGATCTCAAGGAGACGAGTGCTTTAATGGATTGTTCGCTTTGGGCAGCGGTATTTTTTAGCACGTGCACTGTAAGAGTGATCAAGATTGACATTGTTTACCTGCTTGTAACCCTAGCTGTTCTTGTCTTCAAAGTAAAAGTCGATATTTTTCCTGGTAATGATACAAACCCGATTTGACGAAAATATGTTGCCGCTAATTTATATCTCTGGGTCCAAACCGTTCTCAAACCATCTGCCCTTGTCGTTGGGCGACATCACGTGGCTGAAGTATCCCGAGTGCGCTATTATTATTGACTTGGCCCTCCGTCTCCTTACATATTCCCTCTCGTTTGATGGTCCCCCTGGCCCTGGTGCCAAGACAGACAGGAGGAGGTCACCAGGCAGCTGGGTAACAGCGTGAAATACGAGGTTTACTTATTATTATACTCGTAGAGTTCTTCGTAAGTTCGTCCACTTATAGACGACTAACGAGTGACGACCAATAGATATAAAGAACGCTATACATTATTCTGCTAGCTCCTGAAAGCTCAGGTCGCTACGTGCAAGAACATGTAATAGAGGTATACAGACTACCTAGAGTCCAGATGCAAGTACCAGCCCAGGTACTTTGTACCTCCGTACTTTTTGCTATATTACATGCATAACGTTGCTAGGGCTGTATGTAATGCAGTGCAACATAGAGCTGCCAAGTCACCAAGTGTGGTTTGGTTCTAGCCGTGGCCAACGCTGTGGAGGACTCCACACTCTCGGGTGCGTTGGTGGTGTGTGATGCACTGCTTACGCTACTTGTTTGATTCTCCTATAGGACATGTACAGTATAGTATATATACATTATAATAAACTTGGTTGAAGGCCGTGTTTGCCACTGTATGTATGTATGTAAGGGCTTTGGGGCGATTGCAGAACGCCTTCACGGCTGGAGCGGGCTGGGTTTCTGGGTTGGGCAGCCCACTGCGCTGGCCTAGGAGGCCGAGAGGCTGATTAGAGGCCTATTGTTATATTTATTGTTCCCTCGATCCCTTCGGCCCTCGCAATCACCTACCTATAAAGCTAACCTAGGTACAGTACCTAGGCCCTGGGTTTGGCCCGAGCACGCACCCAAGGAAGGTCCAAGTCTCTAGTACCGGTACCTAAGGTAGGTAAAGCGGAAATGCAAATACAAACCACACACGGACTCGTTCAAATCTTGCTGCTCCTTGGACTTCTTTGTTCGTGGGACCGAGCTGTCGTGTACTGTACTTCGACGTACCGCGGAGGATTCTGTAGGATCCCTCCATTCCTCTCTGCCCGTTGCGAAAAGAGGAGCGATCGTCGCCGTTGGTCACTGATCAACACCAAACCCCAATGTATTCTGCCTCTGCCTCATGGCATCCCGGTCCCTCCCCTACCCTCGAGGTAACGAGAAACCCGTCGCCGCCAGCCTCTGCAACCGCTGCAACTTCACCGCCGCGCGTGAATCGACTGCGAGGGTTGACCTACCTGCGAGCATATACTCAGCTCCATATTTTATCACGCGACAGCCATAGTAGGAGCAACTCAAGCTCCAGCGGCAGCACTGCTCCAGCTCCACCGCGACCTCCACCTCCACAGCGCCCATCCACCACACCGCGACCGAGCAGTTTCCCGTCAACCACAGGCCCTGGGACAGACCTAGGCACAGGCACAGGCGCCAGTACAAGTCCCGATACGGCATCCGCTCGAGGATCTTCGTCGTCTGCATCGTCGACATTTGTAGCACGTCTACCTGCTCCCCAAAACACTCGCCGATTGACAGCGCCAACACTCGCTACAACAACACAGCAATCGGTGACCGACGCCCTATCTGCGAGATCGAGCTCCCAAAATAACACAGACTCGCCAAATGGTTGGCCCCCAGCAGTGGGCGGACAGACACAGACCAACCTTTCGCGTATTGGAAATGAACCCAACCCCCAAACTGCAGCAACCACCTTGCCATCTGTTTCTCTAGGGAGCACTCCATCTGCAGAGCTTTTGGATCATACGCCAACGATGCCTCGTACGCGCTCGGCCACTGCTGGGGTTTCGACAGACATGTCGCCCGCTGACGGAGCCGCAGAGTCACATAGCAGCGAGGCTGTTGCGCAGAATGAGGCGGGCAATGCAAAGGGAATGTCCCACCAACTTCCTTCCATACGATTTACAGCCCACCAAGACCCAAGAGCGACGAGGCCTTCGCTGGCCTTTAATCCCATGGCGCGGATATTACCCAGTGGGAGCGAAGTCATCAAGGTCGGCCGATATTCTGAGCGAGATACGCAGCCGGCCCAAGCAGCAAATGCGCCCTCCGCCGCGCCTGTCGGATTCAAATCCAAGGTGGTAAGTAGGCGGCATTGCGAATTTTGGTATTCGAATGGACGTTGGTACATCAGAGACGTGAAGAGCTCGTCGGGGACCTTCCTCAATCATATCCGCCTCAGCCTACCGGGGACTGAATCGAAACCATATCCAGTGAACGATGGCGATATCGTACAATTAGGCATCGATTTCAAAGGAGGGGAAGAGATGATATTCAGATGTGTCAAAATCAGGATAGAGCTCAACAAGGGATGGCAGAATGGGCCCAGTAGCTTCAAGTAGGTCTCGTGCCTCTTCTTACTGCTGGATGGAACTAATACCTATGTAGCGTGCAATCTCATAAACGTCTGCGTGAGTTGAATAGTCAAGGGAAACCACCAACTAGTGGCTCCTCACAAGATTGCTCCATCTGCCTTGGTCCGATCGCTGTAAGTTCCGGGTCTCTAACTTTTCTTCTTTGCAGTCAGCTAATCCGCTTCCTACATAGCCCTGTCAGTCTTTATTTGTTGCCCCATGCTCACATACATGGCATTACAAATGCATCCGAGTTATAATAAATGGACCGCACTGGCCTCATTTTGTCTGTCCAAATTGTAGGAGTGTTGCGGATCTGGAGGCTGAGCTTGACGATCCATTTGCAAATGCTGGTGAATGGGAGGAACAACCGGCCATCGACACAACCCCGGTGCCACCTGAGGTATCCGAATCGTCAGATAACGCAGCGGATCGACCCCAAGAAGTCAATACAACTGACGCAACGGAAGTCCTTGTCCAAAGTTCAACAGGTGGTTCTGATCAAGGGGGGCAGAGCGATGTGGCAGAAGCCAGCGATGATTCGCAAACAAGTCAAGGAGTTGATCGACTAGCTGAAGACATAGAGGACATCAATATCGAAGGATCGCCATCTTCGTCGACGTTCACGGACTCGCAGCTCCCTCAAATATCCAATTCAACCGTAGCTCCTGTCGATATTATAAGTCGGAAGCCTGTTGCGAACCAGGCATCGGGCACGTCATCTCGTCTCGACCAGCCAGATCCGCATGGTCGAAGTCTTACTCGCACACCAAGTCCAAATGGAGCATCGGACTCACTAGATGTGACTGCTGGAAAAGAGGGACCCATGACTCCAAGAAATGACGCTGGGCCTTTCATTTTTGATGGAAGTGCGGGACGGCCCTCAGATGTTAGAATGGCTACTATTGCAACTATGAATCTGAACGCAGCGGCTAACACGCCTCCGTCACTTCTCGCACCTGAAACAACATCATAGGAGCTCAACCTCGATAGAAGATTTCCTCGCTCCAAGGCGCGATGCTGGAGATAAAAAAATTGCTATTGGACAGCATGCTTTGTACCATTGTAATATAACCCAATAGGGTAAACCAAGGACATTGGTGTCCACACTGAGCGAGTTGGTGCAAAGCATTGCATAACGATTTACGACACAATTGGCGTTGATGGATGGGCGGGGGTCTTAGCTGTTGGCGCATGCGTGCATTGCTGGGTGAGAGGAAAGGTCTATATCAAGTCATTTGCATAATAAGGATATATATATCGCATTGGGATTGATTGCTATTTGCAAATGTTTAAGGCTATATTGCATCGGGGGGCTGGACAATTTGCGCTCTGTTCTCTTTATACCAAGAATACCCGAGATAATTACTTTACCCAGCAATGGCAGAATCTAAGGACATATAAAGTATGCTATAGTACTATATACTCTGCGCTCCCCATGTTTGCCCCAACTAAAAAAAACTTCGTTGTGCATCACTACCCACCCACCCATACCACTCATCGTTTAAGCGCCGCCCCTAAACTCTCAATCTCCCTCCCCTCAACAGTCCCCATACCCGCCGCATTCCTCAACCGATCCACAGTCTCTGCATCCTTGATCTTCACAGCCTCCTCAGCTGCCTTAACACGCATGCCGCATTTCTCATACATGTTTATCACGTCACTGGGTTGTAGTGAGGGTGCTGCTTTAGGGATGAATGTACTAGCCAGTTTGGGGTTGCCTGCTGAGAGGATGAGTGCGAAGAAGGGCTTGTGGTTTATTTGTTAGCTTAGATTCCTCTTACAACATGTATAGCTATTTGGGGAAAAGGAGGAATAGGGACATACTTCCCAACCAATAGGCGATTTGCGTGTCTTAGACCATTCTTCTAGTTCTGCCCAGTCACGCTTTGACACCAATGCTCGAAGTCTATGATATAGAAAATTAGGTTCCAGCAGAAAAGAAAAGGCAAATGGGCGTTTTCAGGAGATAGAGGGAGATATACCTAATCCACCAAGAAATCCTCTCCGGCACCTTAAACTCGTTCTGGATTTTCTTCGCTCGACTCGCATACCCGAGTCTGATCAGCTTAAACATCGTCTCATTAACACTCAACCCCGTGAACGACTCCGTCAAATCCCGATCGAAGATTTCTTGCATACGGAGCAACGAGCTCGCTTCCTGGAGAGCTTTCAGCGCAACTGAAGAGTCTTTCGAATCCGAGAGTAGCTTGCCGGCTAGGGCGAGCTTATCCGTCGCTGTCCGTGAATCTTGTTGCTTCAAGGCTTCGCGGACGAATACGTTGGCGCCGTCTATGCGCCGGTCGTCTTGGTAATATAGATCTTTGAGTAATTCGGTATCATCAACTTGGGCGGAAGATTCGATGAGCGCGGTGGCCACGGGGCGGCTATTGATAACTCGGAAGAAAGATGCGAGGGGGAGTTTCTTTTTGAGATGCAGAAGAACGAAGAGAACGAGATCTGAGTCCCCGCTTTCGATTGCCTTATCAAGAGCAATTTCATCCTCTTCCATGCTGAGGAGGAGAGGGACTTGTTTTCCGGCTCGGGGTTCGTGGTTCAAGAGCTCTGTTGCGAGCCGTCCTCGCCCTTCATCGTAAGCTGCCCTTGCTATCTCTTCGAATGAGATCCCACGCTTGCCCGATAGCTTTTCGACGATCAGCCGGCATATAGTGTTTTCGTCCTCTGTGCCCACCCGAACTTTCTGTGATGCCCAGTGGACGTATATGCGGTCGGTGGGAAGGCGCAGATATGTTGAGATTCGCAATGCTAGGAGGTATTCGCGGCGGTTTATCAGTCGCTGTACAAGCTTCTCAGGAGTAAGGCGAAGGAATTGTTCGTAGGAAAGAGGTATGCCGATCTCGTAAAAACGAACCGCATTTAGGACCCGCAATGTTTCACACATATCGACGAAATCGTCGCTATTGTAGATATCCAGAACTGACTTGCCAAAGGACGCTGCCTTTAGAAGTTGCTTTTGCCAATGGATACTAAACTCTTGGCCAGCGGCTTTGACCTGCTGCTGGTTAGCGACTGAGTGAAGCCGTTGGGGAGGGATACGTACACATGTATCGACTGCCTCAACTAAATTAGGACGTATTAATTGTATATTATCATCCGCCTTTGGTGACTGGTTTTCAAGCTGTTCTACAGCATCGAGGAGTATGGATGCCGGGGACTCCGTGCCAAACCGGAAGACTTCGTCCGTCACCTCAGGAACTTTCTGTAGAAAGTCACAGACATCATTTGTCAATAGCCGGACACCATCATGATCCGCAATGAGATGAACTCGCCCATCGTAAAAGTACTTGGCTGCTGCATTATTTGGCCCTATAATATGAACCTCGTCTTCCCAAGCAATGACAACCGCATCGTTCCCGCACCATTGAACATCTTTTGGAGGGATCTTCGATTTGGAATCATGCTCGCTTAGCCTATTCTGAAAGTCGCTGGTGATAACATATGCCTGGCCACTCTGAGTATAGAGTGCAGCGAATTTGCCGTTGGGCGAGACGCTTATATGTGTAAATGGTCCGATATCGAGGAACCGATCCTCGGATTCAGTAGCATCGACAACATAGATTGTCTGGCCGATGCTCAGCAAGGCCTCAACTGATCTGGAGAGGGTATAAGCTGGAGGTATGAGTGTCCAGGAGTGGACGTCGCCTTCTGGGGGGCTTGCAAGCAGTTTCGGTCGGGGTTCTTCATATCGCGTAACGGATACCAACTGGTTATTTGAAAGCAGTGCTACAAAACCGCTCCCGTAGAATCTATATTCAAGGTGAGTTTAACATTCGTTTCAATGGGGATATTACCAACCAACCTGCACGCTCTAACACCATACTCCTCTGCTCCATTTCCAAGGGAGAATTGAGTGAAATCGCCCTGCAAGTCGTAGTAACATCGAACGGTACCATCAGCAGTAACCACAATAAGCTTTTCATCTTCTGACCAGCCAAGACCCTTAATAGAGCCTTTGTCCCAGTTGATACGCCGAATCAACTTGCCAGCACAGCTGTATAAGTCGATGCTAGATTTGGAGCTTTGGGTGCCTCTAAACGTATGAAGCTTTGACTCGTCACGGTAGAGGGCTATATTATAGCTTTTATATTAGATTCAACTCCTGAAAAAGTAATAGCACGATTTAGGCCACTGTCATCCCTATCTACCTCGAAGGACGACGGGGAAAGGGGGAGTGGTATCACGTGATGGCTACCAATTGCCCCAGTGCTAGCTTTTCCCCCCGAGATACAGGCAGCCCCGATCTAAACAATATGTGCAGCCAGATCCCCTAGTGCCCCCGTTGTCAGGGCTCAAGAATCGGTGTCTTTTAAATGACAAAAATGCCACCGCTCGCCAAATATGAGACTACCAAAACCTCGCGCCCTTTTCATATCGTCTAGCACTTGCCGGACAAATGTTCATTTTCAAGAAGCCTCCATTCGAGGTGTGCCAGAAGGAAAACACAGGCACACATACCAATAGCTCCTCCGTACGAGCATCCCGTGACAACATAATTCTCCAGCTCCAGGTCCTGGTCGAAAATGGCGGTATAGAGCTGGATCTTCCGGTAGAATTTATCCCCAACCCTCTCCCAGTCCGCTGTCGGATTTGCCATGCTTGATCGCCTTGCTTCACCTCATTCCGGGCTGTCGAGTGGTTTTGGTAGGCAGGAAGTGTTACTGATGTTGACGCCCGTCAGCCAGTCTACTACGTAAACCAACCGGATTTAAGGTGTGGCCAGGGCTTCCACGCTAGCGCGCCCAAGCTTGCAAGTCAACGTCAACATCAGCATCAACCCGAGGTATTTACCTTCGTACGTCTGCAAAGTACATCCTTCCCAGCTCGGCGACTAAAGATACTGGGGTTTAAGCTGAATTATGGATGGATGACCTTCACTACTTCGCGTAGCTAATGGCTAACGAATCTCTCATTGACAAGATCCATGACTTAAGTGACTTGGAGCTTGCAGCCCTCATATGCCTCGTTGCAAAAGAGCATTGTATCATCGATACAGAACCTGATGCCCTCGATGACCTGGTGGAGGAGCTAGAGCTGGTAATTTCCAAGTCTGCCCTTTTGGGTGTTGAACTGATCTGTTTTATAGGTGACAGCGAACGTCTTTGGCCTTCCCCATGCCGTGGTCGACTGCTCAGAGCACACTTCCCTGGACGATTTCGCACATGCCATCCTCACGGTCGAAGGAAGCCCCGCTCGATCCAATTCTCCCATACATACGAGACACGAATCATACTTCCTCCAAACCCCCAACTTCCAATCCATCTCCCGTTCGCCCGTCTCCGAGACATTCGCAGACAACAAAACAATTGCCAATGTCATCATAGCCAAGAACCTCGACGAAGCGCCGAAACCCGTCCAAATCCAAGCGCTAGAGCTTATGCGGACAGGGCGAATTTATACTAGAACATCAGTTCAACATGCCCCGAAGCAGTTTCTCTTTATAGCATTGTTGGCAGCCGGCGAGGGACCGAGATTGACGAAGCATTTAAACGAGTATATGTTTATCTCGCATTTCCATGACCCCGAGCATGGGTTTCCTAATTTGGAAGAGAGGTTTGATGATGGAAACTCAATTTCCTCTGTGGTGAAGAAGAGCCAGGACCTAGAATCGGAGACCGCATTGCATCCGAGGATATCCACAACGGTTCGACCTAATCTAATTTATGCGTAAGGGACATACGCTAATCCAGGTCAGGATGTTGAACAGTTAGCTCAGTTGAGCGAACATACAATCACCAGTGTGGAAGTAAAGCAATACCAGCAGAACATAATCTCCTTCCTGCGCCTTCATCGTGCTGTAACAGGCGGTATCTCTGCAGTAGCAACGAGGCATTTTGACAAGCTCACAAAGTATGCTTGTTGCTCTCTGGGATGAAAATCAGGGCTAATTATTTCAGATGTATTGCGCCGCTACATGGCCTCTCCTACGCCACACCTTCTCTCGTGGCCATCGCAGCCAGGAAGATATATCCTCATCGTATACAGATCGTTGAGCCGGAGAAGGAGCGGAGTCGGCAATGGGGCAGCGATGTTGGTGCTGTGCGAACTCTGTTGGAGGGCATTGGTCCTGAAGATGTGATAGATGAGGTGTTGGGAAGTTCAGGGGTCGAGGCACCTTTATAAGTATAAGACTTCAATATGGCACCTGTTTCAAAATTTTTGTTCTGATATACCCTCAAATTAGACCTTCAACGCGAAAAACAAATAAATCATTGCAACCAACGCCTCAATTCAAGCTCGTCATTCAAGCACATCAAACTCCAGACGCCCTAAACTCGGTCGTGGCCCTAAACATCTCAGTCTTCCAGCCCCATAATCATTCTCCTTTTACAATCCACACACCTGCCGTGGTACTTTAATAGTACTCTCCGGCCTCCACGAGTTGCCTCTCCCTCGTTTTCCCTTCGGATCGAATGCCCAAGGCTCTGCTCCTGTCTTCTTGACATCAATCGATGGATAGCACCATCGAGCTTTCTTTTAATGTCCTTGTCAGGCTTCAGACTATTTTCAATCTCTGTCTCTATCGCCCTCTCTAGTTCTCTTTCCATTTCCAGCTTCCATTCCACCGCCAGCTTCCTTGCTCTCTCAGCTTTCTTTTCTTCTTCTCGTCCTTCTTCTACTTCCTTTTCATATCCTTCTCCATATCTTCCAACTCCCCCGCTTTTATGCTCTGAGTAGGATCTAAATCCCCGCCTCTTTCCCTTGATATCGGTTCTGGAGATTGGCAATACCTGCCCTCAATGGGGTCAATGGTATGTGCGTCTTGGCCCAATGGTCCGGAATAGACGCGGGGGGAACTGCAGTCTAAATCCAAGAGTTCGTCGTGTTGATGGTGGCTCTCTAGGCCATGGAGGGGATCCTCGTTGGAGGAAGTGCAGTTTAAACCAGCGCGGGTTTGCGTGTCCTGCTTGCTTGGGGCCTGGACATGGCGAGGGACTTGGTTGGCTGTAGGATGGTGTCGAATGATGAGGCGGAGCTTTAGTCGGTTCTTTGGCTTAGGCGCCGGAGCAATGTTGAGCGGGAGACGCGGCGACGATACCCGAGCGGAAGGCTGGGCATAGTGCCTCTTGCGGCCCGGAAGATCCCTCAGATAGTAGGGGGCCGTTGGAGCTTGAAGGGGGCGTAACTGAGAGCGGGTTGGCTGAGGCATCTCTGAACGAATCGTGGGATTTATAGCTTTTGTTGGCGAGGTTGACTATTGGAATTGGATTCTATCGCTCGACGACTCGTTGGTAGAGGGTATCAGAAAGAGGAGTTGTTGTCGTGGTTGTTTAAGACAAGAAACAAGACGAAGCAAGAATTACTTGATTCAGGTGGGATTACTGACGATTCGCTCTTTTGAATAGCTATACTATTGTCTACGAGTATTGCCTTTATTGTGCTGCATTTGATGCAGGCAAACAACAATACCATCAGCGCCCTCAATACTAACCGAGCGTATTCACTCCATCGCGCTACATTAACCCTCGGCAAGCAACAATACTAACAATGCTCCTTGTTAACACAACAATACGTTCAAGATACCCACTGACTCCTTGTTCAAAACCAGAATACCAAGAACTTTACCCCACGGCCAAATACTGGCCACAAAGCACGTGCAACACGCACACACTGCTAACCACTAAGAGAACGACCGCTCAGAGTCCTTAGATGTCCAAGTGGGAAGCCAAACGAGATATGCTACTCCCGCTATCAGCCACGTCCTAAACGCTTGTCTTTCGCTCTACCATTTTACCACTTAAAGTGCGATATGTAATAAAAGTATATTCTGTCGCATTAGCAGCATGACAGTCTACTACTTCTTTCAAATGCGATGTGCAATAAATCCTGATCCTCTGTATAACTTCTCACTTAAGAGGTGGGGCATGCATCGAAACCGCTTCCAACATGCGCCTTCGACGACTCCCATGTTTACATCAATTGCTGCCTTACCAAGTTTCACTTTGGCACACCTCGAAACCCTCTAGTAACATGCTAGTATGTTATCATAATGGGAGTTGTGCTACGAAGGAAAATGAGATATCAGTCATTACGTTGATTAAAGAATAAACTATGTACAAGTAAATTCGTATTTTTCCTAGTCCCTTCTAGCAACCTTAAGCCTATTAAAACAGGAATGAATTGACGCCTGCAGTGCATTTTCCCAAAACCATCTATGAAATTTCTTTGAAGCGACATTGCCAGCCGGATGACTGGCTCAGCAAAGGCAAACTAAATGGCATGTTAGTGGGTTGTCAATTTGGATGTTATTTAATAGCTTACCTGGCTCCAAGACACCAACCAAGCTCATTTCCTTTAATCTTCTTGGCGATCTTGACCTCTCTATCAATAGGCATCTCGTACCCAGTGTGAAGAAGAGCCAGCATGAAATTCAAGTCCAGGCAGTGTTCAGGTCGGTCTTCCAACTCGGCAATTGCTCCAGGCACACTCTCGAAAGCATTCCAGCTAGATACACCGCCACAGACTTGGTCGGTCACCGCTTGCAAGTCCTTTAACGTGAAGGATTCGCGCATTCCAAGGGGGTCGGTCCGGTCGAAAAAGTACGAAAAGGTGTACACGTCCTCACTCGAGAAAGTCTTCTCTAAAGAGGGCTGATGGACACCATTGAACGAACAGGGGGCAACCTTGCATACAGCCTCCTTGAATAGAATCTTCTCGGCAAGTTTGAGACATTGTGTGGGAGCTGGGGATGACGGGCCGACCATATTGACAGATACTTTCTCTCCAAGGGCATGGCCTTTGACGAGTTCGACGTCAACATCCTGGGCCATTCCCGGGGCGATGCAAGGGTTTATGATCGGCTTAGAAACCCAGGTGATATCGGATGGATCGTTTGAATGAAGGTCCTCAATAAGCGCACGGTGGATGGATTTGCGAGCTGACATGAGACCATATCCGAGATGAGAATGCTGGTAGAGCTCGAAGGTTCTTCCGCCAAAGTCGAGCTTGTACTTGTGGCTGCCCTCCTCCATCTTCTCCGGCAGCTCAAAGTTTGGCTCAAAAACGACCTGAGTTGAGCCGCCACCTAGATCGAACACTGCTGCCGTCTTGGCCTTCTCAGGTCCGCCAATGTTGCCAAGAAGGTAATTTGTCGTGATCCATGCGTAGACACCCTCGTCCTCTCCAGCCATTATTGCGACTCCGTTCTCTTGTTTTGACACAACAGGGAAAGGGTAGACCGTCTCCAGTCTGGTGCGAACGGCATCAAGGATCTTCTGGCTCATTTCAGTTCCAAGAAATCGGAGACCGGCTGTTGCTTTGACCGCGACAGGAGTGCATGACTTGAGTTTATCTGGAACTGACTCCATCGCAACATCCATCAGGACATCGAGACTCTTTGCAGCTCCTAGGGGATCTGTCTTGAACGAGCTCAACCCCGAACCCCCTTTCTTCGGCTCTGTCATCTTGAATACTTCATCTTCTAGCTCTGGGGTATCACCGCAGTTGTTGAATCTGTAAACATGGATTCGGGAGCCCGTGCTCCCCGCATCAATCATGAGGGCATATTGAACAATTGGCTTTGACTTGTCGCTGGACTGTGAACACTTCGTTGTAGACAGTAACGGGTCAGAAGCCGCCTCGCCTTCCACGCTCTCTTTATGTGGACCTAAGTCTGTATTTGTCAGAACACTCAAAATCATTGAGATAGGTTGATCCGATCCAAAATACCTGCGGTATGGACATCTACTCCGCCCGGGGAGAGATAGTAAAATAAGAAGACGATGAAGAGCAAGATGCCCCCCGTTTTCAAATATCTAGAACGCTGGCTTTGCGTCATCCATGCGGCTTTGACCTTCCCCAGGAGGCCGGCGGCGCTCTCCCTGGCAGCTCGAGTATCGTATCTGGCTGCTTTCTCGTGGGGATCGTGGGCTACGTTTCTGGTCGGCAGCGAGACTGAAGTGCGTCGCATATGGAGGGAATGACTGGCAGATACTAATACTCACAGGTCCGATGACGACCTGAGAATTATATCGAAAAGAGAGAGGGTGAGGATGTTGAGGACGAAGTGAACATTAACGGGGAAGACGACAAGAAAATAAAGGGGAGATCTGTGGTAACTCGCCCAGAGGAAATCTGGACACGGCGCACCCCTGCATGTTGCGTCCTCGGCGCTGACCAAAGCGGAAATGCAGATTTGGTTCAGCCACATGTGGCGGGCGCAGCAGCATGGACATCAATTGCGTAGCCTCGCTGCCTGTACCGAGGACTTAACATTGCTAGGTAAGATGCAAAATGAATAGATGATCATGCATAGAATAGAATAGAAGAATATATTCGCAGCCCTACCCTATTTCACAGCGCGGCATGCCTTCTCACTGGCCTTGAAACTGTCCCTCCACTACTTCCCCCTCCGACCTCCCTCTCCCGACCGACCTCCAATCTCAGACGCTGAATTCGCCTGGACCATGGACGTTCAACTCTACGTGTATGATCTGTCAAACGGGATTGCGCGGCAGTTTTCTGCTGCCCTTCTTGGAACCCATATTGATGCTGTGTACCATACTTCGATAGTATTGGAGGGCGTAGAATACGTCTACGATAGCGGAATCAAGACTGTTGTTCCAGGACAGACGCATCTGGGCCGGCCGATGGAAATTATTCCGCTGGGGGAAACGCAATTGCCAATGGACGTGGCCATAGAGTATTTGGAATCGCTAAGGGAGATATACACCCCTGAGGTACGGCTCATTTTGAATAGCCAAGACTCGGAAGCTAATCGAAAGCCAGGCGTATGATCTCTGGTCACATAATTGCAACAATTTCTCCAACGACTTTGCTACATTTCTGCTCGGTAAAGGAATACCAGACCATATTACAACTCTTCCAGCGACGGTCCTCAACACTCCTTTTGGCAGAGCACTACAGCCCCAACTCGACCAGATGGTCGACCAGAGGCACAAACAGAATGGTGGATTCTTGGGCATAAATGAGCCAGCCAAGGTACCCAGTACACATCAACAAGTCTCCTCGACCGTGAGAGAAGTCACAACATTGGCCGAGTTGAACAAAATCTTAGCGGAGGTTCAAAATTCATGTGCTGTAGTATTCTTCACTTCCGCTACTTGTGCGCCTTGCAAGCAGCTCTATCCTCTATACAACCAATTAGCGACAGAGGTAGCACATAAGGCTATATTAATTAAGGTAGACATCTCAAGGGCATATGATATTTCGCAAAAGTACAATATCCGAGCGACTCCAACATTTAAAACATTTCTACATGGCGTACAGGAAAACGAATGGTCCGGGGGCGATCCAGCCACGCTCCGAGGCAATATCCAGATGCTTGTACAGATGGCATGGCCACCACATCCACACGAATCACTTCCTCTACCAGGTCTCCGCGGAACAAACACCAAACCGGTCATATACAGCAAAGTACCTCCTCTTCCCAAGTTAAAGGCAAAGATGGGGCCTGTCGCAGACGATCCAGCTGTATCAGGAGTCATGCACTTTGTTGCGGCTCGCGGTGAAGATGGAGCAGCAGGAGTTACTCTGCCAGACCTCGATTCTTTTAGCAAATTCTTACGATCAGCTCCCTTACAACTTCCCATCGAAATCATGTTTACAGTAGTTGATCTATTGCGGCTAGCGTTGGTCGACCCCCGGTTCAGCGGTTACTACGCAGAGGAGAAGGATCGCAAGACGATAGCACCCCTCATCTCATATATTACCACATTACAAGGCTGCCCATATTCTCTGCGACTTGTTGCACTGCAAATGGCCTGCAATCTATTCTCAAGTCCATTATACCCACAACATATTCTCACATGCCCAAGCTTAACGACTCCAATCATACAATTAATAACGACCAGTTTACTCGATGACGAACACCACAACGTTCGAGTCGCAGCCGCAAGCTTATCCTTCAATATAGCAGTCGCGAACGGCAAGCTACGCGCAGAGGAGCATCTAGAAAGCCTACCTGAAGGCGATCAAATCGAGCTCGCAGCGTCCTTATTGGAAGCCATCAGTGTCGAGGAGGATTCGCCTGAAGCGCTCAGGGGCTTCCTCTTCGCATTGGGATACCTCATATACTGTGCGCCGAAAAGTGGAGAATTAGCAGATTTGTTGAAGATCATGGATGCTCAAGGAACTGTGTTGACGAAGAAGAAGCTTTTTCCTGACGAGAAGCTGATTCCGGATATTGGTGGAGTTTTACTGGGTGAAGGTTTGCAGTAAAGCATGCGTTTAGAAAAGTAAGAAATTCATGATCAAAAAACCAAGCCAGAGCTTCAGGCGAAATCGTGATCATTTATTTCACGAGCTAGTTATGTGTGCTACTCTACTAGGTACTCTACGGCGAGGTTTAACGGCGACCAAAACTCCATAGCGGCCATCAGCAATACGTTGCGTGGTAAGAACATGGAATGAATTTAAAATATGCTTCCACTGATAAGCAAATACATTTTCTTATATTCCAACAACTTTGTCTCCGATTTACATATATGGTTGATTCAATTATCGGGTTCACTAGCGACCAGCTGCTGGGAATAATAGGGGCGATCATTAACTACCAAAGATTAATTGGGCCGTAATGGGTTTTCGCGATGACGGAGAATGCTTGACAGGTCGAATATCCTCTAGAACCCAACACATAAGCTTTGCCCACATAATATCGACACGAGGGAACAGTTGAAATATTTGTAGAGGCAGGATGTTTCTCGGTGGACAAATACTGCCGAGCGTCTACGTTGGTTTTACGAGCATCAGAAGGCATGTGCAAAATAGAGAGAGCTCCAACCCTTTTCAGGAACACAAAACAAGAATCTAAATAATATGAGATGCTTATAGATCTGATAGCAACCTCCGGATACGTCTTAAAAGGGGGCCATGGGAATATTTGGAAGCGCTCTGGGTAGACGGACACAAGTCAGGGCATATGGAACTTGTGTTGGTCAAAACTTCTCGAGGCCATTTTATGACACAGTTGTATTTACAAATTTTCCACATATATTTGAAAAGCCTCTAGACTATATTTCAAAGGGTCTGTGTATATTGGCAGGCATATAAGGAGGAGTGCGACGAAGTCAAAGACTTAAATAAAATGGAAATTTCAACTGATAACATTTTGGGAGTAGTTTCTAGTTTTTAGTAGATAGATCGAAGGAAACTATAGATCTACTTTGTAATATTTCAACGCATCCTGAGAGAAGTTTGCCAGGGCCTAGGACATAAATTGAAAGAAGATAATTTGGAGAACTTCGTGGTAGTGCTTATAATGACAATTTTGCGGTTGACGCAAATGCATAAACCATAATGCAAAAAGAGCAAAGGAAACATTCATGCTGTTAAAGATGGGTACCCACAAAGTCCAAAGCGTAGATCGATGCCAGTGAATTTTGCCAATGCCTGCGATGATAGTTTCGCGGTGCCACGCGTGTAAAAGACGTATCCAGGAAATGTAAAGATAGTGTGCACGCTTTCCGATAAGGAGTTTATTATCCCACGTTGAGGACCTCTCGTCAACAACGAAAAAGCTTCCCCGCCTTGAGCAAAGTACCATCCTTTGATCAGCTAGAGCGAATAACCTCGAACTTCCCTTAAACACCCAGGAGAAGCTATCTAATGCAGGAAGTATCCAGGTAGGCACGCCCTCGCCCTTCTCCTCGCCCCCCATCTCTCCGATCTTTCCCATCCCCTGCCGGCGTGGAAATTTGACACATTTTGACCCCCTCCTTAGCACCATGTCTCATTCAGACCCAGACGCCGGTAACACCAGGCCCATCACCAGCAATGCTGCTATGGCACCTACCGCATCCCAAGGCAATAGTGCACTTCAGATGTTTCGACCCTTCCAAGCTCTTGTTGGAGAACTCAGAATCCAACTGTATAACCACTGCCTGTCTCCAAGGGTGGTTAGGATAACAGAAGTTGGAATCCCGATTTCCGTCCAGGGTATGGATCCGGCCGGTATGCCTATAACTGTTATGGCATACACCTCTAGAATGGAGGTCATTGGGGCTTCAATGCCCAGTTTATTCCATGCTATCCCAGAAGCAAAACACTCGTTGATCAAAGCTGGACGATACAGAGCGCTTCTTACAATGCATGGAACTAGCCATGCTGTATATTTCAACTCAGACCTAGATACGGTCCAGTTGGGCACGAATCTGTGGCAGTATAGACTTAGCCCACAGCTCACATTGGGCCAAACGTTGGCCAATAGACTCGACTTGAACGAAATCAAACACCTCTCTCTCCCTCTATTTCTTCTGCGCAGATTCGGCCCGTGGGCCATCCACAATCTCCGCCAGCTCAGAAAGTTGCAGTCAATGAAGCTCACTGCATCATTCACCGACCGGCCCAGACGAGGGAGCACATTTATCCTCAGTCTCTACTTCGAGGAGAGGACCGTCATTTCCCCCCAATCCTCAACCCTGATGGGGAGATAGAGGTGGAAGGAGAGCAAAGACAATCAATAGTGCCGAAATATAATGAGGATGGAGTGGCCCACTATGGGCATGAAGCAATGCGCCGCGTCTTCCAAAATATCGAAGATCCCGACGAGCAACAAGGCCTCATGGCTCTTTTGGCCGACCTAGAACAAATTGACGCGTTTGCCGTGGGTTTGCCACCATCATGCTACTTATATGCGGACTATATAGCAGGCCTTGGGCCTCACGGGAGTGCGCCTCCATTGTAATTATTTGTAGTTTAGAGGATATTTTCGAATGGCTGACGCAGTTGGGAACCGCTAGATGAATGTGCGAGGCTACCGAGTTAGCCCATCACTCGGCCACGAGCAGAATGGAGGTCCAGTTCCTTGGGATGTTTATAATAAGGATGCTGATAAAAGTGAAACCCTCAACCCAGTAAGTTTGACATTCGAGTCTCCAGCCAGGGCAAACATTTTATTTTGGTAACGAAGTCTCAGCCCGTGAAGTCGAGAGCAGTGCTGTAACCCACGTGACTACGTGACTACGCTTATCACACCCCTGCTTATCCACCCTTGTTTCTCTTCACCCAGCCAACAGCGCGTTCGTCCAAGCTCCCAAGTAAACACAGACACCGGTGGGGAAGCCCTCGACTTTATGTACGCCAATCTCCAACAGAGATTTCGAGACACAGTTCTGGACATTAACGAAATATTGATTGATATGGCTCTGGAACCGCGACTAATGCCAAGTGTGGCAGCGGAAATGCGCTCCGTGAGATCTTCTGCTTCGACACCTTCACTGCGATCACGAGAAGGGAGCGTGATGAGGATAGATGCGCCAGGAGGAAATGTGAGAGTTGTTGTAAGAGTGAGGGGTTTCCTCCCTAGAGGTATGGAGCAAGAATATATCGGCAATCTCTATAACTCTGGTTAATCAGCCCGTATAGAAATGGAGCGAGGCGCAGAATGCCTCATCGAGATGAATCCTGTCAATCAAGCGACTACATTGCTGGTACCGAACGATACAGATCCAGCCAACACGCGGTCAAAAACACGTAAAGTCATTGAGGAAAAAGCATTTACTTTTGACAATTCCTTTTGGAGTCACAACAAGGCCGACGAGCACTATGCACATCAGGAGGATGTCTACAACAGCCTGGGAGAGGAGTTCCTGGATCATAATTTCGAGGGATATCACACGTGCATCTTTGCTTATGGCCAGACTGGCTCTGGTAAAAGTTACACTATGATGGGCACTCCAGATCAGCCGGGCCTGATTCCCAGAACCTGCGAAGATCTATTCCAACGCATCGAAGCTGCGCATAACGAAACACCCGACATCTCCTACAACGTTCGAGTTTCCTATTTCGAAGTGTATAATGAGCATGTCCGCGACCTCCTCGTCCCAGTCCAACCCAACCAACCCCCCTATTACCTCAAAATCCGAGAATCGCCTACTGAAGGGCCTTACATAAAGGACTTGACCGATGCTCCGGTTAAAAACATCTCCGAAATCATGCGATATATGAAGATGGGGGATGCGAGCCGTACGACGGCGAGCACTAAGATGAATGATACGAGTAGCAGAAGTCATTCGGTCTTCACGATTATGCTCAAGCAGATCCATCATGATATGGAGACTGATGAGACCACTGAGCGCACCGCACGTATACGACTGGTAGATCTTGCTGGGAGTGAGAGAGCCAAGGCTACAGAGGCTACAGGCGCCCGCCTCCGTGAAGGAAGTAATATTAACAAATCTCTAACGACACTCGGCCGAGTAATCGCCGCCCTTGCTGATCCGAAGCAGCAGCGACCTGGCAAAAGGAGTAAGGACGTGGTGCCGTATCGTGACTCGATTCTAACCTGGCTGCTCAAGGATTCGTTAGGAGGGAATAGCAAGACTGCCATGATCGCCTGTATTGCTCCTTCAGATTATGACGAAACCCTATCAACTCTACGGTATGCAGACCAAGCCAAGAGAATCCGTACCCGAGCAGTCGTCAACCAAGACCATGTCTCAGCGGCTGAGCGTGATGCCCAAATTGCGGCCATGGCCGAAGAGATCCGCGTTCTGCAACTCAGCGTGTCGGACAACCGACGGCGGGAGAAAGAAGGCAAGGAACAGGAAGAAAAGCTCGAGGAATACCAGAATAGAGTCATCATGATGCAGCGTATGATGGAAGAACGGAGCATGGTGGCAGAGGGCAAAATCCGCAATTTACAGACCGAGAATGATGCCCTGAGACTACACTTGAAGCTTGCCCTCGACAGTCTGAAGAATCCGATTGAGGTTCGCAGCGCAAGGAATAGTGTGCAAGGTGGGGCGACGCGGGGCAGTATTTCCGAATCCCATGAGAGGGACCCAATAGGCAACGATGCAGAAAACGGCAATGATGATAGAACAGAGGTGCCAGAGTCGGAATACTACGATGAGGATGAGGGAATTGACGTTGCTGTCCACGAAGAGAAGGCAAATGAAGTGCAAGGCTTTATGAAAGAATTGCTCCAAGACCTGAATATGTTTAAGAAGAAGATTGGGGATGATAAGTTACGGTTCGTTACAGCTTCAAAAGCCTTTGGGGCAAGGCTCGTTTGAAAGTTACTAACCAAGCATCTGGGATGGGGAGTTTTGGGTTTCAAAGGATGGAATTGTTAGGTCGGCAAAGAAAATCGTAGGATCCAATAGTGGGCTGTGATCTTGAGGTTTTGTAGCGAATTAGGGTGGGCCAGCGAAGGAGTCTGGAGCGTAACTTTGGCCTTCCTATTACGATCATGATAGTAATGAAACAGTTTATATAAAATATGAATTCTGAGCACGGGTTGAGGCCAACAAGCTAAACCTAGTCCTTTCAAAGTCTAATATTTACCTTCACAGTCAAACTTCTTTACTCAAAAGTTCCCATAGTAGTTGGTCAAAATCCTAAGCTCTCCTCCTATCAATAGCTACGTACAGATAGCGAATGGTTAGCGGATTGTATTCCTCGAAAGAGTAAAAAGTCCTATTAAAAGATAATATTATTTTTCATCCCCATCGCTTTCAACTCCATCTTCCTCGCCATTGTTGCCCTAAGAATCCTGCATGCACTGTTTTCGAGAACGAGGCCAGTCAGAAGATATTTGGCCGCCCCAGTTGCATGAAGTAAACTGAGCGGGTATCGAGATCCATCGCCCATATTGAACTCAACTAAGGGGACACAAACGAGTTTAGAATCAGCCATCTCGTAATTCATGGGTTTAGGTCGCAGTATTATTTAGGGAAGACGTTTTAACGTTTTATCCACTGGTTGAATGACTGCTGTCGAGTAACCGCCAGTAATTGAGGCGGCCCTCCCTTTGGATATTTGATAGAGAAGGTATCATACTGATATGCCAGCTATAAGCACAACTATATATATAACGCTTAAACAGGCTTTGATACACGGTTGGATAGAGGGTATAGAGGGTCACATCCACATCCACATCCACATCCACATCCACATCCACATCCACATCCACATCCACATCCACATCCACATCCACATNCACATCCACATCCACATCCACATCCACATCCACATCCACATCCACATCCACATCCACATCCACATCCACATCCACATTCGCATTCGCATTCGCAATCTATATTATTTGATGGAGTTTGGTATGCCGTTGCTGAGCAATGGTATGAGAGGAAGTATGGGTGATCGTGTTGAGACATCGAATATATTTTGTAGGTAATAGTGCAAAATGCCAAAGTCTTATTTCGAGAAGAATGATTAGGGATAAAAGAATGATGGGCACACCTACAAGAATAAAAAAACCTGCAAATATGGTAATGATTTAACTCATTCAAACATGGCTATGATGGCTTTATGCCGGGTATCTCCACAAGGCCAACAGACCAGCACCCCTTCTCGCCCCATTCGCCCCCCCCTTGCCCCCATAATTTTAACCTCCCCCAACAACCACAGTGTATCCTGGTAACTGGTTTGAACCAGCTACGGACATTATGCTATCCGAGAACGCTTCCAACTCCTCCGGCGGCGGTTCGGCATATGCCGGGAACCGTTCAGTCTCTTGGTCCTCGTCGTATCCGGAAACCGAGGACCAATCGTAATCGGTTTCAAGTTCTACCTTAGTCAGTTCGGAGGAAGGGGGCTGCTTGATCAATAACTTGATCATAATGCGTTTCTTAGGCTTGTCCATGGAAATAGAGTTGGTAAAGGATTTTGACGGGCGAGAGGCCTTGTGAGTCATCTTGACCTTTTTGGGCGTCTTGGCGGGGTTTCTCTTTTCCGCCATGGGTTCAATATCCTTTTCATGGTGGATCAATTTAAGCTTTACCGAGGAAGATGGCGAACTTGAAGACTCGGAGGTTGGGCTGCTGTCGAGACCGGAAGATATGCTGTCTTTCTTCTTGGTGCTAAATTTGGGCTGGGTTGGTGTCGCTGGTTTGGTAACAGACCCTTTTCCTTTGATAGCGACTGGGGACGAAAGAGACTCATTCTCGCCCTTGATCTCCTCTAACACGCCAAGTCCCAAATTCATTTCGATATGGGGCTGGTCTGAATCGCTCTCGGAGAGCTCGATCTTATGCTCCCCCGATTCCCCGGTTGCAAGTACATCATTAGCAGCCTTCATTGAGGCGAGAAAGCCGGGTAATGTATTTGCCAGAGAAGAAGGTTGGAAACGGAAGCATGGCTTCTGATTCAAAGGCCGGACATTGGTAATTTCTTCGGAGGAGGTGCTAAAGCCAAAGGGTTTCCTAGAGGAAGAGGAAGAAGATCCAGAAGCAATTCCTGCTGAAGCTGGAGAAGGCGAAGAACTAGATGACGAAGAGCTAGAGGTAGAAGCATCGGAAGAATAATCGGCACTTTGCCCTTTATGAACGGGTCCATGAGTTTTAAGAATATCCGTAATGACTTGAATCTGAGATTCGTCAAACTGAATATGTTCAGCTACCAATTTGGCACATTTTTGATCCAGCCAGGCTTGGCCACCCACGACAGCAATTTCTCGAAGGCGAGCAGAATATTGGAATTCGCCAGACACTAAAAATGTAAGTTAAGATAAAGATAACGACAAGAAATATTTTTAGAGGACTCACTGTAAGTAGATAACATTGCTTTAGCAATTTCTAGGGCCATCTCTTCTCTATAGGTTGAAGATGAGCCCATGGCTGCGGCGGCGCCTAAGGTCTCAAACTCTATCAACAATTAGTCAACGTTGTTGTACTGGCGCCCATGGCCTCCTTGATATCAAACAATGAGTGAGTATATTACCTTCGATCCACTGCTGGAGTTTGGTCACAAGCAAGCGCTGGTAGTGAGCCGGTTTGAAGAAGTCGGTAGCCGCGAAAAGATTCTGAATTTCAGACATATTTTCAGTTTTTGTAAACGTGCAAGTGGGAAATGTGTACAAGACAATAGGATGGAAATTTCCTTGCAACTAGCAACGAAAGAAGGAAATCATGGGAAGAGTTCAAAGGGCGTATAACTTACAGGACGAGGTTTTCTGCGCTAAGGGTTATTATCGTCGAACACTTGAGCCAGCTAAGGCTACAGTGCAACAGGGACGAAAGGGCAAATAATTGGAATGGATCTAGTCATAAGGGCTGTTGATGAGAAAGAGCTACTAATGCCGTGTTGTATTGTTGAAGAATGACGAGATTATGAGCACATGTACAATTTTGATATTGCGCTTATCGCTTATCTTTTTTAGGCGATGTTCTGGACGTAGAGCTTGAATTCCCCGCCACTGTTTCATCGCCGTGCAGGGATGGGAGGCCCTGCCCCTTTGAGGCGGGCGTTCTGGTGTTGCACGCGTCCTCAACCTCCAACTCCAACCGTCCCTCTTTGTGCTACCGTCCTCAATTCTTCGACTTGAATACCTTTGTGAAACCAGCGTTCCTCGTCCATTTCCCACTTTCTCTCACTCCCTTGCTTTGCACCTCGACACCTAGAAAGTTCGATCCTAGTATACCGCTCCTTCAGCAGACGAGGCTGTCATCCAACTAGACCAACATGGCAATGAGACCGTCCCTAATGACAAGAGGCTTGAACTCTGCCCCTGGGCCCAGCGACACCGGCTCACCTGCAGAGCAACGGGATGATGCGAAGAAGAATATGCTAAAGGCTATGCGCCCTTTACCAACCCAACATTACTGGAATGTATATTTTGACAGGTAAGCCTCGTGTTCCTGAAATGGAATCGGACTACTATATCGAAGAAACTAATATCCCGGTGAAGACAGCAGAAAGACCAGCAGAAATCCACAGATGGGAGCTACCAGGCAACTCTTGAACAGATTGGTTCCCAAATCGAGTCTGTTCAAGACTTTTGGCGTTACAACAATAACACCCCGGTCGATCAAATCAAGATGCGAGAGTCGATTTATTTGTTCAAGCAGGGCTTTCAGCCTATATGGGAAGATAGGAGGAATATAAATGGCGGAAGTTGGACATTTCGTGTGCCAAAAGCAAACGGACCGGACTTTTGGACGAGAGTCCAGCTCATGGCTATCGGAGAGAAACTACAGGGCTGTTTGGATCTTGGTAGGTCCAATTTCCCTAATAAGGGGGAAGATATATCCTGGATTAGCATTGAATGCGCTTAAAAGTACATGCAAGGCGGAGGGACAGAGCTAACGTTTATTCTAGGAGACCAGCTTTGTGGGGTTGGACTGTCGGTCCGATTCAACTCTCATCTCATATCGGTTTGGCACCGGGATTCTTCGAAACAGAAGTCGATCGATGCTATACTCGCGACAGTGTTGGAGGAACTTCCAGCTGAGCTGAAGCCTAAACCTGATAACTACTTCTATAAAAAGCACTCCGATCATGCGGGTTTCAAGGCACCTGCTGACGCTACGACCACCGCTTCTGTCCCAACAATTGAAGCACCCACCGAATGATACCCGGGATATTAAACGATGACGAATCGATGAAGGGGCGATATTCAAACGCTGATTTTACGAGAGGAAAAGGAAAGATAAGGGAGGGAACGGTGTTTGTGCTTCTTTCTGCATAACTGTCGGCGTTCTTAATTTATAAGTGAGCCAAAAAGACAATGGCTGTCAATATAGACCATGATAGAGCCCCCATTAGACATAACTCCTACGTTTATTGGTGACCACCGTAACCCTGATTTCCCAAACTCCAACGTTCGCCGACCAAACTCCCGTATGATTATCTCCACACTCCAGCCCGTCTCATAACTTCCTCAAACTCGGCCTTCTCTACGCCTTTTCCCACGCCAGCGCCCCCATTCGCCTCTATTATCATATCCCTCAGAAGCTCATCATCAACATCCTCCTTAAGAGCATTGGCAATACTTCTCAAGGTAGCTATCGTAATTTTGCCCTCTCCTCCGCTGCTTGTAAAAAGCTTGAACGCCTCATCGACTTCCTGTGTGTGCGAATCGGACGTACGATCGCGGGCATGGAACTTGAGCGCACAGATCGCAACAAAGGGCTCATATTCTGCAAACCCTTCCTCATCTGGGTCTAAAATGGAGATAAATTCTTCGAGTTCGTTTGGGGTAGGTACGATGTCTAATGCGCTACACGACAGTTCCGTTAGCTACTGAAGGCTCCTAACACAGAAAGAGATCGGAAGGAAGGCGGAAATACATCATAGCTCTCCGCACATCGCCAACCGGTATTATGCCTTCTTTCTCCCCTTTCTTTGGCTTAGAAAATAATGTAAATGCCTCGCGTATTTCGTTCTCTTCTACGCTCGTGATATTGTGCTCTTTTGCGAGCTTGGATTGTCGAGGCTTCGGCGCGGAAGGGGCCTCGGCCAGCGCCGGAGCGCGGCGTTTGGCTGGCTATTTCAAGATTATTAATCGCATCATTGTTATCAGTATCAGATTGAGCACACTTACCATTTCGCTCAGTAGACTTTGTGGTAGTCAAAATGCTGTTGAGCACCGCAAACCTGAAGACCTAGGAAAACGACGGCCGCGAGGCTGTACTCCATCTGCGGCACTACGTACTGGCGCTATCCGAAGTGGGGCCGACATGACGCTAAGCCTAGCCGAGGCGACGCGTCTACAAATCTCGCTCGCTGAAGTTTTCCTCCGTTTTTCCTTCTTCTCTTAGCATCTCACACAATGACCCAACAGATGGATGTCCGTCCTACGTGCTGTCTGACGTATTACCTGGTCGACAGCGACGGTTAACTGTTGTCATTGTTAGCTCAACGGTTTGTTGGTTTTTAGTCGAGCGAAATTGGAATTCGGGGAGGTGCGGGGGAGATTTGGAAACAGCTTCAAAATTTAAATGCTAGAGCCCGCCATAGTCTCAACCCAGAGCGAGCGAGTGTGGACAATGAAGCAAGAGAGACATCCGGTCGAGATTTTGATTCTTCGAGACCTTCCCTAGGGCACTGCCTGTCAAGCTCTTCACGAGTTTGACGTATGGTGCTTTTTGGAGACATATTTTTCAGCCGATTATGATTCGGAGTATATTATTTTATAAGTGCAATACATAAATGATGCAACTGTCTGCAGTCTATCCCGCATTCCTGACTGTTTTACTTTCCTCGGGCTTCTGTACTCCTCCTGGATACATCCAATACACTATCAAATAGTGCCTTCGAACGCCATCCTCCGCCCTTCCATTTTCCCACTCAAACGTTCCCTTTCCTAATATCTCTTTTATGCGCACTATCGATTCCATACCTTCGATCCCTATCCTTGAACTTCTCTAACGGTACCTACATCGTATTGATCAGCTTATCCTCTCACCCCAGACTTCCCCCATTATTGATACGCAAATCGGAGTCGAGGCACACCCACCTGTCCATCCTTAGTAGCGCTCATCATCAATTCCGGTTTTCCAAGTGGTAGCGTATCTCCCCGATCAACCTGCCAGAAATGATATGTTTTCCCCCATAATCCCTTCACCTCCTTCATCTCAGCTGTTTCTGCTTTCTCCCATAATGCCTCGGGGACGTTCGAGTTGGGCATTATGAGCATGCCACTACTGACCTGGTATCAAGTTAGCTTTAGACCTGATCCTCCTCGTACAATTGCTTCATAATCATCTGGTGCTTACTTCATAGTGATGATCATGCCACAGTTTCTTCTCTTCTTCATCGAGCGCGTCGTATAATCGCTGAGTGATCATATATTCCACGCCAATTAACCTCGCCGGGTTGCTGGGGGCGTTATATATGAGGCATTGCCTCACCTACTCACAAGGATGGTTATCAGCTTTGTAACAAAACAACTCAATCATACAGATCAAGTGGAGCTATAAGGCTTGGAAAAACATTGGCCGTACATCAGCACTCAGGTGCGTACAATAATGATTCGCCTCAACCGGCCGAGACATGTCGGAAGCATAGAGATGGAAGGCATTCAGATGTGCGCAGATTGCTTTGATGGGTCCGAACGATTGGGTCGCGGCGGCGCCAGTTTCGAGTACCTTATCCTTCGCTGTGGGCTCCGGTCCCGGGGCACCGTATGTAGTTTGCGAGGCCATGTTTGTTTTTAATGGTTTTTGTTCGGCTTGGGAAGATTAATTCAATTGGATTGAGAGTCGTTTGGGACATACCTTAAATTTAATTTAGTCGTATCAATCGGGGCTAACGTCATAGGTATGAAGTCATAGGTATATAGGTATGGTGTCACAATATCCGGAGAAGAAAGGCAACAAAATACCTAGGTGGCTGTATTTATTGTATTTATTCGGTTACCTTAGGTACCACGGCCTAAGTGCTTTGCTCAGACAACCAGCGCACAAAATATAATGTAAATACTCTCAAAGCCTGACAAGTGCCTTTGCCCGCTCCCACCAAATTCTCCTTTTGCAACAGTTTTTATTCTCTGTAATTCAAACATGTTTCCGACATGTGTTCATAGTTTACAGTTTTGTCTCAGTGGGAGGAGGTCTATCAAAGTCTTAGAATCTTTGAGCGGAGGTTTATAGAGATTTAAATTCTACTTACTCACTTGAAGTTATTCTTCAGCTCTCGAAGCTTGGCCATAACTTCGACGGGATCCGTCTTGGCTGTAGCTTTTTGTATTTCAGGATCCTATTTTGTGTCAGTCTCGAAACACAGCTTTGCAGCTAGAGGTATACCCACATTTACTCTCATAAACACGTTGTGTTTCTAATGCCTTGTTAGCAACGTGCCCTTTCCGGAAGAAATGGGAATGCCTACTTTCTCGTCCCCTATAGTAAATTTGCCTTGGGTCTCCTTGTTGTTGTCTGCGAACGCGGCTAATCTCTTAACGGGCTCGCTCGGCAGTATAGATAAAGCAAATTTAACATTGGCTTTAGTATATTCGTGGCCGGGCTTCTTTTATTAGCGAAGCGCATAGCCAAGTGATACAGGTGATACAGAAGACTCACATAGACTTTCGTGTCGTCAGGAACGGAAGCAAGGGTCTTGTTTAGGGCGGTATTCATCTCCTCAGCCGATCCCTCAAAAAATCTTCCGCAGCCTGAATGTTCGAAGAGCGTCAGGAAGGTAGGGAGAATATTTAGACAGGGTCAAAATACCTCCATGGAAAAGAGTGTCCCCTGTAAAGATTGCCCGCCCAGTGCTGTCCTCCATCAACCAACAAATGCTATCTTGTGTGTGGCATGGTGTATATATGGCCTTAACAGCTATTTCTCCGATATTGAAACCTCCACCATTCTTTGGAGTCTGGGTAACAGCTTCGCAGTCTTTCCCACCAATTATAGGCTTTCCTTGGAATTCGGGGTAGGCCAGCTGTAGTGAGCAATAATTAGCTGCAACTTCTGTAATATGGTCGGCAAAATATTTTGCTCACAAGTTTCTTGTTCCCTCCAGCATGGTCCCAATGACTAACTACAATCAGTGACCCTGATACCTAAGTCGCAGAATTGCATGGACACACTGATGGGTGTTAACAATAGCTGTCAAGTTGATATTGCCAGCATCAATATGCTTCTTCAGAACTGGTGCCACTCTGCTATTATATTAGCACATATCCCTTGTCCTTCTAGTTGGCATATCGCACTCCTCTGGATTTGCCGGATCGATGATTACGGCATCCTTCGACTTATCATCAATCACGAGATAGGCATAATTGTCACTCGTCCCCGTCCCTAACGAGTTTATTAGCGCTGAAATGTATAGATATAGGAGAGCAATAGCGGCCTACACATAGGAATCGACTGGATATGCATAGCGCGGGCAAGATGTTTGGAAGTAAGCTAAGATGATGTCAGCTTGCGTTCACGTCAATAGGAGCTTCAGAAGGTAGAGTACGGACACTGGCGGTAAGAGTTCGTAGATGTTGAGATACAATGGGTCTAGTAAGCGTTGAAAACCTCATTGATCCGGATCGCAACGCTTTGGTTTGTAAATGAAACCTCACAATGTGCTCATACAGTCTCGAGTTGTCGTCAAATATGTGGGGCGCGGGGCAGGGAGTGTGGAGTGATCACATGACTAGGCCAGTCAGGGATCAAGGCCCGTCCACTTTCCCATCTTGGGTTGCTCGAAGTGCCAAACATCAACTACCAAAGCGGCTGGACGAAGCAACGATACACTAGACTTCTCCAAATCCAACAGCGGCGGCTCAATAGGCCTTGATAGCATGCCCTAGGATTGCCCACGCTATGATCAGTACAGCCTTTAATATGGTATGGGCAAGGCAAGTCAAAAGTCTGCTAGCGCCTCTGTTTCACACATATCACCCACCAACAACCAATCCGTGGCACAGCGCTGTAGTTGGCCAATTCGCGAGGATCCGATGCGTGTTGAGCTACCATCTTGCTAAACAGCTCCCCGAAAGGTTACCTTTCTCTGGCCCTTTCAGCTGCGCCTAACCCTTATGCGAGTTGGAAACGATCAATAGGCTGATACGACGAACCGGAGCGAAGGGTCGCAGGACGTGGGGGTGTGAGGTACCGTGAGACCACTCAGGTTACGACTCTGTCATATTATTACCGCTACAGCTTGAGGCAGTTTTCATACCCAGGTACGACGACGTTTGGATTCTCATACCATTTCCCCCCAGTGATCTAGCGAACCATCTACGGGTTCTCTAGAAAATCTCGGAAATAACTGCTGCATTTGATTAGACAATAACAACAGCTTTCTTCCGTCAACTACACTTGCTCCGCGGGCCCATCGACATCTGTTGTTGGTAGCACTTCGACCTGCCAAAACGAATACGGAGCGAACGGCCCCGATAACCATCCAAAAAATGCCTGGGAACTTGTTTCGCGAATTATATTTTTGGTCAATCTCGGGCTCTTAAATATGTATCACTTGTTACCATGATCCCGCTCTGGTCATTTACCGCATGGATCTCCTCAGGCGGTGCTGCGCGCCCATAATAAGCCGCTTTCAGCCCATTTATTGTCCCACCGCTATGTAGTAGCAGTGGAAAAGTCGCACTAGCGTACATATCCTTCTATCTGTGGATGCGACAAGCGTTTTGCCATTGTTGATAGAATTCTTGAATTGGTAAATCAAAATTTGCGTTAAGAGCTACGAGACTATTGGGCCCGAATCCCAAGGTAGTTCAGTTGTCTTTCACGTACGAATTAATATTGCGAATCGAAATTTGGGACTCATTTTTCCTCCGAGAAAATCCAGGAGACGGTGCAACGTTGGTCCAATGTTGTTTGCTGGAACAGGTTGCGCTTTGATCCATGCAAGCACGGGAGCCCATGCAACGGCTTGCGGAAACAATTGCCAATACAACTCCATGTCCAGAAGTCGAGTCGAATTACAAATACTAGCCTAGGCAAAATCATCGGAGTGGTGTTAGCTAGCATTAATCGATGGCGAAGGATGCCAAGTTCGAATGATATTCGCTTTCTATTAGACACGAGCAAGACAACCCAAAGCCCTCAACAGGCATGCGATATAAACCTTTTATGGGGTCCCAAGGAGTGACGTACTTAGGACAAGCGGGGGCTGAACCGCCCGTTCTACTGCCGGTCAAGGGCCTGTTTCAGGGCTCGCTGAACCGAAGCTGAACCTTGGACAAAGCGAGATGAAAAGGTGATCCTCCGGGATACTACTTGTGCTGCACAACGTAGTCCGCCTTCGTCCAAAACTAGTCCGGGATCCCCCAGCATCGTCGTCCTTTCTGCAGGCCCTGCCGAGCCGATTCCGTGCTCCTTCGAAATTGGAAACTTCCTGAAAGATTCCAGAAGGGGGCTGCCACGTGTTGCCTGCGCGGAACCTGAACTTCGGGTTTGCTGCCGGGGTCGCTGCATGGGCGGTCTGCCTCGAGGGCTGATCGAGGCTCAGTCGAGTTACTTTAGAGACTTGCGAAACGTTGCACGAATCGCTGCAACGGTGCCACCAGATCCACTTACACCACTGAGAGGAGATTGTACCAAACTTCCGAGCCATACACATTACAGACGGTATCTCGGAGTGCTTCGGCGATTACGGGGTATGTGCGAAGTACTTGGTACTGGTACGTACTGGCACTGGTACATTGTCATTGAGTACTCGATACGAAGTGCTTCGTACGGAGCTCCGTTATAGGACCCGGCCGTGCAATCTTATCATGAGGCCATCTTACGCAACCCTCCGCATTGACATGTTTGCTCTTGCACGGGTCTGGGGACAATGTTGACAATCACAGGAGAACGAAGAAGCCGGTGTAGCCCCCGCTTCCCCGTTTCCCTCTGGATATGCGGGCTCACGGAAACTCCTCCGAAAGGGGTCAATCAACCACGCCCGGTGCTCTCCCTCGGGACTCGGGAGGCTACATAGGGCGCTCTCACCAGTTCGGGCGAACTTTTCTTCGTCTCTGACCGCCTCCAGCATCTCGGATTCCCGGGGCGTTATCGATAGGTCCATTACCGGCATGGTGCCTTGCCTCAGCCAGCCGGCGGGGCTCGTTTGCCCACCCAGCAGGGTCACCACTGAGTTGAGCCCCCCTTCGCAGCCCCAGATACGGAGTAATACCGGTTTTAATATCATTATTACGGTACGTCGTATGGAGTACCCTTTATCCTTTACCCTCCTTACTTCGTACCAGCAAAGCAATTCCATGCAGGCAGATGGCGCAAGAACAATCGTATCTCCCACGGGTGCGTGTGCCAAGACCACCTTCCTCCTTGTACCGGGTGCCCGTCCCCCAGACGGCGTAGCGGTGGAAGTACGAGAAATGGTCCACGAGAAATATACCCCAAAACATGTATGTACGTACAGGTGATCTGATAATATAAACTGAACGGTGATGAGCCCGTGGGCCAGCGGCTCGGGCTTGAACCAAACAATACGGGCCTACGGGTATAACCGCCGTCACCTGCCACAGATGGTACGTCGCAACCCCTTGAAAGAATACACATCCGGCGCGGGAGCGGAGCGGGAGGAGAATTAGCAGTTGGCCGTAGCTGGTATAGACTCGTGCTAGTACGGGATGGCCCATAGCACAGCTCCAGGAAGTATACAAGGAGTAAACAAGGGCTATACAAGGACTATACAAGCTGGACAAGGATGGACCGCCAGCGTGTGTGGCAGAAGGGGCTGCAAAGGGCCATGGTGTGGTCTTTGCCATAGCTACCTAATTACTAATATCTTATGCTCCCCCTAAGACCCCTTCCGAGTATTTGTGGTCCAAGTTATGGAGTTGGTTTCCTGCTTCGTGCTACGTCCTCGTCCTGCGCTTACTACGACGAGCTCCCCCTCTCTCCAACCGCAACCCCAACCCCAACGCCCACTCACTCACACACTCAGTCACTAGCAGGGCGTCCTTAGGCCTCGGGGACCTCTTGAGAGAGAACCACCCCATTCCAGTGTTTCCACCCCCTTCGTCCCCCCCCCACACTCGCCCCCGGACGGCCACCTGCCCCCCAAGTCCTATTCGTAGTGGCCCCCAGCATCAGCTTTAGCATCAGCATCAGCATCATCATCCGCAGAACATCAGCATCATGGGTAGCCTCACAACTCCCCCTGTTACACGGGCCAACAGGCCAACAAGCAGGTTATAAAGCGTTGGTGCCGTTCGTAGGGTCAGAACCCTGTAAACAAAGCCCGAGCCAGAGCCTCCCAAGTTATAACGAAGACGGGGCCTCTCAGGCACTTCCACCTTCTACTCCCTTTTCGCCGCTCATCACTCACCACCCACCACTCACCACTCACCATTTACCATATACCATTGACCATTTACCGTTCACCACTCACACTTTACCATTTATAACTCACCACTCGCTTTCACAACCTACAACTCAAAACCTCTCTCTCACCACTTCCGTCTCACCACTCCTCCATCCCTTGGACTTGGCTTCCACCAACTACCAGACTCTACCCACTGCTGTTCCCCCCACTACCACGAGGTTTCCCTCTCACTCTTAAGATGGCTCCCAGTCGGACAGGCGACTCCCCAATCCGGGACTACCCCATTCCACCACCAAAGGTCACTTACGATATCAATGTCCCCTATGTTCCGCCGTCGGGAGAGTATGAGCGCCGGATCCAGGACAGAACTGAATTTCCGGAATATTTGCCAGTATGGGAGGAAGGTACTTGGTTCGATGAGTGCCCTGTATCCGACTACGACGATCCGGCGCTTCGTGCAGACAAGACTAAGCCGCATCTTCTCACAGAAGGCGTAGAGGCTCGACCTATTACACCCAAAATGGGCACTATCTTGACTGGGGTCAAACTTGAGAATTTAGGCCCAGAAGCAAAGGACGAACTAGCCCTCCTAACTTCGGAGCGCAAGGTGGTTGTATTGCGGGAGCAGTCTGGATTCCTCCACTCAGGTCCCGCCTACCAGGTGGAGTTTATGGAGCACTTTGGCAAGCTGAGCCACCAGCCAGTGACTGGGGCGGTCAAAGGGTTCCCGCAATTCCACATCATCCATCGCGACGGCAACGGAGACGAGATTGCGAACTTCTTCAAGCACAAAACGACAAGTACGATCTGGCACCATGATGTGTCTTACGAGCGCCAACCCCCTGGTTATATTATGCTCGGCATCCTGGCCTGCCCGGACGTGGGTGGTGACACTGTCGTGGCCGACATGGCTGAAGCCTACAACCGTCTTTCTCCCGCTTTCCAAGGCATGGTCAACCAGATGCAAGCCGTCCACACCTCAGAGAAGCTGATCGCCCACGCAAGAGCAAACAAGGGCCTCATCCGGAGCGATCCAATTGACACCGTCCACCCCGTTATTCGTGTTCACCCTGTCACTGGCCAGCGAGCTATCTTCACCAATATGGAATGGCCCAAGAGTTACCTAGGTCTCAAGGAGGAAGAGGCACAAGTGGTCATAAAATATCTCATGGATCATGTACGCATGGGTCATGATTTCCAGGCAAGGGTACACTGGGAGAAGCACTCAGTGGTTATGTTTGATGGAAGGACTACTCTTCGTAGGTGTCCTCGTGCTACTTGTCCCCTTGAAGTTATTAACTATCTGTGTAGATACTGCAACAGTGGACTATGATCATGCTGAGCAAGCACGTCATCTTTTCCGGCTTGCTGCAATGACGGAAGTCCCAATATCAGTAGCAGAAGCTGAGAAGCGAGGCCTGTAAGAGATGACGATGGTGAATATCGAGGTGCCTCACCAATTCTCTTCATGTACATGCCGTATTACTTCTCATTTGATAAAGGCAGTAAAGCCTAGGCGTTACTGGTAAACGAATGAGCTACTGGCTTTTTGCGGTGTTCCGGCGTTAAGAGCGAATTGTTGCTTTATTAGATAGCGATATCATTGGGAGGGTCACATTAGACTCTAAATTATCAGCATATTTCATTTAGCTCCCGTACACAAAGTAGTGAGTGGCACTTGGCTGCTAGCGCGACCGTTTTTCATTGAGGCTATTATTATAGTAAACCCCGGAAGCCGTTGTATATGCCGTTGCATGTTCCAGCTGTTACCAACTGTTAATCAGAGTGAACAAAATCCCCCTAAGAGAATATTTGACGCTCTGCACGTGGGGCTTTACGTGCAAAAGGTAAGTGTATCTAGGGTAAAGTTAATAATCAGTGGGTTTCTAGACTGTAGCTCACTTTATATATCTGCTAGCTACGGCCCGTTCCGCAGATCACTGCACGCTCCTCTTCGACGTCTCTGTACAGAATCTGACACCTTATACCCAGCTAACAGTCCTCCCCGGCCCAGACATCATAGCCAAACATATCTCTCGGATTCACAAACCTTGTCACTCCCCTTCCCTCCACAACACTGTTCACAGCCTGGAACTCCTCATCAGAAAGGTCCAGAAGCCCGAAATTACTCCTAATCCTCTCTTCATTCGCACTCTTAGGCACCACAGCATATCCCCTCTTCACCCCCCAGGCGATAAGTACCTGAGCCACTGTGGACCCCTTTTGTTCAGCGATGGCTTTGAGTTTCGGATCATCGCTGACCCTTTCCCTCTTATTTTCCTTAACCTGACCCTGTGAACCGAGGGGCGAGTAGGCGACGGGTAGGATGCCATGCCCGAAACAGAAGTTGACGAGGCGTGTGTTGGGAAAATAGGGGTGGATCTCCACTTGGTTAATTGCGGGTGGGATCTCAGCGTAAGTGAGGAGTTTTTCGAGGAGGGGGATGGTCCAGTTCGAAACGCCGATGCTGCGAGCTTTGCCTAAGCGGTAGAGTTTCTCCATTGCCCGCCAGGTGGGACGGAGGTCTGATGTGAGGGAAGGCTTGAGGATATACTATGATTTCCTTTGTTAGCAGCGCGTCTTCTTTCTTCTGCTCAGGCTTGGAAAAGAGACGAGAGGAAGAAACCCAGAAATGTTATCCTTACTTTCTGATCATCTCCAAGCTTGACCTGATGGTCTTCCGTCTTCTCCACAGAGAACGGCCAATGAAGCAAATACGCATCCACATAATCCGTACCCAGCCTTTCCAAAGAGCTATTCAGGCTCCACTCAACATCATCCGGTTCCATAAGATGCGGCCAGACTTTCGTGGTGATGAAGATATCCTCCCGCTTGACTTTGGGATTTTGTGATAGCCATTGTTGAAGAGCAGATCCAACTTCATCTTCATTCTTGTAGCTTGATTCCCGTCTGTGAGAAAATGAATCTAGTAATAGAGGGAAATAACCTGACTTACTACCAAGCGCAATCTAAATGTCTATACCCAGTCTCAAGAGCAGCAAGAACAGCAGCGCGCATCTGACCTGGAACGTTCTCGCTAGAGAAGGTTCCAAAGCCCAATGCCGGCATTTGCACGCCATTGTGCAATTTAAGCATAGGTATGTCTTTGCCCATGATTGACTAAAAAAATGACCTCTCAAATGGATAAAGACAGAAGAGGTGAATAATCCGCAAGCATGAATAAAAGTCCTGCGCAGCCTTCTGCCGCCAGTTTAGTAGGCCGGGGACGGCCCCTCCCCCACCCTGTAGACGCACACGCACATGCACTACCAGGGAACGTGCGAAGTACGTACTAGTTCGAGAAGTGACAAGATTGTGGCAATTAGGGTAAACCTATAGGAATACTTCCCTCGCACTTTTCCTAGTTGGGGAGAGCTGTTTCTTTCACGAGGACCGGCAGTGACAAATGAGCCTTTCCGGTAAGCAATCTTAAGTGACAACTTTGCCTATGGTTTGCCAAGAACTGCCACCTAAAGACTGGTTTTTAAATTTTGATACATAGAGAAAGGCAGTGTAATTATCAGATAGGACATTCGATTTTAAAGGTTTATTCCACATAGTATAGGCTATTAACGTACCAGTTGTATTTTATGGCAGTTTGTTGAGCTTCTCGCGCATCTCCGTAAGGAAGCAAATGAGCATCACCTCTCACGGCACTTCAAAGGCCCCAGACCTCCAACAAATATAGGCTACTGATCAAAACATATCTACCGCAAAGTCCACTATTCTCGTAACCGTTTATATGCATGATCTAAGTTTACAATAATTCCGCTCATTTTGCAGTCCTTCCCCAAACTCCTTTTTCGACGCCCCTCTATGCAACATAATCCACCTGTATACTAACTAAGATCAAAACCAGCGCCAGAGTTAACAGCGTAGAGAAGTTTCTGCTTCAGTATGATTGGGTTTGAATATCTTGGGAGCTTTAGCAAATTGACGCATGTACTTGTGCTAGGTAATCGCTCCTCGTCGCTTCCGGCATCGCGAATGCTGAATCTCGGGTTCAATTGTGAGAACCCCAATAGTGGTGCCCTTGGGGTCGATGTTACGTATTTCAAGACTTTTCGACGCTCTTCATCGTCCAGCTCTTTCATAACCTGCCAGAACATTTGGACAGTGGTATGTTCGAGATCATCGTCGCCAATCTGATAGATTCCACCGTAAATAGTGTTCCTCCTTAGGTCATCCACATCAATTTCTGACGAGTCTCCTCCCACAAGTGTCTGAAGTTCGGATTGATTGAACATCGATAGCCAGGACGGCTTGATGATTTCACCAAGGCCCTTTAGAAAGGCTTGCGTCTGCTGGTAAGGCTGAACTTGCAAGCGATGTCGTGCAACATACGACACGTAGAGAGGACGATTCTCATTAGTGACCGGGGTATTTGACCCATTAGGCATGAGCTCCCTCGTGATTGTTTGTGTGGGTTCGCCTGGTAAAGAGACTGTATCCGTAATAGTGAAATCAAGACCGAAATCTTCCACGTTGTCGGGGTAATTCTTCAGTTTCAATAGACCTTGATATAGGCCTTCGTCGAGATCCCGAAGATCGTTGATATTGGCACGATATCCCGACTCAGACCCAGTAGCCCCTGAACTAGCCCATTTAAGGAGGAAGAACCCGGCGAAGCCAATGTCGATTAGAATGCCTTCGTAAAGGCACTTTCCGACTACACGGCCAAGAAATTCGTAGCGTCTGAGTATCTCCCTGATAGTTTCCCGCCACGCAGCTGACGATTCAGTCATGCCGACCTGTCTCATATATTCCCGTCGCTCATCAAGTACAGAAGGATTCGGGTATAATAGGTTCTGATCGTTGGCAACGAACCAGTTCAGGCCATCCTGCGGACGAAACGCCTCACTCGTAACACTTGTAAGAAATTCTTTGGTAACGCCGCCTCCATCAATACCAGCTTCAACCGTGTCAAATTGGTCTACAAAGGTTATTTGGATCGGTTCTTTCAGGCCTTCACCAAGGTCGTAAAACTGCTCATAGGCATCTTCGAAAACCTGATCTCTTCGAATCTTCGCATGATGTCGACCAAGAAGCTCGTTTCCTCCCAATCTATTATGCCTGGATGGCATGTGCGATTGTTGGATGATGGACATGCGCCATATGTCAGGATCCACATTCCCATCTCGCCTACGAGTTTGATCGAGAAGAACGAACTGTCGAAAAATTTGGACGCGGGTCTCGAAGGGGATAACAAAGGGCATGTTTTGTAACACCTCAAGTCTTGGACCAACCGCAGCAAGAATTTTCTTCCGGGCAGTCTTATGTTGTTGCCTTCTCAAATTCTCGATTTGAACAGCCCGCCTCGGCCTTGACATGCCTACGAGGCCCAAGTCATGCCTGCTTCCAAGGTCCTCTTCAATGTCGGCATCTTCGTCATCTTCTCCCTCTTCTCTAACTTCATGCTGCCTTTCCTCTTCCATAACAACCGCCGGAATGAATCCTTCCATGTCGAATCGAGATATCATGAGCCAATGGCCACTTGGTAAAAATCGGCGTCTCGAATCTCGTTCGTAAAGCATGCGCATAACACCAGTGACTATCGTTCTTACGTAGTTAAATGTCATGCCAGCAATACCCGCAAACGGTCGACTGGTGACAGGTTTCGCAACTTGTTCGACTTGGGGCGAAGAAAACCTGGAGGAACTGGCGGTTCCAAAATATGTTCCAAGCCCGCCTTCCATGCTTTGCTGGTCGCCATCAGATAACTCGCCTGCGTTGTAATACATCGTAAATGCCAAGTTCTTTAGGAAAATTGTGAGGTACTTGACGGCCTGAATCGGAAGCGCACTCGCACGAATTCGGGAGATCGGCCCAGTGACTTCACCAAATCCAGGATCATTGCCACCTAGGAATTCTTCGTCATCTGTAAATCTGAGCACAAATGTGTATAGCTCGAGAAATAGCAATATGGTCCGCCATTCTCGGTCTTTAATTGACTCGGTTGATGCCGGGGATACCGATCGAGCTTGTGTCTGGGACCGCAGAGTGGGTAACGCGGCTTTCGAGTCAGCCTTGATGGCGGAGAAAATATCTGTCTTGCTCATAGATTGCCAAAAGAATTTCAAGGCAGGAATTTGGGCGCCGGCGGAAGTGGTCATGGATCCAAGGTACAGCCACATCCGAATTTCGTCGCCTCGGCGCGGAAATATCCTCAGCAGAGTGAGTGCATAACTTGCAAGTAAGCTCGCATCTTCTTCCCCAGCTGCAGAAGCTTTTGCGTAGTCGATATTGAACTTCGCCAGTAGGCCTGTAATGCTAGATTGGTTGACTAGAGATAACAGCTCCTCCTTCACGAAATGTGGTAACGGTGGTATGTTATCTGTCTCTACCTCATCGCTATCAGCAGATTGCTGCAAGACATCGGGATCCGTAGCATCAATACGGCCCACGATGTCGGCCGATGAGTTTGATAATTGAATCGATAAGGCTCTTAGGAAATCCGGTTCTTGACTATCTCGATGCTGAAGCCGGTGAAGAGAGATGAAGTTAGCAAGGAGCCAAAGTTTACTCTCATTCTGCACTTGGATAGCCACGTCCGAAGAGAATCCGCGAACCAAGGCGATCGAGACGAGCCGGATATCTATGATACCTGCCAATTGCTCCAACCCTCCCAACGCGGCTGCTAAGTTGGGAGTTGTTAGGAAATAGAATGCAAAAGCTGCATGTGCATCAAAGTTTGCTTCATCTAGAAGGCAGTCAGCGCCACTGGTGATGAATAGGGTTCAATTAAGCTACCAGAAGGTGACTTACCGTGACTATCCAGCCCAGAGCGCCCCTCCAACGGAATTTTTATTGCGGTCAACACCAAGTCCTTATCCACATGCGCCCTTGAAGCGTTAGAGCAGAGGCAAGATAGAAAGGTATAGTACGGCCGAGCCATTTGTTCGAAACATCGTGGATTTCGGTCAACGACTGCATTGAGCAGTTGCAGCAGAGTGGATGAACATTGAGGCAGTGAACTACGTACGAAGTTTAGTATTCATCAGATAAAAAACTTGATGGGTTTAGAAATAGAACTGGTGAACGTACCTCTGTAGAGCGCTAAGAGTAACAGTTGCTAATCGAGGAAGCAGTGGCTGGATTGCCGGAAGCTCTAAGAATGTATCATAGCCCACATGGGGTATCCTCTGGCTCATAATAATTAATCGATCAATGTCGTCTCTCCGTCGCTGGTTGAAAAAGTGCAGTATAAGTTGTAGCTGCTCAACCAATACGCCTTCACCATCCTGTGGTCTTGCATTGGTCTCGTCCCAAGCACTTCGCCGCGAGTCTGCCAGCTCTTTCCTCACCCTGTGGCCTCGCCATGTCCTCTGTATCCGTTTCGAGGCATTGAGGCGGTCTCGTTCTTGCTGGCGCTGTTGCCTCTCCTGCTGGGCATTCGCAACGGTCTTCTGGGTGCCGGAAGCAGATGGCGACCACGAAGTTGCTGCAAAGGGATTGAGATTCTGGCCCGAGAGATTGACTTGACGTGGGCGACGAGAGCTGCCACTGAAAGACTGAAACATGTCGAGCCGGCGCCCTCCCGTTGTGTCGCCACCGTCTCTTCTCTGCCTAGGTAGCTATCACCTATCTTCCACGAGACATCAGATCGAGATCCGCGGGGAGGTGCCGAAGCTAGGAGCACGCTGTCGTGGCAACTGCTTGAGAAACTGCTTTGGTTTGGTTTGCTCAGCTCTGGTCAGCTCGGGTGCAAGCAGAGAAGATTGGGATGCAGCTGTACGAGTGATTGTTCAGTCGTTATTCAGTCGTAATCGGTAGGCAGCCTGATGGGATGGTGGAGTATCGCGGTGCACATGGCTGTTGATCCATTACCAACCACATGTGCTGTGGCGGCGACAGCCTTCCCTCTGTGTAGGGCTGCCGCAGAGCTCCCGTAGAAACCCCGACAATGCCCCGGCGATTGGGGCCTGAACCCTAAGGCCGTACACAAGCCTTGCGTCGCCCTTTGTGGCTCGTGCAGCCGTAGAAGCCACACCTTGCGACCTTTCCGCTTTGGGCCGGCCACAAAATTTCGAAGCAGCGACTTTACTTATTACTTTGTCCTTGACCTTTCTTTCTCTTCCTCCCCTCCCCCCATCCCACAACCTCACAACATCACCCTCTGACTGCGGACCAAGTACGATCCTTCGTGCTTTTTCGTTCTTCTTTGCCTCTTCTACACAAAAACCTCTGCAAGAGACCAAAAAAAACTTGAAAACCCCCCATAAAACTTCACCTTCACCTTCGCGATCGATCTTTCGACCGCTACCATCTCTCTCACCTTCCACCCCCGAACCCTCTCCCACCATCTGCGCCTTTGTGCCACGGAAGTGCCGCAATCTTCGCACATCCTCCTCCTTTGACAGCACATACCGATTGATTTCGCCATCCGCACCTTAGAGACATCTCTACTTGATAGGCAAGTCGCCCGCTCCATCTCAGTTCGCCAGACATCGCGAGACCACTTTCAACCCAATCCAATCTTACTTCCGGCGTCGCGTGCACACGAAAAGCTAACAAGATTGCAGCATTGATCATATTCAAGATGTCTTCCACTACTCCAACCCCAGCTGTCGATCAGCTGGCCGCTGACCTCAACAACGCGTCCTTGAACACCAGCGACGCCAACGGTGCCGCTCCCATCGACACCAGTGTCGCCAACGTGGCCTCCGAGGATCCTGATACCGCTGGACCTACCCCAAGCTCTGCTACCCCCCACCCCCAAGCTTCCGCCTCCCTCTATGTTGGCGAGCTCGATCCCTCGGTCACTGAGGCTATGCTCTTCGAGCTTTTCTCCCAGATCGGTTCGGTCGCCTCCATCCGGGTCTGCCGTGATGCCGTCACTCGCCGATCCCTTGGATATGCCTATGTCAACTACAACACCACTGCCGATGGCGAGAAGGCTTTGGAGGAGCTCAACTACACTCTCATCAAGGGCCGCCCATGCCGTATTATGTGGTCGCAGCGCGATCCCGCTCTTCGCAAGACCGGTCAGGGCAACGTTTTCATCAAGAACTTGGATACTGCCATTGATAACAAGGCCCTTCATGATACATTTGCAGCATTTGGTAACATTCTGAGCTGCAAAGTTGCTCAGGACGAGACTGGAGCCTCCAAGGGCTACGGATTTGTCCACTATGAGACCGATGAGGCTGCCAGCCAGGCCATCAAACATGTCAATGGCATGCTTCTGAACGAGAAGAAGGTGTTCGTCGGCCACCACATTCCCAAGAAGGATCGCCAGAGCAAGTTCGAGGAGATGAAGGCCAACTTCACCAACATTTACGTCAAGAACATCCCCACCGAGGTTACTGACGAGGAATTCCGCGAGCTATTCGAGAAGTATGGCGAGGTCACATCCGCCTCTCTTGCTCGTGATCAGGAGGCCGGCAAGAGCCGTGGATTTGGCTTCATCAATTTCGTCAACCACGAGCATGCTGCCAAGGCAGTTGATGAGCTGAACGGAAAGGATTTCAAGGGTCAAGACCTCTATGTTGGCCGCGCACAAAAGAAGCATGAGCGGGAGGAGGAGCTTCGGAGATCCTACGAGGCAGCTCGCATTGAGAAGGCATCAAAGTACCAGGGCGTCAACCTTTACGTTAAGAACCTTGATGATGAAGTTGACGACGATAAACTGCGCGAGCTTTTCACTCCATTTGGAAACATCACGTCAGCCAAGGTCATGCGCGACTCTGCTGCTGAGACTGCCGAGGCCGAGAAGAAGGAAGCTGAAAAGAGCAAAGAGAACAAAAAGGAGGGCGAAGCCGAGCCCGAAGCTGAGAAGGGAGAATCTGAGAAGGAGGCTCCCAAGTCAGAAAAGCGTGCGTTGGGCAAGAGCAAGGGCTTTGGATTTGTTTGCTTCAGTAACCCTGATGAGGCCACCAAGGCTATTGCTGAGATGAATCAAAACATGGTGAACGGCAAGCCGCTGTACGTTGCCCTCGCCCAGCGGAAGGATGTTCGCAAGGGCCAGCTGGAGGCCAGCATCCAGGCACGCAACCAGATCCGGATGCAACAGGCCGCTGCCGCTGCAGGTATGCCACAACAATACATGCAAGCACCAATGTTCTATCCTCCGGGCCAACAACCTGGATTCATCCCACAAGCTGGACGAGGCATGCCATTCCCACCCCAGGCCACTGGAATGCCTGCTCCTGGAGCCCAAGGCGGTCGTCCAGGTCAGTTTGCTGGTGGCTTCCCTCCACAAGGTGGTCGTGGAGGCCCCAACGCTCAACAGCTTCCACCCAACATGTATGGAATGCCGGGCCAATTCCCTGCTGGAGCGCCATATGGTCAACAGGGTAGCCCACAGTTCTTAGCTGCCATGCAACAAGCTCAACAGGCTGCTGCTCTTGCTGGTGGACGTGGAGGACCCGGTGCACGTGGTCCCATGCCAGGCTTGCCAGGCATGCCTGCAAATATGGCCGGTCTTCAAGGCGTTGGTCAACAAGGAATGCCAGGCTTCCCCCAAGGTGCTAGGCAAGGTAACATGGCTGGACGAGGTGCTCAAGGTGGTCGTCCTGCCCAGTACCCAGGTGGTTTCCCCCCACAAGCTGGCCGTGGTATGCCCCCTCAGATCCCGGGCATGCCGCAAGCTGGACCGGAGGGAGTCGCAGGCGCTGGTGTATTACAATCGCAGCTCGCAACTGTCAGCCCCGCCCAGCAAAAGCAGCTTCTCGGAGAGGCCCTTTTCCCAAAGATCCAAGTTATGCAACCAGAGCTTGCAGGAAAGATTACCGGTATGCTGTTGGAGATGGAGAACCCCGAGTTGGTTAACCTGTAAGTTTCCCCAAGATCCATTTATCACATGACAAGTTACTAACTCCCTCATAGCATCGAAGATGAATCTGCTCTCCGGGCAAAGGTTGACGAAGCCCTCAACGTCTATGATGAATATGTCAAGAACAGTAAGGGTTCTGAGGCTGGCGATGCTGGTGAGACAGTGGATGCCAACAAGGAGAACGACAAGTCTGAAGAGAAGGCTTAATTGCCCCCTCTCTTCGACTTCCTTAACACTACCGATACCCATTAATGACCTCTTCATACATCTTTCACGTATTATCAATCGGCTGTGGCAACGGGCCCGGAAAAGTTTTGCGCTCTTTCAGTTCCTGGTGGCACAATGTCGGTTTTGCGGAATCTTTGATTCATGGATCAGCTGCTGCTTTTGCTATTACTCTGGCGCTGCGGCTTGCCTGGCTTGCTGCATTTCTTCCTCTTTGCCTCGAATGGATAGGCTATTCGATCATGTTTGTACCGATAGACTACCCTTGTGCATGCCTCCTGCATGGCTTCATCAGCTATTCGCAGAGGTTCGGCGCCCCGCCGAACTGGCTCATAATTTTTCGACGTCTCTTATCTCGCTTCTGACGAAGGACTAATTATGAATGGTTTTGATGATCGCTTAATGGTTTATTCTGCTAAGTTTCAAAACATTCTTGGCAGGTTCTGCTGATAGCTGTGGATTAGACTAGGAACTCAATTAAAAAAACATCACAAACTTAATAAGCTGATGGTGCATCTGGTGATTCTTCGTGATTCTGTAACAGCACCCTCCTCATATCTCTCTACATAGAAAAGTAGATAATGTGGTGGAAAACAGTATTGTGAGCGTCGCAATAGAGGTAGTTACTCTTTTATGATTCCTTCTATATTGATCGTGTGCCATTTTTATTCACACTGGCCCTAATGATTTGTGCAAAATAAAAGAGTGGTATATTTGATCGACATGATCCCAACGCCAGCTACCTAACTTGCACTAATAACTAAGAATGGGCACCTGATCCACTACCCATTCACTTCTCAACCGTCCAAAACATGCCGAGTTCGCATCTGGCCTCAAACCTCAACGCCGTCAGCAGCTCACTATGTCAAGTAATGCTCGCTGTAATTCCTATCCCACGGAAATGGGATCTGTCGTGTGATTTCTATATAGATATATGTATGTATATATTCGTATCGAAGATCGTATGTTTCTTGAGATGACTTGATTCATCTGCTTCGTAATGTTCATCAAGAGAAATTAATAACTACATTGGCAGGTGTAGTGTATGCCATAAATGGTCAGACCGGGTTGTTATTGTTGCTATACGAAGATGCGCTAATAAACGGGGTATTATTTAATCAACTCTCGCTTTCTCTAAGCTCTTGACGGGACTGGAGAGATTGTTTGCAAGGCGGATGGCGGGGCGTTTGTACTTGGTGTGTTTGCGGAGGCGTTTGCGGGCCACCATTACCGGGGCAGATGATTTGGTAACCAGATAATTGGAGAAGGACCCAAGGATGACACTGTTGCAACGTTAGCTTTATGAAACCCATGTTACGAGTGGAGGTTGACTAAGGGAGCTTACCCTTTGAGCGCACTTCTTCCCCTGCTTCCTAGAATTACCAGAGTAGGCGATATATAATCAATGACCTCGGTAATCATATGTTTTGGGCTCTTGCAATGGATCACCTCAATCACAACCTTCACTTGTAACCTCGTCTTCCTCAGCAACTTTGACACGCGATCCGTGATATCTTGCACAGCTCTATACCGCTCCTGTTCCGCCTTGTCCTTGCCTCGCCCCATTGGACTTGCGCCTACACTAGCTGTCTCTAGGTTGAAACTCGGGCGTACCGGTGTGAGCACCGGTGTGGACGCTGATGCCTTTGTCGAATGGACGCCGGTCACTACTTGCTCTTTCGTATGCGCGTCATCTCCACTTGCTTCATTACTGCCGCCGCCAATTCCGGTTTCTTCATCCACACAGTAAATTGCGAGCAACGTGTCCCCATCTCGAAGAACTGTCCCTAAGGTCCATTCCAATGCATGAGCTGCCTCGTCGCTGAGATCTGTAGCTACCAAATACTTTCGAACTCGGCGTTGATTATCATGGGCTTCCTGCTGCATTTTTCCGAAATCACCGCGGTAAATTGTCCGGACGCAGCGACCAGTCATGGGGGTCGAAGTAATTGTCGTCATATGGATGGCAAGCTTTTGGGCGCGTTTAATGTCGGAGAAATCAGCCTCCGTATCAGACCCCACTGGTGTATTGAAACCTGGTGTTCCCTCATCAAAACTTGTATTGGGATGGACTGCGGGTTTGCCTGATTTCGCTCTGCTACCGGATGGTGCCGTAACGGTGATCTCGGGCTCAAGCAGCGATCGGACCTTGTAAGCAGCATTTTGCTTGGCGGCAATTTCTTGACCTGCTTCATATCAGCCTCTGCTGTTCATTAAGGGGTGACCTATTTTTGTACATACGTTCTTCTTCAGCAGCGCCCAGCAAAGTCAGAGCTGTTCGAGCCCCTTTTACTCGACTTGGTTCGAAAGGCTTGGTCGTGAGTTGACTCTCCCCGCTCTCAGCATTACGGCCCCTTCCCTGCTTCTTCCTTCCCCGATTACCCTCGTCAGAAGTTTGCTCGTCGTCATCGCTACTATCAACAAGGGTGTCGTCCCCTTCCACTGGAATGTAATCCTTCTCCAGCCGGGCGTTCTCCATAGCATCGCCACTGTTCGGTCGCCTGCGGCCTTTCCCACTTAATGTTGATAGCCCCCCTCCCGACAATGCCAAATTAGCATCTGATAGCCTTCGGTATGCACTATTCATATCTATCGGTCGGCCGTCGTCCAAGACATACTTGACCGTGTCCGGGGAAAGAAGGTTGCCGTGTGGAGAATTGGATCGCAGTCCAAGGCGATTATGCGGTGACTTGGATTTTGCTGCGCTGATGCCTGTGCCGGCGATTGAATGGTTGCGGCCACGATCGTTTGGACCAAACAGGCCCAGATCCGCCCCTCTCACTACCTCTGACATAGCGGTTGGTATGGCCGTCTTCTTTCCAGCTTGAGTGTTCCGCTTCGGTATTACACGGCCACCAGGATTACTGGGCAAGTACCCAGCAAATTGGTAGGCAGCCGTTGGGTTTGTTCTTGCCGTTTCCAGGACGTTGGCTCGCGGACCAAAATCTACTGGGCGAGCTGCCGCATCAGATAGGCTTCGATGCGGCGCTTGAGTAGTATTCGAACTATATGCCCTAACATTTGCCTGCGTAGGAGATGTCTGGGCGCTCATGGTAGTTTTAACCGGTCCATGTGGTGAGCCGTCGATGTCCAACATGCTCCTGATGGGTCCAACTCGTGCGTTGCCTGTAATTCCGCCATTTGCCGAGGCGACGGACGAGCTTCTGGGAGCTGGATCCTCTGCGATGTCCAGCATGCTCCGAACGGGCGATCGTGGGGTGAAGGGCGACAAAGAGCGCCCTGATCCTGCAGAGCTTGTGGATCCTCTATTGTGCCCTCCAGTCGTCCCCTCCAGTAGTGCCAAAACATCCCTCCTCTCGTCGTCCAACATGGACTCCAAAGACCTATTCTGGGCCATGGTAATAATAAAGGCGTTGTACGCTCAGTGTGCCCTCTTGGCAAACGATGTTGTACCTTCCGGTAGAGTCTTAGCTATGATGCTGCCAAGCCTAGTATCGTATTGTTAGAAGTAGAGTGCAGAAGCTCAGCGAGAAGATCGTCATCCGTTTATGAACTTCCTTGATTGCCAATTAAGTTCGAGATTCTGCATTGTGCTTGGAGTCGGTAGGCTTTGGGAGGGCTCAGATCATGACAGGCGTCGTGTGCGATATCTGTAGCGTGGAACTTCGAATGACAGTCGGAAGGCTGGCGGGTACACGGTTTATTTCTTAGCAAAAGCGGTTCGGGGGAGGTGCCCTATCGTATGGGACAAGTCTCGGCGACGATGGGTCGGGCGTCGTTGGAATGTCGGGCGTTTGTTGATACTGGAGAGACTGAATAACGAGGAGGAAGCGCAATACTACAGTACGTACTGCAGCTCCATAAGTGCCTGGCCAGGCTGAGACCTCTCGCTTACATACACAGCACTTCGTACTCAGCACACGCGAACCCGTTCAATAATGGCGACGCGGGGAGGGAGCAGAAGCCGGGTCAATATCAAAGATCCTATGATCAGTGTCGCGATGCGATGCCAGAAGGAAAGAAGATGGAGAGGGGAGGCGTGGGGAGAACGGAGGGGTATAGTGTAGTGGGATATGGGTTAGTTCACCGTTAACGTTTGAGGCTTCATACTAATACCAGCTAGTTAAGTGGCCATACAGTACCTAAGGTACCTTGCGTCTGACGCTCGACCTTTACTTTACAGCAGCTCCGAAGACTAGAGCTGCGGGCGGGGGCCTTGACGGTCCAACCCGAGGGGGTCACTATACTGTGGGCTCGTAAGCTGATATCGAGTCTAGAATCTGGAATGCGTGCTGTTGTGCAATGTGGAATCTCAACTGAACCGGGAACCCTGGCGTCTGGGTTATGGAATCTCTTCGCCCACCAATTCAGAGTTCTTGCAGAGTATGCTTCATCTTCATATACTCAGATACGCATATGATAATCAGAATATCATATCTGTCACCAGACTTCATACCAAATGCGGCCACCGAGTCATTTACTCGCACTGGACCTACAAGGTACCAGGCTCACGAGGAGTATACCCACTTTGGTACAGTACATACCACTTCCTAACTAGTGTACAGTCGGCATAGTTTGCCTTCTCTAGGTCGAAACTGATAATTGAAAGAATGCGGGACTGTACAGTGTAGCGTACATTGTACAGCCCCAGCATGACGATCATCGCATTGGTTCGACATCGCCAAGTCGGCGAAGCCACGCTCATGATCCCCTTCGGCCTTTCCCCCTCACCACCACCACCATCTATCGACCGTAGCCAACCAACTAGAAAAACGAGACTTGCTCCGTTCTTGTAAGCCATGACATGGGCTTGTAGAGAAACAGCCACACGGTGCCGTTATGGCCTAGGTGGAGCTGTCCGATCCCAGAAGAACAATCAACAATACAGCATCCCCAAACGCTCCCCTCCTGGAAGGCCGAGAAAGCATCCAACTGACCCGTCAAAACAAGCCTGTCAGCCCCTGCTTGGCAATGTTGGCATCAACTTTCAAGACATCAAAAATCTGGAGAAAGAGGCTAAAACAAAAGGCGGCGCAGCGCAGCCACGGAAGCAAGCAAGCCCACATGCTCGTACTGCTAATCGCCATCCTCTCAAAAATCACTCATAGACATCTCAGTGCTTCCCCAGACTCTTGCCCAGTGCCCATAAGTTGGAACTGCAAGAACGAAGCAAGTTTCGGTACCCAAGTCCTTGGCACATCATCATTCAGCTGGACAGGGATTTGATTGCCTTCGAGGTCTCTGTGATTGCTAATATGTTGTTTACCTGATACGTCAAAGGCTATTCTATTAAGTAAAGTCGGAGGTTAACCTTACCTACAGGATGCAGTACTTACCCCAGACCTTCTTCGTACAGCACCAAAATAACTCGTCCGTCTCTGCCTCCTAGAGTTTTTATTGCCTTAGGGGGTTGTATGAATAAGCCTTTATAATCTTGCTGCTTATTATACCCGCCGAAGATAGAGATATACATAATTTTAGCAAATAGAGAACGAGTAAATGCCATATATGTATCTAGTAATTGGACAACAACGATCAAAACTTGGCCTCTCCCCCAGCGCCCTTACCCAAAGGTAATACGGAAAGAGCTCCCAATCCTCGAGGGCTGGCTACATAGGTATGCATTCATGTAGTGCGACAGCGATCATATACTCGTATGTTACTCGTTCAGCGCAACAATCATTCCCTTCCCGAATGGCTTGGGAATGACATCAACCCTATCGGAACAATGATCTACCAATAAGCTCCGTAGCTTGGTTTAGGATGCGGTAAAGGTATAATACCATGCGTTTGTTGTGTTTATACATGTGCTTAGCCACTATATGTTACATTCTAATGCCACCAAACCAACAATTAAACTCCCTTCCATCACTTCATCTTCCTCGCTGAATAATTCAAATTTGACCTTGCCGTCGTTCCTGTCTTATGTACCAAGTTCCTTCGGTCCCACACGCTGCTCTTGCCCTCCACAATCCCAATGATTTCGTCCGCGAATCGTTGGGCAAATTGGTGTTTCCCACTTCCTCTTGATTTCTTCTTGTTTACTGCGTCTAAAATCCATTGGACGGCCTGCCGCCTCCGTTGCCGTTGTCCCAGGGGAACTGGTATTTGCAATGCAGCTCCACCACCTGCTGCTCCTTTTTGGGCGCGAATTCTTAATAATGGGGCAATGGAGTCGATAGCGAGCGTAAGGTATCCGACAGGGTTAAGAGGTAGATGAGATGAGGGAGGGAAACCCGGCAAGAGAGGACGAGAAGGATTGTAGTTTGGGGGTGGGGCGGTTCGAAGATGGTTTAAAATGAATGCCATGTTCTACATTTAGACAATTGAGTTAGCATACAGCTGTGCGGGGTTTTATCTGCATATCTCAACCACGCAGAATGAAACCAATGAAGAAACTGACGAGCCTACCGTTTGTGCAACGCTCAACTTGCCATGCCGCATCAGCAGATTCGTGACCTGGGTTACCACCGGATCATATCTATGTCTGAGATTGCTATTTGAAGGCAATGGCAACTCGGGCACCTCAAATTTGTGTCCGACAGTTACGGCGTCTTCGCCATGGCCACCGTTGGCAATGTTCTGGATCTGTCCTAAGGCAAGGAGATTTTGGAAAGTTATCGAGTCCGCGGCATTTAATCCCTCAATCTCCTCCTTGATAACTTGGGGCGCGTTATCCTTGCCCTCCTGGTCGCCCTTGAGGATCTATGAATTGCCCGTTAGCAAATGGCTTTGGGCGGAGAGCCTGATGTCATGAGGGGAGACTAGATGTATTCAAATCTGCAGACATACATCTTGCACAGGAGTTCCTTGCCCCAAATCCGGTCCTTCCTTCCCAATTACTCTGCTCACTTCTGCCGCTTCCTCGCTCACATTTGGCAGAACATCTGGCTTCGGGCCCGTTGGCTGTTGGCTCTTCTCCTCCGCGAAACCTCGTCGTGACACAACTTGCGCAATTCGGGGCTGATGCGAGGCAATCGAAGGCCTCGTTAATATAACAAGAGACCGGGCCGCAGCACGAAAGTTCAATCGAGGAGGCATGGTGATATGATGATGATGGACAGCTTCTGGTCGGACAGACAGATGATGCTAGCATAAAATTCGACGATCTCCAAATTATGCCTGATAATGGTAAGGCACCAACACACAGAACTACGTTCCACAAGGTACCTAGAGGTACCCATGTCGCCTCGATTAACATGCGTTTTCTCAACTCAAACAATCACCTCATACGCGGGAGTATAATATTGAGACCCGACTATTAAATGTATCTTGCTTAATCAATTCATGAGCTCTCCAACTCGACCCACTCAACGGTTTCTACGAATTGGAGTCTAGAAATAGTAAGACACTATATAAGGCAAACAGCAAGCTTCAATGCTTGCCACCCATAAGACAAAAAGAGGTACAGTATTTTAATTCTAGAACCTTTCCATTCGGCATTCAAGAATTTGACCAATATCCGTAGATTGCGCCCTGACAAACTCCCAGCGCCCTGGCTGTCCTGTAAAGACCGTAGCAATACCCGACGCCTAAAGCCATTCGCATTGCGCCAAACCATGCAGAACCATACCATATGGCGATCCTTCTAACCGTCGTATCCTACAGGCCAGTCTGTCGTGTAAGCTGCCGTCTTCGCCGTTGCGAGGACGCGTACTGTCTTTCTTCTACCATGCTGTTCGACTTTGTGAAGGGGAGCTAGGAGTCGATCCATTCAAATGCTTCAGGGCAACCTCCGCCGCATCCTCTTTAGCATTATTCACATATTGTCCATCGTACCAGAACCGTGCCGAGATATTTTGTCCTTGGATGGTGACCGTGCTGGACCATGCTGTCCGCCCCCCTATGTCAACGTCAATCAATTGGTCGTTCAAAGGTAAATTTCATGGGGCTAGGACTTACCACGTCTATCAGACACGATTTGGAAGACTGGAGGATGAATCTGGGCCTCACGGCACTTTTCTAATTGGTATTAATAGAGTAGTTGGCCTAGGAAACCGCTGCCTCACCTTCAAGTCTCTCCTGCCAGGTTGCAGTTCCTGAGCTATAACTCGAATAAGACATAATTGCTAGTCTTGTAAAGGCACAAGTGCGTTGATTAAATTTATGTATATCTAGGAAGTGTGTGGAGAGACAGTTGTGGGGCGGGGTGTCGGATATGGCGTTATGCTTTGCAGGAAAGGATTCCTTGATGGAGTTATAGGGAGATTCTCTCCCTTCAGGACAACTGGGAAAGGGATGGGGAGGGGGTGGTTGAAGCAGTGAGGTGGCAGTCTGATATCAGGAGAGAAGAGGATAAAATCTGGCCTTGCGTTTGCGTCTCCATCCATGCAACACGGCAGCCAGACGCAAGATTGTTTCGGCATAATGCATGGGAGCAGAAGGAGAATTGCATCGCAAGAAGTAACGTCGATCACCCGAAAAAAATATTATGTAGGCCGTGTGTGCTGTCTCCATCGATGGCATATCACAGCCCATGTAGGACGATAGCAAATGGCTTGGGCGACAGTACAAAAGCAATATGGGGCTTGAGACAACACTTGCCAGGGGAGACGCGGAGCCAGCGCTACAACTCCTGCAGCCTTTTGCAGTTAGCAGTCATCATGGGACATGGGATAGAGGGGGGAAAGAGAGCGTGAGATGGGGTGGGGTGGGGTTGGGTTGGGCAGATGGGCATATGGGCTTGCGGGTGTGCAGGAGGGGCATTGGGGCAAGAAAGCGAATGATATATATGAAGAGCCCAATAATACCTCAAATATGCTGGCAACCTTGGAAAAGCGGAAAAAGCCACCTGCACGCAAATGAAGGTAAGACGTGGAAATACCAATGCTTTTTGACATAAAAAAGAGTTCTGATTGTAATTGAAATTGGGGTTGGAATAATGTCCACTCTCAATAGTGCATCTTTGCTTTTCTTGAAGAATTAAAGATAAATCTGCATATCCCGACGATTTCAGCACTACAAAGCCAATGGCACGGAAACGAACATCAATTGCTTCGTCCTGGGTCCAATGGTAGAAGGCTAGATGGTGATCAAGTCTCACATTTGGGAGACATGATAGGTTAGACCCGATCTTGAGATCGTGCAGTGAAAGAGGTGTCTTATTACCTGTAACTTCCAGCTCGTTTACTTCGTCCGGAGTAGTACTCCGTACCAGTTCCTGATGTCAGGGATGCCGATAAAGATAAACTGAGGGGCGGGTGGCTACATCTACACGACGAACGGGGAGAAGTAGGTCCCAGGGAAGCATGCCCTTTGATTCGAACATGCACTTTGATAATGCGGAGAGGCCCTGGTAAGGGCCCCAAGGAGATGTACAGATTCAGGAGTACCGTTGTGATCTGCCCTGCGACTCAGCGTCTTTTCATCCTCAACAGGCATAGTTGCCATCGTGACCACCGAAGCACTCCATTGCTTTGGCAATCTGTATCAACGAACCCGACAGGCTGGTAAAGAGAGAAATAGAGCGACTCTCAAGTGTCTGGCCACTTTTTGCAGGCCCATTTCGGGAGAGTCGGGATAACGCAAGGCACCGTGCAAACGCGCAAGCCTCTTGGCTGCAAGTCGGGGTTGGGATGGATATTCCTGTCTCAGCAGGTATACGGAGGTGAACGTTGTCAGATGACAGCAGGCTAAGTAGCTATCCATATCCATAATGTCGACGTCTTCATAAGAGCCCAGTGGGATGGTCAGCGCCACGGCTGGAGGCCGTCAGCCGCCGGCCGCCGCCCAAAGGGCCTCGACATCCGCTCGAGACATATACATCAACAAACTCAATACTCGGAGCCTGCTCAGCCGTCAAAAGAAAGGGGGCGATAGAGGTGCGTGGCGACATGAGAGGAGGCCAAGTAGGCTATAGCAGCAGCCTCGCTGTTGTTGTTCAGACAGCCTTGTTGCGACCAACGCATCAGTGGAGCATTGCTGCCCAAGTAACATGGCGTCGCAGTCCAGGTGGGACAGCAATTGAGTTGAGCCTACGAGTGTTATTTGGGTAGCACAGCATACGGCTATGCAGCTAGTTGAGCCGGTCATGGCGGCCCAGGGCGCCGTTTTGGTGGTCGTGTTGATCCGTTGTCGAGGGATTCGAAAGTCCTAAAATAAGTGTTGAGTGTAGATAGCGCCATCGTCGAGATCCACGTAGGAAATAACAATCGCAGCGACAAACGGGCGGGTCAGCTAGGGGGTTGGTGCCGGCGTTGATATTGATGTTGATGTATGTCCATGTCGATGTTGGTGCTGGTGCTGATTTCCAAAGAGGTTAGTTTCCCGTGTGAAAGAAGACTTGATGATTCCCGGCTTTGTTCTTGAAATGGCTGCAGCTGCGAGCTACCATATTAATTGGTATGTCTCTGTAACGTGTTGACTGATCACTGATATTTCATTTTTCGCAGGCCTGGCCAGCCCGTACGAAGTATAGGTACCGATCGATGCGGTATTCCTCTCTGCATCCGCCCTCGCGCCCGCCCCTTGGAGTTGAGCAGCTGGCGATACTGATAAGAATTCCTGTTCTCATTATTGTAATAATAGCAAATCCTCGAGTTGACAGCACGAGCCAAAGACCGAGGGTCCTGGTGGTCCCCTCCACGTGGATGAGTAATCGACTTCCAGGGGACCTGTGGAATCTGCAATCCTCGGCCCAGCTATGTCTGCCGAGGCACGGAGAATCATGGGGATTCGCCTCCGCTGGGCTGAATGAAGGGCAGCCGACCACCGTTTATGAACAGGACAGTTTCAAGAGACAAAAGACCATGATAGAATAGAACGTTGCTTTCTTTCCATTTTACTTTCACTTGTCGCTCTTTTTCAAGTTCAAGCCAGACATAGAAGTTCGCCAATACAATATGCCTTTCAACACGAAGCTCACCAGAGCTTTGGGGATCAGAGGTAAACAAGACCACCCAAGCGCCGCTGTTCTAGTTGCTTTTCTGACCTTCTCAATTCACAGTTCCCATAGTTCAAGGTGGAATGCAATGGGTTGGGTACGCCGAACTTGCCTCTGCTGTTAGCAATGCAGGCGGACTCGGTATCCTCACTGCTCTCACTCAACCTACCCCCGAAGACCTTCGGACAGAAATCCGAAGATGCAAGACCATGACGAAGTACCCATTCGGCGTGAACATTACCCTCCTTCCTGCCATGGTCCCCCCGGACTACGGCGCATACGCCCAGGTGGTTATGGATGAGGGCATCCGAATAGTTGAGACTGCAGGAAACAGCCCCGGGCCAGTGATCAAGCAGTTAAAGTCTGTTGGCACCATTATCCTACACAAGTGTACCACAATCCGGCACGCACAGAGTGCTATCAATCTCGGCGTAGATTTTCTAAGCATTGATGGGTTCGAGTGTGCTGGCCATGTCGGCGAGACTGATATTACGAACTTCATTCTGCTCAGCAGAGCTCGACAGTCTCTCAGTGTGCCATTCATTGCTTCTGGTGGCTTTGCAGACGGCCAGGGACTTGCGGCTGCTTTGAGCCTGGGTGCAGAAGGTATCAATATGGGAACACGCTTTATGTGCACAGTTGAAGCACCGATCCATATCAATATCAAGAGGGAGATTGTGCAAGCTCAAGAATCCGATACTGAACTCGTTCTACGGAGATGGAAGAACACAAGCCGGTTGTATAAGAACAAGGTTGCCACTGAGGCCGTGAAAATTGAGAAGGAGAGCAAAACAGGTAAATTTGAGGAGGTAGCGCCGTATGTGAGCGGTAAAAGGGGTAGGGAGGTTTTCATCAATGGAGATCCTGACTATGGGGTACGTATTCCTTTCCAAGAATCCGTGCTATCTGCTAATATGTTGCAGGTATGGACTGCTGGTCAAGTCATCGGGCTCATTCATGATATCCCAACCTGTGATGTGCTAGTTAAAAGGATTGAGCGCGAGGCTGAGGAAACTCTTAGCAAAGCATCAGCACTTATAGTGCCATCTAGCAAATTGTAGCTCGGTATTTAATTCTTTTAGCATTCAATTCGGCGACGACAGTGTCGCGAACAGTATGATGCTCATATGTACTCCCACACTCAGTCGTGCTGACTGGTCGATCAATCTAAATCCATTGCATCGCCATCCTCCTCCAGTTCGCCCTCGTCCTCATCCTCGTCCTCCCCCCAGGGCCGTCCATCCTCCGCCTCATCACACTCCTCTTCTTCCTCGGAGCCTTCTCTACGGAAGTATGCTCGGTAAAACCCCTCCTCATCCTCTATATCCCCTCCTCCCCCCTGGTCCCTCGACCCCTTCCGAACTTCACGAAACCAAGCTGGTACACTGTCTTCGTCTTCGTCGTCTTCATCGTCTTCTTCGTCTTCTTCTTCGTCTCCCGCTTCCTCTTCTTTGCCCTTCTTAGGCTCAATGTCCATTGTTAACATATGGAACTCCAAGCTGGCCATATCCAGATTCTATGATTATCTATGCATCAGTAATGTCCTAGAGAGCTTAGCATCGTGGAAGCACTTACAAATTTAGAAGTATCCATATCTGGATAGCTCCTTGCCATATCCTTCCAGTAATCCTCTGCCTCCTCGGATAGCACCTATTTAAGTCAGTTCCAGGGTTTCATGACATTACACGAGCCATTATGTTGACAAGGCTGCTCAACAATCTCCAAAATATGAACCGCTTACCTGCTGTACCATGTCGCAAAAGAGCGACTTCAAGCACTCGTGTACCTCTTGTTCCGAGCTCAAAACATTGGCAGTGCCAAGTCTCTTGCCGATTAGCTCAACTCGATCGGCATCCTTGACGTCGTCATATTTTTTGAGCACAAGTTGGCACCAACTTCCCTCCTTATCTTGGCGACTAACGGGCACAGTTCTTAGAGCATTAGCGTTGTCAACAGCTCCACAGAATTGCACAAAATCGATTGTGATAACCAGGCGCGCGAAACCGATCCGATATTTCGGGATCGTAATATCATTAGGAATGTGTCGGCCAATTCTAACATCCCAACAGACCCATTCAAGGAATGGCCTTCCGTATCGCTCCTTAAATTCGGGCGAGAAACAAGAAAGAGCTATCTCCTTCATACTCGTGCCGTCTGCCATACGGCAAAATTTGTGCCCAACCTCTGGTGGGTAGTCTGAGGCCGACATGCTGGAGGGCTTGATCGTCGTATATGGCACTATATGCTATATGAGAGCTTGTGTAGGTATAGAATTTGATAAAGGCGCAACAGCAGGTTTGGGCGAAGGGGAAGGGAAGGTGACGGTGACGGGGAGAAAAGAGAGGAAAGGGTGGAATTGGGATAAGGGCATGAGTTGTCGCTGTGCTGACTCGGTATATTCACTGTCGCCTGTTGTTTATCAATCAATCTCTTAACTAGACTGGAACAATTATCCGCCCTTCAATATTTTAACTTGACTAGAACCATTATCAAGCCTTAATAACTGTGCCATCCATCTATGGCCTATTGTTTATTGTATCACAAGGTGCTACCTCTGCGAAGGAAATATTCAAGGCGCCAAATGGGAATAAGGGCAGTTTGTGTTTACTATTGCCTATTGTTTATTCTATTCTATTGCGCACATATGAAAATCAAGTTTGCACTACGTCCTAAGCTGGGCCATTTGGAAGTTTATAACAGATTAAGGAAACATTAAAAACATCATCTCCCGTTCACGAGGGCAAGTTTTATATTTCTATAGTAAGAATTAAGAAACAAACAGAGAAAACTAGAACAATAGTATATTTTACTCACCCACCTAGGAAAGGGTAAAGCAATGTGTAGATATTTTATAGAACCCTTCTAGTGCTATTATACGTTAGATGCCGAAAGCTGTTAGTACTAAGCGGTACGCGACTGTCCAAGACCGACACGATATATAGAGAATATATATCATGCTTCATACTTTCTATGATATTAAGAAAACGTATATTTAAAGACCTCCTTGTAGCGACAGTAGGCATAGTATAAGAGAAGTCAAGCAAACCAACCCAAAACCCCTAGCTAACGGGTTAGATGTATAGAATATACACGAGTTGCATGAGATGACCGCGTATCTTATGCATATAAAGAAACTCTCTAGCACAGTGCCTTAGGAGACCTCGATCTAACACTTCTGATCTGCGAGTTTTGAGACATTACTCTGTACATCATAGAATCTTCCGCCGGCATAAATTTTCTGTGTTAATCATTATGGATCGATTGGAAGGAGAGGCCGAGAAACCATACGCAGCGTATAAGTACCTATAGGGATATACTAGAAGTATCACATTATAGAGATCTGTAATCTTTGACAATTTGGAGAAGGTAAAAATTGCCCTGACATGGTCCAACACGATAATGGTAGCGCACCTCTTGACAATCAGATTCGCAACCATGGTAGTCTAAACAATAAGCATAATGCTACACAATACCTCAATAACAGTTGTAAATCATCACAATAGGAAGAGCAAAGACATAATACATGTGTAGACAACCAAGCGCTTTGTCTTACGTGGATGGGTGGAAAGGCGGGCTGACTAGCTATGCCGGGCATAAACCGAAACGTAACTACATGATATAGAATAAGCATATTCTCTCAAAATAAACAGGCCGGATGGCCTAGTAGGAAACTGGGGGGTTAGAGCCATAGCCTCGTTGGGCGCCGGGTCCTGGTAGCCGTCGGGCGTTAAGCAAAACAAACGTACGCCTGTCAGCTCAGGGCAACCCGAAATTGACGGTATAATACGGTACTTCTGTACCAGTGACCTCTGTCACCAAACACTTTTTTTTTCTAATTTAAAAAAAAAGGGGTTATCGCTATGTCTCGTTTGATACTGTATATATCGTGAAGTCCGCGTCTCTTTTGCGCGCTTAACACAGGCAAGTGGATCTAAGGAAATAGGCGAGTCTGATTGGTCTAGGTCAACCGCTTTCAACGTCGGTGGTAATCGACATGGTTGTCAGGGAAACTCAGAGGAGATATATCAACAATATGCCTATCAAGCCAAATCAAAATTTCTTACCCTCTTCAAATTTCTTCTATGAGCATTGACTGCTCCATTTTTTTTAAGCATAACTACGGTGCGACATTGCTAATCGATGACTTAGTTGCTGGCAAATTACCACCCCATTTCCTGCTACCGTACGCTCTCTACTCTCAGTGCGATGAAAGCCCACGCCTCATCTTTGATAAGTCTCGCCTCCAAGTTCCAACCCGTCGCCCATCTAGAAAAGTCGAATCCCGTCCTTCACAACGTACTTGCCCGTATCCCCATCCCTCTCCCCCTCCACGACGGTCCTCAGCAGTTGTCCCCCAATGCTCGGATGGCCCGCACCCTTCACGGCGGCCATCTCCCTAGCATCACCTAGATCGGTTGCAAGGAACCCCGGCCCGACGCACCAGACCTTGACGCCGTCCTTCTGGAGCTTGTAGTGATAATCGAGCATCAACATATTGAGTGCGGTCTTGGTGCAGCGGTACCCGACTGTCTCGAACTCCAACTTCTTCGGCCAGCCACGTTCCAGTGGTGGCAAGGGAATCTCCCCGCGCGCGCACTGCTCGAAGGTCCCGAGGCCGGTGACGAAGATGAGCCGTGGATCGTTGGACTTCAAAAGCAGCGGCATGAATGTTGACGTCATGACGTGCGTCCCGGCCACATTGACGTTGTAGGAGCCGGTCAAGCTCTCACGCAGCGAGACCTTGCCGCGGATGTAGTCAAGGTCCTTCGTGATGCCTGGGGAATGTCAGCGAGCTGTGCAGAGAAGTAGGAGAGGGTCTGATATCGCGCACCGGCATTGTTGATAAGGGTGTCGATCCGCCCGCTGCTGGCCTTGACGGTCCCGAAGGCTCTCTCGATGGAGGAGTCGCTGGTAATGTCGACTTGGACGGCCTCGACAGTGTTTGAGGATTCGGCGCACTCCTTTTGGAGGGTCTCGACCGCTTGTTGGCCCCTTTCTAGGGAACGGCTGCCAAGAAAAACATGGTAGGGCTTGCCAGATTGCAGTAGGGCCTTTACGATTTCGTATCCGATGTTCTTGTTTGCACCGGTGACGAGGACTATCTTCTTAGAAGACATATTGTTGACAATTCGACTACTAGATCGGGTGTGTTCTGGACCTCTGGTTTGCACAAGTTAAAGCTCTGGTTGAATACCTTTATTTATATTACAATCCTGGTCGTAGAAATCGCTAGGGATCCTCGGTGTTAGGAATTAGTACAATTCTAGGTACTACTGTGTTTGCTCTGCTGGTTAATAAGTTATACTTAAATTATCACTTCTTGCAAGGGTGCTACTGGGAGTAATGGCGTTACCGGAAATAACAGAAGCTTGTCTCCGGTTGTGTTGTGCCACAGGATGAACATCAAGTGACCAATCCACGTCTTTAGCTTTAGGCAGTCCTGATTTATAATGGAAAGTTGCTGTAGAGTGGTCGGACATTTATGGGACTTACCCTGTTGCCTCTACGAGAGTCTGGAAATCTCCGGAATCTATGGACTTTCCTTTGAGACCTGCATGTTGCATGAGATGCAGGCCCTCTGTTTGGATATATATTTGGATATCATCTAGGACTCAGAATCTTTCTTCTTTCTCTATGGTTAATTTAAGCTCTTCGCCAGATTCATCGTATCCGGCTTGTTTTGGGGTCGCTGTCAATGAGGCCCAATATCGAGCACTTCTCGTGTCTTGTCTAACCGATCCCAGGTGGCTTTCGAACCTCGGCAGCTGTTTTCTATCCCAAGGAATGGATCGGATCCTAGACCATAATACGGCAATAAAGACGACTAGCAAGATACAATAACGCTCCAACCTGCACACGTGGGAGCTAATCCTAGCATTGGCACTCTTAGGGCTATATATTCTGATCAGAGTGTCAAGCGGCATGGAGAAAGTCAAATGCAATCACCGCCACTGAACAAGCATTGCTGTATACCCTTGACGTTCCCTCCAACTTACAGGCGGCTGAATAGGAAATGAAACGTTCTGTAAACGCACATATCAGTCAGAAAATATGAGGCTCACCAGTTGGCATGGAAAGAATAGTTCGAGCTACAATCAGTAGCAATCTAGAACAATTCTTCAAAGAGGCACAATTGGAATCACGAGGCCGGCATGGTGCCCTTCTGTCCTGCCTCCTGCCAGCCCCAGAAGAGGCCTGACTATGCTTAGACGTGCCTTGTAGCTGCCCTCCACTTGCCCGTACTTCAACTCGGAGGGTTACAGTATATATTTGGAAGTTTGGGATTCGCTTGTCAATATTCGGAGGATAATATCGGAAGAGTTTGCGGGTGCTGTAGCAGGGCATATCTTTATAGGACGAAGGAATTATTCAGTATTTAAGCAGAGAACTTTAAAAAAGTATGTCGCGTTTAAAGAGAGGAATATCCAATCGTCGAAAGAGTTATTTGACGGGAGGATGTAGCTCGGAGACTTATTTATTAAAAATATGACGGCCGAGATAGGGAAGAATAGTTTTCTTCTTGTCGTTCCCTAGAACCTTGTTAGCAGGAAAGCATGCAATGTGCTTATAGATCTCTTTTGCTATTATGCGAAGGTTAAAGCCAACTTTAGACTGTGATAGCGTTATGGAGAGATGTTGGAAGGGGTGCAGCATTTGGAAGGCGAGGTTTAGTAGGCGCTTCTACCGTAGAATGATATAGTATAATTAGCGTTCGAACTCTCATTTCAGAGGGTGGAGAGAACTCATAAATTTCTCCTACTACTATGAAACCCAGGAAGCTAAGCTCGTGAGATAGTTGAACAGTTCTACAAAGATGTTTGGATGCCCGATGGAAGAGCCACAAAGTGGTATGCTTTATTTGCCATTAGATGTAATTTTAATAGCATGCTAAGAGGTCGTCGTTCTCGGTCTCGGTTACCTAGGTCGCGTGAGCAAACCGGAACCGAAGTTGTGTGATATAATAAAGAATAAGCAATATCCTCCTAAAATAAAACAGGTCGTATGGCCGAGTGGGAAGCTGGGGGGTTTAGGGCCATAGCCTCGTTGGGCGCCGGGTCCTGGTAGCCGTCGGGCGTTAAGCAAAACAAACGTACGCCTGTCAGCTCAGGGCAACCCGAAATTGACGGTATAATACGGTACTTGTACCAGTGACCTCAGTCACCAACCCATTTTTTTTCTTCTTTCTTTTTATTCGATTTTTAATCTATCGTTCGCTTGCGAGTTGCAACGTCTCTTTTTTCTTTTGGAGGTTATTCTTGTTAAGCGAAGAGCTCAAATGTCCCCCTTTTTTTGTCTCGCTTACCTCGCTGAGCGTACGATGGAACTAATATTCGCAAGTCGCGACCGCCGCGCGCAGATACTAGAGATATTAACTATACCAGCTAACTTCCTCATAGTTTCGTAAGGAAAACACGATGTTTCATATTTTTTTATTAGAGTTCTATCACCTTTGAATTAAAATAGCAAAACTTGCGGTGTTGTGTTGGCCTGGCAACGGATCGATTCTTGAACAATACATATTCGCTTGTCGTTTATCCAGGGAACCCACCTTCGTCTTGACAACTTGCTCGACATATTTCACAAGTAAAATCCAAAGACGGTTGTCTCGCAGATAATGGCCATCAAAAACATATCAAAAAGATAAACACAAGTCCCATTTGTACCATTTCAATTTTCTAGATGGGTGGCTCACCTCTTATGAACATATTAACTTTGTTTCACACTCGCTAAATTCCAGAATTCCTATTAACTTTGTCCTGCCCTTGAAGTAGTATACATTAAAAACCTGGTTTTATAATTTAGCAATACTCGAGTTAGTTATCAAAACAGGAGGATAAAAATGAAGAAATGAGGTGTGCCTATTTTAGATAGAAGATAATAGGCAAATGGCAAGTTTTGTGGATTATGCTCTTCCCCGCAAAAAAAAAGGAAGTGGAAAGGAGGAAGTAAATCAAAACGAGATTAAAAAAAGGGGATCAAAAATCAAACCCCAAGAAAGCAGAAGAGTTCATTGCCCACAGTCAATTAATCCCTGCCGTTAAGTAGTTGTTGCTTGACCTAGTTATATTTCTCTTCGATATGAGTGCCTTGTGACACTCGTGGGGAGTGTCTTAAAGAGCTAGGTTGTCGTTCTATGCCTTTTTCTTACTTAAATATATTTACCTCCCTTTTGCTACTATCGAGGTTACGCCGAGCGGCGAAGAACCGTATCGGAATAACGAATGTCCTCCGCGCAATGCAGGCAGGTATACTTGGTATGGGATGGCATTCTGCTCCTGGAAAGGTAGCTTTATGGCCTTGGCAACCGACAGCCTCATTATGTGGTTATTTGATGAACAATTCACGAATCTGCGAAACAGTCGCCAATGAATAATTTGGAGTCACGGATGGAAACAAAAGTATAATCAATTTTTAACGCGTAACAACATTCATTAAAAACAAGCACTGTAGATTTCTCAAGATAGCTATTATAAGAAAGTCGTGATACCAACGTCTCGCTCGTTGTGGAATAGAGACAGTGATTTGGAGCAAGTTTTATGAGAGCACATTTAGGTCGCTCAGCCCATTTCTTTTTTGAAGCTCCATTTTCCACCGGGGCTGAGAGAAAGCGGTCATCAGAAGGGAGTCATCGCGGTCGTAATGAGAGAATATTCGAAGGAAATTGGATTTTGAACTCGCATACTGGCCAACAACAGGATGGCCCAAGCTTGAAAGGGAGAGAATGTCGACAGATTTTTAGAATGATTTTCAGCAAAGACAGGTAAAGATCCCAGCCCAAGAAAATGAGAGCTGAACAAAAGCGGACCCTAGTTGCATCAGGTAGACGGGGAGTACATTGGGGGTCGTTCTTTCGAACGCACCAGCTGACTAAACGTAGTACATGCTGTCTCTGATGCTCTCGGGAATGATGGGGTTCTCGAAGGTGCTTGAGGCACTCACACCACTGACCACGCTCTGGCTGGCAGAAGAGTCGTTAGGATCAAACTGATCCGAGAGATAGCATCTCAGTCTGGTGCAGAGAAGATCGGCATAGTAGGCCGGTGGGCACAAACTAACAGCCTTTGTCGCTCGGCCGAATAGATGGCACATGTTGTGTGTCAGTTCTTCGAGGGCGTCCGCGGGATTCTGATGAGGCGGCTTCGCAGCACGGCCTCGGAAGATCTCATCCATGATAACATAGTAATGCCCAGGGCGGGCAGTTCCTTGAAGGCAGGCATGAGACTGAACAAAGAAGTCCCAGAATCGAACCTCGGTGACACCGCGGTCAACAATGGTGCCAGGCTCGCAATTAGACGATCGATCCGCGTTCTGCTCCGTCGTCGGATAGAACCGAGTGTGATGTCTTTTCCCACAGACGATGATCGAAATTTTCGGCAGACCGCGCTTGGTGTCCTGAGCAGGATATTTTTGGCGGCAAGCGTTTCGAATTTGCGGCAGCTCATTGTCAAGAAGCAACTGATACTGACCTTCGGAAACCCCATCGCGATAAATAAGGATGTTGTCGGGCAGCTGGTTATTGTTGTGCTTCTGCCAAAGGCTGAGCCGTGACATGAACATACGTTCCAGGCCAGAAATCATTTCTTGCCGGGAGGTCTGAACGTTGAAATCGGCAGGCCACTGCCCAAGGAACCTGTCGATGCTAGCAACGATGCCAGCGACACTGGGCGCTCCCTCTTTAGACCCCGGAGACGGATGAGTAACATCCATCCCTACTACCATCGTTTTGCCTTCACTGATAACCCCAAGCTTGTGTGGATCAAGGGTCTGGTTTGTGCCACCAGCTTTCAAGTTGAATTTCAGCGACACATTGCCAAAGTACTGGTCTTGCCGCTGCTCCTTCATCAATTTTGAACCAACCACACAGACAGTATGGAACCCTGCCTTTGTATCGGCTACGGTTTTGATGCTATTGTATATCGCAACGTCATTGAAAGGCAATATGCAGAGCACGAATCTGGGCTTCTGGCTACTCAAGTAAATGCTGCGAAAGACGTTCTTGATTATCTCATGGTTTTCCCTTTCAAAACCATCACGGAGTCGGACCTCAGGAGGGGGAGCTATGAATTGGCTTGCGTTTATTCCAGCTTTGATGAGAAAGGCTTTGAAGTTTAGTACCGTTTGCTGGACATCGCTCAGTCCGAAATCACGTCCCCTGTTTGAGCGGAAGACGCAGCAGGTCCAAGGGCCAAGATTGCCTGCAGTATGGAATGAGGCGTTGGCCATGTTCCAAGAGCCAAACCTTGGGGCGACGGTAATCATTTTTGAACCGCGATCTTTATATTTGATCGCAGGCGCAGCCAAAACTCGGGCCGAAATGGTAACTAAACTTGCGCCGACGGCAATATCAAATCGAGCCTATTATACGTTAGTGTATTTCGGTGAATGTATTATAGCTAGGAATAGCATACCGCGCTGTTGGTAAGTCCAAGGACGGCTCTGCCATCTCCAACGATTGAATTTCCATTCTCCCACGGCTTCCGGCAAGCAAATGTAATCATATTCTGTGTCTGATCGGGGCTCAACCTCCGCTTTATCGTTTGCCCAGGCACAACAACACAGACCTCAGCCGGAAGATAGTTTGGATTCTCCCGGTTACCAACATTGATCACAGGGAGTGCATGATTCAACGGGATATTAGGATATTCTAAAAAAGGTTAGTCTATCTAATCATGGCACACAAAGGTCGCCCACTTACTGATTTTGAAATAGTCAAAAACCGAAATATACTTATTTGACGGTAGTGCTTGTCCGCCTTTCTTGCCGGTCTTGCCAGTCTTGCCATCTTTAGGTGGTGGTGCCTCCGACAGCCAGAACTTCACATCTTTTGGTCCTGCGCCGAATGTTGCGACCTGTGGCGGCTTTGGGTCTTTGTGGCCGTCGTCTGGACGGGCGAGGCCAAAAATTGTCTTCACTCGGGGGATTTCTCGCTGTGTCTTCTTTGATACTTTGGCCGGCAAATGAATAACACGGACACGAGTGAGTTTCAATTTCTTCTGTAATATCACTCTATTCCCAGTGCCGAGCAATGGAAACAGTCGGTCCAGTCGGTCTGGCTGGAGAAAGACATTATGTGAAACGTTCACATTAAGAAGGAGGCCGCCAGTTGCTGCGCGCACGCTCTGATAGAAACCCCGCAGTGATTCGAGTCCGCCGCCCAGCACGGTGATGTTGTGGCTATTTGACTGGCTGCGATCGATAGAGAAATGTCGATTCTTTCCTGTGGTCACGACACCATCGTGGGATTGGGCGTGGTGCCCAAAGATGACGTTTAAAACCTGGATGATTTCCGGTTTCAAGGCCAAATCCGGGGACGGATTGGTGGCGCAAAGATGATTTTGAAGGTCGGAGATCATGATTGAGAGTGGGGTTATCACCCTGGCCGAGTACACTATGGCCTTCTCAAGGGGCTCGTCCTGGCCCTCTGCCATGTATGGGATCTGGACGGTATGGCCATCGGGAATGCCCAACGGCTCTGGTGCAACGATCATGGAACTCATGTCTGAAACCAGACCAGAGAACTCGGGCATCTCAAGAAGGAGCTGAAAAATCCGTGCCAATTTCTTCCCCTTGGCTTCAGGCGTCACCTCGACATTGTACCGGGTGACGGCAAGGCCTTCTGGCACCTGGATTTTGAAATAATTTGCATACACCGAGATTGGTCTGCCGGCTGTGCCATAGCCAGGACGGCCGGGGAACTGCGCGGCCAGCGAGACGTTGGCTAGTGCATTGATGCCCTTGCTGTTGGCCATATAGGTGTTTTCCACCTTCATAACCTGGGCATCGGGGGCGCTGAGGGGGACCTGCGGGTCTCTGAGTGGTAAGGGATAAGTCAGCTGGAGAACTTATGACCTGAGGGCATTGTTTTACTTGAAGACCTGGACTGCGGTCGTTCCCCCGCCGCCGCCGCGACCTCCACGAAACCCGCCTCTGTCGAACCCGCCTCTCCCACGATCACCACCTCTACCACCTCTACCACCACGAAATCCACCCCGTCCTCTGTCACCACCACCTCCTCCTCTGTCTCCTCCTCTACCACGACCAGACATGCTTCCTTATCGTATAGGTTTGCTTTCACAGAGCTCTGCAACAGAGCTTGTGGGTTGGAGGTGACCGTGTATAGGCGAGGGGGTAATGGTAGTTTTAAAATGAGGCCAATTGGGATATTGACGAAAGGAGGTAGACCTAAAGCCAAAAGAGTTGGTAAGTTGTTTGGGTTAAGTAGTGTCTAAAATGACTGGGGGACGTACTAAGATATGGGAGCTGAGGATAGAGGGTGAACGAGGCTACGTTAAGCTGAGCGAGCAGTACTACGCACTCCGTAGGTGCTTCACTCCTTGGAAGACAAAGGCGACGGGAGGCCAATAAGTAGCCGACGATCTGCGAACAAAGTGGTGGGGGAACGTGAGAGAAAAGCGGTCAAGAAGGCTGGAGGTTGGAGGCTGAAGACTGGTAGTTTGATCACCAACTAACTACGGAGTAGCTTGGCGGGCGCGTTTATCGGTTCTGTGCGACGGACCGCGACCAGGAATCAGGGAATCAGGGAACGTACTGTAGTTGCGTCGTAGTAGTCGCAGGGAGAGACGGAGAGAGGAAGAGAGGGAGAGCTAACAGAAGCGAGCACATCGGGCAACGGGCTGCGTGGAGAGCTTTCCGATGGACTGGAAACTCATAAACGTAGCACTTCTAGCACTTCGTAGCGTTACGGAAATAATAGATAGGTACCTAAGGTATGCATGTAGGTCTCCGATTTGCTCCACAGAAATGTCAGCTCTGGGGTAAAGAGGCGTCGCGGCTTATTTGCTATTTGCTTATTCTGCTTGGGCATGTAGAGTAGTATTTAGGTACTGCTTTGCTGCTTTGCGGTTTTAGTGTTTGCTTTTTACTCCCCGCAACGCGAATCGCGTAGTCAGCTGATGAGCATTCTTTATAGCACGTGCTTCTCCACGCGTCTGTGTAGCCCTACCAGGCGCATTTGTCCTACTCTACCTACCTTAACAACGTTCATGAAGTACATACATACGGCCATGAAACGGGTTTTGTACGACGACGCCGCTGGGCTCTGGGGCTTGACTCATAAAGCGCTGGCATCTACGAGGTACCTTCGCACAAAGGTTGGAAATTCGACACGGAGCCCGCCGCCGCCGATCTTGCATTTTAGTGGTTCACAGGTTTTTTGTTTTTTTTTCGTTTGTCCAGGTTTCTCCTGCCTGCTCCGTACTTGCTCCTTCATCTCACCGATTATTGCGGCAAATAGTGAGCTCTGGAGCATTCGCTAACCCGTCATAGGTACTACGTATGAGTATGTCGTATTGTCAGACGGCTTCTTGCGTCCTTCCATGGGCGGTTCTCAACTCTGGACCACCCACCTCAGCCTTTGCCCAAGCGCAATCGGCGATCTGCGGCTAGTTGCTCTCGTGTAGCTTCTTATGCCCATGATGTCAACTCCTTTGCACGGGCTCTTCTGGGCTTGCTTTTGGGCTCGCGCTAACCAACCGCCCGGGATTGTGGGGAGACTTGGCATGAGTCGCTGTAAGAAGGTGGGAAAGACAACTACAATAAATAAGAACAAACACCCCACCACCACAAAATCCGCCAATAGAGAGGCCTCGGAATCCACCACCAAGCTCAACGTCCCTGCTGTTTGCTTAACCGCTATCTAGGTTTCATTTTTTTGCTGGCGAGGGGCATGGTGGCTGATTGTCAATTGACAAGAACCCATTTCTCATTGGGCCAAATGTTAGGCATTACTGTCCGTTTTGGAGCCCAACAACATAACATATTGGCAACTGGGTATAAGCCTCCGCCTTCTTTGAGCTATTTTAAGGCGTCTAGGCTTCTTGGATCCCAATTCCTCCCCCGGTATAGAATACCACCCCGGCGTCATCGTCGCCTTCAAACACATGATTGCTATCTAGATTGCGGGCGGTTGCAGCTCGAGCAAACAAGAGCATCGCGGGCGGTTCTTTGTCAGGTCTCCATCGTTGATACGTACCCCTCCACCAATAACTCAACCTCGTTTTCGTTGCCTGTTGTGAAATATTTGTTCAAACTCATCCATCAAGTGGGAGTCTAAGAAGTCTCTTTTTCATCCCCGACCCTTTTCGATTAGTAATATTCGAGAAAAGATAGTACTGGTAGTATTCAAGGTTTTCATAGCCGTAATAGCCCTGAGATTTGAACTGAAAGCTTCAATTTGTGGGCATGCTTCACCTTCACCTTCAACTTCTATCTACATCGATTTATCCCTTCCAGTCTACACACAAACTCTTCTAGCGGGATGTATCTCGTCTTGCTGCGTAGACCGTAGCACTATTTACATTTTTCTATTTCACATTAAAGCTATTATTTTAGATAAAAGTTTAGGCCGTCTTTCCGGTCGATAATGGCATGCCCACCGCCCATGCTTGGCGAATCAGGCATGCAGCGCACCACTTCATAACTCCCACCGAGGTTACGTCTTCCTCCATGTTTTCATCCCAAAAAAAAGTGCCAAACATATAGAAACAAATATCATTTACTCAATATTTTTCATCCTCCTACACATTTCCCGCCGACGATAGTAGATCTATTGGAAAGGTGGCTAAATTTTCAACCATGGCCGTTCTCGACGATGACTGTCTTCTCTCTGCAATAATCGCCCAAGTCAAGCTTACCTCGAACTCGAACACAATTCTCCACGCCTGTCTCCTTGTCTGTCGCCGATGGAAAGATGCCACGCTTCCTTACTTGTACGGCACGACTGTCCTTACCGACACCAACTTTGTGTCTTTTACCGCTCAATTCAATCCAGAATACAGCCCACTTATCAAGTCGTTGACCCTTCGCTTTGGAACCACTACTATCAATAAAACACTGCAGTTGTTTACTCCTATCATCGGCATGCTCAATCAACTCACCACTTTCTCCCTCTATCCTACTCCAGAAGTGGCCTATGAATGTATACTCGAGGGTTACATGCTGACGCCCTTGATAAAGACTCTGCCGGAGAGCTGTATCAATCTCGAACTTGAACTAGAGAATAGAGAGCTTCTCGAAGCTAACTTAACTGATCCTCACTTGTGTGTCGCCATTCGCGCTGTCCTTCCACGCATGCGCCATGTTCGGCTTAAACTAGACACCGTATGTCCCTCGCTCTTATGGGAAGGCAACCTGCGGGTTGTCCCCAGCTCTAATACGTAATCTTTCAAGCCAATCTCGCTTCCAAATATGGAAAGCATGATGGTGAATTGCCTTGGAGCTGGTACAGAACTTCCCTCATCTACATGCTCTCACAGCCGACTTCCAACTCCGTCTGCATGGCACTCAATGACTCGAGCTTTTCAGGTATCGGGGCAGAAGGAAGGATCGCATAAGAAATCAGCGAGGCTGTATGTAGTAGGGAGTTTTACGGACAACAGCAATGACAACAGTATTTACACCACCCTTATCTGCTCAGAAATATTGTCAAAATCCACATGGGCAGTGCCAGCACGCATGGTTTAGATGACATCAGACACTTAGATCTTACGTGATAGCAAGGGCCGGGAATTCATGTCACACATACGTACTATGATGCCTGTTGTGGAAGGCGAAATATGGAAGAGTGTTAGAGGTGGCGCAAGAGTACCTACCGCACTGCTTGCAGAGAAGAAGCAACGCGGCTTTGTCGCGACATGTCTAGCGGAGAAGCTGCAGATTAGGATGTCCAGCGAATGGAGAAGAGAATACCCGAAGAGGGCGTGTTTGCTCTGGCACAATGAGAAGACACTAGGAATGTCACTCCTGGCAGCGGAGAAGAGGGAAGGAGTCGATTTTCTATCGCAGGTGCCGATTGTTGAGAAGACGCCGCAGGGTTGGACAAGAAATGGGGACCATAGGGAAGTACTTGAACGGGAATGATTTATAATACATTGTTAATATATAGGACATATGTACGAGTCATGGAATTGAGGTTATTAGGTTGATGGATTGCTCTATTCTAAGGAGCGTAAAGACGTATATAGAGGCTGCTAGAATATAGATTGTGTTGCTAAGTCAGGCTTGGCATAACCACGGCCTAGATAAGCACACCCATACTCTTGTAATTGTAGTAATTGTCCTGATATATTACTTAGGTTGCCATGCCCTTTGACTTCAAATTTATCGACTTGTAACTACCAATTGAGCTTATTCGTTGCTTAAAATTCTAACAGCGACCAAACCTGCTAAGTTCGGCGGAAGTTGCACCTGAACATTGCATTTAGCTATAATATTCTCATTGCTACTAGCATCAAGGCGTAAATTACAAATTTTATTAAAAATATACTTCTCCATTAATCATATATTCCGAATTCTTAACTATAACGAAGCCCTTATTATAGAACGAAGGGGGGCATATAAAAAGTAGTAGAACATCAATAGTATCCTAAATTAATCAAGAAATATAACTTCCTTGAAGTGTAGAACCACAGATTTGCGAGAAGTGTTGTAGGCTTTAATTACCTCGAATATAGAGATATATTTCATTTATAAAGATATCAACTAATTTCCGGACTCCGTTAAAATCATTCCCGCAATACAAAGATAGTTTGCTTTGTCTTCCGCGAGCCTCTCTATGTGATGGCATATTCATTAATTGTCTGATAGTACCGTAGGAATTATTCCACAAAAATTACAGCGCGAGCCGCCAACCTTCACATTGCTCCTCGTAAGTTTTCATCTGCTCTTCTTTTGCATAAGGACACTTCCCGCCACTACCTATCCCGCAAACCCCCTCTACGGCCTCCTCCACGTCTGTATACCATAGCACACAATCCTTACACTCCATCCTCCGCTCGGCCTTCTTCGTAACATCTTTGCTCGTATAATCATACCTATGCCCCTCTGAATCCTCCTTTTCAGAAGACAACTTTTCCTTTAGTGAAGGGAGATGATGTCTCTCCTCCGGATCACTGTGAAAATGACGATACCTGTGGTGCCTCTTTGCAAGTTTCGCTTCTGCTTCGATATAAATCTCACAGGGTGTCAGGATAGTTTTGTGGCAGGGACATTTAGTGAATATTTGTTTGCTCTGGAGACACATTATGGCTCCCCTGTTATTAGGGACTTCGCTCAGTTTGACAGTAGAGGATTGTTAGCCGTAGTGCCTCTGGTGTGTAATAGGGGGTATGGGTGAGCATTGGACTAGAACAAGGAGGGATTGCTTCTGTAGGAAATTTGGCTGCAAAAGCATTTCATGTTCATCTTGTTCACTCGCTGTTTTGTGAATAACCCAAGGTCTTGTGAACTGCCCGTTATCTGACAGAGAATTCGTTGTTCTGGGGCATAATGCGTTGTTTTGTAAAGAAGCCTTTAGTTCTGCTATTGACATATTCTTTGTGAAGCCTTCAAGACCTTAGATTATGGACTCAAGTTTGGGCTATTCTGATAAACACTACTAAATTACATCGAAATTCATAGGCATTGAGAATAGTTACAAGATTTTTGGGTATTTGACTTTTGATTTAACAAAATACAAGCCGACATGGCTGGATAATTAATCCATTAAGGGTCGTTCAAACATTAGACTCTTCAACGCCTAACGCAACACCTGATGCTCAACCCATAACACCGATACCTCCATCTAAAACCCCCCATTTCAAACAAAAAAATACATAACGCTGTCAAGTACTCGTATCCCTCTGCACAACAAACCCTGATTATCCCTAGCCGGCTGGAATCTCTTCCTTGTCCACAACCACAGCACCCTCGCTATGCCTCCCAGCACCAAGCCATATCTCCCTTAGCTTGCTCTTCTGTCGCTTCCTCAATCCACCCAGATGTCCTCTCACCTCCTCGAGTCCCTGAATTTGCTCTTCAAGGCCCAACGTGCTGGCATTGGCCCGTACGAGAGGGCTAACTAACTTTCCCCTTAAATTTTCCAAATTTGATTTCAGCGTCAATAATCTGCTGTTGTACTCAAGAAGAGCACTTTTATCCTGTACTGTCTTGGCGTGGACATTGCTTAGCAACTTCTTATTCTTCTCGAATTTACGCAGAGTGCTTGCATTTGGACCAAGCAATTTTGTCCACAAAGATGACAGCATATCGTCCTGCGCAGAATCCTGCTCTGAGGACTCTTGGATAACAGTACTAGCCAAATTCCGGAAAAGTTTATCGGCCGATTCGAAGAGGGAGAGTAGCGCAAGGGACTGTTGGAGTTCGGAATCGATCGCTGCTTCAAGCACACTGAGAAAATGGGTGAACGTGCGTTGGAGGGTTTGGCGGGTTCGCTGGGGAGTGGACAATCCAAATATAGATGTCGCCAACTTGCCAAGCGGGGTAGGTGTTCCCGCTGAAGTCTCAAAGAGGCCGCAGCGCCTGAAGATGCTGTGGAAATTGTCGAAGACCGAGCCAAGGGTAGAGGATGGGAGCATGCGTACTTGCGCAAGCTCCCGCTTAGCCCAGTCCATTACTATTAGAATTCTGGGATACTATGTTAGATCTGGGACCACCAATTATTAGGAGGACTACCTACCCATCAACGTCGCCGTCAACATTGGCAAAAAACCTAATTAGCTCCACGGTTAATGTCCCTAGAGTCTCGCTCAAGCTGACTAAATTTTCGACGATTGTTGGAGCTGAGGCCATATTTGTATAGCGAACGGTCTCTCCGAGGTCCCATACTGCGTATCCTGATGCCTGTAGCTCGCCGACCTGTTGCGCCCCGTTTTCAGAGTAGAAGATAAACGGTTCGAAAGCACTCGCAAGTCCCGCAACCTTGATTAAGTCAGGGCCAGGAAGGGGAGTTTCCGGCTGGGACAATATCCCCAGAATGACTGATAGAAGCAATCCGCCAAGGGCAGAAGCTATAAAAAACGACCATGGCCTAGCTGCAATACCGTAGCATTTCTTGAATAACAAGAAAACTGCTTCAAATGGAGCTATTTTCTGTCGCAGTTCTGTGTTGAGCGTAAGCCGAAAATCTTTAAGTAGTTAGCAGTTGCATTCATGAATTAAGTAGGGAAATGTGCAAGTCATACATGTCGCCGGATCTTCAGTCGATGGCATAGTAAGCACGCCGCCGTCCTGCCTTATCATCTGCCTCGCCGAGTTACTGATATCCAAGTCACTCAAGCTGCTACCAGGAGGCGGGCCCGGAATCGGACTCCTTTGTCTCTCCGGTGACAACGACCCGGTCGGCAGCCTAGTTCTGGCCGCCGCCGCGAGCGTCGCATCTTGGCCATCATCCGCAGTCTCGCGCTCAGGACTCCTATCTCTCGAGTTCCATCCCGGCGTGCCCAGTCCGCTGGTGCCTCTATTCCAAAAGCCGCTGCTTCGATTGCCGTCGCCGTCCCGTCTCCACGCGGGCGGGCTGAATCTGCCTCCAGAAACCGATGCTTCGATTTCCGAGCTGGTGTCGGAGAGGATCCCGGAGTGGTGAGAAGGGTAATGGAAGCGGGGCGACAGGCTGATCACGCTGCCTTCGGACTCGAAGTCTTGCAGAGAGGCGTCTAAAGAAGGATGGTCGTCGAACATGGTGTCCAGCTCCTCGATAGTCGTCGCCATGGTAGTTGTCAGGATGCTGTCGCACAGCGATCTGAGTCTGAGGTTGCTGCAGCGGCAGCGGCACTGGTAGAGGGGTTTTTCGGACGTGGCAGATGTAGAGGTAGATAAATAGCAGGACAGCAAGAGCAAGAGCAGTGCTGGGCGCGATTGTGAGAGATAATAGTGTGAAATGGAGGTGGTTCTGAACAGTAAATAAGGACATGGCCTCACGCCTGACCATTAAGGGAAATCAGGTCGCCGTGAGTCAAGGGCCGCCTGAAAACAAATACAGAAGGGCTGGTTGACAGGAGGGGATTGCAAGGAGATACGGTGAGTACGGAGGTACTCCGCACTATCTCTGTACCTTTGGACTCGGACGTTTGGAGGGGTCCAAGGAAGAATTGTGAGAGACACCAACCACCTATTTCATACCTCACCCCCATACAAAGTGTGCGCACCCGACGGGGCACCTGTGGCCGGTGCTCTGGTTGGCTGTGAGACCCTTGGGACTTGGTAGTTTTAACCTCTGTGAGCTGGGCGTCGTGCTGCGTTGTCCATGGCAATATTACTATGCTGGAGCTGCACCAGAATGACTTCTGGATGTTCAAAACAAGAGAGGTTGGGAGATGTGGACCAATCGTTCTCTGCCTGAGGTCGTCACTATGCGGCCGGGGCCAGTCACATTGCGGATTCTTCCCAGCAGTGAAACGGTGTTCCTTGCACCCCATTATTATTACTCCGTATTGGCTCTAAGAATTATTTCGTAGCTGTTGGCTATTCTCCACCTTAAGAGAAGAGCAGAGGAGGTTGTATTTGGCTTGAGGTTGAGTGGAGTAGATGCACCTGGTCATATTATTTCATGTATAGGAGGCACTATTGAAAATCGAGGCCTGCCATTGAAGAAAGCTATTCATCTCACGTCTCATACGCTCTATCTATGGTGTGCGGCCCGCTATGCTATGAACTTCGCCGGAATAAATCTAATCTACAAGCTTTCTTTTCAAGGCTTCCTTCCTTGCTCGCCTATCCATATAAGTTATTTCCTTCAATTCCTCCGTGATCATGATTATTACACTGGCTTTCTTTCTTCACCTTGGCCGCTTGAAATTCGGCGCACAGTTGGTCGCATCAATTCTTCTCCAATTAATCCCATGTGAGAGTGCAAATGAGCTATCGGGAAGCGACTGTGCTCCTATAATATTCAATGCTGAGGTCGACCGTGTACTTCAGGTAATTATCCTCTGTGAGAGGTAGTCGCAAGATCTTGGGCAAGTCTGCTTTCTATATCCATGCGTTAGAATCCCATGTTAGACGTGATGATGGTGTTGAACTTACCTCTCCTTTCCTCGCCGTGGCGATCACTGCCTTGGCAGCAGTTCCACTAATCGTCTCGACCGCGACTCTTTCCATAAAGCTCGGGTGCCGCGACTCTTCAACCACAGCGGGAAGACCCACCAGCAATCTCTCCAATGCATGGTGATCAACCGCCCTTGCATACTTCTGACTCTCTAGCAATTCAAGGTAGTCCAGATATATCTGCCCACCGAGATGCCACTCAGATATCGTGTTCTCTTTGCCTCGGAAGCCATGAAGGAGGGTCCGTAAGACGTCATTGTCCAGTTCAACGACATTCTTAGGTGCGACTTCCCTGGCAAATGTGCGATGGGCTTCATTAAACGAGCCTGCCTTGATTAAGCATTCAACCTCCCCTCGAGAGTCTTTGTCAACGCTGCGCTTGTACAATGCCTTTGCCTCCCAGATCCATGAGGTGGGTATCTTGAAAGTTTGTGTCAATGTTGTGAAGCTTTCGCTATCCTCTGACCCGATTTGCCCGGCGAAATGAGCAAGGTGATCCTGGATCGACTTTGCTCTGGCCATGGGTGACGAGAGGTGAAGAAGGACAAAGACAGTGTCGAGCCAGCTACCCTCATTTGTAAGCTGAGACGCAAAGGATAAGGTGGTTTGATCAGCTTTAAAGTTGTCGTTATAATTGACAGCCTTGGCGGATATGAGGGCTTGACTGAGCTGCCATGCCAGGCGGAAGTTAAGCGGGGATAACTGAGAGTTCGCTGGACCAAGAGTTCTTTCTAGGGCCATATCCTGGTAAGTGTAAAGCTTCAGGAGTCCCCAAAGCAAATCCTCACGATCTTCACGCTCCTTGTCTTCCCATAACGCTGGTATCTTCTCCTGAACGTACCATGCCTGTGGCCGGGCAGTTTCCTTTCCTTGGGAGAGGTCTTCAGCAAACTTCTCAACAGCCTCCTCGAGGGGTTCATCAGACATGATGCCATACCAAAGTCGGAGACCAAAAGCTTGGCGCCAGCCCAGACCAAAGCGTTTTGAAATGATGAATGATTCGATGCGGTCTTCGCCTGGTGCCCCTTTGGACCCTTCACAGACGGAGACGTTGCCGGAAAGCATTTCGTAGAGCGCCCTGATAGGTTGATTTAATTCTGACAGCAGGCGAGACTTCTGCCACTCGTTCAGTTGTTCTCGGATATCCCTCTTCACACTACGCTTTCCACCTATGAGGGCAATCAGGGTGGCAAGATGGAAGTCCTTGCCATTGATGAGATGCCCGCATGCATCGGCCACTCTGCGGGCGGATAGGCAAGCTATGGCCTTCTCCTCATTTGACTTTGCAAGTGCAACTTGCTGGGCAGATGCGGTCTCAACGAGCTTTTGCCAGAACGCTGACAACCGCTCTTTACGTAGGCGATCTACTATCGATGGAACATGTTCCAATCCTTCAGGAACGGGGATTTTGTCCCATAGAATGCCGGCGAGTGTCCAAACAAGTGTGTCGTGCAATGCAGCTGGATCTCGAGCATTGCCCTCATCGTAGAAATCGGAGAATGAGAAATTGTCCTTTAATCTCGCAAATGGCACGTCTTCAGACTCAGTGATTACTGTCATAGCCTTCTGTTTTTTAAGAAAGCCAGCAGAGACCTAATTCTTGCTTAGCATTGAGAATTCACAAAAGTTGTATGGCTAGAGCCTACCTCATTAGAGAACTTAGCGAATCGGACGTCCCTGCATTCGGAGACAATTGCTCCCTTCTGGATTGCAAGCAAGCCATTTCTCTCCCGAGACCGACGAGAGGATTTGCCCAAAGGCTTACTATCCGCTGGAGAAGCATAGACCAAGGCCCCATCTGGGCCCCAGCTGGGTTTCATGGACTCGTGGAAGGCGCGGTCTGCTTCAGTCATGTTGGTCATTTCACTGTCGGCTGTCTTCGGTCTTTTCGCATATGGCCACTGGAGAAAGGGAGTTTTAGCAAATGTTTTTATTCATTACATACATGCGTTGGCGCAACAGACGGCCCTCATCATTCGTCCGCCATCATCAAATCAAGTGCGGAATGGAAAACCAACCTCAAAACCTTTTGCTTTTGCTGGAACCTTAGGAGCCTTGATGGGGCTCTTAGTTTGACCAAACAACGAATTCATCAAATCAATACTAGTGGCAAAACCGCGCGGATCTGAAATAACTCTTCTTGCTGTTGGTGTGAGCTCTGATTCCGGCTGCGGGTCCATTTCAAGAATATTTATCAAACTCTTAAGAGCTGCACGGTCTTGCTTCTGTGGGCTGATCGTTTTTCTCAGGGTGTCCGTCCAGTCATTACCAGCCGCAAATTTTCTCTTCAACGGCGTCTCGGCTTTGTGAGCAGCTCTGATTCTTGCCCTGGCAAGTGCGTCATGTGCTTCCGTATCTTCATCCATGCCACCGTCATACTGCGAGTCTTCTTCACCAAGCTCCGTGGTATTGCCAACTTGAGGATAAGATCCCGCCATCTCTTGATCCACAATGCTGACAGATTCATCGTCGTAAAACACGTCGTCTTGTTCCATTGGCTCTTCGACGCCGTTTTCAGACTGCGAACCCACGGAGCGTTCATCTAAAAAAGACTCCCCATCTTGACCGACCATATCGTGATCCATTTCTTCGTCATCCACGTACAGTACCTGGTCATCGAAGGCTCCAGGCAAGATCTTCTTTTTTCTGAACTCAAAAGTATCATCAGGATCAGATTCGGTATGTGTGGCCTGTGAAGTAGACGCAAAGGATCGCTCCAATCCGCCTGACTTGGGCGTAGGAGTATCGGGGGGAGCACTCAGAGTGCTCTGTCCAAACTCGCTCATACCCTCGCCATCAGTCTCATCGTCTTCTGGAAAGCCGTAGGTAGTGAAATGCTCAACTGAGAATGTCCAAATACCATGGTCCTTGTCATACGAGACGAATTTGGTGTCCTTGACCTTCTTTAGGCGGTCAATATGCTTTTTGAATCGAGCACCTGACTTTTCTCCCGAGGGAGTTTTTCCGTCCCTCTTGCGGGGCCAAGAGTTCATTAACGAGATGACTGCAGGCACATTGAGCCCCTTCCCCATGGGCGGCTTTTTGGCAGGGTCCGAATAGACTGTTGCAGAGCGCATAACCAGTTGCACAATGTTCCCCATAATCTCGTCGAGGTTGATGTTCGTGAGGTCCACTGGGACATCAAACCTAACTTGCCCAATGCCTTCTCGTCCAACAGTGAAGTTAGTGACTTTTGAACGTTGCATACGGTTCATGCCCTCAATAGCTGCCTTAGATGGCGACATCCAATACCGTCCTGGTTCTTGGTCATCCTGAGTGGTAGGCTGCATCTGTGTGTTTAGCGGTGCTGGAACTGGTGCTTCCTCCTCATGAACAACAGCAAGCTCATTATTCTGGACTTGTTCCATCTCGGGGGATGCAGCAGCAGCTGGTTTCACCCCATTGGTGCCAGGAGCGGGTCGAAGCAAACCTAGTTCTTGAGAGCTGGGGCTTGCAGCATTTGTGGCATTTTTGAGTGGGCTGGAGCCAGAAATCCCGTTGGTCTCGAAAGAGACACGTTTTTTGAGAATGCCATTCTGCCCAGGTGTCGATGGGGTATGTACTGGGTTTGGTGGTGTGAACAGATCATTCCGAAGGCTTCTGTTGATGTTGAGCTTCTTCACACTGCCAGTGCTGCCAAACTGTCTTGCAGCGGGGCTGGCAGAGAAAGCGCCTGGAGCAAGAATACTATCTTCTGGGCCGAAGCTACGGCGGAGACTACTGGTGGACATGCTCGTCTTGAGGGTACGGCTGAACGTGCTACCAAGGGTACTTCCTCCAAAGGCACCAGGGGTGCTGGACGTACTCGACGCACTTCCAGGAGTTCCATAGCTGCTATACGAGAAACCGAATCCTCGTTTCTGCGGAGTTGTAAAGCGCGAAGTGGATGCCGAGTTCAGTTTATACATCGGAAGAGCCGAATTTTTCTTCTGCTTAACACTGCCGGAAAGCGGTGTTGCAATTGGACCTGGATTGTTCATCTGTGTTGAAGCTAGGTTGGCGAACAATGAAGCTCCACCGTAGGCTGCGTTGTCGCCGATACTCGCAGTGAGAGACTGAGGGGTTTGTTGTCCCTGTTGGGAGGTTCCAAGAAGCGAGTTATTGCCAAAAAGTGAATTTTGAGGCTGCTGAGCTTGCTGATTATTGATACTGGCGCCGAAGAGGCCACCTCCTTGTTGTTGGGATCCAGCACCTCCGAAGAGACTGCCTCCAGTCTGCTGCGACTGTTGGGGAAACGCCGATGGCTTGGCTTGATTATTTAGACCACCGAAAAGAGAGCCAGAGGGTTGTTGGGCCGTATTGGCATTTTGATTTCCGAAACCACCAAAGAGCCCTCCTCCCGTATTGGGTTGTGCGGCCGTATTTCCAAACAGTCCTGTACTTGTTGCGGCGGGCTTCGCCCCAAAGAGACCTCCTGTATTCTGGGTGTTGGTGGTGGCTCCGAAGGGGTTAGTGGTTGAGGTTGCCTGTGCACCACCAAATAGCCCACCACCTGTAGATGCAGCAGGCGTACTCCCAAAAGCCCCACCAGCTGGCTTCTGCGCAGTGTTGCCGAAAAGGGACGTGCCTCCTGCTGGTTGCTGCTGCTGAGTGGAACCAAACCCTCCAAATGGTGCTGCTGTATTTGTTTGCTGAGCAGCACCGAAGGGAGTAGCTGTATTTTGTTGTTGGCCTGTGTTGCCAAATAAACCTCCGCCGGAACCAAATCCTCCTGATGTTGCTGTCCCAAATCCAGTAGTCGCGGCGGCAGGCTGTGAAGCTCCAAAGCTGAACGAGGGCTTCGCGGCGGTATTGCTGCCGAAAAGCCCACCGCTGGTGTTGGATGCACCGAAACCCCCTCCCCCTGTGGTATTTGCACCACCAAAGCCCGATGTGCCAGTGGTCCCGAACATCCCACCAGATGCCGGTGCCGAAGTCTGGGCTCCAAAGAGGCCACCTGCTGCTGCAGGCTTTGCGCCAAAGAGACCACCACCAGCTGTTGCGGTATTGGCCCCAAACCCAGGCGTTGCCGCTTGGGTGGTACCAAATGGAGTGCTTGCGGCTCCTCCGCCAAATAAACCGCCGCCGGTATTGGTATTGGCAGCAGTATTGCCAAAGCCACCTGTTGTACCGCCTGCACCAAACGAACCTCCAAAGCCACTGCTAGCACCAAAGGCTCCAGGTTGGTTACTAGCGTTGCCAAATTTACGACCTGCGGTATAGTCTGCCAATCTCAACTCCTCGGGAGAGAACTTCTGATAGGGCTGCTGGAAACAGATGCTCTGGAAGGAGTTTTGCTGGTTTGAGGTGCTGTTTGGCTCCTTCTCCACAAAGGCCTGAAAAGGGACAACTCCGGTACCTTGACATTCACCCGTGGCCCCCCCTAACGCAGTAGCTGCAGGGGCTCCAAAAGCACCTGTTGTCGTGCCGCCGAAAGGAGAGCTTGTGGCGCCCCCACCAAATGGGGTGGAAGTTGCCGAGCCACCAAATGCCGGCTTGCTAGCTGCTCCAAACAATCCGCCGCCAGTAGAAGCATTCGAGCCAAAGCCAGATGCTGTATTACCACCGCCAGTCGACCCGAACCCGCCAAAGCCGCTAGTCCCGGTATTTGTCGCAGTTGTAGTTGGGGTACCCCCACCGAATATGCTGCCGCCAGTGGTGGTAGTCGTGCTTCCAAATGGCTTCGCACCGAAACCAGCCGTACCCGAACCGCCAAATCCTCCTGTGTATGGCACCAACGTTAGCGAATCTTCCATTTTAACAATAGCACCGAAAAAACAGCGTGTATCCATGCCGTAAATGATGAGTCGCGTCTCATTCACCGGCGACTCCGCCAATTTTGCAGGAAAAGCGATAGAGGAGTGGAAAGACGTTCGAATCGAAATGTCAGCTCTAGTGCAGAATGAACCAGAGCCTGGTATCGATCTCCAGTCGAACGGGACGTGTGCGGGCGCAAAGCATGGTCGACGTACCTCCAGAGCCTCCGAAGCCACCAGTAGATCCGCCTCCAAAGAGTCCACCGCCAGTCGTGTTCGTGCCTCCGAAGCCGGTATTGGTCGCGGATCCAAAGCCTGTGTCGCGGAGAAGATCCGAGTAAGTGATAGATTCGCGGTGAGGTCCAGCGTCCACTCGACCTAGAGTCCCCGGCTGGAATATACATTGGGGGTGGAAAAAGAAAGCGGCGACCTACCTGTATTGGTGTTCGTGTTGGCGGTTGACCCAAATCCCCCAAATCCACCAGTGTTTTGCGACTGGTTATTGTTTTGGCCGAAGCCGAATCCTCCAAAGCCCGACATGGCCGCGGCGGATCTCAGCAAGAGAGGAAGCGCTCTTGGATCGCTGCTAGAATGAGGTCTTGGTACCTTGGGATGTTAGTATCTTGGTGCCGTCGGTGGCGGAGAGTTGCTGTGATTGTGGTCGTCCAGATTTTATGCGCGGAAGACGCGCCGAGAAGAAAGAAGGTTGCGCTCAATGAGGATGAGTGATAGCAAACATCATCAGTGTGAAGGAATGACAGGAATGCTTGATGTGGTCCTCGGGGAAGTGAGGATGTTGGGGGGAGATGGGGTTGAAGTTGGATGGGGGAGCACGTCGTTAGCTTGGGGGAACGAAAGCTGAAGTGCAAGTGGAAGTGAACCTGAACGCGCTCTGGCTGCCCGAGTCGAGCTCCGCGGGAAAAATAGCCGCCGCAACCGAGCCAATGATATTGCGTGTATGGCGTCCTGACTAAGTCTGCCTTGCTGCCTGGTTTATCAGAGTCATCGTTCCAAGCTATTACAAGTTTACAAGCTATAAGTTCCAAGTGACAACTGCGATATTATCAACTTGCACCTGTATTCGCTGCTTGGTGGGCGAGTGAATCACTAGAATGTCAATATTGTTTGGCGATTGCTAAGCAAGTCCCTATAATCCAATAGTACCGTTTTGCACATATAGCTGCCTGCGGAGAATCATTGGCCCTGGAGTCTTCTATTCAATGCCACTGCACACAGCAACTGAGACGCAGTTGTGGCAGGCTATGTATGGCAGGCTTCCTACCTGTACAGTATGAGTCTTTCTTCTCTATTCGTATTGTTGCCACCTCTAGTGCCTTTTCTACTTCCAGACGAACGATTCTTGTTCTGGCTCCCTGTCAGGTGCCAGTCTTGATGCCTCAGTACAGGGCCGTACTGTACAATAGGTACAGTACAGTGTAGTGCTTTGGTGTCTTAATTCCCAGATCAAACACCAGGAGTTCGGGCATAAGAGAGTATTAACTGGCATCATTAGTCCACAACGTCCTATTTGAGCACAGAGGACAAAGTTATATATAAAAATAATAAAATCGATAGGAGATGATATTCCCAGGGTTGCCCCTGGAGGCCGGGATTCGCGGTTGGCCAATGTGCCAAACGCGTCCATGACGGGCGGCGCCGTACAGCATCAAAGAAAACATACCAGAGCACCTGCATCAGCCATCAACACAAGTAAACACCAGCCCCGCTATAATATCCTCTTTGTCCTCTACAATCAAGCAATCAAGCAGCTTCTGAGCAAATTCACTCTCTTCTTGCGATCTTATACCGCAATGGCCTCAGCAGCACCCCAACCACACTCCGCCTTCCCCACGAGGCCCTACTCCAGCACATTACACGGCAAACTCCCTGAAAGAAATGCGCCGGGCATCTTCGGCGCATCATCTACACGGGAAACGGCGCGTTTAGAACGAGAGCGACAGGAGCGCGAGCGCGCACATCGAGAAGCCCAAGCTACAACACAAGCAGCAGTTCAGGGCGGGGCGGGGCCTTCGAATCCATTGAACAGTATCACGGACGAGCAACGCGAGGAAATAAATGAAGCCGTAAGCACATTTATAAATGCTCTATATAGCGGCAGCTAACAGGATTTCGTTCACAGTTCGGACTATTCGACCTCGATAAAGACCAGCGAATCGACTACCACGAATTCAAAGTCGCGCTCAAAGCTTTAGGATTCGACCTCCCCAAGCCCGAAATCCTCGACCTCCTCAGACAATATGGCACCTCTCCAGATACGGCCGCGCAGCAGCCGCCGACTTCCTCACGCCACCCACACCAAGCCCAGCCTTCGCAGCAGCCGGCAAACCCAGGCCGGTTGCACCTTACACTCCAGGCGTTCCAGACCATTGCGGCGAGTTTGATAGCCCAGAGAGACCCGAGGGATGAGATCCTAAGGGCGTTCGCGCTCTTTGATACGGAGGATAAGGGTATTATTAGTATTGAGGATTTAAGGAGGGTGGCTAGGGAGTTGGGCGAGGGGCTTGAGGAGGATGAGTTGGTGGCTATGATTGAAGAATTTGATTTGGAAGGCAAAGGGGGAGTGGGGAGGGAGGAGTTTATAGGGATTTGTATGGGTTGAAGGAGCATTTTCTATATCACCACGCTACCAAGCAGACTTTGGTGTTACTAATTACTAAGAGGAGTCGCGTTGGGGTTATTATTCAGGAGGTTTGGCTTAATTGCAGGGTTTTATGTATAGAAAAAACTTGATAAAGCGGAGGAGTTTGGGCGCGAATAGGTGGGGTAACGGGACGGGCACCCGCAGTTCGAGGATTTTGTGGATTATATCGCACACTCAATGTTTTATGGTCAAGATCCAATTGTGCCATGCCCTCGTGGGTTGTTCCACCATTCGTTCTAACAGAAGAATCAATAAAATCCCCCAAACCCATGCTAGCAACGGCCGACCATGTCGGCCAAACAGTCCGGTGAATAGAAAAAGTATCATCCCGCACGCCTGCTTGAAACGAACAGGTGCGTATCATCCATGCTCAAATGAATATTAACCATGTACCCGAGGAACCCCATTTCCAATACTGAGTCTTAGAACTGTATCAGATCTCCTCCTGGGCCCTTCTGCTGTGGCCGAGCTCCAAATGGGTTACTCGATTGTTGACCGCCAAAATTGCCGAAACCATTCGACACACCTGCTGGACCTGTAGCAGCCGGAACCTGATGGCCGCCGAAGCCATTTTGGTTGCCTCCATATGTGGTTTGGGGCATACCGGTGTATTGGTTGTGGAGGAATGGGTTAGTGCCCGTTTGCTGCTCCGTCATCCTGCCTAACCCTGCGCCCGCGCTGTTCACGAACGTACCAGGTGCGGTATGCTGGGCTGGAATACGCAGGTCTCCAGTATTACCAAATGTATCCATTCCCTCACCACTTGCAAGTAGAGCATTGAGTCTGGCTTGGTGAGGGTCCATCTCTTTTGGTGGTGGTGGGGTAAAAGATGCAATTGGATTGAACGCCGAGGTCTTTTGCTCTTGAAGCGCGGCCAGCGTTGGCTTAGCAGGGGATGCGGTGGCCTGAGGCCGGTTGAAGGATGATGCAAATGGATTGTTAGATCCGGTGGGGGTAGGCATAATCTGCTGGGATTGCTGTTGATTTGTCGCCCAAGGATTGTTGGTGCTCGCTGGAACGAGGGGTTCCTGGGCCTGTGGTTGCGCCTGGAAGGGGCTAGAGGTCTGGTATGGGTTGAAGCTTGTTTGCTGAGGCTGGAGTTGCTGCTGTTGAAGTTGCTGTGATCCATAAGGATCAAAGGCACCTGTTGGTTGGGGTCCAAACCCATTCTGATATCCGTTTGGATAGCCTGTCTGCTGATTGACAACCGCTCCTGTGTACATATTGCCCATGTAACCGGTGGGCTGCTGTTGCATATTTGGATCAATAGGATTACCTGACCAATCGACCTGGCCTTGTTGCTGGTAGCCCTGATTAAACCCTGTAGGCTGAGCTGTCTGTTGAGTTGTTGGTTGAGCCGTCTGAATTAGATCGTCATCAAACAAAGACGATGCATTCTGGTCTTCCAATTCTCTCCTCCTCAGGTCTTCTTCTTCCTTACTCAATTTGATAGCTTTGGCAAGGTCGTCATCCTCGGGATCTGCGGTCCTGCTCTGCCGCTTCTTTCGATCCTCTTCCTCTTGGTGTTTACTTGCTTCGATTGCCAATCTATATTCCGCGTCTTCCTCATCTGCGCGCTGCGCGCGATGTGGACGTGTTCGGCGTTGGGGTTGGTCGTGCGGAAGCGCATATTCCTCAATACCGCTGACTCTTGACTTCCAAGTCTTTCGGTCACTCCTCTCACTGCGGAGCCTTTCTTCATCTAATACCAATGCAGTCAACTCTTTGGCAGAGACACGGACTGGACCCAGTTAGCTAAATCCATCATAGCCTGCCCAAATTCCGCTCACCATTCTGTCCAACATCCTTTCCATCCTCATCGATATATTGAAACTCCCTAAGAGTTTTGATTATGTAGATGTTTTTGTGCGCCCAAGTTACAACTAGCTCCGATCCCTCATGAAGACAGTAATCCAGAACCTTGAGGGCCTTTAAGACGTGTCGCCAGTTTTTGCCCTTATCATTCAACCGTTTATCGAGCATGTCCATAATTTCGTAAAACTCGTTTGAACTGTGTGCCAAAGGTTAGATTTGCTGCTTAACAGGGAGGGCTCGTCGTGCGTACGAATTGTAGGTCATTTGAGCTATTTCGCTCATCTCAGTCCCGGTTGGGCCCCATGGATCGTTGCTGGTTGCTTCCAAGAGTAAGTAAGGCGTTATCATCTAAGAAACGTAACTCACCATTCCGGACCTTGACCTGGACGCTCGAATATCCTTTGGTGACATTCTTCACCGTCCTCATAACCTTCGACATGGTTGCAGCTGGACTGTTGGGGGGCGAATGACAAAAGATGAATAAAGAAGGTGAGAGCTAGATCTCAGATGGCGGGTGGCTTCCGTGCGGTGCTAAATCGCCTCCACAGCCTTTTTAAGTTGCGAGCCGTAAAGCGCCAACGAAGCAGATGGAATGGAAAATCGCAGTGCTATGCGGGATTGAAGGTGCTGTATCGTATCGTCGCCGAGAGATTGCGCCGAGCCGCGCTTGTCGTCCTGCCCCGCCTTGATGCGAAAGAAGAAGTGAAATGTCACGACGAAGATAGCGAACGTGCGATGGGGATGGAACTTTCAATTGTGGCTCGGTGAGGCATGCCAGAGGGTAACACTGCGTCGTTGTGATGTGGATTGGGATTATGCGACAACTTGGGCCTTGGGAACTTGCAGTATGACGACGCTTGCGCTAGTGGCTTCTTCCCCAAACTAAATGATTCTTGGTTTATTAGGCGCCGCGGCAAGGACCTAATTTGATATTTGGGTTACAAAATCACGTGGACTATTCTTATGGTGGAATACGTTCAGGGCCTAATTCAATGAATAGTAGTAAATTATACAGAATATTACAGTTATCCATGCCGACCAGGAAAAGGTTGGGCGCGGATATTCCGGACTTCATCCAGAATTGCCACAAACTACAATAAAATCCTTGTGAGTTCAGAGTTTTTTGGTGGCGATATCACTCCTTCCAGTTTAATATGGAGGGAGTTTCAAAGACCTGGTGGTCATCGACAGCAGCCCTGGACATTACTCGATTGGTCTCCTTTTCCGACAAAGTATACATCGAATCTCTCCGCAACTCACAGGGCCAGTGTCGTTCCCAAACCACAGGTGATTGGGTAATTCCTGGAGCCCGGTTGCTTTCCTGCTGGGCATTATATCTTCGTATCATGAGCATTGCTCATTGTCGTATCGTCTTGACTCCTTCGTCCGGCTCGCCCAATCCGGTTGTTGCTCGCCAGATTTGTAGAGATTCCGTGCCGCGCATCCAACAGCAACTATTCCTCTTCATCGGAATATATCCTCGTGCGGTATAATATCCATTGGCTTCACCATTTTGATCCTTGGTTGAAACTCCATCCCAGCGGCCTGAAGCACGGCGTGTCTGACAGCATCGATCCCCATTCTCTTGCCATCAATCCACTTGTCAGAACTGCAGGCAATAACCTCTCCCACCCCGTATGCACCGTGCTCGGGACTAGGCTGGATGGCATCCTTCACAGTCTCCATTGTCCTTCGCAGATCTGCAATCCGACCCTCCAGAGCAGTGGGGCTGGGCGTCCTACTCCCAGGGAAAAGCACCCTGTCCGCTTTCGACAAGATGATCTGATATGGCACTTGGTGCTCCTCAAAGAGGGCCAAAAGCTGCCTGTCGGTGACCTTTATTCCATGCTCAGCATCAATTAATAAGAATGCTCTCTTCAGCTGACGCCTTTTCCCTAGGTATTTGAGAACCTCCTTGCCCCACTCTGCCCTTCCCCCCTTTCCATAGCCAGGCATATCCAGCACCACAATCTGATTTGTCTTGTCATCCTCTGAGCCTCCGACAGCGAAAGCATTCATCAATTTTGTTCGGCCCGGTTTCGAACTCGCGTGTGCTATCTTTTTACACAAGAGCGTATTTAGCAGCGAAGATTTCCCAACGTTCGACCGTCCGAGAAAGCATACTTCAGGGCTGCCTCCAAAGTCCATCGTCTTAAACTTTGGAGCAGACCAGAGAAACTCCGGACGATTCATCTTGAAGTACTTGGACGCATGCGTAAGTTGGTAGGGCGTAGGAGGTGTCGTGTCCCAATGATAAGACAAAGAGGCTGTGGGAAATTTTGGATAGGGAGATTTTGACGCGGAGCCATGAGGTAGAGCAGCGGTGCGACTGGGTGTTGTTACGCACCTACGGGTATGTTTTGAAGCATCACTTTGCAGACACCGTAATCGGGCATGGTGCTGCAGTCTGATGGATCGTGGTTTCAAATTGAGGATCATGTTGGTTAAGGATGACGGCCACAGAAGGTACATGAAGAGGTCCAGTCGGTTTATCACAGTACTTGATAAATAAATAATCGTCCGGGCGGAGGTGCAGGGGCCATCCCAAAAGCGCGCCAAAATCCTTGGAGAGCAAGAAACAAAAAGTATCCAGCACAACCCAAGCTCATCATCCGCCAGCTCTCCCAGGTCTGATCTATCGAAATACAACATGGCGTCCACCTCCCCTACAAAACTTCGAGCTCTCTACCGCTCCTTCCTCCGCGAACTGCCATCGAGGCCGCTGTCCGAAAAGTCTCGCTCGCCTCTCCAAGCACGCATTCGCAACACAATAGCTTCCAAGCCCGCCACCTCGGTCGAACAAACAGAGCAATTCCTTCACTATGTCAAGTCGCAAAGGATATACGCGACACTACTCGAGAGATATAATCCGGGCATGGGAATGGATGAGGAAGAGAGGGTCCGGTTGACAGCCAGAAGAGTGGGGATGAATTTGCCAGAGGAGTTTGCACCCGAGGGGTCAGACGGGAGTTCTGGGAACGGAGGTCAAAGTTAATACAGGAAATATCTACGTTTATTTTGCGTTGGACGGATGAAGGAAGACGAGCCTAGATGGAAAGTGCTTCGCCTGTCGCAGGCACCGCCAAATCTCTCTGGTACTCCCAGATGGAGCTGGTAGCAAAAGCCGACAGCGGGAACAGCTCGTTCATTTCACGGCATCGCTGGCTGTACGAAGTACGAATCATGCATCATAGCATACCTTGGGGGGCCACTGGCAAGCTATGCGATCAATCACGACTAAGCAATTGGAGTTTGGAGGTTCCACGGCGTCTACAACAGCATTTTGGGTTAGAATGGCCAGTACCACAAGTACTACGAATACTTCTAGAAAGCCCCGGCAGCTCGAATTATGTATCAACATCATGTGACGGATATCCCTCCGCACGTTACAAAACAATATACTGCTTATCCGCCTGAGAGTCTTTGGTATGGAAGCTTACTGTGCCGCATTCCAAAAGGCGTTCTGGAAGGACCAAGCCTGCGACCACTCCCCAAAATGCCCAACCGGGGCGTTGGGACTGCAAGGTTAAGTACTTTCTTACTGGTGTTGGCTTTTGTTGGCTTGTGTTCGATGTTATTTATAGCGTTGGTGGCTTGTTCCCGGTTTCCTTCCTTTTCCTCTATTTCTGTTATTGCGGAGTAGTCCCGGTTTCTCCACGTCCCAGGAAAGCATCCACAGCTTGGGGATATTCTTAGTATCTAGTGTGGAGCTATGAATGGCCTCAACGAGCACCGCTGAACAGGATGAATGAGTTCACAGAAACCTTAATGCTGAAGGGCGTATGCATCCCCAGATTGGAGCAAAGCTTGGCATCCCGTCGCCGGCTCATGGACAAGCCGAGAAGCATGAAGGATGGGTGGGAGCTGCAGCCACGGAGATCTCTGCTGGATGGTTATTCTTGAAGCAAGATACGTGGGCATGGTTGCATCATGCCATCACGGATATCTTATTGCAGCTGCAGCGCTGCAACTTTGTACGTAGGACTTACCAAGATACCGAACACCACCTGGCACGATGGCACTCTCAGGTCTCAGCCAATGCGCCGCCAAGCTGCATCCCTTCCAATGTGACGAGGTCTCCAGAACGGAGCGTAGGCGCCGACTGCAGTTGAGCCGTCAACTTACCACCAGTCTGCCGGCGCCCATTGGCCTCGTGCTGCAGCGACGAGATGCACTTGCAGGGCGGCGATTCAGTGAGGCCAATGGCAAAGGTGTGCACAGTGCTAGGTAGGCACTCCATATTTGGAGCCCCGGGTGGTCACAGCACAGTGGACACAAATTGTTGCAATGCACGCCCTGGCACTGGTATCTGGGGTTCTGGGGGCGCTGGCTGGGGCCTGCTTAACAGTGGTAAGTAGGGGCTCGGTAAGTACTGCAGCAGCGCCAGCAATAGATATCGGTGCCATAGTGCTAAGTGGTGCCAACTTGTTAGCACTGCTAGCACTCTCCCCAGGGCCCAGTGAGCCCTAGAGGCTTGAGGCCGTGAGCCTGGAGCCTTACGGAGTCGCCCGCAGCCCGCAGCTAGCAGCCAAGGTACCTCCCTACAGGTACCCACAGCGTGCTGCCTCCCCGTACCTCGACCTCCCGGTAGGGTACCACCGTGAACGCCCCATCCTCCCCCCCTAGTAGTTGGCCCCGTTGTCAAAGACACCTTAAGGGAGACCAGACCCCTCGCAAGTTTCATCCACGACGAGCCTCAATATCTGCCTCTTTCCCCCCCTTCGCGCCCTGCTCTCTGGTTTTCGTTCGAGACGGCCAGATGAGTCGTGACCAGAGCAGATCCGTCGCGAGTCGCCAGAAAGGTCGGGTGCTGGAGTTTCGCGTATCGACGATAGGCGTCTGTTGCTATTTTAGGATTGGGACGCGATAATGGCGACACTGCGAGATCTCACTCCACGGCGTCGACATGATTTGAGTCCGCTCACGACCTCCCTCGCCGTGAATCAATCGCCATTTCCCACGCAGACGCCCGTCTCGGCCCTCTCCTCGAATTCGCTGAGTGCCCCGTTTGGGTACCATCCAGCCACCTACACCCCCGTGAGCGCCGTCCGACAATACAATCCACAGCAATGGACCTCGTCACCGAGCGTGCCTTCAGACAATAACAACCACTTTATAAGTCGACCGGATTCCGAAGGTAAAACAGCCCTCCTCTTATGTTCTTATATCCCGCCAGCGCGACAGGCTGCGAGTCCACGGCCAGGTCTGATGTGAGACTAATCGAGATCTAGCCGCGGTCCCTGCCCCCCCCCCCTATTCCCCCCCGCGGAGTCAACGCACATCGACGATATCCAACGAAGACCCAGCCGCTGGGGTATCGCCAGCAACTCGGGTTTCTCCTGTAAATATATACAGATCATCCCCGGAACCCGGCTCGACGCATGCCTTCCCTCCTCCCCCACCGACTCGGACTCGAGCCGGTTCGAGTGATAGACCACCCAACTTGTTCAGTGGCATATCTGCTTTCACAAGGCGGCCGGGCCCAGAAGTACAACGGGCTTCCCCAGAGATCAATGCGGCTCCGCAGTTCACGGAACACCGGCCGGTGCCAATTGTCACTGAATCTTTATACTCTGAAGTTGGTCAGGTAAACTCTCGCCCACCAGCCTCCAGAAGAGCGGCCTCTGCCGGAGCGACAAGCACACCATCATCCTCACGCGGGTCATCATCATCAAGATGGGAACCCGGCATGCCGCTACCTCCTCCTCCCCCAGGTCCCCCTCCTCCACAATCAAGATCTCAAAGCATGTCTCGATCAACAGATCGAATATTGTCTCCCCCTACTCGACGGCCTGGTCCTACATCAAATTTGGGTCCAGTACCACCCACTCCTGCTGGTTGGGTGGATGAGGATACATCTGGAAGAGGGAGATCCCCCAACAGGGGACTCACAATTGATACCTCAAGCATTAGCTCTAGTATAAATTCCGGCACAGCCGGCGAGTCCAACTCCGGTTCAAGTTCATCGGGCCTGGCGAGATCGGGACACGTGAGAGGCGAATCTAAAAGTATACGAGAAAGGAGGAACGAGAGCAAAGCTAGGAGAACTGCCTCATCTGAGGAACCCTCAAACAATCCTTGGCACGAGGCTATCACTCCAGCGGATATAGCGGTACCATCAACGACCCTTGGCCGAAGACCGACCATAAATAAATCAACTCCAAGAAGCTCTAGGTTCCCCGGTGGAAGTGGACAGACCCCAAAATCGGCCGAGATGTCCCATCTGAACACACCGAAATGCGATACAGCTGGATCAAGGGGATCTACTCCTCGCCCGATGGCCTCGTCAAGCCGGCTTGAAGCTCCAACACCTCCATTCTCTCCGGGTCCATCCAACGCCGTATTTGGCGAAGATTCTCCCGCCATCCCACCCAAGGCATTGCCCACCCCACCACCGCAAGCTCGTACGTCAAGCACTGGAGCTGCTATGACCGGGCCCATGGCTCACTCGAGGTCGGGATCACGCCAATCGAGCACAAGCGATCCGTCTGAGCAATTTGCTCGTAGTGCAATCGAAAGACACAAGGCTTTCGCACAGAGGGAGGCCACGGCCACGACTGACAGTGAACGTGTACGCATATTCGCCGATTTCATCGTCGCTGAATCCCGACTTCGACGCGAGAGATACGCAACTGCGATTGACGCAATGGGTTCCGAAATACTTGAGCTAACACGGGATCTATTTCGACCGTATAGCAAGTCACGTAGGACATCAAGCGCTTCACGTTCGGCTGCATGGACACCAGAGTCCTCCAATCCGCCCATGTCTCCTACAATGAGATCTCATAGAGGCTCGTTAATGGCTGCCTTACATGATAGTCCCCAGCTTCAGACAGAGCCGACCCCCGAATCTAGCTGCTCATCTCCAGCAGCGGGGCGACCAGATTCAACTTGGTGGAAAGGTTATATGCCATCCTTGTCACCAATTCCTAGTATGAGCGTTAGTGAAGCCCTAGACGGGTCTGATTCTCGGGGCCGGCCTTCGAGTCGATGGTGGGAGGTTAGCCAGGAAGGCTCAACAGGGACTCCATCAATGAGACTTGAAAGATCGAAACGTGAATCGAAGTATATGGGGATGCCACGGGAGCTTCGAGAAGCTTTGCAGAATGGGGATACCTCTACTTTAGACAAGGGTAAGGGCATAGCAATTACGGGCCCAAGCGATCAGAAAGTGTACGGTCAAAACGAATACCCACCAGAGAAGGCCGGTTGGCATGAACAGGATTCAACACCTCCTACGTCCCAACAAGCAATCTGCAGATCTTCTGGCACTTTCTCGCCGGCACTTATCACGCCCAACCCCAATCACCTAGACGTCTCCCGGTTGGTAACACTTCCACCGCCATATCCTCGTCACCACCCAGCCGTCAATAACAACCATCCTGATCTGACCTCCATCCGGACTTCTGTCCGTAGCCTTAGCGACTTTGTCGAAGTAGAAGCGACCAAAGATCGCTTCATCAAATCGTCGACGCAAATCCGCGAAGACCATGCAGCAGCAGCATCGAAACGCCGAAACTCTCTCCGAGTCAATATCCAGCGCGAGATCGCCTCAGGAAACATGTCATATGCCGATGCTGCAAAGATCGAGGGGGCTTCCGAGCAGTCTGAGCAGGAGAAGACCAAAGAGGCATCAAAAGCAGATTTCGAGCTCTTCCAGGCACAGGTTGTAATGCCCTTGAATGACTTACTCATGGATCGAGTGACGCGTTCCACGGAGCTATTTGAACAGCTTCGCTCGAAACTCTTCGTAGACGCGCAGGAGCAAAGCCCGAATCTGACACAAGAAGAAGGCGACGAGCAGCCTGAACTGCTGGAAAAGCTTACACTGCTGAAATGGATCTTTGAGGCAAGGGAACAATTGCATAGGGAATTATTTGACTTACTGTCCGACCGCAATGACCGCTACCGCGACATGGTCATCACGCCGTATCGCCTTGCCGGCAACCAGGAGAAGGTAAAACACGCAGAGGACTTCTTCTCGGAAGATGCGGGGAAGAGGAAATCTACATTCGAGCAGGAGGTGCTCAAGCGCACGGAGGAGTTCCTGGATATCATTGAGGAGAACGTCGTCCGTGGTGTCGAAGTGCAGCTTAGTGCCTTCTGGGACATTGCTCCGAACCTCAGTCGGATTACGGAGAACATCCCGGGGGACTTGACGGGGTTCAATATCCAAATCCCGTCCGCGGAGTATGAGGAGAACCCCAGCTATTACCATTTCCCGATGCAGTATCTGTACAGCCTCCTTGGCCACTGTGAGAAGAGCACGTATCAGTTTATCGAGAGTCAGACGAACCTGCTATGCTTGTTACATGAAGTCAAGAGCGGTGTCACCATCGCTAATTGCCGGCTGATGAGGTCGCAAAGAGTTGCGCAGGGCGAAGAGGAGGGCGAAGTGGATACCGAGTTAAAGGAGGTGGAGCAGGACGAGGAGGTGCGGTTGACGGACGACCTGAAGGAGAAAGTCCGGTGCGTAGAGGAGCAGTGGAGCAGCGCCCTCGGCACGGAGCTAAAGGAAGTAAAAGAAAGAATTACTCGATTCCTAGTGGAGCAAGGAGGCTGGGACGACGACCAATGATGGAATATCTCCTTTATGTGTATTTGACTGAGTTTTTGCGGGGGTTAGAAGTGTGAGGGCTTGTGAATATTGGATACCCATTTAAAGTTTCTTGGATAACTCAAAACAGATAGTTGTTCAATATATAATTTCTCTACATCAAACTGAAAGGAATGTGACAATATATAGAACTAGCTATATTAGCGCGCGGCGGCGGGGTTTCTATTCGAAGCAGGGGCTGACAAGTATGGTTACATTCCCCGGGATATCGAGGCGATAGAGAGACTATCTACTGTATCTATCTGCAGGAGGGAGCGCGGGGCGCCACACGATAATAATCTCACTTGGTGTACGGTATTCCCCTCCCCCCTGCGTAGCTTATCTATACTTGTAAGACAATGGAATAATTTAGTATTATGGATATTCGAGACGAGGTGCATGATCTGCGCGCCCATGCACACATGAAATGCGGCTGGAAGAGAGAGAAAAAACCCGCGGGAACGAATGAGCGACGCGGGAATGGACATCCAAGGCATTGAAGAATTGCTGGATATTACCAGCCGTCCCAGGTGATCGATCGCCCATCATCCATTGAGCGAGGGGGAGAAAGCTTATTGTGCAGCTGATGAGATAAGGTAATGCGGGATACGGTGTGCGATGAGGGTAACTAACTACTAAGCTTGGCAGTACAGAGGGTTTGTGTTCTCGGCCGGTTGGTGATGGTTGATGGGTAATGTGGTGATGGTATTCCAAGAGATGCTTACGACTTGCTGACATTTTTGTTGAAGTGAGACGACGGGCAAGAAGCGCCACACGCTGGGAAGCTTTTTATGGATATGTATGTTAGGTTATAATTATAAGCGTTCCACAACTTGCGATTCCATGGTTGTCATCAGCGCGTATTTCTATATTTGAGATCATGTTAGGATGGGAATAGATAGGGACGGACAAACCATATGTTGGCACGGCTAAGCTAATGATCGTCGTCGTCACGCCAGCCTCGTAGGTTGTGCTACCTCCAGCCTGGAAGGATATGTAGCTCAACATGGACTTCGAAGTGGGTGGTCGTGGCTTGAAGACCTTCCGACCATCCACATCAACGTAAACAGCAGCGCAGTGGTGAAACGGCGACGGATCGGGGCTGGAGGATGATGATGTATGTACTGCGTATGTGGGGGAGATCCGCCACAGGAGGAAGGAGAGGCATTGCGAAATGCGAAACGCGGAGGTCGAAACAGATTCGTTCCTTCGTCCTTCCAACGGGTTCACAGAACGCATGTACTTCGCACACACGACGGGGCCCAACAGGTCTTTAAATAAATCCGTCAGAAATGCAAACATCGGTCGAGTTTAGGCCATTATGATTGCTCGCCGGCGGCTGGAGATTGCAAAGCAAAGCGCTGCCCAGGGGACAGGAATAGTATCCAGCGCTTGCTGGTACTCGGTTCTTCACCAGGCGCGGTTTGATGCGCGCAGAGGAAGGAGTTACATGTTCACAGTACTTGGTACCGTAGCCGCCGCCGTCCGCAAGCGCCAGCAGCCCTCCGGCGGAGCTGGCGTCTCGCTCAAGCATCAAGCATTCCTGCGAGATTGTCGTTGTTTGAGGACGATGTAAATAGAGATGTAATGTAGGATCCCCTGGACGGGCGGGTATGGGCTATTATTGAGGCGGTACCTAGGTAAAGGTATGTACAGTATCCTCAGTATGACTGACACCCGGGAATACAAGCGCCGCGGGTTTATGAGCACGAGGACGGACGAGCTGTTGCGTACGAAGTCCTAGGTACGTAAGGACGAGAGATAGAGACCACGGAGTACGAAGTATAGAGTATAATAATAAGAGTACGGGCGTATAGATTCTGCTTCGTAGGGGGCAAGACGCCTGCACAGCCACAGCCTTGCCTCACCCGTCGTGCTGACGCCGCGAGTACAGCATGTTACCAGAGTGCCCGCTGTTGATGATGCTGTGTACCCCGGAGGTCCGGGCCATCGAGGCTCTCAGCTTGATTTGATTTGGCAAAGACATAGATTGCGTAGATTACATAGGTACCTAGCTTAGCCACCAACTCCCAGCTGATGGAGCGGGCTTGACCATCTGTTGGAACTTGGGGGTTCCGGTGTTGAAGGTTGAGAGCATCGACCTGTCGACTGGTAGCGGCTCTTCAGAACCACTCCAGTGTGGCGGTGGGAACGGGGCAGTGAAGATAGTGGATGCTGCAGACAGGACGGGCGAGCCAGTAAAGGACGAACTTGAATGCTTTCGCACACGGCCGAACACCGGTTCCTCCGTACTGCTACCACTGTTCGAAAATATGTACGAAGTAGGTATGTTGTTCTGCTGGCTCTTTGGCGTGTTTCACTCGGCGTCGTCGTCCAAGGCCCTGGTGGCGATCCCTCCGAGCTGCCCTCGCCGCCTCCTGGAAGCTAAGGTACAGGCAGGACTCGAGTACTTCGTACCGTACCTACGAAGTAGTACGTACGCCTCTATTTCGCTCAGCATCGTCGTCGTCGACTTTGACTGGCCGTCCAGGCTTCCTTCAGGCGTCGGAGCTCGGCGGATTGGTGCTGGTTGGTATGAGCCTCTCTTCTCTTGCTCCAGTCATGTTGCGCTGTCCAGCACTTCGTAAATGCCACCCACCACCAATGCTCCAGCCTCCAGCCTTCCAGGCCATGGGCGCATTGTTGCCTCCTCTGACGAAATGACGCCGGATTAACAGCAATAATCTCAACCTCGGCCGCGTCGGAGCCCAGCCACTTCCACGTCCCAGATTTTCCGGAATCTCTAGACTTGCGACGCGTGACTCCAGCTGGTTCCAACGCATGATGGCTAGTACGACGCGTGCCCAGCGGCCATCATCACCTGCGCCCATTCGCAGCTCTCCCCCTTACGCCGTACTAACGAGCCAGCTTCTTGTCTCGCGCGCACTCACAGGCTGGGACTTGGAAGGGATGTCAGGCTGTCAGCAGGATGGCCCCGTCGAACCTGCGCCTGCCACCGCTGCGTATGAGCACGGCGACTGATTCCCGCTGGGGAATCGTCGTCTACGGACGTATTCGCTGGGTGCGTGGAATGCTGGGAATGCATGACTGGCAATGATATCCAACCTCCTCAGTCCCGGCCGGCATAACTAGATATATCATCCACCACGGCGCCGCATTCTGCCTTTGTCTGGCCGTCTTCTCGTCTTCTCATGCCCCACGGAACTGTCGCGGCCTTATTCTCCGTCTCGAACGCATCAGCAAAGCATACAAGCATCTCACCATACCATCACAGCAAATAGTTAGTTGGGTTACTACGTACCTATTGCCCTTTCTGTGAGGCTGTGATTATCATCACTGGGCGAAACATCGATAATCCCCCGTTTCACCATCTTATCAGCCTCCTTGCAACGGGGATTCATTGGCAGCGCAGCAGCAGCCGAAACAAGAACTCTCTCCCTGGAGATCGGTTTGTTGGTAGTTCCCACTTGGGGCCAACTCGACTCGTCCTGTCATCCCAACGGACCTGGAAACCAGCCCTCCCTTCAAAGGGCCCACGACGACCAGAAGAGCGCATTAGCATCTTTAGTGCCACAACGCCACACCCTTCCTGGCAGCCTGCCATATCATTCCGCACAGGGGCATATCTCTCTCCCTGGGACCCGCATCCTTGCTGCCCTGCCTTCGGCTGAAACTGCATCCTCAGCCAAACGCCAGCGCCTGGAGGGACGGCCACCTTATTCGGAGCCAGCCTGGGCCAACCATTGCGCATCGAGGGGTAGAATTCCTTACCAGAGACCAGAATAATCTGACTCGGGCAGGGAGAAACGGTTAGAGGGATAGGAAGCAATCAAATCCAAGTACGGAGTAACTCCTGCAATCCTCATCTGGCCCTCCCTCTGGTTCACAGCCATCCATACATCGGCCGCCAAAGGGTCGACCCCCAAACCAGGCGCTCCATCGCAGGTAATATATCTTCGGCCAGTCCCTCATATCTTTCTCTTGCCTGCTCATCTCACCTCACCTGCTTCGAGTGCGACTTCGACTTCGAAATCCAGCTTCGGCTTCAATAATAATATCCTCGCGCGCTCCCCCGACCTGGCTGTCGGCAAACCCCATTCCACACTCACTCGATTCAGCAAGAGGCCGATCACATCCCTCAGGAGTACATCTTCCACAACTCCCACGAAACAACAAGAAACGAAACACGGACACTTATCCCTCCCCTTTTGACGACATTTGAACGGACCAGCTGCTGCCACCGTCTGTGCGTCCCCAGACTTGACCATAGTGCCCTCGGACAACCCCTCGATCGCTCCAGCAAGGGCTTTGTCGATCGCGCATATTCGGCCGGTTCACCCTGCTGCATTCCTTTCGAGCCCAAAGTGACCATAATAATCAAGCCACCCGCTTCCCGCATCGATATCAGCAGCAGCATCAGCCTGGGGCAGATCCTGCAGGCTGCAAGCGAGGCTTTGTGAAGCCGAATCCTTCTCGCGCTCCGTCTTCGTCACCGTCAGCTTGGACACCGCCGCACGGCGCCCCTTGCGTAGCATAACAGGCAGTCGGAACTCATATAGTCGTCAACTTCGCCGTTCGCTGCATAAGTGTTACTGCTGCGCCAGGTCAAGCTTCAGTAAAGCTTGGGTTTTTTGGCATCTGGAATATAGACTTGCAATTTCCGCTGGTCGGAACAACTTCGTTCCTCTGGGATTCCTCGCTCTTCGCCTACCCCAGCCCCCTGGTAATAGCATCATTCACCTACTCCATACAGAATCGCTACCCACGACGCCGCTTCCTCAGCCTCGTTGTGCCCTCAGCCTTCCACTCCGCCGCCCACAATAACAACAACAACAATTCCATTGACCGAGTGCCGATCTATTGTCTCCATCCACAAACAATACAACAATAGAGACAATACTAGACCGATATTATTTCAACGTCGAAACTCCATCTACCGCATTCTTAATCTTGAATTATCCTTTTCCTCTTTCTCCTCCAACACTCTCTCCATCATCACATCACGTCTCATATCCAACGCGGCTTTCGTTATCCATCCATCATGCCTCGCAGCGCTCGAGAACTGAATGAGGCTGCCCTCGATCAGTTCATCTACATGCCCGTCAGCTCTCAGATGATCAACTATCTCGCCATCAAGGCTGCAGACGTCATTCAATGCGAAACCCCCGATGCCCTTTCTGACGACCTACCACCTTCGCCACCTCAAACACCCCCAGAAGATGGAACCACCACTACGGCTCGTAAGATCCCTTCCCTAGAGCGATTCATCAGCAACTTGGTCCGCAAGTCAAATGTCCAGGTGCCCACTCTGATGACCACACTGGTCTACCTCGAGCGGTTAAGGAGGCGGTTACCACCTGTGGCTAAAGGCCTTAAGTGTACTGTCCACCGAATCTTCCTAGCTGCCCTCATTCTCTCGGCCAAGTTCCTCAACGACTCCTCGCCAAAGAACAAGCACTGGTCTGAATACTCGAGTGTACGAGGCTACGAGCCCTTTGGCTTCTCAAGAACCGAAGTCAACCTCATGGAAAAGCAGCTTCTCTTCCTCTTGGACTGGGATCTCAACATCACCGCGGATGACCTCTACACGCACCTAGATCCCTTTCTAGCACCAATCCGAAGTGATATTCAGCGACAAGAAGCCAAGGAGATCAGAAGGAAAGCTATGAAGGAGCAGAAGCGATTGGAACACGAAGCAGCCCGCGCTCAACGCGCTGCCGACAACCAATACTGGACACCTGTGTACGAGGAGAAGCGCGCGATGCAGTACGAGAACCAATACTACGATCCCACTGGAACCCTCATCAGAGCTGTATCTACACAATGTGATTCTCCGCCATCATCAATTGACGTCCCCGATCTGTCTCGCAGTGGCACCGCCGACACCTACTCTTCCGCCTCATCCTCAGCTTCATCATACGTCTCCTCCATCTCAAGGAATGGCACCCCAGTTTCGAGTATCAGCAGTTATCGCGATGACCTTGAGCCATCTTGCGACGGTTTACCACGAGCTTACAGCGCCAGCCCTACACACGTGGTCCGAGATATCGTTCACGTGCACATCGCAAATCAGCACGTGGGAACTGGTAAACATGGCATGTTGCCTTACGAGATCGAACGGGAGTCTCTAGTTGAGGGAAAGCCCGCCAAGAAGGCGCGAATTGGGAGCAACATCTTCTCAAGATTCCTTGGCCAACGAGAACGACAGTATGCATAGTGTGGAGGATCGGACGAATTTTCTTTGTTACCTGCTTTTTGCATTAAATGCAAGATGGATTGCATAACGGGCGGGACGGTTGAAATGTTTATAGATGGACTCATTGCTATGTTAGAGTTTGCATTGCATCGCATGGCGTTGGGGATCTGGGCATACCTAGTTATTACTATGGGTTTAATGTCATATCATCACTGGCTTGAACCGGTTGAGATTCAACCTCAACTCCTCCATAGTTTGTACTATGAGAACAGAGCATTCGAATACTCCTAATAATACAAAGCATTGCAAAATTACCTAATTGTCATTTTACACTTAAAGCACAATGTGATTGACCTGGTTGATATTATCCCCAGACCCCATCCGATCCACCCCTCCAAACGAACGGCAATCAGCACGTGACTTCAGGGGGGAAGTTCAAGCTCACGTGCCTTCGTTTTCTTCTGTCCATTCAGGTTCCTATTGAATACTATCATCTCATGAACACGTACGTAGTACACTCTAATACATTGCATTCCTACATCCTACTATATCAACCTTAATCCTTAACTTAATACCATGGGCAGCATCCCGGGACTTTCCCATTTGCAACGCTACCTCATACAATAAGAATCGGCAAAGCTCGCTTCCCACAGTAAAGTTCTACGCCCCCCTGGCGGAGTGTTCTGGTTCTCAAAAACAATAAATCCCACCGAGAACTCAGCGGGCACAAATCCACCACAGAGTAGCAGTTTACCCCATACCCCATGTTCTTGCATAACGAAGGTTCTCACCCATACGGTTACCAAAAAGCCACTCGCCCCCATTCTTCGCATCCTTTCGTCCTCTAAACATGCGCCGTCGCAGATCCCTGGCCATCCTAGAGGAAGCGATCCATTCCTTCGTCCTCGCTATTTCTATTTCGATTACCAGCCACAGTTAGCAACTTTGGGGTTGCTCTGCGCAACTAGGTTACAGAGTACCGACATGTACTAGCTGGGGATGGCCTTCGATGTGCATACCTTCTTGAGGACAGCTGTATCTCTTTTTGTTTCGGAAAGGAAATTATCTCCACGGCCAAGTAAGGTTAAGTGATCCCTCATGAAGCTACGAATGCTACTCTATACCCAGATCTACCATTCTTTGAAATAATTAATGTAACTATCGAGGTTTCGAGCTACGAAGTACATTCATCCTCGGAATCCCCGTCAACCGTGTCAAGTACTGCGAGGAGGCGGTGTGGAATCTTCCTTTTCGTGGAGAGGCGGGGGAATGCCATTTTTTTTGTACTACTGTACGTACGAATTCTGCCTACCTCCATTAGCAGCTTGAAAAATGCATGTTGGTAGGTAAGGTAAGCAGCAGCCTAGAAGCCAAGGCAGATTGGTGGGCAATCCTTCGCGCACGCGACAGCTGTGGTTTTTGTTAGTCCGAATAAGAATAATCACTACTACTAGGCTGCCAGCTGTCAGTGCAGTAATAATCTACAAAGCTTTGTCTTGGATTGATGGTGCAAGTTGCGTAGTGTCGTAGCTCGCAGCAGCTCGTAGTTCCATACTACTCGATGAAACACATTTATTTCCTAAAAATATACTTCGTAACCCAGGGGTTTATTCCCTCCCAAGAGGCGCGGTAGCAGCAGCGAATATTGGCTCTGTTTTGGAACTTGCGCCGCATTTTTTATGTCGGACCCCGAAGTTACAAGTCTTTGTGGCTTCTGTATGATGATGATATGGTTAGCGATCTACTCGGTCAGGTAGCCCTGGGGTAAGTCCCATTACTGGGGGACACATTATATCCCAGATCACTGAACCTAGAACGAGGCATTGAGGTGAACTTCGATCTTGCTTGCCCCCTATTCCGGCATCTCATGATGGCCAGCAGCTTCAAATTGTGATCCCGCATTTTTGTATTTAATAAGCGAGAGGTTGTTAATAGGATGGGGTTTTATTCGATTAGCAAATTAAAGTAGTTGCAACACTTGCTACATGAAGAAGGGCGCCGTTTATCTTCGATGGTGCTTCCGAGTACGCCGGAATTGGGTTATGCGCCGTCCATGACAAGAATACAAAATACGATACACTAGACTGTAGTGTTTATTGCGCAGTGCTGATGAAAGAAAGAGCATTGAGGCATGTTGGTTGTCGTCACGGATATACCCAGGTTCTATCTTCCACATAGGAATAAACACACTCGTGCGTTGCTCATCTTATCAAATCCATATCAATCGAAAGCCAGGTTGCTAATCCAAGTCTTGGTTAGGGGCCAATATCTCAGGTGTGGTTTTCTTCCCACTGGATCGCTCGTTGCCTTCATCCTCGTGGTGTTTACTTCAAAAACCATAGGTTGTATCTACTACATAATTTGGGCATCATGCTTAGAGAAACTCTAGAGCTCATTATGAATAACCCGTAAAACGCTATACAGCGATTTTTAAATCGAGATTCTTACTGTGTCTGCTTGGAGAAGGCCACAGCGGCGTTTCTTTAACTTTCCCACGCGAAAGTTGTCAGGATATGTGCCCGGCGGTACCTCAGACATATTCAAAAATCCTTACATGTATACCCCCAGCCAGCCACTTTATACTCAAGACCGCTCTGACAGCAGTAACTTTATTCATTTGGTAGTTGCAGGCAAGGGGTTACGAGCTCGTAATCAAAAGTACATTTGCATAAGAGCAAAACTGAAGCTGAGTTCCAGGTAATGATTCTATATAAGTCGTGATGACTTTCAATATAATATAATACACAACATGATATTACGGTCGAACGTGTGTATTGCACATATCAGAGCTCATGTTAAGCTTGTACTTTTTGGTCATTGCCTTGAAGTAGTCATATCCGCACCACCAAAATGCTATCTATAAGTCCCGGACATGTGCTTATTAAAAAAGTCCTAGCTTCATTAACTCCCGAAAATGATGACTTCTATCAACGCTAGGGATAGCAGTTGAAGCAACCATATGCAGTAACAGCTCTAAGCACCAACTCGCTATTCAAAACAAAGCACGGCAACCGCTAACACACAACTCGGGTATCCTTCGCACGCAAAAAAAGCTTATAACCAACAAGCCATCTCCCAAGAGATACTCATCTCATAGCAGGTGGCGGGACCTCTATGGCAGGAGCATGCTGCAACACAGTGTCTATCGGACTATCAGGAACGGTAATATTGTCTAGCAGACCAACGACCTCCTCGCGCTGCTGCACCGCGTTCCATTTCCTATTATTAGCAAGAGCATTTGCTTCCGCATCTCTGAGCCATTGGTCCCATTGTGGAGTGTCTGGCGCAGCACCGCTCTTCTTAACCCAACCAATCCTCTTTGTCTCCCGAATAGCATACCACATAGTCCTCGTAAAACTTGCCTTCTCCTCCATGGTAGTGGCGTGATCAGGGGTTATATCGGCGTTTTGGGCATCGATCGGGGTGACGTCCTTCCACTCATAGATTGACAGATCCCAAAACCAATCCTTTTTCATGAGGGAGACCATCCAGAAGGCACCGTTGAGGACAATGTAGGAGCCACCTATTGCGGCTTGCATTGGGAAGTCGCAATTGCCAAGCAGCACTACAGAAACCATCAGAAGGAATGTGCCAAATCCGACCAAGACCCGGTAGGGCTTGTTGCGGCAATAGTACTTGCATTCCTCGGTTCCGGTATAGAGCTCCCGAGCCACATTTTCGTTGCACTTCACAATGATGAATGCTCCTTCTCGGGTTCGGATGGCGACGTCTCCATCAGGAACTTTGGAGTGGAAGACTCGTTTTGTCAGAACTGGTGACCACCACGAGGCGTAGCCGATAATGGATGAGGCCATGGAGATTGTTACCAGCGCCAGGACTGCCGTGCCATCTTGGATCAAGATTGCCCACACGAGGAGCCCTATCGTCAGGAGAAATGATGTGACGGAGAGGACATTTAAAGGGGAGAGTGATTGCGTTGGTATATGGGGCTTGGTCTCGCCGGTGAGCGATTCTTGGATCTTTTGGAAGGTAGTTTTGCGCCGTCGTAGTGGAGTAGGTTCGCCGCTCTCTAGACCACCAACATCAACGCTCGTGGAGGCGGACCCCGCTTTATTATTCTCCTGCACGGTACTCGCGGTCCTCGAGGGCGGTGGCGTCTGGTCCTTGTGCTTGATCTCGTAGACTTTGAAGGAAAATGGTGGAAGGTCATCGAGGGGGTGGATGATGTTGGGAAAGAAGTTGAGGGTGGAAACGAGGGTGCCGTTGTAAATGCCAACCACAGCTGACGGAAATTGTGGCATTCGAGTTGGACGACTGGCTTTGAGGAGGGTTTGTGGGGCTGGGATGATTCGAGGTAGGAGGCAGGTCCACGAGGAAGTCAGTGTCTGGGAATGCCCTTCCATGGAGCTCTCGCCGATGACGGCCAAAAGAGACACGATGTCCAACCTCCATCCTTCCCTCTCTGCTCTGGCATCCGCAAACCATGTTCCTGCCATTTCAAAAGTTCCGATTTCCGTCTTGTTTTTAATCTCGAAGGGCGTTGGGGGTTGTCGATATATCGATGAGTGGGGTGTTCAAGATTGTCTTCGTCTCCACAACAACGGTCGTAGCTTCAATCTCAGTTCGTGGCCCACGGAACAGGGCTTCGATCAACAGTACGGTAGGAAAGAGCTTGAGAAGAAGGTCATGACTATGTGCAAACTAGACGCGTCAAAGCAAAGGAGGGAGGGAGCCCAGGACAGAAAATGGATTCCAGCAGGCGCCGCGTTGCCAGGCCTGAGGGTCCTCGTTGGTAACATCCTGGAGCTTGTGAGGTTGCTGTGTGGCGCCAAGCAATGTTTCTGGCGCAAAATGACAGCCTTGATGAACCCCGGTCCGTAAGCTGCATTGGGCTGAGACTCGAAGCGTCCTGGACTGAGTTGGGGCTATGAAACAAGTCAAAAGAGCCTCATGGGCGTCCAGACCAGTCAAACGTATGAGGTTTCTGCGGCTTTGATATTGGTTTTAAAATCTGGGCATTGGCATAAACAGTGACATAAGCATGCGATGCTGTCTGCCAAAATGAACATGATCAAACATTAAGGTTGGCGGCACCACCCTTAAGCCTTAAGCCTTAAGCGGCAGCCGGGATGTAGCGATACTCCACTGTCCACCTCTTGGGGGCGGAGACTCCCACTCGTCCCGTAGCCTGGTGCAGGGAAGAGGCCCCTTACTTGTACAGAGTAGTTGTCTTGTACTCGAGTATAAATAATTATTAACCATAGCCCCATTCTTCGTAGCAGACAATGATTTTCTTCAGCGACATCCAAGGGACCAGTCATTTCGGATTCTGCGCCCACGCCCCTCATGGATTTTCCATAATCGTCCAAGGTCAACGCGGGTATCATTCGTTATCTAGTATTCTACTCATGCTCTCGTTCATAAAGACATTTCAAACCATCGTAAAAATCCTGACGCTTCACAGGAGCCTGGCGCGGGAGCCCCATTCATATCCAGCGTGACCTTCCAGCATCTCAGTTGTTAGCTGGTACTTTGTGTTGACGGGTCGGCCATGTGTCGTTGAATCTTGAGGAATTTAATTCCCTTCATCCCCTTCCCGGGAAGCCAGGATAGAAATTTTCGTAGCACCCTTAATAGGCAATGCTCAATTGCTGTCTGTCGCTGGCTCCCATTTTGCTAATTTGGGGCCGTACTCCTCGATAATCCACTCGCAGAAGTCTTGCCACCTCCTGGTCCATTCCTCAGTGACATCCGCCAATTGCTCTGGCTCCATACAGCTGTGTTCCAAGCTCCACATGGCAAGTTGCTTCCAGCCGTACAAGCTCATAGAATCCGCACCGATCATGACTTGATAGAAGTCATGGGACAACGAAGATCTAAGAATATTAGCGGTGATATTTGCGGAGACAAGCCGGATTACTTACCTATAGAAAGTTGCATTATCGCTGTTAATTGTACAGGGTACATCATTCGCTAGTAAAATCGGAAGATGGTGTCCCGCGATAGTTGGGGTGAGGCCCAGCACTTCGTTTGATATAGGGCAGGATTCAATGGCTATTTTTCTCTCTTTGAAGATCTCCATCAGAAGAGGATGCCTAGCAATGCCATAACCATGCCCGATGCGTTTGGCGTTCAGGAGAACCGCATCAAAGAGGTTACCGTCGACTTTTGTGCCAACATCTAGGGTCTCGCCGCAGTGAAACAGAAATGGTATATCCAAGTTCTGGGCCCTGCAGTTCTTGCGAAATTCTAGGAATTCGGGGACGAAATGGCGGAGCTCGTTACCCATTTCTTCATGACCGACGAGGTCAAAACCTGTAATTATATGAGCATGGTTAATTATTTAGTTAAAGAGGGCCGCCTGGCTTGGCTTACCACAGAGAAGAGTCTTGTACTTCTTCTTCAGATCTATACATTCATCTAGCGCAGTCTGTATCTGCTCTTTGTGGAACGATCGCGGGGTGCAATAAATCACTTTCATTCCCCCAAAGTAGTCGCCGCTTTCCCGAATCTGCTTCATGGTTGCCTGAAGCTCCTCGTCGATAATCTTCATGATTCCTGCATTTCCAATGGAATTTTCTCCGTCGTCTGTCTTTAGAGAATTCGTGCTCATGAAGTTCGGGCGGATTTCGGCATACTGGATATTGTCCTTGACAAAGTCTTTTATGCATGCCCGGGTATAATTCCGAAATGCGGATTCATAGGCAAAGAGCCCCTTCATCATTTGAGTCCGGTAATTGAATCTCTCCCAGATACTGCAAAAAGTTAAAACCTCAACGTTTCATCAAAGGGACATGGGACTTACCCATGACCTGTCTGGTGTGTGCCATGGGCCTCCTCTTCCGATATTATCATTTTCCTCTCTAGCCAGGCTTCGGCTCCTGACGTCCCCTCTAATTCGTGGCCGTTCTCTTCAACGAATTTGAAGTGCCGTTGAAAGTCTTTGTACGGCATCCACGTGTTGCAAATGTAGTCCTCCTCCCAAACGTTGCCTAATGGGTGGTACGCTTTATCACCAGCGGTGTTTCTGGGGTGGGTGGCCTCGTGCTTCGTCATAACCATGAACGATATCCGCGACTTGGCAAAGTTTTCTTGAGTTGTCAGAGGAATGGTGCTCCGGATATACATGGCGTCGATATCCCTCGCTTGCTGGATCAAGAACTTGGCCGGGAGGCACGAGTTGAAGTGGATATGAAGGTGCGCGCCCTTGGGCATCCGCCTTGCCACTCTTATGAGCTCGGTCTTATCGATCGTATCGACATTCCCTAGAAAGTGTTCCCCTCGTTCGACTCTCTTGCCCGTGGGATGGCCCTGAGCATCATGTGACCTCCCATACGTTTCAAACCAGTCATAGTCTCTGATTTTCCGAACTAGCGCAGCTGCTTCCTGCTCCGTTTTGGTGGAAAATAGAGTGGCTTCAGCATCGAAAGCGCGATCTGCTTCTGTTGACAGCAGGTCGCCCCGGGCCTTGTCGTAAGCCGCGGTATCATCAAATTCTCGCGGGGTGAGGGCGGCGCGCCAGCGCTGCTGGGATCTTGTGCTGGGCCTCTCAATTCGAGGCATCTTAAGGAGCCGTCGCGGTGGTCGTGGATGGAGCTGCGCGTGAGTCTTGCCCTCCGATGGCTCGTCGCGCGCTTTATCAACGACTGAGCAGAAAACGCCCATCCTATTCAAACCATGGCCCCCCCCTACGGAGTAGGGCGCCTAGTCCAGAAAGCTATGGCTGTGCTTGGGGATATATTTTGCGGGTATATAGAGTATGTCAACTCGTTCTAGTGCAAGTGACGGCCGGCTCTCATAGCGGTGGAGCTCTCGGCGGGGGCGGGGGACGGGGATACTTTCGTGGTGTTGTTGTCCAGAGCTTTGGTGCTCCAGCTCCCGAGGGAACGACGCAGGTCCTGCCTGAAAGCCTTGGAAGCTGTGTCGCAGGGGAGGGTCAGAGGCCTACTGCTGGGCCTGTTGCTCCGCCACGACCGGGCTGCTGCCAGAGCTTTGCGATCGCGTGCGATCGGGAGGTGATTGGCTGCATATACCATGAATCTACAGTTATCGGCGTGGCTTTCGCACCTGATTGTTTGACGGTTCGCGGTCCTGCGCCGGCGGAGAACAGACCGGCGCCGTATTTGGGCAAATGGGAAACTCTGACTCGTAGCAACTCTACTAAGCCGAGTAATTAAGTGAATACAAGTGCTTCGTAGTTTGGGAGCTTTGGGGAGAGTCTTGCAGAGTACCTTGCGTATGTGGGTCTAGAGGTTCATAATATTTGACTTTCAGGGCATTATGGGCGTTCGGGAACGGCCACAGGGACAAGCAGTCACTGGAACAGTCAAAGAAGGTGCCACGTGCCCAACTGCTGCTTGGGTTTTGGAAGTGGCGAAGAGGAGAGGGATCATGCCGTTCACAAAATGCAAACCACAAACGCGTTGGCTAGAAGGTTTCTAGAAGAAGTTCGGAAGGGCAGGTTTCAAACACTGCCTAGGTAATGCTGCCCATGGAAACTCAGTTAGCTTCAAAAGGTTCTCCTTCCTCCTCCTCTTATGGTTAGCCAGTCCGAAACCTATACTACAGAACTACATAATACATGTACCGATAGTCCAGAGTACGCACGTAGTACCGGGCCCTCATGTAAGGCTGCACAGGAGGCAGAACTTAACGGTCACCCGGCCCCACCAAGGGCCTCGTCTGAACTTCCACGACACATGCGACATGCGACGTGGTGTTTATCTGTGACCCAGCCTCATGAGCGTTCCATCATGATTACGGACTGCCGTCTTAGATTCATCTGACGCATGCGGCCACCACGTATAAAGTCTCTATCCGCCCCAGTCAAACACCCATGCGCACATAAAGGTGACCCGGTGTCTATGGAGTACGTGAGAAACTGAAATATGTTACCAAATAGTGGGTGTTTGCAGGCTCGTGAGAGCCTGTCCACGGGAATAGGATACCAATTCTGATTTAGTGATTTATTTGACGATGAGTACATAGCAAGCAAAAGTGTATCTGTCTAGCACTGCCCCCAAAGAAACGCCAAAAGTTCAATTACCCGCCGCTCCTTGGTTTTTTGCGCTGTGCGCTTTGCCAAGTCACTCTATCGCTTTTGGTACGCCTGGCCTAATCGTCAAACTTAATTCCCTTCTTGCCTTCGACATCAATGTACCCTCCCCGATAGCTCCCTCGCTTCTTTTTATTCTTCTCCTTGGTAAACCCTTTCCCCTTGGTCACGATGAGATCCTCGTGGGCCTTCTGCGCATAGTCGTACGGCACATATGCGTTACTGGCCAAGCGCTCGTCTACCATAGTGTCCTTTGGGATTCTAGAGAAGGGTACGTTTTGCTTCTTGAAAGGCTTCGCAACTGGCTCGGGGGGCAGCGGCGGGGAGAGCTTGCGGACCTTTGGCGTGTTTCCACTCTTCGCCGCTTTGGACTTTGGTTTTGATTCCTCTTCATCCGACGATGATGAATCGGAACCAGAGGTCAATTTCTTGGGATCATCGGAGAGAGTCGCGCTAGTATCCGAAGCGGTAGCTGGTTTCTCGTTGGTATCTTCTTCTGAATCGCTCTCTGAGTCGGACGACTCTGAATCGGATGACTCCGAGGAAGAATCAGGCAATGGCGTCTTTTGCGCAAGAGAGTTGGTGGAGGAATCGGAATCGCTGTCAGATCCGGAGCTTGAGTCAGAGTCAGAAGATGACGAAGAGTCAGAAGAAGATGACGAGGAGCCACTCTCAGATGAAGAGCTAACATCCGTCTTGGCCTTCTTCGTCTTTGGACCGTCACCCTTCGAGGCGGAATGAGAGTCTGACGGGCCGCTGCTGGGCGAAGCTTTGCGTTTTAGGGCATTGGCTTTTGGCTTCGGCAATGCAGAATTCGCTGCTGGCGCTTCCTTCTCATCATCTGCGTCACTGTCGGAACTACTTGAAGAAGAAGATGCTGAAGAAGAGGATGCGGAAGAAGAGGATGCGGAAGAAGAGGACGACGATTTGCTGCTGGACACCTTAGTTGCCGGGGCATCCTTCATTTCCACGTCACTGTTGTCGCTGTCATCACTGCTGGTATCGCTAGTATCGCTGGTATCGCTGGTATCGCTACTGCTCGGTTCCGGGGATTTTGCCTTCGCTCTTTGTTTCTCGCTCTTTGTTGGCTTTGCATCCTTCGACTTCTTCACAGGAGCAGTGACACTCTCGGAGGCAATTGTCTTCGTGCTTGTGCTGCCTTTCTGGGCCTTTAATTCAAGCCATTCATTGTAGATAGTACTGAGTGAAGGTACGCCAGCAGCAGTGTCTTCCGCCGTCTCTGCTCGGCTTTTGCGCTCTGTCTTGAAACTAGTACTGGTGCTCGTGAACTTATGTTCGGAAAGGAATGCATCGATGGACTCGAGTAATCGGGACGAGGGAGCGGGTTCCGAAGACTCTCCTCCAGCAGCTTGACGCTTGAGAAGAACTTTTGCGAATTCTTTCTCTTGCTTCTTTCGGGCAGTTTGGTTCTGAGGTTTGGCGGTCGACGCGGTACCAGTGGCCGGAAACATCCAATCTGGCTGAGGTTGAGCAGAAGCGTTCTTCCGCTTCCCCAGCTTCTGAAGGTTTGGATTCCCCGCCATCCTGAGCTATGTGATGGAGGCTGGTTGAGGATAGGTAGGTCGAGGTTGAATTTGCAAAGCAGAAAGTAGATCTCTTATCGCAGCCAGAAAAAAAGTTTCGGAAAGTGACAAGGGACAGAATAATTCATTAAGCGAGCGGCGGGAACTAACTTGAACTGGGGCGGTCTCGGCCCCTGCAGGCCTTACATGCGAGAGCGCGCCCACGGCTGAACCAATAGAAGCGCAGCACTAAGTGCCTTAAGGCTTAAGCTGTAGGTACCTCTCCAGGTTCTGGAGCACTGGAAGTACCTCGGTCTGCCTCTATGAAATGATAACAATAATATTGTACCTACAGGAGGATAAGTAGGCACCCGGGCAGTAGGCATAAATGGAATATTATTACTCCGTGATACACACACACAATATACAACTTGAAGTCACAAATATCTAATACATTTATGCCTCAGTCTCGGTTTCAGAAGTGTTTAATTTATTTCCATGCTACCCTTGGACGTAAATAAACAAGTCTGCATTTATAATGACCGTCGGGCACGACCTATATCAGTAGTTATAATATGTTGTCTCCTTCAAATTGCGTTGGTCACAGGATATTGTGGGTTTACTGTAAGTTAGGTACCTTAGATAAGAGCCACAGGGTACGAGTATGACCTAAGCACGCAAGTACCTAAGTACCTATCCTGGGACTACTGCATGTTAGGTCCGTATCGATCGCCGTCTTAAACCACCCTCTACTTCCTACGGAGGCCGGAAGACGTCAGGGATGCTTCAAGCCCCGATGTCAACGTCGACTTCGACGCGCAGTGAATCCATCTGGTAAATCCTCTGTCCACAGCCCGCCGTCCGCAATTCACATCGCAATCCCGCGCCCATCGCATTCACGAGTGCGCACGGCTATGAATACCGAGCTACCGAATTAGCAAAACCTGGCACACGGGGTATATACGTATATAGATGACTGAACTGATCCCGCAATCAATCCGCCCATACGACGTGGCTCCGCCAGATGGAGGGCTCATCGCAGAATGGGCCTGGCGGGGTCAACGGCGACAGTTCAATGACCAGAGCAGAGAGATTTGAGAACGAGAAACGGAGGATTATTGAGACCTGCTTTGGAAAGAAGGACGAGGATGGATCCTGTACGGCCCTGAACAGTGTATTTAAACTGCACGCCAGAGAAACTAGCTAACCCCTTGTTCTGTAGTGCTGGAATCATATATCACCCATATAAGAATCACAGAAGATGCCGCTTACCCTTCGTCACCGCCCCCTCTCAATTCCAATCCAGAGACCAAGAAGCCTCGACTTGTAATTGTCGCTGTGCGGAAATCCGGGCGCGTGCGCATGCACAAGGCAAGGGAGAATGCCAACGGAAGTTTTTCGATAGGCAAGACGTGGATGCTGGATGACCTGACAGCTGTGAAGTCCTACAGTGGGTCAACTCCTTCCAACCTGGAAGAGGAGCAGCACAAACAATGGGCAGGAGGAACCGGGTTTGTCGTAACTATCGGCAAGCCATACTACTGGCAGGCAAACACCCAGAAGGAAAAGCAATTCTTCATTGCAAGCCTCGTCAAAATATACACCAAGTATACTGGGGGAAAGACACCTGAGCTTGTTGGGTTTGATCCAAGGGAGCGGGACCAGTTGCTCGGGGTTTCTGCCGCTGCCGCTGGTACTCGACCTTCGCCCCCTTCGCTGCCGCCCGCCGGGGGCCAAGGTCCAAGGCCACCATATGGCCAGGCTCAGAATCGTCCACTGAGGCCTGAGCCGCCGCAGGAACGGGCTCTTAGACCTGAGAAATCACAAGATCGAGTTCTTAGACCAGAACCATCACAGGAGCGGGTGCTACGGCCACAGCCTAGTCGAGATGCCGTGCAACGCCCACAGGGTCGAATGCCGCCTCCAGGTGGATCTACTGGTGGGTCCTTCAATTCGCAATCATCGCGGCCAGACATTCGAAGTCGCTCCCCAAGTAGTAGCATGGAGTCTGGTGGCCCTGGCCCGCAGCAAGCCCTGCCGCCCTTGCGGAGATTCCCAGGTCCTAATCAAAGCCCGGAATCATTCGGAAGAGGGGATGACAGTCGAAGAGTTCCCAGCGCTACTCAAAGCCCCGAGCTATTTGGAAGGAACGGTGATACTCCAAATATTCCCCCACGCTCGCGTGGTGGATCTAATGGCACCCCAAACGCACCTGGCAGGTTTCCAGACCGCAGCATCACACCCAACTCGCAACGTGCAATCACGCCTGACAATGGTATGTTTGGCACTAAAGACACATTGAATGATGCTCCACCAATACCTGCACCTCTGGCATTGCCGCCGGAACGGCGCAGACCTGCCCTATCAAACATTAACGACTCATCACGTCAACGTGGTTTAAATATTCCGGATGAGAGCATTATCCCTGCGCCATTAGCAAGCCCCGGAATGCGCAGAGACAGAGAAAGAGACGAATTGCGTCCTCCAGCACGCAACAGTGAGCGAACAACCCCCCGTGAACGCGACGCCAACTTCCACATGACCAGCATTCAGCCAAGTATAGACGCCACTATCAAGTCGGAGACACCTAGGAAGCTGTCAGGAGATACAGGTCGGAGTGAATCAATGAAAAGCTCAAGCAGCATCCCCGCCGTGGTATCGGCCCAGCCACCGGCTGCCACACCCGAGCCACCGGTACCTGTGGTGCCACAGATGCCACCAGAGCCAGAGGAGCCAGATGAGGAATCGCGTCCTGGGCTAGGTCCTATGATCAAGAAGAAGTCTAAGGGCGACATTGCCAACACATTCCTCAAAGCCGCAAAGACCACTAACGCTTTAAATGCTTTCAAGGCCCGTGCCGGAGGGGCTGCTGAGCGCCTCCGAGAGATGCAGGCAAAGTCTCCAGAGGGCCCAGATGGTATTAGTGGGGTTGTGCCAGCGCCTTCATTAGTCCGCGGCATGAGTGGTGGGGATAGCACGGCTGCTGCAACTCCTTCTACGCCTGCTCCGGACAAGGCCCCTCCACCAAAGCAAGCCGACAGCATCCCAGAGGTTAAGATAACAGTTCCCCAATCATCAAGCGCCTCTAAGAGCGCAGAGATCCCACTACAACCACCACAGGACAATGCTGTATCAGACAAATCAAAGGCGCGCGAAGTTAGGCGGCCAAAGCCAGTTTCCGAAACCATGCAGAAGGAGCTTGCGTCTTTGGGAGTTGACCCAAGTGTCCTAGGCGGTAGAGGAAGCGAAGTAGTCGATTTCTGGGAACAATTTGGTTGGGTAGGGGACGGAATCAGGACTAAGAACATCGACCAGATGCAGGAGGAAATTGAGCGCGAGCTTAACAAGGTCCAAGCCGGAGGTTGGTTGGCTAAATTAGATGAAGAGGATGACAGGATCGAGGCGGTCAAGTCTGGACTGGATAAGTGCATTGAGGAATGTGACGAGCTTGATGGCTTGCTAACACTATACTCTGTGGAGCTGAGTGTAAGTCTACTCCCTATACTTTTTACTATTTTTTCTAATTATCCAGACTCTTAATGAGGACATTGCCTATATCGAAGCACAATCGCAAGGCTTGCAAGTTCAAACCGCCAACCAGAAACTTCTACAAGCCGAACTCACATCACTCCTTGATACAATATCAATCTCCTCAGACCAGCTGGGGAGCCTTCGCGAAGCCTCTCTGGAATCCCCGCAGGGCCTTGAGCAAATTGAGACTTCCCTGGTCACATTATTCAAAGCCATGCTTACCATAGATCCTTCACTCGGTTCGTCAGGTCCCCGACCCAGTGAAGATGGCAGTCTAGGTTCTGGCAAACCAGGTGGGATCGGCAGTTCCGAGATTGGAAGCATGCGTGTTCTTCAAGAAAAGAAGGATGTGTACAGGGACGAAAGTGCAATGTTCCTTCGTCGGCTGAAACCATTCTTACAAGTTAAATTTGGCGCTGCCATTGATGAAACAAGGAAAGCTCTGGAGCGTGAGAAAGGAAGTAACCTCACTAGAGCGGCAGGCAAAGTTAAACTTGATCCCCGGAATCATGATCTGTCTCGCGAGATTCTTTGGAGATACAGCCCCCTTATGCTGTTTTCAAGGGAGGCAGATAAACCAGAATGGGAGGATCTAATTAAGACCTACGAAATGGTTTCCCGTCCTCTTTATCAAGATGAGTTCAGAGACGCAGTATTTTCCTGGAAGCGCATTGCAAAGAAGCCTACTGGAGATGAAGCCGAGATCTTGTTCACGTCCCAGATCGAGAAGCAGGCTGAAGGCATTGCAACTACTGCTAGGAAGCTGACTGTGAAGAGAAGTCAGACTCTGGCAAAGAGTCTACGTTCACCTATCGGCGACAATACCAGCAAGACCGCTATTGATAAAGCCCCTGATGGCCGTCTCCAGCCATACGAGGTATTCGTGGGAACTCTCGACGAAATGGTACCCATAATGAGCATGGAACAAAATTTCGTCGTCGAGTTCTTCCATATTACATCCCTTGAACAGTCTGACTTCCCAGATGCAGTTGCCGCTGCACCGCCAGATAAGCGACGTGGCCCGGATTTGAGACGACCACGGGTAATGGATCCAGATAGGGATTTGGCGAAGCTAGTTGTTCAGTCAATGGAGGAGATCTACTCCTTTTTCGCTGGTGATATGCAGGCACTTGTAGACTGGGCTCTTCAAGCAGATCCAATGTAGGTGCACAATTACCCGCTCTTAACAGACAATACTAACAGATTCTCTAGGCAAGGCATAGGTCTCATTGCTGCTATTGAGCGCAAACTCACCGATCTAGAAGAATCCAGTCAAGAGTATCTCACAAGAACCCTCCAGAAGCTACACACCAGGATTCTGGGCCTTTTCAACAAACTTCTTGATGAGCAGATCCGCGCGATTGAAGACACCAAAGTAAAAATCAAGAAGCGGAAGGGAGTCATTGGATTCATCCGTATCTTCCCTTCATTCTCCTTGGCGGTGGAGACTATGCTTGTGTCAGCAAATGGCTTGGAGATTCGGGAGACTGTCAATCACGCATATACCCGTATAAACAAGACAATGTTCGAGTCTCTCAAAGTCATCGCAAGAGAAAATCCTGGTGCCCAGACTGCAGGTGCCGATCCCGAAGACAAAGAAGCGCTCAACTATCAGATCCTTCTCATTGAGAACATGAACCATTATCTCGAGGAAGTGGATACTCGCGGGAACCCCGTTCTTGAGGATTGGAAGCAAAATGCGGCGCAAGAAATGGAGGAGCACATGTCACTTTACCTAGGCGCCGTGATCCGTAGACCATTGGGCAAGCTTCTCGACTTCTTGGAGAGTACAGAAAGCCTTATGGTCTCCCAACAAGCAGGAGAACCAGCATCTAAGATCGCTTCAATGCCAAGCCATTCAAAGTCGACATTTAAGAAGATCCTTGCAGGTTACGACTCTAAGGAGATCAAGCGAGGCATCGAAACCCTGAAGAAGCGAGTAGAGAAGCACTTCGGAGATGCAGATGACCCAGGACTTAGTCGTGCATTGGTGGCAAAGGTCATCCAGAACTGCGAGAAGTATTACGAGAACGTTGGGGACCGGATCTTGACAATTAGCAGAGATGTGTATGATGGCGACGTGATTTCGGAGTGGACCAAGGCGGATGTCTCGACAGCTTTCAGAAAATAAGAGACTTCTTTATACTTTGACGTTGGAAGGGGTTGCATATGGTTGGCCAGAATGGCTTTCGTTCGCTTGTATTTTGAGCGGATATTTTTCATGGCATGGCGTTATGACGTTGGGGCCATTCATTGTACGTATATACCATTGTATCAATGTAGGAATATAGCACTGGATTAATGCAGATGAGTTTTAACCGCAAAGGCTTGATTGCCATATTTTACTTAAAATCGATTGATACTTCTTCAAGTCTGTTCAGTCTGTTAAGTTAAATAAATCCGGTAAGTCGAGACCTAAACGCTCCGTTTTATAATAGTAATATGCAACGCCGTCATAGCAATTCATTCATTCACTATGGAAGCTGATTATGCAAGGTCATTCCAGGCAGCGGCTGCCTCGCTCTCTGCTTCAGCAGAAATTATCTCCAGGATTTCTTCCCTGGTGTGGCCACTCGCGGGAGCCTCTTCGTCATCATCGTCCAAATCCATCTGTCGCATTTCATTGGACATCTCAACAACCCCCTGGGTCTCCCCTCCCTCTGCCATAGCCACGTCGCCCTCATCATCTTCATCTTCAAAGTCGGTATTCAATTCCCCTGGAAGCTCTGAGCTCCCATCGGGTGTAGGCTACTATGAGTTAGTTACTGTACGACAAGGATTTCGCATGGTAGGTAGGTTTACCGTGATGTTAAGGTCCGGAACGTTATACTTCGCCGGTTTTTCCTCCCAGTATTTCTCCACTTTTTCAACTGGTTGGTACCGCTGTGATAATAAAAGGTTGGTCATCTATAACTAATTTGGTCTGTAGACACTCACCTTCTTTAATGCTGTTCTCAAGAAGTGCTGCATAACCACTCTGGCTTGAGCTTCGCTGGTGACTTCACGGTGGAAACTGACCTTGCCAATCAACGATGATATGGCTTCATGCGTCTCCCACTCGAAACTTCTCATCATTACCTGCACCCAAGCGGCTTCCATTTCGTTGCGATCCAACACTCGAATATTCTTTTGAACGGCAGCCCTATCCAAATTTTCGCAAAAGCCGAGGTATTCCAAATTCTTTGCAAGCCAGATGAAGGGTCGTTTGTAGTGTGGGAAAAGCCGCTGGTCGATCGTAGTTGATATAACCCGGCGGAAATCGCTACAATACGCCCAGAGACCATCGGCTCTGCCTTCCAGACTGCCATAGATGCTGATAAACTCAGGGGACCACTCCCACGAGCGTGGGGTCATGTCAATATCGATCATAGCGAGCATGGCCATAGATTGGCGAGTCGAGAGGGCTGGGACTGGGGGTAGGAGAACCAGACACATTGGCTGGGCCTCTCCGCTATTCAGGGCGTTCCTTGCAGAGTCAAGAATCTGATGGTAACCAAGCTTGTAGCCGTATGCTCGGCAGGCAGTCACCATATATCTCGTTTTGTCATCAAATTGGAATAAGGGCCCATTGCGAATCGTTTCTATGTTGAGGGGGAAAAGAGGGGGCCGCAGGTCAGTATGGTGGTTCGCCATACTGATAGATGTGTTGTGGATAGGATTTTGACCAGTGGGTGAAGGGTGAAAGGTTTAAATACTCTAAATATACTAATCAATCTGGAGCGGGTTTGGGGCCAACAGCTAGCAAATTAAAAGTGTGTGGGAGTAGATGTGGAGTGGTTTTGGGAGAAGCTTAGAGTAAATTGAACCATGAGTAGAAGTAGCTGTGTGGTGAATTTAGTGTAAAAATGAAGTGGTGAATTGGAATACTTCACTAGTGAATGAGCACTATGATGTGTTATTTCTCTCGTAAATTACTCAAATGAATTGGAATTTTCAGGGGTTTTCTTGTTCTGGTATCTTTCAAAATGATGTACTATTTCTCTTGTAAATTACTCCAATCAGTTGGAACTTTCTACTGTTCTCTTGTCATTGTATCTTCCTTCCTCACTAGAAAGGAAACCGAATATTATGTGGACTTGCTATCATAAACTCCTCCATCTTCGAATTCTCTGCTGTATTTAGCTTTATAGTTACATCAAGTATTTATACTATATATTAAAGAGAGTAGTGTTTATTTTGAATTGACGATAGATATTATTAGATTAATAAGGGAAACATAGTATTTTTTAGAGACTTTTATAGTACAATAGCTTCAAAATATTAGAGCTTAACTTTAAATATTACTTTAATTATAGGATTTGGTAAATATACATGGTATTCTATTTTCAATCAACTACTTACATTGGGCTAAATTGGCCTCGCGGACAATTCCCTAGGACTTAGCAGAAACCTAGAAGAATATACAATACCCTATTCGAGGAGACATCGCCGGAGCAGAATAAGGAAACACCAGACCCAGTCGATAAAGTCTACTTTGAGGACGCTAAAGTATATATAGAAGACCATTATACCGATAAACCCAAATATAGCTAGCCTAAAGAAGCTTCTTACCCCGATGCCAGCGCGTATTTTGTCAATTCTGCATATTATACTCCCTTAGCTAGGGAGTGTCGCTCGCATACTGCCTATACTCCTAGTATTGAAATCACACATCCGGGGCAAAAGCGCATCGCTGGCTATTCTACGGCCAAATCTAAATCTAAGCCAGACTTTACCCAGGTTATTTACGCTATATACAACGAGCCTTTAAATCCAAAAACAAACCATACGACTATATCTGAGTATATTATAAGTATACGCTCTCCCCTCTAGTCGTACTATCCTTACTATCCTCTACGACGACATTAACATGGACCTAGGCTGGTTCTGACTCGGACTGCATATATGTCGTCACCTATATAGTACTACCGAGCTAGGCGGAACCGGGCTACACATTTGGTAGCCGCTGCTATACGCAGGTACTGTTTAAGCTTAGTAGCCCTTATAATAATAAAGAAGCTACTTGCCTTGATATTAGATGTAGCATGGCCCTTATCGGCCGGCGCTTTCTATATAAGTATACACCTACAGCGACTATTCCTAATATACTAACACCGATAGCTGTCAGAGGCCTCAGGGACAAACAGTCTAATGCCAACCAATTTATTATTCTCGATTTCTACTTGCATACCAGTACACATATTATTGCCCACTTCCGACGCGAGACCTACATCGTCGATGACCTCGACGCCAATGTTTTACTCGGGCTTGATATTGCTGGCTAACCCTAAGCTCCTTTTCAGGTACGCGTACCTCAAAGTGCTAACACTCGGGTTTATAACGTTGAGCTATTTTGATAGTGAAATTTAGTTCGAATATGATATTATCTTAAAGGTAGGCAAAGATAGCGGCTTAATCCATTTCTTGATAATGAGCCTGTAATTGACCTTGGATCTAGATCCTTAGAAAGAGCAACTAACAGAATTACTTTCATACTCCGCTGGGAGGTCTGAGGTCCGATGAGTGCTGCCATGTAGCCTATGGGAAGCCTTCTGCAGCCCTCAGATTGCAGGAGCCAAGCGGTCTTCAAGCTCATTTGTTAATAGCTAATTCCTTGGGAAATAGAGGCACAGGAGTGAGATATTGTCGGTTGAAGAAGATGTAAAGAAGTAGGGGGATGCGGAGTCAGCCACAGCAGTTTCGATTGGAGAACCATGATCTGAGCGTTAGGATTTAGCTATGCAAGGGAGGGCAGCGTAACATGATGATGTTCCAGTAGGGTTGATGCACCTTGAGAATATATCTCTAAGGAAATAATAGTTTTGGCATTTGCCTTCAAGACACCTGAGCACTCACCTCAAGCAATGAAGACAAGAGAATATGTACTTTGATTAATAAATGAAGAGCAGTGCCTCGACTCCTGAGAGTCATCACAAGATCCTTCTTAAGCATCTCTAGATAATAGGGCATTACGGTGACGGTCTTGTAGACTACTCCATCAACAAACATCCTTGGTGAGGTGAGGAGAGGCAGGCAATATCAACAGGTTGCGTTGGCTCCTTCCTAGAGTGGGTACGCCGGCTCGGAGGCTGTTGTGGGGGAATCTCGGGTAATTATCGTAGTTGTATATATATTAAAATAAGCAGTTTTTTGGCAAAAACACCAGACGTTCCAACTAGCCGGTCAACAGTCATCGGGTCTCTTTGGGGTGTAACTGTAACAAGTTGCGCACTCATAGCCGCTGCAACGAAAAATGGTATCTTCGGCGTACCGACGAGGGAAATTGGGGGGGAACAAGTCTATCAAGATTTGTTACTAGAAGGTAACAGCAGCATGGGTTCGATCCCCATAAATATTTTTTTGGTCTCCGGACGTGAGCTGCTGCTGCTTTTACTTGAGCCGAGAGTAAGCAAGCTTGAGAGAGCTTAAGCTAAGCCTAAGCATCTTTGCGGATATCAACCAAAAAGGCAGTATCCGAACCCATCGACGATCCGTTTCTTCGTCACCTGTATACGACCACTCTTCCCAGCCGTATTCTCAAGTTCCTAGGCCGATTAACATTTCATCTGACGACGACAATATCTCTGAATTTAGCTCCTTGTGAGGGTATTATCACGCTCACTTTGTAGTGAATGAGAAAAGCAAGGCAACGGAGCTAAGAGTGGTCACGTATAGAATAGTATTTTGTGAAGCGGATCCTTTGATCCTCTTCCTCTCGTCGTAGACAATTTTTCAATACTAGTTTAGTCCTCGAACGAACTCATACCGTGAAATAGAATATTATTATGGTGCTAGATTCAACGCCCTGAGAAAACCAATAGTAGAACGCTACACAGGCGAAAAATGTGTCATATTAGCCTTGACCGACTGCAGATTGTGGATGTAGAGAAGCATATTGAACCTATCTAATTGTGATGTCACGTTGCGGGAGATGATCAAAATCCTTTCTATGCGCGTTTTCAAATGAACCAACACGTCTGAACGCTTCTTTCTCAGATGTTGCGAGAAGCAAGCCCATTGAAACGGTCTCGTCATGCACCGAGATTGGAAGACAGAAGACTAGTATTGGAGGCCAATCACCTGCCTCGTCATGATAGGCCTTAACCCCCGTATCCTCATCAGCCCATTCATTGTCTTGTGCCTCCTTCGAGCTGCCTTGCCTAGACTTGGCCAAACAAAGAGCCTCTGCAGTCCTTAATATTTCATCGTCTTCGCCGAGCCAGAGAATATTATTGTTTGAGGGGTTAAACCACGCCTGCCTTAGTACACCTCTTAACGTCAAGGATCCAGCCAACACCTCCCCGAAAGGGAAGTCTACCGACTTCGGCTCGACCTGACACCTTATAAAATCGCATCTATAAAGACACTCGTCTTTATCGGTCTCTAGGAGACTAGTCCCGTAGAACAACTCACCATCAATTGATGCCCATGACCATGAGGGCGCTCGATACACCTCTGGCCTAGTATTCACGGTCTCCGAGTCCCACGAGCATGAAGTGACCCATGTAAGTTGCCACAGAATTGAGAATTCCCACAATCCGGCAAAATATTGATGGCCCAGACTGGGGGAGAACTCCCTAGCCACAGCCGAAATCGCGTTCAATTTGTCATGGGGAAGAGATGCAGAGCGCTTTGAATAGAGGTTCACAAGTCGTATCCATCTCTTCAATTCACCCTCTGAATCGGAAGCGGGCTTATTCAAAGTACTGAATGAATGAGAATATTTGTCCTCCTCTGCGTAGGATACGAGATGGAGGGAGTTTCCAAAGTTTCGTACACCGGCATTACAGCGCCATTGTAAGGTGTGCGATGAATAGATCAGATACCTGTGTGCAAGCAGACTCTCTTGCAATGTCCAAGCCCTTTCGTTGATGGGTTCTGAAGATTCGTCATATTCCATTGCCTCCAGTTCCCGCACCGACATTGTCCCAAACTGGCTTTCAGAGACACGAAACGGGAGAGTGAAGGATTCTAAGGGCGTCTTCCGCGGTTGCAAGAATCCATGTGTGGCCCCTTCCGAGTTTGCAGCGACGATAGCAACCAAAGAATCTCTATACACTCCCTCCATCATAGACATTTCATGCGATTTGTCATTGTCGGAATCTTGAAGTATGCACAAGGCGTCCACCCAAAGATAGGGAACGGATATGCTTTTGGTAACTGCGATGGCATCGCGAAGTGTCTGGGGAAGCAAATTCAAGCACAAGGTTTGAATGTATTCATTCAAGTTAGACTGGTTGAGTTCTCCGTAAGAGTTACTGCCCCAGCAGTACGAGAGAGCTGCATATCTTCCTTTCTTGCCGGCAGTGACAACAAGTCGAGGTCTGTCGGGAGAGCCCACAGGAGCTACCTCTATAACTCGTGTAGGGAGAATCGTTTCAGCCTGCCCAGGGCATTGGTTATGATCGGCACATTCGGCAAGCCAGCGTTGAATCTGATGTCTTGATGCATCTGAATACACCTCGGTTTGGAGTTTTCGTGCTGTGACAAATGGAGCAGCAAGATCCGTGGAATTGGTAAAAGCATGAAGCCTAAGAGCCCAGCCGATGTCTGTAGCGCGTTTTTGGGATTCCCAATTCATGGTCAGGTAATATGCGTTCTTTCCGGTAGGTGTGGAGTAGCCTGGATAGAAATCGCAGAGATAGATGGATAAAACATCGCCCGGATCCCTGGTTTCTTCTCTTCTCGACGTGAAAGTCCAGATGTACGAGCACCAGTTGCAGTTATTGCTTGCTGATTCATTTATCTGCCGTACAGTCATCTTGCAACTGATACCATTGTTACAGCCGGTACCCGCGCATCGACATGAGCAAAGGAGCTGGAACTGTTCGGTGTTGAAGAAGTTTTGCCAACAGAAACTACAGACTAATTTTCTAGCATCCTGCAGAGATGCCATATCGATTCCTCCGCTGTTGAGGGCGATAGTGCAGTTGCTTTGGTACACTTGACGCTAGAATTTCCGGTCGAGATTATGTCTAAAGATAACGTGTTCCGAGAACAGTGGGCTCAAGCCACCTAGGGTAAGCCGAGGGTGATTAGAGCCTGAGCAAGAGCGGCAAGCCCACTAACTGTATGCAAAGCACGAGAGAGAAAAAAATTAATTCACAATACTATGGTATTGCACCAACCTTTTTTTATTGCTTTTTGGCTGTTATTTTTTTTCAAGGTTTTGGCTGGGGGCTCGGGGGCCTCAAGCGAGTTGGTAAGCGAGTGGGAGGAGTGAGTTTCTGTACGAAGTAACGGTAGAAAAGAGGAGCGGCGACGTTGAGATGGGAGATGGAAGGAACGTCGCGAGAGTTTCGTGATATTGGCGCTTGAGCATTACGCGCGCGCCCTACGCGTCTAAAACTATAAATACCATAGCTCCAGAGTTAGCCGAGGCTAACTCCGTCCTCCGCCCTCCGCCGCCGCCATCCTTGTGAAGATTACGTGCCAAGGTCACGCCGCTGGGGAGGAGAATGCAAAACAATACCAGCAATCAAAGTACTGTACAAGTACCAGCAATACCCGCGTAGCACTCCCTGCTACAACAGAGAAGGCGAAGTCCACGCATTTCCATCTCCAACTGGCCCCGGAGCGACATGCCCTCACGGATCGCGCCAAGGTCTCGAACTCGAACTTCTAATCGATCTTGACGCTGTCCCGCTAAAGCCCTGTTTACGGTTGAGCTGCGGTTGAGCTGCCGGTGGGGTTCTTGACACATCTAGATCGTCCCCCATATCTCTTCGAGCGTTCGACCGAGCGATTATTACCGCCGCCGCCGAATACCTACACAAACGACTCGACCCTGGTGCTACAGAGGGTTTAATTCTCTGCTTTGTGCACCTTTGGTCAACATGGCGAAGGAACCTGAAATTCATGTTCACATGCCTCATCCAGGCAAACACAAGGAAAAAAACCCTATGACGAATTGGACATACGATGTTTTCCTCTGGATTTTCTCTATACTAGTCGACCTCTTCTTTCGAGAGGTTCATCCTCGCGGATCATGGAAGGTGCCACGGCAGGGACCTGTGATTTTTGTCGCTGCCCCGCATGCCAATCAGGTACATATACACATAGATACTCTCCTAATGCTTTGTACATTCCTAACTAATACTCTGGCTCCAGTTTGTGGACCCTCTTATCCTCTTGCGCACTCTCCGTTCAGAATGCCACCGCCGAGTTGCCTTCCTAATTGCCGCGAAATCGATGAACAGAATGCTGATTGGATGGTTTGCAACCAAGGTCGGCGCTGTGCCTGTTGGGCGGGCCCTTGATATGGTCAAACCTGGTTCTGGAATGATATACCTGCCCGACCCCGTTAATGATCCTCTTCTTGTCCGCGGAATTCGCACGAAGTTTGACGCGGGCGAGGCACAAATTGGAGGACTGTTGGTTTTACCCAGCGTTAATGGAACTGCTGCCAACGCCGAGATCGCCGAGATCATAAGCGCGGAGGAGATTCGATTAAAGAAGCCTTTCAAGGGCGCTGTGGCAATGAAGCAGCTCACAGGGAGAGAAGACGTGGAACGAACTAGCGACGGCTTTGAGGGCACGAAATACAAGACTGCACCTAAGGTGGATCAGACGCAGGTGTACGATGCAGTCTTTGATCGCCTGAGTGCAGGTGGTGCAGTGGGAATTTTCCCCGAGGGGGGCAGCCACGATAGGACCGAACTGCTCCCTCTCAAAGCTGGTGTGGCCATCATGGCTCTTGGTGCCTTAGCAGCGAATCCCGACTGCGGATTAAAGATTGTGCCTTGTGGCATGAACTACTTCCACGCCCATAAATTCCGATCCCGGGCGGTAATTGAATTTGGGAATCCTGTCGAGGTCCCAAAAGAGCTAGTCGATCTCTACAGGAATGGCGAACGGAGAGAAGCCGTGGGTCAATTGTTGGACACGGTATATCAGGCACTTGTTGCGGTCACTGTCACAAGCCCTGATTATGACACGCTCATGCTTATCCAAGCTGCGCGGAGGTTGTACAATCCAGCACACAAAAAGCTGCCCCTACCAATGGTGGTTGAGCTAAACAGAAGACTCGTAAAGGGTTACACGCACTACAAAGACGATCCCAGGATTGTCTCGTTGAAGAAGTCAGTGAATGATTACAATAAGCAATTGCGTTACATGAACATTCGCGATCATCAAGTCGAGTACGCCAAATTCAGCATTCCAAAAGTTGTCTTCCTGCTCTTCTACCGGTTAGCGAAGATCTCCGTACTGTCTATAGCCGTACTTCCTGGTCTTGTGCTCTTCGGTCCAGTTTTCATCGCGTCGAAAATGATCAGCATAAAGAAATCCAGAGAAGCCCTCGCCGCTTCTACTGTAAAACTCCAGGGTCGGGATGTCATGGCAACATGGAAACTGTTGGTGGCACTTGCGTTTGCGCCGATTTTATACAACTTCTACACCATCTTGCTCACATACTGGACATACCACAACAGGATTCAAGGTTACATGCCTGACTGGGTGCCGTTATGGGGGGTTGTTGTTTTTGGATATATCTTCTTCCCAGCAATCACTTTCGCCGCTCTCCGCTTCGGCGAAGTAGGTATGGACATCGTCAAATCCTTGCGCCCGCTTGTCCTGTCTCTTAATCCAGCATCGAGCAACATCATCTTTAAACTTCGTGAACGGCGGGCACAGCTGAGTGCTGAAGTTACGGATGTCATCAATACACTTGGCCCTGAAGTGTTCCCAGATTTCGACTCTGCCAGAATTATAGCGGACCCGTTCCGCAATGAACGCACTGGTAGCCCTATATCACCGACCGCTGCTGGGTTCACTCGTAGAGACAGCAATCAGTCTGGTGCTTCCGACTTTACTGATGTTGGCGCATCGATTGGTGGCGGGTCCAGTATGAACAGCAACTTGCCGCGAAACGAATCATTCAAAAACCTTGGGAATATCGCTCTCTTTGCAACGCGCCCGCCTTCTAGGAGCAGGAGTGCCAGCAGCAGCAGTGGAGGTGCCGTTGGCTCAGCGGCATTCCCGTTGCAGGCCTTTAGCACACTGGATTCGAAAAGCAGCTTCGAGGCGGTGAGCCAGAAAATTAGGGGAGCCATGAGGGAGCGGGGGCAAATGAGGAGGAGAAAGAGCGAAGAAGCTAGAGAAGAGGATGAGGATGACAGTGACGACGAAGAGAGAAAGAATATCTAGTCTAATAACTTGTAACCTGAGCTTGCGTATGTGGCGGAATTCTGATTAATTTTTCTCTACTTATATGCCTTATTCGGTACAATCAAGGTGGCGTTGGAGGGATACCAATCATCAATTCTGTTTTCACCTTGTTATTTTGTCCTGTGCCTCGTAGGCGGTTATGATATTGTTTGGATCAAGAATCGATAAGTATCTCTAGTTACATGATCGTTTACGGAACACTCCGAGGCCCCTAGCTCGCGTTAATAGTAGGCCCGGTTTCCTCAGTAGAGCCGAAGAAGCCCCTTTAATCGCTAGTCTTGGCCGGCCAGGGATTCCCCCATACTACATGCATGTGAAGCCAGACCTTTTGTATGCGATCGCCATCGACATCGCGACTACAACCAAATCCTCAACCTTAACGTTAACGTTAACACCTGTTTATTCCCTCTATACAATATATTCGAAATAGAGGCGCTCGGCAATATGGGATTGCCACCATGGGAGACGAGCGATAGCCAACTGTTTGCTCTAGTAACTGGCGTCAATAGGTAGAAAATGCAGCACAATCCCAATTCCACAGTTCCAATCCTACACAGCTAAATGATTGTGTGCCTGCGATTCTTTTACGATCCAGCCATTGACCTTTCGCATGATTATGTTTTGGACCTCCGCGCAAATGCTGATGATTTGATAGTGGTCTAGGTTATGCCATTGCTGCACGACTCATTGACGAATTTATCACGTCCCCCTCCACTCCTTCTACGAAACACCTCGTTCTCATCCTTTGCACGCGTGCTCCATTGAAGACGCGTTTTACCATATCCAGACTCCGAGCTCATCTCAGGAGGCAAGCCGAATACTCCCCATTTGCCACGAAGTCTCGGAAGAATGCCAAAGCTCAGGGACTCGAGTACAAGTGGTCAGATGTGGTACAGAGAGTTCACTTCATAGGCGTTGAAGTCGATCTTTGCAATCTAAAGAGTGTCTATGCTCTGGCTGATAAACTGGTCAATGGCACCGTGGGGAGCCCGGATGCAACAACTTACGACGGATTGAAGCTCCCTCATGGGTCCCCCGGAACACAAAGTTATTCAGACGACGTAAAGCAAGATCGATGGGCATTGAGCCAGGATCCCGGATCCTCTGGTGCGCAGAGGTCTTGGGGCTGGGGACTGAGTGGACTGCGCATCCCAAGGCTAGATGTGGTCGTCTTGAGCGCAGGAATTGGAGGATGGCTTGGTGTTGACTGGTTGCCCGCTGTTCGACAGGTGTTACTGGATACTGTGGAGGCAGTCACTTGGCCAACATTCAAGTTAGCAAATACTGGCGCAGTCTTGAAGGCGCAATCATCTTTCCCAGATCCAAAGACAGGCGAAGCTACTGGATCGTCAGACCAAAAGGAACCTCCCCTTGGCGAGGTCTTCTGCTCCAATATCTTCGGCCACTACATCCTCGCTCACGAGCTAATGCCTCTGCTCTCTCGCCCTGCTTCGCCTGAATCCCAAGCCAGTGGGAAAATAATTTGGGTCTCCAGTATCGAGGCTCTCGCAGAACATTTATCCTTGGATGATATGCAGGCACTCAACTCTCGAACCCCTTACGAGGACTCTAAGCGTCTCATCGACGTCCTCTCTCTGACCTCTGACCTCCCATCCGTGAAGCGGATTGCCGCCCCATACTTTGATAGCGCGAATACAGTCACCGCAACCAAAAGCAAGCAACAAGCGAACGGAGACCCCTTGGTGAAACCAAAGATCTACCTGACACATCCTGGTGTCTTTGCCTCTGAAATCATGCCATTGAACCTCCTCCTGGTGTTTATTTATAAATGGCTGTTCCTAGTTGTAAGGTGGATGGGAAGTCCTTGGCACACTATCGAACCATACAAAGGAGCTGTTGCTCCTGTCTGGCTGGCCTTGACGGATGTCGATGAGCTGGAGGACATGGAAGCACATGGAATGCACAAGGCAAAATGGGGCTCTGCAACTAACACAGGTGGCGAGGAAAGGGTCATGAAGACAGAGGTTCCTGGCTGGGGCTGGGATGGATCCATCGATAGTGAACATGATGGCAAGAGAAGAAAGGGCAGGAAGCGGGATGCTGTGGATTTGACCAAAGAGGCGAAGGAGGATTTCGAAATTCTAGGTGTTAAGATCTGGGGCCAGATGGAGGCGCTAAGGAGAGAGTGGGAGCGTATTCTGGGAGTCAAGAGTACAAGTACATGATGAAGTCGCTAGAACCCGAAAGAAGGAGCTTTTAATTTCTTCCGCTGTAGAAATATAATACTACTGTACATGTTTATTGTGTCAAATGCTTGATATGGGGACTGAAGCATCAGACTCAGAACTAAGTAAGCGCTTGGATAACCATCATTGTTGTCAAGATATAAACGTTCAAGACAATGGGAATATGATTCTCCTAAAGCCTCAACCAACCCGCACCATCTCTCACCATCCTGCCCACATATACACAATTCTAGACTCCGCAAGCATCTCTATTTTCATCACCATGAAAGTTTATATTATTCTAATACTATCAACATGTACAAGCAAGAAAGCGAACCCAACCTGCCAAGAGTTTCTCCCTTTTTTTCGCATGTATACAAAGGTCCCGCTCAACCAGGGCCCAAGCCTGCCATTAAAGACGCCACGCCTGCACACCCAGCAATTGCATCTACTTGAAAACCACAGACTGAGGGGAGAACGCGCCCAGCGCTACATATGCGCTTCAAAATGAACCCAAAACGGGCCCCCAAGTTCCAAAACCCGTCATAACTTCCTTTGCCCGTTCACATAATAATCGCCGGCACGTCGACGTTGACTTTGATGCTCTTGTGCGGTAGGATGCTGCCTCCGTTGACATATATCTCGTCGCCAATTGTAACATCGTCGCCCAGCACGCTGACGTTCTCCAACCGTGCCCATTTTCCGATGGTAGAGTTCCAGCCGACGATTGTGCTCTTTATCCAGGCGTGATCCTTGACTTTTACGCCTTCGAGGAGGACGCAGCGCTGCAGGCGGACACCATCGCCGACGACTACATTTGGGCCGATGGTGACGTTGGGGCCAATTCTGCAGTTTTTGCCGATCTTTGCAGATGGGTCGATGAGAACGTTACCGCCATGTACAAATGATGTGCTTATAGGCGTGAGTTCCTTGGACCCCTTCTTCGTGAGGGAGGAGAGGTAGAGACATGTTCCGGAAAGGAAATCCTTGGGCTGACCAACGTCCATCCAGAAACCATCCAGATCGAACGAATGGAGTTGTCTATCTGCGCAAATTGCAGGGAAAGTTTCTTGCTCGATGGAGGTAGGGCGTAATTCGATGCGCTTAAGCACGCTGGGGTTCAGAATGTAGATACCGGCATTGATACGGTTGCCTACGAATTCAACGGGCTTCTCGACGAATCGGTCAATTCGCGATGGATGGTTTGGCTTGTGTACCACCACACCGTACTTGGACGGCTCCTCAACCTTCGTGACGATGATGGTACCTTCGTCGCCATGCGACTTGTGGAAAGCAGCAAGCTCGGCAAAGGGATATTCGCAGATCACGTCAGAGTTCAGAACGAAGAATGGCGCATCGTCTTTCCCTAGGATATCTTCTGCCAGCTTTAGAGGTCCAGCTGTGCCAAGGGGCTCTAATTCGATTGAGAAGGTGATTTTGACATTGAATTGGCGTTCGTACTATCAGGGCACACCCATTAGCACGAGGGGAATAGGATTGGAGCTCCGTTTGAGACTTACTTCCACCAGGTACTTTTCCATTACCTCTGGTCGGTAATTGACGGCTAAGACAATATCTGTGACTCCTGCAGCAGCTAATGCTTGGATCTGATGTAGGATCATTCGCTTGTTGCCGAACTCGACGAGGGGTTTGGGGAGGGTGAGGGTCTATGCTCTGTCAGTCATTGACAGTGGTGGAGCTGAGGACCTGTGGGGGAGGCATTCGAAGGCTCAGAGCTCGGGGCGAGGGAGACCTACGAGGGGTCGCAGACGGGTGCCGAAGCCCCCAACGAGAATGAGAGCTGTTTTTCCATATCAGTCACGGCTCTCGATGTCCTTGCTCCAGCGGTGACGCAGGCGTACCTTTCATTTTGGGGGAGGTGGCGGGTTTGGGATGGAGTTGTGTGTGAAGGCGGAATGAAAGATTCCCACGGTCCAGAGAATCAGATCTTGGAGGCCCGAGGTTGGCAGAGACTTGACTTGGCTGCCGTTGACGGGGTAGCTGGCTGGCGTGAGGTGGCCAACGAGGTGTCGGTGAAGAACAGCGTGGGTGGAATGCTAAGCTCGTTGCTTGCAGGTTGTTCTACCCTGAGGGAGTGTTAGAAGCAGCGGTGGGGAAGTATTGGGCAGATTGGAGGGCAGTACGGTACGTGTATTAAGACTGGCGAGAGGTGTCAATGGAATGGTATGAAATGGTATGATACGATATGATATAGGGAGCCGGCTTGTGAAGGACACAGTTGTAGTTTGTGAGCTGTGCAGTGGTGGTGGTAGTGTGTTGCTTGAATACGAACTAATTAAGGGAGCACGTACTCTGCACACTGTGGTACTCGCAACTGGCGCCTCCAAATTTCTCGTCGGGCGGGCTTCGGTGGGGAAAGGGGCTGACAGGGCAAGTCCTCGCTAGGCCGGGATCGCTCTTCCAGCATCTCGAGTAATTGGGACGCTGGGGCCGACTATGGGCGTGTACACCAGCAAATACACTCTTGTTTGGGCGGGTTGGGCTTGTTGTATTCTAATAATTAATCTCGCAGCTCTGGAATTAGATCAGGTGTCATCTAGTAAATTATCCACGTTTCCAATCAATTGCGCGGCAGTAATTAGCTCGAAGAAAACGGGCGGCTCCGAGTAAGTGCCAGGCTACAGGAGACCTGATGACCAGTTTTAAGTTCCTGTCACGGGGCTAGAGCCGATCTTTGGCACCTAGAGAGGAAATGGGAGGAGGCGAGTGCACTACGTATAGGTCCTGCTATGATAAAGCGGACGGGTTGTTATTATGTACGCAGGGCTGCTTCGTATCAGTATCGGTATCAGTATCGGTGTCGCTGCTGGTCCTGCTCTCCTCTCTCGTGGGCGTGGGGTGCTCTACTCTGTTTTTTGTTGCCCCTTTTCCACTGAACACAACTCCTGCTGTTCGTCTCCTTTCCCCTTTCGGCTGCGCGTGGGTATTTTCCAGGGGTGTGAGTCGAGTGCCCGTCACGGGGTCGCAAACGAAAAGAAAAAGGAAAAAGGAGAAAGGAGAAGTTGAAGCAGTGCAACCTCTCAGACTATTTTCTAGATTCTAGAGTGGTATTGTTATCTGATAGGCTGTGGTTCTCAGAGGTACTGTAAATGGTATGGAAATGGTAGCATCGAGTTCACGACGTCGAAACTCCCGCCCTGTCATTGGTCGATAACAAGTCATTTCACACGAGATTGCAGACCCCCACAAAACCCAATATCAAGAGAGAAGTTCCAGCAATTTTTTTTTCAAGGTTGCCCATAGTACTTTTAATTTCGTCAGGTCATTTATCATCAGCTCGTTCGCGCGTTCGCTCGTTCATTTTGCCACAAGAAAGAAATCCCATCCGTTTCCTTTCATTTCGTTTCCCATTTCAGATCCCAAGAAAAGTGAATTCGCGAACATAACACATTCATTCACAGCGAAACCAACGCTGCCGCCACGCTTGCTAAATGCAGGGATTCCAAAAAAAAAAAAAAAAATTCATTATCAGAAAAAATCGAGCGGCTTCAGATCGCCATGCTTCTCTTTCTCTCTCCTCAACACCCGTTGGATTGCTGATGCAGTATCGGGAAAAAAGCCTCTCCGTAAGGATCGTGGGGTGAGTTGCCTCGGATATCCAAGTGGCTGGTTCTGTATATCCCATGCCGCATTTCGAAGTCTTAAATCAAAAAGTCAATGGCAGGAGATTCGTGGGTCGTTTGGTTCGTTAGGTCGTTTTATGATGCATGGAAGTCGTCAATCGTCAAAGCAAAAAAATAATTTCATGCCTCTTCGCTAGGCGTTTTCTTTTTAGACACAAATTGAGCCTTTGGGGAGCTCTACTCGGTCACCGGTTTTATCCGGGGGCCAGAGGAGCATTGGCTGGCCGCCAGTTCGGCCAGTGGGGGAGACAGCTAGTTCTTAGCTGCCATATATAGCACGTATCGGCGAGTTCCTCATTCGGATGACGCCGTGGAACTGCTGCTGCTCAGGTTGCCTGAATGGCTTCGACCTCCTCGACTCTTTCGGTGTCGCCCACTGCTCTCATTGGCAGGTAGTCCCTGGACCACACCATTGCGTGCCAGCATACCCCCATTCACCGAGAAGTTGCGGCACACCATGAACGCCCGCATAGCCGCATTCTCCTGGGCCAGCCCGTCGGACTCGTAGGCCAGGTCCGTTTGATATTCACGGCCGTTGACGAGAACCAGGCAGGTGAAGCCTGAGGAGCTCCTGTAAGTCTCATACAAAGGGTCACGCCATCCTCGACGTCGACACAGACCTGTGCGGAACGTCAGTGCTTATTCGGACTTTTAATTGTTGTACAGAGTTTATATTGTCCCGAAACAGAAACACCTCGGAAGAGAATGGGTTAATTTAACAACCAAAGATCAGCAAGCGCAAGGTTGGGCCATTAAATAAAAACAGGGCACGGCTCCAATCACGCGGGTGACGGGCGACATCATAACGAGCGTCAAAAGATGTAGCCCCCCTTCCCTGCGGGATATTGGGTACCAAAGCGTGGGATGAAGAGATCGGATGAAAAAAATCCCACGGGGTTGGTAAGGTTTCTCTGCAGTAGTGGATCGACGTACTCTCCAGATATGCCATATAGAAACCACCCATTGTCGCTCGTCAAGTATCACTTGTTTCGATACGACACGATCTTCCAGGAACGAACCTGCCGGGCGTGCAGAGTGTGGTAGAACAACTCTCGTGGAGCCAGGGATGTTGAGATGAGGATTGCCCGAAAACTTCTGGTGTTGACAACAATGCAATTGAGCCCAATCTCGAAGTTACCAAGGAAAGATGCACAGGATCAGTGATGTGTATGAAGACAATGGATGTGTGGACGACGTCGTGGTGATGAGGAGTAGGGCTGACTGATCGGGGTGGGTGGTCTAGGGGGGGTGTTTGTGCAGGACTCTCGTCCATCAACGGCGAGACATGTGTAATTTATCGCAGAGTCTGATAGTCTATGGTTAGCGTCAGACAAGGATTATGTATTGGACTCCCGTAGGAAGATGAAGGCTCCGTCGAGATAGGGCGACGAGTTGATCCATATGCAAGTCATGATGCGGCTCTTCATATGTGACCCATAACGATGTGTTGGCGTAGGCCGTTGCCAGTTGATAAAACATCGGGAGATTAGGCAACTCCACCACAACATGGGAACGCATGCTAGGGGATGGTACTCTGATGGCTAGGGAGGTATCAATTCGCCCTCCCGAGGACGAGGTCGATCTGCACCTACTGAGAGTGGTGATGCAAAGTGGTGGCGAAAGGCTCGACACCCGTTGCTCCATCCACAGATCTCGGGCAAATAATTTTTTTTTAGAATGCCTCTGCAGTAAAACGAGATCGAAGTAGCCTGGCTAGCCTTGGCCCTTGAGAAGGACATGGCATGACATGACATATTTACGGCGTTTATGTTTTCGCCGCCGCCCATCGAGATCCGCCGGACTACTGGCGACTAATGCACGGAAATCGAGGGCAGCAATAGGGTACGGGCTCAATGCACACACAGAAAGCGTCAGAGACTCCGGATAGCTCGCCCAGCCCAGTTCCCGGCACACGATGGTTCCAAGGTTCGAGAAACCGGCGAGCCAGCGTCACGGCTGAGGAGCTCCAAAGTGGCTAAAGTACAAGATGGGCAAGGAGTGACGGGGTTCTTCCCTCTGCCCCGCAATCAAACAGTGGCCGTGTGCATGGAAGAGTCGCGACATCCAACGCGTTTGACGCGGAACGACTGGAGAAGGGCTTGACACGAAGTCGGTGAAGCCGCTCAATGCATAAACAGTGGCTGGATTGACCTGGCCGGCCTCAACCCAAGAAACAACATTTGTATGGGGCCATGGGATAGAGTAGTATGTGTATGAGTACTTCGGAAGCGTCTGTATGTGTATGTGTATGTGTACGGAGTATGTGTACTCGTACGTACGATGTGTCCTCGTTAAGCACCGTGGGAGGGCAAGAAAGCGCGAGGGAACCAGCCCGGCCGACAACTAGCCGTGGACAAGGTTGTCGTGCGCATGCAATGATGAGTTGGCAGTGCGCTTAAGGACTTAAGCAGTAAGGCTTTATGCTGTGGAAATTGAAAAAGGCATACGGCAGAGTATATGAAGCAATGCGGAAGGGGTTCAGACTGCAAAGGGGCAGCTTCGTTCGACGCCATGGAGCGACGCTTCCGGGGGCCAAAAACAACCCCGCAATTAGCAATGGTTGTGGGCTTCCTGAACGAAGGAAAGAAGCCACCGAAGACGTATAACGACCCGTGGCAACGGTTCCATTACAGGAGTTGGCTAAAGATAATCCGGGATTTGCGCTCGCTCGTGGCCGCGTACCTGACGACGGACTATCGGGGACTACTGACTGGCGACTGTGAAAGCCGTTCAGGCCAGGATGAGTTCGTAGCAGCATTTCGGTACATGGCAAGCCACCGAGATGAAGAATGGGTCTATTATTCTGTAGTACTTAGTACTTCGTACAGTGCTCGTAGAGCTTTGTCGAGCTTCGTCATTGTTGGGGTCTCCGAGAAGCGGCTAGGCTTTTGAGGTGCTTCCACTATCTTATGCTGGCCGGACCAACAAGCATCTGGCGAAGAGGCCCGATTATCAGGTCAAGCAATCAATATCCACTGCTGTCCGGTCCTCGGGCTACGGGAAGGGGCATTCCTGGGGAAGGCGTATCATACTCCAGTACTCCGTATAAGTACAGCGTGTGCCCTGCATGCAGCGCTGCAATAATGCTCTGCAGCTTGCGCCCACGAAGCTGGACCGGATCCTCTTCCCTTCCCCCTTCGAAGCGGAGAAAGGAAGACGTGCTCTGTCCTCGAGTACTACGTAAAGGAACGTACTGTTGTGCGTTCTTGTGTGCTCTTGCGTGGGCGATGACAATGGTGATGTTCCGATTGAGCCGGCAAAAGATGTGGTTCCCAAGCAAGCCGTCCTCGCATGAGTACCATATAATCCGGCCTTTATAACGAAATATCTGGCAGGTCAAGTTTGGAAAATAACGCATGCCGGGAGAAATCAGGGGGTCAACCGCCCTTTGAGCCTTCGCCAATTTTTGTACGAGTGTTGTACTCGCTCGCTTCAGCTTCAAATCATGTCGGATTTAGGTTTAAGTCACGTTTCAACAAGCCGACGCCGTTGCATTGCATCGGATTGAACCAAGCTATTTACTTCGTACAGTAGCTCCTTCCTCATACGCTTTATCTTTTGCGAGTGCCTACCTTATGTGGGTATGGATCGCCGATTATGTAACAAACATACTCCTTGGGAAAATATCCGAAGAGTCCGTTTGTTGCAAAAGCCTCCGTATTAATCAACCAGGAGCCCTCGCTTCCTCAATACATTTACCGTACATTTTCTACTTTACGAAAACGAAAACATTCAAACGCCGTGGCCAGCTGTCTTGCATATTATCTAAAAAGCCTCCTTGGACGAGAAATGCGCCCTCGCTTCCTCTGCGGCCCCCTCGGGTATCACAAAAACCGGGTGCAATGTCCTCACCCGATCTTCCTCGTCATATATCTGCGAATCCTCAACGACTTTCTCAGACGTCCACTGATACGCCGAGCTTCGGGTTAGCCCAGCTTCCATTGGATTTCCAGTCGCGTTGAAATGCCATTTATGCTGTGCAGAGCTGAGACCCGCAAGGACATAACAGGTATGGTACGAGTCCGAATTACTAACGAACGATTAGTTGAGGAGTTGTGGGCGGTTTGGGGCATTCCTCACTGGCTTGGTTTATCCCTCAGTCCCCCACGTTTCGTCTCATCTTGGCAGCAACATAATATGTATCTGATCAACCCCTCTCGGCTATAGAGACTGCGACCCAAAGCCTCAAGTGCCGGTTTCTTAATAGAGTAGGACTCCGATGAGCTATGTGACGGTGATGGGCCCTCTAAGCAAGCTTCAAGTAGCGGCCAACAACCACCAACCCAGTGGCTATAGCAACCGTCGACCAATTTATTGGTCCGGCCTGCAAATCCACCTTCAGGCGCGTACTGGCGGGCAGAGAGCCAAGATATTAAGCGAGGTACGTCGAGGTATCTAACAATATATCAGTACTACCATAAAAGTCAAGAGTTTAATTCGTTCATACTTGGGAATTATAGCGCGAGGGTCACCGAGAATACACAGACATGCCAGAGCACAAAATGCATAGGCACCATGTGATTCAGCATCTGGTTTTCCAGAGATTCCTCCCTCAAATGTCTGACCTAAGACAATTAGATTCGTTGATGATTCCCAAGGGTTAAAAACTTACATTTGGCAACCCACTCCGGCAAACCTGAGAGGAGCGTTGTATGTTCAGGAGACCAACTAGGAGACTCTGGAGAAAGCTCCAACGGCAACCCGAGAATGCTTATAAGAACAACAGCACAATAAGCCCCTCTATCTTGGTTAGTAATAAGTCTTCACATGATATTATCTAATGACACTCACCGAACATCCTCCTCGCCACCTATAGACATTTGGAACGCTCCATTTGATTGCTTTAAGGCGCCAAGCCACTTCCACATTGCCTTCCGGTCGATGAGATCAAGAGCTTCCTCTCCCCCCACCATCGCAAGAGATAGAGTTATGGCATAGGTGGGGGCCAGATGAGACATTTGGCCATTGCCTCCCCCAAATCCCCCCGTAGCATTCTGTATCGGGCGAACAGTGGAGATCAGTCTGTCTCGATACTGTGTGATATCCTCCCCCATTGCGTATAGACCGGTTAGGGCCCAATAAAACATCCATGGGCGGCTGGCGTCCGCAACAACATAAGGAGCAGGCAAGTTCCGAAGGCTTTTATGAAGAAATGGAATATGCCTTTTCCGGTCCAGGTGTGGGACGCCTTGTGCATTGTACTCTAGGCCATATTCAGCTCCAGAAAGGTATGGGAGACATTCTTGGATTGTCTCATCTTGCAATTGCGATGTTCCCGTGTTGAGGGGGTCGCGGATGCAAGGAGGGGTAGTGAAAAGGTCAGGTATCATAGCTGCACTTGTCGCCATTGCGACGGGGTGACCCAAGCCTCCGGATAGGAAATCAAGACCCTCGTCACCACTTGGCAGCTCTTCGATCACAAAACCAGGCTGTTGATGTAGATCTTGCGGGTCACTGGACAGTGCTCGATCGAGAGTGCTTGACGCAGAGGCAGAGGACGAAGGAGGGTTTGTGCCTGGCATTCTACGTCTTTTGAAGACCACTCTATGGCGGTGCCCCTTTTCTTTGATGGGAAATGTCATGTGCGGCCGGCCTTTGAGATGGATTGGAAGGCATTGATTCGCCCGTTCTGCAGGCGTTTGCAGCCACGGAGAATGTTGGCTTTGTCAGGGCAAAATCCAAGGGCTTGCCGAGTGACGTTAAGGGTTCCTCGCTTACGAGAAGAAAAGTCCGGATTGGATTCCTGTGCTAACTTGGTTGGGCAATCCCCGAACACCCTTACCTAAGGCACCTCTGTAGAGTTACCTACTAGAGAGAGATATGTCTCGAGAGTGTTTCGCTTTGTTTGCTCTATTCACCGTGGACTCAATTCGGTAGTACGCGTCCGGAGTACGCAGTACTACGTAACTAATTGATCTTCTCGCGATTGGCGGTCAGAGACAATGAATGTTCGGCTAGCGAACTTACGCCTGCGGGGTTTGGCCGTTGTGGAATATTAACCTTATTGTGCTGTACGTGACTAATCAGCGATAATGAAAAGCCGACTGTCTGATAAGAACCGCTCCTCCACAACAGACTGCACTGTCCAACTCCAACAATGCTAATAATAAGACTCCAGGGAGATACAGCAAACGATCAACGATGACACCATGGACGACCCCAATTGTCTAGATCTACACTGAGCCTGGACTGCGGGTTGGACCGGGCAGCTGTGAGGCAAATGCATGTACGCGTTGATGATTGCAGGCTGGATCCCGAGTCCTCCAATCGAAGCAACCCACTCTGGAACCACTATCGGGCTCACCCCGCAGCGGCAATGTTGCATGAATATCGAAACAAATCTTGCAGCAGCAGGTGGCTAGCCCGGCGCTGCCAGGAGCCAGGTTCGCGAAACATGATGAGCTTACTCGATGGCCGATTCAACAGGCGGGTGGGACGCGCCGACGATGATTGATGTGCAGAATACCGAGTACCAACATGATGACCGAGGGGTCCTGACTCTGCGATGTCCCAGGAGTCCGGTTGAAGAATGAATCGAAGAGGGCGCCCCAAGGCCGATGAGCAGCCAAGGCCTCGACTGGTTTGCGCACCGAGCCCACGCACCCGCGATACTCGCCAGAAATGTCTGGGGATGGCTAGAGGTATAATACTGTATTATTACAAGAGGCGGGACTTTTCTGCACGGCATCCCAGATTCTGAGCACGGGGGTCGCTCCTCTTGGTTATCACTGCCCGTAACCACATCGTACTTGGCTATAGCGCGGCACATATCACTCTACGCCGAGCCACATCGGGGATATCTGGAAACCGCTAGAGAGATTCATCTCTTAACCCTGAACATGATATGATGGAGGTGGGGGCCGCCCGGTCTTTGTAAGTTTGTATGAAGGAACAACCGGCACCCACAAAGGCATCACAGACCCATGCTCACAAGAGAGGGGAAGCGGGCAACTTTATACTCATCTGCGCTTCGGTATCAGGGTCAATCGGCGACCAGAAAGAAAGGGGGCCGCTGCTCAGTATTGTACTTTGCACTCTGTCCTCTGTGCAGAGTAAGCAGTACTTCGGGTGACAGCTGCACAGCTGCACAGCGCACAGGAAGGGCTGCCAGGGCTACTAAGTAGGTAGCACAGCACGTAGCACAGGACGGAGGTAAGTGCTTCGTACAGCGGACAGCGGACAGCGGCGAGGCTGGGGCGGGGTTGGGGATCACCCTCAACAAGGGGCGTCCGGTGGTGGAAGTGTCGGGGAGGTTTCAGTGGGCGTCCAGTGGACAAACGGGCGCTCCAGACAATGGCTCCAGGGTGGGTGCCCACTATTACGGGGGTACGAAGTATTGAGCAGGACGGAGTACTGTACATGCAGTAGGTACGAACCTTAGGTACCTTGGTACGGTACCCGAGGGAGCATATCAACAGCATCATATTATTCAGTTGGCACAGCTGTTGCACGCCAACCTCCGTTATCCGTGGTCCCCCGAAGAGCGTCGGTGATTGGTGCTGCTCTGTCGAACTCGACGATCAATCTACAGAATCTACAGACTACTGACAGGCTACAGTACACTACACTGGACTCGTACGACGTACAAGACTACCCAGTCCCACAATGCTGGCTCGGGCCACTGATGCCCATGTACGGTACATGTATGTCTCTGGACGCTGTCTGCTGCCCCCCACGAGCACGAGTCCAATGACACTCGGAATCCGCGCAGCAGGGCCAGCCAGCGAGCAGCAGAGGTCACACAATTGGCCACCTGACGAGGGGTCGCGCAATACCGGTGGGCGCGGAGGACCGCCCAGCGCTCAGTGCAGCATTGGCAGTTAGGGGAGCTTTAGGGGCTTTGGCGGCCTCCCGTGGGCATCCAGCGCCCCTAGAGCGACGTCCCCCAGGGCCTGCAACTCGCCTACGACCATTGTCCGCCGCTGATTCGCCTCTGCGCTGGCAGTGGGAACCTGGCCGGGGCCCCCCCCCAGCGCACAACCCACCACCCTCCACCAATTCTTCCGGCGCTCGTCGCTCTCCTCACCGCTTCTTATGTCCAGAGCGCGCTCCTTCGAGCCCGCCTTTGCGAACCTCCCACCTCTCTCCCGACCTCTCACCGACTTCCATCGTGAGGTCTCCCTTGGTCGTCCTTGGTCTGCCTCCTCTTCAAAGAGCGGTGTCACCGGCCCTCTTTCTTACAATACTATTGACACTTCCTGTCAGAAAATAATCCCGCGACGATGGCCTCGAATCTTGACTTCTCACCAGAGGGTCTGCTGGACCTCAACTTCGACCAACGAGACTCGCGATATCCCTTCGCTACGACGATGGCGTCTCGCTCGACCTGGCCAATGCCTCTAGATATGGCCTCAGGAGCTCCCGACGAGAGGCGTGAAAACTCGCCCGGCCAGAGTACACATCAGCCATATCCTCAGGCTGCTCATAACAACTCCCCAACCCTCCTCTCAGACTGGCCGATGCATCAACAACCTCAACAACAACTGGGACAGTATATCCAAGATAACTCCTTGGTCGGTACCCAATTCAACCCCTTCGGTGGCGCCTTCCAGACTTCGCAGCTCGACTATCACCTGCCCTCAACCCAAGCAGCCTACGAAGCCGGACTTCAGATGGAGGCGCCTTTCAATGGACTAGCCCAGAGCGTAGAGCAGCAGGCGGCGATGTGGGCAAACTGGCAGGAGCTGGAGAACGCCATGTACTCCGCGAGTCCCAGCGATGGGTTACCGAATATGGGACCTCAGAGTCTCGGTAGCAATTCGCCTACGGGCACGTATCTAGAAGTTTTATCACTCCCAAGTTCAAGTAGCGATAATGGATGGGCTGCGGTCGACACGTTCCCCAATTTTGAGGCCTACCAGCAAGCCCAAAACGCAGCAATCTTCAATCCAGGACAGACGCTTCACCTACGAACCCACTCAGACTCGTCGCAATCAGACGGTACAGGCCATACAATGGAAACCTTCGGAAGCTTTGAAGACATATCATACCCCCCGTATTCTCCTTACTCACCCGGATCTGACAACTACCTGGACCCCAATAGCCACCGAAACTGTGTTACCGCCGAACCTCATACGCATTCCCATGAGACCGTTAGCCCCGCTGCCGCTGTCGCACCTGTGCCCATCAAAATGTCGCCCTCTAATAGAACCACACCATCCTCGACATCGTCACCACCCGCCGCCAGACGAAATTCCGGGCCTCGAAAGAGCCCAACCGCTAAATCAACAAAGGCTGTCATCCGTCGAACGTCGAATGGCAAGAAAGACTGCGAGAAGCGTGTTGGTCGACGACGCGGGCCATTACTGCCCGAGCAACGGAAGCAAGCCGGCGAGATCAGGAAGCTTCGAGCCTGCTTGCGATGCAAGTTCCTTAAGAAGACCTGTGACAAGGGCGAGCCGTGTGCTGGCTGCCAGCCGTCTCATGCTAGACTGTGGCAGGTACCATGTACCAGGATCGACATCAAGGATATCGGATATTTCATGAAGGACTGGCGAGCGGACTACGAGCGCCACGCCGGTCGTGGCGTATCGGTTTACAACATTAAGGGCTTCTCCCAAAAGGAAGAGTTACTATGGATCACGCATGGATACGGCTTCGCTATTCCCATCAAGGCACGTGAGGTTTACGTCAGTGACGACAGCTGCTTTCAAGTCGACTGGGTCGAGTCAGAACATGATGGTACTTTAGAGTTCGATACTCGAACAGAAAGGATGTCCGCTGGCTCTGAGGGTGTTTCAACCGAGGCGCTCTCCGAGTACCTCGACAAGCATCTTGATGGACCTTTTGAAGACTTCGTCGACGAATATTTCGAGGGAACTCCATTCATCACCGAGATATTGAAAACTGCTCATCGTTACTATGCGAAGGAGAAGGTACCGGTCATACGAAAGGCGTTGAAGCTCGTTCTTGCGTACAACCTCACCCTGCACGTTACGATGGTCGAGCAACGCGGGGACGAGCATCCTATGGAAGGGTTGATTGACGACGAAGACTCCAAGTACCACGGGAAGATCATCGCTCCTGTGATGATCAACTTCCAGATTAAGTGCGCTTTAGCAGACATGTGGCGCGAGTTGCAGAAGGAAATCCTCGAAGAGTTGTCGTCACTTTATTCAAGTGTTTATAGTGGCGATCGACTCAAGAACTGGCCTACTATCTTCATGCTTGCCTCGATTCTGCTCGCCGTCTGGGAAGAGATGCAATTCGACTGCCACTACCGTGTCCCTGATGCGGCTGCTGTCAACAAATTCTGCAACGATATGGAGACAACTCCGGTTGGTGTCATTGTCGGCCTTTTCCATGCCATCTCGCAAAAGCTGCCTGCTTTCACCGAGTGGGAAACTAGACGACACGGCCAATTACTCAACAACAATGTCGCTGTCTGTGAGGCGATGACCGAAATGAGGGAACATGTTACAAAGCATGGTAAGTTATCCGCGTGGCCCCGCGAGTAGAGACGTTGTACTTACATGACCGATAGAAACCTACCTTCGGAAGCGCCCCGAGGCCAAGTTCGACCGCAATGACTTTGATTGCTTGTCCAACAAGTTCCTCTCCAAACTAGTCATTCGTGCCAACTAGTTTGCATCCCCACAGATACCCTTCTATATACCCATTGTGCATATTCGACTATAATAGCAGCGACGCTACGCGTTTCGGATCTCGGCTTTCCTTTGTACAGCAGATATTCTCATTTGTTTGGCATGGGATGGGGCCAACAGCGAGGGCATTTTTGCATACCTTTTTTTGCATTTTATTTCATTCCGAGTGAATATTTGAATTTCTCCACCGTTGGCATAGCGATACGAACAGTCACGTAACGGCCCCCTTTACGACTTGTCAGGACCTGTATGAATGATCGATTTTATGAGATCATGGATTTTACGTTTTATGGCAGTAGTGTTTTATCTTATAGGATATTATTTGATGGGAGGGCATGAAGAGTTTTTGAGCAGCTAGATATCCATGGCATCCTCATTCGAGTCACACTCGCGTGTCTAGGGGTAGAGTTGTGTGGTTTAGAGCAGGTATCAGAGACAGAGACCGAGACCGATTAAGAATTAAAACGAGAAATTATTGCTGCAGTGCTACTGCTTAACCCAGCTGGAACTCTTTGACCCGCCGCTTTGATGTCCTTGTGATTTGGCTGACTTAGGACGCGCGGGGTGAGTAGAGAACATTAATCAACTGCCCAACCCACTCTTGACTTGGAGCGACTCCTGAGGGACGAAGCCCGGTTATTCGGCGTCGTTGTGTGGTTCTGATTGAAACCTGAGATATCAGGCACCGACACAAACTCGGACTGGGGTACGTACTACGAAGCCCAGCGATGACGCACGCACTTGCATCGGCGAGACCGTCCAGTAGTGCTGAATAATCGCAATCGCATCGCAGCGCAGCGCACCGCATCGCATCGCATCGCGGTGGCAAGCAGGATTTATGTTGCGTTGCGTCCTGCAGAGAAGCAGAGATTGCATCTAGGTTTTCCATTTCGCATACGCCATATCGCCATATGCTATATGCCCGGTACTTCCCGTAACACTTCTTGAAACCGGTGCTGTTTGCTGTTTGTCCTTATCGCATCCGGAGGTGGAGTCACTGATACTGATAGTCTAAGGCTGACAGCTGATTGCAATAAAGGATCAGGCACTGGGGCTCTTGTTAGCCAGGGACAAAGTGACATTCGCGCAGGTAGATAAAGTTCTGCAAAGACTACTGACCAAGTATGAATAATAAATCCAGGTCCCAGACACAAGTGAATCCCTTACTGAGTGGTGAATGTCATGGAACCTTCTTCTTCTCTTTCCCCCAGGTTCCGATTGCGCCTCGCCCCAAACCCGCGCTAGCCTTAATCCAGATAAGCGAAGGCGCCCGCAGGCTGCGGCCTCTCCGCCTCGCTGCCAACTACAAATACCAGCCTTCCCACCTCCAACCACTCCCTTCTCCTTCTCCCCAAACATCTCCACATCAACTCCATCTCACGAATATCGAGATCCTCTGTTCCACTACGATATTACCTACAACCTCCATCTTCACCTCGCAACACCGCCATCATGCAAATCTTCGTCAAGACCCGTAAGTTTACCCCTCTCCGCGCCACCGGGTGTCATCGCCACCTTGTCAGAACGGCCTGCTAACGGCATCACCTTTAGTCACCGGCAAGACCATCACTCTCGAGGTCGAGTCCTCCGATACCATAGACAACGTTAAGTCTAAGATCCAAGACAAGGAGGGGATCCCTCCCGACCAGCAGCGCTTGATCTTCGCGGGCAAGCAGCTGGAGGATGGCCGCACCCTTTCGGATTACAATATCCAGAAGGAGTCCACTCTCCATCTTGTCCTCCGTCTTCGTGGCGGTATGCAAATTTGTAAGTTCTCGCTTTTAATCCCGAGCCTGGAAGCGGTTTCTAACCAACCCAACAGTCGTCAAGACCCTTACGGGAAAGACCATCACTCTCGAGGTCGAATCTTCGGACACCATCGACAACGTGAAGTCGAAGATTCAAGATAAGGAGGGCATTCCTCCCGACCAGCAACGCCTCATCTTCGCCGGAAAGCAACTCGAGGACGGCCGCACTCTTTCCGACTACAACATCCAAAAGGAGTCTACCCTCCATCTGGTTCTCCGCCTCCGTGGTGGTATGCAAATCTTTGTCAAGACTCTGACTGGGAAGACGATCACTTTGGAAGTTGAGTCATCGGACACAATAGATAACGTGAAGTCAAAGATCCAGGATAAGGAGGGCATCCCACCGGACCAGCAGCGATTGATCTTTGCTGGCAAGCAGTTGGAGGATGGGCGCACCTTAAGTGACTACAACATCCAGAAGGAGAGCACTCTCCACTTGGTCCTGCGTCTTCGTGGAGGTCAATAGTGTGCAATACTTGAATCTGGGTTTGGGTTTCTTCGGTTTTTGCGCTGGCGTTGGAGGTCCATGAGACCTGCGGGTTTTTCCGCCACTGGTACATAGGTAGTCCATAGCCGACTGGCATGTGCGGACGACAGTTATATGAATGGTCCAATTAAATTAAATTTGGGCGATAATATCTTGATTAATTTGACCTGCCGTGTGATATTAAATGTGATCTTCTGTGAAACAGGTGTTACGTAGATTTCGAAGCATTGCCTGTAGTGAAAGCTTATCGCATTGCATCGCCAGATAAGTTAGGTAGCTATCCAGGTACTATACATCTCTATCTTGGCCCACTTCAACAAGCTTTAAAGTTTTCCCAATAAACCACTGTTGTTTACCCAGCACAACAGAACCTCTTCTACAATCCGCTCAACCTTGCGGGTTACCCTATTACCAGCTACTAAGCGCCACCACTTCTCAAGGCTGATGGTTAACCCCACCTCCCACCTCGAAGCCTAGCTGCCGTTCAGCATGTGCGAACCGATAGAATGCCATCATACTTCTACCACCTAAAATTCGAACTATACGGTCATCTCGAGCCTGCGGGCAAAACAGGGCAAAAACCAGAAGGGGCCAGTATAGTCTGGCTGCCGCCCGCGGGGTCTGATATCTTTGCCACGGCGGACTGGCCCAGGCATAAAATTGCGAACCCACAACAACAAGAGCATAACCGCGAACGTACACGGAGAGTAAGAGACGGCGACTATCGCCCCACGAAACAGGAACCTGTCCTTGGAGCTGTAGGAGCCGTGATCGATTGTGGCCCTGCTCGCGCGTCGAATTACAACGTCAACCCCGCAGAGGACCACGACTCCGTGACGCTACAGACTATCCCCGCAGATACGACGCTAGAATTCCCGCCTCCAGTACCGCAGAGGATACATAGAGACCTGGAGAGTGCGAGGAAGGATTGGAGATTTGGAAAAGTACGGCTTGAGAGCTTCGATATGGCTCCTCCACGGACGGAATTAGAACATCGACCTCGGCGGCACGCCAGGGGAGAGAGCAGCGGCGGCACGCCGCAAGTCTCGACAGGTGGACATAATGGGATTAATGCTGGTTTGGCGGCTGGGGGTGTGGGACGGGTTACAAGAGGGAGGTTTGAGGTGTTGGAGGGCAAGAATACGGAGCTTGGGTGGGGGGTTGTGCGTTTATATCGGGATGGGGAGGAGATGCCGGAGTTGGGGATAGAGAACGGGAGCTCTAGGTCAGGAGTTTATGACGAAGCACAGAATTCGCCGGCATCTAGTGCGCTTGGGATGAAGGATGGTGGTGTTGGGCAGGGTAAGGATTGCACCACGTTATGTATTCCTGCTGTGCCGAGTTATCTCACTCCGGGCGATTTCCTAGGTTTCGTAGGCGAGAAAACAAGGGAACAAGTCAGCCATTTTCGGATAGTTATGACGGAGAGGATGAACCGGTACCTTGTGCTCATGAAATTCAGAGATAGTGGAGAGGCGAGGAAATGGAGAGCGGAGTGGGATGGGAAGGTGTTTAATAGCATGGAGGTAAGCTGTTCTACTCCCGTTGCAATTTCGAATTCTATATTAATACTTTTATCTAGCCCGAAACCTGCCATGTAGTCTTCGTCAAATCAATCAGCTTCCAAACACCCACATCCTCCCGACCGAATAATAGCTTTCCCGAGCTCTCCCATGATCCATTTACTCCCAGTAGCTCAGCATCAGCCTTCCTTAAACCCTTCCCACCACCAACACCGAATCTTATCGAACTTCCTACCTGCCCGGTCTGTCTCGAGAGAATGGATGATACCACTGGTCTGCTTACTATCCTCTGTCAACACGTCTTCCACTGTGCCTGTCTTCAAAAATGGAGAGGGAGTGGATGTCCTGTTTGTCGCCATACAAATCCTTCCCTCTCCCACTCCTCACCTCAAAACAATCACAATGCATCCCCATACGACTCATCGAATCCTCCGTTCGGCAGCGGAGAGGCTTCACTTTGCAGTGTCTGTGACTGCACAGACGACCTGTGGATCTGCCTGATATGCGGGACTGTTGGCTGTGGCCGCTATAAAGGCGGCCATGCCAAAGAGCATTGGAAGGATTCGGCTCATAACTTTGCCCTGGAAATAGAGACGCAGCATGTGTGGGACTATGCGGGGGATACGTGGGTGCACCGTTTAATCAGGGATAAAGGGGATGGTAAGGTGGTTGAGTTACCATCCTCATCACGGCCCGGGATGGGAACTGGAAGAGGTGATCGTGGACATGAGGATATGGACCTCGTCCCCAGAGAGAAGCTGGAAAATATTGGCATGGAGTATACGCACCTCCTCACCAGTCAGCTCGAAAGCCAACGGGTGTATTTCGAGGAGCTGGTGGGGAAAGCGGTCGTCAAGGCTACTGCTGCGAGCTCCGCCGCTAGTAGCGCAAAGGCTTCTGCTGACAGCGCGCTATCCAGGTTAAAAGAGATAGAAATCGAGAATAATAGTCTAAGAAAAGAGGTTGTTGTCGGCCTTGAGAAGGACCTCGCAAGGGAAAAGCAAAGGGCAGAGCGATCTAGTGAAGTAGCTAGGGGGTTTGGAAAGAGTCTGATGGAGGAAAAGAAAGTCAGTGAGGGCCTAATGGACAGGATTAACCATATGAATAAAGGGGTGATGGAGATGAGTCAGCAGCTTACTGCGTTGAAGGAGGAGAATGTTGAGCTGAAGGAGCAGAATAGGGATTTGCTATTCTCTATTACTGGGCAGCAGAAGCTGCAGGAGATGGAGGCGGAAGGGGGAGGTTTGGATGCTGGGGAGTTGGAGGGCGGAACGTTAAGTTTGCCGCCGGAGAAGAAGAAGGGGAAGGGGAAGGGGAAGGGGAGAGGGAAATGATGTACGTTTGCTGGCGGGTACTTTTTGTTGGGCGTTTGAAGGTACTTGATAAAGGATGGGAATACCAAGGGGAGCTGAAGGTTAGAATGTAATATATTTCTACAAGCTCTAGCTAATGACTTTGTCGTATTCGCCCAAAATTTCAGGTTTAAGGCACAGGACCAAAGCTAATGAGTTCCAGGCTGGTGGGTGGTGTTGATATCTTGAAGTAGGTATGTAAAGCAAAAGACACAAACAATAGGACAGTATAAAAACCCCATCATGACCTTCTCTTAGAAGCCTATATTGAATTCTCTCAAATTGCATAACACGGGGAGCTATGGCTGGTTATTTCTCGCGTATCAACTCCGAATCCCTGCTTATGAGTAGCCACAGACGGTGCCAAAGTTACTGGAACGTTATACCTCTATTTTAGAAACACTAGAGCAGCTCAGAAGAATAGCAAATTCTTTAGAGGGTGAATACACTCCTTTTACTCTTGCTTTGCTTCAACCACTATATTTATTTTCACAGCCTTGTAAGTTCCCATTTACTTACGACACCCAGAATTTATGTCTATATATATCCCTATCTATGTTGTTTATGTGTATCGAAAGTCGAAAACACTCTATGGGCAGAGGTTGGAGGTGCATATATGATTTAAGTTTATCCAGAAAATATAGCCGCGAACTACTCCTTCCATATCTAGTGATTTGCTTGGTACGATTATAAACAAGGATAGCCTTGATATATTAATATAGGAAATATCTCAGTCTCAGTAATAGGAAGTTAGAATAATGCATGCTTGTAAAATTAATGACATGGCGGTGGTTTGATCCTGTAGGATACTTTAGGATGGATATGGAAGGCAGTTGACGTAGTTTGTGAAACAATTATATTAAAACCTCTAGCCACCGGACGTCTCTTTCCCACCCGCAAGTTATTTCGAGCTACTATCAGGGTGCCACTTAACAAGAAACCAAAAATTATCAGCAGACCTCCACCAGGCAATACTTACCTACCCTATAACAATTATCAAGTAAAGATTATCGCCAACCTTCCTATCACGTCTTTAGAAGCGGGGTGCGTTGTCCCCGCAAGCATACGTGCTTTGTGCTCCTCTTCAGTACGTAAACCCCAGGATCAAGGATCTCCTGAAGGATTCGGGGGATCCGACTAAGCACAGCACTTATGTACGGCACACATTATATCTGGTGAACCTTGACCGGAAAATGTATAAACAAGGTTGGCTTGGAGGGTTTATACTAGGTTTTTGGGTGATTGAGGAAGGGGGGGGGTTAATGTTGATGGGTTGAAACGGATGCCAAAGGGTTTGTTGGGGTGGTGCTAAACGAATAAGTGCTGGGAATCTTTAGAGAGTTGGGCTTAGAGTAGCTCTCTTTCGTGGGCTTTAGACTGACTGTCAAATTCTGAATGTGTAGATCTATGATTGATTGGACTTCTCATTATGGATAGAAATAACGACAATGACATGGCGCATAATTATTTTATAATGCCTGGTAAGAGCATTTTATTCCTCAATAATCCGAATTAGACTTGAGACATATAGGCAGAGTTAGTTCAAGATTAGATATGGTATTATAGGAAGTAGGAAATGTTTTGGTAAGGGGGAAATAATAATGACTGATGACGTATAGCAAGAAATTACTTATTTACTACTAGAAAGGGTTCCAAGACCAAGTGGAAGCAGAGATTCAGGATTGAATATATCTTTGCGGTGCTCGAGGATAGGGACTTTGCCACATCTTGCAGCTTCTGGAAATTTGCAGCCTCTTGTGGATAAATCATGGAATTGTTTGATTGTACTAATTCCTTAAAATCCTAGAGTGGCTATCAATAAAATGAAGGCCGCACAAGCGAGCCGACGATTAAACGCACTAACATTTTGAAGCACTAACATTTTGTATATAAATTGCACGGTATGTATTCGTGCAAAAAAAGGAAATGCTACGAATGCAACCGCCGTGAATCGAACACGAACCTAGGAGTATATTTAGTATAATATTATTATTTTGATAGATAAGACTTACCTCCACCTAACATCGAATGGAAGGGTGGAATCCTAACCATTGGACCACGGAAGCTATTTATTAAAAAGAAAAAAATATTTACCTACATATTTTCCTAGCAGTTAACTGACAATAACCGACTGTTGCTATTTATTCAACTTTCTAAACTCTGGTATAATAGAAAATATATTGAAACTGACAGATGTAGGGCATATTAAATGGTGTAACTATCTATATGAAGCTAGTGTTTCGAGAACTGGCGTAGGACATGGAGACGGAAGGCTGAGGCTTATGTGCTACGACTTAAGGAGAACGAATATTATAATTCCTAACTAAATGACTTCCCAAGCATAACACAAGGCAGGGATCCAAAACACGTATATTAAACATTAAAATAATAATCGATTAAAATAACAATTGCGTTACATATCTTCCATCTAGTATCCAATAGTAGCCTTGTATTGTTTATCAAACAAACAAACCCGGGCATATACCACATTCATCAATGCTATCCAAGCAAGTCAAGAAAATGAACCAACCGGCCAATAGCAGCTCAAATTGCAAACTCCCAACTACCATAACCGAAGGGCCACCAATCCTGTTGTGCTGTTTCATTCTCAACCATGGTACTCGCACCCGCAGACATGTAGTACATAGGCATCAAGGTCAAGAAACATAATGCCAGAAACCAAAGCGTTGCACAACAGTTTTGGCTTTCTGATCGTCCCAAATTTTCCGACGCCCAAAGTCTGGTAAAGAAACATACCAAACAAGAGACTCAAACTTATTATACAGCTAATATGATATGCTGATCCGTCAAGGAGAATAAATTACAATTCGGGAGATCGGCATAGTGGGAATGAACTGGATGTGCAAAAACCCGATTGATATGCCATGATCAGACGGATGGGACTTTGATGTTTTCGCATGAGCATGAATATGAACATGATGCCATCAGGAACGACAAATATCTGGAAAGAGGCCGTCCCCTTACGCAGACTGTTTCAACCGTCGATCATCCGGTATTTGCATCCAAACTATTGGAGATGTCCACACATCGAGTTGCCCGTGCATAGATGGAAATAGAGGTAACAAACACACAGATGTTTCATCGTGCTATTTTTACCTCCCGCTACCGTTATATAAACCTTCTCGTGTCCTATGCCTTCCAAGTGCCCCCGTTTGACTTTCTTGTTTGTATTATAGAGTATACTTCGTATTATTGCGTCTCTCCGACAGGTTGTGTAACAGGCGTGTATTCGAGCTTTCTTTGATCGTCGGCTTAACATGAAGTATTATGTACGTCGGAAGTATTCGATTTTATTCTGCGGTACCGGATTGCCTGCATTGGTGATCTGAATGTTGCGATGTTCGAGTTCGGACATATTATGGCATTATTCTTTCTGAACAGTTTCGGGTTTTCGCTTTGTTTGGAGGAGAGGGGGGAGATGTCATCGTCGCAATCAGTCATGCCAATCAGTTTGCATGGTTATATGCAATCCAGCAAGTTCGGGGCTGCAAGACGCTGAAACAGGAACATACTCTCTGGTCTAAGAGTTTCTGCCCCTTGGGGGTGCCGGGGGAGATACGCAAGTGGTGGGAAGTGGTGATGGGGGTGGTTTAGCTCGGGCAGCTATCGTATTTCGCATTTTATTTGTTGTTGAATGAAAGGCAGGATAACAATCGTTGTTGCCAAAATATCTTCTAGTCTAGAGTGAAGTTTCTGTTTAGGGGCAGGGAAGTTATGGAAAGCGAGTTGCGAATGGAGCCAAGGCAGAAGTCTGGAGAATCGCGCAATGCTGACCCCATGTGGGCATGCCCAAGAGGGCATTGCTCACCAGGGAAGTTTGCACACTGCGGCCAGAAACAAAAGTTTGTGCATTGTGAGCGAGTTCTTACGCTCCTCCTCAAAACCTGGATCGGAAGGGTTACGGCGTTACCTGCTTGGGCGCCTCATGGCTTCATGGAGGGCAAGCTGACCATCCAGCTTCGGACCCGTTGAATAGCCACCCAGGTTTTTGTCAGTTCATATACCTCCAGATATATTATCGAATGGGCTCTATAGGCGGGAAGTGTGTTTGGACTGTCTGTTAACTGGCTAATGATGTTTGTTTACTAAATGGAAGCCGATATAGGAGGGAGCTTCCGCATCGTGGATGGGACGAACTCATTATTCTCCAGGTTGATATGTTATAAACAACCTCGCAGCTGGGATGAAACCGTTTACTGATAGGCACCATACTTCAAGGATGCAGATGTTCTAGCCCGACTGTCACAGAAGTGCATATCTTAAGGTCACCTCTTATAGGCAACTGGTTAGGCTTCAGGTTCTATGTTATAGCTGAACTATCGGATTATATGTGAATGTGATGTTTCAATACGCCCAAGGATACTATAGGTAAGGACGCGTCCGATATCCTCCATTTCTAGGAACACATATGAATATCGCTGATATATGCTGTGCCACAGAAACGGTCTCGTACATGACTGCGAACGAGGCCGGACACAAGAGTGGGAAAACTCGGCTCGGCCACGGATATTGCCCTCTTCGTTCGAATCTTGGGCCGGGAAGATGGATAGCTACAGCTATAGACCACTTGGAATCGGCATCATTTCAGGGTTTCAATCGTTGGCTTCGAGCAACTTGTCTGATAGCTAGCCTATTCCTAAGGAGCCTATGACAATCATGATGATCCGATCCTTCGCAGTGGTTTTACCGCCGCGCTTCCAGCAAAGGTCTCGTTTTCGGCCTCGTTCCGCACTTGCAGTAACATGGCGAAGCAAGATGCCGGAAATGCGAATCATGAATGATTTGGAATAAGCCCTTCTCGACAAGAAACCATCACCTGCCGACCGTGAATGAAAACCAGATGACTCTCTGTGCACGCATATCCACCTGACATGGATTGGGAGACCCTAGCTTTCACACCGCTGGATACGGTGTGCGGTTCAACATTCATCTATATCCCTGAAACTGCCCGTGTTCTGACCAAGCTTGCGCAATTACTTCTTGCTGCCAACTTGAAGCGCTGTTGAGGAGCCCGATTGGGATGAGATCCCCCCGCGAGCAGAGCTGGACCGATTCAATTCATTTCTTTCCCTGCTCATACAAACTTTGTATGATAATCCTATCTTAAGGGCGGCAAACCATATCCGACTCCGGTTAATACTCAATAGAGCTTCTCGCGTCAATCGAGGGGATATATACTTCACCTCTTATACTTCGCATGCATAAGTTCATGCGCTATAGGGGTATAGCTGACGCACCAGCTCCGCAACGGGGGTATAAGATCGACTGGAGCGCTCCGAGAAGCCGAGCACGTTTGGCCAGCAGCCATAATCGTCAGGAGATGTCGTCGATGGCCGGGGTCGTGATACAATGCCTGCCTCGCCACGCCGGAAATTAAATGTACTCCGTACGGCCTTCGAGAAGGGCAGAGCGGTCTATCAAGAGCCTTGTCCACGGCCCTCTTCCCAACATTTCAACTGTGATCGACGAGTGTGAGGCGGTGCAGGCTGACAGGACAAATCCTCCGTACAAACGCGTGTTGTTCGCTGCTCGGTACTGAACTGTCGAGGCCATGTGACTCTCAAAGCCTGGTAGCTCTAGGATATTGATTGTGAGGAGATGGCGCGGGGTGTTCATAAGATAACGGAGGTAAGTCTTCCTTTGCCACTTTGGAAATTGAAATGTTACGTAGACAATAGTGTGTGCGCCACCAGTCCCAAGGACCGTTCGTCGTGTGCCAAGGGTTATTATTGTCACCTTGGAGCTCGAAGCAGGCGGTTCGACCACGCCGAAAGATCGTGGCAACAATAAAGTTTTGCTAGGATCGACCGTGGATTTGACGCTCGATTTCGCAATCAATTAATATCGAATACTTTCAGAAAATATATTGCCTTTCGAACCCAGGGCTCTTGTCGCGGATTTCGTCTTAAGAGGGATGTCAAACATGGTCAAGTGCAGATACCTTGCTAGAATCCAAAGAGTCAAGCTGTGCGGCCCATGCCATATGGTTCATGGATTTAAACCCGATGTATCTATTGTTATGATAGAAGTGATCGGACTGGAAAGATATTTTGGGATTAGACGCCAGGTGGGAAAGATCGGATGAAGAATTGCTAGGGACCAGCCCTTCGCAGAGCCTGAACGGTTTTTAGCAAAGCTACCGATTCGGGACTCAATGGTCTCAAACCCTCCCTACATGCCCCCCGACACTTAGCTGACAGGGTGGTGGCGGCGGATACGAGGAGCTTAAATGGCGTTTTGATACCGATTCAACGGCTGCCGCTCTTCCCGTGGCACTCGGACATGCGCCGGTACAGTAACCCCCGCCTTCCAGCAAATAGCAATCGAAACCTTGAGGCTTTGAGAGATCGGAAGTACGCCTTTGCAGTTTAGGTGCACGGTTTTTAGCAAGACCAGCTTTGGCTAGGCTTGTCTGTGGCTAGAATTCATATACCAGTAGCCATTGTGCTTCCCACTCTAATTATTAATGTACTCCAGCGTCGATATGATTTCGAACCACTGCCAACCCTCGCATATTCGAGTATCATATTAGACGGATGCTGATGGACTTTCCAAGCCGAACTCTGACGTCAAACCTATACTCTATATGGATAAAGGAGACAGACGCAGGGGCAAGCACGTGCGGAAGTGATGCCCACGATCACCTCCGGGATCCAGCACCCATTCCGCGGGCCTGGCGATTTATCCGCGTAATCAATTGGATTTGGCACAGAGAGATGGTCACTCGGAAACGTGGCAGCTGGGTTGCATAACTGCACTGTAATTTGTGACTGTGAGATGTGAGTGTTGCGTAGTAACGGACAATGAGCGAGTGTGGTAGATCGAAACCGGTCTGATAACAGGAGAAGTTAATTGCGGATTCTCTCTCTACCGCAAACTCACAAATGCCTGTCCGGCGGGTGTAGATCTTGCCGCTGGTGGAAGTTGGGACGCCATATCACGAGCCTTGGACGATAGTACTCGAGTAGATAATACTTGCAATATGCTGTACAACCAACCCCCAACCCCCAACCTCCAACATCCATGACCATGATAGAAAACGTTAAGACCTTAAGCGCCCGCTATCCAGGAACTCTCGGGAGGGCAACATGGTACATCCTTGCGGCATCACCGTCCGACATACGGAGCAATTCTCCATCTCAGTACCGAGACGGGTTGACGCAAATCAGATCTGGCCGTACGGTTTGGCAGCTGGGTAACCGGGGAGATATGCTTCGGCACTTTCTCGTCTGATGTTAAGGGGCTCGAGCCTTGAGGGCGTTGGCCTGGTGGGATTATGGACCAATCCTAGAAACCCCAAACTCGTTTTTTCCCCTTGGGAACTTGCCTGGTAAGGGGCTAAGTCGTCGTTTCGACCATTGCCACGTTGCAGAATGAATTATGGGTTTGTACATGTACATGATTTGCATCTCCAAATCTCGAAAAGGAACCGGAAACCCGTTTGAATAGCCGTGCCCCTATATCGTGCTGTGATTGATCAGCTGTGATAGATAGCTTTGGGTGATAACCCGTAACATGGCCTTCTGTTCGTATTTCTGTTCCTGTTAGTAGTGACCTGTCAGCTATGACTATTCCGTATCATATGGTATATCCCTGCCTTAGGTGATTGATAATATCATATGTGAGGTGTGATGACACTATAGCCGTTCGGAAACTTGTGCCATGGGAGTCGGACAAAAATACTTCGAGCTTAAACAGCCTCGGGGAATATCATGATCCGGCCCTCAGGTTGTCCTTATTGGAGGCTTATCGCTGGTTTTTTTCTGGCTTCAGGTCACGCTGGCGAGAGGCGCTCCCCAAGTGACCTTGTCTCAGATTGCAGGACGTAGGGCTAATGTCTCCAACTAAATTGCTCCGTGGCGCGCGCATCCAATGCTGCGTTCTTAGGAAGCGCGGCATGCAACGTAGATCGCCGACGGCTTTTTCGGGGCCAGTATCGAAATATCTACTTTCTCGACCTCAGGGCAGGGCAGGCGGGGCAGGCAGGGCACGCCAACAGCAGAAATGGAAATGGAACCTGCAATAGTGATATGTCTGTCCCGTTTGCCATGTGCTCTCGTCACGCATACCAAATTGCAAAGCGGCTTGCCTATGCAGCCTCCCATCGGAACCAAGGCTTAGCTGGCACGCTGGCAATACGAGAAGAATGTTGTCTATAGTAGATAGAGGTTGTAGCATGAGAAGCCGACGGCCGAAAGCCTCGAGGATGCAGCATGCCAGCAAGTTGGCAAGTTGTCATCTGGCACTGACCGCCGGAACACAGCATCTTGGCGCTACCTCATCTGAACTAAACCACCCTGGGATAATACTATGTACTACGTGCAACGGGGCAAGACCGAACAGTCCGGATAGAAGACACCCAGGACGGCGATGCTTTGGCGATCTTTCGAGGATGTTGCGATATCAACCAGGGCCTCCAGGCAAGGTGCACGAGCAGATGGACCGAGCGCTCGAGTTTAATCCTGTTCCTTCGGCTTCGAATCTGCTTCGAATCTGCTTCGAAACCGTCCCTGTGCTTATTATTGGCGCCACGGTCACGCAGTGGGGGATATCGCCGTGCATATGCTTCGTACTTCGTACCGTAGTGGCTTGGTGGTTGAGCGTCCGCCTGCTTACGAAGTTCTGACTCTAGCAGCGAGAGAGAGAGGCGTTGGTCCAGGTCTTTGTAGTGACACATCTGATGTTCGAGGCTCGCAGACTGGACTCACGCGTAGCCTCGAAGGTGGACGATTTACCCCTTATTCTGGCTTCTAGCATTAGGAGCTGGGAGCTGGAGGTTCCTGCGGTGGATTGGGGAGATTCTGAAGGGAATACCGGCGATCAAGTTGAAAATGGCGATGGCGATGACGATGACGATGACGATGATGATGAAGAACTGGCCTGAGCAACCCGTTACGAGAGTACCCCATGAGTCCACGGACCGTCATCGCCCACGGCCAAGGCGGCCAAATCAAACTATCGAGATTTCACTGTTCCACGGTCGACAGAATCAACGGGTCGACAATCAACGATCAACGATCAACTCAACGGTCAACCACTTGGCGGAAGGCCCGCACTTGCATTTGCATTTGCAGCTGCATGGCCGTACTGCAGGTCCACCTAGCGTACCCGAATCCCTGGTAATAGCATATATCCGCTGTCGATATGTTGCCGCCAGGGGTCTCGCTCGCAGCGTTTGGGGGCACAAACCGCCACGGCCATACTGCAAATCATCTGTACTAAGAGGCAACTCCTCCGTACTGTACCGTGCTCGACGGGGAAAAGACTAGCGAGTGCTCTTCCAGCCCAGAGAGCTGAGTACAGGTCTGCTACCTCCGTACAGGTACTGTACTGCACATACATGTATGGGGCACAGGTCTGGGGTACAGGCAGTGGCAGCGGCACTGGTACTTCCCCCCTATACGCGGTGGGTACTTCGTACAGGATGGTATTCATAGCGAAACTGTATGCGCCGCTGGTGACGGTGATGATGTCGGGAACCCGAGTGCTACGTACCTACATATGGGAATGCGAATTCCAGTTATGTGCGGCGTGGAGGATGCTCGGTACGTAACAACCATTCCTTCTGGAAGCTGAAGATCTAGGGGACTTGAGCGCCAAATCAGGAATACGAAATATTATAATTGCTATACTATAGTTATAGTTATTGGACCAGGAAGCTCGGTCTACTCCCGAAGAGGGTACCTGTACCTGGACCTGTACCTGAACTCCGTGCGTGTACTTGTTCCTGTACTTGTTCTTGCGTACTTTACCCGCCGAGCCAGCCATCACGCGACGGCAAGGCAAACGCTTCGACTCTTCTAAGCTTAGCAGACGCCGAACAGCCTTATTATTACTGGTCCTACTTCATATACCAGTGTCTACTTTTAGCCCCGAGACCATACGAATGAATGTACTATACCTCCACCTCTATATTTCCCAATCTCCTGTCTGGGATTGCCGTCTGCCATCCCCAGGACCTCAAAACTCCAGACCGAAACCACACCGCACCGCACCACATGGCACGACTCATCTAGGGGGCATCAGACATCAGACATCTGCAACGACATCATCCTCCGGAAGCGGCGCGAAAAGAATTCTGCATCCTCTCTCGTCCAGTCCCCGGCGCCCGGATCTCCATCAGATGCATGTACCAAACTCCCCAAGTCCCAGCCCAGCCCGCAGCCCAGCCCAGTTCAGCAATACCGGGGGGCTGTGAGGCTTCCTGAGAGATCATTCAGGGAATCCGGGCCCCCGGGGTTTGTGCTGGACATGGGACAGAGTGACATGGGACCTGGAGGGCGGCTGGTTCATGAACCGTTGACGCTCAGGTAATCCGGTCAAGGTCCCAGGTAACCGAAGTCTAATAAATCTCCGATATCGAGTTGTCATCCCGGTCCAGACGCCTTCTTGACGACGTTGACGTACGGAGAACGAAGTACGTGACCTTGACTTCAACGGGGATCTTGGAAGACAGACGAGCATACCTCCGTACGAACTGGAGCTGGCGAGCACCCCAGCCAGCCAGCGAGCCAGCGAGCCAGCGTTGGTTGCCACAGGGGCGCCGGACTTCCAGCTTGGTCTCGTCTCCAGATCTCGACGTTGGAGCTGCTGCGTGCAATAATAATGCTGTTCGTTCACACTCCTCTTTCCACTTCCCACCTCCACCTCCACCTCCACCTCCACTGCCCAGCCCCCCCAGCGTGCCACCGAATCCATCCTGAGATCCCCTGGGAACGGGCAAGTCATACCAGAACAGACATTGCGATCCGTCTGCCACCCTGTCCTATCTGGTGCTAGTAGCCAGTGCCCCCCATCGTTTGTCTCCCTTCCCCCCATGGTGCTCCTCTTCCCATTCCTAGCACCTACCCCATGTTCTTAATCCCCCAGTGCTTCACCGCGCGTCAATCACTATCCGGAGCATTGTTCTAATGCCCCCCCCCTTTCGTGGCCGGGCCTTGCTTATGGCGGGCTATCAATCAGATTAGAGGGGTCTGGTATCGTCTACTTTCGAATCGCCTTGTTCAAGCTGACTACCCCCTCCCCCGTCTGTTCTTAGCTGGCAGGAATATCCCACGCTTGTATCTGGCGTTCTGATGCTCGCCTCCAGGCCTCATACTCGGAGCTTGCTGGCTTACCGTCCCCTTGTCTTCGCCTCCGTACTCCGGCACTTTCTGTCTCTGCCGTGTGGTTTGTCCACTTCGGGAACAGCGTTGTTGACTTGAAGGCCAGCCTATGCCTGATCGGTGCTGCTGATAGGGCTCGCATGGTCCCTCGCCGAGTTGGTTGAAGCTGTTCAGGGCGCCTGGTTGCGTGTATTCCGCTTCTATTGTTGTTGCTGGTGCTGCTCTTCCTCCTCTCATATTCCCACTCCTGCTACTCCTACCGAGCTTTTGCTCAAGATTGCTGGGACTAGCCACATCTGTCAACCATCGGGCTTTCCTCATCTCCACTTTCTGTTTGCCGCAAACGCTGGGAACGGCTGTTCCGGGACCCTTGATACTGGACGTGCCTTCCTTGTCTCAAAAGACGCAACATACCTACCTATCTACAGGTGGGTTCTAGTGGGCCTACTCACACGGCGCAAACCGCAGACATCATCAACCAACAACCTACTTCTTGAACTGTTGCATCTGAAAACCGATCTTCTGCTTCAAATCACAATCTCACTGTACGACGCATCCCACGCCGCCGGGAAGACCAATCACACAGACACCCTCTTACGCACAGGAGCCGGATCTGCTACATAATCCAGGCTGGGCGGCCCTGTCTTTTCCTAATCCGATCATTCGTCTGTCAATCGAGGCTGTCTAGGCAGGCTGATGTCGATTCGCTGCTTGCCCACCGTCACATAATCCACAGTCAACCTACTTGTCCACGCTTCTGAGTCGTGCTGCTACGCTATACTCCGTAACTTGTACCTACCCGGTGCAGGTATCTTCAGTGTAGTTGGCAAGTTCTTCCTCGCAGCTATTCCCCCTCCGAGAGCCGCCTGCAGTCGCCAATCAATTCTCCGATCCCGAGAGAACTGACTCCCTCTGCCCCATACTACTTCTCAAACTCTGTCTCTCGCACTATTCCAAGTCTGGCTCATTACCTTCTCCTCTGCCTGAGGTTCCCTGCCTGTCCCGTTCTATCCTGCCCTAATCAGGACGACAATACCACCTACCCATCACCACCATTTCTTCTACTTGCTGTGTTGGCTTCGAGGTCAGAGTAACCCCTTACTCCTACAGCAGTTCGTCGATCCATCAGCCTTGTCCACGGTTCGTCATCCCGGGTTCAGTCGGCATCGCTCTTACATTGGCCCGGACTCTATTATCAAGGACTGCTGCAGATATTTCGGAGCATCCCGAGAAAGAGCCTCCACTCACCCTCACACCTAAACGGTCCCATCAAACTCCAAACCCCTCGGCGCCGTTCGCTCTGCTAGTATACATCCCTACCTTAGCTTCTACTCCTCAGGCCCATTTACGCCATCAGACAGCCCAAAAGTCAAGGCGCAAGGCCAACCGGGTTCCGTTCCAGTCGTCAAACAGGTCTAGGGCGGGATCTAAGACCCCGCCAACGTCCCCCTATGACACTATCCGTGCTCGTGCCTTGTTAAGAAGCTCTGTGATAGCGGCCGTACCTCATGCGAGCTGTCAATCCAACCGTGGCCAGCTCTCCCTCTGGTTATTTTTATCCACGACGATCATATAATAGCTTGGCTAGGTTCCATCCTCGACTCTTTAAAGGAGCGCCTTCCATCACAAAGATTAGCGGAAGAAGGATAACGAGCCAAGTGCTGAGCACTACCAGCTCTATGAACGTCGTACAATCCACCCACCAGTTCGCGGACGCGTCCACCGCTCGAATCCAAGGACTGAGGAGGTACGTTTCCAAGGAGCTTTCCATGCCTGGCAAGGTAATCTGCTAAACATGGTGCGCTGCAGTCGTGATTGCCAACTCATTATTCGACAGAGGCCGGAGCATGCAAAAGTTGCCGTGGGCAAGGAGAAGGGTAGGTTATCTGAACGACGCCCTCCGATATGCTCCCAGATGACGAAGCTGACCAGAGGTCCAGATCGCAAGCCTGTCGATCCTCCACCAATTCTTCAGTTGAAGATCAGCCATACATCGGATCCCAGTCAGAATTATTTACAAAGTATGAAGCGCCCCTTGGCCCAACATGAGTTCTGCTGCTAACCACCATCTCTTCCAGGTCCGTATTTCTTCATGTCATGTAGCCTGGTAGGACCATCAGAGGGTGGCTTACCAGCAGGTCCATTAGGAACAGCACTTGCAGGGACTCTTGTTTCGTCCCTCCACCGTCTGAAAGACACAGACAACAGCGATGGGGCATTCTTCATTTTTGGTGACTTGTCAATCAAGCTTGAGGGTAGTTTCCGGCTTCAGTTCAACCTCTACGAGATGCGCGACAAAGAATGTTTTCATGTCCAATCAGTCCAGTCCGAGTCCTTCACCGTTTACCCGTCGAAGAGCTTTCCTGGAATGTCCGAATCAACGTTTCTTACGCGGTCTTTCAGTGATCAGGGAGTCCGATTAAGGCTGAGAAAGGAACCTCGCACCCTGCTGAAAAGGCGTGGACCAGCTTCTGACGATTACCAGCCCCGACAATATCGCACAAACCATAGCCGACAGCAGAGTCATGGAAGAGATCGTCCAGTATCCGAGTCGCAAGATCTTTCCCGTCCGGGTCAGATCGAGCAGGGAGAATCAATGCAGCTCCCAATACATTCGCAATCCTATGAACCACGGCCGCCACTCGGGCGCGGTTATTCTCATCAATCTTCGGTCTCGATAAGTGGTTCGTATAGCGACGAAGGGCCGAATAAGCGTCCTCGAACGGGTTCCGAACAAAGTTCAACTTACAGCCATCAAGCCCTCGATAGCCCTCAGTATCCTGGGCGAATGTTTAGTGATTCAAGTTTTGGTGCTTCGATTTCTCAGCAGGCGGCGCACCAACAGGCATATGGTTATACATATGCACAGTCTCCTCAATCATCTAGTATGTCATCCCGAGAACAATACTTTGCACAGCGACTCAATACCCAATCAGACAATTCACCTTCCTTCGATCCAAATAGTCAGAGATCACCACAATCTGCGTACTTTCCCGCCCATCAACAAACCATGCGATACCAGCAGCCACCATTAATGGGAGCATCGCCGCCGCAACGACTACAAGGTGCACAAAATACTTTTGAGGGCCTTGGAATTACTACAAGAACGCAGATGCCTCCTGGAATGCAACCACCTGGTATTTCTGGCATGGCACCACCGACGTATGGGAGGATGAATACAAATACCGGATATGGAACATTAGCGGCGTCACCTGTCGGGAGACGAGACATGTATGAGCAGTATCCAGCTCCGAACGAGACTCTTTCGGCGAGTACTATTACATCAAACTTGATGGCGAGCCGTGGCCCTTCTATTACGACCACCACTGCACCGGGAAACTTGGAAGGTTCGTTTTAACGACCTAGCCTAACGGCCGCAGAGTGAGATTGTAGTTTATGCTGCCTTGACTTTCTATAGGGGTTGGCGTTCGTCGTTGAGAAGCATTTTATCATCCGCGGATTGTTGGGCTTGGAAATGGCCGACAGTCCACAGCGCACAAGCACATCTCACAGCATATTTCCTTCAGTTGGCAGTTGGGGGGCACGGTTCAAGCATAGCGAGGGTTCAGAGTTCTATACTTATGGAGGGGGAAACGTGGCTTAGTGGTGGGATTACATGCTTAGTTCAGTTCGGCACAGATTAGTTTCAGCACAGCACAGCACAGCGTGGGGCGTTGGAATTGGGCTTGGGCTTGGCCATACACATTTATACCTTCAGTTTCATTTCAGCTTACTCATAGAAGACCTGCCGATATACCTCGAGAGAAATTGGCATGAAAGTGTGAAGCTTAGGACAGGCTTCCACATCATATCTTAATTGTCCTGATATGGAAAGGAGAGGGGGCATATGTCGCCGAAGAAAGAACATCGCCGACTCACTTGGTTATCCGCTGTGCAGATATATATATCCATAATATTGAGGGAGGGGTGCTTTGGCGAGCTTATTAACCTTTAGAAATTATTGCACCAAATTCAAAATGCAATAATGAACCAGATCAAATGCTTTGCATCTGTGACTTCTATATCAATACATACGAGTTTATAGCGTTTTTAAGTTGGAAGTAAGTACAAGTACTGCCGTTTCTGGGTAAGGGTCCGTCCGTGAATATGCACGCCTAAAATAGTTTAGATCCCGCAGCCACAATTCTGGGGAAAGACAGATCGGCAGCGGGAAGTCACGATTAGGTGTGCAGGGGTTCACCACCATTCACGTACAAAAATATCAACGTCGTTTTTTAATAACATGTCGTTTTATCACATGGATATTAATTTTCAATACATATATATGAATGAGGAGCGAATGCGGAGCGGAAGGGATGGAAGGGAGCGGGAGGAGAGTTGCCGGATGTGTCGCTCTATTTCGACCTACTATTGTACAGTTAGGTACCTGGTAGGGTTGCAGGTGTACTAGTGGCCTACCCAAGTACTGGTATTTAGAGTGCGGATGTACCTAAGACATTGTCGTTCGGCGTCATGTGAGTTCTGGGGATGAAAAGCGACGGGTCGCCGCGGTAACTTGCGGCATTTGCAACTTCGAGGTATTGTTTGTTTTGTCCGCGTAGGAGATCCCCGCGAATTAATATGTAAACCTGCCGTTTGCGGAGGTTATCTTTGTCGGTGGTAAATTGAGGGCTTCGTCATTGTTATCATATGGCGTCGAGGGGGGTTGGCAGCTGATTTCGTGTTGGGGTGGTGTTGTATTTGTTTTGTTGGAGGTCGCCGGGGGGGGGGGGGGGTATCTATCGATGTGCTGATCGGTTTGGGGTCCAGTGGGGAGTATATTAAATATTGGCAGTTGGGTCGATCTGTTTCTAGGTTGCAGCACAGCAACTTGGTGAATACTACGTAGAAGTACCGAGTGGAACCGTGGGTAACCACCTCCCTAGGTAGGTATAATCCAAATAAAACTTGAGTGGATCGGATGGATGGCTACACGTCAGCGTCTGGGGAGCAGAGGTCGATCGGTTAGGAAGGCTCTATCCTTGTCCAACAGTGGTGACACTATCTGGTGATCTGTGAAGCTGTTGATGTTGGGTGTAGTTCTTCGAATTAGAAGACGCAAGGGGCTCAAGGATTTGGTTCTTATCTCTAATGTTAAAGCCGAAGTACTCGAGCGCTTTTTCAACCTCTATTTCCCCTTTGCAGTTGTTGGCATCCTCGGAATTGCCGATATGACCTTCCCTCCCCCTTCCCGTATACCACAACCTTAAGAGCTCCCAAAATAAACCGCCTGCTGTAGATTTGTGATTGATGACAACAAGTTTAATTCATGTATACCAGGCGGGTTGGGAGGGGCAATGAAACCCTTGGGAGGAGCTCCCAGCCTGTCTAGTTTCGAAGGAGCAGAAGCTTTCGATGAACGTACTAATTCCAACGTCAAATGTTGAAACAGCCCTCGTTAACAGGCGCCTAGCGCCTGAATTTAACCCATCTGGAAATCACTCACCGCATCCACATTAGTTCCTATAATAAGCCTAACAAAGAAAAATCCAAAGCAATCTCATTTGCTAGTATTTTCATACTTCCAATCCACTCAGAGGGTTGGATATTCTGGTTCCAGCTACTGCCGTGATGCGAATAATCTTTTGCCACCTTTTCATGAGGATGGGAGGTTTACTGAACGTAGCTATCGAAGTTAAATTCATCTAGCTTCCCAATGCCCCTAGCTACCGAGCTAACAAAGTATAAAACCAAGCGGCATGAAAATGTAATCACCGGAAATAGCCACTTGGATAAGGATATTGACAATAGGACATTAGCCAGTTAGAAAACTGCTTGAAGAAAATCGAAAAACACATTTTAAAAAGGGAGCTAAAAGTAACAGATGTGTGACATGTTAGAAAGATCTACAGCATGTGCACATAAACTTGGAATGCGAATTCAGAAAATACGGTGCGCAGGTTTTGTGACGAGGCAATGGATAGTCCTGCCACTAGGGGGAATAGTAGGTATGAAATATCACCCGATGATCTCTCTCTTCCACGGCGAGCTGGAGAAGTTGGGCTATTGGAATATGAGGGTATATGCCAAAAACAGCGAGATGAACCGCACCAAACAAGTACTCTGATGCGAATTTGTGTATTGGAAATCTGATATTGTATCACCCCTTGGAAAGCGTATGCACAATCCTCGAACCCATCTACGTTATGTATAGCGTTTCTCCAACTATTCCAAGGCAAGTCAGACATGTTTTCTCGGGGGAGCTGATGTCTGAGGGGAGGACCTACCCTCCAAGGATTATTCAGCTCGAATCCAAACGGTGCCTCTGGGTTATCTGTCTGGCCCCGCAGGTATCCCGTCAATCGTCGATCTCGATCCATCACTGTATCCCAGTTAATATCGCAAATTCGGGTTTCCGGTACGCAGGGGATGTACTTTGCTGTGTATGAGTTAGAATCAACATTATTCCTAGGAAGAAAAGCAAGATAGCATGAGAGTACTGACCCTGTCCCATTGATCAACCGAGTGCCGTCCCCTCTTCCCCCCATTTTGCATGTGTCTAATCTTCGAGAGACCTGCCCCACTGATGCCGAACATCTGTAATACTTAGCATGAAAATCCGAATGCGAGAGAATCGAAGGGGACGCAGGGTTGGACTCACACAAAGCATCACCCCATAAGGGATCAGAGACTCGAATGGAATGCCCATGGTGGCTGTCGCAATTGGCTTTTACTTCTGGCACTCTGATTAGCATCTGCTGCTGCGATTATCATCGGAAATTTAGATATGGCCCTCACCAGCTGTGTGTTGGTTGCAGCGCAATTGATGCCCTTTCCTGAAGACCGGATAAACTGACGTTGATCTGGTTTGGCCATCTTAGCTTCCGAAATCTGGATGACTAATCGACCATGCAATGCCCTTTGGGGACGACACCTTTAGGAGTGCCATTGGAAGGAGGCGATAATACAACGCCACATCAAGATTTTCATTCAATTCAAGCTTTATTCACGCGTCGGAAGCTCATATACTTCCACTTATACAGTGTCTTTCATTATTTTACTGGAGTTGGGGCTTCCAAGCGCGCGTTCGTTGCAATTTCCCCCGCGACACCAAGTTCATCCGACCTCCCCACAACCGCTCTACCACGCGCAAAACGATCCGAAAGTGTATATAGACAGCGGGACCCGGTGCACCGAAAGCTCGAAGATATATTGGATGGTATATACAACTCACCAATTGTTCGGGTGAGGGTACATTGGACTCGGCGCATTCCCTACGTCGCCGCGCCTAGAACCCCAGCTGTTGGCAGTATCTTTCGAGGCTATCTATCTCCCACGCGAATGACACGAGTCCTATGAACAATGGCGGCAGCGGTGCTCTTGGAGGAGGAACTGCAATATAGCATAGCGACCTCTGAGGATGATGCCGAGTTCGAAGAGGATGATAATATGGCAGCGGAAATGATGGCAGCTAACGATGATGCCGTGGCTGCAAATCACCAACTCCATAATGGAATGCTGGCGGGACATCCTGATGAAGAAGCCGTAATGTCGGATGAAGACGCCGAAGGCGAAGAAGACTATGAAATGGCAGATTCGGCGCCAAACAATGAAGGAGATAATAGCGAGGACGAAGATGGGGATGAGGACGAAGATGGAGAAGGAGTAGGTGCTGTTAAGATACAACCTGGGATTTTAGAGGATGAGGACGAGGATGCCATGTCCGAAATCGATGACGATGAGGAGAGTGTTGCAAGTCTAGACGATGACTCTAAGGATTCGACGGATGCCGAGGCGGAACTCGATTGGGAACCTGCAGCCGAAGAAGACGAGGAACCTGCAAACCCCAATCGTTGCATGTATGTCTCACGCCGGGAAACCAACTCGGGCCCCCACTAACAACTTGTTAGATTTTGTCAACAGGATGAAGAGAACGATCCTAGTGAAGAATTCGAGCTATATCTAGCTTGCAGTGTCTGTGGAGATAATGGTTCGTTGTGCGGTCATAATACATCCAAACATGCTGACAAACTGTAGCCCATCGACAGTGTGCCCGAAATGCTGATGCATTAAAATCTGATGACGGTGAGTACCACAAATAGCTCGCTGAGAATCTATATGCTAATATAGAATTTTGATAGAAGCGGAGATATGGTATTGTTCCGGTTGTGTTGAGAACAAACTTGTTCCCGAGACTGGTCCTTTAGAAGGCGAGGATGAACTTGAACCAGGAGCGCGGAGAATATCGAGAGATAGGCTTCCTGGAGACCTCTTGCCACCTCAAAGAGGCTCCATCAAACCAGATTCCCATTCAGTTTTCAATCAACTCATTGCGCCAGATGACCCGCTGGATGGCTCGCGTCTGTTGCGCAAAAGGAAACCGTCCTCTGCAGAAGCGGAGGATGAAGAACCGACTGTTATTAACCTTCGGAGGCGGAATAACAATCGTGACAAAGATATCACCTTAGGTCATCTTGACTCGAATCTTGCAGAAGCCACTAGCGTCGAGGCAGAGAAGCAGGTGATTGAGGTCGACTACCCTAAAACCAATGGTGATATAACTGCCGATTTGCCTGCTAGCCCGCGCACATCAAGATCACTTAGACAAAAATCTTCATCATCGCCCCGTGCCGTCGTCCTTGAACGGGCACAACACAAACTCAAGTTAAAATTTCGGTTGAATCCAGCTGAGCTTCGCCATATTCAATCGCAGCCTCCAAAGCCAAAGAAAAAGAGTCGGCCCGCCTCTGGCGCCCGATCTTCAACTGCTGTCTCTGCCTATGTCCCCTCCTACACACAACCTTTCTATTCACTTCACGAAAAAGAAATGGACGATCTAAAGTCTAAACCTTACGGTGGAATTTTGAGCGAGGCTGAAGCTGATACTTCGGTGACCTTGCCCAAACCTGAACATCGCCGACAGTTTGACGAAGCCCGGCAGAAAGCTGAAGAAGAATGGGAGGCTAGAGCGGCGGCAGTTGCAGAAGCGGCGGCAGTATCTGGGATCAAGAAACCTCGGAAGGTATCTGGCCCAGCTAGCCAGATCGAATACATCGAGTTTGGACAGTTTCAAATCGACATTTGGTACGCTGCGCCATATCCAGAAGAATATAGCCGAAACCAGGCTCTCTTTATTTGCGAGTTCTGTCTGAAGTATATGGAATCGGCGACAGTTGCGTGGCGGCATAAGACAAAGTGCCCCTGGAAGCATCCACCTGGCGATGAGATCTATCGAGATGGCAACATCTCGATGTTTGAAGTTGATGGTCGCAAGCAATCGCTCTACTGCCAAAATCTTTGTCTTCTCGCCAAATTGTTCTTAGGCTCCAAAACCCTATACTACGATGTCGAACCTTTCTTATTCTACGTCTTGACGGAATACGATGAATTAGGCTACCACTTCGTGGGCTACTTTTCCAAAGAGAAACGGCCAACCAGTCTCAACAACGTTTCATGTATCCTGGTGCTTCCAATCTTTCAACGAAAAGGTTACGGCAACCTTTTGATTGATTTCTCTTATCTTCTAACGCGCGTGGAAAAGAAGACAGGATCACCTGAAAAGCCACTATCAGATATGGGTCTGGTCTCCTACCGTAACTACTGGCGGCTTGTTATGTGCCATTATCTCGAAGGATTCAAGTCGGGAGACCAGATTCCTAGTATCAAGCAAATATCCGATGACACGGGAATGACTCCAGACGACGTTATATCAGCACTCGAACAGTTAGGGGCCCTGGTTCGTGATCCGATATCTGGAGTATATGCGTTGCAATTGAAAACGGATCTTTACGGGGACGTTATTCGACATCACGATGCAAAGGGCTATGCGTCAATCAACCCTAAGAAATTGGTTTGGACTCCATACATTATGGGACGGGGCACAGCTTCCGCTTATGACCACGCACCACCGCTTAATGCGATAGGCGAACATGAAGATGGGGAGGTTGGCAGCCCTGAGCTAAGCCAATTCTCCAATACCGATAGGAGGGATTTCGAGCCTTTCAACCTCACGGTTAATGGTAATACGGATGCTGTAATAGAATCAATGGGGAAGTTAATGACTGAGTCTGGCGAGCCCATCAACATTGATACCCCAGAAGATTCTATAGAGAACCCTGGGGGCCTTCCCAAAACGAACGATATCCCCAAGAAACTCTCATACTATGAAGCTGCTGCTTCCATTTCACCCACTCAATTCGAAGTCTTCCCTCCCCCTCCCGGGACTCGAAATCGCACCACATCTCGGCCATCTGGATCCCGATCTGCGGCTCGTCCAAAATCCTTAGGTCCATCCCCCGCTCGCCATACACCACAACGGAGTAATTCGAGACGATCTACAAATTCTAGGAGCTCGGCACGTCGAAAAAGCGGCGGGACCGGTCGAGGCCCTGGGAGATGGCCGAAAGGGACCAAGAAAAGCGACTTTGGCAACGCAGATAGCGGTCCAGGCATGCCCCCAAGGCTTGGGAAGCAGAGAAGCAGATTGGGAAATGAAGTGTTACTCGGCGATGAAGAGGAGGAGGATGGCCCGCATGATGAGGATAGAAATGGGGATGGAGATCCCCTTGACGGGGATGAGGAAGAAGATGAGGATGCCATTGTATACGAGACCCCTGCGATGAAGAAACGGCGAGACAGAGATTCCGGTCGAGGGAAAGGTCTAGGGAAGCCGATACTAGGAGGGAAGGGCAAGGGGCTCGGCAAGGGCTTGGGGAAGAGTCTGTTAGTAGAAGACGGCGGCGACGAAATTATGGATGATGCTCCCCCGATTACAGGGGATTTAGAGATCGATCCGGATGCCGAGGATGAGTAGATTGAAAGATACCTAATCATGACGTTTAAATAATATCTACGGCTGGCGTAGATAACCGGGCAATTTCTTTTTGGACACGGGGTTCGGATTTGACGATACCTTGGAGAATGGATAGGGAGGGACAGGCCCCCGAGCTAGCTTATGTGCTTTGATATACCGATCTCCCCTGTACGAATACTGCAATTCAAGCCTTTTCGCCCAACATAATCCCAGTGGTACGGTATATGGTATCGTGATGATTAAATTAGATGGCCAATGCTGTAAATCTGATGACTCTTCTAGTGTTCCTTCGTATTCATCACACTGACATAACTAAGATCTGGCCTGCGGAGAAGAGGGCGTGGGCGTATGCCGCCTGAACCCCGTTAACTTATTTTCCTCTTCGTCGGTTATGTTTTTCCTTTTCACCTTTATGATGTTATTCTCCTGCTTTTATTTAATCGTGTTTAGGTGGGGGGGTTGCTCATCGTATGGGGGAGCTTAAGTGCTGGCTTTGCAACCCCACCCTCTCTTAACGAGTTACAGCAAAGCCAAAAAAGAGGAAAGCAAAATTGAATAAAATAAAATACAAAAATAAAAGAGCTTTAAATAAATATCAAGATTAAAAAATGCAAAAGAGTTCGTTGCCCACAGCCAACTAATCTCTGCCGGTTCGATGTTGTCACTAGACCTAGTTATATTTCTCTTCGATATGAGTGTCGTGTGACAATTGTGGGGAGTGTCTTAAAGAGCTAGGTTGTCGTTAACATGTTTTTGTTTATTTAAATATATATAGAGAGAGAGCGCGTAGCGACATTCTGCCGAAGGACCAGGATAGAAGCCGAAAGCGCGGTCTTGCAGTCTTGCCCGTATGGGCAGTATCATTATATGGTTTTGAGCGTTTCTGAGGGCGTCTTGAGATTTATCGAGCAGCTGGCTTGATTTGTCGCACGACGTGTGAATCTACGTTTTCGTGCCACATGAACCTGATAGAGATCGAAGTCCATATGTTCGAAGACGCCTGGTCGAATGAGCCAAGTTCAAACCTACCTAACAGAGCCATAGGAAGAACTGTAATAATAATCAAGCTATCGTTTTATATGAAAGTGCCAATTCCGTTGAATATGAGTAATAGAAGAATCTGTGCACAGCAACTTCTACTGAAGAGCATTAAATGCCTGTCTAAATTTATTTTGCCTAGGCTGTGCTTGCGGTGCCGGTGGAGCTACATATTTACGTCTCATTCATAAGGAATTTGATAACCATATACGGGACTAGTCCACAATTGCTAGAAAAATAACATAGGTATGAATGGAAACTCATAACAAATCTAGCTATGATCACCACAAATCTTATGATCGTAATGCTCTCGTAGCCACAAGGAGAGTAGTTGCAACGAATGTATGTAATGAGCGGTTTATTACTAATGACTTTCTTGCTGTCCTTTATGCACAAATGATTTCCTTATCCGAGCAGACGCACATACACAGAGAACACTAACTATCAAACTCCGAAAACCATGCATGGAATATCCTATCTCCATGTTGAATGAAAAGAACAACGAACGGGGAGCGGCATGTGGTGTGATCAAAGGCCCGAGCTACCTAGCTAATTAATTACGCGAAGTATGATTTCCATAAGACGCCTTCCAAATCCTCTAATTGTTCGGAGGTGAAATACTGCGATATCTAGTTAGCAAGAATACATTTCGATTAATAAAGAGGCCGCGGGGAGGAGAGCGAACCTTCTGATCCGTAACCCAAGTGTCCTGTCTTGTCTTTTTAAAGTCTGCCAAGATCGTTTTGACTGTCTTCCCAATGGCCCCAGCGTCGCTCGCAGCTTTCGAAGCAAGGGTTGCCAAGATTTCCGGCATCCATTCTGGTGGTGGTGTTGCATAGGGGAACGCATTGACCAGTGCACCGAGTCCTAAGACAGCTGCGTGGCGCCGGATTATTTGCTGGTTGTTGGTCAGAGGTGTGCTAGTTCCAGGTTGTTTCTTCGGCATGGGATTGTTTAGTAAAGCTTTGATGAACTTCGACTTCAAGGAAGATAGGATATTGTTACGAAGCGAGATGGGTGAGCAGCGGATCATGCCTGCCAGCGTAGTGGAAGCGCCCATTCGGACTTCATGTTGGGTGTCCTCAAGCATGTCTGCAACAGCCTCAAAGAGCGCTTCTTGTTGTTCAGGTCTGATGAGGAAGATTCGCCGGAAATATATGACTTGCATGTTGATCAATGTTCGCAGACGTTGGTGCCAAGACGTGGATACCTTGCCAATGCGGATGAGAGCCGAGATGAAAGCACCATCTTCTCTAGCCCGGAATGGGATGTTCGGTAGGTGGCGATAGACTTGATAAGCTAGGCGTTGAAGTTCTGGATCTTCCTTTACATCCATCATATGAAGAAGCTGTTCCATGAAAAGGTCGGGAAAGTAGTCCAGTAGTTGGGTACATTCGTATGATTGTAATGTCGTATCAAGCCACAACAGAACAGTCTTACTACCCGAGGTATAAGATGAAGGCGTCTGCTGGCCAGGAGTGCGTTCTCCACGCCACACCTCAAGTCTCTCGAAAATTTCATTGAGAGTGGTGGTGAAATCTTCCGTCGGAGTATAAGGTTTTATACCTATTGAAGAGGCTTCCTTGTTTTTATCTAGAAGGGTCTGCACATCTTTGAAAGCCTCATAATATCGGGTGCGATAGATCGATGCAATTGACCGTCCAATGGCTTCTCGGACCGCCTTGTAAGGGTGGTCAATATGTGCAAGGAAATCTTGGAGGATGGGTTTCTCTGAATGGAAATGCCATCCAGCGTCTTGGATTGCGAATTCCAGAAGTTGGACTTTGGAGCTTTCCTTGAAAGCTGCGTTGGAAGACATGTCTAATCGGAATGCGACAAGGCTGTCGAATATCTCCCGAGACTGACGCGGATCTTTCCCACCAATAATCATATGGAGGCATGTCATCCAATATGTGATGTTCTCAGGTGTCAAGCCATCTGCGAAGACTGCTAACAAGATGGGCACACCATAGCTCCATACTTTATTGCGGATCTCTAATGGCCGTTCCATGACGGATATCAGAAGAGCAGCTAATATTTCTGAAGTAGCACGATGTTGATGCTTGTCAGAGCCATCTTCGAAAGTCGTCTGGATTAAATCCTTGATATCTTCAAAGGTAGCAGCTGACAAGTCACTAAGCGTAAGGTCGAATGTCTGTATCAAGAGAGCAGCATTGTGAACTCTAAATCGATCGGCAGTTGAGTCACGAGGTTCTTGCTTCATGTATCCGAAGTATTTCGCGTACCAATCACGCGTCAAGAGCCCACCGATCTGCTTCCTGAGGGTGGTTTCTAATTCATCATAGTCTGTGAACTCGACTGGACGAGCTTTCAAAGCCTTGAAACTCTTACCCCAGACCAGCCATCCGGGGAAGTCTTTATCGACAAAGTATTCAGGTAGTTCTGGGTTAGAAAACCCCGAGAGAAACTCCTCAGTCCAACTTGGATCATCACTTCTAACGGTCACCTCAATCCTATTAACTTGAGTCTCCTCTTCGCGAATGTACTTTTCGGCACTGTGCCCGTATACCGCCCGAGTTTCGATATAGTTGAAAATTCGGATGAATGCTTCGGCGTAGCTATTGCGGAGCCCGGGGTGATCATCAATGGAGCCTCGGACCGCTAAATCAACAATAGGTGGCGATGCGAGAGTCTGGATACGAAGGCCAGAATTGAGAATGAAGATAGTACATCGACCGGCGATCTTCCAATGCGAATTCTTTGATATCTCTACCAATCTCAATGCCAGCTCCTGCTTTTTAGCCTCTACCCTGCTTCTGCGTTCCAAGATGAAGCTATGACGAGACTTGATTTGTGAGGAATAGTCATCCTTGGGCTCCAATGGTTGCACTAAATCTTGATCGATGATCATAAATTGCTCGAGAGATTTTCCAAACTCCACAAGACCGCCATAGAGCGCCTGCCCGCTGATCTTTTGTATCGATGGCTTATCAACAGAAGCTGATTTGATGTAAAGTTCAACCAATTCAGGAGCAAATCGCCAATCTTTGGAGATAGTCTTTGTTAGGCTTCCAAAGAATAACGTATATAGAGAACCTTTTATCCTATCAAAATCGTCGGTCTCCAATGCCTTTCTGAAGGTGGCCAATAACGGGCGGATGACAAGACGTCTGCCTGCTAAGATACACTTCAGGGCAGCCTCGAGAGCGGACTGGGCATTGACGCGAACCTCAGCATACAGCGAAACGGAGGATGCGGCAAGTTCTAGGAGCAGCCTCTTATCGAGGTCGGACTTGTGTCTGGCGGATGAGTTATGCTTCGCTCGTTGGAAGTGGTATATTCCCGCTCGCTTTACAAGGAGTGGCCGCGGGTACGACTTCCGCAAACCACTGATCTTGAATGCACGAATATCACTAGCATAGAGTCGCGTTACCCGCTCTAGCATGTGAGCAGATCGCTCATTGCCGACATCTGTGATCCAGGTACGATAGGCTGAGTATAAGGCGGTGAAGCAGGGAACATCATCTTCCTGGTGCTCACTGAGGAAGTTATGTATCTTTGACAGAAGATATCCAACGTCCTCGCGCAATTTATGGAGGTGGGAATATGTACTACTATTCTTGTCAATCAGATACCCTGCGCGGTATTGGAATTGAGGCCTCGTTTCTGCGTCCTCTGCCGCCTCAGCGAGTGGGTTGTCATCATCAGATGTTGCATCGGCTTCTTCCATTCTGCTATCCCCATCCTGGTCCGCCGGGTTGTCGGCTCTTCCAGAAGCTTTCTTTGGGTCGAACAAGGTAGACACGCCTGAGATTATCAGCCGCAGCTGAGATAGATTTCTCGACACCTCGTCAGACCATTCCTTGGTCTTCCCCTTCCTGCTAATTGTCGGGTTATCACTGATGAGATTCGTCAAACGCTGCACCGCTGTTTTGACTTGAGACTCAAACAACTCAACAGCAAACGCGATCTCGTCTGTGGAGGGAAGGTGCCAGTTGATGGTGAGGGCGTTCGGTCCCACAGTTGCCCCCCAATCTTCGACGCTCAGCCCCTTCTCAAATACCTCTGGCTCATAGAGCGCGCCATCCACTGGGTAGATGAGGGTAAGATTGAGAAGCAGATGGTGGATATAATTGGATACATGAATAGTTGGGATACCTCGGCACTTCTCCTGCATATAGAGAGCAATGTCAAACAATTCCTTTTTGTAAGGCATGAGGCTATTGCCAACGTGCACGATGATCATACTAAGCATGCTAATGTGCCATACTAATGCGCGATCTCTAGGCAGTACGTCTGTACCGCTGCTCCTATCAGAGGCAGCTTCGTTGTAATCGATCTCATTGCGGATGCCGACGACAAGCATCGGTACGAATATTTTTAGCGTCTTCTCCGGATTGGCTTTGCAAAGTGCATTGCAGATGAAAGCCATGGCATCCCGGGCTTGATGTACCACATGGCCTCCCACAAATGTGGCGACCTTCTCCAAAGCCATGTCGAAAATCTCCGGTGAAAGCGCAGCAAACAAAGGAGTGAGAGCCGCTGGTAAGGTGTTGATGACAGCCTCTTCAGGAGATCCGGATCGCACTCGAGATGCTTCTGGGAGATTCTCCAAGAGAGTGAACACTTTCCCAAGCAAAGACATAACAAATTCGCCAAACCCAGCTGTAGATGACCGAAGAATTATTGCCTCATCCTCATCACTCAGTTCAGTTCGATAGTCGATCTGAACATTGGGCCCTTCCTTCTCCATACGTTCCATCTCACCCTGGACCCACTGGATAGCAAGTGTAGTATCGTGAACGTCATCATGCTCTTTCGTTAGGTCCACAAACGGTATGCTATAGGCCACCGATTGGATGAAGTTTAGAGTATGCTGTGTTTTAGACAAATCGTTGGCATCGATACCCGGTAACGCCAAAGCTAAAAGCGCAGTGAGATGGCAACGAAGCCCTTTGTGTTTGGACATAACATTGGCAGTCATTTGTAGACCACAAAGTGATGATTGGGTCCGATGTACCTCAACTAAGCCCTGCAAAGAGGGATAGAATCGCTGGAGAGCCCCTGGCAAAATCAAATGAGGTTCTAGGTACGCTAAACCTTGAATCGCGCCGAAAAAGTAGTTCAGGGGCTTGGCTTTTTTCGAGAAAAGGCCCATAAACATAACTTCTTTCAAGCTCAAGACAAATCGCTTCTTCAACTCATCATTGATCCGACGCTCCGGAGGAGTATCTAATTCCCCGCTTTGTTCTCGATTGTAGCGCATGACGAAGAAATCAACCAAGTGAAAGACGATTTGTGCCAGCACGTCCGTCCAAGCACCCTGGTTTGATGGATGAAAAAACGTATCGATTGATTCCATCATGCCTTCTAAGTTAGAAAGAATCGAGCCTGGTTTATCAATGCAAGCAGGCGAGAGCGACATAACTATCCAACGGGCGATGGAATAGCCCAGGGGGTTCTTCTTCTTGTCCTTTTCCAGATACATTCCGAGACCAGCGCCAAGGTCGACCATCTGACAATATGGAGAGGATGCTTGTCCCACGGGTATCTCGGTCAACCTCAACAAGGCCGTGAATATAAGATCGGATTGATCTTTAGTGAAAATACCAAACTCAGAGAACTGGACGTGTTCGCTCGTCATCGAGTCTCGAGCCAGCCTTGAGAAAAGGTCAAAAAATATGACATCAAATGCCTTTGACCTGTTCACTAGCGACCATAGATGAAAGAAGGTCGGAAGATAGTCTTGCGGCTGCAGCTGACCTGGTTCGTTCGGTGCTGGATGAGTCGGCATCAGCATATTCAAGGCTCCCATTACAATAAAAGCACCAGTGATTTCCGAGGTGCTGAAATATGGCAGTATCTCGTCTAACATAGCTTTCCTTTCACGAGGGTCAAAGTATTGATATGCATAGGTACACATGCTGGCGATATTTTTGTGGCTTCGTTTTCGTGGTGCTTGGTGCGAAGCTATCTCGTAAGGCAAGACAATGGCTTTGATTTCTTTCCATAGTGGTCGCCAATCCAGCACAAGGTCGTCGCCCGGTTTGAGGTAGTGCTTTCTCCTAAACAGGGTTAATTAAGTTAGGAGAACAATACGCTGAAGCTTACTTTGTAAGAGTACGGAACATGCTCTCAAATCTCTCGGCAGCAGCATAATCTACCCCAGGTGCTAAAGCAAGCATGTAATATAGCTTTACCAGCTTAACACGCAAGGCCCGCGTGATCTCGAACTTGAGATTCAGCCATCCCTTGAGCTCCCTGGTCCAATGAACCGCCCCAGGAGCTATGTCTTCCGCCTTTATCGCGATGTAGAGCTGCTTCAGAATCTCCTCCAAGGCAGCATTCCTCTCCCCCTCTTCCTCAACATCGTATGGTAGAAGCTTGAAGTATGGGAAGGTCCGTGGTCGATACCGCTTCTGCTGTTCGAAATCCACTCCATTGGCGCCAAAACTCAGCCCTGGGGACGTCGCACGCGATATACCATCACTTGGGCCTCCTTGTTGTATTAGACTCTGGAGGAGGTGGCTATGACTTCGACCATTCGGAAACCCCCCGTCCTCCATGTTGCGCGAGGGCGTTGTTAAAGTCTGGCTAGAGTCAAATGGCAGCGACACCCTTTTCAGAGGAAGCCCTAATTCTTCCATGTTGTCAGCAATGAAGCCCCAATGTATAAGTACGACAAGAGGAGAGAGTGTCTTTCTATACCTGAAAGGGATAAAGAGCTGCAGAGCAACTAGGGGAAGCTACAAGCTCAAGGGCAGAGCTCAGCACACGCGACCGCTTTGATGGCAAGCCCTGCGTCACAGCTTCTCAATCAATATTCAGTAGATATCTAGGAAGTTGATGCAACGCCAGACGAATTGGTGGGCATGGAAAACTGGTGTTTAGTGAGCAGAGGGCAGCAGTGATGTTCGGCTGGGGAACCGGAGGAAGCAACCATGCGCGTTGACAGCCTCGCCTTATCTCATCGGAGGACTCGGTGCGAAGCGATCAACGCGGAAAATGACTACGGAGTACTTCGTAATAATGAAAGATATCTGGTAAGCAGCGTAATAAGGTCAACCTGAGCTAGCAATTTGTTTCAAAATAGGATACAGTAATGCAAGTTTGTGTGTTCTTATTCACTTGGAAAAATGTTGGGTTTGAGGGCAAGTCATGATTATGGAGATTCAGGCACTGAAGGTACGCAAGCCCGCCAGCCATGCCGCCTTCCCTGGGTACGTGATCACTACTGCCTATGTGTCACGCGACGAGAACTACAGAAGCTCAAAAGGAATAATATTGCATGATCGCTGATCGTTAGCGAATCTGGTTTGTGTTTAACAATTATGACCCCCAAAGTAGCACCCTAAGGCTCCTGATTGCTGGTCTGAATCCTAGACGCCTTCCCAACCTCACCAGCTCATAGCCAATATCAAAGCCCAACCCAAAACAATATGTTACACCGTATCCCAAAGCGGCCCACTGCAAATGAAATATGTTGATACAAAAGTCGTATACCATACAGAGTTCTCGTCGGATCTATTGGCCGCGAGCGTTGCTGTTGATTCGCCGGAAGAGCCTTGTGAAGGCTTTCCATCTACCGGCTTTGGCTTTCGGGGCAATATCTGGCGGCCGCGTCCCGTTCATCAAGTCTAGACTATGCTTACCACTACTCTCGCTGGAAATGCTGTGTTGTAGCGCGCTCGTAGGAATGTATGTCGACTGGACTCGTCGCTGGGGCCTCGTCGGTGTATTTGGCGTGGCAGTGGACGAGTCTGGAGGAGTTGTGGCGCCTGGAGGCATGGAAAACCGGGATTTGCCGGTGGCTGTAGAACTTTCCGTGGCAGCACGCCTTGGTGGATCAAAAATTGTTCCTCCTCCACCGTCACCTATAATAGCGCTGGGAATAATTCCGGAACTCCTTCTAGCTGCGGCACGCTGCATGAAAGCCGTGCCGGTCGACACAGTTCTCTTGGGTGTTACCACCCCTTCAACTGTTTGAGACGAATTACCACTCGCCGGGCTGCCTCTTCCACATGACCGGCGAAACTTGCCACTCATAGATCCAAAATTAGCAGGGCTGGATTCTGGGGTGCCTGAGCTAGCTACCGCAGGACTAATTCGGCATCCGTCTAGAGTTGGGGACATTGGTTTGGTCCCAGCGCCCGAGGATGTTTTTAAACCTGTAGATGTCGCAACCGATGCCATCGTGTCATTGTATTTAAAGTACGGGGAAAACCCTTCGCGTAGGGTAACCCATATACCCGTGACTTGAATCAGGATTTTCAAACTTTCGTCCACGGCGTGAAGAGTGCGTTCTTGGGTAAGCTCTTCCTCTGTGGCGGTACATATACTTCCCGCAGAAGAAAGCCGGGTCGGAGAGGTGGGACGACTTTTCGTAGCCGACGAAGCCACCACGGTATAGTGATCTGGGATGTCAAGTCTGTTCTGGTGGAGGGTTGCCATAACCGGATGGCGGCGTGAATTCGGATTGATGATGCTGAAAGTAAGCTTGAAGTCGGCGTTGGCCCTGTTGTGATTGCCCAGACCTTCAGACACATCCATGCTTTTCCGTGTGGTGCTCCTTCTGACCCAGCGAGCAGTAGTTCGGTTGCCCCTATCATCAACGGTAACGAATTCATACAAATTATTTGGCAAAGGCGTGGCAATCCACACGGAACCGTCGCCCAGGACTATCTCAGCTTTCCCACAAGCACCACCACAGTCCTTTCGAAGTTGGCAGATAACAGCCAACAAATCCCGATTTTCCAGCCCCTCCTCATCTAAATCCTCGTCCTCAGAATTATACTTACTTGGTATGTCATAGTCTTCACTCCTGAGTACCATCACGTCGTTTGCTCCAAGCTCCGCTTTGCCTCTAAACATGCGTGGGAACTTCTTCATCAGACGTGGGACCACGATGGTGGACGGAATGACATCGATAGCAGGCTTGGGACGAGAATTGGTCGATAAACATTGAAGTTGGAGCAACAATTTTGGGCGAATGTGTAGTAATCGAATCCGTGTTGGGGCAGGCTGTGCCAGATGGAAAGAAGTCCGGCTTCGAATATATCGTCTACGTCGCCGTTTATCATCCACAGTCACCTCCTCGCTGGTCTCGGAATTGGCGATGGACCTGCCATCTTCACTCATGGCATCGGGTTCGGGTTCAGGTTCAGGCTCCTGAAAACGTACTACTGGCTCGTGCTCCTTAGATGCATGTGCTGATAAAGGTCTGACGGGACGAATCGATAATTGGGAAAGAGAATTCTCGGAAACGGTACTTCTTCGTGGAAGAGGGGTGGAAAACGCAGATCGCGGTAAAGGAATTCTTCTTAGAGTGGGATTGGTGTCTACGGGACTGAACTCATGCCCGTGAAGAGAAGCTGCCGACGAAAGTAGGAACATCCTGAAGGCTTCAGAAACAGAAGGGACGGCCCCGAATATTTATTGGGGTGTATGCCACATGGGGAGATACTCTCAGGTACCGGTATATCGGCGATTAACGATCCCGGGAGCTTGGTTGAGGTCCAGAAGTCGTGCACTATGAAGTGCATTGGGAATGCCCGAGGGCAAGCAGAGCTCTATCAGAATCGGAAGACCCTAAAGTACGCGGGCGTGCTTTAATGAGTTGCGATGCGTTGCTCGATGTCAGAGGGGGCGAGGAGTGAGGTTGCGAGCTTGTGATGCTTATCCCATACGTTGTATGTACGAAGACGTCCTCGAGTAGCGGTCTAGGTGTGGTACCAATAATACCAAGGTATCTAGGAGTTTAGATTGGGCCCGTCAGCACGGGAGAACCAAAGCAAATCAGCGGCGCCTGCCAACGACTAGAGCGCCGTGAGCAATAACCACTCCGTGTGCCTATTAGGCGGTTGGCACGATCGTCAACCCCCCGTTGGAGCATACGAAGAAGTTCTTTGTGCTTTCGAACAGGTTTGTTTGAGGAAAACTACCTAGGCAGACAGCGAGCCGAGGGTCGTCGGGGGAGCCTAAGCCGGCATGATCTTTGAAGCAAGGGTGAAAGAAAGACTTTTGTTCATTGCAGATTCTTTATTATTCGATAAATGCCGACGCTCGGCAGAGCAGTGCAGTAGTGGAGCAGTGTAGTCAAGGAGGAGAATAGTCTGCGGTGGAGTGATGAGGCATTAGTTAAAAGAGAGGTGGATGTGGATGTTCAGAACATCAATCTTCAGCTGCCAGTGCCGTAGCACAAGGTACAGGTACATGTACATGTACTGTACATACAGTATTACATACTTCGTATTCGTACGTATAGTAGCACCTGTGGCAGTGAACTACCGTGCGCTACCGTACGTAAGCGTAAAGTGTCAAATAATGCGTCTGGAGTCTGGACTCTGGGCAGCCTATACGAAGCCGGCACCTTAGTAAGACGCTGCATAAACGGCATATCTTTTGCATAAATCTCGCACCCGGCCCGGTCCCGAATGACGGCGGGCGACGGCGGGCTCGGCGTACGGAGGTATCAACGCTCCGATGGGCCCGTGAACCGTATAGCATGCCGCTTCGGGGCTAGCGCAAGAAGCTGTGGCTTTTGTCTCTTATGACAGTTATGTCATCAGTCAGTCCACCAACTCCTTCGTAGGTAAGCACTACGTAGTCCGGAGCTACACTACTACAGTACAGTTACTGTAGGGACGAGTCGTGTTTAATAGTACGAAGTGCTGCGTGACCTAGCTATTGTAGCTTGGAAACTTGGAAGCTTGAACCGCGCCCCCTAATAACCAGACAGATACTTCCCTTCCTATTGGCCCCCTGAGAGGAGGCCGCCTGGTGCACTCCACGAGGCACAACCCAAAAGAGAATTTAGCAGTTGCCAACATGAATATGCCCCTATCTGCCCACGCTACCCGCCACCCTGTCAAAAGTCTCATCGCGTTTTTCGTTCTATGGAAGGCTCTCCTGCTATTCATAGCCTGTTGCTCGCCAGGCCAAGGTTATGATACCTCAACAAACCTTATCCTACCCCCTTACGGCACGGAAAAGTTTAATGCGTTTCCGCTACCTCTGCAACTCATCGCCGCCAAAGTCACGAGATGGGATGCCATATACTTTGTCCGAGCCTCGAATCGTGGCTATACCTTTGAGCAGGAATGGGCTTTTGGGTGGGGCTTCACCCGGCTTATAGCCTTCTGTACCGCAGGTGAGAGCAGCAGGCCATATCCTCCTCATCTGGGCCGGTGCTGATGGTTATAGGTCTAGAAAAGGCGGGACTGCTTCGTACCGACCAGCTACAAGCTCTCCTGGCAACTCTCATTGCCCATATATCGCATCTTATTTCGGTAATCCTGCTGTTCAATCTCACCCGCGCTATGTTCCCCGGCTCCAATGCTGGATTTACATTCGTTGCGGCAGCGCTACACATCGTATCGCCCGCGGGCATGTTTCTGTCTGCCCCATATGCCGAGAGCTCCTGTGCTATGTTGAGCTTTGCTGGTTGCTTGGTATTCACGAAGAGCTTCGCAAGTACCGCACAAACCACTGTGAAGCACGATCTTCTTATCGTCATTTCCGGCGTGATCTTTGGAATTGCGAGTACTTTTCGGAGCAATGGAATACTTAGTGGTCTGCTCTTACTAGAAGAAGCATTCAGAGTACTACTAAGTCTTCGACATGGCATTCAGCTGGCCACGATCCGTCGACTTGCCGCCGCTGGGCTGGGTGGGCTGAGCACCGCAGCAGGATTCCTACTTCCGCAATATATTGCCTATACGGAATACTGCCAAGAGCCAAACATGCTAGAACTCAGGCCATGGTGCAAGAAGCCATTTCCAAGCATTTATACGTTTGTTCAAGAATATTATTGGTATGGTGTCCTCTCCTGCATATCACATGCTGTAACTTACATATGTAGGAACGTTGGGCTATTTCGATACTGGACATTGCCAAACCTGCCACTCTTTCTCCTAGCTACCCCAATGTCTGTGGTAATGATTTTGTCGGGTCTGTGGGGTATCAAACGGCATGGCAGTGACAAACTAACTTCCATATCCGGGGTACCTAATGTCCTGCGCAACATGGCTGTCTCGCAACTCCTATTGACCGTAATCACATTGACTACTGCCCATGTTCAAATCATCACCCGGATATCCTCAGCGTATCCTGTTTGGATGTGGTATGCTACCTGGACGATGCAGAAGGGAAATGGTTTAGCACCACGGAGCTTTGTGAGATTCTTGGTGATGTATGCTATCATTCAAGGAGGCTTATTTGCGTCTTTTCTTCCTCCGGCGTAATTGAAAGGTTTAGAACATTAATATGTACATAATCAAAACCTCGCTGTTTGTACAAAGTAGACCCCTTAGACCAACATCGCCAAGCGTGTTGATCCTGTGGAGTCGCGCTAGCGGCGCTGTTCGCTTCCCGTTGCGCGCGACCTGAAATATCATGAACACCTCTGACCTCGTCATTATTGCAACTTATCGTAGTGAACCGATTTGATGTGGAGGTTCCCGATATCCAAAAACTTATGCCATTTAAAAGATTCATTTAACAAGCGAGCGTCTGATCTTTCTACCTCATGTTTTCACCCGTCAACATCAAAATCCATCCACCCATAATCGACCAGTAGCCAACCAGCAGGCACATTACAGATACTCCTGCAGCCGCCGCCATGTGGCATAATAATGGATATGGAAATAATCCTCCACTTCAGAGTAACTTCAATCAAAATAGCTATCCATCCTCACCTTTTGGGGGTAGTTCCGCAAGCCACCCTCAACAGCTCTTTCAACACCAGCCAGACATGATGCAATTTGAAGACTCTACTGCCGAAGGCTTCATGGCCAATGACTTCCAGCCCGAAATAGGACTGTACAATGAGGGGGCGCTTGTGCAAAATCAGTTCAATCCTCACACTCAAGTAAGTGCCGTTCTCAGACCCGGACCAAATATATCGATCTTGTTCTCTCGCAGTATCCTCACTCAATCGCTAACTTCTCTCCGATTCACCAGTTTTCCCCCCCTCAAATCAATATACCCCAAGCCATAAACGCGAATGCTCCCCGCCCTAACCCCCAAATCAACGCTCGGGCAGCCGAGTTAAAGGCACAATTGCTGAAGGGGAGAGAGGCTCGTTCCAGTTCATTCACTCCCCCGGTCGGAGCGAAAAAGACGGTCGCTCCAGGACAGGGAATGTCTAGGGAGCCTCCAAGCTTATCGCATGCATCTCCAAAACCCCCAGTGACCGCAGCTGAAAACCGTGAGCAGGCACTCAATATAAACGAGCTCATCTCCCAATATGCCGATACGGAAAAGGTTCCCAGTGCAAGTGTCAAGCAGAAAGAGAACCTTAATACCGAACCCCCAGTTTTTAGCCCACACCCACTGTCAGCACAGCATCCCACGCTTTCCGCGAAGTCGCAACCACTCTCGTTAGGAAGCCCTACGAAGGTCTCAAAGCAAGTTGCTAATGGCAAAATGGATGGGATTACTACAACGGTCAAAGAAAGTGACAAAAGACGTACTAGCAATGCATCCAGTGCAGACATGTCAGAAGGTGAAATATTGGAAGAAGAAGCTCCTGAAAAGCAAACACCTCCAACCCAGCCCAAGGAACACCAGTCCCCCTCGAAGATGCTTAATAAAGATGAACAACTATCTCGAAGTTTACGCGATCAAATATCGAGACCTTACGGTTATGGTCTACGAGATGAATCACCAGCATACCGTGGTCCTCCTGCCAATCCCAAAGCCCAACCCCAGCGCAACCATGGCGACGGGCGCGAGGAGCCACAATCTCGCCCAGACAGAAAACCATATCCGTCGGATAGCAGGGCTGAACCAAAGCCATACATTGAAATGGACATGATGCCATACCGGCCTCGTGGCCCTCGTGATGAAGAGCACGGCAATCCTCAATCGAAGCGTGCGTCAAAACGTGAGGGACCCGAGCCCATCTCCAGAGAACGAACACACACTACCCTTGCAGACATTCTCCCTCAAGACGATGATTTGAAAGAATGGCTCGAAATTACAGGCTATCACAATATTCCTTACAGGGATAAGGTTCTAAGCCGTCGTCGGGCACTTGCAAATTTAGATGCTCAGCGGAAGATGATTCTTGCAGATATTGAAGCTGAGGAAAGGGGTGGCCTTCCACCAACTTCTGCCATTCAGACCCCAGCTGCGATGCTACCACCGCCGATACCGGAAAAATCAAGGAACAGCGCCGAACCTATGTCAATGTCGATGCTGACAGTTCCTGACGTGCAACCGCGTAGGGTCTTTTCTAACAAACGAGCTTATAGTAATATTGAAGATACGGAGGATGGAGGCTTGGCAAAGGTTGCCCGTATTGACGACCGAGTTCAAGAGCCACGAGTTAAAGAGGAAGAGTCCGAGCATTATCGCCCAAGATCCAGTGGGTTTTCATCGTCTCGTCGATCATCCACGGATCTTCGTAATGAGAGAGACTCTTCACGTCCCGGGTACGATATCGACAGCAGTACATATGGCCGAGGCCGCAGCCGTGAACGGGATGATTCAGCCGGACGAAGAGTATATGAGCGGAGATCATCTCAGCATAGACCATATGGCTCAGACGACCCTCGTGACCGCGATGAGCACCGAGGAAGACGCCCGTTTGTAGAGGTTGGTAGATACAAGGGTCGTGCTTTTGATCCCAACTATAGGGGTCGAGCTGGTCGTGGAAGGGGACGTGGTTCACCAGGCCATTTCGAGGCGAAGTATGATTTAGGCTTCGGCTCTAGAATCGCAAATGGAAAGCCATACAAGGATCCCAAGGGCTATAATGGAGGCGTAGAAGGTGGTCAGTGATGCGTGTTCCTCCTCTACGTCAAATCCCTTTTATTTGATTTGCGTGGAGATGAAAAATGTTTATGTATCAAAATCTGGGCCGTTGGCCACAAGGCGATGCCATACCATGGACATGGCCTGCTCTAATGTCTTTTTTACCCCGGAAGCTCCTGTTTAGCATATCTCGCGGTTTTTGTGCATGCTCGTGACAAGTGTCTTCCATTTATTTAAATTTGGCTGAATTCGCAAATGTTGACTTGACCAGACACTCGATATTTTATTGTAAAATCTTTTAACGAGGAGAATGTCTTGAACTGCATCGAAGATGTGAGTAGGGTCTTATCTATCCCCAGCATGTTGTTTGGCTAAGTTCAGCAAGTCTGCCTGGACCACCCAAATCCAAAACGGGGCCATCTTCAAGGAGGCATTCGAGTCCTGCAAGAACGTCATACTAGTATTTTCAATCAATAAGAGCAAAGCATTCCAGGGATATGTGAGTCCTGATTTAGGTACTGTTTGTTGCCTTGGGCCTGCTAAAGTTGAACATATAGGCTCGAATGGAATCGCTTCCCGGATCCGTTGAGGTTCCCGAATGGCAAACAGCAATCAACTGGGAGAGCGCTGGTGCTTTCAGAGTAAAATGGCTTGTCGTCTGCCCCACGCGGTTCAGCCGTGTTGGGCATCTCACGAACCCATATAATGATAACCATCCCGTACTAATCGGTAAAGATGGCCAAGAGATAGAGGAAAAGTGCGGTGCAGCACTTATTGAACTAATTGACGAGGAATATAGAGAGACTGCTGACTTCTGGAGAGATTCGGAAGATGGAGTGAATTGGGAATATTATTGATGGCTTTATTAGCCGAATAAATAAGGGACTCGGAAATGGAGCCTAGTATATTGTCGTTGGTAATTATTATATTTGTACATTTTCTTGCTTTGCCTCTTTGATGTGAAATAGATACCGACATCTGTCAGATCAGTCGCGGTATATTTTAAATATATAGTAAAGGCAAGCAACGCCCTATAGAACACACTAGCAGAACCTAATTGAGTAGCTAGGCCGGTAAGCAATTCAAAGGGGGGAAAGGCTCTCGCTTACTCACAACGATCCACCCAAGGTAGGCCAAGAGAGACAGAGAAAAAAGCCCAACACGCGTCAAAAACTAAGAAATAGAGGCAAAAATATTATCGTATACTCTGGAAGCAAAAGAGTTCGGCCCGGTGTCGAATGCCTACATCTCTTGCCGGTTTGTTGTACTTGTCGTTGTTGTCGTCTTTTTTGGTCGCTTTTTTCCCTATCAATCCTCTCCAGGAGACAATTTGACCTGAACCACTTAGCCAAGTGGCCGCCTTTTGTCTTCCTTAATACCAAAATCGCTTATTTTGATTTATATAGAGGGTGGCGCAGGAAATCAGATAATCATGTGACTAGCCTTACACCGACTTAGCCACGTCTAGGGGGGTCTCCCTTCACACCAGACTATATGCCAACCCCAGTCTAACATATATGATATGCGGATGGGGCCACTGTATCCCACATTCATTATAAGAAAAGAAATCTAGGCTCGAACAATCGTCGGCATTCGTTGCCAATACAATGGTCCTAATATACCTTATCTATATATCACACGACGCAAGCTACCCCTTCTACCGCTGTCTCCACCCCAGCCCTTTCGACTCTAAATACATAGCTCTCTGCCTCAAATATGAAATATCTGACCGAAACTATCTCTACACCCACCATCTCCATCAAAGATATGGACCAGTTGTACGTTTGGGTTCGAGTTATTGACTTTCAGGTCACTGGAAGGGTCGAAGGAAAGGAAGTGGATATTGCAGGGCGGGTTTATACTCTATTTATTCAGCTTAGTATTAAGTATTGGCGGGGTTCAGGAGCATGTTGATGCCTTTGGGTAGATGTGATGCAAGGCTAGCTGCCAAAACTTGTACGCCTATGTACACGCTCCCTCAATGTGAGAAGTGTCGGTATTTAGTTGTTAGCTCTAGGTGTACTCATATTGCTACGGATTAGATGAGATTGCGCAACCCATCATCTCTTTCATCGATTGGTCAGCCCTTCCATCGTGCGTGGCGATGGCATGAAACTTGAAAGCTATTAGAGAATGATAATCTGAAAGGTTTCCTTTTCTCTTCAAAGATTTGATCCACTCACGTTTCACGCCTGTTGCTAGATATTGTTACAAGAATTCATATGTCAAAGACTACTATTTTGATCGAGCGACCACTCGTTTCCACGAATTAAAATAACCGGTGCATGTACTTGTACGGGCCAAAGGTACCTACCGGCCAGCAGGAGCTATAGATAGTAGAAGTGGCAGCCACAGCAGGCTAAGGACGCACTTGCATATCGAACGCTACTATATAAACTTAATTAGCAGAATACTCTTCGCCTGCGGGCATATGGTCAATTGAAACGATACAGAGAAGATTAGCATGGCCCCTGCACAAGGATGACATGCTTCGTTAAGAGAGTTAACAGCTTTTTTGCCTTTTCCCTCGTACTTCTTCTACTTTCTTGCAACGAAAATTATATATTTAGAAGTGTTGATTTTTTGGAGTTCTTTTTTTGGATAATTCCTTTCCTTTTTTCTGACGGCCCAGAAATTGTTGCTGCTTTCCCTGATCCCTATTGCACAGCCTCACTATGACTCACACCCAGCCGGGGAACTATTGATGGATATTATATTATATCCGGCACCATTATCAAGCTATCAAACTTGGAGCGTTCATCGCCCGAAAAAAGGGGGTTTATCCTGATGGTGATGTTCTTAGTAGCGAGATGGTTGTGGGGGCAACGTGGTACTTGATATGGTTATGGCCCTTTGTATTTGAAGGGTATCAAGGGAGTTGCACTAGGCGGTAGCAAGTGCCTCGGAACTCATTTCACTTCCATACGATCAAAAGTCCTTCATTTGCGATTGTTAAGATGAAGGTCCTGCTGTGTAGGGTGTATTTGCGATGCAAGACTGCGGGTGGCCCCTGATATGAGTTTTGGGACGACAGACGGTTGCCTTGATTGAAGTTGAAGGGATGGACCCGGATGGTACAAAGGGCTTGATAAGAATTAAGAATCAAGGCTGGCCGGAGGATTCAAGTGAAGCTAGAGGCTGAAGCCTGAACCTTCTTTACTTGCATGTGGTTGCTGCCTGGTATAAATAATCGGTTTCATACTTGCATCGGGCGTACAATTGCTCTGGGGTTTTGAGGTGGAGAGGTTGTGAGGCTTGCGGATGGACAAAGAACAGTTCCTGATTGGGTGATTACCTCATCTCGCCTACTCCGGCTACACTATCCCGGATTTATCCAATTCGCCACTTTTATGCTCGAATCGGATCCGACCCCACGTGGCTTCAATCGTAGGGCGTCCAGGCCGGGTTCCACGACGTCACAGCCCCCCGACAGCCTTGGGCGCCAGATCCTGTATCTCTGCTACCTATTTCTATTTCACAGCCCTGGCGCATCTTCTCCTATTCCTTCTCCCCCTCTAATATCTGATCCTTCCCCTTTCCCTTGCCTGCCCAACACCTAACTTCGGATTTACCGTCGCCGACGATCGCTTGAAGGTCTTACCTAGGAGTCATTAAACATAACTCGAGCACTGGTGTTCGTGGGTTGTCTCGCGCGACAGAGCGACCCGTCACGATCACCATCACCATGACACGTTAACTGTACCCACCATCCCCTCACCAAACGATAGACTATCTCCCGCGATGGGTTTTGGCGCCTCTCCCTCTGATATTAGAATCCTGGTCGCTTCCTGCAAGACCGTCTATAGGAAGTGCCGAGATGCTGGTGGGGTAGGTGGACAGCCTCATCCAAATCCACGAGGCAGAGACTCAAAGGAAAATGGCTAACAGTGGAGAAGGACTATGATGAAATATCCCGCGAAGTGAAAGGTGTGCACACTGTGCTGCGCCATCTAAAGTACGAAACCCAAGCCCCAGAATCTCCATTGAATCGCGATCGTTCGATATGGGGACGCCAACTAGCCCCGATTGCTAGCGACTGCGATATTAGTCTGCGGCAACTCGACGGCCTGCTGCAGAAGTATGGGCGACTTGCTACAGATAGAAGCGGTTCTCCAGCATCCACGGGAGTGTCTAGGGACAGAATACAATTTGGTAGAAACGAGCTGGACCAGCTGGGTAGCATCCGCGTGAAATTGATATCGCACAAGAATAACTTGACGATGTTCATGGACAGAATACAGCTGGATCAATCCATAGTGATGCCGGCGAATTTGGAAAACGATGAAGGGCAGCTGGATGTTATACTGGATAAAGTGGATTCCATTGCCGCTCGAATGGGGCCAACGTCGGCAGGTGTAATGGGTGGTTATGATGATGACGATGACAGAGAAGTTTGGAAGCAATTTCGGAGGGAACTAGTGATAGAAGGATTCTCTGGTGACATATTGGAGCAACATAAGGTACGAGCATGCCTCCTTATCCACTCACCCCAGATCACTCCCATTTTGTGATGCATAAAATTACAGGCACCACAAGCGTCCATTCCATTGAATCTACGCTGTTTCTAGTGCTTTGGTTCCTGGCATAACAGGCTGTATTTTCTTGTGTTGATATTATCTGTCATATCTGGCAATTCCGGGGCCATCCACGAATATTAGCATTCCGTCTTGTATTTTAGAATTGATCTTGCCCCGAATACTAACAGCATCTTCAAGGATGTTCTTCGAGCCTACATCCGTGAGCTCGATCAAAATGGACTTCTAGATGAGGCGCCATCAACAGCAAAGGCACTTCCTTCAATTGAACGTGTTGACTCGGCAAAACGGTTGGGTTCGATGCAAACGCTACCAGGCCAGGAGCAATCCGATTCTCTGAAAATTGCCACGGTCGGCAGAGGGGCAAAGGAAATTGTAGCCCAAGAAGAAAATATGAAATTCCCATTGTCAATGAAGCTAGATCTATTGAGGCCCGACAGAGATCGGGCTGTAGAGTACCAGCAGCAACGGTAAGGAACTTGGGGATATTTGATATTTTCAATGCTAACAGCACACAGTGGGGCCCCATCGCCAACGCTACCAGAACACAAGGGGACAAGTGGACCCAACCAGCAGCAATTATCTCCGGTTTTAGATCCTACGATATTTAATGCAAGGGGAACACAGCAATACAATAGAATCGGAACATCTGACAGCGACTCGGACACTAATCGTTTAATAAAACGATTTTCGGACCCTTCAAAAGTAGTCATTATCAACACATTCGATTTACTCGACTTGAGTTCAAGATTGCGATCATGGCCACCAGGGCTACCCAGCAGCTTTGATGGCAATATATCTTTAGACAACGATAATGCAAGACGTTCAATAGAGTACAAGCCGAAGGAACAGACAGACCTTAGCGAATCCCCTCCCCAGGTTGGGTCCCTGGCGATCCGCCCTCCGAAGGCAAACATTTCGAGAGACGGTCTCAGCACAAGCCCAAGGCCAGAAACTATACGTTTAGCTCCAGACTCGCAGGGAAATGAGATTCCTCCAGATGCTAAGTGGACCAAGATTAATCGTCGGCTAGTCTCGCCGGAAGTGTTTGACCAAGATGGAAGAAGATATGAAGCGTATGTCGGCTATCCATTTGTAGATGGGGAGGGAAGAAATGCTAACTTCTGTGTAGACGGCCGGATTTTGTTGCTGTACTTGGTGTTCTAAGTCGCAAAGAAATTGAGGAGTATACGATGAGATCACAGGAATTGCGTGCGGCCCGGACTCGGCGAAATCAGCCACCACCCCCAATCCGACATCCAGTCCCAAGGCTACCAAGTGAAAGAGGCGGGCGCCTTGCTCGCTCAACGGATGAGGACGGTTCGTCAGACTCGGAACATTATACCACTAGACGGACTAGAAAACGTGGGTCCTCCCCACCGTCGAACGCGGGTAGCGATCTAGGAACAAGTTCGGGCTATCCGAATCCATTTGGCGTACGGCCGCCATCACCGCCATCGCCGCCACTACCACCAAGGGCCTCACCAGCTTCCACAGCGGCGCAGCCAATGTGGATGCCTAGATCAACACTCGATCGGGATGCTCGAGACCGAATCAGGCCACTTGGTTCGTATGAGGCGGATCGAGGAAAGTCTCCTTCTTCATTTTCGAGGGAAGAGAAGGAGTATTCACAGCATCACCGACATAATAGCTCGTCCCGGCCCTCTTCTTACTCAAGTAGCCGAAATAATAGAGATGGAGAAGCCGATAAGAAAGGCAGGAGGTGGAGGGAGGGTGCAAAAGCTGCAGGGATAGGCGGAGCAGCCATGGGATTGTTAAGTGTACTATCTGACGCGGCAGAGGGTCTATGATTTATATGGTTTATGATTAATGGCTTGTTTGGATACGATGGACTAGTAATGTATTGGATAAGTATCTGCAGATGGACTTTCGCGACTGCATAAGCGTTCTATTTCTACAGAGCGAGGCGATTCTATAGTGAGCGTTTTGAATTGATTATTCTGTATAGTACAGCACCATCTTATCTGCTTTGAGAACCATCAATGGAACCCACCAGCTTTGCTGTTTCTTCCTCTGGGGCGTATCTGCATTGCATTGGGGCTTAGCGTAGAACTGAAGTATGGGAATCGGGATGCGAGGTGGGTTTGCGACGTTGCGTAACCCACAAACTGTGCGTGGAATGCAAGTTGTTCCGGGTGAAGACTTCCTTCCACCTTCCTTCTGGCCGATATCCCCGAGCTGCGCCTGGGATGAGCTTGAGCTTTGAAGGGCTTTGATGCTGGGTACTGCAGCAGACGCAGACTGCGGGGAACTGCGCTGATTGTTACGACATGCGGCGAGGTTGTTTGATACGGGCGATTAAGTAGGTGGAGGTTGATGATCTCGATGAAGCCGTCCGTAGATACCAAGGTGCAGTACGTGGATACGTACCAGGGGAGATGTTCTGGGTGCTGTATCCGCGTACGTACATGTACTCGGGTAACTCCAGTACATGGCCCACATCACGTCCGTGCCAAGGGCCCACCTATATCCCTGAAAATCGCGGGGATGGCGCTAACCGCACCTGCCGCACCCCAGCTACGCCGTTTCTAGACTGGCGGCCGGACCTTCCAACGTCAATCGTTGAGCTGGTGCTAGTCCTGCACAGCTCGCCAATGATGATAGCTAAGGAGCTACCTGTGAAGGATCCCACGCAACGATCGACTCCAGTCTACCTCCGTAGATAATGCTCCCGTCTGGCCGCCATGCTCTGCATGCATTATGAATTGCCCCGCTCAAACGCGTAGGCAAAGCGAGCCCGCTGATGACTTGCCCAGACCTACAAGACGAGGCGCAGGACCTTAGACCCGCATACCTACGTATATAGCGGCTACAAGCCACCAAACGAAGCATCTCGGGATGAGCATTGCGGCGCTGCTCGGGGCTCCTCGGGGTTCGGCATCTCAGGTCCTCAACGAGGGCGTCAGTTAGTGACTTGTCCCCGGGGTGGCTTTACTCTCAATTTGCAAGTCGTATTCTTGCTCTTCGGGTGTGTTTATAACTTGGGAACAATGATGCCTCCCGTGGATATTAACTACAGGAATATCTCCAGGGGATTGCCTCGCCATGTGTATAAAGGGAGCAGACCCAACTTCTCACGGGAGGTTCGGAGCTTGGTTTCTCTAAATTTTCCGCCGCCACGGTGAGGACCATTGCGCTAAGAGTCCCGCAGAAGACCAGCTTCACACGTTATTTTATTATACACACGCTCACTTAACTGCGCGGGCACCGCAGTCATCATCCATTCCAGCATTAAAAGACCGCAAAGCCCCATCCGAGAAGTACGTTAAATCTAATTCTGGGCGCCCCACAAGAACCAGAAGATATTGCGGGGTACCGTTGGGAACCCGGCCCATGGTTGCAGCGGCATTCTTACTACCTGGCTACCGCGATATCAACTTCAGGGGTTTCATTTGGTCTTCATTTGATCCTCATTTGATGTTCATTTCGAGTTCTAAATGCCGGCGTATTTCCATACTCCGTCTCGTTTCACAGCTTATCTATTCCCGAGACCCCTCTTCCAATCCCAAACCCCGAGCATCAAGCTGATGAGGGGTATGCAACCCTCCAAGACGATAGTTTGGACCGTTTACATGCCCCATGCAGTGTATGGGAGCGTTGAAGTCCAATTGACTCGTAACAAGCGGGGGGATGGACAATAAGCAGTCGTGGGATTCTAACAAGCTTGCATTAGCCAAGATGGAGGATGTTGGTTGTACGTGCGGGGCCTGAGGGGGGCTGCTGCGAAGTAAATATAAAGGGGCAGCTCTGGGAACCCTGTAGTGAATAGTTCTCACTCATTCTTCATCGTCTTTAGGTGAAAGAACAGATAACAATCATCAATAAGCTTTTGCAATAAATACAGGTTTAATCTGACCAACATGACTATCCCTGATGAGGTTGATATTATCGTGTGTGGTGGTGGAAGCTGCGGTTGTGTAGTCGCTGGTCGGTATGTGACCAATATTCATTGCTACCCCTTTTCAGTGGCTCTAACTCCTCCCTAGATTGGCAAACCTTGACCACAACCTCCAAGTCCTTCTGATTGAAGCTGGAGAGAGCAACCTAAACAACCCATGGGTTTACCGCCCGGGAATTTGTAAGCGGCCGTGAAAAGTTCATTGGAATCAGCATTAACATGTATAGATCCCCGGAACATGAAATTGGACAGCAAGACTGCTTCCTTCTATCACTCACGGCCTTCCGAATGGCTCGGCGGCCGGAGTGCTATCGTTCCTTGTGCTCATATCCTGGGAGGAGGATCATCGGTCAACTTCATGATGTACACTCGTGCATCTGCCTCGGATTATGATGACTTCCAGGCGAAGGGATGGACCACAAAGGAGCTTATTCCTCTCATGAGGAAGCATGAGACATACCAGCGAGCATGCAACAACAAGTGAGGCTGCAGTTAATGATACTGTTTCCTATCAGTTGCTAATATCATTTCAAGAGATATCCATGGCTTTGAGGGACCAATCAAGGTTTCTTTCGGAAACTACGTATATCCTGTCATGCAGGACTTCCTCAGAGCAACGGAGTCCCAGGGCATCCCAACTACTGATGATCTTCAAGATCTCAATACTGCCCAGTAAGTACAGACTTGTAGAGTTATCAATCAATATTGGCTGTGCTGATACATTTATAGTGGTGCCGAGCAATGGCTTAAATGGATCAACCGGGATGTAAGGAACCCCCAATCTCCAGGGATATACCGCGAACTGACACCTTTTAGACCGGCCGACGGAGTGATTCGGCCCATGCCTACATTCATTCAACAAGATCCGTCCATGGGAACTTGCACTTGCAGTGTAACACCAAGGTTGACAAGGTTATAATTGAGAACGGAAAGGCTGTAGGTGTCCGAACGGTGCCAACCAAGCCACTCCACCCATCTGTAAGTAATTCGGTCCCTTTAGTTAACATTGTTGATACGAGTCCCCACAAGCAGCAAAAATCTCGCACTTTCAGAGCTCGAAAGCAAATCGTCGTGTCTGGCGGGACTCTTTCCAGTCCTTTGATCCTCCAACGAAGCGGTATCGGTAACCCGGAGAAGTTGCGGAGGGCCGGTGTCAAGCCAATTGTTGACCTTCCTGGCGTCGGTCTTAACTTCCAGGATCATTACTTGACCTTCTCAGGTACGCTATTTTCACTTTAATAAATGCTAGTGACCTTACAGAGCCGCAAATGCTAACATGTTTTTTAGTTTACCGTGCTAAGCCTGGTATGGCCATCCTCACCCTCATGAAGTTAGTCAACTGACCATTGTAGATACCGAGAGTTTTGATGATTTCGTCCGAGGAGTTCCCGAAGTTCAAAAGGCCGTCTTTGACGAGTGGAACCTTAAAGGAACAGGGCCACTGGCCACTAACGGCATTGAAGCTGGAGTTAAGATCCGCCCTACGCCAGAGGAGTTGAACGAGATGGCCAAATACCCTACTCCACATTTCAGAGATGGCTGGGATAGCTACTTCAAGAATAAGCCAGATAAGCCAGTCATGCATTATTCAGTCATCGCCGGGTACGTTCTCACGTCGACGAAGTTTTCGGATAGTTGCTAATTGATCCCAGATGGTTTGGTGACCACATGTTGATGTATGTTGGAATTGAAGCTTTCAGAATTATTCCTTTCCCCCAAACACATAGCTACTAATATACTACAGGCCTGCCGGGAAGTTCTTCACCATGTTCCACTTCCTTGAATATCCCTTCAGCAGAGGCTCTACCCACATTGTCTCTCCCGACCCTTACGAGGCACCAGACTTCGATGCTGGGTTCATGAACGATGATCGTGACATGGCCCCAATGGTCTGGGGTTACATCAAGTCCCGTAAGCATCTTATCTGATTGATCCTGGGTATCCCTTGTACTGACATCACCGCAGGTGAGACAGCGAGACGCATGGACGCCTATGCCGGCGAAGTCCAGAACATGGTCAGTATGCTGCTATGGCCCACCGAATTACAGAATTGACATTCAATAGCATCCATACTATGCCTACGACTCAGCAGTCCGTGCTAGAGATATGGATCTCGCGACTACCAATGCATATGCACTACCTGGCAACCTCACAGCCGGTATCCAACATGTAAGTAATTCTATCAGATGGTTATTGTTCAATTGTGGCGAGCTCTAGGGCAATGATGCGGTTTGCTGTTCGAGCAGCGATGTTATAAGATGATTGCTAACTAGTCTGTCCTCTCTAGGGAAGTTGGTCGCAGCCCCTCGATTGCGGGAAGAAGCCCAAGTCTGGCCTCATCAACAGCAACTGCCAAGATGTATATGAGGATCTCCAGTACAGCCAAAAGGATCTCGAGCAAGTTGAGGACTGGGTTAAACGTCACGTTGAGACTACCTGGCACAGTCTTGGGGTACGTTCCAACCTTCTCTCCCCGTTTCTATCATCCCTGAAGTTGGCCGCGGAGTATTATTCACATTATTATGGAAATGCTGACGATGTTAGACGTGCTCAATGGCACCCAAGGAAGGAAACAGCATTGTCAAGCACGGCGTTCTTGATGAGCGTCTCAATGTCCACGGAGTCAAGAACCTGAAGGTTTCTGATCTCTCCATCTGCCCTGATAACGTTGGATGCAACACTTGTGAGTACAATGACATGGATACAAAGTGGGAGAAATACTAAGACCTGTGCACAGATTCCACCGCTTTGTTGATTGGTGAGAAGTGTGCCATGCTCGTCGCAGAGGACCTCGGCTACAGCGGCAGGGCTTTGGACATGAAGGTTCGTAATCCCGTTGCGAATAAAGCTATTGTGATATTAACGTTTATAGGTACCAACCTACCATGCCCCTGGTGATCTTTCTACAATCGCCACCGCCAGACTTTAAATGCTTGTATTGGGGATGACCGGAGCGACAGATTGTTAAAGGACCGTGTTGATTGATGCAATAATGACTTTTGGTGCGGATTACTTCGTTTGGGTGGAAGTTCCATTCTTTAACGACAGCGAGTTGAAAATTAGGGCGGGGCTCTTTTGATCACACTCCTTATATATATAGGGAGCTTATGGGGAAAACCCTTGGAATTATATATATTTATGAACCATGTCATAGCCTCAACATATCTAAAGAGAATTTTGGTAAGTTGAGTCCTTCGTAGAGTGGCGGAAGTCAATCCAGCTGTTAGGATTCGTTACCGAGTACGGGACTGTTCCAAGTGGTTGGGCCCCAAGCGAGGCCACTTCGCCCCTAAACCCAACGTCGTGGCGTGCCAACTCACGCATGTACATCTACATCAACATCAACGTCAACACGGCGCTTTCGAAAGCAATACAGGGCAAGCAGCCACGTGGTTACTTCTCGTTTTTTGTCTGCAGTTCTTTCTCCTTGTCACCAATTATTCCAAGGCCGTGCTCGAGTCTCCTTCGCACATGCCACTTGAAAGCCCAACTGTGGAAGTCTCTGCGTAGTTAGTTTGTGGCTCCAAGACACGCGACCAGCCTTCTAAATTTGTCTGGTCAAATATATTCCTTCGCAGCGCAGCGTAAGCCAGTAGTACTGCGAGAATACTTCGCGATGTCGCACTGGGCTATACTCATTTGACTCATGTTATCGTTTTTCCAAACCAACACCAACGTGTAGTTCATGTTGTTGTCATGACGGGCATCCGCCAACATAGCAGCATGGCGACATCAAACTCCCATATACTCAGCACGTCCAGCACTTTTTTTTGTCTTCATCACCACCACTTTCGAGAATTGGTTTTTTCACAACTATGGATGCATCTAACCCTCCCTCCATCGACCCGCAACCGTCGGACTCCGAGGATGTCAATACTAGGCAGAATTTGAGCAATCCCCTCCAAGTCCCCGAGTCCAAGTCAGGCGAGGATGAGGAGGCAAAAGAGGAGGACGCCCATACACCTGCTGAGTCTGAACCCGAACCCGAGCCTGAAGCTCCACCTGAGCCCGAACCCGAACTAGAGCCAGCGCCAGTACCAGAGCCAGCATCAGAGCCAGCACCAGAACCAGCGCCAGAACCAGTGCCCGAGCCTGAGCCCGAACCCGAACCGAAACGGGAGCCAGATCTCGAGCCCGGACCCGAGCTAGAGCCCAAACCCGACGTCCCTTATCCGCGAAATCCCGACTTCGTTGGTCGTTCTGCAGCCCTCAGCCAATTATTTTCAATGTGGAAGCCTGGTCGCAAGGGGCGAATTGCTGTTGTTGGCCTTGGTGGAATCGGGTAGGTCCTCCTTGTTACTTTCTTCGACAAACGTTGACCATTTCTAGAAAAACAGAGTTAGTAGTTGAATTTGCCTATCAGCTACGAGCAGCCTCGCCCTCGACGCCAATATTCTGGTTCAGAGCAGTGGATCTGCTGCCCAGCACGGAAGCTGCTCCTCCTAGCCCAGTTTTTACAACGGCCATCCAGCTACATCGATGGTTGAAACCGGACCGTAGCCCTGGTAGTGTGGTCATCGTGGATTCTGGCGACAGGTTCGAGGATCTGCTTCGAGATCTTCCTGGGAATGGCCCGCTACTTGATAAACTACGACTTTTTCCCGGCACTGTTATTCTGTTGGCCAGGAGTGCGCAGCATGGCCGCCAACTAGTCAGTCCTTATGACCTATGCGAGATTGGGAACTTGGAGAATGAAGCTTCAATTAAGCTGTTGCGTGGTAGACTTGGACCCTGTGCCCAAGGATCACCAACTGAGCTTGAAGAAGTGGTTCAATTAATGGCCCATTTACCGCGAGCCATTCTTCAAACTGGGCGGCTTATCACCACCACCGGGATGACGGTTTCTCAATTCCTCCAATTATCCAGCAAAGGGGATGCAATGAGGCTTCGTCTCTTTGCCAAAATTGAACGATTTTCAGAGCCTGATCATAGGTTTTCAGTTTTCGGCAAAGGGGTTTTTGATGTCGGGCCATTTCGAAGGGAGTTCCCCGATGTCAGTCAAATGCTATACCAGCTTTATTTCCTAGGTGGTAATTCGGTACCGCAAAGCCTTTTCTCCATGACAGATCCTCTAGATATGATCCTCATCCTGGTTATTCTAAAGGGGCACTTTTTAATTACTGAAGATACATCGAACGGCACTTATTCACTTCATCCTCTCGTATATTTGGCCATGCGAAAGATCTTTCTCAGCGAACGGCTCGAAGAGGAGGAAGACGATATCAAAGAGGAACGTGAGTGGTATGAGGATATTATGACGACATTTTCGGAGTTCTATCCAGATTCGAACAATGAGGATAGGGCGTGGTGGAGAGGGTGTTTTGCTCAATTCCTTCTTGGGTGCGACTTGCAAATATATTCTCTGCGACTTGCCGTGGCCACAGTACATAAGAAAGAGTCGGCTTACTTCAAACGAAAGGGTCGGTATTCGGAAGCCCTGAAGATGGCGGTCCTAGCCAAGAATTCTCTTCCCCATCCTGTTCCTGCGGAACACCTAAGCATTATACAGGACCAAGTTACTCTCTTAGAACTACTTGGAAAGTACCGCGACGTTGAAAGTGCACTCCAGGCTTGGCCATCAGATGATGAGCAATCTATGGTATTGTGGAAGCGGAGAATGCAAGGGAGGCTGGAACAAGCCGAAGGAGCAGATCAATATAATTCTACTGTTGAGATTTTTCGACAGGTACGGAGTTCCTGGGAAATTGCGGGCAATTCGTCGCCTGATCTCTTGCAAGCCATAGACGACTATGGATGGGCGCTTATGCTGAAAGGGAGGTATCAGGAGGCTGCGAATGAGTGCCGGAAAGCCCTCGTTGAGAGAACTATCCTCTTAGGAAGCTCTCACCTCGATACTCTTACCAGTTTTCATCATCTCTCTTTGATCTTGAAATTTCAGGGAAAATACGATGAAGCGCTGCACTATGCCCAAGAGGCAATTCGGGGCAGAGAAAGTGCTCTGGGGCCCGACCATCCCGACACCCTCGAGAGCCAAATTTTCAAGGCTAGGATCCTCATCTCCACAGCCGTGTCGTTGTTGGATTTTGATGAAGCGGAGACACTTCTTGTGGACTCTTCAAACCGCCTGAGTGGAATATTACCAGAAACACACCCCCTTATCATGGCATGCAGGAGTGACCGAGCTCTTATCATGCTGGCTCGTGGGAAATATGATGCTGCGGAACAGATGAACAGAGCTACACTTTCGACGAGGCAGAAAGGGCCGTGGATGGAGCCTTCAACTCATCCTGACACTTTGACAAGCAAACATCAACTTGCAGAAGTCTTGAAGCATAAGGATGGGTGCCGTGTTGCTGATTCTCTTAGCGATGAGGTCTTGGCCGAGAGAACTCAAATTTTAACAAATGGAAAACTCACTGGAGACGACTTCCACCCTGACCAACTCACCAGTCTTCACCACCGAGCCATTGTCCTCTCTGGTTTAGGCGAGCACTTGGCAGCTTTGCAAAAGATCGACCTAGCTCTAACGGGACGACGTACTCTCCTAGGAAACAATCACCCCGATGTATATCTTAGCATGACATGGAAAGGCGAAATTATGCGCTCACACCTCCCGAACGATGACAGCCAACGAGCCCAAGCTCTAGACGCAATAGAGCAGCTTCACAGACAAGCTCTCCATGGCCTGACATGGATTTTCGGGACCGAGCACCATAACACCCTCCAATGTCTGACAAACGCAGCACTTGCCAAAAATGAGCGTGGCCGGGCTGGCCAAGAAGAGGCGGAGACAGTGTATCGGGTAGTCTATGGGGCGTACCGCCGCAGCCTGGGAGACCTACACCCAGAGAGCCTTAAGAGTAAGTCGAGGCTAGCAGAGTCGATGCGGATTGTGAGCCCGAGTTATTATCGAGAGGCCAGGAGGCTGTGGAGAGAGGCTTGTGGGGGGTTCTCGAAACTCCTTGGTCCCGATGCTTATTTGACCGTGGCAGCTTATAGGGGCTATGAGAAATTTCTGAGGAAGTATCCTGACCCATGACTCCGTCGAGGGAAGAGGAAGCGAGGAAGGAGAAACAATAAAAACAAAAAAAGAGGTGGTAAATCTAGAGTTCGAGCAAGACCAGGGAGAAATGCAAGACGGGGAAATGGGAGATATTGGAAAGGGGACAAGGCAAGCGGTAAAGGGTCCAACTTGAGGAGATGAGAGAGTAGAAAGTAGATAGTAGAATAATGTAACGAGTTAATAGCCACCGAAATAAATACCGTTACTTCAACTAAAGTAAATCGCCTTAATATTTGAAAACTTGATAATGTATAACCCAAAATAGAGCACTAGAATCCCTCCAATCCGCCTCACCCAGGTTCAGAAACGCCCCCAGTAACCTTTATTTCACAATATCCGCTCCACACGCCGAGTAAAGGACATTTTTGCGCAAAGGGCGACTAATATATCGTAATTCTTCCGGAAGCCCCAACTAATGAAACCCCTTTCCCCGCGCCGGGTCTACATCACTGCCAGCGAACAAGACATGCAACGAGGCACGAGGCTGTACTCGCAAGCCCCACCAGCTCAACCCAACGGAGCCACATCATGATGAATGCTCCTACACCCAATCAATAAGCCCGAGGCTAAAGAAAAGAGATAGATTTTATTATAGCACACGTAGTTTTGCCCCTCGCCTCTTATATATAATGTGCTTCCCTCTATCATATGCACTTCTCTTTGTGAGAGAGATAGACGAAGCACGGTTTGCTAAAGAGCGGCTATTGTTCTGCGGCCGTCTTGTGAATTCGGTACCTTTCTATTTATACATCTCGAGCATAAGATTCTAGCGAATGTCATCAGCGCCTCTTCCTGCTTCTCGCATTCTGTCAATAAGTCCTTCGCTTTCCAGAACAGAAACATATCTACCGACGGCAACGACGACAATAACTCAAGAAAGCCAATGTAATTCTCATAATGGCAACAATGTTGGCGCTACGTCTGCCCCCTTGACACCACAAAACACTACCCGACCACCCACAACATCCCACCATATTAAATACTTCGGCGCAGGAGCTTATCCCTCCTACGTAGTCCTCTCCGTAACCCGCCCAACAACAACATATACAACTATAGTCCCCCTCGGTAACTCATTCCCAACGGATGCATCATCCTCAGCCTCCCCCCCAGAAACAACAGCTCAAACCCCCGGCATTCCAACAAGCTCCATCGTCGGCATAATCGTGGGGTGTATCTTGGCATTCGGAATGTTGGCTGGCGTGTTTTATGTGTATGCGCTGAGGGCAAAGCGGCATCGGTTTATGCAGAGGCGAGGAGGCAGTAGTAGGAAGACCACTAGTACTGGGACCAGGTCAAGGAGGAGTAGACGGTCGAGTAGTGGAGCTGGAGGACAGCCGCCTCCTCCCGGGGGAGTTTTCCCACCTGCAGGAGAACCTTGAAAGTCTTGTTTATTAGTATGAGTATGTAAGGTTAGAGGTGGAGTGGATTTCGAAATTGAGGGAGGAGTAGCGGGAGGGAGAAGGGAGGCTTTGCAAAATTGCTCCGAGGACGGCAAAATGTATTAAGAAATGAGAGTTATATGTATTTTAAAACCATGGATGAGCCAATGTTTGACTTCTAAGAGAGAGGATACGGAAATATTTAAATATCTCTTTCTAATGGTCATCAAATCGTGTGCATAAAAGATTGCTCTTTGACTATTGAGGATACAAATGCACCCCCTTAACGAAATCTAAGATGAGGAACGGCGTAAATTGCTAGGAGATATCTTTATTCAAGCCCTAGCTTAGCAAGTGCAGTGTAGGAATCGAGTACAAGTTATAAACATTTAACAAGAATCTGCAAAACTATTAGTTATTATATTAACTCGGTTTAAGTTACTTACTCTCAGAGATATTTAGTTTGTTTGAGTTATTCAGTTTGTTTGAGCTATTCAGTTTGTTTGAGCTATTCAGTTTGTTTGAGCAACTTACTTTAAGATATTTAGTCGATTTCAATTCTTTAGTTTGAGTTCTTCAGTTTACTCGAATTAGTTACTCTCCTTGAGTTATTTAGTCGATTTCTGTTATTCAGTTTGTTTGGGTAATTTCAGGTGAGACTCTTAGGTGCGGATATCTTTAGCAAAGGGGAGTTGAGGACAAGGTGGCTGAAAAGAGAAGTGACGACTGTTTGAGGAGTGTCTGGCAACAACAAATCTCGGCATTCGCTAAAGCAAAAAGGAGTGCATACAGTCTCGGTAAACTGGCAACTCCGGTGAGACCGAACCATACAAGCATACGTCGAGATATATTAAAAAAATCGGTTCAAATAAGCCAGGATTGCGCGGCGGATAATTCAAAAACTTTCCATCTTACAGTCCATCAGCCGCCCAGCTTAGACGAGGCATCCATTCTCTGTCCCTCGGCCCCTACCATAGTACAACTCCATACTTGATACACGGTAACCACCAAAATATCCCTGATATCAAATCAAGGCATTATTTCCGACAAAAGAAAACACCGCCATGCTCCACGCGCTTTTGGACTTTATAGTTCCTAATATCCTGCTAAAGCCTTGACAGATCTGCCGATCACGTTGGGGATATCAGCCGCGTCATCCGGATACACCAGGAATGCCAGGGCGATAATGAGGTAGAGCCCGATTAACTGAAAACGGTTAATAGGCTGGCTTTGCGTATATCAACACAGGAAACGTACCATGGCTCCTTCCAAGTAATTGCTCTTCCCATCCCCAATCACATAGGTAACTACCAGTACACTTAGGAAGAAGACGACAGTTTCGAAAGTCTGGAAATGAAGCGTCATTGGGATACCAATAATCCATCCAAGAATCACCAAGAACGGAGTGAGCAATAACGCAATTTGCATACTGCTTCCAATGGCAACCCCCATAGCAAGATCCATCTTGTCCTTGACTGCCACGACAACAGCTGTGGCATGCTCAGCGGCATTTCCGACAATTGGCAAGAGAATGAGGCCAATGAATGTCTTGGAGATACTAGTAGTCTCCACAATCGGTTCGATAGCATTGACGAGGTATTCGGCACAGAGTGCAACGGTAACGGTAACGACGACGAGAATAGCAGCGGCTGCCCAAGGGCTCATTTTGGGTTCCTCTTGATCATCGCCAGATTCATGATCGGCAATAAATAGGGCGGAATGTGTGCGTAGCTGGAAGACGAGGTAGAGGACATATAAGATTAGCAGGATGATAGAGGTACCGCGAGAGAGGATCAAGATGTTGTCCTCAGAGTGGTCTTGGGAACTCGAGAGTGCTGCATACAGCTGTGTGGTTGTTAGTTGGCTTCTCCGGAATACGGAAATTCAACTTACGGTTGCAGGAATAATTAGAGATGCCGATGCCACCGCCATCAAGGAAGACATCGTTGATGCGGCGGTTGCGTTGAAACCTTGTTCAATCCCACCCACTCTTCCAGTCCTGGAATTTCGGATGCCACCAGCCAAAAAGCAGCATCCAAGCACGAGTAGAATATTCGAAAGAATACTTCCTAGCATACTCGATTGAACAATCCCGATCTCGCCTTTGGTCAATGCTACAATGCTGACCTGTGTAATACAAGTCAGTCAAGATATAGAGTGCGTAGAAGGTCCATATTTTCAACGTACAATAAGTTCAACAGCGTTTCCAAAAGTAGCATTGAGAAGGCCACCCATCGTCTCGCCTAGCTTTATAGAAATTTCCTCCGTCGCGAAAGACAGCACAGCTGCCAGAGGGACAATGGCGAAGAAGTTTAGAATAAAAACGGTCATGGGGTCCCAGTCCAGGACGCCGGCAACTATACCAAGTGGGACAAATACCAAGAGGACATTGACATAGTTGCTGAACAGAGTTATCTTGGTGACATGTAAGGTATGCGCAGGAAGGCTTATAAGCCTGTTTTCGCTGTCCATCCCCGGTGTGTAACTCGAATCGAGGAAGTCACGAATGCCCCGCTTGCGTCGAGCTCCATTCTGCTCAAAGTCGCCCAGCAAAGCCGTATGCTCGCTCGGGTCGCCGTTCGGTGGACTCATCGCGCGTGTTCGATTCCCGCTTCCTCCAGTTCTGTGACGGTGCAATTCCCTTCGATAATTAGGTGTTGCTATATATTGAAGTTAGCATTGTCACCCTCTCAAAACAAACAAAGAACAATCTCCTTAGCCTCTTGGCTACAGGGATGTGCTCCATACCGACCTGGAGACGCAATCCGGGCACATGAGATGGCCAATATGGGAAGCCAAAGGAAAGGTTGGAGGCAGCTTGCGATTAAAAAGGGAGTCTGGAGCTTGAATGGGGTTTGGATGGAGCTTTTCACGTCGGAGGTGTCGCGTAGATACTTCTTCGTACCAGGTTCGTTCTACTTGAGGAAAACGAGCGGATAAACTTACAAGTCATGCTGACAATCTCTTCTAGCTGTCGATAGATACGTACTCGGGCGTGCGATCGGAGTCGCGGGTCGGGTTCGGCGGGGCGAGGAAGAGTGAAGTTGGGTCGGAGAGCTGCTGCGCCACGATGTTGACGTTTGGGGAGCAATTCGTAGAGAGCTGCCAGTAGCGAGCAGTGAAGCCGATTGAATCGCGGTGTTTTTGCAGGGGAAGGTTAGCACTAGTCAGCACCTTAAAGTTTGTACCTCGGAAATAGCATGCAGTAGTACAGTAGCAATAATGATGATGTACTATGTAGCATTCTTGGTAATTAAAGTGGTACTTGGATAGTACCTGGACCGTAGTTCCAAGGGGGAAACAGAGGTTATGTAACTCCATACCGTCATTTCACCAGTGTTTGAACTGTTTGAACCGTGCTCGTAGAGTCTTCCTACTCTGTACCTGTTTCGGTCCATTCTATCCCGGTTCCAGAGTCCAGGCGCAACAGCTGCATCTCCAAGCTTTCACTACCACGTACTATCGAGAATCAAGAATCAAGAATCAAGAATCTCTTGGCTCGTCGCCCACAACAGCAGCACAGCCCCTCTTGGCGAGCGAGCTTTCCATACGATCCGCGGATCCGGTGATTACCCAGCGACAACAATCCACTCAACCATATCGCCAGCGCCCGTGGGGGATGGTCGGAATCTAGCAAACCCTTGGTTCACCAACCAGAGTTCATCAAATGTTTTAAATCTAGCCTATAGAGTCTAAGCAGACGGAGTAATCATAATCCAATAAACATACTTCGGACGGCAGACTCTGAGGCAGACTCGTAGAACGCGGGGGTTTGGTACGTATCAATATTTGTTATTGCTTGGAGAAACTGGAGCGCTTAGTCGCAATAACTCCATCCCCGACTCATATCCCCAGTGCATCATATTTCCCAGCAGCCATTTTCCTAACTGCTAACGAGGGATAGTTGACTCTATTTACCGCATCCAGTTGTTTTTGGCCGCCATCCATTCGGGATTTGGACTTCTGTTCAGGTTCTCTTCCATTTCCTAGCCCAACCCGATACCTTGTGGCTTCGCTCCTCATCTCACGGCGCGCAACTTCTAGGTCATCCGTCTTGCGTTTGTATTTCCCATCAGACTTCTCATCTCGAGGCTCAGTTCGACCAATATGTCTCTTGCCAGAGCTTTGCTCCCCATTCTTGGTCTTGCTCTTTCTCTCGCGCGCCTTCTCTTTCAATGCCCTCCTACGGCATTTCTCCTCGTGCTTCTCACTCACAGCCCATGGTACCCTCAAGACCTCCTTCCGGAACTGTAGAACTTCATTCCAGCACCGTATTTCCTGATCCGTAGTTCTCAACACCTCGGCCTTGATGAGCTCAACCTGTTTCTGATCCCGGAAAGTCGTCACGCAACCCTTAAGCTTGACTACCACACCCACATCCACCTCGTCCCACGGAATTTTTGGATTGCTGGTGGACGGCCCTGAAACGGCCTCTTCCGTTTTCGGATTATTGAATTTTGTAGGGTTGGTAGGCTGTGGCTTCGTCGTCGGTGCGCTGGCCGCAGTGTTCGGTGACGGAGGAGCAGGACAGGTGCATTCAATACACATCCCGCTGCTATCATCAAGCGTATATACTCGTCTGCCGAAGAAATCATCTACGGCGACAATCACACCTGTAATGCGCACCCATTTGACAGGATGGTTACCGTGGTGATAAAGTGGTCTGCCTGTGTAACGAAAAGTATGTTAGCACCTGAGTCAATATTCGAATGAAAACGCCAGTATGCATAACGTCTAATGAATATCAAAGTCTACGGAGGGGGAATATTGAATCGAGAGTTAAACCTACCATTGCTGAACATTCCGTGGTAGTCCAGGGCATGTACGTCGGAGGCGCGTAGAGGGCACCATCGTTTGATCGTGGGCGAAAGCTCATGGCAATATTCCGGATAGATTGGAGGGCTGCGGATACCGGATGTCATGGCATGATTGATTGAGATCGTGCGATAAGCACCTGAAAAGGTATTTGAATGAGCTGATTGCCAGGCGTCAATGAGGTGTATTTGATGTGTTGAAAAGACGCGTCGTGCCTGATAATCGCGAGATGGCAACGGTGTCACGGGCCAGGCTGCGATAACACTTGGTACTGTACGACGGGATTCTGACGTAGGTGTTTCACTTCGTCAATCTGTGTATACGTGCCGAAATCCAAAATTGCTACGGAGTGATAGTGAATAAGGTGCTTAAAGGTCTCCCAATTAAGGGGTTTAAATTCCATTTCAATGCATACGCCGCTCTCCACTGTCCTTACCCATCCCAGCCAAACTCCCCTAAACTAAGAATGCAACCATAACCATAAAGAAGGACTCCCATAAAACAAAGTATTGCAGCAGGGAATCAACTCAACGTTTTGTCCGTTTAGACTTCCTTCCCGAGCTGCCTTCACCGCCGCCAGGGCCATTCTTCAATTTTGCTGCAGCCGCCTGGAACGCTTCCTCAGAAGGCATCCCTTCTTCCTCATCCTCGTGTTGTGCCCCCCGTTTCTTGCCTTTCTTGGCTTTCGGCTTGTTCTCGCCGGCATATTTTGCTTCCAAATTGTCAAGGAATTGGTTTCGTCCAGCCTGTCTGTTTTGGATCAAAGCAGCTAACGCATCCTCGCTGCTCTCCTTCTTGCCCTTCTTTCCCTTACCAAATAGCTTTTCCTCGACGCCCAACTCCTTGGCGTATTCCATGGCCTCCTTGCCCTCTTTCCGGGCCCTCTTCATCCTCGCCTCCTTCGATTTCGCCGTCTCATCAGTATATGCGCTGAATGATTTGATATCGCCCTTGGCAATAGCCTCGTTAAGAATTGCTTTGAATCTCTCTTCGTCCTCCAACGGATCGCTGAGCATGACAGAATCATAAATCCTACCCCACTTGCCCTTGGACTTGGTGTAGGCATCAAGCAAGGCATCCTTCTCCTCATCGGAGCCCTTATAAGATTTTGAGAATTTCTCGATCGCATCGGAGGTAATGACATCGCGGAATTGCTCGGAATAGAACTCGGACCAGCTGAATCCATCGATGTCTACCGATTCTGAAGTTGAGCCGGTGACATCGTAGCGTTTGCGGCGGGTTGGGTCGGAAAGAACAGCGTATGCGAATGCGACTTCTTGGAATTTGCTGTGGGCTTCATCTTTGAGGTTCTCTGGGGCCTTGTCTGGGGGCCGGAAGGGTTAGCAGAGAGTACATAAGATAGTAGATTTGACATGTCGCGCGTAGATATTTTGACGCCATATGCCTCTAGACCCCAAGGTGAGAAGAACATAAAGGCAAGCTCTATGGAACAAGAGCGGGAGGGATTGGAAGAAGCGCGTACCAGGGTGGTGCTTTAAAGCTGCTTTGCGATATGCCGCTTTGATTTCATTTGGTGTTGCAGATTTCTCAACCCCAAGCACCGTATATGGCTCAATAGAAGGTGGCTCTTCATCGATGAGATCCTCCTCGTCATCTTTATGTTTGTGTGGCGCCATTTGGTGATTTTGTGTAGAATATCGCCGTTAGAGTTGGGATCGGCGATGGTGTTTTGACGGGAGACGCGCTCCAGGATTTTGGCGTGTCGCGTAAAGTGGCTGGCTTCGACTGCTCGTCAACCACTAGGACAACGCCTTAGGCTTACAGTAGCTAAAAACTCACCTTTCGTATTTTTGCCCGTTTTGCTTTTCAAAGTAATAGCTTCTTTGTCCATTTATTATTGGTGATTGCTGGTATTATTTATCGACCCTCTGCTGACTCATTGAATTCTTCTGTATGGGCTTGGCCCTTCTGATTCCATGTGGTTCTCAAGTGTTGTGTATATCACCTTTCTAGTTCTAGAGCTAGAAATGGATAGGTGCTTAGCTATACTGGCGGGGTTCCTTTAGATATTATTTCACGAGATATACGGTCATAGTCAACTTATTCTTGATTTCACTATAATATTTCAACGAATCACCAAACAAAAGAACCAGTAGACACCTTAACGTCCTGCTAAACGGAATTATGCAATAGGATACAGAGGAACAAGATGTTCAAATAGCTCCTTCTCTCCTATCCTACCTTCCAACCCCTGGTCGTTTCATGATACATGCCGTAAGTCGTGCGCCCCATTGCCATCTCTCTCAGCCAAGTAAGTTAGTCATTTTCATTACATGCCACGTAGACCGTTCATGTAGCCCAGGGAAGGACTCGCTTTTATCATTAGATACATCCCGGGACGGCTCCATTAGCCAACGGATTGGTAGAGAAGAAGCGGCTCGCCAACGTTTTCGATCTCAGGGATTGTGCATTTCAGGTCAAAGGCCTTCGAAAGGACGATTTTGAATATCTGTAATTGTGTGAGTATTAGGTGAAACTGATAGGAAAGTGGAAAGTGGGAAATGGCGTACCTTTTGAACGTTGATACTATGGCTTGTGCTGCTGAAGATGAGACTTGCTCGCATTGCTTTTGCAAATCTCCGTGCCTTGGTAGGAATAATATGTAAGCATGGTTCATTTAGGATAGAGGGGCAGTCATGACCCACCTGATTTGAGATCTCTTCTTGGTCTTCGCGGGGGAAATTGACGAAATGGTCATATTTCGTTCCCACCAGGAAGGGGATTGCAGTCTTGTTAAAGCCTCTGCCTTGCCGGTACCATTCCTTGATACTATTCAGGGTACTCTTCCGTGTCAAGTCGAACATGAATAGAATAGCCACTGCGTCATTGCATACTAGAGGCAGCATGTTCACGAACTCCCGTTGCCCTCCCAAATCCCAGATCGAGAATGTAATTTCAGTATTGCGTATTGAAATCGTCTTCTCCATGAAATTGACTCCCAACGTCTGGATATAGTCCTCGTCCCAGCTGCCTTCAACGTATTTGACCATCAAAGATGTCTTGCCGATTTGTGCATCCCCGACCATACCAACCTTAATGACGACACTGTTCTTATTCCGGTTTTGGTCTGCGCCTGCTGCGCCTCGAGCATTCGGATCTTGGTATGCGGCCGGCATGTTGCTGTATCCGCCGTTACCAGACAAGCTCGAGTTGGGTCGAGAGATTGAGGGGGGAAAGGCCGTTGGGGGAGTAGGATATCTAGCGTTCGGATCTACGTCTGCAGTTGGCGATGCAGAGTAGCCTTGATGGGAAGGAAAATCAGCAGACTGCGACTGCCCATGTTGTCGACCTGAATTGTTGAAGCCATTGTTGTGCGTAGGGGTATGCGATTGTGTTTCTTCGGTACCACCCATTGTGTCATCTTGTCCTTGTCCCTCGCCCCTTCTATCATATGCCCCATCTGTATCCATCGTGTTCTCCATGGCGTCGTGGAATTGAGCTGGAGAGCCCGCCGATAACGTGGAGGAGTCCAGATTGTCGGGTGCCTTGTAAGAACAAGGCTCTTAAACTTCCGAGGTGAGGGTGAATGAGCGTTATGCTGAGTGCTGAGCGGCCGGGGAGCGTAATAAACACACTGGGTTTGAAAGGTGCATAGGGGATATTCTATGCTTATATATCTAGAACGGATTGAAGGGTCCCAGGAGATTTTGTTATCACTTCCGTGCCTGTTCTAGGTAGGGGGTATTTGAGGTTATCCGGAAGACGTGGTGGAGACCTAGGTCGCGGCTTTCCAAGGTCTGGGGCTATTTACGTCGTGCTGGGGCGCGTTGGGTGTGTGACTTCACGCGATGAAAGGGTCAAAACAGGCGCCAAATACTCAAAATACTCAGAATGCTCATGAGATTACGGTAACGGCCATATTTTCACATGATCCTTATTAGTTTTGCCAGGAGATTGAGGGGTGGTTTGTTGACTATATCAGCAGCATGCTATTACTCTTCCATCCATGCTCCTGCTACCGGTGGTGGGACTCCGTGGGTGAGTGGGAGATTTTGGCGGCCTCAGGCCAACAGGTACATGTATATTGTGAGCTGCGCAACTCTTTGATTGCTTTTCGCTTTTTAACTTCGGACTCCATCCCCAATATAGTAAGAGTGTATTCAAGCACCACATTATCAATCATATATTTCGTTAGGAATAAGCCCATAGAATATACTCTTTTGCCTGGATAAGCCAAGCCAGACTTCGCAATGCCATTTCCATTCTAGTATCGCGCCCGTCACGGTATTCGGCTCCAAGAACACTAGGTACCTAGATACCTAGGTAGGTATATATTTGCTTTCCTTCCTTTTATTTTTATTTCTTACCTTAATAACGTAAAGGTCCTTTCTTATACATCTACTTAAAACTAGCTTGTTTTATTCTACGATGCTCAGCTCTCCTTAGGCTTTCTTCTAGTCAACTATTTAACGGCTTCAAGTTGTCCTGTGGCAGATTCGCAGTACTTAACCTCGACCATCTCACAGTAGTCATGGCTCCTGGTACCATCTCCACGCGTGTGATGGTCAATTCCGACACACATGAGCACTCCTTGGATGGAAGCACGATGCCTCAGGTCGATGTCCTTCTTCACACGGGAGATTTAACCAACTTTGGGGAAGTGGAATCATTAAGGGAATCTGTGCAGATGCTAGGTACTATTGAAGCAGAGCTAAAGTTGGTTATCGCAGGAAATCACGATTTCTCCCTCGACGCTTCTCCGCGTGTCGAGAACATGTCCGATGAGGAGTACGCAAAATATCATGAGGCGGCTCTCGAAATCATGATCGGTCCATCAGCAAAAGAGGCCGGAATTACCTACCTCCAGGAAGGAACTTACACGTTTACCCTCAGCAACGGCGCCACATTCAGAGTTTACACTTCACCGTACACCGCAGGATCAGGTGGCTGGGCCTTTCCATATGAACCCCTTGAGGATCGGTTCAGCGACGCCAAACGAACAGACAGAACCTCGATTGCGACAAATTCGATTCTATCAGGTGTCGACATCGTCATGACTCACGGCCCTCCGCACTCGATCCTCGATCAAGTCGATGGCTAGAATCTGGGTTGCCCCAATCTCCTCCGGGCAGTGAGTCGAGCTAGGCCACTTATGCACTGCTTCGGTCACATCCACGAAGGCCATGGTGCGAACATTGTTACCTGGAAACCCGACGATAGCGTGAAGGACCCATCATCGGCAACATTTTTGGAGACAGAACAAATCAACGAGTATCCGTACGCAAATGAGTGGCCCACCAAATATTGACAGCAAACTCTCATGGTCAACGCCGCTATTATTATGAACACCTCTAGAGGCATGAAACCAAATTATAAGCCTTTCATTGTAGCACTTAATCTCCCCCGCTGATGAGGCCAATAGGATAAGCAATAGCCTCCTGGCTGCCTTGGAACTACCGGAGCCATATCTGCCCTGAAAGTAGGACGGGGATATACTGGACAGGATACGGATAACAGAATGCTGGACTGAAGATGCTGATCACAGTGTTGGAAGAGAGACTTCTGGGAGAGGGCATGGGTATGGGAGTAGTTGGAAGAAAACATTTGGGGGAAGGGACATTTGTATACGAGTGTTGGGAGAGAGAGACTTTTGGGAAGGGGGACTTTTCGACGAGATGCATTTGGGAGGGAGATTTTGGATTGGGGTTGGATGGGAGGCTACCTAGATGAGAGGAAATGTCCCCGCTGGCAATTGTGTACTTGACGAGTACACTCTCTAATAAGAAACAAATATCAAAATTTGTCACGAATACAAGTAAAGAGTAAAGTATCTCTCTATTCGACTATAACTGTAGGTACAAAGATATTAAGCTAAAGAGAGACGAAGATAGAGTTCGACTTTTTAGTGGTAAATATATGCGTCGTAGGTCACGTGCAATACTACTCGCACGTGAGGAACGAAGCTCACGATCTCCAAGCTTCCAAGAAACCCACCACCCAACATCTCCGACGTTCAGCAAACAACAATGGCTTCAATTGCACGAAGTTTAAGGCCAGTGGCCTCCCGGCTTGCGATGACGGCGAGGGTGAGCGGAAGGGCCGCATCATGGCAAGCGTCTTCACTCGGACTGCGCTCCTTCTCTGCGTCGAAGACTGGTAAGATCATAATTCTCACCATTTGGCAACCTCGGTAGTGGGCGTTTGATGCTGATAATAAGTAGTCCAGGTTAAAAAGTACACTAAAGACCACGAATGGATCGACCTTTCAGAAGATGGCAAGACTGGCGTCATCGGAATCTCTGACTACGCAGCTCACGCTCTTGGTGATGTCGTCTATGTCGAGCTCCCAACCGTGCCAATGGAGGTTGCGGCAGGCGATTCGATTGGAGCGGTGGAGTCTGTAAAGTCTGCTTCGGACATCAACTCCCCCATCAGCGGCACTATCACGGCAGTAAACAGCCTACTGGAGGAGAAACCAGGGACTATCAACAAGGGACCCGAGGATGAGTCCTCCGCAGGTGGTTGGATGGCAAAAATCGAGGTCGGCGACGCTGGAATCAAGGACATGGATGGCTTGATGGACGCAAAACAGTACAAGGAATTCACCGAGGAGTAATTGCGCAGATGGCATGACATAGAAATCGTACATTGGGGAAGGCAACGGATAGCAAAATAGACAACATCTAACGCCAGTGATATATCCGACCTTATTTTCGGCCATTATGCCCCATTACCCTCCTCAATAAGTGGTCGGTTAAGATTGATAGCTTTAAGTATCGTCGCAGCTCCCTTCTCCACCAACTCTTGGGCAACCTTCCAACCAAATTCATCTGCATCTTTGGCGTCCAGAACTTCAGCTAAACTCTCGGCTCCCACGGTCTCCGTCCCATCAAGGCTCACCACCACTGCTTTCATGAACAGTTTCCCCTTTTCGATCCACGTCGTCTCGACTCCAATTGGCACACTGCAACCTCCCTCTAGGGTGCGCATCAGACTTCTTTCTGCGAGGCCAGCCAACATGGTGTCCTCATCCATTACAGCGTTCAAGATGTTGATCACTTTTTCATCGCCTTCTCGAATTTCGATTGCAAGGGCTCCTTGACCAACAGCATATAATAAGCCACCCCCAGGTGTCTTCGAATCTAAATACTGTGTAATTCGACCGCCAAGATCCATTCGTAATAAGCCTGCTGCTGCCAATATGAGGCACGAGTATTCCCCATCCTCTGCATCAAGCTTGCTTAATCTCGTCCCCAGATTGCCTCTAACATCCTTAAACTTCAACTGGGGGTAGTGCGACTTGACTTGTGCGCTGCGTCGCACACTGCTTGTGCCAACAATTGATCCAGCCGGCAGATCCGCCAACGTCTTATATTCCAGCCCCTTCTTCATAACCACCGCATCTCTAGGGTCTTCTCTCTTGGTAATACAGCCAATAGTGCATTTGGCCGGTAATTGTGTCGGCATGTCTTTCAGGCAATGCACAATGAGATCCAAATTTCCCTCCAGGAGCTGAGCCTCCAGTTCAAACGTCCATAAGCTCTTGGCGCCGAAATCATGAAGTGGTGTGATTTGGTTCTTGTCTCCCATTGTAGCCATTGCTCGAATCTCATATTCGAGCTCTGGATGCGCTTCTTCGAGCATTTTTTTCACCTGCTCGGCTTGGATTATGGCAAGAGCCGACCGCCGGGTCCCAATGGTGATTTTGGACTTGGTGATACCTGCTTCATCGGAGCTTCTCTTCTGGCCTGCCGAAGGAGCCGCGGCATTGGAGGGTGTCTCGTGAGACGAAACAGTAGGATCGAGAGGAGGTCGGGAGGAGGTCGACTCGAGTTGTTCATGCGTAGCCATGTTGAACGGCGTAAAGAAGTTATGTTTTGATAGTTCCTAAGTTTCCGCTATGGATACTGTTGTTGCGGGGTTTTCGTTGTCTCGGATTTTGATGGTGGGGTTCCTTCGTCTTCGTCAGCGACCAGAAGAACAGCAAATCCGAGGCAAGCGAGCATTTCAGTCGCCAAGGCGAGTGCTGAACAATCAACTCTCTCCACGTCCCCTTCAAATACAATATCGCCACTAATTAATTCGGTAATGAAGGCTGGTGAAGAAGATATGTTTTGTCCTAGTTGATATATGAATTAGAGAGGCTACACGGTTATCTCTGGCTTTGGGTAAGGCGTAGACTTCAGTCGCTCAGTGAATGAACACAAACCCTACATTTAATGCGCACGCCTAAGTAGTGCGTCCATTATATGGCTAGATTGCTAACTTCTGAAAATTGGCTATAAGAGCGTCAGAGCGTGATAGTAGGTTCTTGAAAGCTAAAGCTGGGATTTCAGCCCCAGAAGAAGTACGTCTAAATACTTCAAAAAATAATTAACACAAGAGGTAACGGCATTTTAATACAACCTTTCACAGAGTAAGCCCTGCAGCTAAAAACGAATATTCGATATAAAGCAATATATTTCAATTGAAGTTTTTATGACTAGAAGTGCACCTAGTTTTTCCATTCCGACATGGTACGATGACCTTTCCCCTTTATTATGTGACGCTAGAACAGGACGCGCATAATATGTACAGGAACGAGAAAACCCTGGGCAGGCTGAACAATGTACCTAATTCAGGTTCAATCCGTCTCGTTGTCGGACTGGAGCAAAGTTAGTACATCTCGTCTTCTCCATAGAAAGTTATACTGATAATGAGAAGGCCGATCCATAAGGAAAAGGAAGCTGCCGATGAATTAAGAGTTATACCTGTGGTCTTTTGCTGTCCACAGATCCCTTCACTTTAGCTGTCTCAATGTCGCCCTCCCCCTTTCTGCTCCTTCCTGGAAGAGAGGTCACGTCGGTGCTATGTCTTGTATCGTCATTGGAAAGACCTTGTTGCTTCGCATCAATGTTTTTAGACAGTGCCTCGTGGGTTTCCTAGGTATTATCAGCGACGACGGTAATCAAGTAAGCATCTTGGAAGTAGTTACCTCGTGCTTCTGCTTCTTTTCCTCACTATCGTCCTCCGCTATCTCCTTTGCACGCTTAACTATCCCAACATCGGGTGTGGGTGTTAAGGTGGCTCTCTTAGGCTGATCATCTGGAGTATCCGGGTTGGCAATTGATTCGCCCGAACCGCTTTCTTCGACAGCTTCTTCCTCCTGGGGGTCCTTCTCAGATAAATTGCTAACAGCCTCCTTTGCCTTGTCCTCAACCTTAGCCACTGCTTCATGGACCACGCTATGCTTCTCGCCGTGAGAGGCATCATGTCCATGACCATGGGCGTCTTTCGGTTTACCCGAGAGAAGGTACCCTTCAGAAAAGCGTAAGTCAGCGTAGTCCGTTCCCGACCGTGTGACTGGATGTCTGAGATAAACCTTCGCAGATGAACCTTCGCAAATATGGTTTACATGCCCACGAGTCGAGCCAAATAGCAGGAGATCCTCCCCTGGGGTTACTTACAGCATGTTGGAAGCGTAACGGCAACAGCTCCAGCGGCCCTGTATGACGTAGTTAGGAAATGTTTTAGACGTTGTGCAGCAGAGACGAGGTGTCTGCAATCGAGACATACCAGACTGCATCACCCCCAGCAGTGGCAGATCCATGCCCTTCACTAGCATAAGTCCTCCGGCCGAGTTGGCGATGCAATTGAGGACGAGCAACGGTAGGTCTCGCTGCCCGAAGGCAGGATCGTAATGCTGCAACTCTTGAGAATGCCATTGTAGTCTAACGATTGAACAGTTAAGTCCAGAAGATTTACTAATGGTATTTATTAGTATAATACAGATGCACGAGGGGTGTGCGGCACTTACGGGTCTCAATTGACGGAGGAAGGGAGAAGCAAGTGAAAAGATGGCTGGCAACAAACGCAACGAAGGCAACGAAGGCAAATGGCTGCGATCAGACCAGAAGCTCGGAGCTCGGAGCTTGTTGCTTGGGCTGGCGCCATATCAGGCAACAAGGCAACTACAACCCCACCTCGCTGCTCACTGCCACCAACCTTAGCAACCACTGAACCTCGACAACTTGAGTTAAGCACAACAAATAGCAACAACAATAACAACTGCAGCCCGTGTGACTTTGAGGAGCTGTGGACTCTCCTTTCTGCACGAAATCTTTCATCCACGGTGAACCCTCGCCAGAAATAGGAGACGCCATTACGCTTATCGTGGTCTCCCGCCGCCAAATCCTTGCATGTAGGTACGCCCAAGTTGTCACTTCACCCATACCCACTAGAGCTCTTGTGACTGACCGTTTTCTAGGCTGGGCCCTCGAAATTCCTCCTTTGTAACGCCGACGGTGAGCGCCCATCTGGCGTAGGACATTGGGATCTCGCTGGTTCTCGGTGGCTGTATCCTCGTAATCAACCTCCAAGATGTCGAACCAAATACCCCAAAACCCCACCTCGCAGACAGTGGCGGCACTGCTTCCTAAGCTCCACGATGCCGACCCAGACTATCGATTCATGTCGCTGAACGATCTCTACCAAGTTCTCACCATTGGAAAACCAGACTTCCTATACCATGACTATAATACTGCGGCCCGGGCGGTGGACGGCGTCCTCAAGACTTTGGATGATCAGAATGGTGAAGTACAGAATCTGGCAATCAAATGGTATTCTTCCTGCTGGAGTCATATTCTCGGACCAAACTAACATGTTGGTAGCCTGGGCCCTCTTGTTTCGAGGCTCCCTAGCAACATCCTAGCTCCCCTTATTGAGAAGTTATCGAATCTAAATACTGAGAACTCGGTCGACAGCTCTATTCCGGCCATGGCACTACGAACAGTTGTGATCACACTTCCAAGACCCATTAACGGTGTCTCCCCGTCAAAGGAGGTTGTTGAGGCATATTCTGCAATTAGCAGGGTCTTGATTCCTCGTCTTGTTGGTCGGCTCGTGATCCAAAGGCCTGCGCAACAAGTAAAGCTTCCCCAACCTCCACCGGGCATGCTCGATTTTAATTCCAACAAAGAGCTTGATCCAGAAGCTGTTGATGTTCTGATAGAGGTTGTGAGATGTTTTGGTCCTCTGCTTCAACAGCCAGAGGTGGAGGCTCTTCAAGGACTACTAGTCGGGATCCTGGAAACGGAGCGTGGTGGCTCTGTCGTGAAGAAGCGAGCTGTCGTTGCAGTATCCATTCTGGCTATTTACCTCACTGATGATGATCTGAGTGGTTTTGTCTCTCATCTTATTGAGAGTCTACGTAATCCACATCTTACCCCAGTCCAGAGACGTCTGTATATCACAATCTTGGGGTCATTGGCTAGATCGATCCCCGCCAGATTTGGACCGTACTTGAGATCTCTCGCGCCATTTGTGCTATCATCATTGAGCCAACAAGAATTGAATGATCAACTTGAGAACTCTGAAGAGGATGGTGATTCAGAGCCCGAAATTGATGATGTCCGCGAGGCAGCACTAGTCGCGCTGGAAGGATTTTTAGCTTCTTGTGGTAGTGAGATGCGTCTCTATACTGAAGAGACTATTGCTGCTGCACTACGCTTCCTTAAATATGACCCGAATTATAATGATGATGACGACGAGGAAATGGGGGGAACTCAAACTGAAGATGATGACATGGGCGAGTTTGGTGATGATGACGACTTTGAAGCAGAATCTGGTTTTGATGACGACGACGACGATGCCAGCTGGAAGGTACGCAGATGTGCTGCCAAGGCTCTCTATACCCTTATATCGACTAGAGGTAGTGGCGATTTGCTCGAGGATGGAACACTTTATACTCAAGTCGCCCCCGTCCTTGTGCAGAGGTTCAGCGAACGTGTGGAAAATGTGCGTTTGGAGGTCATAGCAACCATGTCGTCACTCATTCGCAAGACTGGGGAGGGTGTGATTGTTAGGTTTTCGGGTGATGAGATTGATTATATCAACCATGCCCCACAAAGTCGGAAACGCAGAAGAGAGAGCAGCACTGCCGCTACTTTCGATACGAAGACTTTGCTCTCAGTTTCTGCAGGCTTGACCTCTCCCACACTTGAGCCTGTTCCCGCATCTGGCCCAAGAGCTGATTTGGCTCGGCTCAGCCCTATAATCATCAAAGCAACAACAAAGCTGTTAAAGAGTAGTTCAATCCCCACAAAGCAAGCCTTGATTAATCTCCTGGATGAAATTGTCTCGGTTCAGCATGGCGGCCTTTCCGAATATTTTGGCCAGATTGTTGATCCCATTATCGAAGCAATCAAGATCACTTCCAGTCAGATCGCATCTTCCAGTGCAATCATGAGCGGTGGAGCCGCATCTGCAACTGCTAATACATTGCGAATTGCCGCCCTTCGCTTGATCGGAGATATTGCCAAGACTCATTCCTCAAGTGTCTTACAACCTTACTTGCCTAAGATCGTGCCTGGGGTCGTGTCGGCCGTCAATGATAAATACTACAAGATCTCTAGCGAAGCCATCGGAACCGTTGAGCAGCTTGTCAAGGCGTTGACACCTCCTAGGTCAAGGTCAATGAATCGAAATGACCAAAGTGATATTCAGCAGCTTTATAAAGCTATTGTTGGTCGGGTGGCTGCCAATGATGCTGACTTAGAAGTGAGGCAACGCGCAATCCATGCTCTAGGGATTCTGTTAGCACGTACAGCCAACCCAGAAGGCTCCTCGCTATTGCCGGACACTGACCGCAATGTTGCGATGGGAATTCTAGGAGAGCGGCTGAAGAATGAAACTACCCGCTTAGCCGCAGTTCGAGCCATTGATACCATCGCCGCATTGACGACGTCTAAGGATCAGTTGTCACCAGCGTGGATTAGAGAGGTAACAATAGAACTATCTGCCCAGCTTCGAAAGGCCAATAGGTCATTAAGGAGTGCAAGTCTAGCAGCTTTGAAGAACCTCGTTGTTGCCCCCGCTGCCAGAAGCTCTCTCGATGCACCCACCATTCAGGGCCTGGTCAGCGCACTTCTCCCTCTTCTTACTACAGTAGACCTCCACCTTCTCGGTCCTGCTCTGGTAGTCTTGGCATCCCTGGTTGAGGATGATGCAAAACTTGTTGTTTCTGAGCAATTGAACATAGCTCTTTGTAACCTTCTAAAGGCTAGTCTTGGCGGTGCAGTCCTTGACGCAGTTCTCCTTCTCGTCTCAAAGATTGGTGAGAAGGGTGCTGGCCAACCGCTAATGACTGGTCTTCTCACTGAGGTGAGTATCAACGGAGATCCGGCGGTTGTTGGGAAAGTCATTGGTACACTTCTGGTGTATGGGGGCTCTTCCGTTGGCGTTAAAATCGACAATTTCCTCGCTGAGGTTACCAATCCTACCTCTGATGATGCAAAGCAAAGCCTAGCCCTTGCCGTACTTGGCGAGGCTGGGCTCCGTCTAGGGGGTCGATCGCCACTGAAGCCTTCTACTTTTGCAGCTCAGTTCAAGTCGAAATCGGAAAAGGTACCCCTCGCTGCTGCTGTAGCCTTGGGGCGTGCTGGCGCCGGCAACGTCCCAGTATACTTGCCTGAGATTCTTGCTACCATGGACAAAGGCGGGGATATCCAGTACTTGCTCTTGCACTCTATTAAGGAGATCTTGCAACAAGCCAGTACTAGTTCTATTGACATCAGCAAATATACCAAAGCAATCTGGGATAGATTACTCAGTGCTTCGCAACCTGAGGATAACAAAGCCGTTGGAGCTGAATGTATTGGAAGGCTCGCCATTATTGATCCCAAGACATACATTCCTCTCCTGCAGGTACGTACTTCTATTTTGATCAAATGCGTCTGTATGTATTAACATTACCCTAGAACTATCTTTGCGATCGCACCCCCTCAGTTCGAGCCATGATAATACAAGCTATTCGTTATACCCTACCCGATAGCGATGAGGCCTTTGACTCTGTCCTCAAGATATCATTAATTGATATTCTCACTGTTATGCTGCGAGATTCAGAACTGGAGAATCGCCGCCTGGCTCTAACCACGCTGAACTCAGCTGCGCATAATAAGCCAGACCTCATTATTCCAAATCTAGGTCTGCTTTTGCCACTGGTCATGGATGAGTCAGTCGTCAAGCCCGAACTTATTCGTGAGGTGATGATGGGACCTTTCAAGCATAACATTGATGATGGTCTAGAAGTCCGAAAGGTAAGACTTATCATTTCGCACCTCCTTTGCACCTGGTATTGACATCTATAATAGAGCGCTTACGAAACTCTCTATTCGTTGATGGAGACGGCATTCTCGCGAATCAACATCCTCGACTTCTACGACCGTGTTATTGCCGGCCTCCAAGACGAGCATGACATAAGAGCTCTCTGTAATCTCATGCTCACAAAGCTTGTTGTACTCGATCCGGATGAGACCTCACGTCGCCTGGACGCCATCGCCGACTGCTTCCGCACTATCTTGTCAACGAAATTGAAGGACAATGCAGTGAAGCAAGAAATCGAGAAGCAAGAAGAGGCCACGAAGAGTGTGCTACGGGCAACATTGGCTTTGCACGATGCAATTCCTACTGCGAGTACGGGAATGGGTGCACAGGTCAGCCAGCATCAGACTTGGAGGACGTACTGGGAGTGGGTGGAGAAGGACTTCGAGACTCAGATTAGGGCATTGAGGGCGGAGAATAACAGGGAGGAGTGAGAATGGGGAGATTACTACGGGGTTGCGAAATAGATGAGAGACACGATGAACATGAAATGCGAATGAAATCGGAGTGATGGGCCAGTTTCGGGTATCTCACGCATAGCTTGGGTGCATTAGTCTATGGATTAGCTTTTAAGTGTCTAAAACGGAAAATCGACTTTTATTGAAAAATCATACATACACATGCATTGTAGGGGTCCAGTATTTTAATGATACTCTACTCCTACAGGGGCGAGAACAACTTCACTGACACGTAATATATTCCTCTCAGCCAGTATTCATAGATTAAATTTGTACGTATTTCATGTAACAGGAATATAAACATGGAAGAAGCGGGGATGCTTTCAAACTCAGCCAACTAGTCCCTGTAACCAGCGGCAACGCTTTAAACGCCAATCAACATGATCAACATAATCATTTCTTCTAGCAATCAGTTCCAAAGGCAGAATCTTGCCCACAACGCCGTTCCAGCCCCATCTTTTCTAAAACGAGAGTCGAGCCTCCAGAACGGTAGGATCTGAAACGGATATTATCAAGGGAGTGGTATCAGGGACAACAAAAATCAACTCAAGCATCATAAGCAGCTGCCACGCCCGGAGCCGGACCCTCTAAATCAATCGCCTCCACCGTATTCTTAATCTTCGCGCTTTCATTAATCAAGTTGCCGAAGTACTTTCTCGCAACCTCGCTCTCGCCTCTGACCTTGCGTGTCTCTTCCCGTTTGGAACCAAGCTGTTCGACGGAGCGTTGGAGACCAACGCGCAAGTTATCGGCTGGAAAGCGGAGGACTTTGCGAACGGAAGAGGAGATACGGTCGCTGTTCGCGTGAACGTAGTCAATTGTAGCGAGTTGGGTAGAGATTTTATTGGAGAGGCGCTGGGGAAGGGAATGCGGGATTTGGTTGAGGATGTAAACTGTGGCGGTAATGGCTGATTATATATTAGTTATGGCTTCACGGTCATGTGATTCGCTTACCTGCTGCGATGACTCCTGGGATGATCAGCTTCCGGAGGTTGTTATGGCCAACCACCTTCGCTGCTCCCAGAGCACCGTCAATCCAGCCAAATCCACCTACCATGCGCCCACCCACAGCAGTCACAACGGTCAAAGCCATACCTGCCCCTGCAAACTTTTCTTGTCGTTGTAGGATGGTCGACCAATCGAAGAAATCCCACAGGTCAGTTTCAATCTCAATTTCTCTGGCAAGAATGTCTCTCTTCCGCTGGAACATAACATCGCTTTTGAAACTCAAGTTGGTGTACTCATTCCCCAGATGTAGGAGACCCAGTTGCTTAATTGAGTTTACACCTTCTACTGTCTTCCTCCGAGCATGCTCCTCGCAAGCCGCGACCGAGGCCGAGATCTCTGATAGCATGGCTTCCTTTAGACTGTCTGCATAATCAAATGCATATAACAAACCAGGGTATGGTACGCCCAGGTCATCGTTTGCGGCTTGATTAATTGAGGATGTCAGAGTGGATCGAGTGTGGCCGTAGATATCCTTGCATGTGGCCTCGATGGTTCGATCAATGTCGTCGCTGACCTCTGCTTTGGCCTTCTTGGAAGCTTCAAGTATCGGCTCTAAATCTTGTAGCTCTTTTGATACCCTGTCGAGCTCAGATTGGGCAACGTCTTTGTTGACAGTCGCTAGAGTGTGTATATCGCCTAGCAAATTCACGAGATAGGTCTTGGCCGGTGCTAATTTTGACCGAGCACGCTTCTCGAGGACGAACCGCCGTAAAGACCTTTCAAGGTGCTCAAAATCCTGGATCTTCTCCTTATCCTTCCCTTTTCCTTTAGGATCCGGGTCATCAAAACCAGGGCCATCTCCGCCACTCGAACTCCCGCCGCCTCCATTCCCACCAGGTGGAGGTGGTGGCGGCGCGGTTGGAATTGCATTACTAGAGACGAAATGGACCAGTTCTGAGGACTCTTTGAAAGTCCTTGGACTCAGGCCGCCCACTTGCTCTAGAATCATCTTCTGACAGCGCTCTTTGTCCCTAATAGTGTCGTATCCATTGACAACTATAAAAATGTAGGCCTTTTCTGCTGCGGCAGCCCAAATGAATTCCTTGGCGGTTTGGGTGAAATGGTTTGCCGCTGAAACGATGAATACCACAACATCAATCTCCTCTTGCCGAGCAAATACAGCGGTGGTCTTGGTGGTATCGGAATTCAGACCAGGAGCATCGATGATAGATATATCCACCACGCCATTATTGAGTAATGATTCATCGATTGAGCGTACGTCTTGGAGGTAGATTTTGCATTGCGTGTAGGTATCATTGTCGATAACGATCTTCTCGAGGTCGCTCAGTGTGAAAACATCATATGTGCTCTCATCATGCCGATTATATACCGCGTCCTTGTGGATCGCATGAACCTCCTCAATCCCGCCATTCTCTCTTGCGTCCAGAACTTCGCAGAAGATACTCGTACAGGGTTGTTGGTCCTCAGGAAGGACCTTGCGACGAAGAAGGGCATTGCAAAACGCGGATTTGCCGGCGTTCAAATCCCCCGTCACTAGCACCTTGCTTGAGGTATCCTCTATTCGTTCGCGTAGGGATAAAAGATGCTTGATACTCGTCGTAATCTTCCCATCCAGGAGAGAGGCTATTGAATTCTTCTCTAGCGAGTGGACTAACTCTACCTGATTCAGAGCTCCTAATTTCAGATCCAATTTCAATATCGAAAATTCTTGCGCAATCTGAGCTGTAATCAGTCGAGGTTCCGCCGGCACCCTCTGCTCTGCCGCCCTGCTGGATTCGGCCTCGGTGCTGTCTTCGCCAATGGAGGTTTGGGCTCGTCTTATGGTTCCCGGCCGAGGCGGTGGTGATATCGATGAACCTTCTCCAACGGTGGTATTCGTGTGTACCAAGCCAGGCCTTGGGTCCCCTCTCTGTGGTGTTGATGATTCGGAGCGTTGGACTGAGGGATATGTTGCAGGCCATGAAGCATTCATTTCTTGCAATGACTTCAATGTCTCCACTACTCTGTTTATTGACCTCCCGAGCGCCACGCGATGCTGGTTGTACCATAGTTGATGTATCGCGTTTGCCTGGATCCTCCTATCGTTGTCCGCAATTTCATTGCTTTGACCCAACGACAGTGGCATTGGAGAATGCTCTGGCGTTGGTCGGTCCTCGGTCAGTGCAGGATTCCACGCTGGCACGCCATTGATTCCATCTCTCCCACTTCCTTCGTATCCCGAGTCATTGTCCAGAAGAGCCTGTAGTCGACCAGCGCTTTCTGAGGTTGAACCGGACCCGACGGTGACATATTGAGGACGATTCGATCGGCTGTGAGGGTTTGTGCCGTCCCCTAAAGGGACATCTTTGCCTTTACCCTTCTGGTATTCCTGGCTCATCGTGATGGGCCTCAGAGTATGATGATTCGGGGATCGGATTGTTTGCTTAGAAATCTCATGATCCAGGTTAAAGCGCGCGTTTCTACGAATAATGGCGTGGCGAGACAATTACATTTTACACGTGATTTGCACTGATAATGCAGACCCTGGGATATATATGCCAAGACTTGATAGGACGCATATGACGAGGCCGCCCAAATCCCCAAATCTACTCGTAGGCGCAAGTTATAATAACCCCAAATCCCCAACGGATCCTCAACATACAGACATCATGAATGTAAGTCTATACCTGTACCGCCCTCCAATATATACATAACTAGTGCTAACCGCCTTTACTCTTAAGATTATCGAATGGGCGTTCGGGAAGCGCATGACCCCCGCGGAGCGTCTACGAAAACACCAACGCTCCCTTGAGAAGACGCAGAGGGAATTGGACCGCGAGCGCGTGAAGCTAGAGAACCAAGAGAAGAAATTAATACAGGAGATCAAGAAGAGCGCCAAAAATGGGCAGATAGGAGCATGCAAAATCCAAGCCAAAGACTTGGTTCGGACACGGCGATATGTTGAGAAGTTCTATTCAATGCGGACCCAGCTACAGGCTATTTCGCTACGCATACAGGTATGTTGGCTTTATGAACAGTGCAGGGCAGAGGGACAGGTACACCGGGATCGAGCTGACGAACTGGTTGAATAGACTGTTAGAACAAACGAGCAGATGATGCAGGCTATGAAGGGCGCAACCGGGGTACTAGGCAGTATGAATCGCAGCATGAATTTGCCGGCTTTACAGAGGATAGCGATGGAGTTCGAGAAAGAGAACGATATTATGGACCAAAGACAAGAGATGATGGACGATGCCATCGACGATGTTACGGGGTTAGAGGATGAGGCCGAGGGCGACGAGATCGTTGACCAGGTATTGGAGGAGATTGGGGTTGACCTTAAGAATGCGGTATGTTCTCATATACCTGATCTCGTGCGTGGGGCAGATACTAAGAATGATGATAGATGGGCGAAACTCCGCAAGGACTCCAGAGCAACCCGGTGGCCGAGGGGGGGAAGGTTGCACAGGCTGTGGGAGCAGGAGGAGCTGATCCGGGAGATAGCGATCTTCAGGCCCGGCTGGATAGTTTACGAAGGTGATCGGGGGCATATATTTGGGGGGTTGCGCGAGCTGAGCGAGGTACTATTTGGCATTTCCCTCAAAAGGAGAACAGGAGTTTGGCGGTGCGATATAGTGTTGTTGGATCACAGCCTTGCCCTGCCTTGCTTTACATTACTCGTTGCTGTTTATTACAGGATTCATTTACCTTGCATTGCCTTTCCTCGCCTTTCCTTAGCTTTATCCCCGGACCTTGGATGTGCAGTACTGTACATGTAGCCGAATAGTGGGGGAACAATGCCACTAGGTGCACGTTTGTCTCATAGCCCGTTCGCTCTCTCAATTAACATAAAATATTAATGTTGGCATTCAAGTTGTTGAGGGCGCTCCTTTGTGGAGTGGGGACTTTTTGCCCCCGCAAAGCAAAGCGTATATGTATTGCAGGTGCTCACTTCTCGCCACGGGGTGTCGGCATTGGCAGCCGGCTCCTTCAAACGGGCACTGTAATGTGTTTCCAGGGAGTTCCTCTTGGTGCTGGGCGTTAATGTCAATGTTGATGTTGATGTTAATGTTTAGCAATAAGAAAGGCGGGCTATTATATTAAAGAGGAATCCCGTATGTGTACTTTGTAGGTGCAGGTACGTAGTATCATACTCGTAGAGGCAGTGAAGGCAAGACGTAATAATCACATCCATGGCCCCGGAAACAACCAGCAGCAAAACCCCGGAATCCGGGGGGGCTGACCGGGTCACTTAACTTATAAACTCCGTCCATCAATCCATAGGACCATAGGTTCTACGAACATCTTTGTAATAATAAGCAACCCGAATAAGCAGCCTAGGCATCACGCCCCTGTACTGTATCTGGACGATCCACCACCTCGCTGTCTGTCGCTATTACCGCACTGCCGTCGTTGTTGTTGTCGCTGTTGTCGCTCTCGTCGTTGCTGTCGCGGCCGCTGTGCCGGAACCAGCGCTTTAGAATCCCCCTCTCCCTCCCTCTCCTCCTACCTTTATGCCAGCGCTCTCTTCTACCTACTTCACGCCCCTCACCCTCAATCTCAATCTCAATCTCGATCTCAATCCCAATCCTCCAATTCTCCATTCCCCCGGAACCCACGCCCTAACTAGATACTCCCCTCCCGCCTTTCCCAACCGCTATTCTTGCGAGAGCACTTCCCAGCGAGGCTGCCGCGCTCCCGCGATTGTTCCAGGCCAGACATCCCCGGCGGCGTTCTTAGCCTGCGCCAGCTTGGAGCCCACACCCACCACAGAAACTGCAAGATTTGTAGACACCTGATGCCCGATATTTGATACTCGAAATTCACTCTTCCTGCCAACGACCCAAGTACCAAAGTGAGTTTTTCTGCCAGGGCCGTGGAGCGGCGCGCGCTACGGGGGTCTCTCCGCCCTGGACCCCGCCTCCTCAACGTCGTCATTGCTAAAAGGATACAGCCAGGTCAACCCAAGAAACGATAGACGCGGGTCTGTCAAGCGGTCAATATTGCCATCTTTATCTGGCCCATTTACACCTCGGGCGCGAGTGCGAGCCACAAGACTTCCCCCCGTCAGAATCCTCCACTCAAGCGTCGCAACCTTGACCAGTCTCCTCACGAGACGCGCGGAGCAAATTCAACAAGGTGGCAGGGAACAAGCGGAGGAGCTTCTCCCAGCAGGGAGGGCTGCTAAACAGAATGTTTGGCGGTACTGGCTCGCCGCCGCTGGATAAGGACAACGCAGGTTCACCGTCGCGCGGCTCTTCGCCCGCGTCATCGGCCACAAGCGCGGCAAAGCCTGCTGAAGAGAGCGGTTCGGGAGAGAAGCGTAGTGGCAATGGAAGCCCTCCGGGAGGACGACCGACCGCTGATAATGGGGGCGTGGCGGAGAAGAAACGTAGGAGTAGTGGGGTTGGTAGCAAGGCCAGCTCGTTCCTTGCCAGTGCAAAGAGCTCTCTGCATTTCAGCCCCAATCCCAATTCCGCGGGGTTTATGCGTAGCTCAGAGCAAAACAACCAAACTCCCTTGCAAAAGCTGGGAAGGCAAGATCCCGCGCTCAGCGTCCCTCAAGGGCAGCATAACAACTCCGCGGGCGAATCGGTCCCCGGTCCTCGCTCTACCTTTGCCGTAGGGGTATGGGAAGACAAGAATAAGAAGTGTCGCCGAACGATGGAAGATACACATGCCTTTCTATATAACTTCCTACATACGCCCGCACCAGCCTTAGCAACGGACTCTGCTACGACCAGCCAGAAGGCGCAAAAGTCGACAGATGAGCTCACTAACGAATCCTCAAATAGCCTTCCTCCCCCGTCCTCTACCGAGATGATGGAGACTGATAATGGTTACTTCGCTATTTTTGACGGCCATGCTGGCACCTTTGCGGCAGATTGGTGCGGAAAGAAACTCCACCTCATCTTAGAAGAAACCATAAAAAAGAATCCAAATACCCCTATTCCCGAACTCCTCGATCAGACCTTCACAACCGTCGATAACCAGCTAGAAAAGCTACCCTTAAAGAATAGCGGCTGCACCGCAGTCACAGCAGTGCTTCGGTGGGAAGATAGGATACCAAACACCCAATCGGCAACTGGGTCAACAGCCATCGCACCTGCTACTGCAGCGGCAGTCAAGGCTGCAACTGAGGCGGCAAAGAGCGAGGACAAGTCCGGTGACAGTGGAGTTGACATGAGCAAGACCCCATCACAACAGCCCAATGCGGCCTCAAGTGCGGCAGCTTCTACAACGTCAAGTGAAGCAACCCACGCTAAACTTAAGACACAAGCATCGCGCCATCGTGTCCTGTATACGGCAAATGTTGGAGATGCACGTATTGTACTCTGCAGAAGTGGTAAAGCGCTAAGGTTATCCTATGATCACAAAGGCAGCGATGAGAACGAGGGCAAGCGCATTTCAAATGCCGGCGGGCTTATCCTTAATAACCGCGTTAACGGCGTTCTGGCTGTTACTAGGGCTTTGGGAGATGCCTACATGAAAGACCTAGTAACCGGTCACCCTTATACCACGGAAACCGTCATCCAGCCTGATTTGGACGAGTTCATTATTCTTGCCTGTGATGGGGTAAGGACCATTCCCTCCAGTACCCAACCCATATATTTGCTAATGCTATTTCTAGTTATGGGACGTCTGCTCTGATCAAGAGGCCGTGGATCTCATCCGAAATCATGCTGATCCAGTCTCTGCCGCCAAATGCCTCGTCGACCATGCTTTGGCGCGCTTCAGCACCGACAATCTATCTTGTATGATCGTCCGCTTCAATAAGACAGCTCTTCTCTCAACCGTTAAAGACGCGTCCGCCGCGATCGGTGTGGAGGGTGACCCCGCCTGCCATCCGGGCAAATGCAGCGAAGCCGAGAAAATTGTCAACGACGCAAGAAGAAAAGTCCAACAAGATGGTGTCCATGCCGTAGGTGTAAGCGGAAGCAACAGCGGTAAGGGCCACGACCCTATACCGATCGAAGAAGATGAGCAAGCCAAGCGGATTAGCATGGAGAAGGTCATCGAGGAGGAGCCTGGTTTCGTCGAGGGTGATGGCCCGGAGGTGGATATTTCAGGCAGCAACGCAGCGGATCCTGCTGTCAGAGACAAGCTGAAGTTGCCTGAAGGAGCGCCGAAGTGAAGGGACTTGCAGTCTGCGCATAGAGTCCAGTCTTCGCCTTTCTCTATTATGGACACTATGTCACCGCACGCACCGGGTTAGACATTTATTTTGGTGAAGATACATGGGAGATGGACCTAGACCAGATAGGTTGATACTAGCCTACATTGGTGGGCAAAGGCTGATAGCTGGTCGGTACGGGCGGCTATGGGGTTGGTATTGGGGGGTGTATGTCTGATTATTCTCTAAAGTTACGGCACGGGCGTGTTGATATGAGCTATACTCATCGCGCCCGACTTCCTTTCATTAGACGAGGAAGTATAGCGCAGATTTTGATTTGCATGGGGCGCAAGTTAGATGAAAAACGAATGAGTGATGAGATGCATTTGCGGCACATACATCATAGCATCCAAAACAGGCGTGCCAAATTTACTGTGTATTTTATGCATGTCATGACCTATTGCTGAAGTTTAATAGGCAAACGCCGGGTTTGCACCTTCTACGTTTTATTTATACTCTACAGAAGTACTCTGCCCCACCGTTTGCCCTACTTCCTGCTAGCTTGTTCATAAAGTTTTTATTGTTTATAACTACGTCGACAGTTAGCACCCTCGCTATCCTTCCTTAAGCTTCGCATTACAATCCCGGTATCTTAATAGCATATATCTGTAAGTGAAAATACAAATTGCTAGATTCAAAGTGGACTCGAAGTGGGCTTCTTCTTCTATAGACGGAGTAGAAATGTATAAAGTTTGTGGCGATTGTATAATATGAGGAGTTAACGAGCGTTTGTTCTATTTACCTTAGCAAAGCTAATTTCTCCAACACTATCTAGACCTCTTTATTTAGTTCTAGTTGTCCCACACTGTTCTAGCATAATTTAGAAATCCCGATTCTAGCTCTCCACCTGCTCATGATGTCGTGTTCCGTCGCGAAATGCATTTACTCCTTGGCCGTTTCTATGTTGCTGTTATAACCATACTTCCCATGCTCCCCTCTTTCCATTTATGTATTGATCGTACTAAAGCCTAGAGCCCACCCAACCCCGCAGCCATGGCCATATACCACGTCCTACTAGCACCGCCATCCAACCAGCTACCATCAAAATTACCCTGAGAAAAGAAATTCCAACTTCCCTTAGGATCTGTAAGCGCCAGATTCGCATACAACACTCCCTTCCATCCGCCAGTGACTTTTTCAGCCCTCCCATTGGAAAAGTATACATCCCACTCCTCCTTAACAAAGTTCGCTGTGCGTGTCAGGGCGCTAGGAGGGAGCAACGGAAGCATATGAATTCCTTGGATGTATTCAGGGTTTGCACCAAAGTACGTGGTATGGTCGATTTTATTCTCAAACAGGATGCCAGAGACTTTATTTCCGATGAAGTTCGCGGGCTGTATGGTATTGTTGCTCTCGTAGAGGAAGTAGCTCTGTAGAGACCTGGCTGTGATTGCTAGCTGTAAGTTGCCTCTCGCCTCCATGTTAGCATCCCCGGTTACCTGTCCCCACATCTTGAGTGCGTAGGCGGACATGGTATCTTCGGAGGAGGATTCTTCATCGCGTCCGTCGGCTGTTTCATAGAGGCCATGAGCGAAGCTGTGTCCGTGATACCAGTCGAAATTGCGGTAGACGGGGAAATGGGGGTCTTGTGTGGTGGGGTTGGCGATATCGCGGACTAGAGTATTAACCCAGGCTTTGTTAGCCGTGAGCCAGGTGTTATCTAGATGCCCGATAATAGCTGCAGCGTAGATGAAGTAACCATAACTGCGAACTTTGTCAGTGTCATCATGGTATGGATAGGGAGGGAGATGTTACTGGAAGTGATGATCGTTATAATACGTGTTGCCGAAGTCAACCCCCGAGTCCCCGGTGACGTACGAAGCTGTAGAGACAACGCCGCCCCAGGCAGTTTCATGGACCAGCGGATACTGTTGTTTATTGGTCGTAAAGACGTCAAAGGCCACCTTCAGGTTCTTGAGGCCAGCTTGAGCTAACCCCGTGTCTCCCGTGAGGTCATTGAGAGTGTATATAATACCGGCAAATTTTGCCAAAGCCTGGCACAAGTTAGATTTTCAAGTTCGATTTTAGAACTTATTTGTTAAGTGGAAGATAGGCGGCAAAAGCCTCGTAAGAGAAACATGTCGACTAGACATATAAATTATTTTGTCTAGATGAGAGAGCAGCAGACTTGGAAGCCCTCTCAGACATTCAATGAGCATACTCCAGATGGGCGACACACATCACCCCAATGCTAAGTAAAGATATATGTATATTTCTTACCTTACCACTGTAGTACATCGAGTTAAGGTTGCTCTGTTCACTCATGTTTTGAGCGACCTCAACCTTTGCAACATCCCGAATCGCGCCAGCTGTAGACCCAGAAAATGCCGTATCTTTAACGGTTGCGGGATTCCATGGTGCAAAGCCGATTCCTATAGGTAAGTTTTCGTCTAGGATCCAACTATCAGCAATTACAGCAGTAGTTTTTCCCTTGGTAGTTGTGGTAAGCTGCACTTTGGTAACGGAGGATTGAGTTGCGGGTGAGAACGATGCCACATGGTGAGGGAGAGCAAACATCAATAGAGTCGTATTTTGTAAACCGCCCTTGGTGAAGGAAAATGTGTAAGATCCTTTTGCGCCGTCCACATTTCCGGATAACTCTGTTGTCGTTGGATAAGCCCCACAAGCAGCGTCGTATAGCCCTTCAGCTTCTCCGGGGTCCTTTGCAATTTGAACAGTGCCTTTAAAAGTAGAGGTCGCCTGCACCAAGCCATTGTTGACAACAGTAAGATCGAGCCCGGAACCTTGTGCGTAAAGTAACCATTTCTTCCCATCCTCAAGCACAATCGTAAACTTCGTGATGCCTGGTTTAATCGATGTAGTTGACTTGGTAACTGAGCGAAAAAGTATTCCGGATTGCAATACAGGAGTTCCACCGTTGTATATAGCGGTAACGAACCCCATCCCTTGGACCAACGGAAATGTGATAGCTGGGGAAGCTCCAGAGCTAGGAATCAGATTTACATTCGCAGAAAACGCGGTCAAGGAGTCGGTGCTGAGTTGCGTAGAGTTCCCAAGTTCCAAAGCGGAGAGGACTAGTGACTGGATACCAATAGGATTGATGAAGTATTGCGGTGGATTGGCAGTAGCGTTGGGCCCAAAAACCTTCTGATTATCATTGATATGTGCGACTGACATTCCCCAGCTCTTTGAAGTTCCTCCACCCTTGGACCACGCCAGAGAGTAAGGATGGGTCCATGACGAAGATGACTGACTGCCCAGGAAGAAGTTGGCATAGAATTTGTTTGTTCCAAGAGGCGAGGTCTGAGGTTTGATACCGAGTCTCGCCACGGGGTGATCTGGCCGACTGCCGATTTGAGAAGGTGGGCTATCCGTAGCAATAGGTTGGAAAATATTGCTTGAAGCAGTATCTGCTTGGACTTTGTTGAAAATGGGCATTACTGGTCCAGTTACCAAAAGTCTTGAGATAGGGGTAGCAATCGAGGTGCAAATCAATGGTTGGACAGTTGGCAGTCCATCTGTTTTTAGGCTTGTAAAAACGACTCCGATGGTGTCTGGTCTGACAGCGCTGGGGGTTGGAAGGATCTGAGCCGATGCAGCGCCGTTGGTAGATGTGCTCACTGAGACGCTGGGCACCACTGAAGATGTGACAGGAATAAATATCCCCCTTCCCTTGAGTGCCGAAGCCTCCGAATAAGGCCTAGCATGCACTTCGAGTGCTCTCAATACCACGAGCCATATGAGTGACTGCATTGTTGCCGCTTAGAAGTCGAAGTCCAGAGAATAGAATTGAAAGTGGACAGAGAAGCCAGGTAGTTGTAATATATATCAAACAACTTGATCACATTTCAAACTACTATGAATTCACCTCACGAAAAAGACCATTCTAGTAGTTGTTGCTAGCTAGCCCCAGATACTTGCTTATCCAGGATTTATAGTCGTGTGATGAGGTGTGGTGATAAGGGCTAGTTGTATCAGGAACACAGTTGGGAGGATTATCAAATTCATTGCCTGAGAGGATGATACGCATAACAGGGAAGAATTCGGGCCTTAATACAAGCAGCATGAGCCACTGCCAAGTTATTGTGTTGCAATATTGAGTCCAATTGGCACTTATGAAAAAGCGGCGCTACGAACGAGGCATCAAAGAGCTATCACAGGGGAGCTACCCGGAAGGATGAGTGGATAGATGACTTAGAAATCCCTTGAAACCAACTCCATAATACTTGAAACAAGGAATAGGTACTTGAAGAACATACTCTACGTATCAATCACTTTCCCAGCATGAAGAATGCGAACGTGTGGAATGTGGTGACGATGGAAGGCTGGGAGTAGAGGTTACGGAGTATGGACGGTGGTCTCGGACCGACCAACCAAAGCGATGCACTTGTTCGGGATTGATACTGCAGGAAGCCGAATGTGATCACCACTCGTCTTTAGCAACTTGTTATAGGGGAAGGTGGGTTTTATATTGACGAGTCCCCGTCAGTTGGATGTTTCCAAATCACTTGTGCGGCAGCAACTCTAATGCAGGTGACACGTTGATCATCATACGGGTACCGTGATCTTGAGAGTTCTGAGTCGCGCGTGAGACATTGCCCAGTGAAGGTGAGAGATTGGAGGATTGTAGACGCAGCCTCGGCTTAGCCCGAATATTTCTCCGGATCTAAGATCATCTGAGATATTCTTTTGCGGCTAATGGCACAAATTTCCAGACACTGTCTGGCTTTTACCGACTGATTGGTCGTCCTTGCAGTCCCGCTAGACATCCTTCGAGGGTAACAGCATCTCAGAAACATGGCGATCTTGCGGAGGTTTGAGATGCACGTTGTGGCTTCCCTTATCCTTGTGGCTAGGAGCGACTTCCCAACCCATAGGATTAATATAAATTTGGTAGAGCTTGTAGCATAATGTGCAAGCACTCTACGTCTCACTTGAGAGTTGTCACAAATCCAGAAATCGGTAATACGTAGGGTGATAGGCAAAGTGCTAAAAGAGGCAACAGCTAGTACTAACGCTGCGGGCGCAAGAATATTTTAGGGATTCTGAAAAGAGCACAAGGGCCCCAAAACAAATTCTTCGATATGGAAATATGGAATAGCGATTTTGTGGACGGCACGAGCTGGGACGCTCTGGCTAGGCCGAAGAGTATGCTTAGCTGTGATACCTAGAAACGTCATAAATTGACAGCTTGCCCCCAGTCCGGCCATTTTCTATTCTACTCGACGTCCAGATTCGGAAGTACTCCCGCAGCCTTGTGCTCCCAGTTTAAAGTGGGAGCAACCTATTCCGGATGGTATCTTCCTTGGGCTGTGTTCTGGTCTGCTAATCATGGTTGGCGACTCTTTCGGACTCGTTGGCCATCTGCTTTAACATCATGCGAACACAGCATCTTGCGGCTCGCGAGTCTTGGGTGTTGTGGATAATTAGATTGATCCACGCGAATAGACCTAGAGAAATGTCCTCTCCTGCATCTGCATCGTCACACAACAATAAAAATGCTACCTAGGTTGCTCATCCTAGGTCACACGTGCTGCCCAGTACCACGCGCGAGGCGACCCCGGATATTACGTCGACGGCTGCTCACATTAGGGTTGGTTTTCATCACAATTCGATCCTGTACCTCTCATGTGAGGCAGCACTGGATGGAAGGTTGCGGGTAGACACTCTTATACAATTGAACGTTACTTCGATGAAACTCGAATCTACATAAGCGGCTTCGACATTGGGGCGATAATGCCCTGTTTGAGCAAGATCCTCGGCTTCGTAGCTTCTTGGTAGGTCTCCTTTGTTGTCCATTCAGGGCCAACAGGCAATCGCAAAGACCTCTCGTATTGTTGTTTCGTTTCGAATGGATGCGGAAGAGTAGACGCAAGATACTTTCCATTCTACAACAAGTATTAGCTCACTCTAGGAAATGATATGAAAGATGAACAAGGCTTACCTTCTTGACACGTTTCTCGTTGATGATTACGCGGTCAAGCTTTGCATCCTTCCTATTTTGCTCCTTGATTCCTTCGACTTTCGTCAAGAATCTACCCTTGTTCCGAGCCTTTTCTCTTTTGCTCACACCATCACCAATCCAGCTTCCCCATCCAGGCAATGTATTATCTATGATTTTGTCGTCCTCGTCCTGAATTGTCTGATTCTTTTCAGTCTCAAATTCACCAACAACATCTGCTCCAGCGAAGGCCCTCTTAACCAGCTCTTGGTCCCGTATGGCAAATGGAAGCTGGATAGCGTCGTCGTCATTGTTCTCGTCAGAATCCAAGTCCATCTGGAGCTCCGACGACTTTTTCGATGCCTTTGCCAATTTTGGCTGAGTGGCAATCATACTAGCCTTCGATAGATCTAGCTCTTCAATTTCAACTGCACTATTCTTTTTATGCCGACGCCTCTTTGCCTCTGCCTCGCTAATGCTAGCAGACTTCGTGGAGACTTTCGACCATGCCCCTCCTTCCAAAACTGCAGCTGGTTTGTCATTTGCCGTTTTCAGACCCAGGGAGTTAGAGACCCCGTTCGTTTTCTTGGTGTTAGATGGCTTTGCAATGGATTTCAGACCGGTGCTAACATTCTCAAACTCGAAATCCTCCTGGTCCTCGTCCTTCTCCGATCCCTCCGGTTCCTCAAATTCGCTAGCGTGGGATGGGTTAACTTTGGCTTGAGCTTTGGTGCTTCCTGGCCCGAAAATCCTTCGCCCAACATCTCCAGCCCCTTCTTCTCCTTCACTATTAGAAGGTTCTCCAGCAAGGTCGCGTCTAATATCCTCAACCATCGCGTCGTTCTCTTTTCTCCGCGCATCCTCGGCCTTACGCATGAATTTCATATTCGATAGTTTACCTCCCGGCCCCGATGCATGGAGCACTTCAGAGCTACCAACCTTATCTAGTTGGCGAAGAATTCGATCTTGTTCAGTCTCCTCGTCGTCGTCACTGGCTTCGTCCGACTCGCTGGAAGAGGTGTTAGAACCATCCTCAAATTCCTTTCTGACAGCTCTCCCTTCGACCCTCTTCCTTAACTCCTCATCCCTTCGAGCCATTTCGGTAATACCAGCCCTCGCATCTTCATCCCAAGCAGCTCGACCGATCTCCTTCGTAGCTTTTGCCCATTTGCTACCTCTATGCTTTGCACCCATGCGCTCGGTGGCTCGTCGCCGATCTTGAGCCTCGAGCTCATCCTCGGAAGGAACATAGCCACCTTCTTCAAGAGCCTCGCGATTTAAAAGCTCTTCCTTTTCACGCTGCTTCCGATGGACCTTGCGGTATGATCGGCTCTTGATCTTCTTAATCCGTTTCGACTTAGCTTCTTCACGGAAAAGAAGCTCCCGAGCCATCCGTAACTGTGCCCTTCGTGACTTAACTTCTTCGATAGTCATCTTTTTCTCTTCTAACTCCTCATATTCTCGGATGATATCTTCATCATCTTTCCCATTCGCCGCCGCAAGACCACTCTCTTCAAGAATGCTCTGAATAGCAGCCTCTAATTCGTTGAAAGGCTTGGTCTGGGTTGTTGGGACAAGTTGTTTGTTCGATTTTGCTGAGATCGCATCATGGTCGGGAAGAGGGAATACGAGGTGATCTGCTCTACGATTGTGTTGAACAGTGTCTGTCCACCGGTCTAAAGTTTCCTTGGCCTTATCGTAAGCAGCACTGCGATCCAAACGGTCTTGCTCCCGTTTTGATAGCGGTACGTCAAGCTTTGCTTGGATTCCCTTCTTTTTGCTGCCGGTTTTTGTGTCGGATTCAATATATTTCAATGACTTCTTGATATGTGGATCACTTATTGTAGGTAAACCCAGGTCTTCCAGCGTAAGTTTGGTTTTCGATGTGAGACCAAAATCGGAGGGCGTATTGTACTCGCTGGCGCCATCGTGGCGCTGTTTCGGTGGAGCCTGACCGGTTTCTTCTGCCTGGGGAAGGTTTGCAATGAGGTTCTGAAGAGCTGCAATCTTAGCAGGGTCCGAAGCTTCTCCATCATCGTCCGATGTAACTGAGGACATATCATCACTCTCGTCTCCTTCATCGGACCCTGAGCTATCGTCGTCTTCTCCACTGTCTCCAGCGCCAGCCATATCCTCGTCAGCTTCCTCTTCAGATGCATCTAGCATGTCAGCAAGATCAACTGCATCTTCCCCCATATCTCCCTCCTCCAGTTCTGAATCCGAGTCCTCTTCATCATCTTCGTCGAGGTTGATACCCTTGGTGGGGGGTGTCGATTTCTTCTTCCCGCCCTTCTTATCAGAGCTCCCAGAGAAAGCAAATCCCTCAAATCGCTCCTCATCGCTCTCTCCAAAAGCTTCATCGCTATCCAGATCACTATCATCATCACTATCCACATGTCCAAGCTTCCACTCGTTCCCCTCACTATCACTTCCTTCATCCACGTCTAACTCATCAAAACGGCCTTTGGCAGGGCCTTTCCGCTGCTTTTTTGCACCCGTCTCGAGTTCTTCATCATCGTCGTCATCATCGTCGTTTCGACGCCGTTTTCCTGGCCGGTTTCCTCCTTCCTGTGCACCAAGACGATTCCTGCGAACTTTAATCTTGTCCGGATTTTCATGGGATGCAATAGAAAATGCATCTAGAACCCTCTTTTTCGATTTGTTTCGCAGCTTTGGCTTCTTGGACGGCGCATTGCCATGCGCTTGTCTTCCAGCCATTTTTGCGAAGTCTGCGAGATAATTTGCGGTGGTGTGCGTCCCTAGAGTATACTTAAATTTTCGATAACGATACCAAAACTTTTTGGGCGGTGCGGCCGCTAGCGTATATTTTCAACATCTCTCTGCGCCCATCTCTATTCCTCACAACACAACGACATCTTTAATTCGAGACAATGAAGCCCACACAACCTCTCTGCAGAAGGCTGGCACGCCTCGCCCTGAATACGAAACTCACGAACAAGGGATACTACAAGGGAACAGGGACGGGTTCGACGGGTTCACATACGAAGCATGGAGGGTACATTATCGATTGGGAGAAAGTCCGAACATATGTGGTGCCAGAGAATATGAAAGACTTCAAGGTATGCGTGTATTATGATAGGAAATGGAAGAATACATTGGATGGTGAATGAAAGGCTGATACAAGAGTAGCTTACGCCGTTCGTAACAAGACAAATACGACCAATTAAGGGGCGGTTTGAGGGGGATCCGAAAGGTGCTCTTAGCGGCGACGCGTATATTAAAAAATGGAAGGCGGAGAACGGGCAGGATTGAATGGTCGACGATAGCTTCGTACGTATGAATCTATATTGGTATACCGCAGTCTTTTACTAACATAGCGCAGGTTGGATTGGGATTGTATAACAAAGCACTGAATGGCGTTGAAAGGGTGTATGATAATACTTGTACGGAAATCAAGGCGAAGCCACCTTCCAATGGATCCCCGTGGGCTTTTTGCGCCTTGGAATTGAGTTGCCAAATATATTTGGCGACTAGTCGGAACTCTATTACAGATAGGGCGATATTCCTCTCATATACCTCCCGTTTCTGCTTCGAAGATGAGGTATATAAACTAAGAAAATGTCATAACTCCTCCATGTGCAGCACCGAAGTCATTGCTATTTTATTTCATTTGTATGATAGCAGATTTGTGAGTAACCTTTGGCCTTCCATTTATGTCGATCAACATAGGGGATCCACGCGGAATGCCCTTCCATTCCTAGTCAACCCTCTCTATCTCCTTAACTCTCCCACAGATCCATGACCGATATGCTGCAAATAGATGTGTGTCCATATTCTTCTCGCAGAACGCAAGCAAAGCTCCATAGTGCCCCTTAGCATCTGAGCCCGTCGCTCGCAGGATTTTAGCCAGATCAATAGGGCATAAATAAAGAGGTTGTCTCGAATCTTCCCTGAGAGATCCAGTGCCCTGCATACAGCATGCATAGTACACACAATGATCAATACCAAAGCAGTGTCCCAACTCGTGACTCGCAGTCCGACAGACCCGGCCAAACCACAAGCCCGAGAGCGCAATAGCAGAAGGAGATTGATCTATGGATGGGAGAGAAGCGTGTGCTGAGAGTGCTGCTTGCATTGGGGTAGTCACCTCTCCATTAGTGGTGGTCTTCGAGGACTCTCCTTCAACCAAGGACTTTCCAACTCCAGTCCGCTTCCGACTCCCTTCCTCAGAATCCACTGTATCACAACAACGCTCCACATACCGTTCACAATGTGAAGCCGGCCATGCATGCTCCCGTTCTAACCCCTCCTTCTCATCCAAAACAGGATTGTACCTTGCGCTTGACACCACCGCAATCCTCGACCCACCATAAGCTCTCCCACATGCAAACTCGTCTTCTTCGTCTTCATAGATATCGTGTTCTACAAGGAGCAACAATGCGTATGCATCATCGGGTAATATGTCTATAGCTGCATCAAGGAGATCATTGAGATTGAGCTGGTGCGTGAAATCACCTTTGGGAGTAGCCCGAGTGCGGATTCCCACGCAGCCCGACTCGGCTTGGGTTTTCATCCATATGGTTCGTCTCCTTGGATCTGGTATATCGTCGTCTACGTCATCTGTAAACCTTAGACTTGACGGTGGCAACATCTTGACTGGTAACCCGTGATAGAACGCTTTGAGGTAACTCAATACATCTTTCGTGGAGGGACGATCAACCGCCTTCAAACCCTTTCGGCTTTTGACTTGCGGATGTATCCATTTCTGGACAAACTCGAGGTTGGGTTCCACTTCTGGAGGTGCGGCGATATAGACGGTTCGACGCTCAGCCGTCACCTTATTTCTGTCCTTGTCGCGGACCCAAGATCTGAGACTTTGTGGAGGATAGCTTGGATCCCAAGAGAGATCATCTCCAGGTAGTATGAGAGGGCCAGGAAAAGTTGGTGAGTCTTCAACTTTTTCAGCGGTCGAGACTTTCGTGATAGCTGTGCCATTTGCGGATCCTTGCGCTGTTGTGGCTGCGATTCTCTGCAACAGTGTTGGGCGTTTGTATCCTACCTCCTTCGCGTTACGGGAGGCAGAAAATACGAGCTTGGAGTGATCACACGTGGAGGATACTTTTGGAGGCATTGCAACAAGGACAACTCATTTAAATGGCCCAACAACCTCTAGACAGTTCACTATGATAAATATAACAGTAGGTTTTAAGATGACTCCCACAGCCGCAATTTGAACCACTCGAAAACGTTTTGGGCAAACAAATATCATGTGACTCCAGGCAACACTGTGTGCCTTGAAATTTTGAAACAGGTACTTTGCTACTTCTTATTGAGTCATGTATAGTGAGAAATGCATAGATTCGTAATGACAACATCATAATTGTAACCGTTATGCAAGTTGACGATGTAGTTGCGGTAGGAACATCATGTGATTCACGGAGGGTTCAATTCATATCTTAAGATTCTTTGGTCTCGTAAATATCCCTTTATAATCCGATCTTGCCTTGTCCCATCCCAGGTACAACGTCCCATAGCCCCACAGCAGTGAAACGCTCTTGCTGGTGACTTGTGATTCGGATACTTGGGGCCGCCAACGGTGGCAGTGACAATGGCAGTGATTTTTGGAGATCAAGGCTTCCTTATTTTGGAGGATACTTCACTCCTGATGAAGGACAGTTTGAAGTGGTACCAACTGGTGCTGTGGGGACAAAATTTCCAGTCTGAACCGAACCCTGAACGTAAAACGAATACCATATCTCGTTCAACGCCTTTGATTGGCATCTGATCGTCACTGGGTGACCGAAAGCGGTCTCTAGTGCTGATTGGATTTTGGCGGATGTGTATGTAGCTGAAGTTGAGGGTACAATTCCTGCATTTTTTAAGGCCTGAGTTCATTAGTATCGTCGCTGGTCGTACATCTCAAAACATACCGTATAGCTGTCTAGGGTCGTAAATAGATCAATCGTTTTCTGGAAGAAATCCGGAACCTCCTGGGTTGGAGTGTAGCTTGTATAACAGTTTGGATCAAGGGTTGAGATACAAGTCCCGTGTTTTGCCCATTCGTGTTCCCAAAACTGTTCGTTATCTCCATTTATATCTACCCAATGGGTATCCATATAGGACAGGAGATCACCCTTCCCAGCCGCTTGAAGTATTTGAGTTATGTTTTTGTAGGCACGCTTGGAATCACAGCTGGAGTCGTATGTTCCATCACAATGATCTGGCCACAGCCCATGGATTGTCCATGAGTCTGAAGGACCTGTGGCTGTCAGTATGAGAACATATATCACAGCTTAATATAAGTGACATGCCTGTGCTGGGGTTAGAGTCCCAGAATTGTGTCTGGACCAATTGGCCACCAGGTGTATTGAGACAGCAGGTATTGGAAGAGGTTGAGCTTGAACAACTCAGTGGGGGATCGGAGCAGGTCTTGACTGAGCCAGCCAAGGCTACTGGCAAGGCTATAAGCGTACTGAAAACAACACCTAGTTTGGTAATAGCCATGATTGTAGATAACGAAAGTGGATTTTGGATTTCGATTAAAGAAGTAGCTCCTACAAGTGAGAAGGGCGTGATTTGTATACTTAAGTAAACTTTGTGCTACTGAGATAAACACAGCGTGTGAGGATTCGTTGGTTATCAACAGCTCGACAAACGGGCCATAATTCCATATCGAGAAGGCGGATAACTTAACGAGCCTGTACGCCATAGTAACCATTCCCTCTACTTTTGGCTCCTTATAGGTCCAAATGTATTTGGGGTAAATAGTCGGGGACGGGTCATAGTACTTGCGCAGGCTTGCCGCCCATGAACTGCTTGATCGCTTGACCCCTAGCTATGATCGGCGGTCGAATCGAAATCCTTGGATCATCAACGAGGTCCATCTGATCTCAGGTACGTCGGCGTTCCTTCAGGATAGCCTTTCCGATTCGACGTCGTGGATATGGGTTGCATTCTGCCAATCCGAGCAACAGCCTACCAGCACTACGATTAGGAAGGGCATGACGTTCCGGCCGAGATCACCTTCTTCTTCTGGATGATCGCCAGTGCCTAGGATAGTGTGGCCTATCGCGATTTTGCAAGTTCTGAAACGTAGCGAGAGGAGGATGAGAGATAACATTATCCGCGCGAAGAAGTTTGGAGGATGACGGATAAACAGAATAACCAGGAACAAGGGGAGGCAACTTAAAGGGGTGGGGGTCGACCGTTCGCTAAACGCCGAACATAGTTTCGGAGACAGTGGACTACAAAGTTTAACCTCAACCCCATTTTCATCTCTGCGATTGAGTAACGCAATAATTTATGCGCTACTACCTAGGTACTTATTTCGTATGTGTTTGTTTTAGCTTGCTTCGGCTTTGCTTCAAATCAGCAGGGGGTCCCATACATCTCTCGGCATTAACATTGGCAGCATGGAAACGAAACTTGTTCCAGCTTACGCATTTCAAATGAGAGGACGAAATCAACATTGGAAGCTGCACACTGAAGATACCCATAGATTATGGATTACTATTGAAGAACCTTCTAATAATACAATATATTTCGAAGATTCTCTAATAATTTTCCAGGAAACTCTGTGTATAATACCGGAAATGTAACGCCTGAATGCGCCTCAGCTAAAAAGGGACTGTAGCAACGTACAGCGTTGGAGTATCATCTCTGCAAAAGCTCAACCGCACACCCCCCTCTAAGCAACCACTTCTCCATCTAGTTATCATTGTCGTTATCTGCCTCATCGCCATCCACCTCTCTTGTTTCCACAAACGTGAGCTCGGCAACTTGCCCCTCCGCCATGTTCAAGTTGACACCCTCAAGACTGGATGGTGAGGATCGTCTTTCTAATGAGTCAACAGTACTTCTCTCCTTCACTCCTATATACCGTTTGCATTAGCACAATGAACATTGATTTATGGATGAGGAACTTCTTACCAGCCGGTAGGGCTCCACCACGAACAATCATCGTCGTTACAGTCGTCTTCATCCTAGGAGTGACAGAGGACTCATCCCTGGCCTTGACTCCGTTTGCAGCACCGTTTTCAGAATCAGATTGGCTTTTCTTCTGGATCTTCTCGTTGTTTTGTACGAGTGAAACGATCCGCGGTGCGATTTCCTTCCCGACGCCCTGGAGTGCGGCAACCTTGGCCGGTTGTTGAATTGAGACTATCTCGGGTTCTGCTACCACTGCTGCTTCCACTGGTGCAGGAGCAGCTGTTGCCTGTGCCGGAGTTGCCGGTCGTGCTGCTTCGTTTGCAGCGGCTCCAGAAACTGCTGCCCCCTCCAGCGCATTCATCAACCCCGCGACATCTGCTTTTCCTCCGAATGATATTTCACCATCACCGACTACCAGGGCGGGTGAATATGCACCAAGATTGATATTCAAGGGGAGAGCGACGCAGTTTGAGACCAGGAGACCGGCGAGGACAAAATAGGTATACATTACAGCCAGCGAATGCTGGAAGTTAGGTGAATGAGATAAGTTGATGAGATAAATTGAATAAATAGAAGATGCTTGCTGAAAGTATATGGGTTGAGGCGTCAAGCTTCGATAAACGTGGAGAGAACAAAGTGAATGAAGTGAGCGCAGCTAAGGAGAAAGGACAAGAACTGAGCGCATGAGTGACGAGATATATGGAAAGCTTAACAAATGCTTGATAAACTGCCAAGGCGCGGGCAGTTCGGGGTCTCTAACTGTCTGCGGCAGGGGCTGGCCATTCCCTAATATAGAGACTAAATGTCCTGTCTAGACCATAGAACCGGCTCGGAAGTTGGAGTTTAGGTTGTTGGCGGCGTGCCAATGTTCTATCAAACACCAAGTGACACGGTCAAAACCCCCGTCAGGAGGGAGATAAATCCCGCAGGGGTGCGACCAAGCCTCGGCGCAGTTATTAAGCCTTCATAAGGAATCTTGGCTGAGGAAGCGACGCTCACGACGTTGTTTTAGGTTGTGGTCGAGGGCTCGCATCTGAGTTGAGGCTGCTACGGGCAAAACCTTGGCGCGATCCCAGCGGTGTTAGAGACTCATGAAGTTCGAGGTCCCAGCGTCATTCCCCTGACTTGCACACGCCTAGCCAATAGACAAGCATAAAGTTCGAGGTCCGATTTTGGGGTCTAGATCAACTGTTCCGTCACTACCGTTGATGGGTTTGTCGCTTTCCTACGGAGGATTGAGGATATATTACTTACACCACAGAAACCATATGCTTCTCTCCCGCTTTATTTCTTCTTTTATTTCACCTTGAATTATAATTCTATCTTCAAATTGTCAAGAGGCATATATATATTATTGGATGAATGAATCTTCGAGGATCGCATGTGGTCAGATATCAATGGCTTGATTCAGTAGTGCGCCGCAACAGTGGACTAGGGAAAAGGCAGGATTCCGTTTAAACTCGCCTAGACATAAGTGGAGAATGTCTCAATCTTGGTTTAAATTTAGAAGGCCTTATCTAATGTATAACTCAAATCGATTAACAAATTCTGTACCTGGCACTAGGGACCTAGTCAATGATAGACCTCCCGAAACAACCATTCAGCGACGCTCTTATGCATCTCAACACGACGCTTAGCACGTCTTATTTTCGTAGCACCGAATGAAGGTACAACGTCAAATGCTAGATATTGAATTAGTACTTCCTCATATAGATGATCGCCATCGCATCTACATACCGTGCTCCTCGGCAATAATTTTCTCCCATTTTATACCATTCCTTTCCCAGCAGTCATCTGAACCGGTCCTCACGGGCCCTCCAACATCTGCCAATTTCTCAGCCATAATCTCCGCGCCTCTGCAAAGTAGATCATGTTCACATCCGATGAAGTAGAGTTTGGGGGGCAGCTTTTCTCTCGGGGCAAACGTGGGGCTCAGCAACGGATCCCTTAAATCCTGCTCTGGCTTGATATAACCCCAGTTGAACATCGCTGCATCATGGCGAAGGACATCGGGCGGGGCATCCTTGGGTCTTGTTGCAAGGCTAACTTCAATCGGGGTCGTCATATCTACTGGAGGGTAATATGCAACGATGCCGCCAATCTTTCCCTGAAGACTTTCGTACTGAGACACCGAAAGCGCGAGATTTCCGCCAGCACTGAAGCCTCCAATCGCGACCTTGCTCTTATCGATTGGTAGCGCTTCATCCTCCAGGACTGCGTTGACGAGGTCAAGGGCTGCTTCACTCGCAGCTGGGAATTTGTGACCAGGTGATTTGGGGTAATCGAGGCTCACCACAAGGACCTTGTTTTCATGCGCGAACTCGGAGCAGAACTTGTCGTCGCCCACAGGACTCATCAGCGCAAAACCACCACCATGGAAATTGAGGTAAAGGGGCAACAGTGCATCTCCGCTTTTGTACGATTTTGGGATATAGACCCGGTTGGTAAGTCCCGGCTGGCACGGGTAGACCTTTGTGAAAGTTGGCTGTACCGACTTGTCACGGATCCCTGGGAGATTGAGCGCCTGAAAGACGGTTTTTAGGAGGAATTTAAGCACCCGTATCCTAACAGCGAATCTTAGGCGTGTTAAGAAAGGGCTTGGCCTAAGGTTGATTGGTGCCGATGAAGGTTGGTCGGCCATCGCTGGAGAGTTTAGTGACAGCGTCGTGGCACACGGAGCGGATAGATGGCGGGATGGAAAATGAAGAAGATAAGGTTAGAACCACTCACTCGCAAAACAATGTTCTATGGTAGCCTCTAAATGACTATTTCGGGGCACGACTTGAGATGACGCTTGATTTCTTACCGTAATCTATCCTTTGTTGGTTAAAATATGGAGGTCAGCTCGTGCCCTCAATTTGAGATAACGTCAGTTAGATAGCTCACGAAACCCCCCTGTACTCGTTCGGACAACGGGTAAATAGGTGTTCTGGGGGCACGGCAATTGTGCTTAGTCAGCAGTAATTTTGTCCACAACTACCTACCTTAGGTAGGCCGCTTGGCGGATCAGGACTATGGGGCTTGGGCTACTGATGATCTAAGGGGCAGCACGCTGCTTCTTACTTACAGAGTACGCTAGACAATGATACTTGAAGAGAAGCGAGCTATAAGCTATAGGTATTTGGGATATGGTATATAAATAATAACTTGAAGTAGTAATGTCTGATGGAGGCTCCTAACGAAGCTATTTCTGGTATCCATGCCCGAGGCTGAATCTGTACTCTACTTGTACATATATCTCATAGCCACACGCCAGTTCCCACCATCTTTTAGAGCAAAGAGAACGCCAAAAAACATAATGGTGATATTCGGATAATTATAGATACCTTTCATAAAGATAACCTCCCCAGCCATGCGCGCCGTGTATTTTACAAACAATCATGATTGGTATAAAACTAGAAATCATTAATCAATAGATTCGAACTTGGCCTCGACCGTCGTTATGGTGCCTATATCCATATTTTCATTCAAGGGCCCAGGTCCAGTTATGGGGGCATTGTTTCCACTGTCGAAGAAATTTAGAACATCTTGAGGCAGATATTCGAGCCATGGCATCATGTCTCCGCCGAGCGCAGACATGTCAATATCTTGACTTTCCATCATCACGTCACCCATGCCCCCAAGGCCCATATCACCATGCATGCCGAACATGCCGTCATTATTTTGTGAAAAGTCGTAAGGGGTAGTGACTGGATCATGGCGGGTGCTGGTCGGTGATGTAACATTCTGTGTTGGATCATAGGGATAGTGGGAGCTAGGCGTATGTGGGCTAGCATACGCAGAGTTCTGTAATCCAAGTAGCATTTCAGCATCTGACGTCGTTGTCCCGTCAGAAGCGACCGACGGAAATCTTGGTGCCGGTGGTGGCATATTTTGACGTGCCTGTGTACTATACGATTGATACCGTGGAGGATAAGTAACGGTGGTGGTAGGAGCAGCAGTTGCTTCGGGCAGGCTTTGGCGAATAGGATCATATATCATATTTCCAGCTGCGGGCTGGGACGGCGGAGCCGGACGGGGCTGTGAAGGCTGGCTTTGTTCACCGTTCATGCTTGGGTACATGAAGGTTAAATTTGAACTAGGAGAGTTGGTCGTCCCAGTCAACGACCATCCGATGGCTTGAGTATGGCTAATTTGAGGTGAGCCTTGTGCCTGCTCTATTCGCGGTGGGAGTAGATCGGCAAGTTGGGCAGGGGATGGTGCGGCCAATGACAGCTTAGTCTGCCAATTTGGAATCATATCGTGCTTGACTTTGGTAGACTCGTATTCTTGCTCGGTGAACGTCTCCGGGTCCCAGATTCCTTTGGCTTTTTGGTCGAGCGCTACCAAAATATATCTCGTCCCAGCCCAGTAAACTTCTAGCTGTTGCAGCGCTTTATAACACCGTTGATAGTTTTGGTTGGCAGCGGACGCCAACAAAGAATGCTTCTTTTGCTCTTTCGCATCAGTTCGGTCCCCTTTTAAGTCTTTTGATATCATTTTTTTCAAAACATGACCTGGAGGGCTAATCTCTCGCGATGTAGGCTGCGAACTATGCACTGCTGACTCCATCAGGAACGCACATGCCGCGATATACATGGGCTGGCTTGTAAATGGATTGCCGATGAAGCTTCTAGGATCAATAAGCTCTGCAAATGCAAGAATATCCGCAATTGTCTTAGCTGATGACATGCTGAGTTCGCGGCTGTTGGGCAATAATTGCAAAATCTGTCCTTCGAATGAGTGCATTAATGTTGGCTGATGAAGTAGCATGATGAGCGTATGGAACCAGAAGTGCAAAAGGATGAAATTGGTGCCTTCCCCTGACTTGACGTAATGCTGGAAATTCGGCGCATTGAAAGTCAATCTTTGATCAAGCCGTTGGTAAATCTCGGTGAGGTCTTTCTCCATCCCAGCAAGACCTTCAATCTTCTTTGGAGTAACATCTTGGACGTTTCTAATGTTATTCAGCAAATCGGACACCCGGCCATATAAGTGTATAATTTGTATCAGTGTTGGAAAGGGGTTCGGCCAGTCGCTCTCACTGTTGTTTGTAACGGCGGGGAATGCAAGTTCAAAGTCTTCGTCTCTCAGTGTTGCTGGCCGACCAGTACCGGAGGAAATAACCCTGTCTAACATAAATACGGCCCAGAGCGTATCGATGCGTTCTTGTTCCACCTCTTTCTTTTCCTGGGCACTTATGGAGGTAGGTTCAGACGGCCCGCTGTCGTTGCTCTGGCTATAACTTCGCGGGTCTTTTTCGCCTTGATGTTTGACGCCATCAAGCTTCTGTAAGCCAAGGTCCACGGCCATACGGATTGCACATCCCAGGTACATCCATAGCGCGCTGTCTTGGTTAGCCCCGAAGCTTTCGTAGGCAAGCAATAGACAAGCTTGGGTTGCTGCAACTGTGGGGCATGGGAATTGGTCCACCACAGCAGCTTTTGCTCGTTGAGCGAATACATTTCCATAGTCGGATTTTGGGTACGATGGATCATGAGAACCGATTAGCAAAGGATGGTCGGAAAAACGCGCACCTAGAGCGCAAACCGCATCCACCAGAATCGCCTCGGCAGACCGGTCTTCAACACATTGTATGAAGGGCCGCCGCCGTAGAAACGGATAGTTGCATCCCAAATGCGTAAAGAATGTCTCGACAAGGTGAATGATCAGCCGGTTAACAGGTAACGGGTCATCTCGGTCATATATAGGCATATCAACAGAGTGCCTTGTCTCACTTCCCGCAAGTGAAGACGCGCCTCCATGCCCAGATCCGCTTCCCCCACCGTAACTAGCAGCTCCAGGGGACACTTGCAGGTATTAGCTTCCGTTCGAAGGAGCCACACAACGAGATAGAGAAACAGGAGATTGCCCGACAGAAAGAGCGATCTCGAAGTACTGAAAGCAAAAAGGGTTCAAAATCACTTGAGTTTTGGAAGAATGAATTCGTTGAGGCCAGTAACTTCCTCGTCATTCCCGGAACAAAAAGTCCATGGACCCTTTAATTTGGATTGTGCTGCTTTATGTTCCTATAATCGGGCATTAAACAGGAGCTATCGACTTACTTGCTACAGCAGACCCAGCGCCTGTGCTACGGCGATGTTCTCGAACCGATACAACCATTTGCTTGAACCCCGGAACTATAGCTGTAGGTCCAAAATAACGGAAGTATGGGACTCGGTGGTTATCGGTGCGCGGCGGCCGCGGCAGGTCTTTAAAACAATTAGTTCATAAAAATTGCTGACACGGCGACTATGATGAACATACCCATCGGAGTTGATCCTTCTTCAGAGTACACTGCCGATTCCCTATAGTCATTGCCAAAATTCATAGCGGATCCTTTCTCCAGCATGTTCCTGATACCCTCGTGCGGACTGCGTCGAGCATCAAGATATGATTGAGGATTCGAGTTGATGCGGCGAAGGTCAGGACTGCCGTGTGTCATGCTACGCCGTTCGTTTTCCGGGGATGAGGTAGAATGGCCAGCCTTGTCCTCGTCCTCGACTTCAGGATCTTCCTCCCCGTTCCTCATCGAATCCGAGTCCTTGTGTTCCTTCTTGCTGATATGGGCCTCCCCTATCTCCGCATATCCTAAGCACTCATGGCCATTCTCCGTACATGTTGAGCAGAGTGGCCGCTTGCCATCGCATCTTGTCTTTCGCTTCCGGCATGTTCGACAACTATATCCCCAGACACATCTAGTCAGTAAAATTTCCTAAATACCAAGAACCATCCTCCCAAGGGCGTCGTCCATTTCAACCAGCCGGAAGCCGGGAGCGACCAGAGGCGATCATCCAAACATCTTCAACAGCCTAAAAATATATACGGGAACAACGGAACGTACGCAGCATTGATTCTTCTCCGTTTTGCAGGTGGCTGGCCCTCGTTGTTAACAAACCGGATCTGCTTCGGGGTGGGAGGTACAGTCGCAGCCGTTGCGCTACTTATTGTCGAACTCATCGCGGCGTGTGCTCCGTTAAGCAGTTATTCGAGGGATTATCGCATGCCCATAGCTTTAAATGGCGGGCCCGGGCACCACTCATTGGGATGGGGTACGAGTAGAGGCAAAGATAGCAGGATAGTTCGAGAACAGGACTCCGAGCACCATGGACGTGCTAGACGCGCAGAGCTTGCGCGGTACGAGTAGGCAGCGGGGCAGCGGCAGCAGAGGCGATTTGGAGGTCAGGGTCTAGAGCTAGTTCTAGTTCTAGTTCTGGTTACAGTGCAATGCTCGAGTCGAGGACTTCGTACTCGGCGAGGATGAAAGACTTTGCGGGGTGGCTGTGGCCGTGGCCGTGGCGAACTACCAGTGTCTTAGTAGCTTGGCCCCTTCAGTACCGAATGCGACCTTCTTTCTCGTTGCGCCTGGCTGGCAACGCGGCGACAATGGATGTAAATAAATGTTGCGCTCTGCTGGCATGGAGCATGGAGCATGGGAGAGGGACGAGCTGGTGGAGATCCTCTTCGTCTGGAACACCGCGGATCTTTCCCGAGGTATCATTATCAATGCCAGGTTGTGAGCCTGCGCGATGATTTTCCCTTCGTTCCCCACGTTTCACGTCCTCGCTTCAGCACCAACCCCAGGTTTCCCTCTCCTCCGTCTTCCCTCCGCATGCTTACTTTGGTTCTACAAGCGTTGCAAGCGTAACGTTGAACTGCTCGATAATAATAGAGGATTCACAAGCTAGAGTCCCGAAATGATATGCGGCGGCCGGTCTTGGCTCCGTTTCCGGAGAGCAGTAGTAGAAGCCGCATCTGGAGCCTCCGTCTTTTCTAGCGAGTCATATATAGCCCAGCAGATCGCTATCGGCAAACTTTTGCAGTTATTCTTCTCAAGTTTGGTTATTCTATGGCAAGGGATATAAACCTGGATTCGTACGAGTTGGCGTATCACTGCGTCCCACTAATAAACTGGAGATATGATAGAGATTATCTTACATAGTGGGGACTGCATGCCACGTGGCCAAGGGCCGGTTGGGAAGCACTGACTGGTCTTATTAAACCTTTGATAATTAGCTATTATTGTACGGACATCTTCAAGCACGTCCTATTCCACGGTGCAAATGACTACCTAGGTACGCTGCATTCTCAATGTCCGGCCCTTCTCTTAGTCTCAGCAATGGTAGAAAAAAATGTACGAGCCGCCCGACGAAGTCGAATTCGTAACCAACGCCAGTGCAGTTGGACATCTCAACGAAGCCCAGAGAATACTTTCACAATATATCGCACACCAGGTCCCAGATCCTGGAGCGGCTCTGATTGACCTACGTTGGTTTTGGCCTGCTCTCTCCTCAGCCGTGACAAACAACTATCCTGAGGTCCTTACATATTTGCTGTCTAGAGGGGGTTTCCTCCAGACTGCCTGCCAATCTGGGAAGCGACCGACGTGAAATCGGCGACCATCTTCCAAATATTCCTAGATCATGCATGGGATATTAATGAGCCGCTGAGCAGAACGAGACCTCCCCCCACTTGGGTAGATGTCCAAGTTCTCATGTAAAGGGAAATTCTAACTCATATCAGACCTGTCATTGGAGACATAACTCTCACGACATGGTATCTAGATCACGGCGCCGACCCTAATAAAATGTGCGCATCGGATCTTACTCCACTCTCGATAGCTGTTCACCGTGCCCCGCTATCTGTCATTAGATTGCGTTTTGAGCGTGGTGGAGACATTGATCGGGGGCAACTCCTTCATTATGGTGTGATGCGCGAAACCCCAGGTGTTTTTGACGTGTTGAGGTTCCTTCTTGCTTTGGGCGCACCAATCAATGAGGTAAAATATTAGAATCACGAGTCTTCCTATGGGGAGCGTTGGCTATTTGGACTTGGTACACCTCTGTATAAAGCGGCAGATCTTGGAAGGGCTACTATTGTAACTTTCCTATTGGAAAATGGCGCTGATCGAAGTATCAAAGACCCTAAAGGGAAGACGCCACTAGATCTTGCCGAAATCAAAAGGAGACCTGAAATAATCTACTTACTTCAGGTACCGCCAGTTCATTATCAGGGTGACATCTTTGTATGTTGTTGCTCGTGATGGGCGAAGAAGGCTGAGGTGCTATAGTACTTATTGCTCAAGATATACAGGCTCTTGTAACGTTTCCTATTAATTCACGAGTAGCCATGAGAACCTATTATCTCCAACTGTATGATATGCTATCTAGATTTTGAACACACATTCCGTAGCCTCATAACTTCTACAGGGTTGTCTTTCTCGGAGCCTAGCAGTATATTAGAGCACCCGGCAACAACTCCCAATGCTCATATCTTCACTTCATTCATGAATCCATCGAGGCTTTCATCAGCCTGGGCTTGGCTCTTAGCAGCTCGCCCAAGCTCCCACGGTCAATATTGGGAGTATCGGAAGTGTGGTACGTATAAGACCCCGCACTTATAGCACTTCCTCTATATACCATTGGTGTCCAGAAACAAGGGTAGCTAGTTATCAATACGGGGGTTTCCTCACCTAACCATCCTGTCACCTGAACACTTCCTCCTCTTGGGTTACGCAGGAGGCCCAAGAACATCAACATCACCAGACTCGATCCTACGACACAAACTGCATCCACGGTCTTGGTAATTTCAAAGGTTCCATACCTATTCTCGTCTCGTGCTACTTTTCCGCATCTGATCAAATCGATCGGAGTGTAATGAGAAGCGTGTGGACTGCTACTTGGGTAGAGCGATTCAGATCTGGGTCGTTTGGAGACCGCAAGAAGTAGACCAGCGCCGTAGCTAGAATAATTGCTTCAGGATAGATCAGTATCAGTCTAGAACGCGCACAATGAGGCGAATACGGCCTTCCATCAATCGATTACCTAGGTAGGCTGAGCTCGGGGCACAGCGGGGTAGCTGCTACTATTCTAGAAATCTACGGACTTGTTCCCTCCGAAATACACCCAAATCCTTCTATCTATTCTATTGTATCCTTCCTCTTCAAGATTTGTATATGTCGGAGTCGCTATTGAAGTCAGCATAGACACAGAACCAGCTAAAAGAGGGGAAATGCCACATACAATTTCCCAAATCGGTCTCTCCCTTCGGCAAACTTGTTTACCCAAACAGCAACGCTTGTGCCGGGACACATAAAAGTACCGTATCCATCCTTCTCGATAGTCACTTCACCCTGTTCCCATCCCAGTACATCAGTCCAGACCTCCCCAGCATGAATTTCACCAACGTGCATTCGCTTCTCTCCGGGTCCGGCATTTGACATCACAACGGCACATCCCCACCTGCGGTCCCATGTGCCGTATCTTACCCACCCAATGCAAGTCGGGTAGTCGAAGTAATCCTGTTGGACGCCATACGAATAGAGCTTGCGGGCGAGGGCCAAATCAGGGAGCTTTCCACCACAAGATGGTGGAAAGGGGTGCTCTCCTTTAATGCCATAGAGATCGCCATAAAAGAGACAGGGATAGCCGTCGAAACGAAGCAATATAAGTGCGTAGGCTAGAGGCTTGAAGAACCCCTCAATTGGAGCTTCGAGAGCCTGGTACGGCTGGGTATCATGGTTCATGACCAGAGTCTGGACATCTCATTACCATCAAGAGCCCGTTACACAATAACATAATTGAAAATAAATCCACTCACCACAGCGTTGATAGGTGCAATCTTGACCAATGTATCGTCAAATACGGTTCTCAAGTCTGCATTTTCCGTCTTGCTCAACTGACTAAACCTGTTGACAAGAGGAGCATCGAAAAGGCTGAACTTCTTGCCCATCTGGTCAAGGTAGCGGGTCATGTCATCCAGACTATCCTTCCAGAACTCGCCTACAAAGAACCACCCATCGCCATGAATCTCGTCCATTTTAGTGATGAACTGTCGAAGAAAGTCCTCGCTGAAATGTTTCACGGCATCAAATCTCATGCCCTTCAATTTTACCTGCTTGTTTAACCACAGGCCCCAATTTAGGACGTCCTTGACCACTTCTGGATGGCTATAGTCCAAATCAGCGAACATAAGGTAATCATAGTTGCCCTTTTCCTGATCGACATCGTCACCATCGGCCCAACCTTTCGTCTTATCCCCCAGGATCTTGTAGATGGCGGTTTTCTTGTTCGCGGCATTATAGTCTGTGCCTGAAAAGTGATACCAGTGGTATTTCTGTGAAGAATACTGCTCGCCTCGGCCAGGAAAGTCGAACCCCACCCAGGCCTCAATTTTATAAGGGTCGGAGATGTTCTTGGTACGATCCTCTGGGTCGACTTCTTGCGCCTCGCATTTCTCTTTGTGGTCCGCGGCAGCTTTGTGGTTCAGAACTGGGCAACAAATAAGCTAGGTCTAATTCGAAGCCCCGTAATCACCCATCTCAGGGGTCTATTTGAGGAGCTTTGAAGACCGAGGTCTTAAGTCGCCCAACATAGCGATCATATGGCGCATTCAGACCACCAAAATAATGAGTATTTTGCTTTCCACTTGGAATGGTTTAAATCACCCAATTGGGAGCTCTTAAATAGCATTATATTGTAATTAATATGTTAGCTTGTAGACTTACCTGCATCCCAATAGACCCCGATACCAGTTTCATTGCAGCGGTGTACTAATTCCAAAAGTTCGGCTTTTGATCCCCACTTTGTGGCCTTCGATCCTTTTTGGTCAAATTCGCCTAGATCATAAAGGTCGTAGATATCGTAGCCATTCCCCGATGGGGATGATGCTTTACATCCCGGAGGGATCCACATGTTGTCAACACCTGTGGCTTTGAGGTGCGGTACCTGGCTAGCTAGGCGTTTCCAATGCTTTTGGTCGTCCGGAACATACCATTCGAAGGCCTGCAACATCGTCATGTTCTCCGGAGTAGGCTCCTGCTCCTCTAGAAGGTCAGTGCCGTTGCTCAGACAATATATCCTGAGAGGGCTTACTTGGATCTCCCATCTTGTCCATGTTGTCCGTGAGACGTCCGATTACTAGAGAAGCGGTGTGGGTTGTATATAGGTAATGTCCCCTAAGTGATTCCAAAATTCCGCGGTGAAGGAAAGAAGAAGAAGAAGAAAAAGAGAGATTTGGCCACCTACTCTATTCATACCTACTTGTGTTAGGCTGCTAGTCTAAGTGGAAACCCCACAATGACTGTAAGGCCTTGACCAGATTCAGACAACATTGTTGCTTCAGTTGAAATACCCGGTACTTCGACGAAGGTATCAGGCCGGGATTGCGTCATTAGACGACTTGGGTACTTCCAAGGCACACTGCCAAAGCTCCTGCCATTCAATCATGCATTCCAAGAGACCTTGTCCGTTCTGTCAAGCGACGGTGCTAGATGGTAAATTTTGGAAACTCTTCCAGTTGTCATTATTATCGATGCGCCTGTGGCCTCGACATGCGGTGCCTTTCCAGGGCATTTTCGAGTGAGTGTGTGACGGGTCGTGGTCATGTTCGTGGCGAAATTAATCTCGTGGTTGCCGTGGCAGCCAATGTCAACAAGGAACATGAAGCCAGGAAACCCTCCATTGGACATTCAATGTCGAATTAAAGTCAACCACACGTGTCATGAAGTTACAAGTTTTGTACAGCATTAATTGATCTAGTTATATCAACACAGCATTTACTTTTCCCTCCTATAGGCATCCAACCGCAAGATATACCCTGCAGTGGCACAACAAACGGGTTGCTGCATGAACCGCACGCCGCGTCATTATTTACATCGTTTGACCTAAAAGTACCACCTCGTCCAAGCTATGAAAAACCACACTCAACGAGAAGATTTTACAATTCACGTTGATCCTTCCTGCTTAACGGACTCCACAGACCTCGAAATGTCACCCGAGCGAGTTCCATCGGACCAGACCGTTCATCAAAATTCCGATTCAAAAGACGAACATCAAGGCGACGAGCCTGCGGATGAGCACAACGGTTATGATGACTCCGAAGGAGCACAAGAAGCACGGGATCGCCAACTAGACCGTATCGAAGCCCAAATCCAGGCCGCAGCTCGTGCTGTAGTGGCTAGCATTGAGCAAGACTCTTATGGTGGAAATGAAGACTCGGTGTTGAGCATGCAAACGGATGAAAGCTATGCGCCAGAAGGGACCGAGATGACCTACGGAGACACTGAAATAACCTACGAAGGCACCGAGATCACATACGATGGCACGGAGTTGACCTACGAGGACACAGAATTGACATATGAATCCGACAACGATCATCACTCAAAGGCAGGGAAGGGCATGGAGAATGCACAAGCTATATGTGAATCAGAGAATGAACAGCATTTCGAACATGAGCGAGCTGAAACTAGTTCAGAAGCAGTGGCTGAGCCTGAGGAGGCATGTATTAATGCGCTGGATACTAGTCAGGGTACGGTGGCAAAATACGAACCCGACAACGAGCTTCTTCTAGACCATGACCAAGGCGGTGATTCCAGTTCTCAGCATGATGGAGATATCGATGACGATGTCTTCAGTCGGGACTCTGGTCACAGTGCACGGAGCAGCCTGAATTCATTCCAGGACCTTTCCAACCCGGAGGAAATGTACAGCCAAAAAGCACTTACATCTCCAACGGTTGGGGAGGAAGCAGCTAGCAGCCAGGAGGACGATGCCATTTCTCGCATCCCCAGCGGAGGGTCGTATATGCATCCGATACCAGATTCCGGGTTTCAGACGCCAAGCAAAGTCCACTCTCGACCTCCTTTCCGGACACCATCATCGGTTCGGGCGATGCAGATGTCCTCTCCAACCCCATCCATCTTCTCTTCTCCTAGATCAGTGAAGCGTTACCTCCCAACCGTGTCCCGAACTGCAACGCCAATCTCTCACACATCCAAGAACAGAACTCCCACTCGGTTTAAGGCCAAAAAAGAAAATCCGCTCGTCCTGCTGCACGTCACAGTGCTTCCGCTCCAATGGTCATATTCACACCTTCTGTCATCTCCGGATCTTCCATCAAGCTTGGACAATCTGAAAGACAGTTGGAGGCTGCTCCAAGCAAAGCTAGGAGATACGGTCCTCGAGCGCGGTGTCTTGCTTCCACATCCACAAGACTCGTATGAGGTTCTTGAAGAACGCCTCCTTGAAGCTCTCGAGCTGCCTGTTCGTCCCAGAGCATTGATATTGAAGTGTGGTCACTACATGGGCCCATTAGAAACCGAAACTCCATCCTCAGACGACGAAGGTAGTGATTATCGGAGGAAGAATGGAGAGCAAAGAAAATGGTGTGACATCTGCCAACGAGGGGTTAGACTCGAGAACGGAGAGGAGAGGGGAAGGAAGAGGTTCAGGGTTAAGATTTATGCAAGTAATGGATTGATGCATGCTGGTGCGTGGGCCGCGGCTTGGAGGGAGATGGAAAGAGTCGATGTAGAAATTGGGCCGTGGGTTGAGCCTGATGAACACATTGAATTAGAGAAGCTATCCAAAGCACAGCGCGAGCCTCCAGTTGAAGAGGAGAATGATGATGGATTTGTGGATGAGGACATCGACATACACCATGTCCATGAGCACATGGAAGACGAACACGAGCAAGATCATCAACCGAGTGACCTACTGGAACGGCATCCTCAGGACGATAACCTATTTCGGCAACCTTTCGATAGAGAAAGCGAGCACCAGGAGCATGTTGATCATCAAAGAAAGATCGATGAGGACCATGAGATGATAAATATGTTGGCAGAGGAAAGAATGCGAGAGGTGTACGGGAGTGAACCTTCTCCCATGGAACGACCCCAGTCCTCGCGACAAGGCAAATCCAGAGCCAGGATCAACGAAGACTCGCTAGCTGATCTATTGCTCGCTGCATTCAAAGTTGCAATGAGAGATCGGAAGAACGTAGCCATTCTTGTACTCAGCCTTCTGGTGCTGATACTTGCGATTAGACCGAGGATGGTCGTTGAAACCGAATTAATGATTCCGATTGTGTCCACCGCTGTGCCTGACATTCTTCCAAACACCGCACGACATGCTGCTCCTGGCGCAGTGGAAAATATTAGTGTCGCTAATGTCGCAACAATGGCCCCGTTGGAAGTCTTAGATGCGGTAACAGAATCTTTATTATCGGCATCGACTACTGAAATGGCAGAGCAGATGCCGACCCAGGTTGCGCAGGTGCAAATGGAAAGGCCGGTAGATATCGCTCCGGAAGGCGAGGAAATCCTGCAGAAAGTACCTGAAGCGGTGCAGCAAGACGAGCCGTTGAAAGTTGATACCGAGCATAAAGATGATACATCTGACGAGGTTCATAAGCTCGCCAAGGATGTTGAGAATAATATTCCAGTAGACTCGAGGGAAGACAACTACGAGCCACCTGTTGTTGAGATAGAAGTTGATTCTTCGACTTAATTCCTCCAAATAGCCAATAGAAACACATCTATCTCGGCAGCCACAACCCTGGACCGCCTCCTAGACCGCCTCGTTAGACCTTGAGGTAGCGCAGAGGGGCCGAGAAGCAGCGAACTTTGCAATTGGAGAAACTGTTCGGCAAATTTTAATGAGAAAAGGAAATGATATATTGAAAGGTGTCCGGTCAATGTCCCCTATTTGAAGATATCAATTTGAAACTTGAGCGAGCGAAGCGTGGTTTTTTGTGTTCTTTTCCGGACACTTGGATGAGCGATTGGAATGTTTATTACGGAGTGGGACTGTAGTTAATGAAACCGAATCATACCTTGTTAATGAATCTTCGGAATTGATGAGATATAACAGTAGCAATAAACCTACACTCTTATATCTATAAATGACACCTCCTCTGCAACCTATCTCTCATCTTTAACTGTTAATATCTTTATGCATAGTACTAATAGTGGTAACTGCTCGTTAAAGTACTGTACTTTGGGCACAACTTGTTTAAGAGATATCCCCTATGTCCTTCTCGCCATCCCACTCGTAAATATCGGCGCTTCCCTCATTGCCGTCCAATCATGAATCGCCATCGTATTCTCATTGTTAACGATAACTTCCTTATTCCCTCTTGGCCATAGCTCCCTCTCATATTTGTTTACTGCAGCGGCGAGTTCTGCTGGTGTATGCTCTTTCATCTCGCGGAGATGAACAAGCAAATCGGCCGCGTCAGTGATAGCATTGTTGAGGCCCTGGCCACGATCTGGTCACCAGACGTCCTGTTAGCTAGAGCAAATTTAAAAGAGGGGGTCTCCTTTTAAATTGGGAAAGCGAGACAGGATTTACGGAAAGTCATCGGATGTGCAGCATCGCCCGCTAACGTCACAAGTCCACCTCTGTTATCCCATGGCTTGGTTGGCCAATAGGACAGTCTACTATGCCATACCAGTGTCCCCTCTGGGATGGTCGCAAACGCTTCGTTGAACGGATAGCTAAAGCATTTACCACGCTCACATATCGCTGGTAAGATATTGTCGCCTTTCAGGCCAGTGGGCTCGTCAGATAGCCAGGTTTGCATTAACATCCAGGTCCAGTTAGCTGGGTCTGGCTCCGAGCAATCGTGGACAATAGATTTGTTAGCCTGCAGATTTGAAGATGGCAAGATGGTGCTAACTTACTACTCTGCCAAACGAAGGTTCCATTAGGATGAACTGCGATGGAGTTTTTTGGGTGAAGTGCTCGCAAAGCCATCGAGGCGTCTCGGCTCACTTTCGTTATAATGACGTTGGCGACAGCAGGTGATGGCAGGAGGCTGGCTTCTTCCTTGCCAAGGAGAAATTCCCGGGTGGGAGAATGTGCTCCCTCAGCTCCAACAAGTAGATTGCCTGTTTCTTTAGTGCCATCTTCAAAAAATGCTGTGACAGTGTCTTCGGCTGTCTCAATATATTTGAGTCGTTTGTTCCACTGCAGTTGGTTAGTTGTGAGAGTTTTAAAGCACTAGAGTCGCCTACCTTGACATCAATACCATTTGAGAGCAACTCTATGAACTTTTTTCTCCTGAGGCGGACACTCCATGGTGCAGGTAGATTCTTCAACAGCTCCCCTGTCTCCCCATTGTGAACTGGCATAACGCTGTCAGCTACCGGTTCATAATTCGGGGATGTCTGCACTGTCTTTAGGAGAGGCCAAATATCTTCGGAGAGGCATTCATGGAGACGAGACCGAGCCCAATACAGTCCAAAACTCCAATCTCGAGGCCGCTGGCGAATGTTTGTGTCCTGCTCAAAAACAGTGCATGGAATCCCAGCCTGGACGCATTAACCAATGGGGATGACTATTGGGACAACATTCAAACCTGCTTCAAAACCTGGGCGACGAGAAGGCCGGCAGATCCTAAAAGGCCATAGATGAGGTTATACGTGCTGTAAAGACTAGAGTAGGTGCTTACCAGCCCCAACGATCAGAACACGTAGAGATTGTGGATTAGTACTCATGTTGCAAGTCAAGGTGCATTAATGAACAGTGTAGTTATTGAATAGTGATAAAGTCAGGATTGCCGCATCAAAACTGGATAAACCGATGGGCCAATGCCTTGTATTAATCCCACCAGGCCACTCGGTTAATTAGGCATGTATGGGAGCTTCATTAGTCGCTACCCCCGATCAATCCTCAACACAATTCGCATTTGGAGACATAGGGAAGTCACGATAGTTGATAGAATATCACTAATTATGAAACAATGAATATACCACACCAGACCACGTGGGGCCCAATTACTGGTTGAGCTGGTATCACTGCAGTGTCTAGGGTATTTAATACAAGCCCTCGGCATGTTTATGAGAATAATTGTGTAACCATTGATCATTGTGCAACACCACTATCATGATATCACACTACACCCTTTAAAGGGCGCATGGTGGGCCTAACATTGCTCTCTTCCTTCATTAAACAACAAGTCCTAGCAAGTCGATAAGTTGGTAGGAAGCAGCAATAATTATTTATCTGCGAAACCGACAAGGGAATCTCTACTGCGGCCATAAGTACCTGCCTTACCTTAAGTATATAGAGCAAATTAGTCTACCAGCCTAAGGCCGTTACAACATACTTTTCCAACCGTAGCAACCGCAGTTTCATTTAATACCGTGACGGAATTTGCGCAAGTGACGCGGCAGCGTAGCAATGCCTACTGCAATATTGGCAGAGAAATAAATATAAAGCTTGAACAAACGTGGCTGAGGTTGGCTAAGCCAGTCAATTTCAAGGTGAAATAGGCGAAACAACAATATTCTATACATAAACACAAGGCACTGATATATGTTTCTAGACCTATTCCTTACCACTGCGCCACTACTGCCAACATTAGTGGTCGTGGCCGTGTGAGCTGCGCCTTGGAAAGTCTTGTGTATACTGACTTAAAGAGGGTCGAGAGCAGAGGAAAGCACTCACAATGTACGGAGGCTCTATCCCTCACCTGGGTTATGCTCATCGGTAGGGCTTTCCGCAACGACCCCCAGCAGTACTTTCGCCCGATGCGAGATCAGCGATACCATAAACTTATCGCCAGCTTCAAGCAAGACTCACATATTAACAGACCCAATAGCTAGGAGCTCCCCTCACAGCGTCCATTTCGGAGACTGGCTCGACCAGCTAACGGTCTTCGCCTGTTATTGCAACTTGCAGCAACTCAAAGTCGACATAACGGTCGATCTCGGGACCGAACTTGCAGCCGTTTGTTGTCATCGCACCAGCCAAAGGGGGCATTTGAAGCTACAGCAAGGGGCGTCCTCCACCACGGTGGGTCCGTGAGATATATACTGGGTACGAAGTAGTAATGAGGACCCCCTTTGAAACTCCGAGGGTGATCATGAAATGATGAACGCTAACCGAACCGCGGGACCGGCACTGGGAGTTGTCCGGCTAGTCCGGCGGAAGAAACTTTGCAGTTGGATGTGAACATGTGGAATAACCATTTTGCTGGCGATGGGCTCGAAGCAGGAGCACACATGCGCCATAAAGAACTTATTAATAACTCATTCGAGGAGCTCCGCATCTGTGGCTCTGTGGGAGTCCTCGCAGGTTTGCTCTCGAGCACCAGGATTCTGGGAGTCCGAGAGTCTCATTAATAAGATTGCGCCCTCGGCAAGTGGCAAGTGAGACTGGCTGGCCACCGCGAAGGGGTTGAAGACCGCAAAATAATATTATTAACAATACTAAAGGGGAGGCTTTTGCGTGTTGTATTTCTCTGGTCATCTGAAGTACAGTAGATGGGAGGGTGTTGAGATTGATATCGATATTTTGACATTGATATGGACATGGACACTGAGTATGATAATGATATTGATATCGATATGCACAAACACGGCCCAGGATGGTCAACCCACGTGATCGGAAATGGGGCAACTCAGAGGCCTTTAGTCAGCCAGGGGTGATGAAAACCATGGAAAAAGCATGAAAAGCGTGAAATAATGAAATAATGGCTACTTTCGGCCTGTGATTTCACGCGAAAAGAGCGAAAACAGCGATAAGCGAGGAAAATCCAGCCCCTTACGCAGTCCGCCCACTACCCGTTTAAGGTTATTAATGAATTGCACCACGAATTGTACGCGGATGCACCGGCCATTACGGAGCAAATTGTACCTTTCATTACTCGAGCAGCAGCTCGCTTCCAACCACCAACCACCAACCAGCAATAGCTCCCTTTTCTTCATTTAATTGCTCCATCATCATCTCACCCCCCCCCCCCCGAATCCGATTCTCCTCGTCTTTTGTCATCCTTCTTCTCGCAATTCTCTCCGTCCTCCTCCTCCTATATCTCCTCCTCCTCTTGCTCACTTCCCGTTCCCTCCCCTTTCTCTTTCCGTATCGCGCTCAAAGTCCAACTTCCACTCCTTTGCGTCGCTTCGTCTACAGTTATCGCTCTAGTTGCACCGTCTGCGGAAGGCCGGGGGTCTATCCGTTCGAACTACCAGAACGCCCCGTCGAAGACACTCCTTCATCGCGACAAAAGCATAGCTGGAGGGGGGTAGATTAATTGTCAATATCTGAGACTGGTAAGAAGATGCCTGGTTTTGGTCAATCCTCTTGTCAGCGTCGAGTCCCTTGCACCAACTCGGTAGCTGGCGGCGCTGTCTCAAGCTTTCTCCAACCTCCGAAGTCGTGAGCTACAACAACTTGGTTGCGAGCAAACCATGGCAACCCTCGATCGATGCGCAACATACTTTCACTTCTGTTACCCGAGATTGCTCGTCGCTGACTTTGGTTGCTTTATTATAGACTCTGCGCACGGTCTTGCTACTTCTCACTGCACTGCCGCATCCGCCTAACCTGCGCCTCGCTGATCTACGACATCATTATAATAAAATCTACAACCCAAGCGCATCCGCCCATGTCCTAGCTCTAGAACAGAAATCTACATATTTCTGCTCTAACAGAAGACCCAGCCCATGACCACAATGCCTCAAAGACTCCCACGAAATCCGTTCGCCAGCTCTACCAGCAGTGCGGTTGCCATACCCTCCGCAGACAAGTCCGCCCACCGCAGACCATCCACCTCGAAAGGCAACCGACTCGCCCAATTCTTCTCGTCCTCGCCCAAGAGCAAGGAGCAGCAGTCTGCGCAAGCGGCACTGTTATCTGCGGTAGCAGCCCAACAACAGCATCTCCTTAATAACCCCTCTCCACAAATCAGCGCGCCCTCCTTGTCATTGCCTACCATCTCCCTGTCTACTGCTAAAGCCGGCGAAGCCAACATGGATGAACCCCCAACCACTCTCTTCCAGCCGCCATCGGTCGCAGAAGCGAAAAGACAGGCCAAAATCGATGCTCAATTCGGACCTCTTGGGAGCCAGAACCATCGATATGTCAGTAAGCATGTGGGCGGAGAGCTTACCGAACCAGTTATGGACGAACCGCCCTACTATTACCTCTTGACAACATACATCAGTTATCTTATCCTAATCATATTTGGTCACGTAAGAGACTTCTTTGGAAAGCGATTTAAACCGGAACACTACAGGCATCTCCAACCAGCCAATGGCTATGCTGCTTTAAATAGCGACTTCGATAATTTCTACGTGCGGCGGTTGAAGCTGAGGATCGAGGACTGCTTCGCTCGACCAATCACAGGAGTTCCCGGCAGATATATTACCTTAATGGACCGAAAAACAGACGACTTCAACAAGCATTTCCAATTCACGGGCACCTACACCGAGACACTGAACATGAGCTCATACAATTATCTTGGATTTGCCCAATCAGAAGGCCCTTGCGCAGATTCCGTGGAGGAGTCCATCAAGAAGTATGGGATTAGTTCCACTAGTCCTCGAGCTGATACTGGTACCTCCGACCTGGCCCTAGAGGTGGAAGATAGAGTCGCAAAATTCGTCGGTAAGCCAGCGGCGATGGTATTTTCTATGGGCTTTTCTACAAATGCTACCTCGTTCCCTGCTTTGGTTGGCAAGGGCTCGCTCATCATCTCGGATGAGCTGAACCACGCATCTATCCGCATTGGAGCTCGACTCTCCGGTGCAATGATCAGCTCGTTCAAGCACAATGATATGGCCGACCTGGAGAAAAAATTAAGGGAGGTCATTTCCCAAGGACAACCTCGTACGCACCGGCCCTGGAAGAAGATTTTGGTGGTGGTTGAGGGTCTTTATTCCATGGAGGGGACAATGTGCGACCTGCCGGGTCTGCTGAAGCTCAAGAAGCAGTATAAGTTCAATCTATTTATCGATGAAGCTCACTCTATTGGCGCCCTGGGTCCGCGCGGCCGTGGCGTTTGCGATTACTTTGGCATCGACCCCTCCGAGATCGATATCCTGATGGGTACATTGACGAAGTCCTTTGGCGCCAATGGAGGTTATGTTGCAGCCGAGAAGCACATTATTGACAAGCTACGGGGGATGAATGCGGACACCCTATATGGCGAATCACCCACCCCACCCGTCCTCACACAGATTGCGACCGCACTGAAAATCATCTCTGGTGATCTATGCCCAGGGCAAGGTGAAGAGCGTCTTCAACGCATTGCGTTCAACTCCCGGTACCTTCGCCTTGGATTGAAGCGGCTAGGATTCATTGTATATGGCCATGACGACTCGCCGATCATTCCCCTTGTACTATACAATCCCGCCAAAATGCCTGCCTTCTCCCATGAAATGCTCCGGCGCAAGATCGCCGTTGTTATTGTCGGATATCCTGCTACACCACTGATCTCTTCTCGAGCCCGTTTCTGCGTCTCCGCCGCTCACAACAAGGATGATATGGATCGAGTCCTCGCTGCTTGTGATGAAATCGGCAATGTTCTCCAGTTGAAGTTCTCCACCGGCATCGCTGGCGGCGCCGAGCACCTCCCTGATGGTGTTACCCCTGAGATGGAGGCAGAGTGGCGAAAAGCAAACGGCCTTCAAGGGGTCGTTAACGCCCCGCGCTGGTCGTTACGGGAAGTCATCGCGAATGGCGTACAAGATGTGAGACAGCCGCTACGGTGATTTTATCACCACCATATGATTCAAGCGCCTTGATAAGGCTGTCAAACTTGTCAGGATCGTTACTAGACAGCCCTGTCTAGCGCTCGGCTTCTCGGCGGCCTGGTAGTTCCTCAGGGTGCTTATGGGATTGTGGTGCAGTCAGGTGCACCATGTCCACTTATCGAACAAACAACTAGGCCTGGCCTTAGCGGTCAATCCACGGCCTCTTCACCTGTACATAACCGTTTCTTTACCGGTTTATATTCTATTCGTGGCGCACGCAAACATATACCCTTTGCAGTTGTTGCCTTTCATTACCCCGAGGTCAACGGGGCTTCGGGACCATCTTTTTTCTCCTTCATATTTTGAGACGAGCCATCCTTGGCTCTGATTGCATTAACACCGGCGTTGGTACAAAACAATTGCCCCCACACTCGCTGAGAAGACCGTTTCTGTACAGGGTTGTATACTCGGAGTGAGTGGATGGAATGGAAGGGGTAATTGCTAATAGTTTAATACTACACATACATGGAGTGATGGGGTTTGAAATCATGGGATGAATGGATGAGCGGACGGTCTGTAAATTAGATGGTTGGGCATGATGTGCTCAAGATGGCCATTGGAGGGTTGTAGACCGATAGCTGAAGAATAAGAAAGTGGTCTTTCTCCATCTACTTGTGCCAAGATACCTGTGTTCTATTTGTGACTGTACCTTTCCCCCCCTTACGTTACAAGACACCGCTCATTTTCCCCTGCCCAAACCTTCGGCTTTCGAGGGACTGCTTGATTGTACTTCGCCAACGGCTTCCCGTCGTCGGGGCTGAGATGCCAAACGATACGAGTACGAGAAAATAAAAATATATCACACGACCTCTCTCCATCCGCCACAAACCTCTACAAACACATGTATGTCTCATTCCATTATATTCAAACCCCCTCGGGGTTTTTTTTTCTTTTCTTCTTCTATTCTGGCAGGTTACCCAAAATAGGAAATCAAATCGGGACAGTTTCCGGGGGGACCAAGATCTTGCACGTCCGATCTTGCGGATACGGCTATGTATGTACGTAGCCCGTATGTCGTGTTTTCTCGTGTATCCTTTCAACGTGTGTCGTTGAGAGCCCATAACCCAGCGATATGGGTAGCTACGTAGGGGTTTTTTCCCTTTCGGTTTTCTTTTTCCGGCGATCTGGCAAGCGTGTATGTCCTGTGTGGAATGGGGATAGGGAGAGGTTACACGGGGCTATTTGCAATATTCATGTTTACGAGCATGTGCTGATGATCCAGTATCTGGGCTACCTATCCTATCGGTTGTCATGGAGTGTCTCCTGGCCTGCAGGACCCCAATCGAGTGGTTTTGGCAGCGGGATAGGACGCCGGGCGATTTGGAAGCTAATGGATGTTACACAGCGATGGTGGCGAGTCTGGTGTTCCAGGTGTCAATTTTAGCCACGGTATGGTTGTACGACTGAACTACGTATTATGACTGATGGTGTGCTGGATTGCCCGAGTCCTCTGGATCGGTCAAATGGTGCCATGCTGATATACTCCACAAACCCCGTACAAACCCCGTACCAGCAGGGCGACACAAGAGCAGAGAACTCGGGCGGCGCCTCTCCGTCTTGGCTTGCTGTTTCTAGCCTGGGAAGGTTTTACGAACTGAGATGTCGGATATGGGCCCTTATTATTCAACATCATGCTATGCTGTGTATTGATAGCACTGGCAGTATTGTGCGGACCATGCGAACTACACAAGGCTGGATGAAACCTAAGCAGCCACGATTCGGAATTGTTTTCTCTTTACCCGTTGGGCTCGTAACGCGTCAGAGCGGTCAGGCCCAGCATGATTTGCTCTGACGGTGACCAGAATTTGAAGATATTGTAAGCGCCAACACCGAGTTCCCGTATAGAGAGCAAAAGGATCTCGATGAGGCTCCGGGTGGAGGCCTGCGGTCGGGGCCTTACCCTTCGTCAGCAACAACCACCGGCTATAGGGAATCAATGCACTGGCTTCAACTGCAATCATAGTTGGGGCAGGCGGGTAAGAATCTGAGAGCGGGGATAAAGGAGTAACGAGCGAGTTGATTTGATTTGATATCCACTGGGACTCCAAATTATTGTATTGTGAAGAAGCATGCGGGTTGTCGTCTGTGGCGGCGAACCATCGGCTGCGAGTTGTGACACCCCGTACACCGTGTTACCTTGAATCTTGAGAGGATGGGAGCAGAATGCATATTGATTGATGGTGGGAAGAAACTCAACTGCCGCTTTCATGTACATGTAAGGTATGCAGTTGAGGATCTTCACCGAGGGTCTACTCGGACTCGGTCAAGAAAATAGGAAATGGATGGATGAATGCCACGACGCCCGGCTAACGTATGAGCAAGGAGGTGCAGCGAGCTGGTGATGGACAGACGGAGTTTCACCGTTTGCAGTTTGCAGTTTGCAGTGATCGAAGATCTACTTGGATGATTCTCTGTGGTGGCTTTTCATTCGGTGTTGGGCGAGTTCCAGCGGTGGCTGTGTATGGAGGAGGGAATGAGAAAGGATTTCAAAGAAAGTGGTTCGCACATGGTTCGCATCAGCCACGAGGCGGTTTAGGGATAGGGGGGAAGATTTATAAGCGGCTGCGTGCTGCGGCCTCACTGGGGTCGTGTCACATGACCGGCGCCGTAACTTATCAAGGGATCTCGGGATTCTCTGCTTCTTCTGCTTCTTCTGCTTCTTCTGCATCGCTCCGTATCACACACGGTCCCAGCCACTCGGCCGCCTGCAGACGCGTCATATTTCATACATCGATATCGATCTCTACAACGAGGACGGTCTGGTCGGGTCGGATCTGGTCTGGTCAATAATAATGGCGCTCCCTCACGAGACGACGACCAAGGCCGCAGCCAGTGGCACAGTGGCACAACAATGGACAGCCAGTTGAACTCGTCTCCGGGCGGGGGCTGCAGCCTGCACGCCCGCAGCACTTCGCATGAAATAAATTGGTCAGCACTGCACTAGATATGGGCGCGATGGGCGATCTCGCAGTCGCAGTCGCAGTCTCAGTCTCACTACTGCTTCTCAGCCGCGAGCCGCACGCTCCGCAATTGCAGTCTGGCTGGCTGGAGCAGGGCGAACTGGAAGGCAGCCTGTGCAGCGCTTTACAGCCTCCAGCAATTGAGCCGTTGTGAGTGGCTGCCTAGCTGCCCTACGTATTCATCACAACAAGGCAACTGTTGCACGGAGGTTGCCTCTGTTTCCCGCGCCCACCTGATCGCGGAGCTTAAGACTCATAATTGCAAAAGTCCTCGCACTTCCATCGGGCGCAGGCTGCTATGGCTGCTTTCTGCTGGTGGTACCCGGAGCCGCGCTGGAATGCAAGCCGCTATCGGTGGTTATTGGTGCCAAAAGCATGTCCTCGAGTGGCTATTAGGTAGGTGTGAGATAAAGTAGGTACCTAACTTACCTGTCTCCTCGCGGTGATTCCAAAGCGTAGGTCCGTACTGTATTAATCAGACCCCATATCATCATGCATAACTTCTGCTGCTACTCGGTCACTGAAATCGAGTCATCCTACTGGCCCCCCCGCCCACCTCCTCAAAACTCTCCAGCTTGAGGTTAATAGTCGCCCTGTGGAACTTAGGAATTCGTGTTATTAACCTTATCAAACGACTCCGCCACCACACTCATGCTTCAAAGACCAAGATTTTCCACATCATAAGAACCATCACACCCCCGTTTTCCCGCTTGGTTGTAACTCCCAGTCGCCCGCCTCACTTTTTCATCAAGCAAACTCCTTGCTTGCGTCTCCCCCAACACGCCAAACTGTAAGGCTGCCCCGGATCGTCCAACGCGGCAACGGAGTTTATCCTCCAGTCTGCCTATAACAAGGCTGGACCCCTCCTCGTCGCCCGACCTTGATCACCGACTTTTGATCACCAACCTTCCTGTTCCACGTGCTTGATACTCCATTGCCTTTCTCGAGATACGTTGCCAACAGTTGCAAATAGTTGCAAACAGTTGCCAAATATGTCTGGTCCACAACCACCCCCACCTCCTCCGCCGCCGGGAAGGCAGGGCGGCCCGCCTCCAGGAGCCCATGGACCTCCTCCAGGAGTAATGCGGCCCGGCCCTCCTCCAGGTCATCCATTCCCACCCCAGATGCGCCCGCATGTCAATTCTACCCGGGTGGTGGACATTAGTCCCCAGCCCGTCCTGGACGAAGCCGCTTGCAAGAAGAATTTGACTTCGTACCTCGTTTATACCATGAGGAAGGCTATACCGGCGAATAAGAAGGAGATCCCGTCTTGGGCCCGAACCGAGGTGGTGGAGGAGAAGCTTGCCCAAGGCGAAATCACGAAACAAATCAAGAGGTTGAATGAGTCCAAGAAGAAGTCGGTCGCCGAAAAGAAGGCCGCCCTGGCTCCGTTCCAACAAGGGCAGATCTCGAAGCTGATGGATGAACTGGCAACTAAAGAAGTGGACCCAAATTTCGAATGGTCCTTGGTGCAGCTTGACAGAGAGGAGCGGTCCGCGAAGCAGCCGAGCAAGAAGGACAAAGACAGCAAGGTAGCCAAAAGGGAAACCACCACCATGACTGTATATGTCATGCGTACCCCCCTGGACGGATTAAATCCGATCGTTCTTCACCAGCACATCGAACGGATGAGGATGGAGAGGTTTCAACAGCAAAATCGCCCGCCTCCCCCACCAGCAAATCAACAGCAAGCTCGACCCCCTGGACCACCTCAGCAGCAACAAAACCAACCGCAACGCCCCCAGCAACAAGGCCCCCAGCAACAGCAAAATGGCGGGCGAGGAGATGCTGGCGGTCCGCAAATTATTAATTTAGGAAGGACTGGATCCAAAAGCCCAGCAAGGCGACGAGAGACGAGATATCATCATGACAGCTCGAGCACTTCATCTATGACCGACTCGGATTCTGAGAGTGGTTCGGAACGGAGTTCTTCAAGCTTCACGACGCTTAGCACCAGCTCGAGGGGCAACAAACGGTACCATTCCACGAAACCTAAAGGCAGTCCAGCCGGGCACCGCGTACACCACAAGAAATATTACGTCGACGACCGCAGTCCCTTGGCCGCCGGTCGGCGGATGAGCGACTTATATGAGGGTGGTCTCCCCCACCGGCCGGCCCATGCACCTGAGGCACCACGCCCAGCTCTGGAGTTCGATCCTGTTGCCGCTGCATATCAAGCTGGCAAATCGGATGCAAATGCCGAAAGATTTGGCCTCGCTGAGCGCGAGCGTTTTCCACCGACTCCACGCCCTGCTGTGGTTGGGCGACCTGTTATAATTGAACAGCCTCGCGCAGTCATCTCGTATGGACGTGAGAGGGACTTCGATGCCCGTTACCCAGAGGCACCCATGTCGCCATACTCCGAGGCCGGGTTTTCAGAGCAGGCAATATCCCCTCGCTACTTGCAGGAGAAGTTCATCGACGGCCCTCGAGAGTACCGCGTTGAAAGACGAGACTTGAGACCTGAGATTCGGGAGTTCCGACCTGAACCTCGAGAATTCCGACCCGAGTTGCGAGACTACCGTACCGAGCCCAGAGACTTCGCCCCTCTTCCTCGGGAATTCCACGACCTCCGAGATGTTCGCGGCCCTGGCCCGGATTACCGCCGGAGAGAGCGGGAGGCCGAGGAATATATGGATAGATCACCATTTCTGGAGCGACGGACCACAGAACCAAGACCGCCTATGACCAGGAACCCTTTCGCCCCAATGCCTCCTCAGCGGCGTTACTGCTCCAGTGAGGAAGGCGGGTGGTAGACAGCATCATCCTGTCTTCGGAATATCTCGTTCTTAGGTTCTCTAGACTGGAACCGCAAGGATTGGTTTCCTTTCGATCATGAAATTTTCTGCGTGTGTATTATTGGTTTTGCGGGCAAAACGCTCTATCAGTTCAGGATGTTAGGGTTGTGGATTATCTGTTGTATTTTATGTGGTTGTCTGTATATGCTTGGGTTGGCGAATTGCCTTTTTGTTATAGCGCGGGGGCCCTGTGAATGATTGACGATTGATGAGATACCGCGATGCCACATGGCTTATGCTTCTGTACCTATAGTACAAGCCCAAAATGTTATAATGGAAACAGTTACATATATTTTTTGGAAACTCTCCACTTACCTCAGAATAAGCAGTATGTATGAGAGCGGGTGCCGATTTTATATGCATGATTTCTTGTAGGCAACGGGATGGGCTTCATGGGGGAATGACCTTTTGCATTGATGCCCGACTTAAGACCTCGATTAGGTGTTATGCATGCTGCGATGCCAACCACGTTGGATTGGGAGAGGGAGCAGGGTGGTGAGAGTGAGTAGTTCAACCGAACTCGGTTGAGAGGTCCGGGGTCCGGACCGGAGTGCTCTGTGCTTCGTAGAATATCGGAGATGGGCGTAGTACATACATAGTACCTTGAAGTCTGTTGCAACAACGATAGCTAATCACCAATGGTCAGACAAGTTAATGATGAACCACATGCTGTGTAAATATAAAGCCACTTGCAAGCAAAAGTGAGTATGTCTTGTATTATTTTGGAGTGGTATGGTGAAGAGTAGTTATTTCACGTGAGATCTAGCCCGCTACCCGCTTCCCGTTCCGTCCGTCTATGGCGGGGTTTTACGGAAACCACCCCACCAGCCCACGTCAACGAGAACAAGACCTTGCTACTACTAATAAATTATCCATCAACCACCAGAACCACCATCAAAACAAACACAGCTCCCTCACGAACCCCAGAAATTCTCTCCCTTCCACACCGAAACGTACATTACATTAGCAATTCATCATGGCTCGTCAATTCTTCGTCGGTGGTAACTTCAAGATGTTCGTGCTTTTCCTGCGGCGGGGTATATTCTGGATATGAGAGAGGAGAGAGCTGATTGTTGCATATAGGAATGGGTCTGTGGACACCATTAAGAAGATCATTGGAAACCTGAATAATGCCAAGTTGGATCCCAGTACCGGTTGGTGATTCCTCCCTATGGCCGTCGTGTGCTTCGGTTTTATCGGGAGTGCAATTGCATACCGCAGCTTTCACTATGTGCAGCTGCGGGGGAAATACAGCATATCAAAGCTCCCTGAACCAGTTTATGTATATACCCTTAAGCAGAAATCATGCTAACAATCCTGTCCACCAGAGGTTGTCATCGCACCCCCAGCCCTTTACCTCCTCCTCGCCCGCTCAGAGCTCCGCTCCGGCGTCGAAGTCGCCGCGCAAAACGTCTTCGACAAGCCCCAAGGTGCATTCACAGGTGAAATCTCCGCCGACCAACTGAAAGATAGCAATATCACCTGGGCGCTTATTGGTCACTCCGAGCGTCGTACGATTCTCCGCGAGGACGACGCCTTCGTTGCATCCAAGACCAAGGCCGCCCTCGACGGTGGCATCGGCGTCATCCTCTGCTGTGGTGAGAGCTTGGAGCAGCGTGAAGCTGGAAAGACCATCGACGTCGTTACCTCCCAGCTAGCTGCCGTTAAGGCCAAGGTCTCGGATTGGTCCAAGATCGTCATTGCCTATGAGCCTATCTGGGCCATTGGTACCGGCAAGGTTGCTACTACTGAGCAGGCACAGGAGGTTCATGCTGCCATTAGAGCGTGGTTGAAGAAGGAGATTGGCGAGAAGGTTGCTGAAGATACGAGGATTATCTATGGCGGCAGCGTGAGCGACAAGAACTGTGGTGATCTGAGCAAGCAGCCTGATATTGATGGATTTTTGGTCGGTGGTGCCAGCTTGAAGCCAGCTTTCGTGGATATTATCAATAGCCGCTTGTGACTATATGCTCATGGAGTGGAGGGTTCACGGCTATAGCGGATGGGGGCCCTGAAAAGCAGGGAGATAGCTTTGCGAATGGCCCTCTACACATAGTCAGCTACTATATAGAAAACATTACAATGGTCCCTACTCTGCCCTGCCTATCCTCCTGCCTCCTGCCTCCAAGTCTTATTTCGGATATGTAACAAATACCATCAGTAAATAATAATATATCTTAGTTTACGTCAATTTATCTTCAAAAGAAGGCATGTACCCCTAACATCACCTACCTAAAACACCTAGCTGCGTGTTATGTCAAAAGAAAAAGGGGTTAGCGACCAAACATCCCCCTAACGTATATGGCCAAATAAGAAAATATCCCCTAACGAGTACAAGGGCGTGGCACTTGGCTAAGTGTGTTCTGGTCAAATTGTACTTTCGTTATCGCCAGGGACGACAGGGACGACAGGGGACAAAAGGGAACAACAAAGCGACAACAAGAAAAGCGACAAGAAAAGCGACAAGAGATGTAGGCATTCGACACCGGGCCGAACTCTTTTGCCATTTTGACGGTTGGAAAATCGATTTTTTAATTTTAGAAAATGGAATAGGTAATTGTAGGATTAAAATGAATTTCCTTGAGGACTTTTTGTTTTGTGCTGTTGGTTTGGCGAGGGGCAGATTGGTAGTCACCGCCTGGATCTTTCCTATTACGTGGATGCCCCAATATATCACATGTATACTTGACTAGAAGGTCGGCATATGCCCGCCCTACCAGCATATTCCCATGGGTATGCCTGGCTATCAATCAGACCTATCCTCGATGCTGTGTTCCAGTCAATTATCCGGGAGCTCTCACACCCGGGATTTCATCCACTATATGGTTCCTGCTCCTGATATTACCAGTAACGGCGCTTGCCGAAGGCTCTATGTACTGGGGATTATAAGGATAGCAGCGATTGTAATACTTGTATGCTTGATTGGCGTAGAGATATTGGAGAGGGGACGAAGGAAAGCTAGCGAAGGACACGAGGAAAAACAAATGGGTCGTGGAAGATCAGATACATGATATCTGCCTAGGGGAACATGCGTTGAAAACCGCGAGTCACCGCAATGTATATCCTTACATGAAATGAATATACATACTCATTTCCATCTCATTCAATTCCACCCGTTACGAGAGTATATCGAAAAACGCCAATGCCAATGCCAATTGTACACAGGCGTACACATATAATACATCCACTCCCTCCCCCCTCTTTTTCATCAGACATGCATACCACCGCCATGATACGGACTCCAAACACCTCTAACACTCTCATTAATACTCTTCACGGGTTTCTTAACGCTCTTCAACTTCTCCCCACTTGCATCCCTCAATAACTCCGCCTTCTTCAGCACCTGATTTGGTTCCAAATTCCGCACGCAGATCGCCTTCTCCCTGCCATTGATGTAGTGTCCTCGGATTACTGGGTGTCTGTTCGGTCGGGGGGAGATGCTGATTTCTATTGAAGGGTTCGCTGACGCGAATTTTTGGAGGTGGTTGCGGATGAATGAGCTGGAAATTGCGTGTTAGGGGCATTCGTAATTACTAGCAGAAAGGGGAGTGGAGGCGATATGGTAGGAAGGGGGAGGGGTTATGTAGAGACGTACTTCATTCCTTTTGAGCTACCGGCCCAGTCGCAGTAATGAAAGTCTAGGCGTTTGCATTGTAGGATGAATGCGCCGACGCCGTTCTATTGGAGTTTGAGCGTTAGATTGTGTATCTTTCTCTGGTAAAGAAGGGGTATGCTGGGATGGGAAGAACGCGTACCTGGCCGGCTGTCACCTTTCTTATGCCTTGCACCACCATTGTGAGAGAGTATGCGATAGTGCCTACTAATATCTTGGAGTACGATTCCTGGTCGTGAAGCTTGATGTCGGGATTAAATTTTGGATCACGTGAATTACCGATGGTGGCTTTTAATATTTTCCGCTCCGATGAATACGTAACACGTGATGCAGCCTCATCTACCAGCAATTTCCTTTCGGGCTGCGACACGAACTGTTTTCCCATCCCTTCATCCTCGCGTCCACTCAAGGACTGGTTTCAGTCATCAATCAATAGCTCCGAGAGCTACATCTTCGGAATCATTTTCAAGCCCCGTGGGTATCGACAAGCAATATGACTGATAAACTCCCCCCCAATCTCCTGGCGCTCTTTGCGCCTCGCCCTGCCTTGCGATGGGTAGCACCTGCGGACCACGCGCCAGAAGAGCGAAAGACCGCGAATATCAGCGGCCTTGCTGCTTTCCTTCCTCAACTCCAAGAAAATAAGGATAAAGACAACTATGTTCCTACGGAGAGCTGGCTACAGAGGAAAGACCGCCTCAAGATGGAGAGAAAGGAACAGCAGGAGAAACTGCTGAAGGAGGGACCTGTCTCCTGTGAGGGCGACCCCACATGTTTATACTACCTTTTATCTTCACCTATTGTCCTCCTATATCCAGGTCGCTTGTTTTGTGATACTTGCTGACGATTTGATGATTGCAGATAAACCTCAGGATGATCCTAATATTCGCGGCGACGCATTCAAGACACTTATTGTTGCGCGCCTAAGCTACGATGCTACTGAACAAGATCTCGAAAGCGAATTTAGCCGATATGGCCCTATTGAAAGAGTATGTGCCCCCTCTACCAATTACTATCCCTACTAACATTACTTGCGCGCAGATTCGCATCGTTGTCGACACGCATCAAGCCGAAAAGCCAAACAAGAAGAAGAAGAAGCACCGTGGTTACGCATTTGTTGTCTATGAGCGAGAGAAAGATATGAGAGGTAAACATCACATCCCCAGAATTCATCCACAGGCTCGTGCAGGAATCCGGAGAGATAAGATTCCATTTGTAAAGATTTGGCCCTCAAGCTGCCTTTTCTCCCTTTCTCCTATTTCATCGCCCAACTCAAGGTATACAAGTATGGGCAAGTGACTGACAAATGCGCCTTGCTTGCGCTTCGTGAACAGCTGCTCTAGAAAATTGTGACGGAGTACGAATCAAGGACCGCCGCATCAAGGTAGACGTTGAACGCGGCAGAACTGTCAGGGGTTGGAAACCTCGCCGATTTGGAGGTGGACTCGGAGGCCGCGGATACACGAAAGCAGTTCCTCCTCGACCCATGGGACCAGGTGGTTTCGGCCCTCCTGGAGGGCCAGGCGGACCAGGCGGCTTCAGAGGTGGTTTCCGAGGCGGCTTTGACGGTGGCCGAGGCCGCGGTGGTTTCAGGGGAGGCTTCCAAGAACGAGGGGGCTATGGTGGAGGTGGTGGTGGAAGAGGAGGTATTGGTTACCGGGGAGGATTTGGAGGAGGTGATCGTGGTGGGTATGGCGGGCCTAACGGACACGGCGCGCCTCCTCCGAATGCACCAGCCGGTCCAGGTGGCCGAGGTGGAGGGGGATACAGCAAAGGAGGATATGGCGGTTCCGGTTCCCCAGATCGAAATGGTCCTGGTGGGTATGACTCACGTGGTAGCGGTCGCTCATATGATGACAGATCTGGCGGCCCTCGTGGCAGTCGAGGTTATGGTGATCGTGATGGCCCCCCACCCCGTGGAAGTGGCAGCAATATGGAGCCGGTAAGACCAAGAGATGGACCAAGGGATGGACCAAGAGATGGCGGATACCGAGACCGGGACCGAGATGGAGGGTATGGTGGCCGACGCGACGACGATTCACGGAAGAGACCTTACGACAGCAATGGCTACGACGAAGACCCTCGAAAGCTGCGAAGGTACTAGGCGCAGTGAGGCATCATCTGGTTTGTCTTGCGGTTTGTTTCTCGGATATTCAGTGTTCCCTCCCTTCATCACCAGGGGTAAGCCAATCTTCGATGCAGTTTCACCAAGGTAATTTTGTCAGCACCTCATATTGCCTTCGTTCCCGGTCTTGCTTAGTCTTACTCGATACAACTCATCAAGCACATCATGGTAAAGCACATTTCGACAGCTCGACTACAGCACCGTCTCATTTCTCTCGGGTTTCTCGCGGTTCGCCCTTTTCGAAAATCGCCTAGTTTACTTTGGGTGAGCTTTGCATTATCTTTGATCTTGGGAGGTAAGGTCAGAGGTAAGAAGGCTATGTACCATCTGACCATTCGACATCTAGCTTGAAAGGATTCTTGCTTGTATTATCACGGGGTGGGTAAGGTGGAAGCGGGTGGTAAGACAGGGTCGGCTCAAGCAAAAAAGCATTTCTTTTGATTCCATAATAAGGTAGCGCCGGTCAACGCCGGCTTCGTCCCTGACTGTATGATATGATAGGAAAACCCAGCAATCGATCTCATAGCGTTCATGACTCCATAGCTTCTATCTCAGTGACCTCACTCGTAGCTGAACTCCAGTATCTGTAAAATGTCAGCCTGAAACGCTCACAAGCTCGCGGGGGAAGTCCAAAACTTACGCAACTAATTGCACCGTGAACTCTGCCGTCGCCACCCCAAATAACTTCAACAACCTCGTCTGCCGACTATCCAACACATCCCCCTCCTTACAAACGGTATACGGATTCTGCAGCGAGATCTTCCCCTTGACCAAACTAGTCGGCATATTCAACCTCCTCAACTCAGGCTCCAAGCTATGTCCCAACGGCACATCCTCCTCAGCCGGGATCTCTCCTCCCATGCTATTCACAATCCCCTCTGGAATGGTAAACTCTCTCGAAGCCGGGGTACCAGCGCGCGCAAAATCCGTCTTCGCCAGCGCGGAGAAATACTCCTTCACAGCCTCGGGTTCGCGGTTCGTGAAGAGCAGCCCAACGTTCCCGACGAGGTGTTTTGAGAGGAGGCGTGTTTGCGGCTGGTATTCGTCCTCTGGTGTGGAGCCGAGGGCTTTGGCCATGACTTTTGTTTTGCCAAAGAATAACCTGTTTTAGATATAAAAAAATATATTTAGCTCAATTTATCCTTCCTCTGTGTATATACTGTCTCTTATACACATCTAGATGTAATTTATCCTTCCTCTGTGTATATATATATATATACCAAGGTATATACAAGATTGAATTGGAGAGAGAGAATGAAAGAAATAGGAGAAAGGAGCACAAACCTGCTATCACTCAAATCACCCCTCACACTCTTCAAATACGTATTCCGCATGTTCTCGACCGAGAAGACGAAGCAGTATTGGTATTCATCCAGACATTCGCGCACATTGGAGAAGAGTTTTAATGTTAGTTCCTTTCCCTTCTTGTCCACCTTACTGAGGTGGACCACTTTGGAGCGCTTGGATTTAGGCATTGTGGTGTATGTGGTTGGTTTGGAGGAGTAGTAGGGCGCGTTGGTGGGGAGTATTGCGGCTACGCTCGCTGTATGTGAAGATATTATTTTTGCGATATCGAGAGGGTGATTATCGGATAAACCTTTTTAAGGTTGAGGCTAGCGGCCGCTTTGGCCCGGGTTGCCGCTTGGACGGGTTCATTTATCGAGGTTGCGGTCTGCAGCGCGGTCCTCGAGGCTTGGATCTTGATTTGGTACGTGTGGATATTTGGGACGAGGCATGTATATTTGTTGAAGTTCAGCAGATATGTTGGAGTTTATGGATTACATCCAGCAGGCGTTCTATGAGGGGTCGCATTGGAATTATGAGAATTCGTATTCGCAGTTGACGGCTACAGCAAGAGGTACGTAAACAAAAACAACCTCCCCGTCTGCTTGATGCGCCAGCAAGGCTTATAATTTTTACAGCTCTCCTTGATTTCGATACTCCGCGCGGCTTGCGCCTAAACCTCTCGTCGCTTTCGTCGCCGAATTTTGCGACGTCCTATGCTATCGGCAGCGTTGGGCTGGTCGATGGCTCGCTCTCGTACCTCTACACCTCGCTTCCCCTTCGGACGACATCGCAAAGCGGAAACGTGGACCTCCACAATGTTATCCGGGGATACAGACAGATTCAAGAGCTTCGCAGAAAAGAGGAGTCATGGATGTGGGAGCGGTGGCAGGGAGGGCGACGGATAGACAAGCGCGATACTCTACTTTATGGACGACTCTACCTACCTCAGAGCACATTAGAGGGCTTATATCTCCGGCGAATAAGTCCGACACAGCAGTTGAAGCTGTCAGTCGTTAGTGATAGCCGCTTGCGCAATGGCGGAACCGTCTTGGCCTTGCATCAGTACGATGTTGGGAAGTACAATGCAGAGTCGTTATATTCGACAGACGGCGGACTCATCGGCTTCCGAGGCCTATACAATTTCGGTCCCGACCCAAGGAAAGAGACGACCGAGCAGCCTCCTAGAATGGATGATCGATTCTATGGCCGCTTCAGTGCAGGTGCGGAGATGTATTACGGCTCGTTGAATAAATCGGGAGGCGTGAGCTTCGGTGGCAGATTTGCTACTCTTCCTGCCCACAAGGGGACGCCCCTCACAGCCACGCTGACGTTGAACCCGTTGATGGGCAATGTGAGCACAACCTATGCTGTGAAGGCCGGGGAAAATCTAGCGTTGTGCTCGAAATTCGACTTCAATGTCTACAGCTATGAGAGCGATCTCATGCTTGGCTTTGAGCTGTGGAGGATGAAGGGGAGATCTGAGCCAAGACGAGAGCGAAGCATTGCTGCAAAGCTTGAGTGGAGAGCGGATACCATCGAGGAAAAAGCTACGCCGGAACCGGAACAAGTGATGGGGGTTCTGAAGGCCCGCATGGATCAGAATTGGAAGATTGGTCTACTCTGGGAAGGCAGGGTAAAGGAATTATTGTTTACGCTCGGGACGTCGATTGACATGAAGAGGAGGGATCAGCCATTCAGGGTTCTGGGGTTAGAGTTGCAGTACTCTTCATGAAGCTTGTATTTGAAAGTGGGATTTCGACAGGCTTGTAGGTTTGTTTGTCATGTCTGGGAGAGACACGCCGCAGGATGTCGCCGGAAATAGGGCGTGGGATGCTAGAAGCCGAGCGGTGTTTGGAGGATTCTCAAGGGCCTTCGGTGGCCTACTACTCTACCATACCCTCTGGGTGTCGATCGGATGAATGGCACCGGCCTGCCTCTTTAGAACACGCCCGCCTTGAGACTTGAGGATATGGCTCGGCGCTGCCCGGTGGAGGGCTGTAGGATGAGGCAATGACCTCATGTGGTTGGATGAGCATGTTTTGAACATGTCTTGGGCAAGGCTTGTTTGATTGGGACGGTAGAAGGGGGGCGGAAGGGAAAGACATTACTCGGGAGTACGAGTCGGGGGGGGGCCCTGATTGAATGCCACGACACACGATAATATGATATGCAAGTTGCACCTTGATGGGTAGCTGGCTGTTTGTCCTGAAGTGAGTGCGCGGTAATCCTCCCTCCTCGTGGTTCCTCCCACTCAAGGAAGAAATTCCGCCGGTGCACGGCCGCAGCGAGTCACGTATACCGTGTGGAAGTGCAGTAGTAGGAAGTAATAATACTAGTACCAGTATCAGACTATCAGTACCAATACCATACCAATACCATCCAAACCCAAGTCTGGGTCGGTGAGGGACCTACGAAGTACGTACTGCGCGGCTACTTCCTCTGGCCGGGCCTCGTTTACTAACTTATATTGCGTGTCGGGCCGGGGATGGGGATGGGGATGGGGATACGGAGTACGAAGTAGGTATGGTATGTATGTTGATTATTCAGTGGAGGCTGATGACATATTAATAATGTAAGCCATCCGGTTTGGCCCAGCCCGACCTCGCCTCTGCTGCCCAACCGGGCCTAGCCTGCCTCGACCGCGTTTCCGAGTTTGCAGGTATCCATCCGGGTGTCAGTGGCCTCTGTTTCTGCTCCATTTTTGCACTTTTTCCCTTTGGGGACTTTTGGGGCCCTTTGCCCATTCTGCGCCCTGGGAACTGGGAACTGGGAACTGCAATCATTTCTTGTTCTTCTTAGGCCTACTTTCATACTGTAGCCTTCTCTAGGTGCGGCTTTTGCCTTCCGCTGTTGCCGCTGACCGTCTTTGTAGCCTATAGGTAGCCTCTAGTCTATGGCCTGTAAATAGTCTATAGTCTATAGTCCATAGTCCATAGTCTACAGTCTAATAATCCCAATGATCCCCATCCCACTCCCAATCTCCTACTACTCACTCACCCCCCCCACCAAATATACCACGCACACTCTGTATTTCCCCAAAAACAAGCCACAACCCCCCCGAGTCCCATTGGCATTGGCTCACATCCCCATTATATTATTATTATTTCCTGCCAGACAATCGACAACAGACGACCAACAAAGCCACGCGCGACAGGTACCTCACAAGGTGTTTTGTGTGTTCCCCTCCCGAATCCCCCTTCACCCTTGTCTCAGGAGCCCCAAACTAACAGCGTCCCTGTTTACAGGCCCTCCTCTGCATCCTATATATATCACATCGTGTCACCTCTATCGGATCCCATCCGCTCTTCAAACACAATAAATACACTTGGTTTCCCAATTTTTGATATTCGACTCACGTCCGATGAGAAGCGAGCCAGGATCTCGACTCACCATAACACCCGATATATTGTATTCAAGCCCCCGAATAAGTTCTATAAGTCACACAAGTCACACAAGCCACGCCATTAAACACCTAAGCCGCGCCAATTTCGTCTTGTTGCGGGTTGGAGGCTGTGGGGACGCGAGGGGAAGCAGCGCTATTAACGTGTGCTCCCGGGAAGACGCAGACAAAGACATCATAACCGCCTCGGATATCAGATCGGTGTTGAAACAAAGCCTTCGGGTCGCTGCTCGATGTCTTCCTTTACCGTCACAGTTGACTGTGACTCTGGAAATGAGTACGATGGGCGCATGGGAGTCCGGATCTCGTCGATCTTCGTCATCGGCTTTGGTTCGATGCTAGGTATGTTTACTCCCCTATCTTGACAACCCCCCTAAAGGGAAGATACATTGCTGACTTATATACACAGGTGCTCTATTGCCAATTGCTGCCGCTCGAACCAGGCGCATGCGCGTTCCACCGCTGGCCTTCTTTATCACAAAATACTTCGGCTCCGGCGTCATCGTCGCAACCGCGTTTATACACGTACGTCATCCCACATCCATCCCCGCCATCAAATGTTATATATTCCCTTCCCAAAGTGACCATATGCTAACCAGAAATAGCTCCTCTCCCCTGCCAATGAAGCGCTGAATTCGCCATGTCTCACAGGCAGCATCACAGATTACGACTATGCGCAGGGAATTGCTCTAATGTCCATTTTTGTCATGTTCTTCATTGAGCTCATGGCAGCGCGTTTTGACATCTTTGGAGAGCAGGCCCATGATCTAGAGGCCTCCGATCCTTCGAGGGACCTGATTAGAAAGGCTGAAAAGGCCCACGATCAGCACTCTACCGATCATAGTCAAGGTGTTCTCGAAGCTGCAGCAGATGGGTCCGAAGGCCAGAAGCACTCTCATGACCGTTCCGACAACTCAGCTTCTATGGACCCGCATTCGCAACCCATGCAGACTATCCCGTCCCGTAAGAGTAAATCCATTCCCGGAAGGGAGGACGACTTTACATATCCTCCCGGGGGCCAAGATCATCTGGGACACCAGCGCGAGCACATGGTGGAGGACGACCATTTTGTAGCGCAGCTGACTGCCATCTTCATCCTCGAATTCGGCGTCGTGTTCCATTCAGTCTTTATTGGTCTCACCCTGGCTGTAGCCGGCGATAATTTCAACGTGTTGTACATTGTGCTGGCCTTCCACCAAACATTCGAGGGCCTCGGTCTGGGGTCCAGACTTGCCACCGCGAACTGGCCCAAGAAGAAAGCTTGGATGCCGTGGGCGCTTGGCATAATATATGGTCTGACAACCCCAATTGCCATTGCCATCGGGCTTGGCGTGCGGGAGACGTTCACGCCTGGCAGCCAGCGCACGCTGATCGTGAACGGTGTCTTCGACTCCATCAGTGCGGGCATCCTAATCTACACCGGATTGGTAGAACTCATGGCCCACGAGTTCATGTTTAATACAGAGATGCGGAAGAGCTCCATCAAGATGATGCTATTTGCCTTCCTCTGTATGTGCATCGGTGCTCTGCTTATGTCAGTACTCGGGAAATGGGCTTGAAAGACCCCCCCCTCTGAGAGATGTTTTGTTGAACCTTCTTTTGTTATACGCATAGCCTGCTTGTAATGACCATGATAATGATCGCGAACGATAGAGCCAGGCTCTATCGCGCGCCTACCCGCTTCGATGAATGCAGATATTGACGTCGTGAAAGCGTTGGTGGCCGGGGTGGTGTGATGTGGTGGTGTGGTGGTCGCGGATTGACGTATGATGGAAAGTTAGATACTGTCAGAGTTTAGGGTTATGTAGTTATATGCCTCCGATATAAAAAATCAGGATAGCCTTGGCATCTCACAATAATATTTGCATCTTTGGTGACCAGTGAAGTTCTTTGCATTCGCATTTCCCTATACGTACCTACGTGTATTAAAAGAGTTAAGCCGAGCTATAAACTAGCTGAGCTGAGCTAGTTGTAGGAACAAATTATTCCATAAGGGTTTTAGAGTAGAAATTACCTTGGTAGGAACCGGATCTTTATAGGAATGAGTAGGGACTGCCACACACTCGTGCACCAATATAATCTATCCTGGCGCCAGCAGCTTCGCGGAACTACCATTTCAATGAGTGCCACTCACAGTACGAAGTATTCGCTTTAGGCTCCGATGCTAAGCAGGATTGATCTTCAATCCTAATAACCTAACCTCAACCTCCACCAAAGGCGCCATTAATCACGGATGTCTCAGCAATTACCCTCGCCGCCTTTCTATGCTGCAAGAAACTGCGTTTCCCCTCCCCTTTAGGAGAGTTTTGACTGAATCCTGAAAACTCCGGCCAGTGGGAATGAGATTTGAGATAAATGTGACGTACCTGCAACTATAGATCATCTTCAATTCGCTCCCCTGGATAATGTCTAGTCATAAAAACTGCCTTGGCAACCAAAGAGCGGACCGCCGAAATAGTTGTGCCATTTCTGACTAGAGGTGAAGCTGTGCATGCTTCGCTCGCGATCGACGAGTTCTTTCGGGGGGGAGGGGGGGGTCCGAGTAGTGCGATCGTTTCTGCGAGATGGATTCGAGCTTAATATCTCTTTTGGCTGCAATTGATATTCTTTGTAAAAAGCCCTATGCCTTCCACATATCCCAGAGCTTCTGTATATCTGCACTGTAGCGCTATCCCGTGCTAAGAATGCCTTCTGGAGCGCGATTGCTATCGGACTGAATAGGATGTATTATTATTTTGGGGGGGGGGGGCGGTGTCTGCTCGCTCTGTGAGGTCGAAGTCCGCGATAAATGGGATGATTTAGGCCCTGAGATGTTCAAATCTCGTTCTGACTAGTAAATTGTATCCCTCTCTAATCTTCCGAAGTATGGGACTTTTAGCTCGTGCCTGACCAAAAATGTTCGGGGGCCCATGGATCTTCGAGGTTCATAAACATATCTCTCGACTTTCGGTCTATAGAGCAGATGAGTTGAGGTTTTTTCTTTTTGGAAAGCACATTTACTAGGTAACGACGGGGGGCCCGATGCCGTGAACTTGACGCAGCCGATGATGCTAGAGTTTAGCAACTTTGAGCGAGAAACGGTACACGTAAGTCTATCTTCGACAATTCCCCCATACCAAACCTTCAGGACCGCGACGAGGTATTTCAATTCGTTTGCCAATTTCATATGAAGCGGCTTCTCCAGCACCGGAAAACAGCATAGAAGCCGAAGAAGAGGCGGAGTCCGAATTAATATACAGAATACACTTTAAAATGGCCATTAACAATTTTGTGATCCGTTCTGTAGATCATGGGCCTTTTGTCCCCAGTTCTAGGGAATTTGGCGCCTTCGAATATCTCGGTTGATGCGAACGGGTCTGTAGCAGCGATCTTGGACTTGGGGTGGACCTTATTCGGACCCGTCTTATGTATTAGCCCCGGTACAGTTCAGCGGTGTAGGATGTGGCGATGCAATAGTAGAGGGTGAGTGCAAGTTGAAAATTTTCGAATCCCGCTTTGAATATTTTGTCAAGATTTTTAAGACAGGACGTTCTACATCATCGGCACGTCAACCGAGGTCCTAATTTACTCTTGTTGAGCCTCACAAGATCTCCAAGGGTAGAAACTTGGGTGAGGCCACTTTCTGGGGCAATCAGCTGTCTTATTATATGATCAGTTCATCGGATCCCTCCGTTACCGTCACAATGGATGATGGGTAGGACCCTAGCCCGGGATTCCCCGTCTAGTAATCCATAATCGGACGCAGCATTACTAATAATTGCGCGATGATTCCTTGCTAAAACGTGACGTCCCAATGTGGTGGTCGGGGCTATTCGGGTGCGGCGCTGGGTCGCCCCGCGATTGGCTGGTCCCTGTGCCATCGGCCCACCACCCCCTGGGCCACACCCGCATCGGCAGATTTAACGCCAAGCGACTCTCGGTAAATCCTTTATTGCTTACGCCCTACTTGGACAATCTCGAGTTCCCCTGGTACAGCAGTACCAAGAACTTTTAATAAAGTAGGTATACCATTGCGAATAGAGCCTATATACGGCCGTGGATGATATCTGGTAAAAGATCGGCAGCTGACACTTATCAAGGAAGTATGCTCCCTTCGTAGATACACAAAGTCGTTGGTGGTCGCGGGAGGCTAATGGGAGGCCGGCGATAGACCGATAAGCGATAACAACCACCACGCCAAGATACGGAAAATTGGAATAATTGGAGAGCGACGCCGATCAATCTAGACCTGTTATCATGAGGCTATTATTTATTACCAAGGCAGGCATTCTAGCTCCACTATAATCTCAAGGCCGCTCCTATCAAGCACGGTTCCGTATTTATCCGCACTACGGCTCCGTATTACAAACAAAAGAAAAAGCTGATGCTCGAGTCGGACGGCCCAAACTCCCAAGTCGACTAGCATTGTTATATCACTGCGTTCGCCGTTTACTCGAGGTTTGAGCATCTCCGCGGATCTCTATGAAGTTGCTCTTTCTACTGGTGCAGAATTGTGCAAACTCGTACGAAGTGTGACGTGGGACATACGATGGCATCCAACATCCTGGTAGGTATAGGGAGTCAGGGTCTTTTTTCGAGGCTGAAGTCTGATTTTCCTCTACGGTACGTACACATTGTCATCTCCTTCAATACAGAGTCTTTCTATATATTTCATACTGCGCTCTGTTTATTTTCCTATTCTCTTCATCGAAGTATACACACATACCATATACCCATACCACAAAACAACTTTCAACAGCTCTCTATCTCTCAACAATCTCGCCACATAGAGCCTATCCTTCGCAAAGATGCAGCACGTATCCGCCTCCACTCTAAACAACTCCCTTCCAGACCGGATAGCCTACCTCTCCTCCTTCCTTAACTTCACCGAGAAAGATGGCGAGGCTCTCCGCGCCGCCAAACCGCTCGTCGCGCCTCTTATTCCCGCTGTCCTCGACGCTGTCTATGAGAAGCTGCTGAGCTATGATATCACCGCCCAGGCGTTCGTGCCAAGGAACACGGGCTATGAGGGCGAGACAGTGAACAATGTGGGTGAGTTGACTATGGAACACCCGCAGATTGCTATGAGGAGGGACTTTTTGAAGGTTAGTTTTGGCGTTTTCATTTCTTCTTGTTTTGATTGGTGGGGGGCTTTTGGGATAAGGCAAAGGTCCGGGGAATGTGAAGATAAGGATGTTATCGAGTGAGGATAAGACAAGGCTGGACGGGCTTAAGAGAAATGGAGTCTCGAAATACCCCTGGGCTGCTTATCTCGCTAGCACCAAAGCAAGAGCACAATTGATCTATAAGAAGGACAATGCATTATCACAAAGAACATCTGCTAATCTTCTCTCCTTAATAGAACTACCTTGTCCGCCTCGTCAGTACCAGCGACATTTCACCCACAAGCTCATTCTGGACATACCTCAACAACGTGGGCACTATGCACACCGGCAAGCCAGGCTTCAAGCACCGACGAAACCGCCCGGATCTGAAAGTTGACTATATCCACATGGGAGCCCTCCTAGGGTATGTCCAGGATATTCTAATTGACGCCGTGATGGATATGGATATCGACCTAGCGACGAAGTCCAATGTGCTGCGGGCTTTGAACAAGATGCTTTGGATTCAGAATGATTTGTTCGCGAGGCATTATATCCCGTCGGAGAAGGCAGAGGAGAGACAGGGCGAAAACGGCGTGGATGCGGTACACCATGTAGAGCACCATGCAGAGGGAGGGGTTGCATGTCCGTTCAGCAGACATTAGATACCTTTGATAGATTTTGCTTGTACTTATAAAGGGAAGAAAGGGCTGCGAAGGCGAAGGCGTTTGGTGATGACAACATCAGTTATACGTAACTAGATAACTGGCGTTCAGGGGGGTTAGGAAGGACAAATCAACTCTGTTTCAACTCGCATCTTCGCCATATATATATTCCTAGACATAACAAGTTTTGCAAATGCTAGTAAAGATCGTGTCAAAGCAGTGTTGGTCAGTCACATGACATTCAAACAGGGGTTGCAAATCTCCTGAGCCGGCCCACCTGTTGATGGAATACCATTACTATTCCACGAGTTTTAATAGATCCCAACCGAGAATAAAGAATGCCATGATTGGTTTCGAGGCATTTTGGATTCATTTCCATTTTTCTGGGATATCTATCAACCAATACCTACCTGCCAAAAGTAACGTCGCTCAGCTAACAACCAAGCCCACCCAAAGAAACACCAAAACCCATATATATGATATTCGTTATCACTCATGGGACTTACTCAGCCGTAGTCCCACACTTTGTACAAACCAACCTCTGCCCCGCCTTTCCGACGACTTTTCTAGCCCGGAAATCCTTCCCACCGCACTTCTTACATACTAGCGCTTCTCCCTCACTCTCCTCGTCTTCCAGCTCGGATGTGTCTTCTTCGCTCGTTAACTTGCTCACCACACTGCCTCCCCTCTGGAGTGATCCCGATATTTCCGTATCTAACTTGGAAGGGTCTCGTGCAGCAGCAGCCTGAGCTTTTATTTCATTTCGCCACGATGAAGGATTCCAGAATTGATAATTTTTGCCCGAAGAATCGATTTTCAAGGCGTTCTCGTCGCTAGCGCTTTGGAAATGGAAGCTTGGAGTGGGGGGTTGACTGAGATTACGAGTCTTCGATCCGTAAAGACTTGGGGGAGGGCTTATCGTGGAGACGCTCGGAGTTGTCTGCAGTAGTGCCCCCGCGTATGGCTGCTGGCGAGCTGCGCTTGCCAGATTATTCTGCGATTGGATAGATACTCTGCTGAATTTCCCAGGGGATACGCTGCGATCGCTTCGGGACGACCTGGCACCGTTTTTAATGCTGTTATTATCCAACACATGGTTGCGCCATGATAATATGTGATCAGATGGCATATGAGGGCCTCCCGTGGAACTTTGGGAGGCCGAATTGCGGCGGGAATGAGAGCCACCAGAATTCTTCGTCATTATAGAGCCGCTACGACCGAGCATTTTCTTTGAAAACGCGGATCCGGTCTCCCAGTTGTTTTGAAGACGCTTTTGGTGAGCACTAAAGGATTAGGTCAGCATTTCATATTTTTCGGGAGCAAACAGAACAATTAAAATAAGCAGGAAAAAGAAGGGAGTATCGAGGAAAGCGTATATCATACCAGTCCTGGCGGAATACCTTGATATTTCCCAAGTAATCCGCTGTAATAATGATATTCCCACCCGGATGTATACATCGCGCCAAATATGCTGGGGATTCCTCGGGTTTTTTGATCGGTGGCTCGTTGAGGGGATCCGAATGACCCCTTTCCGACTCGGTACGAGGCGTAGCAGAGACAGTTGACTCTTCTCGACTAAGCAGCGTCACTGGAGGTGGATTGCAGAGATCGTATATAGGATCGCCCGAAGCACTGAGCAATTGTCTGGCCTTGGTCGGAGCAATGACCGCAGCAGTAACCATATCTGAGTGGGCTTCGAACATCTCGAGGGGGCGCTTGTCCTTATTTTCAGAATCGGCCGGCCCAGTGGTCCATATATAAGCTTTTCGGTCCTCGCTCCCACATATTACATACCGCGTATCATCGCTAAAGGTGGCATTTATTTGGCTGCAAGTATTTTCGTGACCCCTGAATTTCATCTCCAGGCTCTTATCGCGGAGGTTGTACATGCGGACTCGAGAGTCGTTGCTGGTGATCAGTATCTTGATATCCGCTTCTGACTCGCCTGGGGGAAAGGTCATGGTTCGAATTCCAGTAATCTTGCTTCCCTTGGCGTTCTTGCCCCGCGAAGACCGTACATGGATTTGGGTATGGTACTTCAAGCCCTCGGTCTCGTAGAACAGACAAAGGCCGCTGAGGACACCAGCCATTGCAATTTTGCCATCGGGGGAGAAAGCTACAGCTGTTATGAGATCCGGGAGCTGGTTCCAGAAAGCGACGGACTTGTCGGGGATGCTCCATAGCCTCAAAATAGAATCCAGAGATCCGGCCAAGAAGAAACGGTCATCAGTAGGGTGAAATGCGATCGTGGTGACAAAATCTTTGTGCTTGAAAGTACAAAGACATTCTTGCCTGCTGGTATGCCACAGTCGCACAGTTTTATCCATTGACGACGAGAGCAGGAAGTTGTTCTTACTCCAACTTAAGTCCAATATTTCTCCTGTGTGCCCCTCGAATTCCCGAACCGGCTTTGACCTAAAAACGGGCGCATTCAAACGCTCGCCCTCTGTGGTGCTCGAAGATACATCTTCCTCATGCTCGTGAGCCTGCCTCTCTTCTGCGGTAGAAATTACTGCCCAAATTCTTACGACTTGGTCTCGGCCGGCAGCCGCAAGATATTTGCCATCTTTGCTGAATTCCATTGCCCATATTGCTCCACCTGATTTAGGTAGTTTCGATAGCTTAGAATTCTGCGGTTGCGCCTCTGTCGTAGCTATCCCAGGAACCTTGTCTTCACCCGGTGGAGACTTTGTTCCGCTTAACTCTTGAGATAGAAACATGCGGTTAAACTCCCTTATCTTCTTGTTATGTGCTCGGACTTTAATGTACCTAGGCGGCTCTTTATGTTGCGGTATATATCCATTTGCTCCTACGGATGACGAGAAGACATGTGCATTCATGCCTTCAGTCCGCGGGTCACCCAATTCCGATTCATCGTCGAGATCAGGGAACTGGTCTTTTTTCTTCCCACCGATGATACTGAAACGACTGAGGAACGAGACGCCTTTCCTGTTGTCTTCCGTCAGCGGCTACAACACGCCAGGACATCCAGGATATGTGGGCTCAACGAGCACATCACCGTGCCCAACCCATCGGCAGGGAACCTGGACTGGCGACATATGATGAGGCGCATAAATCCCGAGAAACTCACTTCTTTTCTTTGGAAGGATTGCTATCACTCCGAGTGATTTCAGGCGTCGATTGCCTCCCAGGGGCCGCTATATCTGGACTGACAGGACTCGTAGCTTCGGCATTCCCACTCTCAACTGTGGCTATATTTCGTAGTCTCGAAGGGATGGTATTTTCGGTATTCGTTCGCTTGAGAATGTGCTATGCCATAATATCAGCAAACCCTTTCTCCTAAGGTTGGTGGAGCAATCGTATGTGGATATCGTATTGGTGGAAGCCGCAGATTCCACAAGCCGGAGGTATGCGTACGTGAGAGAGAGGATCAATGGCGGTCTCCGGTCGCCCTGGCGGCGAAGTTGGTTTCCCACTATTGATATCTTTGCTAGAGCCGGATCTTATCGATTTCGGTGGCAGCCTTTTGCTATTAATCTGAGCGTTTCCTGCGATAATGATAGAATATGTTAGTATAATGACAGTAACAAGGAAGAACGAGGCCGCGCATTTAGGAAAAGTGATCGCGGCCATATCCTCGTCATTTTGGGGAATCCCCCTTTTCCCTACCCATCCTATTCTAGCCATATATGATAGACACGACGTACCTTCGGACGAGGTTGCGGACTTCGGTCTAGCTGATTGTCCGCCATCCGTGGTATTCGACGGCGAGTCAAGGGAAAGTGATGCCCCGGCACCGCTCCGATCCAGATTTTGCGTCTCGATCACCTTGATCTTCGGCAGAACAGCAGACATGACCTAGCAACTTCCATGTGATAACACCTGTCATCTGTGGATACCTTGTCTTAGATATAAACGGAATAATGGAAGGTATGCGCGTGGGGTGCTCCGAAGATGCCGGTTTGGACGATGGGAAATGTATCCGGACCCAAGATATATTCGAGAACCAGTGACGGCAGGGGCGTCGTAGTATAGGCAGCTAAATAAAGAATTGCCTAGCACGACAACCAAGTAAATTAAATTGAGCGCAAAGGAGGAAAACACATCCTAGGTCCCGTACTCGTACTGTACCCGTCCATCGAGCAAACCTAATCTAGGTCTGCGACAAATGGGTTTTTGGCGGGCTTCTAGGCGCCTCGTCACGTTGACGTCGTCGGCTGCGGCCGGTGCTTGATGTCTCTGATCGTGCCTGGTCTCACTCCACTTTCCTGTCCAATTGCGACGCCGAGCGACACCTGCGAATTTCTTGAGCTTTAAAACATACTCTTACTCGGTACAAGTCTCCCATCCAGTGGCAAATCCTTCAAATAAGGCTGAGAATGAGGTAAAGCTTACATTACTATATTATGCGCCGGTAAGGAGCCTTCGATCTAGAGCCACCCCACCTTGTCACAGCCTATGATAGCCCGAGACCACCCTTTCTGCAACTAGCTACTGAAATGCCTCAAACACAAGCAAAGGCTTCGGAAGCCGCTTCCCATCTCGATTACATGCGACAGGCTCTAGACCTAGCACGAAAATCGCCTCCAAAGCCTACAAATTATCGAGTGGGGGCTCTTGTAGTCGACCCGAGGAAGAACGAGACCCTCGCAACCGGCTACACACTCGAATGTGAAGGAAACACCCATGCGGAACAGTCATGCTTTATAAAGTTGGCCGAGGAGCATAAAATATCGGAAGAGCAATTGGGTAGTGTCCTGCCAGAAGGGGCCGTTCTTTACACTACAGTTGAACCCTGTTTCAAAAGATTGAGTGGGAGTCGTCCCTGTGTCGACAGGATTCTGAGACTGGGAAAGGCTATCCAGACCGTCTACGTTGGGGTCAAGGAGCCGGAGAAGTTTGTGGGCGAAAATACCGGGAGGAGACAATTGGAAGAGGCGGGTATAAAAGTCGTCTTTGTGGAAGGACTGGAAAAGGAAATCCTCAATGTTGCAACGGCAGGTCATGTTTCGGAAGGTGGATGAGGTGGAAAGTAGTTTATTGAAACCTTTGTTATATTTTTGCTTCTAGAGTTCCGCAGATCCCGTAGACTGAGAAATAGTATTATAAATATTTTCAGAGTAGGAAGGATTATCAACAATAGGAGGAGAATAGGCCGTTAGATTTAGTACGTGGTATACTTACTGCATACTGAAGGTTATTAAGTGATTTAAGGTACTAGGGATTACGATCCTTATTTCTAATTGGGAACACGAGGAATTGATAATGCAAGGTGAGCAGGGGTTTTAAGTAATAGGGGTGGGTACTAGAACAGCTAGGAATTTGAAGAAATCAATTGCCACTTTTAAGCAACGAAATCCAAGAACTCATCACAAGCCGCAAGAGCTCCCTCAGTACAAAGTCATTTGTTGCGATAGAGCCAGTAATCCCCCACAGACTCCTTGCCATGCATACAATTTCCAAATATCACCTCAGTACTGTAATAGGCACTTATATTCTTCTTCCCTTTCACTTGTGGAAAGACTTGACCTTCTCAATCTCATCATAACTGCCCATAAAGATCCCCGACTTGTCATGGATGCCCTGAGGTACGACTTCCATCAACCGATTCATCTTGCTATCAAGTGCTTGGCCGCCAGCTACGGTAGAAAGTTAGGCCTGAACGATGGAAGAAAGCGAAGGCGGGATTGACTTACCATTCTCAAACACCATAGCCATGGGTGCGCACTCGTACAAAATTCTCAGCTTTCCCTTCGGACTCTTCTTATCCGCGGGATACGCAAAGATACCGCCATACAGTAGCGTTCGATAGGCATCGGCAACCATACTTCCAATGTATCTGGCAGAATATGGCTTTCCTCCCTCTTCGGTAGGGTATTTCAAAGAATTGAAGTATGCCTTAGTTGAGTCTTCCCAATAGAGTGAGTTGCCCTCGTTGACCGAGTAGATTGCTCGTTGCTTGGGGATCCTCATATCCGGATGTGAGAGAATAAATTCGCCAACTCCATTATCCATTGTAAAGCCATTAACAGTACCTTCCCTCATCGTGATAACCAATTGAGTAGAGGCACCATACATGGTAAAGCCCGCAGCAATCAATTCCGTACCCGGCTTCAGGAGATCCTCTTTCGTACCAGTAGATCCCTCGGCCAGTTGATGGATTCCAAAGATCGTACCAACGGAAACGCCGGCGTCCAAGTTGGAGGATCCGTCGATAGGATCACACGCTACCGCATAACGAGCATTGTTGTGCTCTGTGAAGAAGATGGCTTCCTCCTCCTCCTCGGAGACGAGCACGGCGCATTTCCCTGAGGAGCGCATGGCAGCGATGAAGAGGTCATTGCCGATGACGTCGAGTTTCTTTTGGTCGTCTCCGGTGGTATTACTTGAACCCGCGAGGCCAGTGAGGTTTATGAGGGTGGCGCGGCGGATGTAGTAGGCTATAGACTTGAAGGAGAATTGGAGGGCGTGGCAGAGAAGACTGGGTTAATGTTAGTTGGCTGTATGCGTATACAATAGAAGTTGAGGGCATTTGGGAGACGGACGTGAAATCTCCAGTTGCTTCCTTGTGCTTTGTTTGTTCTTCCGTCAAGAATCGAGTAAGGGTTATAATATCAGTGTTGACCTTCTCAGTTGGAGGACTGGAATTTCCCTGTCCGTTGGCCCCCATGATTAACCGTTGTCTGTGTGTTATCTGCGTAGTTGTTTGGGTAGTTGGGAGAGATGAGGGGAAGAGGAATTGATGAAAGATAGTAGGAATTTGAGAGAGGGAGTGATAAATCAAGAATGGGGAATGGGGAAAGGAGTTGGCGGAGATCCCCAGATGGATATAGCTTTTGGCGTCTGGCAAACTGGACCTCGGGTCAACGCGGAGGAGTCCCGGTAACCAGATTGAAGCTTCACGATGCAGGAGACGGGGGGCGAATTCAGGGACTGGATAAAGATTGAGGGAGAAAAGGTCTAGAATGACGATAAATAGGAAGAAGAATGGAGACTTCTCAAATGGGATTAGGATATTCTCCTTATCGCCGGCAGCCAGCTTCTACTCGGGGTGCCAAAGAGTGGAATTTGACCACACTCGGTACTAGCTGTGTTGCTCTGGCTCGCTCTCCCTCTCCCTCAGCCCCGCGTCGGCTTAAGGCTCGGATCTGCCCCGCGCTACGGAAAGCTATGATGGAATGGAGGAATGGAGGAATGGGAAGGAACGACCACGCAAAAGGGACCAGTCCGAAGTTTTACCGCCAATGACAACAAGCATCGGGTGTCACAGCCTCGGGCATTGTCGGATTGTTGATGTTTCGGCTCGTTGATTGTCACAATAGATGTCGGTCTTGTGAAGTTGCGGCCTCGAATCCAGGGCTTACATAAAGGTATCCAAACAGGCCAAACTCTCACGTGCTCGCCTAATCCCCTTGAGGCTTAGCGCACCCGAGAAACAACACTTACCCACCGCAAAATTTCCAAGCTCCAGTTCTGTTTTTCTCTCAGAACATCAATTCTTCCTCCAACCATGTGAAGAATAACAGTGTTGCTACTTCGTGCAGCTCTCCTCCTTCAATTCAATCGTGCTCCCAGCAGCGTGAAAAGGTAAGCAACTATTTTTCTAGTCTCCTCGTTCGCAATGTGATGACACACATACAAAATCGCAAACTAGAGTCTTTGACCCCAAGGGGAATGAAACTTTTGTGTACGTCAGTCTGAACTACGGATATCGTTGCTATTCCTGACAGCCATACCTTGCTGGAAGCTTATGCTAACCAACAACTTCAGGTGCAGTGCTCTTGAGCCGCGCCCACGCTGGCGCTTCTGGTCACCTTCAGTCGAGGTCTTCACCTCCAACTGATGACTGCAATGGCAGCCTTACTTGTACGTACCCAACTTTTATCATTTTAACCCTATCCCACTGGCTGTGATGAACAACTCGTGCTTTGCACGCTGGAAATTACCGACTGAGACTTTGTCTTTGACGAAAACAAATGGCTATTTCTGAGCTACCTTCGATCATTCTCTTCAACAATGATATATTCTTGCAATTACAATCGCTAACAGCATTGAAGCAACAGTAACACTCCTACCTTGCACACATCACCCAAGTCACCCATATTCAAAAGGTACGAATTCACTGTCTCTTTCATCACATTAGTCCTGGTATATTATCACACTGTCAAAGGATGAATTGGCACTGGGCTCCGACAGTACTCAAAGAGACTGATATGAAGGAGACGCCATTTTGTGGCAGGCCTAGAAAACCTCGCCCACTGATCTCAGTAATGCCATGACTATCATGACGAAATGCAGAGTTGTGATGCCAAATGCTAACTCTCGGCCACAGATACATGAGATCACCCATACAGACATGACCACTCAGTCAATTGGCGTGGCGCTCCAGCGCAGTTTACTCTATCAAATGTAATCTTGGGTCTGGCCACTGCTGGAAATGCAGCCCAGTTGCAAGTCATTGGTTGGTGATTCTTGGTATGTAGTTATTTTAACTTTGCATTCTACACTTTCGTGATGAGCATTTTAGATGACGAGTCTGATTCGGGCAACCGATGCTGACACAAATCAAATTAAACCATTCATGCCAACTGATTTTTTTTCTCAAACACACTTATCAACATACTTGAGCATAAAGGCATGGACTAACATTCATTGTTAGGATTGTGAAATATCTGAATCACCACGCCAACCCAAATGGAAATGACAGCTAGAGCAATTATATCAATAATGTTCAATTCACTCAGCAGCCCTTCGTTGGGTGTCGTTGATTTGTGGACATATATTCATAGGTAAGACCCAACCTATTTCATTTCCCCTCTACACATCGTAGATCGTGAAGCATTATGATGAAATGACCTACAATTGACAAGCATATGTCTAAGCCTCCGGGCGGTGACGAGGATGTCTTGGCTGAAATGCTTCCGATTATCGGCAAATGAATTCATACTATGAGAGAATATAGCTAACAAGTACAAGTGAAATGCTACAGTCCTCATCCGCGAAATTCCTCTATGGGTTAACCAACGCAACCTGTCCGGTATGTTCCCACATTTATTTCCTCTTCTTATCAACCCTTATATGATGATCAATTTATCACGACGGTCAACATAGCCACACGTTGGTATTGATGAAACTGCCTTTGACAAGGCTGTAGATCTGATATCTCCTTTTGTTTGAGTTTTATCATCTGTCGAAAATTGAGTTTTGAGAACCTTTGCTAATATCAGCAATCAGTTTAGGGCTATTACCCTCTTGATCCACAAAAGTCAGAGGGCAATGAACGAAGGCTAAATCCATAGCTCTTGTGAAATCCAGGGTCTGGAATCGGCCGGATGGAAACTACACTTATTTGATGGACTTTAATTAGCAACGTACTATAGCTACGACTTGAGTTCTTCAAGACTGACAATTTAAACCCTATTATATACTGTGCCCTCTGAAATCATCCTAATCTCCTTGAGCCGTACTTACACTCTTTAACTCTTGATAAAGAAGGGCGGCGAGTGAATTACAGCGTATTAGAAATTTTGCACTAAGGCATCATTTCCATTCAATACTTCACCATAAGGCAGGAAGTCATGAAACAACATATTCCAATTATTTTTATTGGTTTGTGTATATGCCTCTCACTCGCGGCAGTTCTATTCGTCTTCCCTGCCCTCACGCTGTTTACACGCTGTCCCTCTAATAGTGCTGGACCGACCTCTCAAAAAATATAATTACATCGAATCTGCCTAGAAACAAGCCATCTAGAATAGTCTCAAAAGTATTCTCGGCTTCGCCAATGCCCGATTTGTTGAGCAGTGCAGGGTATATGTATGGTGCAACGAGGAACAAATTATGCTCTTAACAAAAATTTCCGGTCCTCAAACGTCATATGCGCTCGCCCGGTGAACGCCGTGTATCGAATTATGACCCCCATTTGGGCCTTGCCGCTTAACCACCCCAAGTGATTGTGCTCCTCTTAGGAGGAGGTTAAGCAAATCTCCCTTTACTCCATTGCAGTCCCGCGTTATGACCCAATTTTGGCATCAATATATGTGCAAGCAAAAGAGATTTTCATTAGAAGGACACGAATAGCAATGTTGCTATTAAAGGTGCTGCAAGACCGAGAATGTGGACTGTGAAAGAAGGTGCGCCTAATGACTTCGTCATAGTCGGTGTAGAGGTGGCGGTGAAAAGACCGGTGAGGACTTGTGTCGTAGTTACGACCAACACGCTACCTGTGTGGTCGACGATTCCGGCCGTGGCAGACGAGACGGCCGTGCTCCAGTCTGCCGAGTCGGTATAGAGCACATTATTCATAACTACTCCCTTCTTGGATATTATCATATTTCTCTGGCCCTCGTTGCACGTTTCGCCGATGTTGCGTAGGTAGCACGTTGGTGAGGGGGAGGAAGGAAGTTTATCTGTGTGTGTGGCATTTAAAGGCCCGGTGGTGTTGTACACGGAGGAGTTGATGACTTCGCCGGTTGAGATGGATGTTCCAAAAACAATTCGGGCAAAAATCTCGAATGCGGTCTCCGGCTGATATGATGAGACGGCGTGGCCGGCGTCATATATGCGACTAAATGAAAGATTGCCAAACTGGCGGACCACCCCGCCTATGTATGTTTCATTGGTGATGATAGGTGCATAACCAGAAGTGGGAAAGAGAGACGCGTATGTGGGGCTGGTCTGCGCAGCTATAGCTAAGGAGATAGCTTCTCCGCCGAGCCAATTGCAAATGTAATCGAGGTCACCATACATCAAGCCTACTCTAACGCCGGATCTCAGAAGGGCAGCGATGTTGGGAACCAAAGACTCTCGCTCGTGGTCTCCAGTGGATTGGAAAGCACTGACGACTTGAGCGTTTGTCTGTGTAAAATTGACCGGAGAGCCAATCGCAGCCTGAAAGTCCGCTGTATTCAGATATTCGAGGTATGTGCTCGGCGGGAAGGAGTCAGGAAGTAGGTGAGAAATATCGTAGACGCTTCGCCCAGCATCAAGATATGGTTCCATGACATTGGCAGTACAGCTACGGTATGCAGTAGAGCATAAGGTATTAACGCCAGCCACATTTCCAGAATTTTCTTGATCCTGGCTATTGACGGCTGCCCGGCATTGGTTGATGAGATCTCGACAGCCACCAGAGGAAGAGAAGCTTGCGCTAGCTAACTGAGCTCTCGTTGGGTTGATGGCCGTTAAACCAAAGGTGTTGTTCACTGCCATCATTGGATAATATGGCGCTTGTATAAGATCATCCACACAGCCATTGATTATTCCCAGCGAGGCTAGCTTGATATCAATTGTCCCATTAGTGGAAATTGTTCCGTTTGATCGGCGCTTGTTTTGCTTGTCCCAGAGAGTTGCGAACGCAGGTCCGTATTTTCCACCATAACTTTCAGCAAAGAGATGGACCCCTACGGCAGTGCTGTTTGGCCTATATTGGGGGAAAGCGCCAAGGAAGCCCTGAAGCATATGCCAGATCACCATGCCAGCTATCTCGGTAGTATTTGCCGTGTTGTTGGCGTTGAGGGAACTGAACGTGCCATTCAAGAACAAATTTCCAGGTTGCGAATTCGGAAGGACTTGGGGTGGGGTATACAGGTTCCCAGTAAGGAGATCAAGTGAACCGTTGGTGGGCTTGTCGTAAGAGAACCCTACTTGGTTTGGCTGGGACAAGGTCAGTTAGAATGATATTGGAAACGCTAGAGTAAACCTAAGAGGGAGGCGAGGCTGTACCAACCTGGTCAATAAAGAGAATATTTGACGCTCTATCCCAGCCCCAATCCCGAGCCTTCGTCCCGAACTTCCCTTGGGCGAGCTCCACCACTTCACACGGCCCATTCCCGGTGAAGAGGCCCAGCATTGAGCTCGAGCCCGGTCCTCCATTGAGCCATATTGTTAGCTTATCCGTGGGATCGCGCGCTGAGATAAACCAAAAGAATGTGTTCGTCGAGTAATTGCCAGGAATATGCACCCATCCCGTATATTGCTGCTGGGTAGGGAAGGCAGTCTGGCAGGTGCCAATAGGCGGTGACTTGTAGGAGATCGAGATGTTCCCATCAACGGGCGAGGTGATGGTAGTTAGATTAGATACGGGCGGGTATTGAGCGAGCGTAGTTGCGACGAGCGAAAGCAGGAGGGAAACGAGAGGCAGATTCATGGTCGTTCAATCATGGCTCTTCATTGACAATGAAGGAATGAAGGAGTTCAGGACGGGCGGTAAAGAGGGCGAGGTAAAAGAGCGTGGGAAGGATCGTGGACGTACGAGGTGGAGGTGCAGGTGGAGGCGGAGGAGGCTGATGAATGCTCCCCTGCTTGCCCGACAAAAGTTGGACGCCCTTCCTCGGCCGCCGGGCTATGTACCTGATACAAGATACTGGCTGCACTACGTAGTGTACTCCGCACTTGCTTCGTAAGTGCTACGTAGAATTCTCGGTGCTATGTACATGTACCATCGTACCTTGCATAGGTAAACATCGCACTTCCGGTATGGATCTTCGCCGGAATCACCATGCCTCGAGAGAGGGGAGAGGATCGAAGTAAGGTGAGCCACGCAATGCATTTGCTTGATATGGAGTCTTGTTCTTGGGAGTATTTCCGGCTGCTTTCTCGCTCGGGAAAACGATGATAATCCACCCGACGCATTCGAAGTACAGGCCGGTACAAAGTCTGTCTTACGGCGGCGGGTACTTCGCAGGCTCCCATTATAAATACGAACCCTCCTTTCCACTTTTCGTGGCCCTTGTGTGTGCATTTTATCCTTGCTAATACTTCAATTTTGCAGATCCTGACCGCCAACCAACACTGAAGGTTACTCAGGAAAACGCCACAGGGTCACAGCTATTGAAGGAGAGCTTCAAAAGATTTGTCGCTACCAGAATCTAGAAGGCATTCGGAATAATAGCGGCTAAACTGTTGCGACAAACAATGAGCCAGTGCAAACGCCTTATAATACTTGAAAATTGCATAAATGAGTAACGAAACAGTTGATACAGTCCTTACTCATTCATCACCAGTATTTGGGCTACTGGTGGAACATTACTATATACTCGGCTCTTGATTTTACGATTTTGTCACTGGCCCCAGCCACCAACGATCGACGTCCTCCACAGAGTTGTATTGCCGCAGCCAGCACTTCGGGGCGATGGCACTGCAGGCGTGAGAGTTGTGTAGGGACTGCTGTTTAACAAACCTGTGTATGACCTCCCCGTGCTATCTACCCTCCCCATCGATAATGTCAGGGAAAACAGCATAGCCTATCATGGTACAGTACTGTACATAGTGCAAAGATGCCTGTCTTGATATCCGCTTCGAACAGATCATCTTGAGGGAAGTAAAATCTCCAGGCTTCGCCAGTCCCACTATCTAGAGGGACTTCTCTACCTTCCGATAAAATTTCCCCATGGAAGCCGGATAGTTTGAGATGAAACTCCTCGCCGAAGAAGACATTTGTGAGCTAGATACTTTAGACATATAATCCGAAGATGTAAGCCAACGATTTCGAGAAGCTTTTTCTCGACCTCATATCTCCGACCAGAACAGGAAGATTTTTGAAAACTATAGGCTCATCTTCTTCTCCAGTAACCGCACTACTTCCGAAGGCGGTAGCCCGTTCTCCTCTTGGAGGAGTGTAGTTGCGATATACAACAACGTCTGCATCGCCCGACATCGCAAGGCTTTGATTAGGACGATGACCTAAGTTACCTATGATATCGCCAATGCTGGTGGTAAAATGAAAAGTATTCAGCACTAGTGACGTGTGGAGTGACAACAATGTAATGATTAAAATCTAGGATATGTGCAATAGAGGCTTTCGGAAAATCTGTTCAATTCGGATGACGGCGTTTATTCGCCATAGCCTATTTTACGTGGGGAATGTTTCAGGTAATTACTTGGGTACTTCCAAATATGGGTTGCACTTCGGGCTGGGGCTGATCACTTCTTGGTTAGGGTATTAACGGCCAAATAACTGGAGCAAGACTGAGCTCTGGGTTCGGACTTGGGATCTCATTATTATCTCGTGAAACCTCTCACGGTCCGATTTGACAGCTTGAGGCTACAAGGAACCATTTGACGCTTCTACTCAAACCATGAGATCCTTTCTACCTTCACGGCAGCTATAAAATTGACATAGAAGTATAAATGAACGTGCATAGTTGATAATTATATTGAGAATAGCCTCATTGACTCCTAATAGGTGCTCGTGAATTAGTGACTTACCAAGTCGCCTGGATCAAAAACTCACCTCCTCACTTACCGTCACTGGTTCGAGATAGCCAGCGATCTAACCGACAAAAATAATAAAAACAAAGAGGCCGAAAGCTATTAAAGAAAAAAAAATGCAAAAGAAATATCTTCACGGAGCGTTGGATACCGAGAAACTCGATCTGCACTACCCCCTAGCCTCTTGTTGTCTCTGGCGGAGCGTCCAGGGTCACTCTAGGTTTGTTAGCGGTGACTCCTAACTACTATACCAACGCTTCCTAGTCACCTGTCTCCAGTTGTTAGGGGGATTCTGCTTATTTTGATATATATACCGCAAGTAGATAGGTACCTACAGTAGATACCTTACCTATTAATGGCTGTCACGAGACGACGCGCCGAAGCTGTTGGGTAATATCCATTCCGATTCACCGCCTTCGGCAGAATTTCAATCTCCTTACTGATACCGCGGTTCGAAAAACACTGAGGATACAACCAATATGCAATATGTATTAAATATAGTAACTGTAGGACTGCAGCTCCAACCCTATCAAGCCAAGATCAGAACGAGCATAGGCTAGATGCATTTCACTACTTATTACGAAGTACTTCGTACCTATCTAGTAGTAGGTTCCTATCCTCAATGACGGAACACTCCAGTGAGGCTGAATCAACCGTGCGTCAATTAATCAAGTGGCTGTGCTCCGTAGGGCTCTTTCGTCCATATTCTGTACCTCCTCCAAACGTACTTATGTACGAAGAGAAAGTTCGCCTCGGCGCAAAGAATGGCATGGCAAGTAATATGCCTGTGAATCTATCGTTGGGCCTTCGTGAAGCTCTTCCGACCAGCTCTCCAGCAAGTTAAAGAGTACTGTCGCTACCCAGTGTCCCTACTCCCGATTCCCTCAGTTCCCACTCCCAGCCCTGGATCTGCACATCGCCATGTCGGTCTCTGGCCCAGATATCATCACATACATTGGCGTTCCTCTCGCAGTCTTGGGAGTCCTTCCCATTATATATAACACCATCAGTACCCTTGCCAGTCTAGCCAAGGTCCGGCGTGTTCTACGTCACGGCCGTCTTGCGGGAATCACCAGAGGAGATGTGGTTAACCACGTAATAGAAGTCGAGCTTCCGCGCTATACAATAGCTCCCCTACATCGCGTAGACCAGAGAGCGGAGTATTGGAGATTGTGTGATTATCCCAGCCAGATTCCGGGTGGGACCTGGACTACCTTCAACTGGAAATGTCACACGATTGGGCTCAAGACGCAGAGAATCGATTATGCAGACCAACTGCGTCAGCCGCAGGCTGAGATCGGATTTGAAGAGCTGGTCTCGTTTCTTCTAGACCTTGGGGCGGTGCCAGACCCGGCTGGGTTTCGCATGTTGCGAGCCAGTGGCCTCTGGGTACCTATTGGGACTACCCTGCTCCGCGCGCCGAATGTAGACGAACCTGTCTTAACGGTAGCACCACTAGATGACTCAGATGGGAATCTCTCTCTAGCAGTTAGATGGTCTTCAAACTGGGGCATGAGAGATCCGGCGTCGCTACCTCCATATTGGGTTCTAATCAAGGGATCAAGACCTCCCACACGGCCCACCAGCAGCCAAAGCGTTTTAGGAAAGGAGCCTTCCAAAGTTGAAACAGAGGAGACGGAGTCCAATGAGGCAAAACCAAGCAAGACAGCTAAATATATACCAGATGACATGGAAGAGTGCCTTGGGGTTCGATGCCAGATTGGAACTAATGGTTTGATGGCCGCTATTCCAGATGGGCCTGAAAATGACATGTTTGAGGACTGCGACATAAGACATCTGGAAGTCAACGAGACACTCTCAAACACTACGGGTATATGGTTTGCAAGCGCCATCACTGCGCTCGGTACCACCTCCCAAACAATACTCTGGAATTACAAGATTCCTTCGGATATTCTTACCTTCTCCAAGGTCCGTAAACCCTTTATCAGGAGTCTATACAATTACTAATTGCGTCAATAGAAGGACACCATCCCCTGCGGAGTCCTAGTCCTTCTAGACATCGTCCCCGAGGAAAAAACCCCGGATTGGGCCAGCAAATACCAAAATGACCAAGAGGCTGACCGAGACGCCCAATTCCGTAGAATGCGCGAGCTATCCCGAGCCATGGCTCATGAAAACCGCCTCTCGGGGGCGGAAAAATCTCGCGCAATCGGAGAACGACAAATGCGAACGCACGAGGAGTACGTTGACACCATGAATGCAAAAAGGAGACGAGATACCGCAAGAGCAGAAACGAGATTCATCGAAGCGTTACAGAGCCCTAAATGGGATCATAAACTCGTGGCTGAGCACCTCTTGGCTTGGCTGAAGAAGGGGAATCATGTCGAGGAACAACATGATTTAAAACGCGCGGTGGAGGTATTGTTATGGAGAATGGTCAACGATTCTGTACTTGCTACGGAGCTAGGTGACATGCTAGATAGTTGGAAGGTATTCGTGGATAACGGAGGAATCAGAAAAGTGGATTATCTCGCGCTGCAAGAAAAACCGGTCATGTTTGCACTTGCGGGATTGCTCCTGGCTATTATCAAGGATTCGGTCACCGCTGGGAGCGGATCGTTGGCGATGGATTTGCAGGAGTGTGTTAGGGTTTGGAAGAAAGTTAGGCTGGGGTGAGGTCTGAATTAGGTTGGTTTTATATACCCCTTATTGCAGTGTGTTGGTCACTTGAGATGGGATAACGCGCAAGGTCGTGACTAGGGAATATATGTAATGTTTGGATATATAATGAGAAGAGGTCGAGGTTTAGAGAGTTCTAATTTGTCTTAATATATTCTGCTATATCAAAGCCTAAGCTTTACAAGTATATTATTAAGAATTCTTATTATTTTTGCTTGTGTTCGTTTATGCTAGTATTAATTAATAAATGACAACTCTAAAGATACTACCAAGCTCCCTATCTTCTTCTATATCTAGTCACTCATGGCAGCTAGAAGTTTATACTGTAGCCGTAAGCCAAATAACCCGAACGAACTTGGGAACAACAGTTGATAACGACAGTTTCTCATTTTTATATCTCATTTTCTATCAAATTACCTTTTACAGCTAGGTGAGATTTATTTAATAGTAAAGATAGAGTTTTCCAATTCGGCACCTGACTTTATCAAGGGCTTATCTTTGCCTGATTAATATGTGAATGATTCAGGATCGGGGAAAATAAATATCAGAGGGTTCAAAGTGAAGTAACTAATGTACTTCGTACCTAACACTTAAATACCATTGAAAACCAAGACGGCACCATTCCCGTAGCAGATGAAAGTTGACAAGCGATTTATTTATTGCTCTATATTAACATACCAGATAAAGCTTATAAATGGTAGACTACATTATTATAACATCGGGCCTATAAATTCCAACTTTATCCTAGGAAAGCTAGAACCGCCTTCTTAGTCAGTCAATGCGAGCTTTGACGTATTTCGATAGATGAATTTATTTGATTTCAGATATCCTCCGGGCTTTCCACGGCTTTATTTTAAGAGTTTTGAGGCGTTGGAAGATAACACCCATGCTAAAGTAGGAAAGAATAAGTTATTTCCTGGTTGTTGAGAAGAGGAAACTAATGTGGGTGATCTAGTATCTACCTTACACAGCGACCGCGAGCTCGGGGATCCGAGGGATGGAAGACATACTAGTAAGTTGTACTGTAATACATCGAATCCTATAGCAGCTTCTTTCATATTCTGGAATGGGGATGATCTCATGGCCATGTGTTCGTCTAAAGACCCCTCGAGCTGTATACTGGTAGTAGGGCCTGAGATGACGAACAGAAAGACCTTGCACGGTGCGGGAACGGCACATAAGATACTGGCACTTTGCACTGGGTACAGTTTCATTACCAAGCCCAAGCCGCAATCTTCAACGACCTCGTACAATGACGTTTCATGAGTCTTGTCCGTCGGCCCGCCATTGCTTCCTGCCGTCCGGTAGCATGGTTTCCACGTGGTGAGGGCTAAGATGGATGTAACTAGTAGAGGTTTCCACTCGGTGAACGCGCAATAATAGATATTGGATCGCAGACACCGCTGTTTGAAGCATGGTGGCTGAGTCTATATTTACTCGTCCTCCGAGGTAGATGATGAGGATTCATAGTGGCTTACCGGCCGGAATGGCTTCCGGGGTCGTCAAATCTCCCCTGGGAAAGTTTTGGCGGTGAATATGGCTGAATGATGCCGGATTTTAGGTCTTGATTGCCTGTTTGGCATGTAGTCCAAAGCCATCGACGAGGTGTGGAGAGAGACTGCTGGCATTAGATGAGGATGTAGTCATACGGGCAATATCAGAGTCAAGGGGCCAAGCGCCCCGAGCTGAAGCCTGAAGGCTTTCTGTCTGGTTCCTGGATGGTATGTAAGCCACCACGGGAAAATCCTTGGGAGTTAAAGTGAGATCTCCGAGTTGGCGTCCACACTAGAACATTGAGGAATGACTCGTGATACTTTAATATGCCTAGGTACTTTAATATATCTACAGGCAGGTACTGTGGCATACTCGTACCCCGCACATTAGGTGCTTACTTATGGAGTCATTACAAACCCAACCGAACGATTGATGATCATGATTTTCATCCAAGAACTAGGTACCTACGTACCAAACTCCCAAATAAACCGGTACTCGTAGGGCATCCCAGGGGCTTTGGGGGCCAGTGGCGGGCTGAGGGAGCCCCTGGCATGAAACAAACCTAACCCCTAGAGCTCTATGGAATATCCTTCTAGAAGGTCACGCAGGCTTCTGGCGGCATAACCGTGCTCCTGAATGTGCATGGCGAGCATGGTTATGAAGGGACTGAGCGCAACTACTTCTTAAGGCCCGAGAGACACGGACGCAACCACAGACCAAAGGTGCAGCGCCATGCCAGCAATAATCCCTCCGTTCAGTCTTGATCTGAGAGCTCCCTGTGAGATCTGTCCTCTCTTGTCGGGGGAGGCGTCGGTCTCAGACTCTCATCATTTTGGTAGCGCGGTTCTGGTAGATCACTGCTTGCGGTGGACAAGGCTAGGCTAGAGTAGGCGGAGTCTTGAGAAAAAGGGGTAATTTATTTGGAGGAAATGTTCACTTCATCACTTCTTCCCGTACTTCGTACGAAGCAACGGAAAACGGATACCCTCGGGGACGACCCCACTGGACCTGGCGGTGCCTTCGAAGTTTGGACCGCGACCCCGTAAACAGGAACGATGCAGAGGGTTTGTGCCAAAGTTTAAAAGCCCCCCCCTTCGGTCCCTCAAACTCGAAATAGAAACGTTGGCGGTCAGGGTTACCACTCCACGTTGTACGCGGAGCTGTGCCCCGTGGGCCGGCACTTCGAAGGTTGCGCAGTGATGCGTCTCTGGCTTGAGCTCGACTGAGACGGCAAGTTTGGAACTTGTGGTGGAGAAGCCGACGCGGACTTTCTACGTAGCACTTGCACACTTGCATAAGGTACCTTACCTACCTAGTTCAGTACGGCAACAATAAGTTGTACGGAGCGTACGGAGCAGGAGAAACCGTTCCCTATGTCCTCCGCTATAAGCACTATCTTCGCCCTAGCACGCCAGTAGTGGTTCCACTTCACGAGCTCATATCCCATGGTGGCCACCGAGGTCGGAGAAGTGCTTCGTATTATCGTACAAGAGGCCCGTAGGGCGTTCATAATAGCACGGCCTATACTCCGGCCTACGTACATTCTCCAGGGCATAAGAGCTGGTGGCAGGTTGGTTCTCTCGTGGACGATCCTAATGTGGCGTCTTAAGGGGGTTGCTGCGTACTCGTTTGGATTACGTCGGTGCCTAGGTAGGTAGTACTTTGTTCTATCGAGGTACACTGTACTGTACAGGTCCAGTACACAAAGCTACAAACTACCTTGACCTAGGTAGGTACCTTGGTATGCTCCAATGCAAGCTGCACAGACCGCGGGCATCGCGTGGCAGCCTCCTTTGCCATCGTCCTAGCCAGCGTATCTCCGTACTCGAGGAGGCCCTGGCGCCCTTCTGGAAGACACGCTAGAACGCTCCTCTTTCTCAGAGATTCGCGCGTGGCTTGACTGGCAAGATGCAAGATGGTGTTCAACGTGGACTTGCGGGCCTGTGTGTCACCCCAAGACCAGCGTTTGATTGTTATTGTGGGTTTCATTGTGACCTGAGACATGTTCCCTCTTGAGTCTTGAATCTTGAGTCTTTACGAGAAAATGCTTCGATACTCACCCTCCATCAGAACCACTTCAGAAGCTAGTCCCGGGCCCTCAGCTAGTCTGGGTTGCGCTCACTACTCACTACTACTCACTACTCACCACATCACCGGCCCTGGTCCGCTGGAGCCATGAAACCATGGGAGATTTGCTGGGATTCCGGCTTCTGGAAGGCTGGGAACCATGCCTAGGACGCAGAACTTGTAATTTCTGCGGGTTCAATTCGGCCATTGATCATTGATGCCGAGCCGCGGATGTTTTTTTGTCCAGGGAGGCCACCACGTCCACTTCCCTTCAGGAAGAATCGGAGATGGGCCCCCCCATGAAGAACCTTTTGCTGTGGTGGTGGCCATCCGGGGCGCTTCTTCTCAGCCCCCTAATTGCTCAACCCGGCGCGTTCCACAATGTCCCATGGCCAGGTCCCCACCTGCCCAGGCGTTGACGCCGATTGAGGCACCTCATAGCGGTGTGAAAGTGCAGGATGCGGTCCATGCAGAACCATGCAGAGCCATGCAGAGCCATGCAGAGCCAGAATGATTTTCCGGGTGATACCCCGAGCTTCTTCAAGACGCACAGAGATATTATTGCTGGCGGTTGGAGTTTGGTCGTCGTTTGGAGACGGGCTCAGCCGCATCACCAGAAGCAGCTTTGAAGTTTGTACCGTCTGACCCATTTTAAACCTCTTATCACTGGTGTTTGTTTGGCTCGGGGCCTGTTCCAGTCGCACGGAGTAGCACTCTATACGTCACACCCTTCTGTGTATACGCTGTCTGTCTCACCCCCTTCTCTCGACTCGAGTATGAGTCTACCAAAAGGTGCAAGTTCAAGGAACCAAAGGCTTGTATGGTTGCTTGGAAGAGGGTTGTTTTGTTGGACCTGGATGATTTCTAGGTCTGCTACTCCCAAGCCGCACTCTTTTTGACGGGGCAGCTCGGGGGGACAGAGTTTCAACAGTGAAACATTAGGCACAGACTAGAAATTGGAGTAGTCTCTTTTGCCTCGCCAAGCGCTACTCCGTATGTACGTCGTAGGTACTTGAACTGTACTTTATGAGGGAAACACCTAGCATTCGTTGAAGACGGTGATTGGCAAGAATCTGCCTCGGCCTGCTTCTGCCGTCTAGAACGTACCCTTGGCTGGTGTAGGAGAGTTCCCGCTATTAGGACCACTAGGCTGATGATCTTGCACCTTCGTAGGGCAAGAGAAACAGCTCCATGGCCTTACATTGTATTATTTAGCATGAGGAGAGCATGGCACCATGCTTAGAGCGTAGCAATCATGCTGGTATGGACAAGCCTCGATTGGGTGGGAATGGGGGGAGGGATCGGAAATACCCACGCAACTGGCCTGTGTGCCTGTGCCTGTGGTCGTGGCCGTCTGACGAAGCTACGAGCTCTACGACACAGCGTTGGGTCCGAGGGTGCTTCTTTGGCCGGGGGTTCGCCCTTCTAGAAGACCGGCATCCCCCAATGCCCATCCCTGGCGACACGGTACCCAAGGAGATGAGCGATGACCGCCCTGGAGGACTGTTTTGGGCGGGCATGAATCAATGCTCCTGAGGCGCAAGATAACTCGTACCCAGCGACAACTCGCAAGATATCAGACCGGATGAAGCGCTGGGCGCCCGGCGCCCGAATATAACGGGAAAGCATAGTAGGATATTTCCGAGCCAGCGGCGACCCGGCCGCCCCTGGGAAGCCTCAGCAATTGGCCTCCTCCCGGCATCTACCGCCATCCAATTCCGCCAAAAACAGAGGTCCAAGGTTGCTTTTCCTCGATGGTCAATCATGATGATCCATCGCGTCACAGCGGACGCACTGGACCTCTCGGGGGGGGCTTATGGAGTGGCGGCCACGCGCCCTGCCTGGGGATATAACATATTACATCCTGTGCGGTCGAAGGACCGAGAGCCCCCGCCTGCAGCATCTGCAGCATCGAGGTTGCCAGCAGTGATTAGCAGTGAATCAGTGGTGAGCAGCAGTGGTCGGTTAGAAGAGTACCTTATTAGGTACCTACGGAGTACTTACTACCTTATAGTTCCAGTGGTTAAGCAGTGAGTGGCCAGTGACCGTTGGTGGCAGTTCTCCCGGGGGGCTGCTAGGCCTGCTCCGTAAGTACAGTAGGCACTCGAGTAGCGGGCCTGGCTGGCCTAGTAGTGGCCCAGTGGCCCAGCGTGTTGTCGCACGCCGTTCCCCACGTCGCGTAGTAGCTCGCCGCCCAGCCAAAGGACTCGTCGGCAGGGGAAAGGGTGCCCCCCTATACATGGAGGGACATGGACATGGACATGTACTTACTTCGTACTAATAATTCTTGCTCCCGAGTCCCAAGCCCAAGCCTGAGCCTAAAAGTCCTAAGCCCCAAGTGGTCCCAAGCCCCCAAGTCCCCAGTCCCCTCCCCGGCACGAAAGTATTGCTGCTCCTGTCCTCTGCGTACTCTACATGTACATGTACCTAGGTACCTCCCTGCCTGCTTTTGGTGCGCCCTAATCTGCCACCGCAAAGAAAGTTCCCCCAGCTCAACTTTCTCATTCCCTACTTGAGTCTTGACCACCCTCCCACGCTGCGTCCTCCCAACATCACCATCCAACCTCCCGCCCAGACCTTTTCTGTTCCTAGCTAGGGTCGCATCGAGGTTTCGATCTCCATCCTACAACACTTTACGGAGTACTCGCCGGTGTCTAGTCAACTCTCCCACATCTGCACCCTGCTCCGAGGCACATCGTTCCTCGTCCCATCAACAACAACCTTCGACTGAGCTCCCAGATCACATCCTGAATCCAATCGAGACTCCCAACACCTCCCACAAGTGAGTATCCAGGTGCATCGCAGAACTTTGCTGGGCCGCCGCTGACCTGCAAAAAGCCTGTCGACATATCAAGCCGGGCCCCTGACCCTGACCGAACGCCCCTCGACCGTGGTACCTGAAGTCAGAAACTCGATTCTACACTCTCGTCGACCGCAAAACGTCATCATATCAGGATCCCTTTATCCTATCCTCCCCGCGACTCTCGCCCCGTACCGCCTAGAACCTGCGATTCGGTTGCTGCTTCGCACAATTCTTTGTACCGCCTTTTGATACCCTCGAACCACCAGCTGGCTTCTGAGCTCATACCACAGAGGTATCTGCCTCCCGTCTAAACGCAGATTCAGGCCGACTTGATTTGGTGTGTGGATTGTTGGGCTTGAAATTGTGTCTTGATTTGGTTGGTTCGTGGGATAATTCTGGCCAAATCCATCACAGCGACGAGCCACTCCATCGGACGAACTTCTGGCTCGTGCCTTGGACACTGCAGCATACCGTCAAGCTCGACCAAAGCCCGAGACAGTGCAAGGACTTTTGCCTGCCCTCCGCGCCCAACGACGCCGTATTTCCCCCATAGGCTCGTCCCGTCCGCACATTTACTCTGCCTTCTGGACTTGTAGATTTCCCATAATTCAACGTGCCCCTAGCTTTTGAGAGACTTTGTCTTTCGACTCGACACCACCAATTTTACCCGGTGGTTTAGTCGCTTGTACGTTTTTGATAACCCCCTTGGTTCCGTTATCCGGGTATCCACATTTGCGGATATCCTGAGCTGGGACATTTAGGAGGCTAGGTTAGTCGAAATCCCATTTGCTTTTACTTCTACGCGGCCAGAATCAGACCCTGCGGGTGGATGCATGTTTACATACTTGCTCCGGACTGCCCTTCTGAATCTCGTGTCTTTTACTCGCAGTGTAAAGGAGGCGGTCAGCGTGGTTAGTGGGAGTCGCGTACTATCTGCCGCTGTCGGCAATTTTAAATCGCGTTAGAAACTGACTTTTTTTTATATCCGGAAAGCTTCGATTCAGTGCCAACCTTCACGTTTAAGCACCGTGGAATAGTCACCGAATAGTGCGATCAAAGCAATTTGCGACTGTCGCGTCAGCAACGCCCTCTTCAGGCTGCACAGGATAGGCTGTGTTCTGAGAAGTGGAGTTCAGCTCAAGCGCTGCAAACTGTCCCTCAAAAGGCCGCTTCCCGAGACATAACATCAGCTTCGAGACAAGGACCAGATTTCTGTTCCTTGAGTCGCTGGACGAGCGGTTGATCCAAGCGTCAATAATAACCTATAACCGTTCATCGCCCGCCCCGTCTGATTTTGACGACCCATTGAAGCGCACCCGCTGTTATGGATATCAAGCAAATTGTTAACACGAAGGGGAAAGGAGCTGCAGCGGCAGCAGCAATAAATGGTGCGCCTCAAGACTTGCACGTTCTTCATTCAATCCATCAGGCCAACGGCATGTCAATGTCGGACACGGGATCAGAGCGAGGAAATTCACCTCATGATTCCGAACATTCACGATATTCGGCACCTCGATATGGCTTGAATGGAATGAATGGGCCCCCTAATACTATGCGGTATCCTTCGCCGACGGCCATGCAAAATCCATTGCCCATGATGCAGCAACCTTATGCACCAAATCCCAACTTCGACAACGGTATGATGTCGCAGGAAAACGTACGACGTCAAACTGCTGGAGACGGTGCCCCTAAAGCTTTCCCCTGTACTACTTGCGGTAAAGGGTTCGCTCGAAGGAGTGATCTTGCACGACATGGTAAGAACGAAAGCATCCTAGTTTACAATGCCTACTAACCATAAGTAGAACGGATACACACTGGCGTTCGACCACATGTGTGTGAACATCCTGGTTGTGGAAAGCAATTCATCCAACGGTCCGCTCTAACAGTTCATATGAGAGTGCACACTGGGGAGAAGCCCCATATGTGCGAACGTTGTGGAAAGGTAAGTAACAAATGCAATGCTTGTTCCGTTGTACGGATTATGCTGACAGTGCCCCAGCCCTTTAGTGACTCCAGCTCTCTCGCACGACACAGAAGGATACACTCAGGCAAGAGGCCTTACAAATGCCCCTATGCAGATTGTCAGAAGACCTTCACACGCCGCACAACCTTGACTCGTCATCAAAACCACCATACTGGAACCGTCGAAGAAGCTGCTGCTGCGACTGCCGCTGCTTTAGCCACCCGAAGCACTCACCCTGTGCGCCAACGTTCAGAAGGAGGGGAGTATTCGAATACGGGGTCTCCAATGTCAACGCCTTCACCCCTGCAACGCCATCACTCTGCATCCCCGCACTCTGAACTTCCGCCAATGGGCCATATGCCTCGACATCCAGCTGAATATCAATACATGAACAACAGTTCGTTGCCAACCCACTTGCGTGGCGATTACCATATGCAGGGTCAACCACAACCCACCACCGCGCCGTATGCAAACACTATGCGACCCACCTCCCATCCTGCGGGTTTTGGCCCACCTTCTATCATGGAGCCGTCAGCCAATCCAGAACACCGTCAGGGAGGAAGCGTAACTGGTAGTCCTCATATGAGCGCCGCTGGTTGGGCCTCGCCGGCACAAAGTATGCCATCCCCTTCCCAGAGCAATGGTTACGTCTACCCCGACCCAGATCCATATGGATCCGCCGCTGCTATGGGTCAGATGTATTACCCCAACTCCAACATGAGGAGACCCCAGAGCACCGAGCCTGATGGATACGATATCAAGCCGAGAATGAACGAGATGTGGACTGCGGCACAATAGGTTGCTCGTGGTACATTTTATGTTTCATCGAGGATGCCACATGGCGCATGCACCCCACTCTCAGATAACCTCAGACCATACATTTCCTTTTGCCGCTTCCAAAATTGTGTTTGATACCCTGTATACTCGGCCTTTCATAACCTTCGACTTTTATTTCGTTGTCTGTCGGAGTTAACTCGGAACCATTGCATGCGATCATACATACGGAGTGGCGCCCGAATAGAACCGGCGTCTATCGACCTATTGTTACTTTCATTGAGTCTTACATTTGCGTTTTTTTCCTTCTTTATGGAGCTATGGCGGGGTGATTTTTCTAGAACCAATATGTCAAGAGAGACACGGGGATGGGATAAGAGCTGCGAGGCTACGACGTTGACGGCCTTTTAGCCCTTTGATTATTGCATGGCTAGTTGCTACCTTTTTGGTAGAACTATACAGTTGTTGCTGGGAAGCTTTCTTGGCTTGGATGTGCGCAATGCCGGAATGAGCCGGTCCTTCTTGTAGAGTAGTAGGCTTATACTAGCAATCTATTTTGTAGACAATCAGTTCTGAGCGGAGAAATCAAAGTTTTGCTTATAAGCCCATAACACACCCCTTGGTGTTAATTGAGAAATCGACAAAACTGTATCCGAGGACAAAATAACGGTGGAACTCGCGCAGGCCATTAGTAGCGTTTATGAAGCCTAAACCAAGAACATATATGCCTTTCCAGGACTGATATGCCAGGAGCGTGCGTATTCATAACTCCCAATGAAAGAGAGTAGCATCTACAAGGGACACCATGACAATTAATGGCTCTTCATGACTGAATCTTGCCTATATTTGGAAGTCGAAGACCTGGAATGGACTGCTGCTTTATGTCTATCTAACTCGATTATACAAGAAAGAAACGGGCCAGCCCAGCTAGGGCATAGACAAAAGCTCTATGGTGGGATATGTACAGGCCCAAGTATTTATTTGACTTATGATGCCCCATTCGCAGCAAGTTTCGTCAGCTTCCCCTCCGTCCGCTCAACATAGTCCACCAAATCCTCAATCGTGCAAACCTTCAACCCCCACTTCTTGCCAAACGCCAGACATCCGTCTCTCCTCATCATGCCAGGCAATGCCCGTTCTGCGCGGCCCTCAACCTCCGCCCCATCCTCCACCATCTCGCATATGACGCCCACGGGCGACTTCCCCGCCAACCTGCAAAACTCCACTGCAGCCTCGGTATGACCCTTCCGCTCCCTCACGCCACCTTCTCTCGCCCGTAAGGGAAAGACATGTCCCGGTCTTCTGAAGCTCTCCCTCGTCGCCGTCTTGCTCGCCAACGTCCGGCACGTCAGCGCCCTGTCATGGGCGCTGATGCCCGTGGTAGTCTCCGGCGCATCGGCATCGATGGATATGGTGTACGCGGTGCGGTTCGGATCCTCGTTGTTGGTAACCATCTGCGGGAGGTCGAGCTCAGCACACAGACTGGGCGGGATGGGCGCGCAGATTAGCCCCGAGGTGTGGCGGACCATGAAGGCCATTTTCTCGGGCGTTACGTCGGATCCGGCGATTATCAGGTCGCCTTCGTTCTCGCGCGAGAGGTCGTCCAGGACGACGATGAATTCGCCATTTCCTGTAAGCCTCGGGTTAACTCGGGAAGTTTATCTTTGAAGTTGGAGGAGGCGGTTTTTGGGATGTAGGTTCTTTTTTTGGTTCGGTCGGATTTTATAGGGGAGAGAGGGATTGGACATACTGAACGCTTCGATTGTATCCTCTATCGAGTCGAATTCTTGTGCGATGTCTGAGGCGGGCATTTTTGGAGAATATGGAGAGGAAGGATATGACTGATTTCTCAACTGTACCCCGCTTGATGTCGGATAACGGTTCTTTGACTTGTCGGGAGGGGCAATTGGGCAAGAACTCGAGGAAGTAGAGATTGTTTTATCGACTTGGTGGTGGTATTGTTTTTTGTAAGGAGACGGTATGAATGCGGAACGTGTGAGACAGAGCAGAGAGCGCTGGATATATGGTGTGAGGCAAAGCGTAAGTATTTCGCAGAGAAATCGGCGAGGTTGTACGAAGTATGTAAGGGACGCAAACGCCGAGGATCAGGTCGCATGTGTACTTCGTAGTGGGTGCAGCCCGCGGCCAGGCCAGGGAGTCCGGAGACCAGACAAGGCAAAATAGGCTGGCGGGCTGGCTGGGTGCCGAGGCTGACATGTTGGTGGCCCCAGTGGCAGCTCGGATTATTCACCACCACCAATTTATTTGCAAGCAACGACCAACGCCTGAGCAAGGGAGACTTGAACACACAGCAACCACGCATAATTACAAACCCGATGACAAGGAAATGGCGGCAATAACATCTCCCCTCCAGCCCACCTCCCTCCGCAACCTCGCACTTCTCCTTCGAACAGCTCCGCGATTCGTACAGAACCAATTCCGCTTCCAAAGCACAACCTCAGGGCCGGCTTCCTCGTCGTCCGTCAACCCAACAGAGGTCTCACACTTCAATGCCCTCGCCTCAACATGGTGGGATCCGCAAGGCTCGTCGCGGCTCCTCCACCTCATGAACCCTCTCCGTCATGACTTTATCCGTTCTTGCCATGCCACGCAGCCCATACCTCCACCCGCAGCCGGCCTGCGATACCTCGACATTGGCTGCGGCGGCGGGATTTTTGCTGAGAGTGCAGCGAGGTTACACAATACGGGGCTGGTGACGGCGATCGATCCCTCGCCGCAGGTTCTCGCGGTTGCGAAAGCGCATGCGAGGCAAGACCCGGGGCTGAGTGGGAAATTGAATTACCTCAATTCGTCGATTGAAGGTCTCCCCAAACCCACGTCGGTGGAGGAGCAATACGATGTCCTGAGCTTGTTTGAGGTCATTGAACATATCACGCACCCGGCTGAGTTTATGGACGTTTGTGCGGATTTCGTGAAGCCTGGCGGGTGGATTGTTATGAGCACCATCGCTAGGACATGGTTGAGTTGGTTTACGACGAAGCTTGTTGCTGAGGATATTGTTGGCATTGTGCCGAGAGGGACGCATGATTGGGATAAGTATATTAATGCCGAGGAGCTGAGGGGGTATTTCCTCAAAGAGAGAGGATGGAACAGTCCCCAGGTTGTGGGCGTTGTGTATGTCCCTGGCTTGGGGTGGAAGCAGGTGGATGGGAGTGAGAAGGTGGGGAATTATTTCTTTGGAATTAGGAAGGATGAGGTATGATAGACCGGAGTGTGTGAGTATAAAATTCTCATCATGTATCAGTATGGGAGGCTTAGGCCAAAATCAATTGTAGGCTATCATGCCTCTATGTGTATAACAAGGTTATACTTCGTTCTATAATATGTATACTAAGCACTATTTGTTGAGCAATACCCAAGGTATCTAGCTACCATGTTGATATATCATTCCCTTTGCCGTGGTCTTTCTATTAAAATTCGAAGTTAGCTGTGCTTAAGAGGAAAACATATGCCCTCCTTGTTGTCAAGAAAGGGGGTAAGCGAGCTTGGACATAACATTGAACTACGCCCTTATTTTAGGTGAGGTAGATAGATAGAAGCATCGACAACAATAATATGAATACGCCTATCATTATAACATATATTATATTTTCAAGCTAGAAGCGTCTTGACTTCCATTACTCCCTCATCTAGCTTCTCTACTTCTCGCTACTGAAGGGTGACTTCCACGGAACTGGCCGCGATATCTCTAGTCCCTTAGCTATTCTAACCCAACGGAATCAAATATCTCCTGTTGGAGGTCATGTCCTTGTGGGCTCCAAGTGTTCTCGAGTTATAACTACCCCCTATATGCAATAATTAGGGAATTCCCAGGCTTCATATTCAAGCCTCAGCTTTGTAGCCACCGAAGCGACACTTCCTTTTGAGATGTGGTTGTTTTTGTATGTAGATATAAGAAAAGTATATCTTTGACAAGGCAACTTCTTCAACGTGAATTGGTATTCAGATTGCTCTTAGGCAAACATACTATCATCAAGAGAACGGTCACCGCCTTGGGGATAGTTGCTTGTACCCGGAGCTCCGCTAAAAACACATTATCGGTGGATGTCATCGTCGGATGCTGTGTCACAATTAAATAAACAACATTCTGCCTTGCGAACACCTCCCCAAACTATACCTCTTGATCCCGATCTTTCCCCAGGAACTCTCCTACCTCTCTTCACGGTTATCATCAGACTCTAAGGACAAGAAAATAAAAACAAGCAATCACTGTTCAACCTCGTTGAGCCGCTGGCCAAAATGCACCTCTTCAAGACGACCATTGGTCACGCTCTGCTCCTCACCTTCCTCCCAGCAGTCCTGGCCTGGCGCGGAGAGCGCGTTTGTCCTCTTAGCCAAACATACTGCAGCATCCCGCACGGCTGGCGCCAATTCGGATCCACGTGTACTCTCATCTCACTGACGCACAACACCACCTGGTCCAGCAAATTCCCCAACCTGGAGAGCGTCCCTGCTGTTGATCTAATCATTTACGACATGAAATGCCGCGAAATCGGTTGCGAGAGGGACATACCAGAAGGTTCGACGCTCCGGGTACCAACACTGTTGCCATTCGTGCTAATCGTCACTGTACCAACGGCCCATGAGGAGCTCCCGCGGCTTTGGTATGATGGGGGAAGGTATGGTGCCGGTGTTAGTGCCGAGAGAAGTGGAAGGGGTAGTTGGGGATCGGTGGGGAGATTGAGCTTGAGTCCACCGGTAACCTATGAGGTCTATGGAGATTGGGGGCCGTTCAAGGTAGCTGAGGTGGTGTTTGACTGCTAGTTGGGGAGTACATCACAGTGTATATTTTCAGGAGACAATAATTGGGGGCCGTGGCTGAGCTGTGAAGAGGGATCGTGAGGGCATTATTGGTGAGTAATCATTCCGTTTTTTTGCATGTTTAGTAATCTTGATACTGACCTGAAGTTAGAATTTCCCTCTCGAATCTTGGCCAACCCAATAGAGACTCACCGATACGCGCCTCCTTTCGATGTGGGAGTGGATCCTTTCGCCAATAGGTTACCGTTGCATGGTGCTTGCAGGACATGTGTTCGGCTTGATCAAGGAGATGTACATGTACTGTATAACGGAATATCCAGAACAGACACGGCACATGCCGATCCGTACAAATAAATGCGGTGGTCATAATAACACTAAGTTTAAGACATATTGAGTAGTATTACTCGATGCGCGAAAAAGCACTTTCAAGTAAGCTGATGGTGTGGTAAGTGTTCGGGCAATAGCTGTACCACATTGGAATCAACATTTGAAACAAACAAACACCGTGTGTGAAATCTCGCATGGATTCAAAAAAGCCACAAAGCTCACCCTAGGAATCTGTGCTAAGCCTTAGCACAATCCTCCGTAGCCTTAATCTTCTCAAACAGCCGCAGAAACACCTCCGGTTCTTGGGCTCCACCAACCTCGTACTTCCGCTGGATGGTAAAGTTTGGAACTCCGCTGATCTGGTTCCTCTTGGCTTGCTCAACCTCATGATCCACCTCTGGTCCTCCCTTGTCACTCTCCAACCATTCCTTTACTTCTTTCTCGTCCAACCCCGCTTTGACGCCAGCGTCACGAAGCACTTGATGACTTGTGATATCGCCCTCATTTTCAAAGTATGCTGAGAATAGCTCCTCCACTACTCTGGTCTGGACAGCGGGAGACTTGGACTGCCCAAGGCTGATCAATCTGTGACTGTCACGAGTATTGCCAGCTTTGCCACCAAATTTAAAGTTAATTCCAACGTCCGTGCCAACTTGCGAGAGGCGGTCGAACATCATGGCAGCGCGCTCTTCTCCGAATCTGGAATTATAATATGCTATCTTATCGACACCTATATAAAGGATTAGGTCAAAGCTAGCTGTATAATGTTGGGCGCCTTGGAATTACCTATTTTGGGGGCGCCAGGATTGAGATAGAATGGCTTCCAAGTTATGGAAAAAGTGTCGTTCGAATCTGGATGCGATTCTTTGTAGGCCTTGATTGCCCCGTCCAGTTTTTTCTTGCCCACATAACACCATGGACAAACGGTGTCGGAGACAACCTGGATATCGAATGTGGTCATTCTGCGGAGAGTGGGTCGGAACATACAAAAGTAGGAAATAGGTTATGAGTTGTGAAAGTCACCGTAGAGTCGGAATGCCAATATTATATAGTGCGGCTAAATGAGCGGAAGAGAAGAAGGAAGAAGGAACAAAGAGAGCCTCGGATTTATAATAAGATTACCTATATAGTATCTTCGACGGTCTCCAGCATGTGGGCAAAATGAGTTCCATTCAATTGATTAGAAATCAGCCCGCTCGGTCCGGAATTGCGGGTCCTTCCACCTCCAAGCTGTCCGAAGGGGATATATCACGTGACATCAAAGCCTTTCCAGTCCAGGCTGATGACTTCGGAGACTTAACTCCATATGTCCAGTGTCTCACGTCTGCCATGTATGCCCCCTTTGGCTGAAAAACGCCACATGTAGCTGGTACTGGCCATTTCCCGAAGCTAGCCCTCGAACGCCAATGCGAAACGACGATGATTTACCTCCCAAACGCCTGATGTTGCTGCCCGTTTGCCGTCTAATGTAACATAGAAGCCCTGGTCCATATTGATATTCCGCCACTATTTCTTCGACTTATCGTAGTCCTTAAGTAAGTGTGCCATATGTGCATTCGTAACCTTGCCACCCTTTCTGGGAGCCTTCTTCTTCTTCTCCTTTGGCTTGAGAGGGCCCTTTACACGCTTGCTGGGGTCTTCACTCGCTGGCTTTTGGCCGGCTTCCTGGAGTTGTCGCACGAGATCATCAACACTTGGTAACTGAATTCCGGCCCACATATTTTTGAACTCTTGATCAACCTTGTGAACCAGAGAAGGGTCGTTGCTCCAGACCATCCTGGCATGGTTGTCTTTCTTCGTTCTGGTCACTAGGATCCTGTGCTCGGCTTCCAGTTCGTCAATAGCGTCCTCGCAATTAGGCCAGCCATCTTTCAAATCTTTGACAAGAACACCTCGTGCATCAGCTCGGGTTTGTAGATGAGAGATTAACTCGTTCTTCGACCGAACATCGATCAACGGCAGATAGAGGAAAGTCCCCGAGTCCCAAGTCTGGACCTTCAGATTGGGGTCGGGAATCCATTTGACCCGGTCATGAAGCTTGAGGATTTTGACGATGAGTCGTTTCTTCGCCTCTTCAACGTTGCTTTGACTGAGCCAGGACATAATCTCGTGAATTGTCTTCGGTTGATCCTTCTTCTTCAAGAAGTCGTCGATAACATACGTAATCTGGGTGAGAGTTTCGTTGCCATGGCCGGTTGAGGCAGGTTGGGAGTATACGATATTTGGGGTTTCTCTTTTGCGTTTACCATCCTTTTGGAGCTTCGATGTAGCCGATGCGTTCGACGGTGCTGGCGAAGGGGCAGACTCTGGCTGAGCTGTGAGGTTCGGGCGCTTCGTAGAGACTTTGGTCGCGGCAGATGTAACATTGCTTTTGAAAGCCCTTTGCTGCTTTTCGAGATAGGAAGACATCGTGGTGTCGTGGAAGGGTGAGAAGGCTCTGAGGCTAAACCGGAGGTGGCGCAAGTGGCACACGGCTTAAGCGCCTTGGGGACGGATAGTTGACAAAATCGAGGAGAAGGGAGGATTGGCGGATAGAGAAGAAAGGGGATATTTCCTCGGAAAGGGGCAGCGGATGTTTGGGCGGAGAAGTAATAATAGAGAGAACAAAGGGAATATGGAAGGGATATAGTGTGCTCTGAGCAGCGAGGTCAAGCTCACAAGGCTGCATGTCTTGGCGCCGGATTAATTCACTTTCACGCCAAACCTTAAGCGTAGAACTCGGGAGCTTCAAAGAACCTCGACGAGACATCAAAACAACAACACCCGCGCAACGGTTAGCTCCCGCGTATACTCACAAGAGCCAGAACCTTGGTTCATCGGTTTCTCAAGACATGCGCTGAACCACAAGATCTCCCTTGGATGCCTTAGGAGTCTGACAACTCAGACATTCCATCCAGCGCAGTTTACCCAGAAAACGCGGTTTCGTTCTACCTCGCTCAGCACAGCTTGTGTCTATGGGATACTGGTCATCTTGATGACTATCGGTTCGCAGTCATGGCTACGGAAGTAGTAGATATCAACTACCTATCGGGGTATCTGAGTCTCCCGCACGATACACTTGTTTCGGTCCTTGATGCTCCCACGACCGAGCTCGTTCGTTCAGTTCTATATGCAGTCACAGCAAAGGCGCGCGAGCATGATACATTAGCCGCAGACAAACTACGCGTGGATATTGAGTTGGAAAATGCGGTCAGGAGCTCAGAGACGCGCATTGACGGGCTCCGGACCGGCTTGGAGAAGGCGCAGAAGACAGTAGAGGAAGTTCGGACCAAGTTAAAGGAGGAAGGTAGCTATACTCAAAGGTCAGAATCATGAATGTTTATAAGCTCACAATTATCCGAACAGAAACCGCGCGCTCATCTCTAGAAACCGAACTTCAAAACCTTAAGTCTTCCTCGTCGACTTCAACATCCGAGGCCGAGACATTGCGAGCTCGCATCTTGTCTCTCGAGGCTGCAAATCGCGATACCGTAGCGTTGCTCGAATCCAAGACCACGGCGAATGACGATCTAGCCAAGGAGGTACAAAAACAGCACCAGAAGGGTTTGGAGCTCAGTCAGCAAATAACAAGCATTCAACAACAGGTCCAGAATGCCAATTCCGCAGCCTCTAGCGCAAAATTCCGAGAGCAGTCACTCAAGCAAGAGGTTGAGTTGGCGAAGGGGAGTGCAGAATGGTTCGAGAACGAATTGAAGACCAAGAATGCTGAGGCTCAGAAATATCGAAAGGAGAAGGGTGCCAGGATTGCCGAGCTCCAGCGCCTTAATGAAGACGCCAATTCCAACCTTGAGGCTTTGAAGAAGACGGAACAGGCTCTCAGAAACAGGCTTGATGAAGTACAAAAGAAGGCAGAAGACTCCCTGACCAAAGTTCAACAGCTCCAAGAAGCAGCTGCTAAGACTGAGGAAGGTTTCCGTCAAGAGCTAGAAAGCGCACGCCGACTTGCAGAATTGCAATCTCAACAGACGGAGACTCACCGTAATAGACTGAAGGAGGTTGAAACCGAACTTGACAAGGTCAAAGTTGATGCAGCTGAGGAAATTGGCAGATGCCGCCAAGAAGCCGAAGTAGAGCGAGAAGAACGGGAGCAAGTGGATCGTCGGGTTGAAGAACTAGAGGAGCAAGTCGATCATCTTCAAGCGCAGCCTAGACCTAGCTCCATTCCCGGAACACCTCGCCAAGGCCTCAATGGCTCAGTGTATGGGCGGTCAGGATCGCCAGCCCAGTTTGCCAGTCCGGGATCCGTTAGAAGCAAGTCAGCTATCACAGCTACGCAGGCCATTGATGAGCTCTACAAAGTAAAGGGCCTGTTAACGACGGAGAGGCGACGGAGCGAACGTCTTGCCGCTGAAATGGAGACGATGGTCGAGGGACTGGAAGCTAAGCAGCCCGAAATTGAAGAGCTACAAGCTGAACACGAACGCCTGCAACAGGAAGTGGTAGAGATGTCAAAATTCGTGGACCAGACTGGAAAGGAGAGAGACCGTTCTAAGAAAGATCTTAGAAAAGCTGAGAGCGATGCTTCTACAGCACAAGCGGAAGCAAATATCCTTCGGCAGCAGCTCCGCGATCTAAGCGCCCAGGTCAAGATGCTATTATGCGACTTAGACGCTCGCGAAAGAGGAATTGATGCCTTAAGTGCCGCAGAGCGATCGCAACTTGAACGACTAGCCCGAGGTGAAATTAGCGAAGAGGCTTTGGAAGGGCTTACTGACACGGACCGATTTATTAGCCAGCGATTGACTGTATTCCGAAGTGTTAGTGAGCTTCAGGAGAAAAACCAAGAGCTTCTGAAAATTACACGGCAACTGGGGGCGCAGATGGAGAGCGAGGAGGCATTGGCGGCCAAACACCAAGCTGCAAAGGATCACGAAGAAGTCCAGAGTCTTCAGGCCAAGATTGAGAATTATAAGGACGAACTTCAGTCTATGCTAACTAGGTCTGAAAGCTATATCAAAGAACGAGATATGTTCCGCCGTATGCTTCAACACCGCGGACAATTACCACCCGCTTCTGACCTCGCGTCGGTCTTTGGACAGTCAATTGATGGAAGTCAAAATGGCTTAGTACCGACTGTCGAGCAGAACCCGGCCAACTCCACCAATTATCCAGTCTTGCTCAGAGAATTACAAGCACACTTCGATCAATACCGAAATGAGCAGACCATCGATCGTCGAACATTGAAAGAGCAGACGGAAAAACTCTCATTGGAAAAGGGCACCCTTCAAGCCGAAATTGCAAAGGTTAGCAGTCAGCTCACATTCTCCAGTGAGAGATACGACATGCTACAAGCCAATTATAACATGCTGCAAAATGAGAACAGCGAACTACAAAAACGATCACAAACGCTTTCTGAAGCTGCTGCAAAGCAAGATCTTCGGACGCAGCAAGTCGCAGAAGATCTTATTGAGGCCAAGGGCCTAGTCGAGAGTATGCGGAACGAGAATGCCAATCTCAAGGCCGAGAAAAAGCTTTTCAAAGATATCCAAGATCGACTGAGCGCGGACAATGAAGCGTTAATGAACGAACGGACGCGGCTAAACAACTTGATTGCGAACCAACAATCCTTGCAAAACGAGCGGGAACTTTCTGAATCAGAGACTAGGCGGCGACTTCAGACGCAAGTGGAATCGCTTGAAGCCGAATTGTCGGCAACCAAACGCAAGTTGAGCGATGAAACTGAGGATAATAAGAAAGCCCAATTACGGAAGGAGTATGATTTCCAGCAAAACCAAAAGCGTATCGATGACCTTGCAAGCAGCCTAAGCCAGGTCCGCGAGGAACTGGTAGCTGCAAAGACTTCCCGTGACCATCTCCAAGCTCGGGTCGATGAGCTAACCATCGAGTTGAAGAGCGCCGAAGAGCGGGTGACACTGCTTCAACCAAGACCCACGCCACGGACTGCCCCAAGCACTGATAAAGTTGCCAATACCAATGAGGATGTCTCGGCGGACGAGGATAGGGAACAACAACTCGGCATAGAGGTCTCAGAGTTGAAGAGAGATCTCGAACTTGCAAAATCTGAGCTCGAGAACACGAAGAGCCAGATGGAACAGTATAAATCAATAAGCCAATCATCCGAAGAAGAGCTTCAGAGTCTCAATGATACACAAGATCAATACCGAGAGGAAATGGATCGCATCATAGCGGAGAAGGACTCCAAAATCGGGGAATTAGAACAGCGGGTTCTGGATATATCAACGGAGCTTACTACCACAAATAACGAACTGACGTCGGTCCGAAATCAACAGGCGGATACTGCTAGACAGGCTGATGATTACAAGGCTATTCTTGAACAAGAAATCTCGAGACTCAAGGACCAAGATGAGAGACATGCCACCGCGGCGCAGTTCCATCAGCAGGACCTCCGCGCGCAAGCAGCGATTGCCACCAAGGCCCAGCAAGACTATGAGAATGAGTTAGTGAAGCATGCCGAAGCGGCAAAGCTACTCCAGAACCTCCGCGGCGAGTACAACCAACTGAAGAGCGAGTCCGCATCGTTTAAGGCCGATGCCGAATCCGCTCGAGTTGCGTTGAGTCAGAGTCAGGCTTCTTGGGATGAGCGTCGGCATCAGTTTGAGCAAGAATTGAAGGAACTACGAGCTCGACGCGACGATGTTAATGCACAGAACAAGCTGCTTCACCAGCAACTGGAAAGCGTTGGAGATCAAATCTCAGCGCTCCAACAAAGTCGTACCACATTAGCCGACACTGGCGATGCCGCATCACCGGCTCCGGGTTCAACCTATGACCGAACAGCTGACGGGCTGCGCGAGCTAAATGCTTTCTTGAGGCGCGAGAAAGAAATTGTAGAAGTCCAGTATGACCTCAAAGTGCAAGAGTCCAAGCGCCTGCAGCAACAGGTTGATTACACGCAGTCGCAGCTTGACGAAGCTAGACTGAAACTCGATCAAGAACGGCATCTTCATGCTGATGGAAGCAGAAGCTCTGTAGCCCACAAAGACCTCATGGAGAAGTTGAATGAGCTGAATCTCTTCCGGGAGAGTAGTATTACCCTGAGAAACGAGGCTCGTCAAGCTCAGGTCCAACTATCAGAAAAGACGAAGCGTGTGGAAGAACTCACTGGACAGATCCAGCCATTAGAAACCAAGATCAGAGAGCTTGAGCATGGCAAGGAGACAATGGATGGAGAGATGCGATTGTTACAGGAAGACCGGGACCGGTGGCAGAAGCGCACGCAAGACATAATTTCGAAGTATGACCGCATTGACCCTGCAGAGATGGAACAATTGAAAGAAACCATTGAAACCTTGCGAACGGAGCGAGATACCTTACTCGAAGACAGGCAGCCTCAGCAAGAAAAAATCCAGAGCCTGGAGGCGGAGAAGGCTACATGGCAACAATCACGGCAGAAGTTGATCGACCAAGCCAAGGAGAGATCGCGTGTCCAGACGAAGGAAAACAACAACCGCACCGCCGAGAGAGACGTTGCGATCCAGGAGAAGGACGCTCTCCAACTGCAGCTTTCTGGTATCCAGCAGCAACTCGCATCTGCCATCGAAGAGAAGGGTGCCGCAGAGCAACAGCTCGCGATTGCCGTCAAAGAACAAGATATCGCAGAGAAGCAACTCGTCTCGCTGAGGCAAGAGCTTGAGGGGTTTAAGTCTGAACGTGACCGCTTGGCTGCTATCTCTGAGGCCTCCGTATCTCAGGCCCCTGTAACCCAACCGCCGCCAACAGAGGCGGCTGGGCAACAACACAATGAAGTCGCCGAACAACAACTTGCCCAACTCCGAAAACAACTGGATGATGTTACACAGGAGAAGGTATCCCTCGAATCGCAGGTGAAGGATTTGCGCGAGCAGCTTCAAAAGGTCACCTCCGAACGAGACAATGCTGCTTCTGAAGCTCTGGAGGCACGCTCAAACCAAACTATTAACACCTCGAATAATACCTTGGCCAGCGAAAATGAGGATGGGCAGATCGACGAGAGCCCAAAAGCCAGTGTCTCCGAAACCGAGAGAAGGGTTCTTGAAGAGCGCATTGCTGCGGCGGACGCAAAGGCCAAGGAATGCGAGGAGAAGGCTGCCAAGATCGAAAAGGAGATGGATGACACGGTTAAAGCACGGTCCGAGAAGATGAAAGCTGCTTTAAATAAGAAGCTTGCTGAGTCACGGGAGACTCAGAAGAAGCAGCTCGAGGCGGAATACGATTTGAAACTCGAACAAGAAAGACAAATTTGGCTCGCAGAATCGAAAGCTGCAGCTCCTCCTGCCCCATTAACAGTTTCTACTACTCCATCAGCCACTCCATCTAAACCAAGTGTAGATACGCCATCGGCTGCGGCAGCCGCTCCCACAACTCCAGCTACCCCAGCCACTCCTGGCCAGAGGCCGCCGGTCACAACCTTTGATAGCACCAATCTCTCCGATGCACAAGTTCGAGACTTTTTGTCAAATAACGTCACAGTCAAATCTATTGTTACCAGCAATGTCAAGAAGAAGGTTGATGCTGAAACCCAAAAGTTGAAGGAAGAATATGAGAAACGCCAAGCTCAAGCTGTATTCATGACAGAGAAAAAGTCTTCATTAAGACTCAACATCGCTGATAACAGAATTAAAGTTGCAAACGGGAAACTTGAGATAGTCGAAACAGCTGCCCGAGAAACGCCCCAGAAGCCAGTTGTTGAAGTCTGGGAGGTTGCCAAGGCCTATAAACCTCCACCACCAACCCCAGGTATGGCCCCTCTTAAGTTCCCATATGGTCGCTACTAACATTCATTCTAAAGAAACTACTGCTCAGCCAAATGGAACCCCTTCCTCGGCACCGAAAGTAGCCGATGTCAAGACGGAAGCTGGTACAACCAGTGTGCCGCAACCTTCCCCACAGACACAAAACGCTCCGCCAGGGCCAACAAATGGCACAGCGTCGATTCCGACTCCCGCAGTTATTCCTGTATGTTCCACCCTGCAACTGAAACTAGAGAGCACATACTAACCTTCACTTAGACACTTAACGCGGGCAATAATACACAGGCCGCCGCTAATGCCGGTCGAACCTCTGGTATTCCGACAATGAGAGGTGGGGCGGCCGGTCGAGGCCGGGGTGGAAATCAGGTCTATCAAGCAGGACGTGGGGGTGGCGTGCCAGGAAGGGGTAGAGGAAATGCTCCTGGCCAGAGAGGGGGCCTGAATGCTGGAGCACCAGCTTATAACCCCCAGGGCCAAGCTGGAGTCAAACGAGCTCGTGAAGAAGGATCTATTGGAGGTCCAGGAAACAGCGGGAAGAGAGCTCGAGGTGGGGGTCAGAACAATTAAGGGCGGTTCTTTTGTTTGGTATGTAATATGTATGATAGTTTGCTATTGCATAGCCAGCGACGGCTTTCTTATGTTGTGTCGAGGGGTGGCGTATGGACTAATGATTGAGGCATAAAACACATGTACCTCAGAAGAGCTTTGCAATTTCAAGCAAAGACTATGGGAAAACTAACTCAATAAAAGTACTGACGCGGGATTATAATTCTCTGGGTCTCGTAATTGCAGCTTTATTGAAATTTTGCTAGGTTACTGGGTATCAGTTTCTTGAGAGCCTCCACCTGGCGTCCTACCATCTTGAGCTTCGGATCCTCGACACCGCTGCGGTCTATCCGGCGCACTCCATTCCCAAACACAACTGTATAATCTGGCAGTATTTCGCCTTCTGCAACCTCACACAAGGGACCAATTCTACAATGCTATTCGCAAAAACACATGTAAGCCAATGCCCGATACTCAAAAATGGGCCATCCCTACCTTCCCTAAGACTGCTCCCTTCCCAATCCTAGCATTGATCTCAATGAGACATCCCTCTCCTATCGATAGCGCCTCCACCGTAGCTCCGACCTCAACCACGACCCCATTCTCAATGAGTACCCCTTCGTTTTCGTTTCCTGTCGCTTCGCTTTGCAGACCGATCATGCTTCGCTCGCTGAGGATGCAATTATTGCCTATTGTAATAGATGCGTATGTGGAATTCAATTTGGTTCGCGGATGGACCACGGTGTTGGATCCGAGGGTTATAAGGTGTGTGCCTGTGAGAGAGGCTTGGTCTGCTATGATGAGCGTGGAGGCGAGGAAAGTTGGAGGCTTGGGTGCAGCAGGCATCATGGAGGCTCGTTTTGAAGACGACATTGTGGCAGGATGTTTGTTCTTTGCTTCGGTTTACTAGTACAAAGCTCTTCTCCTCTCAAGGTAGGGTATAATGTGCAGGTGGGAGACTGCTGCTTCCCAGAAGGTCAATAGCCATTTAACAAGCGTGCAACAAAAGAATGCACAAGTAACATAACAGTGATGCCCGCCTTTTGTACTTCTCCAACTGGGCAGCTTACCTCTCTGATTGGAATGGGTCCATAGCTGTCGGAGCTGTGGAAATATACCTCAATTGCCGGGATTCATGTCCATGATGGCAGCTTGGTGGTTGATAATGAAGCTCTCAAAGCTAAACGAACGAAATGTAGCACATGTGGTCGCTGTCGGCCCCCAAAGCGCCTACGGTGCGGCTGCAGCCAACCACAGCTCACATATTTGCCCGATTTCAATCAATGATGGCTTCACTCCCCTCGCCAGTGCTAGTAATCCAAACTCTACCTCAACCTCAACCAGGCGGTCTGTCGTCCATTGGCTCAATTGCAATTGAGCACAACCGTCGTCGATATGTTATCGCGACATAGGCCGGCCTCCAAGGCTGCATGCTCTCTCACTGCCCGTGTGCTTCCCTCGACAACAAGCACCACTCCGCGAGTCCCGTCCTTCACTCCACAACAATCATCCCGGGGCCTTGCAACGGTCCAAGACGCTCCTCCACCAAAGAAAACGCAGTATGGGGGACTGAGGGACCAAGATCGCATCTTCCAGAATCTCTACGGGCGCACTGGTGCGGATTTGAAGAGCGCGAAGAAGCTTGGAGACTGGCACAAAACGAAGGAGATTTTGGCGAAGGGCCATGAATGGGTATGCCGAAGGAGCTCCAATGGCAGTTTTGGGTCGAACGTTGACAATTGGCATAGATCATTTCCGAAATCAAAGCGTCTGGCCTACGAGGACGCGGTGGCGCTGGGTTTCCTTCCGGAATGAAATGGGTAAATGAAGCTTCTCGATCCGTTGTGGTCTTGGCTAATAATTGGTAGTCATTCATGAACTTCAAGGATTGGGATAAGGATACAAAGCCGAGATATCTCCTCGTCAACGCTGATGAGGGCGAACCGGGAACCTGCAAGGACCGAGAAATCATGCGTAAAGACCCCCACAAGCTGATCGAAGGATGTCTGGTTGCGGGCCGAGCCATGAACTGCTCAGCTGCATATATTTATATCCGTGGCGAGTTCTACCATGAGGCGACAGTCCTACAGCGAGCGATCCAAGAAGCTTACCAAGATGGATTGATCGGCAAGAATGCCTGTGGCAGTGGCTATGATTTCGATGTCTACGTCCACCGTGGAATGGGAGCCTACATATGTGGTGAGGAAACTTCGTTGATCGAGTCTTTGGAGGGCAAGCCTGGCAAGCCTCGTTTAAAGCCTCCGTTCCCTGCGTCTGTTGGTCTCTTCGGGTGTCCTTCAACCGTTGCGAACGTTGAAACTATTGCTGTAGCGCCAACTATTTGCAGGCGAGGAGGTTCCTGGTTTGCTTCCTTTGGACGAGAGCGGAATTCCGGGACAAAGCTGTTCTGTATCTCAGGACATGTCAACAACCCATGTACTGTGGAGGAGGAGATGAGTATTCCTCTCCGTGAGCTCATCGACAAGCACTGTGGCGGTGTTCGTGGAGGCTGGGATAACCTGAAGGCTATCATTCCCGGCGGGTCTTCTACACCAATCTTGCCCAAGAGTGTATGTGATGAACAGCTGATGGACTTTGATGCGCTGAAGGATAGCCAGTCCGGTCTTGGTACCGCGGCTGTGATTGTGATGGACAAGAGCACCGATGTCGTACGAGCCATCTCACGACTAAGTCACTTCTATCGACATGAGTCTTGCGGTCAATGCACACCTTGCCGAGAGGGTAGCAAATGGACTGAACAGATGATGTCGAGATTCGAGAAGGGGCAGGGCAGGGTCCGAGAAATTGACATGCTGCAAGAACTTACAAAGCAAGTCGAGGGCCATACCATCTGTGGTAAGTCGCACATCATTACATAACCCTTGTTCCATACTAATATCAGAAAATAGCTCTTGGCGAAGCTTTTGCATGGCCCATCCAGGGACTAATTCGACATTTCCGTCCGGAGTTGGAGGCACGTATGAAGGACTACTCGGAAGCCCAGGGAGGAGCGGCGCTAGCTGGAGGTTGGGATCATTCTGCAGTAAAGGAAGGGAAGCTCATTTCACCTGGACAATAGATGTGAAGGAAAAGAATACAGTGCTCATAGGGGCGCAATCCTCTTGTATTTATTGCTATTATGCTTGGCCGCTTTGCCTTGGAGTAATGTATCAAACAACCTCAATTCTCGTTTGTGATAGATCCAAAAAAAACTATATGATAAATCTTGCAAATACTTCTCTGTCCAATTTGCTTGGATAGGAATGCGAGCAATGAGGGCTTCCCCCTCGGTCGCTCAGTCATGTCCCAGGTTTGTATACCTGTCGGATGAGCTTGATAATAGAAGTCTCTAGGACCCAAGGACCTCCATAGCTTTCACGGAAGCCCCACTCCCCAAAATACACCTCAACCCCTGAGTGTCGATAATAATTTCAGGGGCCCGAAACACGCGGCTAGTTGCTGCACGTTTTCTCTTAGCCCCATTGACGACCAAGCGTTAACTTCAAAGCCTCAACTTCAAAAATTTCAGAGATAATGAGTACTGTATAGGCAGACGCCGAGCTACTATCTTACCACCAAATTTCACTCCTGGCGGTAATCTCGTCCCGTCCCGCCATCACGACCCGCTCCCGCAACAACTAGAAGAACAACCAATAGAGAATGTCGTATACAAAACAAATCATAGGCTTCACAAGCGACGCCGGTAAGCTCTTCCAATACCTTCTCCCTTATTCTCACTACCCCCTATTCACGTGATACTGTATATCCTACTCCCATTCTTCCGCTCCTAATTGAACTTGCACCGCCCGTACCTAACACAACCCAGGAGCCCTGGAAAAACTCCTCCGCTTCATCCAATTCTCCGCCCAAATTCTCGCCTCGTACACCTCAGAGCGAGCAGCATGGTTACTCCTCCGAAGCCAATTGGCACTCGGTCGGCGCTACTTCCGCTGGTTCCGCTTCCTGGACTGCTTTTCCAAAGCATATGAATCGTTCAATAGCACGGAAGCTAGGGGGACGGGGTTTATGGGCGCTTTGCTAGTTGGGAAGTGGGGGTTTATGGGAGCTTATTTAGGGCTGGAGAGTCTGGCTATTGTATGTCTTCATGCCCTTTCTTTCTTACGACCTTTTGCTTCGGGCAGAGTATGCCTTGAATTCCAGTCCCTAATCTCCCTTCTCTTCTAATTTTGCTCTTCACAAATATGTGCTTTCACGTTTGGGATTTGCCGTGGACTGATGATCAAATTTTATAGTTGGATGTGATGGGTGTGTGGCCGGCCCACGAATGGGGCCAATTTTGTTTGTTGGAAGGGAGCCGCTTGTGGTTCTATGCTCTGGTGTGTTCCATTATTTGGCAGCTTTGCGTGTTGTATTTGCCCTCGAAGGCAGGGAACGCATCTTCCACCGGTACGGAAGCAAAGTCTAAGGGTAGTCATGGAAAGGCGAATAGCAAGGAAAAGGATTCAACTGCAAAGTTAAGAGCTGCAGAATCCAGAATGCGGACGCTCACCAAGAGGAGATTGGCAGCAGATGCTTTCGATCTTTTTCTTCCAGGAGCAGTCACGGGGTGGATTCCTGCCGCTCCTGAAACCGTTGGGTTTGCAGGGGTTGCGAGCACTACTTTGGGATTGATGGAGATGTGGGATAAATTTTGAGAAAGTTTTTGAACGGATGAATAAGTAATACCCTACAGTTAGAGTGTGATGTGATTGCAAGGATAGACCATTTATTGTGTATCTGGCCATATATAACCAGTAATCTAACCTCCTCCCAAACGAGGTATTTAAATATCCTAAATAATCCCAAGCCGTAGGCCGGAATAAGTGCAAGGCCCACCACGCAGGAAAATAAGAACAAAAATCCCATCGCAAATTCAACTCCCGGGTTAAATTCCTTACAATGCCATGGTTCTTCCTCCAATCTTCCAATTATTGGCCCTCAGTTTATACATAGAGGTCATCCCGCGTTGAATCGTCCCGCCTAGAGATTGGTGCAACATCAGAAACCAAATATATATCTCTCGTCCAACTTCGCACCAAGGCAGAGTATCCATGTTAGACAACAAGGTTCCCTTAACCCTAATAGCGTATCGACGATGCGCAATCAACCTGATTTTAGAAAATCAATTCCTTTGCCTAGTATGTTGTACTAATATCCTTAGACCATGTCCACACTAGATGTAGATTGCCTTGACTGGTCTTCAGATTGTCTCAACTGCTCAGTATCTGTAGGCTTCCTCATAGAGTCCCCAGGAGTGGCTTGGTACAACACGGTCCTAGAGAGACCGAGCTCGGGATCTGTGCTAATTCCCTCCACTATCAACACCACATGCCATCTGGCCAATTGTGGTAGGGCGGCAAGAACTTGAAGAGCGCTTTACAGACGGTCTGTCAGTAATCTAGAGAGGAGGATGTAGTGCTAGATAATGCTTACATCATGCCGTAACCAATATAGACACCCACCGTAGACTTGAGATGGTCATAGGGGTGGTCTCTCGTCGCGCGGCCCAAGTGCATGGAAACGAGTAAAGCGATGGAGAGACCGATGTCGAGACACGGCAAGACTTTAGAATCTTTTTTGCCTTTGAACTTTAGGTCGAAGGGAATGCACGACTTGATGCAACGAAGTCGTAATATGCGGCCAAGGAGAACGACGATGTTTAGGAGTACACTGCAGAGATTTTAGCATTTCCCATCTAATTAAACTTGCGAGAGGATGAAAGAAGGCAGGCACAATTGCAGCGACTCGAGTGCCTGGTAAGCTAGAAAGATGAAGTGATGAGGTAGGATTGATCATACATAAGCATTACGAAGATATCAGCGCCAATATAATCTGATTGCCCATCAATCACAAAGAAGACGAATATTGTAATACCGAGTGCTGTAGATGCAACACGGGGCAAGTACACAGGCTCGATGCTAATCTTGCAATTCCGGAAGGGTGGTGCTCGGGTGCCCATGTTGGCAGGCGATGGCGACAAGAGGTGCTCGTGGGGAGATGATTCACGATCCATATCATCGGAATCGCGAGGGGCAAGGTGATAACGAGTGGTGGTATCAATATGAGCGGCCATATTGAGTGATGGAAAGATGAATATGAGAAGATGGGTTCCAATGGAAGTGCACTGTAAAAATGAGTCCACGAATGTGTGGAATATATATCGAAACATTCGGAGGCACCTTTATGCTTTCGTTATTTAGAAGCCTAAATCATGAAGCAGAAGAAAGCCGCGTAGGACATATTGGGGTCAGGCCAGTAATCTGCATAGTCCCCAGGCAGGACATATCACAACAATAATTGACGTGATCGGCCCAGCGACGAGCATCAACGGGGGCAGTGAGGACTGGATATGGCAGGCCCAGCGCGAGGAACGCGAGCAACGGAACAAGGTAGATCAACGCGACCTGCAACGGGCTGACGCGGCTGCTCGAGACTCCTAAGCAATAATGGACAATAATAAATGAGCACACGATCGGCACTTGCTAGGGGTACTCAGGGCAAAAGGATCTTGCAGGAAGCTTGATAGGGGGCTTTGCGATGAGGCGTACGGCACAGAGCTCAAAACATAAACCTCTCACAGTCGTATTGCGTCGGGATACGAGGAGATTCTCATTGCTCATTGGACAATCGGACGCGAAACAACAAGGTTTTTGACAATGTCCATACATGTATGTGATACGGAGTATACTGTTGTCCTGCCTTGCAGGTGCCTTGGTTTAGATTGGAGTACTTCGTAGGTATAAGTACCGAAGTAGGTAAACATACACGAGAACAGACTAATACTCGTACTCGTCTATAAATAATAAGTATACCTCCCTAAGAGACCCCTTATCAGAACGAGTTAGTAGGTACATACATGTGCTTCCTAATCAGGTCATCGCTCTTTTCTGTTACTTAATATGTACCTAAAAGTACGAGTACTACGGTTTGGGCTACTTTGGGGGCTATTTTACGACGCCTCGACCGCCCCCTTAACCTGCCACGGCCATGCATTGTTCCAAAGACGCGGATATCAGGTCATTCCATTCATTCTACACATCTGATTTATTCCATGGCTACCTACCTTCTTATATATAAGGAGTTTCCAGTCATTAGATTAGGGGTCAATCAATCACATCAACCCCTCCGTTCTAAGTCCCAGAACCTCGACAAATCCTGTAATTAATATGCATATGCTTTGCCTAGCTACTATATCTAGGTTAGGGTTAATGCCTTATTATTTATACTTGAGAGGGAAGTAGTGCAAAAATGCGGATCGTGACATCTTCACTTTCAGTGTGAGTGATGGTAAAATATTTGGATTGTATGGCAACTTCCATCAAAGCACAGGCGTGGACACGTAGGCTAGCCATGAACAATTCCGATATCCCAAATCAATCACCTGCCCTGCCCATAGAACCCATCCCCTGCCCAACCCCATCACCAACTTATCTCAAGAAAGGACTGCGAACTTGTCATCACACACAGCCTTTAGATAACCCAGGCTTCCGGACCCATGCATATATGCCTATGTCAATGGATGCTCATCGAGAGCTTACTTCTTGTCTTGAACGAATTTGTTAACAAAAGGGTTTCCAGGATGAACTAGAGCGTATAGGCATTAGGGGTGGTCTTACGGGAGGTACAGAAGCGGCTTCCAGCCTCAGCCCATGTATTACAGCCTGATACAACGCACCTCTAGGTAGAGGCGCCTTCGTTGATAAGTTGCAGTTTGGTGGCTTGGGCGCTATGCACAGAAGTGATGCTGACTTCAATGTGGTCGTATATGGTGTTGTATGTTTGGGGTTAAATTGTTTTGTGTGTGGTCAAATTTCGTATATTTTGACTTGGAAATGTTTTGAAGGAGTTTGGTTTGAGAACTGAAGGGTGATCGTGGAGAGCATTTGGAGATATCACGGCCCACTCCCTTTTTATATACCTATCTAGGCAGGTAGGGAATAACGGCCAGAGTCTTAGTATCAATCCAATCAAGAGGGGCGAATGGGCAACCAACATTGATTCAACAGCTGCGTGGGAGACTAATGGCACAGAAAAGATCCCATTAATTGTGTGAGTCTGATTCCCTCTACTTTGCATCCACTCATCTTGAGCCCAGGAACACCATTTTGACAGAGGGGTTAAGAACCAACTTAGCCTACTTGCACATGATATATAACCCGCATATCGCCGGTGTCTGTTTTAGATCGATTTCTCAATCTCACTCCGTCCTGACAAAATCCAGGTTAGCACAAACATCGCGTGAATAATGGCTAGGTAGAATATCTTGATCGTATATCACGGTATGTACATGAGCGATGAGGCTTTGAAGCGCGTGAACATTCCCTAGGGGACGGCCATGCTCCCAGCCATTCAGGACTTGAATAGGCTTCGCACCAACACCTTGGGCACAAGTTAGGTAGATAATTGTGCCCAGCAATGTTTCTATTCTGGCGCTTAGCAGGCAGATTCGAGGCTATTCTGGCGATATGCCTCGGCGTTGGTTGTTGGTTCCTATAGGCTATGATCCCTTCTTCTGGTACCTAGAGAGAGTGAGTACAATGACATCCCCGAATTGTTTTTTTAGGAGCACCTAGCCCTAGCATAGTGACGATCATGGCAGCCGGTGCCAAAAATCTACCAGCAAAATTGTGACTAAACCTTGTAGCAAAGCTGTATATAATATTACTTCGTAACTATTTGATTTGCTTCGAGGTCTCTGGCAACCAATCGTCTAAGAGTACGGGGTTTTGGCTAGGGCTTAAGAGGGGTTAGATAGGCCAATCTAGGCTAGTTTGGGGCCCCATGAAAGACTACCTAGGTACTTAAGGTCGTCACCTATATAAAGTACCTAGGTACCTATTATTGTGTCAACAACCTTCCCCGCCAACCTACCTACTTGGGTAGGTAGGTTATATACTGGCATGATTTCAGATTTTATTTCTCAAATGGCCACATTCCTCTTCTCGCAACCCATGCACGAAAGGTCTCCTTTCTCGCCAACCTCGAAGATCTTACTTTCGGCCCCTCCTATTTCCTCGTCACGGGCAGCGTTCCATACCTAGGTATATAAGGTACCCAGAGTCCCAGGCCTACCGATGCCTCTACACTCTCAATCCTCTCGTTTCTGGACTTGTTCCATTGCCGACTGCAGCAAACCAGCAGTAATTGACACTGGCCACTGTGAACGCTGCCAGTCGCACTTCTGCGTCCAGCACCGAGAGTCAGCCCAGCATACTTGCAAAGTAAGTGTTTTGTGATAGTTAGCCAGCCTACATCCACAGTGCCACCAGCTAACGTTTCTCATCCGGTAGCAGGAACCTCTTGACGACGCAGCCTGGGACGAAGCACAGACCAAAGAGCTCGAATCGCTCCGTGGAAATGTCAATGACAACCAGCTCTTGGAACTTGCTTCGAGGCTCAGAGGGGGCATTGGGTGTGCCTTTGATAGCTCGGATCATCTAGGACGCTCTCGCATGGGGGGGATGCATATCCACCTCCGCATCGTCTTTGTTGATGGTACTGTCTGGCTGGCACGAATCCCCCGTGTGAACTCAACATCGTTTGCAGACCACCTCCGCAACCAGATTCTCGAGAGTGAATGTGCCACTCTCAAGTGGCTCGAAAAAGTTCGCATTACTGCACCAAGACTTCACCACTATGGCCGTCAGAATGATGAGCTAAACCGTGTTGGCGTTGCATATATGCTCATTGATGAGCTTCCCGGCAAGCCTCTAACCCAACTGCAACCGTCGGAGCAAGAAAATCGCGGAGTCTATGCAGGCTTAGCAGAAATTCTCAGCACGCTGAGCAGTCACCCCTTTGAACAGATCGGATCTCTTGCATTCGATTCTCATGGCTCAATTCACGTTGGGACAGTTGCTGGTGATCGAACGGGGACACTGTCTCCCATCGGGCCCTTTTCCGGCGCCACCCAATATTACTCGAAATGGGCTGAAGAATACCTGAGATTGATTTCCGATCACCAGCTCTTCACAAACTATCCTGTCAATGCCTATCTAATTTTTAGGTATCTGCATAACCTAGCCATTGAAGGGAAGTTCAATGTCATTGACAGCTCCCTCGACCTTGGGCCATTCTATCTCAAACACATGGATGACAAAGGAGACCATATTCTCGTGGACGACAAATTTAATATTACTGGCATTATTGATTGGAGCTTTGCTAGAATTGTGCCCGCTTATGAGGCATTTGGCCCTTCACTTGTCACGGCAGAAATGAGTGATATATACGATGGCAATGTAAGAGCTAGTAGAAATGACAATATACTTTCCCAGGCGTTACGAGCCAACGGGAGTCACTTGACGCGTTTTGCGGATTCTACAGGCAGGGTCCGCCGTCTAACATTTGGTATGAATATGACCTGGGCAGAAGCGCTTCTCCTATTCAAGGGTATTATTACGGAATCCTGTGGTAGTACCGATGATTTCGAGTGGGAAACTTGGCGTAGAGATCGACTGGTTGAATGGGCCGATGATGGGAGGCTTGTTGTTCTTTTTCGTGAGGAGCAAGCAATCACATAACAGCTCTCTGAGCAAGTTCCTCGATTTGCTACCTGCTCTGTTGGACAGTGTGGCCTTCCATCTGCTCGTGGGAAAAGCTGTCCTTCATGCATGCGGCACCTCTGTGCGAAACATCAATCTCGCCGTTTTCATCTTTGCTTGCCAACTTCTGAGGTGGGTGGTATTCAGAGCTACTCCGAGTATTGATTCCAAAATCATTTCCTCTAACTAGTTGAAGCAGCTCGATGATGAAGCCTGGGGGAAGACAATCACCGATGAGATTACAGGGCTATTGGCAAAAATCAACGTTCAAGCACTTCGAGAAGTAGCAACTTCACTTAATACCGGCAAAGGTTGTACTTTTACGCCTGGACAGTACATAGGATCAGGTGCAATCATGGGGTGTGCGAACTACCATGCCTGGTTAACTTTCAATGATGGTGAGAAGTGGATCGTCCGAATTCCAAGGGTACCATTCAGCGATATTCCTTCGAAGTTGATAGAGTACCTGGTGGCTAGCGAATATGCCACTCTGAAGTTCCTCGAGATAACCAAGATACCTGCTGCAAAAGTCTTCGGATACGGTCTCGCTTCTGACCCCAATAATCTAGTGGGCGTTAGCTATTTGTTCATGGAAGCAATACCTGGGACGCCGTATCAAGCCCTCGATGCCAATCCGGAACAAAGAGAGCACGTACTGTCACAAGTTGCGGACATCTTGATTGAAATTAGCAAACACCCCTTCCAGACATCGGGGTCCCTCCTCCTCGATGATGGAAAGCTGGTTATGTCCGACGTTGCTAGCGATCGCTTCGTGAGTCTAGGTCAATACGGACCATACGATACCGCGCTCGACTACTTCACAAGTATAGCAGAACAACACCTTGATATTATTGCTGACGGACAGGAGTATTTCGAATATCCGAAGGAGGCATACTTGTTTTACCGAATCCTTCGAGACCAAGCGGCAGCGAAATTAGCTGCGAGACAGAAGTCAAATACATTCTACTTGAAGCATGTTGATGACAAAGGGGATCACATCCTTATCGACGAAAACTATAATATCACTGGTATCATCGACTGGCAGTTTACTCGCACCGTGCCTGCCTGCGAGGCTTTTGGCCCGTCACTCATAACAGCCAATCTCAACAACCTCTGTTCGAAGGATTGGGGACTTATGGATGACGATATGTTCTTAGCACGACAGTTAGAAACGAAAGGGAGCGCAGACTTAGCTAGCTATATGGGAGCAGACGAGTTGGCAAGGAGATTTATGATGTTCGGGCTTGCGAGTGGACTCTACCACAACGAGGTTTGGGGGTTCTTGAAGGGATTCTGAAGGGTTGCGGGAACGAGATTACTGATCTCGAAGATTGGGTCGCCAATGAATGGGAAGTTTGCAAAGATGATCCTCGTTGCGACAAGATCGAAGCTCTGATTATGGAACATACTCAAGGGCGTGTCGCTGATTAAGCTGAGCAGGTTCCGAGAAACAGTTGTACAGTATCAAAATATTAAATTCGAAGTTTATAAGAAATTGAAAACAAGACCCAGACACTTGTCGGCACCTCGACTTCAATATACACCTTACTTCGTTATTTCGAAGCGGTGTCAATACCTTATTGTCCTATCTCAACTTGGATGTCGCCAAGTAGTGAGCCATCTCAAAAACATTCCCTCCCTTCGATTTACTATAGGGAGTCACAAGGTGACCAATAACCCCTCTATACGTAAATAGGTTTTGAATCTTGACCTAGCCTCAGCTCAGCCGTTGATCCGTGGTAAACCATAACTCAAACAAATTACAGGGAGACCACTGAGGTTTATTTAAGTAATCAATGTCAATTGAGACTGCTATATCAGTATCTAAGCAAAGCAAAATAGTATCTTATGTAGACGCAACATAACCTGCAATACTCCCCCCAAAATTTAGGCGTATAACATTTAGCGATCTCCTGCCGATACTGGAAAACGTAAGCTCCATGATTGTTACATGCAAGGATCTCAGGAGAGAAAACCACAGCCTCCTCTTGATAATCTTAGACACCTAGTCTACAAAATCCACGAAATCTTTAAGTCCGTCGATAAGATCAGCATCGAACTCATCTACCCATGCTGGGATAGAGGATCCCTGGGGTGTGTGCTGAGCTCTCTCATCCCTCCTGACTCGGCGGTGCTTCACAATTTCCAAGTCTGGAGTTGGTGAGTGCTGCCTCTTCAAAATCAAATTGTCCGAGACGCCCAAACATTCATGCTGCGTCAGTAGCTCATTCGGTTCAGAACTTGATTGTTCCTTCTGCCCATCGTCATCTACCTCGAAAGCCTTAAAATCGAACGCCCTATCGGCGAAACTAGAAGTAAGCGTTGGAGTGGGGCCTCGAAGCATCATTGAATCACTAAGCCCAATCATGCCAGCTTCGAGACTTTCCAACGACCCATCTTGGAAGGAGGATGAGGGGTGATCATTTTGATTATACAAATCCCCCATCTCAAAGGGATCAGGGCTCTTACTTCCGCCCCGGAGAAGAGCAGAAGGAGAGGGGAAGCTGTCGTCTGAGATGCTGATGGATTCCAAGGAATCATCTCTGTTCTCGGTCCGAGATACAGGCGGAAGTTGTGCCGACTGGCTGCTTGCATATTGAAACTGAGGTTTCTGCTTTGGTAGCCGGAGAGCTTCATCTTCCTGAATCCCTGTATGCGGTTTGTGCAATCTGCGGTACTCTCTAGGAGCCAATTCCGGACTTGGTGTAGGGGAGACCTCACTTGATAGATCTATAACTTCCATATCGTCCAAGTCTAGGTCTTGGAAGCCGGCCTTCTTGAGTCTAAGTTTAGAAGGCTATGGTTGGTCAGCAAATAGCCGATCAGTTGTCACTTATGGATGACTGACATTGGATCTTTCTTTGATTCCTTTAGAATTAGACCCGGATGCTTTGGAGTCCTTGGTTTTCGCCCTTGGGGGCTTATCAATGCCCTCGTGACAACATCTATGCCTGCATGGTTTGCCATTTTTGAGTAGGTTCGCCGCATGGCATGCGTGCTTGCAAGTCCATTTACCATTTGGCATCTGAACTGATTTAAATACCTGCAGGGTTGTCGACTTCGTTGGATCTGAGGGGCGAGGACTAACGTCAGAATCATCATCGATATCTACAAATCCGTCAAAGTCGTCCATCGCAACTTTCTCAATACTTGTCACAGCCGCAAGCATCTCGTCGTCATCAATATCATCCCCACCAAATTCATCTCCCTTGCTAGATCCCTTACCATATGAGCTCCTCCTAGAGTTCTTTCTTTGCGTGTGGGACTCTTCGGCACGTGTTTGCACCGGAAATTCCGATGGTGGAATATTAGGCTCGAGCATACTTGACTGAACAGTTCCCACGATACTGTCACAAGCAATATAGCATTTGATCTCAATATCGGGACCAGATAACTCCACAGTAAATTTAAGCTCACAGCATTCCTCCAGCTGCTGCATGCGGCCCCGCCAAAAGTGCGCCAGGACGCCATCGGAGGTCTCAGCGGTAAAGGTCAACGAAGGTTTTTTTCCATCCCATACCGGGACTTTGGCATTAGCATAACGGAGCTGAATCTTGACATTGACACTTGGCTTGCCCCCCGACTTGGTAGCTGTTCTCCCAGTAACTTCCGAGGTCAGAGACAGGCGAGGAAATCCCACTAGCAACTGGAGCGTATTCTTGCCAAAAGGTGGATTTTTGCTTAGGATCCGTTCGATACTTGCAGTATCTAGGCTTGCAAGCTTCTCAATACTGTTGATGTTGTTGCTGATCAATTTTTTGACCGTAACAGGACCAAACTGTGGAATTTGTCGAAGTTGGAGGTTGGAATTCTCCCAGAATCCTGCGGCGAGACTTCTGGCGAGCCCAAGAGCATGGCGCGTCGATATTGCATCACAATCCACAGCCTTGCAATCAATTACACACCGAATAAGGCGTTGGATTCTATCAAATATTATATTCTTCTCGGTCGTGAACTGCCTCTTCAGGACAGCGAACCCCTTCTCATTAGGGTGCTCCACGCCACCGAGCTGGACCTGAACCAGCAAGGATATCTTATGAGCTGTGGTAGAAATATTTTCTTTGATAGGATATTTGAGAAATGGAGACTTGTTGAATTCTCGGAGGCATGCTCTCTGATTCGGTTTCATCCGAACGTCCTTGAATTCAGCCGCCTGGCACATAATGCTAAGCTAAGAGGGTCAGCACCAGATTCCGATGCTTTAGACTTCTCAAACTCACTATCTGCTCAGTGTTTGCATGCTTGGGTATACTCAAAAGCAGTTTCATGGTGACAAACTGTACCATGTAACGAGACATGGCCTCTCCATACTCCGTACACTTGATTTGGTGCTCACAAGTGACAAGATCGTGTTCCTGGAGAAGTTTAATATCCCTCTCACACACTAGCTTAAGCCGTTGATCAATATCCCCACTAGGAAGTATACCGTCGATCTTATAATAGCCTGGGTTTTGTCTCATGCGAACTGCAAGAAACGTGCCTTCGAGCCAGAATTTTGCCGTTTCGAGACTATTAACTGTTCGGAGACTGATTTCGGAGTTCAAGTGCTCGATGAGGTGGAGATGAAGACTGCTTTCAAGAATGTCCTGGCCAGATATCATTAACTCATATCGCTGCTTGTTTTCTGATTTTGTCATAATGACCGCAACCGCACTATCTTCGAATTGAGGTCTCCCAGCTCGTCCAAGCATCTGCATGACCTCTAGATCGCAATACTCAGTAGCAAGGCCGGTCTGATACCCGATAGTGCCTTTCAAAACTACGAGGTGACAGGGAAGATTGACCCCCACGGCCAGGGTCGAGGTGCAACAAATAAGGCTAATGTCCCCTTTCAGGAAACCACTTTCAACGGCCTGGCGATCATGGGGCGCAAGACCAGCATGATGGAAGGCTACTCCGCATGCAATAAGATCTTGCAATTCCTTGCTACCCACCACAATCTGTTGCCTGGGAGCAGGCCATGCACGGTCCGTAGCTGTTTTCCTAGTCCACCAGTCGGCTAACATGGTAGCAGTCGTCTCGCAGGATTTTCTGGTGAAGCAAAATACCATGATTGGTTTCTTTTGTGTATGCTTCTCAATCAGACTTGGTAGCTTTCCATCTAGGTGCTTTTCAAAAGCAAAATCGTTCATATTACTCTCAAATCCATAGACGTGCTTTTGAAGCTTGACTGGGCGGAAGTTTTCCCCAAATGTTTGCCGATGAGCTGGAAGTTGTTGATTTGTATGGTCCCTTCCAAGCCATACCGCAATGTCCTCCGAGTTCGGGATTGTGGCACTCAGTGCAACGAAGCGTACATTAGCTCCTATGGACTTCATGCGGGAAACAACGGCCTCCAACGTTGCACCCCGAACCTCCTTCAGAATATGAACCTCATCGATGAGAAACAATTTTACCATCTGGACCAATTTGTGATGATCTGCCCACTTTCGGGTGATACTATCCCACTTCTCTGGCGTGGTCACAATTATAGAGGCAGCCCGAACTCTGGCCATCTCTGCTTGACTTGTATCTCCGGTTAACTCAGCACACGGGAGGTTCAAATGACTGAACTTTTTGTTCCAGTCCCTAAAGCGCTCGGAACAGAGGGATTTTGTAGGGGCTTGATAGACAATCTTGAATTGCCCGGAGCTGTTTCCTTCAACGGCTCTACATATGGCGAGTTCAAGAAGGGCAGTCTTACCGCTGCCAGTTGGAGCTGCGACGACCACATTATCGTTGGTTTTATAGATATGTGCAAAACATTTTGATTGCACAGCATTGAATAGCTCGTAAGGGAAAATTTGACGAAACCGATCGGGAAGTTCATGTGGAGAAATGAGCTGAATTCCATGAGCCATAGGTGGTGCATGTTCGAGAAGGGAGGTATGGGGTGTGCGCTTAACTGGGGCAGTAGTCTGATTTTGAGGGGTCCTAGGCTCGGCAAGCTGTTCGTCCAAGCTATTCTGCACGACTGGGGGTCGTGCTACAGTAGCGGCACGGTTTGCAGTTCTACGCAAACTCACTCTAGTAGTAGGGCTGGAGTATTGACCGAACGGAGACGAACTTGTCGAAGGCTGTTGAGCTTCGGGGCTGTACGCAAAATCACCTATAGATATCAGCATCCTTGAACTGAGCTCATCTACCAATAGCTAACAGTATTAAATACATTTTGGCTTACTCAAGTTGAAGGGTGGTGTAACCTGTTGCTTCTGGGGCTGTAATGGATTTGATGTGTATGCTTGGGATTGGCGAGAAAAGGTTATCGGCTCTGGTTCATAGTCCGAGCGTGCAATTTGGCTCTGCATCAACATTGAGCCAACTAGCTGATCAAGTCTATCGACCGGCGGGGCGTTTGATGGTCGTAGTAGTGGCCCCTGACCAAAAGGCATGTCCTGACGAAGGTTCTGTGTGAATTTGAAATGGTCATTATGGTTGTTAATAGTCCTGGATTCTGTGTCTAACCGGCTGGATAAATTTCGAGGCCCGAGAGAAATCCTTTCTGTGTGTGTGCTTTGTGGCGGCACCGGTTGATGAGGAGGGTTGAATCGGCTTCCAACTACTGTTCAGAATCATCATTAGAGACCCCATTATACATATAGAGTCAGGAAGAGAGGGACTGACCAGGCCCATTGAAACTAGATTGCCCAGGGGCTGGGTGTCGAGGTGCAGGCCCAAACCGCCAACCAGCAGATTGAGGTTCAGGAGCTTGAAAACTGAAGGCCATGCCACGCTGATCTTGGCCCTGAAGACCTTGGGCGCTGTCGAGAAATCGCTGAAGATCAGGGTTGATTCCTCGGTCCATCTTGAAGCTTGGGGGGAATAGTATTGGAAGGTAATTGGAATGAGGGGATGGAGTTCCCAATTCCCACGAAGAGTTAGGCCTTGCACGACTCAATTATCTACCCCAGGTCATGGCAACGCAGCCATTTTTGAAGGTTGTCATTGAAAGTAATAGTATAGAAAAAGGGGACAGTTTCGAAAGGTGGAAGTCGACTTAAACGGTGCAGGCCAGGAGAAGAAGGAGGTCTGCCAGAGCACGTGATTGCGCCCCTTTCTCGGAACACAGCAAAATCACAAATAATACCTTAGTTGAGGATATAAAGACTAGAGAGCATCTCGATAATTCCTCACTAGAGGTAGAGTAATGCATTCCACGCGATATTATAAATCATGCGCTCTCGAAAGACCTCGAGATCCCCTCGATACAGAGTAGAAAATAGAATAGATGGAATGGAATGTGTTTAGGTATGTTGAAAAAGTGGCCTAGACCTATCTTTTCTTCTCTTCTACGTACCTAAATAACAAGTCGTGCACCTTCTCCCATATTTACCTATGTTTGGATATTCCACCACCGCCACCATGTAATAAAACCCGAAAATTGATCATGCCCAACACCCGGAATGTTTTCCCAGCCATTTAAGAACGCCCCAAGGGTCTGGGTATGCCCCATCCGCAACGATATTTATGCCGCCACGCCCGTCATCTCATCTTGGTATGTCCCTTTATTGTATGTGTTGTATGTTGTACACCAGTGTTCCTGTTGATATTCGCTCCTCAAAACACTATCCCACCGCCAAATTCTCTCTTCAATCATCTCTTTTGATCTTTCCCCTCGAGGAACCTACACGCGAATGGTGTCTCAGGGGACTCGAAGGTCTGGAAGTCGATAGACCGGCACTCTTTAGGTTTTCCAACGGATCCAATTTCGGTCTCTCCACCTCAAGATATCGCGGCGTATATCCATCATCGATAGTTGTCTTCTCGTAACTTGCAATATTTATCGGAGGGGGGCGTCTTCGGGTCCGATCGTTGCTGCTGTAGAGATATGTTGCTATCATGACCACTGCTGTGCCAAAGAGGAACTATTATTCGGTATATTAGTACGAGATAATATGCGCATGAAGAAGGAGAAAGACTTACAGTGAAGGTAACAGTAAAATCAAAGAACCAGACGCTAAACAGAAAACTGAAAATAATAGAAAAGGAGGTCGCAAAATTCTTCGCGATATTATCGGCATAGTTGATGCACATGGCAACCAACACGCCCCCGAAAGCCTGGAATATAATAGCGGTCCAAACAACCCAGTTGTATCCCACGAAGAAGCCATTCTTTGCGATTCCCTCCCCATCCTTCAGGATAACGCCGAATATCAGGGCCGGGAACAACGAGTAGAATGAGAGCTGTACATTGCGTGTCCAGACCGTGACATGTGTTGTGGATTCCTTGAGCACCTTTTCGAAGTATACCCCAGTTAATCCGCTGATGACAGCCGCGCACAAGACTGCAGATAGCCCAATGGAGTAATTCATGAGAGGCTTCGTCATGCCCAAGTCTTCCTGTATCCCCTCGTATGTTGCTGAGCGTTTCGTAAGGCCTTCGGAGAATTCCTCCATACCTCGTCTGGTGAGCTCTCGCGCTACGTCAACGGCGCCATTGCTAATTTGTCCCAATTCGTGGAAAGACCGGGGGAAGTAGAATCGTGATTCGGAATCCCTGATAGAAGCATATGCTGAGGAATCTTGTGAGGGAAGTTGGACAACGGCAACTCCGACTGTGAGGAGGACAAGGGCAATCCACCGTTTCGACGAAAGAGCCCTGCCTAGCATCGTAACGCTGAAAATCGCCGTTGTGAGGATCTGCAGGATTATCAGCATACTCCTAAAATTCCCCGTCAAAGGGAAGGAAAATCTTACCTTCAGCTGATATAGGATCTGAAAATGCACGGCGTCTAAATTGCTCACACCAACATACTGCAGTGAATTCTGCAGCGTGTATAGCGTCGCTGGAAGAGCCAACTTCCACCCATCTCCTGAAAACACAGATGTATAAAGCTGCTCGAAAAGGACTGTGGCCGGTGTCGACGGAGGAAGTGTTCTCGAGATATCGTACAGTGCGATCGACAAAGAAACCGCAAGTTTTATAACCTCGTTAAGGAACACGGCAGTCGATGTATAGTACCGATTCCCGCCTGTAGAGGGCATTATCCGGGAGTAATGCATTATCTATAATAATTGTCAACTCTACGCACTCCTTTCCATCCCAGCTTGTTCTCATCTCGAATTCGGGCTACTAACGAGTATGAGGGCAGAATTTTGGAAGGTAAGCTGCGCAATCCGTTAGCTAAAGCTCAATTTACGTCGGGGGCACGGTAATAGGGGTTCCTACCGTCACCAAAGACACCAGCTTCAATGGCACGCCCATGACGCTGGGCGTGCTCTTCGGCGCGTCCCCCTTCGCCATGCTGGAGCTGCCCCTGACTTAGTCCACCAAAGGAGATGCGGTTCACAGCAAGCGCTTGTTCTCTGCAAGACGCGTCTTCTTAATATCGAATTTAGAATATTGTTGACGAGCAAAGGAGCGGGGGGGAAGGAATGTCGCGATATGCTAGAACTGGAAATGAGCGGAGTGAGGAGTAGGAGATCTGAAGGAGATATGAAGGAAAATGTCTCGAAGTGCTGCAGGGTGATCTGTGGTGTTGGACCTATTCTAGCCTAGACTGGGGGTTGGACGTCCCTCATCCACAGGCGGTCTGTCTCGCGAAGTCGCGTTACTGGGCAGCTGGACATCCTGGGGCTGATACAAGTATCAGTGTACAATGTTGGCGCTGCCACCGATCCTACTTCGTAGAAATCCCGTCACCAAAGGTTCGCTCTTTGATATCAAATATACATTATTCCAATAAAACTATCCCACCCTTTCTTCCTTTTCCCTCTCCATAATCACAAAAGCTCTCTCTCTCAAAAGAAGACTCCCTTTGGGCACCTACTTCCTACAATAGGTATCCTTGGCCCCCCGAACGTGGACCAATAAACCACACCGCCATTAAGAGCGTCACGTTTCCAACAAATAGTGCGGTCCAGTCCCCAGTTTTTGGGGAGCAGATCATCTGCGCACTGCAAATCTTCAGCCACTTATTCATCACGTTGACCTTAAACATCACGAGAGGTCGCCTGCAACCAATAGCTCTTAAGGCTGGAATTAAGCCACCTGCATCGGCTCCGCTAGCTATTTACCCCTCCTACAATTAAACTTCCTTTGTGCGAACGCTATATTGTGGGTGGTGTTGGACAAGTAAGAGCTAAATGCCGAGAATTTGCTCCTCTTTTATTGAGAAGAGGGGCTATACCTAATTATCATACAGATCTAGCATGTGACTTTGTACCCTATGAATCTACATAGGTACCTTAGCTACCTATACCTCGTCTAGAGATTATTAGTATATCTATCCTCTTTCGCGTAACCAGTAACCACCTATCTTAGACGTCTCTTTTGTATCTAAGGCCACATATATAGGTATTTATTATTGTAAAAGAAGCCCTAGCACAAGATTTTAGAAAGTCGAACAAGTATCTCTTAACTGCTAAACCAAAGCTATTATTAAATGTACATTCTCTATATGAGCCTATTACTGTATCGTCTCCACATTAATAACGCCGTATCTCATGCGAACCCAACCAACCCTCTCTCTCAATCAGGTCCCGCGAAGAGAAATGCCTATACATAAAAATAAGAGAAGATATGGGTATAAATGCAAGCCCACGCTAGATCCAACAAATGAAACCCCTCCGTGCCGTCATGACCAACCCTACTCACAAAGGAAAACGTATTGTACAGGTCCCCTCGGAGACCCTATTATTCTATCATCTTCTGAGGAGTTTTACATATCCCATGCAACCTCTGCCTCATCCTCATCCAACAAGAAATCCCCTGAATTGGCAAGTTTTGGGTCCTCGACGAATCTCACTCCCATATTCCGTCTTTTCCCCGCTACTTGACGATGTTCTGAAGTGGATCGGTCAACCTTGAAACCACCCACTCCGACCGCGCTCAATCTGGCCCCAGAAGGCGGAGTTTTTGGTGAAGCTTTTACACTTCTTATCCTCGGCGATAGTGCCGAATCTGGCCTGGCTTGCTCTTTTGGCGGAGGCGCCCAACTGGTCCTCGGCGTGGAATCTTCATCAGATCCGAAGGTCAAGAAGTCGCTTAGGTCAGGGGAGGGTTCTGACATGTCAATATGCTGAGAATCGGAGAGCGGAGTATCAAGATAAAGAAGAACTTTTTGTCGTTCCGTTGAAATGCCACGAATAGTCCCCGCAGACGATGCTTCTGATTGTCTTGAAGCATGTCTCTGCTGGTGGGAATTGCGAGGTGGAGATTTAGCGATCTCATGCTCCTCGATTATCTTTTCCCGCATGCGTGCCCTCTTTTGCCGCAAGGCCTCTAGTAGGGCTTCTTCCTGCTTGGTCACAGCCATAAACCGACTACTAGGGACCGACTCGCCGTGGAAATCGGAGGAAGCAGGTGATTGAGGCGGCGTTGGTTGTTGAGAAGATCTTGCCGATGTGACGGACATTGTTCTCGAGGGTTTCTTCTCTCTCACGGACGGCGATCGATAATCTTGCCGACGACTAGAAGATAACCGAAGAGAAGATACATCGTTGGGGGTGGACGTTGGAGGTGTTAAGGGGTTATATAAAGATGGGTTTTCTGGAGCGCTGAGGAAAGTTCTTCCTTGAGGAGCACCGGTTGCTCTCCTCGATTCATGCCTTCTTGGTGATGGCATCGGCGGTGGCTGTGAAGAACGGGGAGGGCTCTTCCTCGTCCCGTGAGATGACCCATCAACTTCTCTTGAAGACTGTCGGTTCTCTTCCCAAGCATCATCTTCAGAATCAGACGACAAAGAGAGCACACTTTTTAGCTTGAGATCAGTGTTGGAGATGGCACTCCCGCTTGTGTGGCGAGATGTCTTAGTATTCCGGCTGGAAATGCTAGCAGCACTCGAAGATTCCCCTCGGTGCATGATCATACTCGCTCGTACGTTCTTCCACGAAAATTGCTCCTTTTCAACTGTTGGGCTCAGATGATTCCCATATGAACCAGGTGTAGCATTACTAGTTTCATGGATGGCATCCGATTCGGGAATGCGGTCCATCCGCGGGGAACGAGCTGGCATTTGCTCATAATGGTCGTATAGGTTGGCCAGCGTCCCGTTGGTTTGACGTTGCCGTGGGTCATGAGATTTGGTAGAATGGATGCTGTGCTTCTGCGATTGCAACGACTCCTTTGACCTCGATTTGGACAACTTGCGCCGGCCGGTACTTGCCGGCGTGGTCGATGGTGACATATTTACCGATTTGGCGTCCGATGAGCTACTGCCACGCCTGTGCGGCTTGGGAAACAGCATGGACAGATCTAGTTTCGCAGGCTTTTTCCGGGATTCTTTATCCCGGGAATTATCGTGGTAATAGTCGCGCTGTTTGTTGGAAGTGTTCTGGCCCTTAGCATAGTTGTTGTACGGATCGAGAGCCATCTCGACTTGTAGTAGTGGGCTTCGCTGAGCCACCGGGCTTTGGCCTTTCCTTAACGCAAGATCTCGTGCAGATGATGCCGAGGTTTGCTGAGATATCAACAACGGAGACTTTTGGCGATCGTAGTGCGACTTCAAGGTAGACGACGAATCCTCATTCCGCAACCGCCTCGCCCCAGTTGATGCGGCGGTCGTCCCATCGTCACCACCATATGTTTGTCCGAGCAAGGTCGACGACGGCTTCCCTCGTAACCGTTGACTCCTTGGAAATACGCCCGACTCATGTTCCGAGAGATCAGTGTAGGATCCAGTAACGCTTGAACTCTCGTTCATCGATTGTGTTGATTCCGAGATGGAAATGCTCATGCGGCTCGACTTGGAACTGGAATACCTCGACAAGACCTCATCAGACTGCGGGTTCACACTGAAATCGTCAGTGCCCAGTATTCGGTGTGCCTTGGAGAGATTTCGTGATGAGGGCGCGGGTGACTTTGCAGGTGGGTTCTCCGTTTCCTTGTCCTTGGTGCGTTTCCGGCCCGGGATTGGGAAGGAGAATTTGGAAGTTCGGCCCATCGTTCCTAACAGGCGTTCAAAGCGGTGGTAACAGCAGCCGATTGACACAAGCACAACAAAAGCGCCAATTGACAATTGAGAGTGACAGAGAGTTGGCGCAGGCCAGATAGGTATATACTGGAAGCTTGCTACCGCGGCATATTTTCCGCAACCGTCCGCTTTTCCCGTTGAAGCGCGTTTCAGCAGGAAGTCGACAGCCAGCAGAGGCAATAGGCCAGAGAAACGACGGCGGCCAAGACTGGTTCTCGTGGTGGTGTCACGCTCGCGCGAGTTTCGTCAGGTACGGCCGGGTTGTAGATGTCGATTATTGTTGCTGATGTCGATAGGAGAGGCTGCTGGCGTTTCCAAAAGCCACCACCGAAGAGGGCGGAGAAGGGATGTGGAAGATGGAAGCAGCACAGGAACGTCGACAGGTCGGATCTCAGTAGAACGAACGCTCGAGCCTCGGACTGGTTATTTGATGTTCGACGACGACGCCAGCAGGAGATTGGAGCATGGCCGGAGCGTGGAGCGGGCGTGGGCACTACAGCGACTACACCGTGGTACTACTTCGTACCGAGTCTAGCAGTCTTGATAGTCGACTTTGTAGTATTGTACACAGTCCACACCACACCCAAGTAGCCTACTCCGGACTCTGTAGTCGCTGGAGTGGATCGTTGCAGAGTGTGGCAGAGGGCCGGGCGGCGGTGGCAGACGGTGGCAGCGCGCGGGCAAGAGCAGCATCGATTGGGCAATTCCGGGTGGGAACAGAGCTGAGACGCGGGTAAGTGGTTTGACGCATCAAAGTCGTATTCCGTCGCAGTGACCCGCAGCTGTGCGTGAGGGCTTGAGGCTTGAAGAGGCCGAGGGGTCCAGGATAATGTTGGGGGTGGTTAGGGGGTGGTTAGGGGGGGATGTTGGTGCTAACTTGGTGGTGGTGATGGTGGTGGTAACGGTAACGGTGATGGTGGTGATGACGGTGGTGCTACCCAGGGAAGTTCGTTCTGGCAGAGGGTTCAGGGCCCCAGGGAGGCTCTCAGGGGGGGTTTGCTCAGGGGACTCAGGCACTCAGGGACACGCAGGGACACTCGCTCAGGGGAAAACTCACAACAGAGCGGGCATAGCGGGCACACTAAACCGACAACGGGAAGATGGCCTCAGGGGGCTATCTACGCTGGGGGAAACGATCAGCGATCCACGATCAGCAATCAGTGGTCAGTGATCAACTGATCTGCTTTCAGTAGTAGTGACGCTGCTCCAGCGCTTACTACATACTAGGCCCCCTATCAGCACTATACCGTACATAGCTATGGCAATATGCTATGGAATTGTGGTATATTGTTTGTATTATTATATTGGTATTGTATCATAATCGTACTGTGCATGTACATGCTGCAGGTCCTTATTGACGTACAGGACTTGGAGTAGGACTTCGCTCGTAGTGGGTACAAACTCCAAAGTGTAGGCACATTGTGAGTGCTTCAAACACTACCCCGTAAAGTGCTCCGCCACTCACTGCGGGCAAACAGATTACTGCCAAAATCCTCCTCAGTACGGTGCAGCATATAAAGTGTTTAAATCAACTACGGATACCTGCATTTGCAATTGCCTCCGCATTTGCAGATGCAGATGCTGATGCAGATGCACCTCCTTCCTACGTCTCGTAGCGTTCTGCACTGCTGCTCCACCACCACCTGCAACTCCTGAGCTCCTCCGTCAAGGGCTCAACCCACCCCGGGATGATCGTATTGCTCACAACGAAACATTATTTGGTTCTTATTTTTTTGCATTTTTAGTTGAATCCAATCCAATGGTCGAGCTCCACGCAGCCCACGTTAGGGCTTCCAAAAACAAACGAGTCATAAAAACAACTAAAAATCCCACCCTGGGGCCTGGAATGACATGCTTCTCCCCCCTATCTCCATGTCGAATCTCCGCCAAGCGCCTCCTGAGAAATTGCGAGAGCCAAATTGCCAAGTCCGCCGACGCAATGGAGTACGTACGGGGGTACAGAAGTACATAGCAGAGTTGCAAGAGCCTCAGAAAGTTGCAAACCCACCTTTGCTTTTCGATTCCGGTGCAGCTGGACCGAGACCGGGAACAAAGTCCAAGACTTCCCCCCAACATCGTTGAAGCGGGACTCTACTTCGTGATAATCGCCAGATTCGCAGATCAGTTTGTCTTGCGGCCTAGCTCAGCCCGCTAGGAAATTCTTCTCCGAACTGCGGAGAAATCTTAAAAGGCACATGCCACTCGGAACTGCTTCCTTCGTATACATAAGCGCCAAAAGGAGAACATCCCGTCAAGAGATGTACAAGTACAGTGTATGTATGTACGTACATGTACATGTGTTATTATTCGTACGGTGTAACAGTATAGCCGTGTAACTTATTAAACTGAACTATCGGAATCCGGCCCCCAGCTCCCACTATCGATCGACGGCAAACGGAGATATCCACCTAGGCCACAACCCGCCTCTCCAAAACAAACCAAAGGATAGATCAGCGAGATAGCCCTCATTCTAGCAAATCCACGTCGCCGACTCTCATCCAGGGTTTTCTAGGTTTTTGACGAAGATCGTGGCAAGCATCCATCCAATACTCGGGTACTGTACATCTAGGTATATGCTGGTCGATTATTCTCGTAGCACAGAGCGTATTGCGAACACTTCGTTGTCGCCCCCTTGTAATAAAATGGCAAGCGGCCAGCCACGCAACAAAATCCTCCTGTCTCGGTGCCATTTTCTAGCCCGAAGACCGCTGTTGTTATTGTAACTCCTGTAGGCAACCGTTTCCCAGATTCTGGGAATACTCAGGCACAGCTTGCACGAAAGTATCCGAACTCAAGTTTATGTATTTTCCATGCAACGGGTGTCCACCCCGGGGTTATTCCCGTGGGTTGCGTCCAACGTAGATCAATAGTCGTTTGCAAATCTGTTTTTTTAAATGGGGAGGGATCCACCCCCGACTCCCGAGGGGACGACCCTGGAGCTGTTATCCTTGAGGTTTTGATAAACTGCCGATTCAGGGTTCTGTTGCTTTTTGCGGTGCGTCTGTTCGGGTTATTTCGTTTTTGCTTGTTAGAACCTGTTTGCTTTTGAGGAAAGGCTGGGCTCGATGACGCTCAATGGCGATCGAATTCGTTCCGTATTGATTGGCCGCAGTCGGTCGAGTGAGTGGCAAGTACAGGGATGCCATATCTGTCCTCAAGAATGATAGTAACTAGTATAATACTAACATATCAGTTACTCTCTCCTTAAGCTTGAAGGCGGAGGTAGTTCAAAGAGTTGCGCTTCTGCGTGCATTAAGACCCGGCATTTCTATGCCAGTCTTTATGCGAACTGGATGTAGCTATAGATAGCAATAATAATATCATAATATGCATATCAGTAACTGTATAGGTAAGCAATAAGGTGACACCAATCCCTAGCTTCTCCACGAAAACTTCAGAGATTACGTTTCGCGTCCTTACTTCATCCACTATCTTTGACAATCACTCGTTCAATTTCTAGCTTCCTATCTACCATACAATAACCCATTTCAGAATAAATTGAATCACTTACGGCAACATGGCGGTGTTTCCCCATCCGCGCCTCCGTCAAGCCTTGTTATACATCCATTATTCTCCACATTTTCCACCGAGATCCAGTGTTATAGCTGCCAAAGGTCCCTGATTTGGACTTTCAAGAATCAATATCAACATCGTGATCATCTCACATAGCAATATGCCCTGTTATAATATTGTATGATCATCAATCATTGAATTAAGCGTATTAGGCCAGACCAGATTTATCCATGATATCTATCACCATCAAAGTTTGAGTGAGATCTATGTAGTGCGGACAACAATAACGGTTCCTTTTCCAGAGTAGTCTTTCAATAGAGGACAGGGCTATAGAAGGGCAATAGTAAAATATCCAAACGGTTCGTATGACATATAGGACAGAATGGCTCCCCTTTGCTCCTTCAATTCGCTTATCACTTGCGGAATTATTCTTCGTATTCGCATACGCACATACATACACCATATCTTCTTAGACGATACAAGATGTTACTTAAGAACGTGCATCCGGCAACGGAAATATATCACAATTATAACCAAGGGTGTAAAATTAAACTATACTACTCGAACTATCGAAAGTGACAAAATCGGGGGTATAGGATTCTTCATCTTTCTGTAGGGATATGTGGGTGGCCTGTAAAATAAACGACGTTGTCTCAAATTTGATGCTTCGACTCCTCCTCAATTACCTGTTACTTGTATGAGAAACCTCCAAAGTTCTTAAAAGGTCTACAATCAACGGCTTGAACATATGCCTCAGGCTTCATCACAATCTTTCGCAAAACTGAGACAGACAACCTTTCTTCCGCCGAGTTATCTATTATAAAAACCCAGTCATCCAGATTGTGGTCTGTGGAAGTATCATAACGACGAAGTAACAGCAGGGTTGGTGTGCGGTTTATTGCTAGTGATATATGGGGATACATCTGCATTCCTATATTTGATTTAGTTAATGATCTCCGTGTAAAAACCAGGAGTGGGGGCAAGGGAGGTACAGTTGCGGTTGTTATTTGGGGGCGCTGGTAGCAAGTACCTAAGTATATGCATAAGCAGGGGGTGCAGGGGTTGAGTGTTCAAGTGAACTCATAACAAGTTCACTTTCCAAATAGGAAACAAATAGAGGCACGGCGAAACCTTCCTGATAAGCTAAGACTAAGAAGTAGACCTAGCTATTATCGTAATACCCCTATCATCGATACGTACCTATGTACTATTTGGAAATTCGTTATCACGCTACCACCTTCAAGGCGGTAACTACTAAACTGCCTCCTCGCTAACTCAAACTCTACAAAAAAAATAAGAAAGGGAAAAAAATATTATAAAATATTATAAAATTAATCTTATATTACCTATTTTGTTCTTCAAAAGGAAGAAAATAGCAAAAGAGTTCGGCCCGGTGTCGAATCGCCTACATCTCTTGTCGATTTTCTTTTGTTGTCGCTTTTGTTGTTGTTTTCCCATTTCCCCCCCGGTCGTCCTTGGCGATAACGGAAGTACAATTTGACCCGAGCCACTTGACCAAGTGTCACGCCCTTGTACTTCGTTAGAGGATATTTGTTTATTTGGCCTTATATACAACAGGAGGGGTGTTTGGTCGCTAAACTCTTCTTTTTATGTAGCGTGATAGGTTATCGACTCTTAAATATTTCGCCAGGAATAAGTATTTTCGCAATCTAGTGTATATAAACCCATCTAAAATATGACAAAGAACTTAACTCTCATCCGAATAAAAACGCATTACCCAAAACTAGCACTTCAAGGGTAATTATACAATGATCCAGTCACATCATAAATGTAATCAGTATACTTGTCCCGTCTCATTGAATCCAGGAGGCCACTTTCCTTGGTCACACATAGCGAGCGCGGTGCCAAGAATATCCTTAGACGGGTCGTTATCGAAATGTGCCTCAAGGAACTCATTGTAAACGCTGGCGTCTTGAGCAACGCCCTGCTTGAGGAAGATAGGATCTTGCTTGCAGAAGGGCAGCGGCTTCTGGGTTTTGCATTCGGTAGCAACGAAGATAGGCACTCCGCCAATATTCCCGTCCTTGTTCTTCCAGAGCGAAGTGGTGCAGACGTTGTGTGTCGTCACGACATTCTCACAGCTGTTCCGTGGTCCTCCCACGCTGCGTGTTTTGAGATCACCGTGGGTCAAGGTTCCGCAGGAGCTGAGTGAGGAGTTAGCTTCGCGTGCCCATCTCTGTCTGCACATAGGGGCTGAAGGGACTTACCTGACATAGTATGGAACGAAAGTCCAGTATCCGCAATTATCCTTGTTCTTGTCAGGCTTCTCGCGAGATAATCCAGTGGTTGTCCCCTTGGACTCCGACCATCCCCAGGTTGCGCCTAGGCTGACAGCCAGCCCCGCCTGACTCTCGATACCGAGAGTGAAGCTGAATGACTTGGTCACTGTTGCACTCGTCTCGGCTGAGAGACCACAATCGCCCTGGCCGCAGCGGGACGTGTCGAAAGGTTGCTCTCGGCCATATGAGTAGGAGAGTCTGACTTCGCAATAACCAGCGCACTGTATATCTATCAGTCTGGTTTGGAATTTAAAAAGTGCGGTAAGAGATATCAACCCACCCTTGGAAGGTCTTCTTCGTTCCAATGCATTGGACAGGTACCGTCCTCTTTCACTTCCACCTTCCTGGGGCAGTCGAATACCGACTATAGAGAGTTTTTTTTAGCTAGCCCATGCATGAATTGATATTGGAATACTTACTTCACCGTCCATTCGGTTAACGGGATTGAAGCAGGCATCATTGATTAGAGGCTGCGATGGCTGTTGGACGCGAGGGATAATGTTAACCCTCTCGCTGATTACCGCAGCTGTAGCGGCCGAAGCCGAGGACAGAAGAACGAGGAATGGAAGCATATTGAATATATTGGGAGAAAGCAAAAATGAAAAAGAATGAAGTAGACGAGTCGCCTCGGTCTGATGAAGTAGAGATGATTGAAAGTGTCTTGTCGATGATGATATTCAAACCATAGGAAACCCCAAAGCCTTTATACACATTATTGCATGACGATTCCATTCTCGTCTAGATTGCCAAGTCACGATGACTTCCCAATTGCTACTAAGGCTTATGATCTTTTATTGGGAAGTACATCTTGCCAAGTACTTACCGCGGCGATGAACCATCGCATGAGACCGTTGCTCGCAAGCAAAACGGCCATAACCACCACATTGGCAACAAGCGACCAGCTGGGCCGCTAATTCCTCGTCCGGTCTGGACCATGGGCGATTCCATGGTCCAGAATATGAAGGGGTTGAAACCTGCACATGTATGCCAAGATGAAGGATCCCGCAAGACTTCGACGGTAAAGAAATATACAGAGGTAATGTTGTACGAGAAGTTCCTTTTGATTGGTAGAGGGAGAGAAGTAAACCAATAAGTGAACATTATATTTACCGGTAGAACTACTCCGTAAACCCGAAGGGAACCTGCTTGGCCGATAGAATTTTCCTGCGATCTTGGCGCCAATCTCGCAGCATTGCTACTTGAGTACTCAGCCCTGCCATTAAGCGCGTCACTCCGTAGGGCTGTGCCAGCACATAGGAGAATTTAGAGAAGTAGAAACATGATTGGATTGATGACGAGCCCGGGCAGGACTCGAACCCCTCAATATCTAGCTATCCAAGCCGTGGCAACTGCTTTGGTACGGGCCAGGCGCGTATCTGGCGACTGTGAAGCTCGTCCCGGATTATCGGTCCACCATTCCACGAGGATCGGAGAGTGCTTGTATATGCGGCCCCGGCCGCCTGTTTAGGTTCGCTGTGATCCCACGCGGGATACGTTGATATTTTGTCAGACTCTGCGCATCAGGGGCGTCAGAGCAGCGGTTAATCAGGTCGACCGGGCCTCTTCCAGAAGGAATCCTGTAATACAAAGTGCTCGGTACTCGTAACAATACCACGAGGCTCTGCAGGGATCGTCGTATATTGAAACTCACGTAACGACGATGACCCCGCTCTTCGGGAGACAACCTTATTTCCTGTCTCCTAGGCCTTGTCGTCCATTTTTGGACCATGATATGAGGGTCGTTGTTAGGGCATTCGAACAGGTGAGGAATAGAGTACACCCAAGCCACCGAATAGCGGCGACACTGTACGAAGGTACATGCGCCTAACGCTACTCGTAACAGATACAGGAGATATTCTCCAGCAAACTCTTCAAAAGTGGCGCGACCTTGCCAGCGGAGGTGGTTATTCTAAGAAGTGCATTAGCTGCAAGCTATGGTCGCCCAGAGGTAAAAATAACATCACAAGCTTTGTCATCGTCACGGCGCTTACTTGGGTAGCCTAGCCTTACTCGTAGCTAGTGCGGCGCGGAACGGTGAAATTCTTCGGGAGGCTGGAGGGGCGGTAGAAGTATAATAATGTTGACTAGGGAAGCGTCTATGAGGTAAAAGTGCTCATCATCGTAACTCGTTAGGTGTCACTCTTGATCGGCGATGTCCGTCTGGGCGCTTAATTCCAACTTATTATTTACGAATTGCCAATTGCGATGTTCTCGCCTCCAACTTCCTATTCGGAAGCGTTGTGCTTACTCATGTGCCTATATGAGAAGGATTGCGATTGCAGTAGCCTGATATCAAAGATCGAGCAAATAAATCTTGTTTGTGAGCTGCACTTTCAGCTAGATGATCAGCTAGTTAATATCGGGGAGGATACCAGCAATTGATGCTTTCCGTTTCTCGCCTTTCCGCGTTCCTGGACCCACATGAGGAGCTATCATATCTATATCACTTCCTTCCATGCCCGATTATTCTGCAGCAAAATGCTCAGTCAAGTACTTCCTGGATTTATACCCTTTGGCCGGCCCCATCCTAGTCGTAGTGGGCGAAGTTAAATTCGAGGGTGAACTATCTGGGGGCTGCGGGCATCCCAGAACCTAACAACTTTTCTCCCGCCATTGAGAGACGCCTCATGGCTTCGTTTTAGTCTCGCGGAACTAGTTTCCTCTTGACTAGGTAGCCAATTATGAAACTCCGGGCTGTGGGATCGAGATATTGTGGCATACTTGACAAATGATCTGGGAATCCTCGGGCTGGGCGTCCCCTGTGTGCTACTACCCGCTAGGAGAGCATTTTCTCTTGCCCTTTGGCTCGGATCAGTCTCATCAAGTTGTTGCACGCTAGGCTCTGTGGAGAGGCCTAAAGAAGCAGCTTGGTGCTCTCCCACAAAGGTATCCGAAAAGTTAAGCTGTAAAATAACTGGTTAACTTGGCCGCAGTTATATATTGAAAATAATTACTCACATGGTGTGCAATTCCTAAATCGGGATCGAATATCTCTCTACGAAGCTGTAACTCATCTGCTATAACACTGTATTCAGTCTTTGTAACCTTCTGGTTGGTTCGAGGCTTCTTAGTCGGCTTCCTCTGTTCGACATAGCCTTTATTTTCTAAGTGTTGAAGAAAGGTTTCCACAACTTGCACTTCACGATCTAGGAGAATTCAGCATGGAATAGGTCGGGAGGCAAGTTACCCTCACATACCAATATATCTAGCAATTTCTTCAACCGTGTTTCCACCTACCGCGAGGAGGCAATACATAATTCGTCGTTTGATGCAAAGTATATCCATTCCAGACGATACTATTTCCTCATCTTTTAGCAGGCAAGTATAACACGCCGATTCAACCTTTGCAGATTTTGACTCGTAATATCCATAGCACTGCATATGTTGGAAGTTATCACATAAACCGCATTTCATCTATGTGTATTAGCCCCATATCCCTTACAAAAGTCTTCGAAGCAAGTACTAACAAGGTTTTCTTGATCGGTGGACACTCGGCATTCACATGCCACCTTAGGTTGCGTGCTAGAAGGCCCGTCGAGGCCGTAGTCTGATGTATTAACTTGGTGAGCCCGAATTTTATCAAGCTTCTCACAAACATGACCTGCATAGCGTCGATGGGTAACATCAGCTTGGAAGGGGGCAGCTGGGTGGACCGTTGCTGATGCTTCCCTGTTAGGAAGGAAGCGGCATTTCGAAAGAAGTATAGTATCCTGAGTTCCGTCATTGGAGCTCCTTGATATGCCCTAAGTTCGTCAGCAACGCAGGAAATTGCGGACAGCATACTTCTTACAATCTTCTCTAGCATTGACATAACTTCCGGCTGCGTGTGGATCTCCTCGGCTTGTGCAGATAATTTATCCGGAGTCTGAAACGCGTCATAAGATCTGGAAGACACTGTTTCAGAACGGCCATTAGAGATATTGTCTGGAGTGTCAGCGGTGTCCGGTAAGTCTTCATCCCGCTGCACATATGGTTCTGGTGACTGAGGCATTTGGCCTCGGTCTTGAGATGGGTCATAACTGGGCAACTGAACTGACACACTGCTCCTGATCAGCCAGTCGTCCATATGACCATCGGAAAGTGGTACACATACCGATGGAAATCACTTTGCATTGTTAAAACCTCATGATTAGGAGCTAGGTCACTGATACCGGCTTGGTCCTTGCTTGGGCAGAATGAATCTGGCTGATAGTCAGGCGGACATCTGTCGTTGAATTCCAATTTCATCGTTAATTTGCGTCCAACTGTAGAGCTAAGTCAATCACTACCTAGAGATATTACTTCTGTAGGCTTACGTGGCTCGGAGCTTGATTCCCTGCATTTGTCGAAGCACCTCACCCTCTCGCAAACGGAGTTAACGAGATTAATCATTTGCGTATTGGCATCATGAACAAGCATAGGGGTATCTTCATCTCTCTGGCCGCTGAATTCAGTTCCAATCAGTTGGGAGATGCCCTCTTTTTCGTAAGTAAAAGCCATCGTATACGACTCGATGATATTTGAAGGGGATGCTGTGCCCTCTGCGGTATGGAAATTGAGCTGCAACTTGGACAGGAACCCTTTCTCGACTGCATCTCTAACGCCACCTTCCTGTATTACGTATCAGATCTGATCAGGCCGCATTCATGGTAAACCTACCAACCAGGTAAGAAGCTTATCGGCTGCTTGTTGCTGTCCACCAGTTATTACTGGCCATTGATACAAACCAGGGGTTGAATCAAAATCGGCGGGAGGTTCGAGACCATCTTTATAGCTAGCGTAGTTGAAAGTAGGGTCTGCGGGATCACATGAGCGATATTTCCATCGATAATCCGGGCCAAAACATCTCCTAATCTGTGATGAGCTACACAACTTTGGAAAACGGAGTCGGCGACACCAACCGGATCCAGGCAATAGTACTGATCTAGAGGTTTTGCGTTGGTATCAATAATATAAGAACACTCCTTAGGCATCAGACTCACAGTAGCTGTGATGGCAACTCTGACAAGCTGCTTGCTATGCTCCAGAGTGACCTTGGTTTCAGTTGTTGGTCGATGAACGAGCTGGGTTTGGCCCCGACGATTTCTCCTTCTCGAACCCGCAATAAGCCGGTTTTGAGCATGGGAAGCCCCAGCGCGGTTCATGGCGCGGTGTGCTCGGCCGACTGCCATAGTGAAGGTGGCGGACAGAAAAAACCGTGGTCGCAAGCAGTTGAAAGGTGATGGTTCCAGGGAAGAGGGCCTTCTAAGAGGCTGTTTGAGAGAGCGAGTGTGCACTCGGCGGAGAAGTAGGGCCTACGTCAAATTCGAGGGACGAGAAGGAATGAAAGGGATGGAACGATGGAGAGAAGAAATAGAAGCGCGTAGATGGTGATGGGAGCGGATCTTGGAGGCAGTGGTTGGACGGGGAAGGTGGGCACCAGAGATGCGATGCAAGCGTGCCTGCCTTTTTTGGCGGAGGAACCTAACCCCAATACAACAACCTTCGGAGAGGACTCTGACAGGATGCAATACATAATACTACTAAAGAAATAGGGAAAGTATACATATGAAGCTCGATAGCGGGGACTCGGGTGTAATTCTCAAAGTGAGATATTTAATTCACACAGCAAAGTGAGTTCGCCACGGTTGACATACGGAGAGGTGAACCTAGTTCGACCACAAGAGAGGCAGCTAGCTGGCTTTGACTTGAAGACCGGAGACTACGTTGAAGTGCCTAACTAGCTGCTCTCTGTATTGTATGGATAGGAGGTAGTTGAGAGCAAAGTTGTAGTACTTCGTATATAGAGGGGAGCTGTTGCACGAAGCTGTCGAGCTCGAGTATCGCTATCTCTACTAGAGTAGCGTTTAAAACATGCTTCGAATGCATGTCTCCGTACGAAGTATAGAAGGATCATACTAGAACTATCTTGTATAACTACCTAGGTAGCCTAGCAGTCTAGGTAGATATCAGAATAGTACCACTATACCGTGGGTAGGCGGGTGGCCGAGCTACCGGGCACTACTCGTATGTAGTTGTTTCGCCCCCCGACGAAATCAAGTGTTTGTTGACTCGGGATTTGCGGGGGCCGAAAATGAGAAAGCCGGCGGGACGCTGACAGCTTATCCTCTATCTAATAATAAGGTGACATAAGGTGACATAAGAAGACTCTTTGCCTCAGGTACCATACGGAGGTAGCTACTGTAGTACGAAGTATGGGGTCCGTACGGAAAGATAAAGAGTGGTTGGAGCTGTTGCCGCCCGGGATTGGGGATCGGGGCAGTACTCGCACCGTACCTAAGGTAGGGTAGGGGAGGTACAGGTAAGGTCGGTCTGTTGAGCGGCGCTGCGCAATCATGCAAAGGTGTTCCGTTCTGCCTGTACTGTAGATTGTACAGTATGTATATGTAGATAGTCTCAAGACAAAAGGACAAAGTGGCTCTGCAGTTCCTCTACGCACAGTACGTACTTCGTAGGTACTGCACATCTGCCTGCGGTGGCTAATAAACACCCGCGGCCCCAAGTACCGTAGCATTTTAGTGGAGGCGGAGGCGAAAAGCCAGGGAGTTGAACGGCGAAGTCAGGAAGAAACAGCGGAAACAGGAGGCGAGGCGAGAAGAGGAACGAACAGCCACAGCCGAATCCGAATCCGGCTCGGAATGAACCTGAACCTGAACCTGAACCTCTACGCTCGCTGACTCTCACACTCTCAGACTCGCTCCTCAACTCAACTCACCTCTCACCTCTCACCTCCCACCTCACGCACGGCTTCGCTCGCTCCTACCTTCTGCCGCCAGTATATACCTCTACTATCCCGAATCCCTCGACACCGACCTGAGCAGCCTCTCCCTTTCCGTCCCTGATCGCAGTCTTTGTTCCCAGTCTCGCTTCATATCCAGTCGCCGCCCCGCCGCTTCGGATTTGGTCGTCGGGCTAAGTTAAAAGGCACAAAGTCCAGTCACGGAATCCATACCTCCCCCCCACCGCCCAACGCTCAAATCTCAGAGCAATATCTGAAGGAACATCACCTAAGAAACCGCTCGGCTATGGTACTACTAGCAACCCTCTAAGGTACCGGTGGATGTGAGAAGCCTCGCGCCCTGCACGCGAGAAACGCGTTCTTTCTCGAAGTTCCTGAGCGGTGGAAACGGCAGGGCACACGATTGAATAATCCCCTCATACTGCCATGGATCCGCCAGCACGACCTGCGAGCCAGAGACGTGCTGCTATGGTGCAGAACAGCAGCCCCGTCATACCACAGAAATACACCTCGGATGGGTCGCCGTGTCCTTTCGTTTCGAAGCCGAAGCCCACGCATATCAGCACTGATGTCCGGCGCCCTTCTTCGAGGAGCCAGACAGTCTCAATAGGGTGGGAGGATGATACCAATACAACATTAGGCCGAGCATCGAGGCTGCAAATCGAACTAGCAGAGTGTGTTGAGACCAAGACAGTCACAACCACGACCACCACCAAAAGGTCCTACCCGCCCCTTCTCATTCAGCAAAAGTCACTCGAGACGCTTGATGCGAAAGAGTATCCACTAGCCAGCAAACCCACTCCTGCCGAACTTACTAAGATTTCCTACGATGTTGACGTCCAGAGCGGGAGGCTATTTGGGGGCAGCCCTACCCCCAACCGTCGAAAGGTCCGTGTCACTCTGACGCTGTTCTGCAAGATGATAATTGAGAAGCTAACTTTGTCGACCATAGACTCCGCGATTGAATATATCACCCTATACTCAAATTTCTTCCGAACGCATGGATGGTCAAGAGGGTTTCGGTCACGAGCGGGGTCTGGAAAGCGGAGCCCTAGAAACACCCGAGCTACATCGAGCAGAACGGCCTAGGAAACGATTACCCTCGATGAATCACCCAGAGCGTTCCACAAGAGGAGACACTGAAGTGCAGTCAAGGTCCCCGAAGTCCAGTGTAAAAGGACGAAAATTTCTTAGGGAAGTCGACCGGAAAATTCGAGATGGACAGTTGGAGATGCCTGAAGAATCACGAACCCGGCATCATGGTTTGGGCGTGCATCTATCTAAACATACCTCGTTCCCAGAAACTCCAGAAATGTCCGAACTCGAATCGTCGATGATTGATCGTACTGGCCTATACTCTTCCTCCTTCGGCACAAATGCATATACCCCAAAATCTGGGATGAGCCAAAACGACTCGTTTGAAGATATTGCAAATCCACCTGATGCTGAGGAATCATTTGCTAATGCAGTTGCTACCCCCCCAATAGCCGAATCGGACCTCGAACCGTTAGATGGGGCCGATGTTGGTTTCGCGAATTTATCTGGTCAACGTCCGAACGTAAATACGGCTGCCGCACAAAATGCAAGCCTACCAAGTCCAGGGCTTTCACCTACGTTTGCATCTGCGGAACTCGACCATGGTGAATTTCCTCTTCCGGGTTCTACCGAAGACGATGAGCTGGCTGCCGTCAGCCCTACAACACAGTCTGGAGACAGTCAACAAACTCTTGAAGATGATGATATGCTTGGCGCCCTACAACGGCGGATTCAAGAGTCGCCAGATCAAGCCCATAGGCCTGCACCCTCGATCATGGACACTCGGTCAATGCTCGAAACCTTCGATTCGATGCCGAACGACATGAAGACACTGATGATGTATCAGCTCCTCAGGCGATGTTCGAAGAAGACGCTCCATGTCTTAACAGACGTGATTGGCCCTGCATTAAAATGTGATTTCTTTGAACAGCTACCTGTCGAACTGAGTCTCCATATTCTAAGCTTCTTGGACCATCGAGATCTTTGCCGAGCTGCCCAGGTTTCTAAGCATTGGAGAAATGTTATTGATACCAATGAAACTGGGTGGAAAGAACTCTTTGACCGCGATGGTTTTGTTCTACCTTCCGGGGAGCTGGAGCGAGCGATTCGTGGGGGCTGGGGGTGGCAGGACCCTTATGGTCCAGATGCCGGCGAAGAGGATCTAAGTCTACAGTATGGATCATCATTTGACGGTGATATTTCAACGTTGGGTGGTATCAAGGTCGAAGAAGCTACGAGGAAGATCCGGTCTACCGCCACAAAGAGGAAGCGAGCTACAGGTGGCTCGGGATCTGATCGGGCAAAACGTAGGGCAGTAGGTACCTCGGACAAGGCAAACAGCATGAGTAGAAGCACCAACTCAGTCGGATTTCACAAGTCTGAGGGTCCTCTCAGTGCTGCCACTGCTGCAGCACTTGCAATCCCGGATCCACAGCTGGGCCTGCCGGGCTTGAGAAAGCTTCATCTGTTCAAGTCACTTTACCGCCGCCACTATATGCTTCGAAATAGCTGGCTGAATCCCAACGTGGCTCCGCATCATTTTGCTTTTCCTGCTCATCCAGCACACGTTATTACCTGTCTTCAATTCGACGATGACAAGATTATAACCGGTAGTGATGACGCACTCATTCACGTATATGATACCAAGACTGGGGCACTGAGGAAGCGACTCGAGGGCCACGAGGGTGGGGTTTGGGCTTTGCAATATGAAGGGAACGTGCTTGTATCTGGATCCACCGACCGCTCCGTTCGCGTTTGGGATATCGAAAAAGGCTTATGCACGCAGGTATTCCATGGACACACCTCGACTGTCCGATGCCTACAAATCCTTATGCCTGAGTTGACTGGCAAGACCGAGAAGGGCAAGCCGATTATGGTCCCAGAGAAGCCGTTGATCATTACCGGATCACGGGACTCACAGCTCAGAGTATGGAGATTGCCCGAGCAGGGGTCTAAGCGTTATATCCAGACTGGACCGCCAGTCAATGATCAGGACTGCCCTTACTTTGTTCGTGTTCTGGCTGGCCATGCGCACTCCGTGAGGGCTATTGCAGCTCACCAGGATACCCTTGTGAGTGGCAGCTATGATAATACTGTTAGAGTCTGGAAGATATCAACTGGAGAGACCTTGCATAGATTAACTGGGCATTCTATGAAGGTGTACAGCGTCGTTCTAGACCACAAACGCAATAGGTGCATTAGTGGCTCCATGGACAACTTTGTCAAGATATGGTCTCTCGAGACAGGCTCTTGTTTGTTTACTCTGGAAGGCCACACCTCCCTCGTTGGCTTGTTGGATCTACAGGACGAGCGTCTGGTCTCGGCTGCTGCTGATTCAACCCTCAGAATATGGGACCCCAAAAATGGTCTGTGCAAGAGCTCCTTGACAGCTCATACAGGTGCAATTACCTGCTTCCAGCATGATGGCCAAAAAGTTATTTCAGGATCAGATAGAACATTGAAGATGTGGAACATCAAGACCGGTGAATGCATGAAGGATCTATTGACAGATCTCAGTGGTGTCTGGCAAGTCAAGTTCGATGAGCGGAGATGTGTCGCTGCTGTGCAGCGTGACAATCTCACATTTCTTGAGGTAGGTTTCGGGTTTCAACGCAAAACTTGCATGTGCTAAACATTCTAGGTCCTCGATTTCGGCGCTTCGCGAGATGGTATCCCTGCCTCTCAACGCGGTTCTCGAAACCTGCTCCGATTTGACGACAACCGACCCAGCATCGAAGAGATGGATGATGCATAAGCCACGCATCTAGCGATGCTCTTTTACAAGCGAAGCATAATATGGCGCATGGACATGATTATATATATTTTTGGCACTGGCGTTGGGGCCCCAAGTGGCCTGGGCCTGCTTATAGGCATAGCATAGCGAGGGGGTATTGCTTGCAAGAGGTACTGAGTAGTTTGCTCGAGTATGACATGACGGAGTTTCATCGGGATTAAGATACCGCCATTGCAATTTGCATTGGCTCGCTCAAGTTAGCGGTTGCATTATTTGTTTGCTCTTGCTCCCAATAGTAAAGTAGTACTAGTTGAAGAACAGTTAAGCCTACTATTAGTGGAAACCTACATGAATCAAGTTCACAAAAATGCCTTTGTCTCTTATTTTGAAACGCTTGGTAATATCCAGTCTCGCTTGATTCGTACATTCCAAAATAGTAAACTTGAATCGGTGAGCTTTTATATACTGCCAGCCATGCCGTCGCTTGTTAGAGCAGAACAATCCAGACTGCACAAAAAGGACAAAAAGAATGAAGCTATTAAAGAAAAAAATTGCAAAAGATATACCTTCACGGAGCGTTGGATACCGAGAAACTTTGAGCCCACTACCTCCACGCCTCAATGTTCTCTCTGGCGGAGCGTCCAGAGTCACTCTAGGTTTGTTAGCGGTGGCTTTTAACCACTACACCAACACTTCCTAGTCGCCTGTCTCCAGTTGTTTGAAGGCCTCTACTTATTTTGATATTTAATATACCGTGGGTACCGGATATCGAGCTTCTATACTGTTTCTATATAGTCTAGATAGTCGACACATAGTAATATGCTCTATATTGTTCAAATATCTAGTCGGTCGCAAAGTGAGACTATTCATAGAACCAGACCCTTATGCCCTATAGCCTAGGCCAACACCTCCTATAGTGCACCACTATAGAGTCCTACTACAGGGCCTCGCTCTGGCCGCCGACAACCTCCGGCCCGGTTCCCCTGTTCACTTATAGATAACTACAGCTCTAAACCTCAACTTTAGCATTACCGCCATCCCCAATTCATTCCATAGACGCTTAAGTGACCGTCATTTTACAGAAGCATCTAAGCAAGAACTATGTCATCTGAACTTGAAGTCGAAAGTCAGGAAGCAGGGGTACGAACGCCCGCAGAGACGGTGGCAGCTGCGATCGACGTTGGCAAAACACATCTGATTTTGGCCGCGAGCGGTTCTGTTGCGGCAATCAAATTGCCGCTTATTATATCGTCATTTGAAAAATCCTGTAACCTCTCGATTCACGTCACTCTCACTAACGCCGCAGCTTGCTTTCTTGCCGGCCAGTCACCTAAGCAGCCTACCGTAGCTTCCCTCGCACTACTTCCTCACGTCCGACTCCGTTCATCAAGACGAGGACAAGTGGTTTGAACTATAATCATGGACAATTGAACTTCGTCGGTGGGCGCACCTACTCGTAGTTGTTCCAATGTCTGCGAATCTTTTGGCCAAGGTCACAGCGGGTTTGTGTGGCAATCTGCTGACGAACGTCATACGCGCCTGGAATGAGATTGTCAGTCTGATAAAGATTCGTCTTTCCCTTTAATTGAGAAACACAATCCTGATGAAATTTTTTTTAATGCATTTTTACGGACATTCCTGAGTGAACCCTTTTTGGCTATTTCTCATGGAATTTGTGGGTCGAGGATATCTGCATTATATAATACATTATGAATTCCAATGTGGAGTTAGAATGTCAAAACGAAGCTCGTTGCGTTCAGACCCTGATATCCTCGACGTTTTTGGTATTGACTATTTCCCCGACTGTTGAAATATGTCGACAAGCACTTTCTCCTCCGTAGTTCGTTGCCTCCGTTACCTCTTTTTTCCATGATATGAGTATCGCGGGTGTCAATATCTTCATATTTTTGCTCATAATCGCTATCGTCGTCGTAGGCGTTCTCCAATTCCTCTTGCATTTGAAAAAATCGGCTTGTTGGTCTATAGAAAGTATCGTAGCAGAGTCTGGTTTTGGCAGGCTCGGTGTGATGCGTCCGCGATTAAAAGGCTACAGTATAGCGAAGCCTGTAGCAGCTATTAATCTGAGCTTGAGGCAAGACAGCCACCTAAATTTTGGGAAAGCTCAGCATAAAGCATTACGAAAAACACTAGGAATTTAAAGGATTGGTGTTTGGATACTCGTAAGGAGATACAGTACAGAAATAACTGGAAGGGTTGTTGACCAACCAGCCACCATGGACTTCTAACTCTAACTCTAACCCTAACCTTAACGTTCACAAAACTGCGATGTGCAACAAAACTTCGAGGGAGCTCATCTGCCATATCAGTGCTAGCGCGGGCCTAGTTCTTCCCACTGCAGGAGCTCCGAGATTGTTGAAAACTCGAAATTCAAACTCTTCCCTTCAATCTATCACTCTCGCTGAATACAGAAATGAATAGGCGGTTGGAAAGTGCCTTGCTTGTGTCTTTCTGCAGCGGGTTATCGGGTCAATCCAATGGATTCCTGGCCCCTAGAAACGAGCGCCAGAATGCCGAGTCCAGCTTCTTGGACGGCTGAGAGAGCGCTTGGGAGCAGTGCCTGAGGCCATTATGGTTCCAGATGCTTCTAAGCTGAAGCCCATATTTTTACTTCTTTGGAGACTCACAACCTTCCCCTCCAAACAACAACATCCTCGCTGCTCTACTTCGTACTGCTGTCTCGGCCGTGTGCGTGCACAGGATTGGATGGTTATATGACAGACCTTAAAGAAAGGTATGTGAGAATTCCATTCGGTCCCTACTTCACCCTCCCCCCAACTTTGCGATTTCTCGAGATGAGGATGTGCAACCAAAGCACGCATGGCGCTTGAGAGCCTCGACACCTTTTGAAATGATGAAAGATAAAGCTGGCACCAGTCCTATTGGACAGACTTTGTACTCAAGTCCTTGCGGAAAGTGCTATACCTTCGGGTTTCTTCTGATCAATTGAATAAATATCCACTCGCGTCAAGCTTTTCAGCTCGCCTCTTGTGTGATTTTTGTTGACCACCACTTCAGTCTTACACGATTGAATTCCGACTTATTTAGCATCACGCAAGAAAACTCTGCCCACCATGCTCCACAATCCGAACAACTGGCACTGGGTGAATAAAGATGCCTCGCCCTGGGCCAGACAATGGTTGGAGAAGAGCATCAAAGAGATCAAAGCCGAGGAAAATGGCGTTACCGCCCAGTTGGACAAGGTCATCAGCATGGAGGGCGATGTCGATGTTAATCAACGGAAGGGAAAAGTCATTACCATCTATGACGTCAAGGTTGTGATTGAGTACTCAGGTATATACCACCATCTACTTCCAATTCACACCGCTCATGCTGACAGCTCAGGCTCGACCAAGGACGTTGAGGATGTCAGCGGCACCATCACTATCCCTGAGGTAGCACACGATACTGAAGAAAATGAGTATGTTGTATGTCTCGTCGTCCCCTCTGGGCGCCTGGTATGGGCCAACTAACACACTATAGTTTGACATAGACATCTACTCGGATGCAAGCTCCAAAGCACCAGTCAAAGAATTGGTCCGCACAAAGATCATCCCACAATTGCGAAAGCAATTTGCAAAGCTAGGCCCAGCCCTGATCGCTGAGCACGGCAAGGACATCCAGCACGCACCGGGCTCCAACCCTTCAAGCGGTATCTCCACGCCGAAGTTGCACCAACCAAGCTCAGCATCTTCCCAACCCGTAACCACCTCCAACCCGTCCAAGACTAGCACCTCAGTCAACACCACAACCGTCACGGATACCGAAGAGTTTCGCGCCCCAGCATCTGAACTCTACCAAACCTTCACCGACCCCCAACGGATCGCAGCCTTCACCCGGGCTGCTCCAAAACTCTTTGAGGGCGCCAAGAAAGGCGGTAAATTCGAGCTCTTTGGCGGCAATGTATCAGGCGAATATCTTGAGCTCACCGAGCCCACCAAGATCGTGCAAAGCTGGCGATTGGATCAATGGCCAAAAGGTCACTTTTCTAAACTCGAGATTAGCTTCGACCAGAATGATGTGGATAATGTTACGGTTATGAGGGTTAGCTGGAGCGGGGTTCCTGTTGGACAGGAGGAGGTTACAAAGAGGAATTGGCGCGAGTATTACGTTAGGAGCATTAAACAGACGTTTGGGTAAGTTCTTTCCCTCGTATGCATATTAAAACCTGGATCTGGTGGCTAATGATTGTATATAGGTTTGGAACGATTCTGTGATGCGGGCATGAATGAAGCAGAGGATGAACAGAACATATGCGGTAGTAAATTAGAACCCGTGAATGAATCGATGATGACGCCACATGGAGCTTTAGAATAAGACAAGACAGAAATATGTGTATACGATCTTCATTTTCCTCGAGTTGAACCATTGTGTGAAGAGTGAAATTTGAGCATTCCAAGTATCCGCAAATAGGAGTATCAAGTATCAAGCAAAAGCACCCAGTATAAACGCCACAGCTCCCACCTCCTACCAAAAACCCATATCCAATGTGTTGCCCCATCGCATCTAACGAAGCCCAAAATTCCCGGTCTAGGGTATAAGTGCCATCCATCCATGCTGCCATGCCATCCCAATCCCTCATTTCCCCATCAATCATAAAGGAGCGACTAAAAGCACATGTACAAAACCAAACAGGGCACCAACGCTATATACAAAACAAGCCTCAAGTTCTTCGTCCCAACACCTCAGCGCTATCAATGGAGTGTCTCTTCTTAGACACCCCATGAGTGCTGCTCACCATCTCAATATCATCTCTCTGCGCAATCTCCGTGGATAAATTCCTCCGCGTCAGGTGTCCGCCTGGGTATCGATTAGGGAATCCGTCACCCCCATCTCTCACATCAACAGGACTTTTAACCACGTTGGCAGTGGTGTCAGTCATGACTCTCGGCCGATCCAACAGCTCTCTGATTTCCCCCTCTCTCTCTTCATCATGGCTGGGCTTCTTCTCCTTCTCCAGCTCGACGTCCCCGCCGCCGCCTTCCTCTTCCGCTCGGACAGTCTCTTCAAAGCGCTGTCGGATAATTTTGTCATTTTGAAGCTCTTGGAATATTTCCGTGTCGGTGGGCCAGAATGTCTTCCTGATACTACTTATACCCAGCTCTAGGACGGTCAAACAGGCGAGTGTGAGGAGGACAACGAGCCACCAGAGGATGTTCCGGCCGTATCGTGTCAGGAAGCCTCCGCTGAGGGGGTAGAGGAGGTAGGTCTTGGTGTTCGGTTTAGGGGCGAATGATAGGAGGATGCTCCACCTAGTTATAGTCAGTTTTAGGAACCCGAGTGATTCGCCGAGTTAAAAAAAAAAGGAAAGATTCTCCATACATAAACCAACCACCAACCGAGATAATCCAGCCAAATGCTGTGATTAGAGTCTTATTATGCATCTCTAGGATCCTAATTATCATTAGCCTCAATGCAGTTCAAGCGAGATAATATGCTTCTAAACTTACAACATCTTCGTGTTAATAAATACGACAGCCGAGGTGAAGCATAATTGGCCCATCGATAAAATGTTGTTGTCCTTCGTGAAGAGGGACTCGCCGAATAACCCAAACATGGTGAAGTAAGTGATCATACATTCCACAGTAGCCATGAGCATCCAAGCTAGATATTTCTTGATGTTAAATGCCTCATTCCTCTGGCCTTGAACGTAGAGTTCGGGCACGGCTAGCAGAGTTGACGCATTGAGATCTTGCTCGAATATTCCGAGGAATATGACAGCGAGTGATGTGAAGAGGGTGTTGAAGACTGTCAGGGATGTAGACTCATACAGCGATGTGCCTGTATACCCGGCCCATTTCTGGTATACTGCTTGGATTAGGTAGAACATGAGTTCTTTCCAGAATGTTGACAGGATGTATTTGCCGGTCCGGACATAATTCCAGCGCCCATGGACGAGCAATAGGCGCTGCAGGAATCTGAACTGAGCGATAGAGTAATCGGATATTCTAGCTGCCTGAAGGCCTTCCTTCCCGCTAATTCCAATCCCCACATGAGCCTCTTGGATCATTGCGATGTCATTGGCACCATCACCAATCGCCAAGGTGATAGATGACTTCACCTTAGTCCGAATCTTCTTGACGAGGGACGCTTTCTGACTCGGGCTTGCTCGACAGCAAATCACTGAATCCGTAAGCACGACCAAATCGAAAAATAGAAGTGCGAGCGTCTCGTTCGCATCAATCTCGCCCAAGGTCTGGCCATCAACGACAATAACAGAATGTGCGATACTGCCTTGGCTGATATTTAACAATGCAGTTGCCATGCGCTGCTCAACTGCGCCAGTTGAATGGTCTAAAATAATGATATCAGAGTAGTTCTTCGCCAGCCTGGCCGAGTGCGCGATATTGATAGCGGTTTCTCTCTTGTCACCAGTAAGCATCCATATCTTGATATTTGCTCTCCTGAGCTTATCGACAGTCTCTGGCACTCCTTTTTGAAGCTTATCTTCAATTGCCGTAGCACCAGCAAGATCAAAATTCTGCTCAATCATTTCCCCAGCGCCTTCGATCAAATTTTGCCGGTCCACGAGGCTTGTTGTTGCATCCAGGTAGGTCTTCTTCCAGCCACGATATTCGTCTTCGTCCAAAAATCGATATCCAAACAGAAGAGTGCGAAGTCCCTCGGAAGCAAAATCGTTTATATGCTGGAAGCACCGTTCAAATACAGCAGCATCATCCAGCACCAGGGATTCATCCACGACTTCATCGAAGCCTATGTCATAAGTCGAGCCCCTTCGATCGGATGCAAAGGAGGATCTGCCCATAGATGCTCTGGGTGATTGGTATGCGCTTTGGTCTTCTGTTGCCGTTTCAATATCATGCTCACGCCCCTTTAACCAAGTGTCAAGTTCATCCCGGATGGGTTGAAGCCTTGTACTCGCCATACTGGACCTTCCATGTCCGATACTTCTCCGGCCGATGCTGGGTCTACCATGACTCAAACTCGGCCTGCTAAAGCTCGTCCTTGGGCTGTGCTCACTCATTCTACGCAAAGCTTGCTCGGCCTCTAAGCTCTTCCTCTTACTAGATCGGCGCACAACCTCCGATGCCTTCTCCATTGCTAATGCCGCGAGCTTTAGACGAGGCAAGAGAGCTGAATCCGCTCCTTTGCAGAATATGCAGATCTTACCATTGGGGAACCTCACAATTATGGACATTCTCTTCCTTTTGCTAGAGAATTCGATTACGTCGAGGATGTCATAGGTCTCGGTAATGGTCTCAGGGGATTCAGGGCCGCCTGGATAAGTGAGCGTGATGGATTGTGCTGGTCGGTCAATGACAAGAAACCCGAGATCTTGTGCAGCTCTGACGAGCGCCAATTCATCTGGGGAGGCGGCCTGGAACTCAATTTCTCCATCCTCCTTAACTTCAGGAAGACAAGTATGGCATAGCGCTAAACACAGCAAGAAGAACCGCGCCTTTTTCGCGAAGATGCTGTGAGGTTTATGTTGCATGAATCTCAATAGCTCTTCAGTCCGAAGTTCTGGTTGGGCTCTTGTAGGCCTTGCTGATGACCTCCACAGAGAACCGGACCTTCGTATTGAGGCTGGGGATGCTACTTGGGCTGTTGAAGCAATATCAGAATCGGTTGGACTCTCTACCGAGTGCTTAGGGGCACTTTTCTTCGAAAATCGTTTGGCGACACCTTTGCCCTTCCTTTTCTTCTTATCAGTGCCTTCTAAGTTTTGCTCGTCTCTAGCGGCAGCCTCCTTTTGCAAATCGAAATCGTGCAGCCAGGCATAACCAGCCACACTAAGCTTGCGGAATCTCATCACGTTCTCCGTCAAAGTGCCTGTCTTATCGGAGAATATATAGTCAACTTGGCCCAAGTTCTCAAGGATTGTTGTAGTGTTGCAAGTCATAGGTGTGTCCGACACAGGATCGTACATCTCCACGTCGTTCATAAGCAACAGCTGCCCGACCTTGATGATTTCAAGACTGACGTATAGAGAGAGTGGGATCAAAGTGTTGTACAGAATGATGAAGCCGATGATAATTTGGCTAAAGGGCACACGTGCCTGGATGAGATACCAAGAGTGGCTTTCAACATTCTGCGCCCATATTTGGTATGCAATCGTGCAGAAGAGCGACAGTAAGACGACAAATACCACCAGTATGAGCACAATTTTGTTGGTTATTGCCTGCATTGCCGGTGCCTTGGTTCGAGGGTTCTTGTTGGCGTTCATCCTGATTTTACATTCTTCGCCGGTGTTAATCACCATTCCAATAGCGGTGGACGTATTTCGCAGGGTGCTTCCTCGCAAGATGATTTCGTTGGTAGTCAGAGGCGATGTCTCGCCATCAACAGTCACCCTTCCATCGAAATTATAAAGGTCGAGGTTTGGATCTTCTACAACAATGTGTGCGGAACATGTCCCAATGTCATCCAAAGTCTTGCAGAGCTTAGCTAAAGAGGGAGGTGGCTGTTTGCTCTTCAAGTTTGTTTCGCCATCAAGCGCCATAGTCTCGATAAAAGCTATGCTGTTTGGGCCGTCCGAGTAAAGGAGAACCATATCGGCTGGAATGCTGTCGTCCCGTTCAAGCTTGATAATATCTCCAACCTTAACATCTTTCCACTTCAACGTTGCCCAATGTTTTACTCCTTCGGGTTCCATCTCAAGAGAAATTTCGCAGACATCTTCGGTAGTCTTCCCAGAGTGAAAATGCTTGGAAGGGTTCCCTTGTGGTAGCCAGCGCTTAAAACCTCCATCGGTGGTCTTCGACGACGGCGGTACACAATCCTCTTGTACCGGCCGATAAGAGTGAAGAACCGAAGTACTTTTATTGTTCTCCACCTTATCCAACTTGTACCGGCGGAAATCATCATATCCTTCTTTAGCCATACTAATAGCGACAAAGACCATCAACGGAGCAATGGTCGTATAGGTTCCAGTAGTACTTAGGCCGGGAATCATTTGCATGATCGAGATCAAAAGAAAGTAGGCGTTTGCAAGCTTCGAGAATTGGAAAAAGACCTGGCGCGGTAAGAAATTCCAAAGAGTATAGCGACTAGATCTGATCGTGTTGTGGATATATTCTCTTCCCGTCCGCTCATCGATCAGCGGCCTCTTCCGCGACGCATCGAGATCGATATGCCGTCCATCTTTCGACGGAGGGATCTTCTTTGGTTCAAAAAGCGGTTTGACTTTGCCCTTATATATTCCTTTCAACTTCTTCACCACGACGTTATCTTGGGCTCGTTTCCTAGCCCATGTATCGTAGTTAGGTAGGCTCAAGGTCCCAAACGTCTTTTGGTCCTTTGTCGCCTTCGAGTCCGAAGGCCTGTATCCCGTTTGAACGGGAGATATCGCCAGGTCATTCTCATAGTCGGAGGACAGGGATACGATCGAATGCCTCGGCTTCCCTTCGTTCAATGTAGGTCGCGCATCCCCAGACTCTTGCGACGACCGCACTTCCAATATCTCAGGCGGGGCCGTCTCTGATTGACTATTTATGCCCCTTGTAAATAGGGATCTCCTCAGCGAATATCCTCGGTTCCTCGTCTGCGGCGATGTGGGGGATATAGGGTTCGTCGCTTTCCCTGGCTGTAGACCAGACAGTGTGCGCGCAGCATCACTTGATCTCCTGGGAATAACCGTCGTGTCCAAGGTCAAATCCAGATTCGGAGGTCGTCTCCCAGTAGATGCAGACACCGTAGCCCTATCGAGATCCTCCGAAAAGCGAACTCTCGGTGATTCTCTCTCGGTGGCGGATTGCCCATCCATTGCAGCTGGAGTATGCGGAGGATCAGTCGTCGCCCTCCTCTGTGGATGTGTCGGACGGTCCGGAGACCCTCCACTTGAACCCTCCGCCATTGCAATTCAATTGCTATCTTATCGCGCTGAGCTGCATTCGCGGGGCTGGCGGCCGCTGAGACCTCTCTTTGGAAGTTCGGAAGGGTGGAGGAGGAGCTGTCGTCGATTTACATACGCCACGTTCGGTAGAGTCCAAGCCACGCACGAGAATAAACAAGGCAGGTCTCAGCCATCAAAGGATAGGCGAGGTAGAACGATATTAAAACGACAGGATTTACTGATTCATGAGCGAAGGCAAAGATTCGTGGTCGAGTTGCGCGTCCGTTGACTCGCGGGGAAGCGTGGTTTGCTAGCAATACATTTCCCTGATTGATCCTTGCACTCACGGGGCGGCCTCCAGATAATGAGTACCGCGGCGGGTAGCCCTGGGCACTCACCAACGTCACTCTATTTCTACGACTGTTGGTGCTTCTGCTTGTGCTTCTGCATGTGCTTCTACCTTCTACATTGTCTCAACAGCGGTAACATATAATCAGGCGCCTGTGTCTCATAAGGCCAGGCGCAGCTCGGGGGGCAATGCAGAAACATCTTCAAATTAACATGGTACAACTCCTCGGACTTTGTGCTTCTGAATTATTGCTCTGGAAATTTGGCCCCTTCGAAACACGAGCGCTTACAAGACATATCGTAGCCCTCAGTGCAGGCTGCGCCACCTATCTTACTGTACCAGCATGAATGCAGTGATAACGTGTCCTTCGATCTCACGCATGTGCAGAGAACATCCAGAGTATTTAACCCTAGATCAATGCGCACCCCCGATTATTGAGAGGAGTTCAACTTTCTGTAACTATAATGTTTGCGAGGCCGAAGAAGCTGTATAGGTTCTACTATAGTATTCAATCTTAGTTTTTATACTTTTTCAGTTGTTAACTTGTTCATATACCTGGCAATCAGGTTTTAGATCGATAGAGAGTCTCTCCCTCCCCTGCATCGGCACAAATGCCTAGTCTAGGCGTAGTATTTATAGAACGCTCCCGAATTCGAAGATGTGAGCTGTCATGAAAACATAAACGCATCCCTAACTAACGAGCGATGTACCTTATATAAGAAAAGCATATCTCTGGCGCTTCAAACCAATATTTTCAACAGTAGCAATATCCCCTTCATCTTCATCCTCATCGTCAGTATCAGCAGGCATAGGCTCGAGGATATGAAACCTGTCTCCTTCTTGAACAATATTTTATATCTTCCGTGAGAGCTGCTTTTGCTTTGGCAGCCTCCCAGCGCACCCTTTAAACAATATAAGAGAAAAGGATAATAGTGTAGGAAATAAATCTATATAGTTCTAGATACTCGTACTCGTACCTATCTTCACCTAAACTAGGAGGTATAGGTATTCCGTTATACTACGGAGAATATACATGAAGACTTGCGGGGTTTCATGAAATCTCTTGTGCTGGGTACAGATACGTTCGAAACTATTTATCGAGGATCTATCGTAGTTTATATATAGCGTAATAAAATATAATATTTCATTGAAGTTCTCCTTAGTAAACTTGTGTAAGAAAAACGTTATGAGGCCAGCTGATATTTGAAGATGAGCGAGTTCATTCGAACCACCGAGAAGTGCATCGAGGTATTCAAGTCACGCGAATATCTCACTAGAATTGAGGTATTCAAGCTATATGAATATCTTACTAGAATTTGAGATACCCAAGCCGTATAAATGTCTAACCGAAATTAAGATATTTACGCTATCTATCTTCTGGGTCAGACTCATATTTCTGTATTAGAGTTAGAACTCACTTGCAATATTGATATACACAAGTAAACATACCTTAAACATACCCATCAAGCAATCAAACGTGTCTTGGTAGTTCTCAGAAAATCAATATATCAAGTATTTCGGTCGCAATTGCTAGCAATCGCGAACAGTATATCCTTATGAGACCTAGTCAACCCAAATATAACTTTCTATCAACTAATAGATCTCAATAAAATCTTAAAACGATAAAGATAGAGACAAGCCTAAATTCAGCTTAGAGGATTTATTGATTCTGCCAATAATTTCGATATCGCCCGCAGTTTGCGGCTGGAAGAAAACGGCACATAAAATAATTGTGATGTTAAAAAAGATTTAGAGAAGCTTTGAGCTATGAGGGCTGCTACTCTCTAGGGAGCCAGGCTTGTAATATAGCGGAGAAAATGAGGTGCTAAATAATAATCATATTCTATAAAATCAGTATCTTAAGTTAAGAAATCACGGTATTGGTAGCTTGACCCCTCTTGGTACTATAACACACGCCTCTTTGAATAAACCCCAAGTTTTCCGACTTCAAAAGACGATCAATGGCAGCAGAAAAAGTGGTAAGCATGAACGAAATTCATGGTAGCATGAAAAAAAAGAGAAAGCCGAGCACAGAAAGCTGAATAGATTTTGATCGAAGCACCCTGATGGTAATCTACTCCTCACTGATCCAGAGAGAGGCAGCACTCGCGGCCATAGCGCACGCAATATGCCGTCATGCTCTGGTCGAAGCCTGGAATCTGGAAAATGAGAGGGTAGGGATTTTCAAGGCATAATCAAGGATCTATAGCTTGGGAAATGTTCTCGAAGGATTCGAACTGTGGATTTCCGTACATCGGACGGAATATACGTAAATGAATGCGGTTATACTCACTTGTACGTCCTTGTACGTACTTGTTATGTACAAGCATTTACGAAGTATATGTTAATCAGTGCGGCCAGGAGTGGACGCACTCTATCCAGCACGACCTCTACTGCGACCGATTTGAAGATGCATTGAATACGATAGAATTTCGCGACCACACTTGTGGTCTGGTGCCTTGGCGATACACTGGTGTTGCAAAGAGCTCTCTCCACCTCTCGGATATATGGCGATCTTCATGCCTCACTCTTTCTGGCACATCGTTACCGGCGGTGACGACGCATAAGAGAAGGATGTATGGGGTAGCTTGCTACATCGGACGATGTGACCAGGTCCAAGAGGTGCGATCAAACACCGGCATCGGGTCTTCGGAATGCATTGCACGCTGCCCCGGTTGAAGAACCCTGGCCATTCTCAGATGCTTCTCTGGTGCAGCGAGCATCCCTTTGGCACGAAGAGGCAAGGAAATATACGTAGTATCTCATGCTTATTAATCTGGCCAGACTTGAACTGAGGAAAGATGAGGTAGCTTGCATACCAACCTAGGGACTTACTCAGGCCTCATCATATATCAACATTTTTGGGGCCCTGCCCAAAGGAGCGTATTTTGGACATGGTGAGTACAGAGTATGGTCTAAATTTGGTGTCGTAGCACGGGTAATACTTGCTGTGTCGGTCGGAATTTACCCTTCATGGCGCCCCCCTAGGGAAAACGTGGGCGAAGTGGCGATGGCGAAGGCGGCGTAGTTTGCGAGGTCGAGAACCGAAAAAGAAGTCGGAATCAGTCCAACATCCTGGAGCCCAAGCAAGAACATAAGAGTAGGGGCTTGTAGGGCTGCTCTTCGAAACTTCGACGCTTCGGATCGGGATTCGGGACAGAGCAGAGCAGATAATTTTTCTGGTGCGGCTCATCGCCTGCCCTGTGCGTAGCTCAAAGACGTTTGAAACGGCCTAAATGCGTTCTGTTCTAGGATTCGGAAAAACTGAGGCTTCGACCCGTTTCTGATAATGGGCTATTGTTCTGTTCTATTTTCGAAGGCAGCACCCCGTCGTAAACCTGGGCGCTATTGGCTGAACGACTCACCGGTCGACACCGGACGCGCTGGTGCATCCCCCCTTTATGCGACTATGGGCGGGTTCCTGGCTAAGACGAGGTAGTGCGCATTTACTGCGCTCATAGCCGGGATACCGCTGATAGGAGTTTTGGCCGTCCTGCAGACCACGGAGTACGGGTGGCAAAAGATAGAGTACGGTACAAGTACTTCGTACTTGGGATTCTTCAAATCGATGCTGTTCAGGTATTGTTGCTGTGATTGCCGCGAGGCTGCGATGATCTGCACAATGTTGGTGAAACTATTTTTGTCCACGCCCGGTGGATTCGACTGCGGCAATTATGCTCTGCTGCTGGTACGCTTGGGCGCAGCGTTACAGAGCGCGCTCGTTAGAGGATCGTCAGAGGATCGCCGGGGAGCTCGGCGATTGGACAGCAGGTCAGGAGACAGGGCGCCGCCAGTGTGGTCTGCTGCCTTGTGCTCCGCGGCTGGACGGCATCTAATGGTCCTCGATCATCATCCCGATCTGATGTTCTCAGCTCAGGATAAGTACGGGCCAAGTTCTCCGTATCGTAGCCAACGAGCATGACGAATTCGAAAAGGAAGCGGGAGTACGGGGGCAAAGCCTCATCCTGCTGGGGGCCGCAAACCGTTGTATCCACGAGAATAATATCGACCAGATATCGTGTTTGTCCATGGTATCACGTATCGCCGTTGGACGGAGTAACGTGCAACTCACTCCACATCTGCTCCGGTCGAAACACTCGGAGCAGCAGTAGGAAGCCTCTTGATTTGATTCCACTCCGCAATCGACATGTCTCGACTCTCGAGGCGTAAGCGCGCTCTGCGAACCAAGCGATCGAACGACGTCCCAAAGCTCCACGACCCTCCCAAGCTCCGCAACTCTTGAATCCCCCAAACCCGTCAGGCCGTCAACGGCGTCCAGCCGCCAGCGACGACGGCGGGCCTGTCGTTGGTCGGGATGGGCCACGCCAGGGGCTTCGTCCGAGTTGCGGTTGTTGTTGTTGTTGCAGCTGCAGGACGCGGCCGGGATCCTGAAGCCAGTCGCCAGTATACCAGAACCGTTGTTATTATTGGTGAGGGCGAGAGGGAGAGGGAGTGTGATGCGATGGGCGGGAGTTGCGAGCCTGCGAGTCTGCGATGTCTGCACACCGTCTGCACGCGGATGGCGAGGCAGCATCCAGGGGCGGGCATGAGCGATGAAGTTCTCTCGTCCACTCGCCCTCTCCCTGAGACTTTATGCCGTCCTGACTCCTGCGTGCTACGTAAAAAGAAGTACTGAGTGCCTTCGTACCGTCTCTCCCCTTTTCCCTCCGCCAGTACAAAGTACAAAGTAGTGGAAAGCTGGGCCGGCTGGCCATAGGGAGCGCTGCCATGCGCTGCGATCGGCCATGAAGCATGGTTAGGCTGGATGGTGGGAGCATCAAGCATCACCGAGTCGATGGTGTCACGCACACACCGGCCCAGCAGCACCAAGACTCCGTACTTCGTACACACGCGGGGGGGAGTCGATCTCTGGCCGGGTTCCAGCAGCCGACTGGCGGTGTTAGTAACAGAGTATCCGGTACCTGCAGGAGTGAGTACAGCAGAGGAGTGCAGGACTTCGTAGTGGTAGTGATTGAATAGCCATATATGAAGTTGGGGTGGTATTATTGCTATTGTTCTTGTGCTCCGCTCCAGCGTTGTCGAGCCCCCAAACACCCGACTCCAGGGCCTTCTGTTCCGTACGTACGGCGTCGAGCCGTGGAGTCGAGGTAGGGCTTGGCGCGCTGTTAGCCGGCGGGTCAGGGGTCGTCCGTCGCCACCGTCGTACGCGGTGACTGACCCGCTACGCCGGACTGGGCCTAGCACCCCTTCCGCCCTCCGCCCTCCGCCGTCCGCCCCTCCGCTCTTCCGCCCCTCCCACCACTTCGTCCCCCCCCCGCTGGCACGCTAGGCCCGAAGCAGCGGCCGCCCCCATGCACCGCCCTTCGCTTGCTGCTCCTGTTCCTGTTCCTATTCCTGGTAGCGTGGACTAGCGGCTGCGGGTTATGCCTGCTTATGCCTGCTCATGCCTGTGTGTACTCTGTGCTGTACCTGACGGAGAACTCTATGCTCGATGCTCTGTACAGCACGGAGGTAGTACGTCGTACTTCTGCTGCTGGCTGCTGGCTGCTGCTTATGCCTGTGCCTGTGCTTGTGCTTGTGCTTGTGCCCGCCCACCCGCCTAAGCCCACGCCCACGCCCACACGCCTACACGCCTAAGCCCAAGCCTAGTACGCCTATGCCTACGCCCACTACCAGAGACGCCGTACCTCACCCTCACCCTCGCCTGCCGTCGTCGCCCTCTCTCTCCCTCTTCTCCCCCTTCCCACCTTCACCCCCCAACCCCAACTACATCGTCGTCCCATCCTCATCGTGTGGAAATCACTTCTTTCCGCCGCCCTCTCCATATCGCTCCTTTTCTTTTCGTAGCCATTTCACGGATCCGCCACTCCTTTCGGACTCCATTACACTCCTTCGGCTTGACCAGTCTTTGCTTTCACAACTCGACTTCACTCCTTCGATCGAGCATTCTGAACCCTTGGACTTGGACTTGGACTCTTCAAACCTCCAACATCTTCACCACCACCTTTTCCCCCCCCCCAAACCCAAACCCAACATATCAATACCATTCGATTTCCTGCGAGATACAGCGAAGCATTTTTACCACACTTAGAACCCCAATCCGCCTTTTTATTCTTCGCCCTTTTATCGCCGATCCGACTTATTCGATCCCTATATTTTTTTGCCTCGCAATCGCGAAACAACCCTATTCATTCATTCGGGCCCCCTTAACTGCCACCACCATATACTCGAGATAGATTCACCCTGTGGGATTCGACCCGCGTACATAGTATATTCCCAACAAGTGCGAAAACCCACATGACTGCGGTCGCACAAGACAATATGTCCGACATGGCTCAGGAAGATGTGGCCATCAAGGCCTCGTCGACACCTAGTCCCGCCGCGTCCAACTCAGCAAGCAGCACATCCGCGGCGCGCCGACCTCCCCGCAAGAGCACTCTCACTCAACAACAGAAGAACCAGAAACGGCAACGCGCGACTCAGGATCAACTAGTCACGCTCGAGACCGAATTCAACAAGAACCCCACCCCGACGGCCACGGTCAGAGAGAGGATAGCGGACGATATCAATATGACGGAGCGCTCCGTTCAAATTTGGTTCCAGAACCGGTAGGCCTCAAACATACATAACTGCTGACCATGGGCATGACTAACGAGTCACGATATTAGACGTGCTAAAATTAAGCTACTGGCCAAAAAGAGCATCGAGACCGGCGAAGGTTGTGCTGATATCCCGGAATCCATGCGCCAATATCTTGCGTTGCAGGAGATGGAGTCGGGAAAACCGTTAGCGGGCAACTTTCTCGGTCGTTCAGGACTCATGGCGTATGGAAATGGCAACATGCTAGTAGGCGCTGATCAAGGGCCTCAAGGCAAAGTTGGTGCGTTTTTTTTTTGGGGTTTTTTGGTTTGATGTAGATTTCCGTCCTTGGAGCTAACGTGATCTAGTTATTAACCATCTTTCCTGTCGGTCACTAAGTGTCGGATCATGGAGACGAGTCGGCCAAAATACGATGGACTTGATCATCTTCTACTCACCCGAGAAGGCCACCATGACATACTACATCAACAACGACCAAGCCGGCTACAAGATCGAATACCCTTTCTCCTTCGTCAGAAATATCTTCCTGGAAAATGGGGATATGGAATCAGGAAAACCAGGTGGCCTTGTAGTGGAACTCAATCGACCCCCCTTTTTCTTCATGGACTCCTCTGGATCAGGTGGCTTCTACCAATGTGGCGATTTCACGGAGGAACAGCAAGCATCCCAGGCAATGGTGCATCATCTTGGGGGAAATCCCAAGGTTCTTAGCGGGCAGTTGGCCAAACTTATCTCGCTGGAATCTTTCATGACCCGCCACAGCCACAACCAATCCCAATTCGAGCCGCAGCAACTTTCGGTCTCAGCACCCGTTTCTCCCACGAACCGGCCAGCGTCGCAGCCGAACTACAGTGCTCAAGCTCATGTGGGCATGTTCCAGGAGGGCTGGGGAGTCAATGTCGCTCCTGGGCCACGCGGACCAGGTCACAAGAGACAAAGAAGTCGATCCGTCCCAATGCCCGTCGACTTCTCCATGTTCAATAGCCCCATGCCTTCTTTCCTCATTCAACAACCTGGCGATAACCAACAACAACCTCACAATCCAAACATCTTCGCGCCTATTCCTCAGCAGCCAAACACCCTGGGGACTCTAGGCCCGAATCTGCGGATCGATACCTCGTCTGGCTATGGAATGGAATTCAGACAGTACCCAATGTCTGCAGCCACGACCACATCACCTTCAGATTACGCCAGTCCATCGTTTTTGTCCCAAGCTCCTGATTCCGCGGCGCTCCCTGCATCCTCGTATACTCACACATCCTATGGCGCGCCATATCTCTCCCCCAACCCTATGGTAGATCCGGCGAGTGCGATGATTCCTCCCTCGGTATCTCCGCTTTCATTCATGAGCCATGGAGATCCAGCAATCGTTGATCAATCCCCGCCTCTATCGGTGCACCGAAGCGCATCGGCAGATATGTATACCATGGCAAATGATCAGCACTCCAATATTTCAGATGACGGTACCGGACTCAATGAGATGTACTCCAAGCACACTCTCAACCTCCCTATGCACTCTCATTCTCCAGCATTCAATGAGCAAGCACAAGCCGACATGGACATGAACCAGCTCGTCTCGTTCGATGATAACCCGGCAAGCCTGTCACCCGAGGCCCTGTCCCAATAAGAGGCGCTTCGGAACCTTAGAAACCATACTTGATGTTTCTATGCGCCCCGGATGCGGCTGCACTGGATGGGAACTATAGAGCTGTGGGGCCCAGCGTCCGCAACTCAAATATTCCTGTTGCGAGGGGGGAATGCAATATGGGCGGCGTTCGTGCTGGTGTTAATTTGGATCGGGGGGTAATATACATATAACGGCCTGCGTGTTCGGCCTGCGTGCTTGGCCTTGGTGCGGAAACTTAGGCTGGCTTAATCTTTCTCCTGCTCTCCTCTCGACTTCGATCGTCTTCATTTTTCCTTATCCTATATCCTCTTACGCCAACGAACTTGCATGATGATTTCCTCTGCCTTCCGACTTTCGATATATCATGCATGTCTGGCACAGCGAAATCATATTATTTCCTTTTGAACTTTTTTGAAGCGTGTGCTCGTTTGTTCTTTCCTTGAGTATTTATGTCGATACCTTCCATGTCTTTTTTTTTTGGTTTTTAGGGTTTGCTCTCCTGAGGAGACAAAACCGGTAGTAAGATGCAGAGCGAAGGGTATAAATGGGGCTTGCTGAGCGGGTGATAACAAAAACGTTCGATTTAGTTTAGCAAATAGGTGTGTGGGGGTAGGGGATGTGAGAGGGGATTTGTTCTATAGACAATGAGTGCGTGGGGGGGTGCTGTGTGCAGAATGTGAAGTTTTCTAAAATCTTGGATTGCTTGGTGTTTCGTCTGCTAAACTGCTACTGCTATTGCATTTGTTGTGGTTACCAATGTGATGAGACCATGGTGGGCTTAATAATGGCAATTCATTATTTAAAATCCAAAACACGCATGGTTGCCCAATGCCGCTCGACTTGTGATAACTGCGTGTATGATTTCCTTGTAGAATCCACGGCTGCCGTGAGATATTAGTTTTAACCTACTAAATAATGATTTTCCCGCATTGTATTTTATTGTTTAAGCCACTTCACTTAACTAGATACTACACCTTAAGTTTTCCCTGGGAATTTCTGTACCTGATTCATAGGATAATAATTATAATTTATAATGATCACTCGAGATAATACACTATAGTACAATATATAGTCACAACACATTTCTACCCCTTTCATATCCTTCGACTTCCCGTAATATCCATGTAGAGGGCCCATAAACTCGTACAGTTTCAAAACCGAGCTTGGTGATTTTGGGAACCTTCTCATGTGATAGCCGTTTTGTGGACTGACGGATGCCTTGGAAGTTAAGAGTGTGGAGGAACGTGAAGATGAGGGGATAAGCCGAGGGTGATGAGTTGGGGTCGTGCTTGAAAACTTGATGTGCATGAAGGTCGTTTTTGTTGGTTTGTGGGGGAATATCCTAGTATTTTGGCTCGGGGTGGCTGGGTAGAGTTGATGTGCTAGATCTAACATGGCAATCCGACCGGGTTTGGAGCAGTTCAGGGTTACTGGCATGTGAGGGCTTGCTCCAGTGTCGATAAGGGCATAAAAGTGAAGGCCGAGATACACGCTCCCAGCGCCGGTAAATCCAAGACTCGGGGTGGTTACAAGACAGAAACCTTTGTCTGTGTTCAGCTATCCCTCAAACGAGCTCTTCGGTTCCGGAGCTTCATATCCCCTCTTCATCAAAAAAGCTGCAAATCTATGCTCCATCCTCGCAAACTAATTCATTCATCAGTCACAGACGCCCTTCCCATCAAGTCACTCATCAGGGACGAACTTACAAAACTACCCCCCTCCAACCCCACAACACCATCCTTAACCCAGACAGCATAACTCCCCATCAAATTCGCCACCATCACATCAGTCGTCAAGCGATCACCAACAATCGCAATCTGCTCTGGTCTCGTGACGCCCGTTTCGGGATACTTGCGGAAATACTCCATGATCTCCTCTCCGCACCCCGGTTTCTTAGTAGAGTGAGGAAGCACGGAGATTCCTGTTGCTTTCTCAACAGCTGAGGAGAGATGCCCGTGGGGGTCGTTGGCTGAGGCTCCTGCGGTGTTGGAGACTATCAGCAGGCGCCGGCCAGGGTAGGCGGTTTTGAGGCGGTGGAAGTGGTCCTGTTGGAGGGATTTAGTCATATTTCCTAGATTTCCTTCATAGAAGAGAGGTAGAGGATTCGGGAAACTCTTTGTTCTTAGGTGTGGCTTTGATCTCCCTTTCAAAGCATGTTTGGGCACACTACCCACAGAAGGAAAAAAAGAATTAATTAATTAATAAGAAAATAAGGACGTACGCTGTAAGGTTTATGCACTTCATTTGCATGAGGATAAGCAAAGCAATTATCCTTATCCAACACTACGGCTCTAATATCGACATTCTTATATTTCCCAAAGGCCTGGTTTAGCGGTACTGGAAGCTGATTAAACGTCGATATCGTTACATGTGGCAAACATAAACTCGGCCGCGTCAAGAGACGGAAAACATTAAGCGTTCCGGAAATATTTAGATTATTCATTTCCATCGAATGTATGTTTGGTTTAAATGATGAATAAAAAGGAAATGTATGAGAGGGAAGGTTAGGTAGGTGTAGATTGTCGATTCGCGCTAGCGCGGAGCTTCAAATCCACTAGCGCCATTCCATTATTTTGAGCTTGACTTCGCGCTCATATACAGCAACGACTTCCGCCCTCAACCACCACGCCGCCGACGCTATTTCCACGCTGAATCTGACAAATATTCCAGCACCAGATATTGAAAAAATAGTCCTTCAACACAATGACGAGCACCATCGGCATACCAATCAAACTGCTGAACGAAGCGCAGGTACGTAAACCATTTCGGATGCCCCGCCTTGCGCTCTATCTTTCCAAGCCTGATCCGCGATGGTACCCAGTCGCTATGCGCATATATACAAGTGCTAATTATCTCTCTCTCTCTGCAGGGCCATGTCGTTACTCTCGAAATAACATCCGGGCAGGTATACCGTGGGAAGCTTCTCGAAGGTCAGTTGAGTCGACGTCTCCCGTGCGCCCTCCCCCTCTCAGGGTACGCCGATATAGACGATGTGCTGACCATGCGGGTTTGCAGCTGAGGATAATATGAATGTGCAACTCAAGGATATTACCGTTACGGCGCGCGACGGCCGGGTTAGCCATCTCGACCAAGTATACATTCGAGGCTCGCATGTGCGATTCTTTATTGTTCCGGATATGTTGAGGTCAGTACAGCGCTACTCTTTTCTATTCCCGCCAATAATACAGGAGGATTCTTGCTCTACTGCCGTGCTTGGTTATCCGTGGTATATTCACATACTGACGTTTGGGATCATAGGAACGCACCTATGTTTAGAAGTCGAGGCGTCAAGGGCAGAGGTGTTGGTCTGGCGAGAGGAAGGGCTACCGTCAGCAGAGCAAGGGCTAGTGGGCGTGGAGGGCCTCCGAGGGGATAAATAGAGGAACGGTGAATGGCAGAGGGTTGGCTTCATAGGCGTGGGTCAATTTGATATGGCGTTTTGAGGAAAAAGTCAGACATGTTACGCTGCTAGGTTATTGGCCGCTTTAAAATACTCGTGCCAGATTTGAAAGAAAACGGTCTCGAGAGGCATCGAGCGTTTGTGAACTGTGAACATTGGCTTGAAAGTAGGCATTTACTGAGGGTAGTTTATGATTGTTCGAGTTACTTGCCAGGACATTTAGGATCTCAATTCTGGATGGTTATTCTGCTAATCGGCAGCCCCCCGTACTAGCCTTATTTCTATGTATTTTATATTTGACTAAGATCTGCCCATCTCCCAAATTATCAAGTCATTTTCGTTCATCCCGTACCCAATCCGTCGAAAGCCAACTAAAGTCACGTGAATTGCCTCCTTGACCGGGAATTTCCCATTTCGCCAGCGACGGTCTTACTTCATCGAGTCGAACCCTTCTTTATCTCCCCTTCTCAACCACAAACATCAATCGCTAAAATGGAGATTTCCAATCCTCGACGTATTCTTGCAGTCAGCCAACCTGAATCCGGTCTTCTCGACTTGCTGAAAGGTATCGAGCTTTAACCCCCTCCAATAATGCCCCCACATTCTCATCTCAATCACGTAGGTCTCACTGGCAAGGCGCCGTCTATAACAGCAGACACAATAGCAGGCACTACACACAACTGGCCAGTAAAAACAAGCTACTACACAGCAACCATCCCCATCTGGCTAGATGAAATCTCAGACTCGCAAGTCTGGTCATCTGAATTCCTTGCCCCCGAAGCACGGGAAGTGCTCACAGCCCTCGGAGCCTTCGTTGTGTGTTTTCGAAAACCTATCAATGAAGCGGCATTAGCAGAAACTAAGGCATTGCTTAAGCATGTCTCGACTGTTGTGAAAGACGGCTGTGGGTATTCGTGGGATGGTGCTTGTCTAGCGGTGGCGATGCCGCAAACTATTACCCCGTATCTCGAGAAGAGCTTTGAGGACTGGGAGGATATTTGTCAGGATTTTGGGTTTGAGTTTGTGGATTTTGAGAGTAAAGGGAGGAATCAGTATTCTGGTAAGTTATGCTAGTCCCTATTTAGACTTTGAGATGAAAACTGTGAGACTCATCTTTGTAGAACCTATGGGTATTGAGAGATTAAAACAGGCGTTGGAGACTAATGATTGGGCTGGGAATGAGGATTTTGATGTTATGGATGACTTGGACCAGCTCAACGGAGAAGGTTATGATGAAGATGATGAAACAAGTGTAGGCTTTGGTATTGATCCTGCAGAGTTGGAAAACGAGATGCAGGGTATGAAACAGGCTATATATAGTGGTGGGTTGAATCTCGAAGACGGCGAAGAGGACGATGAGGAGGTCGAGAAATTACAGGCTATGATGCTAAAATTGCAAGCCGTAAAAGGTACGTTTCGAGAATACTTTCCCAGGGTCTGGCTGACGTTAGTAGATATGGCTGCGGGTATGCCCAAGGAGGAGCGTGAAAAACTCGCTGCTAAGACAGTCAAGGAGATAATGAAAACACAATAATAATGTTCTAATGTAAGCCCGCCATTGAATTACATTTCGTTTGTCTTGCTTGCTCTGTTCTGTGTTCGCTTGCCGGGATAAATTAAAGCTGGCCCCTCCCCAGTAAGGGAATAGGAAGACCGACAGGAGCATATTATGAATAACTTATTGTTCTCAACGCAAAGCCCGTACTAGGGCCAAACGCTCTTAATGGGCATATCAATGTTCTCCCCATCGCCAAGTCAAGAGGTGCCATATATGCCAACTCGTAAAGCTTTACGGCGTAGCCATTCCTGGTAATATATGTCCTTGTTGTTTTATCCTCTCTATCGGTTAACTGCGTTATTCACTGCTCTCATTTGCATCTCTCTGATTCAGCCTTTCCACTTATCGTTAGCGCCGCTTTGCGTACCACCTTCGATTCACGGCGATGAGCACATTATTCAAGTGATAAGGAACCAAGCGGGCGCTAACATGTTTTTGAATAGTATAAATTCGGGACATTCCTCCTCATCTCCCTTTCCTCTACATCTTCTTCCCAACAACTTTCCAACAACCTTCCAACAACCTTCCTTCTTCACAAATTCCGGATACCCTTGTCTTGAAGCTTCGCTGCGACTGCATTTTACCTCTATATAAGAGGTTCTCTCAGTACCATCCAACATCTAATCTACCACAAAGACGACCTCATGGTCTCCATGCTACTGTCGTCCACCTTGATACTACGGTGTGGGTACCGAGCTACTGCAGACTACTCTTGACAAGGTATGATTCACTCTTCACTTATGGTCAAGACAACAACGATTCAGATACATTCGTCCGATCTATTTGGGATATTGAAGCAATTCACTCTCGCTTGTCCAATCGAATTTCATTCAATCGCCCACCAATTTGAGATATCCAACTAATAGGTTACAAGGCTATATATCGAAGAATTCTTATCCACCGCCTGTGGTATTCTACTTGGAGAGAAGGTAAGGCAATAACTACTGTCGCATTCGCTCAATATTTGCGAAACACTGACAGCTAATTCTCCATAGTGCAAAATGGGCAAATTTTGGTCAGACGAAGAATGTCGGGTCTTTATCGACCTTATCATGCCCCTTAGGAACCAAGCCGACCCTTTGGATTGGAAGGAACTTGCACCAATCATGGAGGCAGAGATGCAAAGTCGAGGACCTCTTAGACGACAATATACAGCAAATGTCCTATTTCTGCACTGGTATCAGAGAGTCAGCCAGAGAGCCCAAGGAAGAGGAGAGGTGGACCCCCGCAACCTCCCTGGGCCCCAGAGACCACAGGCTCGCCCGGCTACTAATACTCCGCAAAAAATCCCTAAAAGAAGCTACAAGAAAAATCCTACTATACTGAAAGCCCATGGCATTCACCATCGAAATCAACCGTCCGAAATTTTAGGAGACGACAATAACGACGAGATTGAGGCGGATGTGGAGAGCCAGGAGACCAATGAAGAAGACGACCGGCATACTAGTCTATATCAACAGCCTTCCGATGCCTATGACGATAGAGGGGATGGGGATGGCGATGACTCCACTCGGCCAAATACCACCAGACAGGGCCAAGTTTCAATTAACCATAAAGATGATAAAGATGATCATCTTATGGCCAGGCCGCCACAGACTCGCGGCAATACATTTACAGACATGATGAAGAAACAAGGCGCCAGAAAGCGGGCACATTTATTAATGGAGGATCTCGAAGCCGATGAAGCGCTGAACTACGTCCCTGAGAAATTAAGAAAGGGGGACCGGAATACCGACGCTAACATAGCGGACGCCATGTCCCACAATCGCAATCGATCTGATGGCAGTCTGAAGCCCCAAGGGGCATTAGGAATAAAGACGACCATCGGGACCTCGAGGGGAAGTGGAACATTTAGAGCAAAACCAGCAGGACGAGCAAGTGGAGCAGTCAACACCATGAAAGCTGCCAATGCGGTAGACAAGTCAACCCCTCGAAGAGCAGAAGAATCTAGGCTTGAGCAAGAAGGTCCAGAACATACTGATTACATTTCAACGCCCGATCCCGCTCTCAGGGGCAGGAACTATACGGCAGCTTCCCTAGTTGAAAATATGCCGACTCGGTTTCCTCTCAAACCTACAAACAAACAAACTGTTGACTCTGGTTTTCGAGCGCCAACTAAAGCTATACCTTACCCACTGTCTACATCCCAGTCGAACTCAAATTTTGACGAGAAGCCATTCGCGAGTGCTTACAAGACGATTCGGTCAAGCAAGCAGACTCCCACATCTAGTCCAGTGGAGAGCATCCAGACCGAGACTCCATCGAGACCCACAAAGTCCAAAGCACGAACTCCATTGCCTAGTTCACCTATAACTCATTCTTCCGACGTACATCCTATCACAGTTATACTTCGACAGAAGCGGTTTCAAGAGGCTTCCTCTTCTTCCACATATGCTCCAATTTCACTTCAAAACAATGCTCCTGTAGCAAGTGTAACTGGTAAGAATCAGTTCCAAAGCATCAATAAGGACGTCGCCCCTTCTTCGCCAGGACACAGCAGATCATCAAGCCACCTTCCCCCACCACCGCCTCCTAGACCACAGAGCAGACCGGAAAATAACGTTTCCCCACCACCACGGGCAAGCTCTGCACCTAGTCGACCGGTAGGAGGGCAAACGGAGACCTGGCGAGTTCCTCCGCGTCTGCCTCAGCGACAATCTGTGTCGTCTAGTAACAAGGGAACTAATACCTCGGCCTCCCCGCCATCCCCTGGAATCCCTTTAAGGGAAAACCCCCGAGCACGGCCTCCTAGTTCCACTTCAGCGTCAGGGGCAACGGGCTCAACAGACTCATCGCCACATCCTCCCTCGAGTTGAACTGGCTTCCTAGGCTCTCTCAGTGTCGACGATATGCTTGAATGTGCGTACCATCGCTTACTCCCTGCTGACCTAGGAAGCTAATTACGGATAAGTAATATAGAAGCACAAACCAGGAGCCTCTTCTGGTGACATGTATAAACGATTTAAGCATCAAGCATTGGGAGATGAAGTAATCAAGCAGGGGCTATTATAGGCTGCATCAACTTATTTGCTAATTGCCTGGCTTATGTTATTAGATAGACATCTCTCTACATTTTCCTCGGTTGCTAAATTAATAGGCATCGTGCTTTTGGATTGGTTTTAGGCATATTTTAATAGCTCGTAACCAATTACAACCGGGTTATCCTATTAGACCATTCCCACTAATACTTCTTCGAATGGTCATAAAGTGTTGGAAACGCCTCAATACTAGTAAGACATTAAACATATCTCCTAACAAATTGTTTCTAACTTAAAGTGTCTCAAATCGAACGACACGCCGTTAAAAGACTGTATTTGCCACTGTCGATACCCAGGGCTGTAGAAAATTCCCTAGTTGGATTGGCAAGAGTTGACCGTCAAGTGAGGGAATGAAGGTAGATGGCTGTCAACCATAGCCTCTTCAGGAGATTTGAGAGATTTCAGTGGATATGAGAGATTGGGGTTATTTGAGATATTTTAGATGTGCAAGTGGCAACGAACCTATTCGTGGCGTTTTCATCCGGTGAGATTCACTCTACTATCAGGTAAGTAGGTACTGTAGTTCGATAATGCGACTCCCTCGGGTTTTGCGCTAGTGGAAAGTCTAACTATTTAGATACGCCTGGATGCCTATACGACTACACGCTAGTACTCCGGATATTACCTATTGTAGTGCACTACTATAAGCGCCACTACGGGGCGTGCCTTCTTGTTCTTGAGGGTATTGATTTCCCAGATTCCGCGCTTGCATATACGACCGCTACCGTGCCTTATATACCTAACCTTTTGGCGTAGACTGAGGATATAGTACAATAGTAATTACGCGTACTTAACTTGGGATATATGCTACGAGGAGGAAACGAGTCAAATTTGTAAGGTATCTCCTATATTTCAGATAGGATGTTACTATTACAAGTAATAGTATAGCTTAGCTACTACCTTGTACGTCGTATATATACTACTATACCAGGACCGTTACTACTAGTATACTACAACTACTGTTTGAAACCCTGAGCGCTGTACTACAACTATCGGCTAAAACCTATCATGCGTAGGGGACTATATAGAGACTTTATATCGAAGCTAGTAACCTAGCAATAACTAGTTAATTAGAAAACCTTAACATATAGGTAGAGGGTTTATACCTAGGAACCAGGTAAGGTAAAGCCGATATTATCGATTCTAACCCCCATATAAGCGACCCTGGATGAAATAGGCTGCGTAGAAAACCCCGACAACTTGGTGATCTTAGAGTCCTCTAACGTGTCTACTGCGTCTCTCGCCCCCGCGTTTAATACTATCAAGATCTAGCTTAATATAACTTCACCGAAGGCGTCGAGAATCGTATCCCGAGTCTTCTTGGTAGCGTTATGGTCTAGTTCGGCATTCTCTAGTGCCTCCGCAATCATGTTTCTGAAAACTTCCACTTTACTTCGGTCGTTGCTCACAATTCGATGCTCAACGCGTGATTCGGGATTGTGGATGTATTGCATCGTTTCAAGGGTCAATTCAGCGACCACCATCTGTACGATATCCTCCGTACTGTGTGTTTGCTAATAACCATTAGATATGCTGAAGGTGACCAAGAGAGGGTTATATACTTACCGCTATGGTTATGTCTTGAAGGATTGAATGTTTCGATAGAAATATCAGGCATCTACAGCTATTACCTATATATCTCCGATATCGAGCTTCTATACTATTTCTATATACTAATCTAGAGAGCGTAGATATCTTAATTTCAGTTAGATATTTATACGACTTGAATACCTCAATTCTAGTGAGATATTCACACAGCTTGAATACCTCAATTTTAGTAAGATATTTACACGATATCAGATTTATATCTAGGTAATAGCCGTTGGGCCTTATAATACTAGCGAAAAGAGTTTTGCACCAAAGTCGCCCAAGAATGCGCCATAGGTATTGATTTCCCAAATTCCGCGCTCGCATATATGACCGCTACCGTGCAGATATAAAGCGGATGGGGTCGACAATAAAAAACCCCTTTCACTTGCTTCTGATCCCAATTTAACGAGGAAGGGGTGACTACGCGAGTGAGGTAAAGTAATAATTCACTTCCCCACCTCCACGTCTCCTTAAGCTATCTGGGAGATTCTGGAAGACTGAGACATTTAGGAAGAGCGATAGGTATACAACCAATGTTTTGGAGCCCTCCCATCTAGCGAGATCCACTATCCACTAGCTTGGTAGAGATGGATGATATGGTGTTGTTATTGGTGGTCGCCCCAAAGGAAGAAGGTATTGTAGGTTGCAAAACGTATTTCACAATACGCTAGTAGCGTGTATTATTGTAGAGACTGCCCTTATTATAATACACTCAGCTGCCCGTTAATGAAGGGCTTTTGCGTTCAATGTTAGGAGGACAGCCCATGGTTCCAAGGAATCCCCTCCGCTAAGTGATTTCACTGAAGTAGGAAATCGGGATTTAGAAACGCAGGGAGAAAGGCAGAGATACCGCTCCTCTTATCTGCTTTAAGCATCGGTGGCATTCTCCAAGCGATCTATTCTGCCTTCTGCACCTGCTTGCCTCTCATAACCTTCCTTCTCTGCTTCATCATATGCGTATACAGAATATACGATCCTGTTATCAATTAGCAAAACCTTCCACGCAAATTCCACCCGCACCATTCAACTTACCAGGAACATAGATAAACAGTATCAACTGCAAAGCCCAAGCATACTCCGGCCTTAACTCCTTGGCGGGTTGAATAGCCTTATAAATCATCCAACACTCACTGCTGATCCCCATCGGATACAGCACATAGAAAGTATTATATCTCAACCACGTAATGAATTTCGGCGCATATCCACTCAATGTGATCGTGAAGTACGAGTACCGGATTACCTCGGTGACGCTCCATGCTACGAGCATGCATGAGTACACAGCGCTTTTTGCCAGAGATGGGAAGGAGTTGACAACGCCCCAGGTGAGGAGGATGCGTGACGCTACTTGCATGCCTGTTGTGCTAATTGGGGCGCGGACGAGTCCTAAACCGTAGAGGAGCATTGTATTAGCTTCATATTATCTTCGGGCCTCAAATAGGATGGTAAGCAAGGCGGGAAAAAATGTACCCGTAGCAGCATGCACAACCTCCAACAACGCCATAGTTTGCGTCCATTTTGCAAATTGGCCAACCCCCTTGTACGTTCGTCCGAATCCCACCAGAGGCACCAGTAAAACCACGCGTCCGAGGACCACCAGCCAGAGGAGCGCCGAGGTGAAATTGTATAGGATGAGGTATTGTTTTTTCGGGGAGCTGGAGCGGAGGGGTTTTGGGGAGGGCTTTCGTTGTGGGCTCGCAGATTCTTGGAGATCTTGAGCGTCCATTTTGGAGGACTGGGGGGTTTCGGTATCGGGAGTTGATGATGGGTGTGAGGTGCCTCTATGGAGTGAGGAAGTGGTGAGGTTGTGAGGTGCTATAGACTACCTAGCTTACGCGACTCGCTTCAGCCATAATATATTTTCGGTGGCCGAAGCTAAAGCATGTGATGACGTTGGATCGAGAGATTGCAACAGTTAGTTATTAGCTGATTGGATTTCTCCTTACTGCATTCTGTCATAATTCTTGAGTTTTGAAGACGGAAATGCTTTTGTTGCGATATCGAATCATGTTAGAAGCCATACTATAAAGGATCCGAGTATATTTCGAATTGCTCCTTGCAATTATTAGTATTTTGCTAATCTTTATCTTTTTACACATGGATAATTTGCTCTGCTCCATTAAGAACGAAGTACCCGCGCATACTCCAGTTAACGCCTAGCAGTCACGCGCCGGCCATCCCGTCCTTACACCATCTCGTACCTAAGATGTACATAAAAACCATTATCCTGTGTTGTATAACAGAGTCCTCCAAATTCATCTCGTCCAGGTCATATGTCACCGTCCGAACAGAACACCAGCCAATATAGTCAGTAACAACGCACGTAATGTAGAGCCTCGATCAAGGTGGCCTGTGCTAGCTTGTATATCGAATGGACTGCCGCCTCCCGAGTCGGATTTCGTATTCGGTTTCTTGGTGGGTTCGGCAGCCTTGCTGCTACTGCTGCTCGTTGCTACTAAGCCTTCGGGGGAAGTAGTAGTTATTAAACTGCTTGACGACCCACCCACATCTATGCTCGATTGCGAGGATGATGTGGACGATTCGGAGGGTGATGAGGACGATTCGGTGGCTGATGTGGTGACAGCTGCTTTAGAAGTTGCCGATGAAGATTGCGCTGCAGAACTAGATGCTTTTGTGCTGCGGCTTGTTGCACTGGTCACAGAACGTGCAGTAGTTGGGCTTGTCGTCACAGTTGGACACAGTGCTGGTATTATCCCACCGGTCAAAACTACCCCCAATAAAATGTTCGAGCTGGTAGATGCACCATCGCAAGCACTAATGACGGACTTGGCCACCGCGGTCAACGCTGATTGACATTGCGTTGAGCACCCGTTTTGGAAATCGGACACTGTACATGACGGTATTGTAGTCTCCTGTAGAAAACTGGGCATTAGTAACGCTTATTTTAGAGAGGATGAGGAGTCCTAATACATTGTCCGTGGGAAAGCCCAGAAAAATGTCTTAAAACCTCGGGGCCTCAAAATAGGACGCAAGAAGAGCGGCTTACATATGTCAACTTGCAAGCTATAGGTAATAATATCGGAGGTATTTGCTGGAAATCGGACAGAGACACCGCATTCACCAAAGGAAGGGCAAGAAATATCACCAGATATTTCCGTTGCATTTTGAGAGTAGTTGCCTGGTAGACTCGTAATCAGACCTGAGAGAAGGAAGTTGTCCGATCGTGTCGCGCGATCTGGGGATCGCAAGCGATGGAGTAGACCGAGCAGTGGTGAAATTGCGGCGGAGGGTTGGTTAATCGCGCCCAGGCTGCGCCTTGTGGAGGTGACAGAATTGAAGTTGTGAGAGCGGTATGCTTATCAAGTCAAAACGCGGGGGGTTTAGGAATTGGGTGATGCAGATATTTGATCGTCGCTCTCTCACGGACTGCTCCTATGTTCGCGACAGGAGGTGCCGGATATCCTTGACCGAGCGCGCGTGGTCGAAGTATTCGAGACCGTTGTAGAGTAGAACCGCCGATAGCCACCAAAGCAGTGGTTGCCAGTTTGCACGCTTCTGTGGAATTGAATATATGTAACGCGAACGCAGCGCGAGTGGGGGGATCAGAACTGAAAGAAGAATATGCAACGTGGTCCAGCACACTTGGTTTGGGTCTGGTTTGCTGCGTTGTCTTGTACGACTGCCTAGTAGCCAGTACTATCTCCAGATGCGTGAAGATTATATCTGAACTTCTCCGCGTTTGACAGAGGCTGCGAGAGGGGTCAAGAGAATCGAACGGCAGATTGACGACCTGGCGCGGAAAAGAAAGAAATAAAAGGAGAGAAGGAAGATGATCGATAGGATTCTGATCCTGATCTACCTTGGAGACTTTGCCTCTTTCACGAGGCTGGGAATGGCGATGCCAACCAACGGTCAGGTCATACCTGCTCGTCACCCCGGATTGCGCCGTGCTCTCCGAGGGTTAGGGACTCGAATTGCAACCTCAAATCCAACTGCGATATGAGAAACAAAAGATCATTGGGTGAGGCACACGTACACTTCCATGGTCGCCCTGCGGCCTTTGTGCACCTACGCCAATCACCACGTCGCATGCGGTGGTTCTGTGATCACTGGAGTTGGTTGAAACTGAAGCCGAGTTTCAGAAGCTGGACAATGTCCAGGACCTGCGCCTGCTCGTTGGCCCGCTCATTGGCCCGCCCACCGAAATGGGCCGAATAGCATATAATCCAGCCCATATTCTATTCGAACCCTGCGCTAGCCTGGTCGGGCAGCTCATTCCGCAAAGTGACACCATAAATACGCGAATTATCAATAACGGATGTGCTTATAGAGCGGATTTTGGACGGCCGTTGAATGCGAGAAAACCCGCCTACTCCGTCATACTGGAATAGCAAAGTCGAGAGCCGTGAGGCAAGCAGCAAGCAAGCTGAAGTAGCTCTGGAATACATACGGTAGGTAGAGGCAGAACTTATAGATCAGACTCCTTGACGACGCTGCTACATTTGCGGTGACGTTCCGACAAAAGTATAACCGCCTAGAATAGTCTCACCGAAGCTGCAGTATCAGCATCCCTTATCCCCAATGAAGCCAGAAGCTGTATTTAAGAACCAAGCCTGTTAAAGCCATTTTAGAAATCTGAATGCTTTAAATTTGTATATCATGATCTTAACAACATAACGGCGTTCGCAACTGTTCCCGCTCGAGGTTGCATTTTCATACGAATCCTGATTGGCTGCCTTACAATGAAATTCGAACCTGGCAGCCTTCGAGTCAGCCTCGTCAGTGAGGTCCCCAACACAACTCCACACAATACCAATAACCTCGCGACAATAGCAGCACAATCCCACAATAGGGGCCATTTAACATCCCAGCACTTAGCTTCTGTTCTGTTAGCATCTCGTCCATCTCACCACCGATTTTCCACCTCAAATCTAATAGTCGCATACCGAAGATCCGACTTGCCTTCAATCCAAATCCATCTACATACCTCCTCTCCACCAGACCGCCACGAGACAAACCACGATGGACTCTGAGCCAACAACACCAGTTCGCGTTCCAAAAGCAGTATCGACATACACACCGACCACACAAGACCCTGATCTCCGCTCACAAATTAATACCGTGCTTCTACGGGACGGGCACATTTCCAAGTACGCCCTCATCCCACCGCCCTCCCCATCCTCTCAAGCCTACTTTCTGCCCTCCACAATTCCCTCCTTAAATACATACTTATTCAAAAGCTAAAACTACTGTAGAATCCAAGAAACCCTCATCCACGCCCTCCACGCAAGCCCCACCAACTGGCCCACCGTAATCCAAGACCACGCACTCGCTCTCCTCCGCTCCGGAGAAATATCAACATTTCCAGCATTGATGTCGCGCGTGCTGGAGGATATAAGGGAAGATAGTATTGCTGCAAGGCAACGAGAGGGGCAAACAAATGGTGCAAATGGCAATAGCAAGACAGGTGAAAAGGGTGGAGGAAAGGGAAAAGGGCAGAATGGCGTTAGCTTGGCACTTCCCAAAAGCGTTGTTGAAGAGGGTGTTAAGATTACGAGAGAGTGTTTGGAGTTGGTTTGTGAGGTTGGCCATGAGTGAGTGGGTGGCGATGGACGGTGAGGATGAAAGGACGGGAGAATCAGGAGTGCTGTTGATGGACCGCACGCACCATATACGTTGGATACTCCGTAGGAAGTATGACGAAAGGAATTAAGTGGAGGATGGCGGTTGAAATTTGTGTTATGGAAGGGAATAGCTCGGAGTTTATGGCATGCTAAATAATGCGAGCATCGAAGTGTAAGCATAGATTGGCGTTAACCAATCCATTTCATGGTTCGCTATTTAGGGACAACATTCAGAGAATCAATACTTGGACAATTTGTCATATAGCCTCAACTATTAGATTTGGTCGCTTGTGATGGAACGAAAAGCTTAAAAGCAGAATATTTATATTGGACATTCTATGGCGAGGCGCAGCAACCACAAGATAGCGTCCTAACGAGAGATTATTTGTATCTACCGTTTTTCGTGCATGTTGCGACCCAGTTCAATAAAGATCAGTTACAATCACTGTAAACGCTTTCCGACTCCGAGCCTAGTCCAAAGTGGTAGCTACCTCCCGCCAGTTCTATAATTCTCAATGCAGATGCGAAAAAAGAGAATTAAATTACAGATTTAGTCATAAAGACTATCATCGTTCCCAGCATCACCGAATCCTCCGGCTCCACCGCTCGCGTCAGCAGCTGCCTCACCGGCCTCAGGGAACTTGAAGAAAGCGCCGGGTCCAGTACTCTTCATACTCTGTGCGAAGGCCTCGTATCGACGGATCTCGACATCGGTGACGGACCGTCGAGCTGAAGCCATAGCCTCCTCGAAGTGAGCCTTTGTTAATTGGGGCACTGGGTCCTCAGCATCCTCGTCCTCCATATCAACATCCTCGCCGGCAGCCTCACGCGCTTTGCGTCGTTCAATATCGAGAGAGATGGCTTCCTTGATAGCAAGTTTGACAGCACGTTGAGTGATGAAGCCCAAATCGGCACCAGAGAACCCGTGGGTACGGGAAGCGATGTATGGGATGTCGACATCAGGTGCAACAGGCGTCTTTCTAAGCTGAGCTTTGAGGATACCAGCACGAGAGCTTTCGTCTGGCAGAGGCACATATACGAGAGTATCAAGACGACCCGGTCTGCAAAGTGCGTTGTCAAGTTGCTCTGGTCTATTGGTAGCACCAATAACAAAGACATTCTTCTTGGATGTCATGCCGTCCATTTCTGTGATCTATTAGCTTTTGTTTCAATCAATATCATGATTTCTAAACATACCAGTCAAAAGTTGGTTAACGACACGGTCTGAAGCTCCACCTGCATCTCCAACGGATCCACCACGTGACTTGGCGATGGAATCCAACTCGTCCAAGAAGACCACGCAAGGAGCAGCTGCTCTGGCCTTGTCGAAGATATCTCGGATATTACTTTCAGACTCACCAAACCACATGCTTAACAACTCAGGACCCTTAACAGAGATGAAGTTGGCTGAGCATTCATTGGCAACGGCCTTGGCGAGCAAAGTCTTACCAGTACCAGGTGGTCCATAGAAAAGAACACCGCGGGATGGGGAAAGACCGAACTTGAGGAACTTTTCGGGGTGGTCGACAGGGTATTGCACGCTCTCGATAAGCTCGCGCTTGACATCTTCCAAACCTCCAATGTCGTCCCAGCGGACGTTGGGAACCTCGACAACTGCAACCTCGCGAAGTGCAGATGGGTTGGAGACACCAAGGGCAAAGCGGAAGTTGTCCATGGTGACACCCAAAGAGTCAAGGACCTCGGCGTCAATAGTATCCTCGTCAAGATCAATGAGGTCCATCTTCTCACGGATTTGTTGCATAGCGGCTTCAGAGCAAAGGGATGCAATATCAGATCCGACGTAACCATGGGTCTCGGAGGCAATTTGCTCGAGATCGACGTCCTCGCCCAATTTCATGTTCTTGGTGTGAATTTGAAGGATCTCAAGACGGCCTGTTGGGTCGGGGATGCCAATATCAACCTCACGATCGAAACGACCGAAACGACGAAGAGCAGGATCGATGGAGTTAGGTCTGTTGGTTGCAGCCATAACCACGACGTTTGATCTGGCCTTCATGCCATCCATCAGAGTAAGCAGCTGAGAGACAACACGGCGTTCGACTTCTCCATTGGTCTTGTCACGCTTGGGGGCAATAGAATCGATCTCATCAATGAAAATGATAGCGGGCGAGTTCTTCTCAGCCTCCTCAAACGCCTTTCGAAGATTTGACTCGGATTCACCAGCCATTTTAGACATGATTTCTGGACCGTTAATCAGGAAGAAAAAGGCCCCGGTTTCATTAGCCACAGCTCGAGCCATGAGCGTCTTGCCGGTACCAGGAGGACCAAACATGAGTACACCACGAGGAGGCTTGATACCAATCGACTTGAAGAGCTGAGGATGTCTCAGAGGTAGCTCAACCATCTCTCGGATTTGGGCCATTTGTTTTCTGCAGCCTCCGATGTCATCATAACCGACTTCGTTCAAATTTCCTTCTTCGTCCTCACGCTGGATAGGCTCGCCTTCGCAGTGGATGACGGTATCTTGAGCGACAATGCCGTACTCTGGAGGATCGACTTCAACAACCTTGAATTCCACCTGTCTCATGCCACCGCGGATTGTGAACAAATCTCCTTGACGGACGGGTCGATAGGCTTCACGGAAATATGGGGCGAGGAAAACGTCGAAGAGGGAGCCGGTTAGGCCTTCAACTGTATCGGCGATAGGGAGAACCGCGATTCTTTTAGCCTATGAAAAGGGTCAGTATATGTTCGGATGCCATAGAGATTAGGAAACATACGTATTTGATATCTGGGCATGGGTGAACAGTGATAATATCGCCGTGCTTGACGCGAAGATTATGCCTAACGACACGGTTCATCCGGGCGCTTCCATCATCCAAATCATCATCCGCAAGAACGATAAGAACAGTATCCTTGCGTTTCTTGCCCTTTACTAATACAGTGTCGCCACGGAAGAGTTGTAATGTCTCCATGGTGTTGTTTGAGAGGGCAATAACGGAGTTGTCATCGTTGACGGCATCGGTCACCCTGTTGGCACGCCTGTTAGCACTGGGGGAAATGAACCTTACAGCTGGATATATACTCACATCAACGAATTTGGCTTCTTCTTTTTCTTAAGGATGGCTGTCGCCGTGTCATCAACCTGGATGGGATGTTAGTACTTGGCCTGCTGGGGCGCGGAGTGGCGATAGGTAAACATACTGTCTTCTGTTCGGCGCCAGAGGCATCGCTGTACATATGGTCAGCCATCGCTCTCTATCATACTGTTCTATGGGTGCCAGGGAAATCTTACTTGAGGTTCACCTTCCTCTTTGTCTCGACATGATCCGGTTCGGCGGACATGTTGAAGGTGTGTTGTTTGGCTGTAAGGTGAGAGGAAGGTGGTCGAGGGTTGGATGGTAGGCGATAAAGGTGGCCAAGGGATGGCGTTTGTATTGTACAGAGGTCTCTGTGATAGACCGAAGACGCAATGTAGATCGTGAAATGAGGGATGAGGGATGCGTAAAGGGAGATGCTTTGGGACGAGGATGGTATGAGGGTTGAAGACGAGAAGGTCGGCTTGGGAGCTCAGGAACAGCTTGCGGCTTCGCTTAGGCTTGGCACTAAACTGCTAGCGACCTTTCGATAAGGTTCTCTTCCGGACGATTACATATCGCTGGCCCAGGCAGAACAGGCGACGTAACTGAGCGTCGGCGTCGGATTTGCCTTCGTTGCGAGTCGCCTCCACAAGTTGGAAATCTGGCAGCGCCTAGCATGGATCGACAGCCTTTGTGAAAATGGCAGCTGGCCTAAGGTACTATGCTTTTCCTTCAGACTTTCCTTCTGTTTACGAAGCTAAGTACCTAGGTATATAATACATTGCCATTTAACTGGCTGCACAGGCTGCACACTTCCAGGTACCAGTCATGTACGTCCTTTGCCACCGCTTGTTACAGAGGAGGTCTCTAACTCTTAACACGTTGTCAAATCTTAGCCCGACAGCCTCGTATCAGGATTCAAACCGTCACTATATCCTCAGGCTGGAGCAGTAAATACACCATAGTTACTACGTAGGAGTGTCCGGATTCAGCCTATTGGCCGACCACGGCCACTCGGGATACCGTGACACCAATAGCCACATCCAGCTTTAAATAAGTGAACTGTTTCGTGTCAAAGCCTCATGCTTGCTTCTACCTGCGCCAATGTATCAGCCACAGCGAGTTGGTCCAACATCGCTCGCTATAGTAAAATTGCAGTTGGTGACGCCTTCGTGGCGGTGGTTTAGAGGTGTCCAGACTTTACGAAGCCAGGATAGAACCTAGAGCACTTGGGAAGTTGGGAGAGAACATAGATGGCTCGCTGAACTGTCGATGGAATTTAAGGGATATTTAAGAAATTAGGCGATCGGTTTCTTATACTCGTCGTACCTTGAGGAGAAAACCAAGTATTGAGAGCGTAATGCTTTGTTCCCGATGGACCATGTTATTCCTGCCAGATACATTCCTAACAGTAACTTTTAAGTTTAGGGCGTCAAAGAGCTATACTTGACTTCGCGGCATTTGAGCTGGCTGCTGTGGGTTTAGCGGAACGAGCAATCATGGGAAAAGGGAATCATAGCAGTTCTTAGAGAGTAATTCTTTTGGGGATCAATACTTGTCATGACCTTCTGTGAAAAATGCCGTCTCTGTGATGCCGAAACTCAACTCAGCCTATTTTAGTTCACCCTGAATATGCCAAGAGGGTGCCGAACGCCCTCAAAGTGCGATATGCAACAAAATAATTTAAGTGAGTCTAAATCTGGATCCTCAATACTATTATAACAGGATGAATTACGTTGGTCTGGTTCATAAATAAAATCTCGTGGATGGAATTGAATTGCGGATGTCAGGCCGGTAAAATGAGGAACCTAAGCAAGAGAAAGTACATAGTATTGTACTGTACTCATAAGTACACGGGCAATTTACGAGCCGGTTGGCTCGTCTGATAAGATTCAGGAGTATTATATAGATGAAGAAGAAGTGGAAAGCACCAAGTTTAAATACGTAGTATATATCAGGTCCCACACGCCACCTCCGGACCGCACTCGTCCTCCGGACCGGAGCATGAAGACAAATGGACAAGACTTTAGCCGACTGGAGCCGCGGAAACGGCTCGGATCCATCATCTAAACTCTATAAGTGTACATTGACGCGCTCTATCCTAGAATTTGTAGTAAAACGAAACAAGTATTACATTCCCCATCTAGGTAACGCCCTTCCTCCTGTCTATATGCTATTACAACCACAACCGCAGCGCTGGCCCTTTACTCTCGGGAGACATCACGACCAAAAACCTTGGACTTCGCCCAATCGATGACGACAAGAACGCGGTTGCGAGCTATTAGAGTCAGTATGCGGTAAAATACTAGGTCACGTGAGGGTAGGGAAACATACTACTAAAGCACATGCTCAGATACGCGCTCCTCCAGAATAGATAGGTTAATCCACCACCGGTTGCGAAGTTTCCATTCAACCAGCTAACATCAGCCACAGCTCTGTCGCTTCCAATATAGGCCAACGAGCCTTGATGCGTATAATGGAAAGGCTTGATGTCCTTAATTCTTCTCAGCTGCTTCTCATTCTCTTCGATCTCCTTTGCGATTTCGGCGGCATTTCCGGGCTTCAGGTTGAGAGTTGAGCTCAAATCATGGATGTGATCTTCGATGGCTTCGGTCTTCGCCATGGTGTTGAAAAGTCGAGCTAGGAAGGAGCCTTCTTGAGATGCTACTTGTGCAGTTGGCGCATATCCAGAAACGGCACAATCACCAACAGCCCAGATATCGTGGGTACCCTGGACGACAAGATATTCATTGACAGCAAGGCCTCTCCGTGAATCCTTTTGCGCTGGGATTTGCGACATTAGATCCCCGACGACTGGTCGGACTGCATTTCCAGTAGCCCAAACCAGCAGACCGTAAGGCAAAATCTCGGTATACTTCTTTCCATCTGGGCCGGTTGCCTCAGCCTCAACTGTTGATTCGGTGACCTTCTTCACCGCAGTCTTCGTCTTGATGGTAATCTTTTCCTCCTTGAAGGTCGATTCGGTATAATCGATAAGCTGCTTCGAGAACATAGGAAGGACATTGGGAAGGGCTTCAATGAGAGTCACCTTGACTTTATCGCTGATCTCGGGGACCCACTTCTTGACATCCTGATCAAAGAAGTCCTGAAGCTCGCCAGCGAATTCCACACCAGTAGGCCCGCCGCCAACAACCACCATGTGTAGAAGACGCTCAATTTCTTCCGGACTTTGGTCCTTGAAGGTTGCCGTCTCTACGCAGTCCATAATCTTCTTCCGAATCTGCTGTGCGTCGCCAATCTCCTTCAAGAAGCAGGCGTTTTCCCTCACCCCTGGAATACCAAAAGTAGCATTCTCAGCACCTACACTAACCACGAGCATGTCATAAGGCACCCCCGTCTTGCTCATTGCGCCCTTAATATCGGAGTTGTCATCGATGGTAATAATTTTGTTCACATGGTCAATTTTTGTTGCTTCAGCTTCATAGAACTTTACGGCGGCCTGTTTATGCCTAGTGATACTTCGGATGGGCTCCATGATCGATCTATGCTCAACGGTTCCAGTGGTGCATGATGGCAAAAGAGGCGTGAATAGGAAGTAGTTTCGCGGTGAGATAACAATAACATTGTAGTTCTCTGTGTCGAGCTTTTTGAGGAGGGAAACTGCACCCCATCCAGTTCCTATAAAGACTTAATTAGCCGTGTGGCCGAGAGATCAATTGATATAGGGTCTTACCTAGAATGACCAGGTTCTTCTTGGAAGGATCTGGCTCAAACTGCTCCTCGGGATGTCGAAGTTCCCAAACGCCATGTGCGAGATAAGCAGTTCCGGCAATTGCAGAGAGGTATGTGAGCCGCCAGAGGAATCTGAAATAACGGAATCTTCTAGCTTTTTTGGCTGGAGCAGGAGCTGGCGCAGCATCAGCGTATGCACGACGGAAGTCTCGACGAAGTTGGTTCTTGTCGAGGCTCGGCCGCGCGCGTGTCAGAAATGATCGAGGCGATGTCGCGAATGTTCGACGAGATGTGCTTGAAGCTATGCCACGAGCGATGTTCCGGCCAATTGATGAAGCAGGAAGCTTCATCATCCCTCTTGCTGTTGCCGTCATTACTCTTGCGTGCGCGTGTACGCAGAGAGCAATTGGGATGCAATAAAAAAGTTGGTTGCTGCTGGTGATGGTGATGCGGGCAGGGAGAAGGGGGCAGTCATAAGAAAATTGAGTCCCAGTCACAGTCGCTAGTTTTTGCCGTAGGTACTGTATCGGTACCGGTAGATAAGGATGGGGTTTGGGCTTTCGGCGTTAAGCGACGAGAACAAATTCCGTCATTCCTCAGTTTAAGCCGATGGTCACTTTGACTCACATCGAGGCTACAAAATCTCCCAGAAAGCACTGGGAAAACCTCAGTATTAATGTTCTGGTTTGGACTCCTCTCGGCTGTTCCCGGAACCCCCTGGCAAGCTGTACGCACCTGCCTGCGTGCGAGGGGATGATCATAAACCATAGCCAAGTTCCGGGTGGAAGGACGAGCCTCTCCTCAGCCCCGAGCTGGGTGAGAGAGGATAGGAGATTTAAAACTGTGGCAACAGAGTGGCGCTTCGAAAATCTTACAACGGTAAAACCTGTCTACCCATCCTGTGGGAGGTACGAAGTACGTACGTACAGTATCTTGCATTGCGGCACAGCAGTGGAATACTCCCAAGACGCCATTACGTTGGCTGGCCAAGGGCGATGTTCAATCAGGCCAACTGAATCCAGACTCTAGAGGGCAACAAGGGAGGTGTTTCCCGAATCTGTACTGTGCTTGAATCATAAAGACTGTGTCCATAAATCCTTCGGATTAATACGAACAGGGCAAAGACGTTTCATTTGGTCCACTAAAAGACGTACAAATATAATGTCGTCGAGATTGGAATGACTAATGTCTAGTTGACATATTCAGAGCTAAGGTTATGCCCCTCCGATCCTATCATGGCGTTGTCTGTGGCTCTCTGACCATGCAATAAAGTTTGCAAACCTCACCGTCGTCATCGCAGTCCATCTGCTTGACAACATGGAAACCCATTGCCTCATATATTTTTATGTTGGGAACATCGCGGCTGGCTTCCAGATAGCATCTCCTCCCCTCTTTATCTGCCAATATTGTCACCTCGCTCGCAAGTGCCTTTCCTATTCCTCTACCTTGATGTTCGGGGTGGACCACCATTATGTTTAGGAAGTAATACCCGTGAGGGTCCGTCCAGATTTCGGAATGGGCTTCGGCTTGTTTTGCCTTCCATATCCAGTACCTCTACATAAAGGCGCAGTCAGCAATGTCTTCCCCTATTCAGCTTGACTACAGTGTCCATCGTCTGTCTGTCGTCAACGATTCCCCTCGTTGCGTGGATGGATGTGCTGGGTGCGTTCCGTTCCGTTCCGTTCCGACCATGGCATATGTCTTATAGTCCATGCATTTGGGTATGTCTCGGCCATCAGAGGAAATCAAACCTCAGACACGTGAACTTGCAGGCTCCAGGTTATTGATTCAAGCTGCTGAAGCCTGATGGTGAGAGACTGACTGGTTGACAGCGATAAGTTGACTCTGAGGAGATGTTGCAACCAGCCTACATCCAACACAATGGATGTATTCATCTCAACTTGCATTGCTGCGTCATTGCCATGTTTCATAGATGTGCATATAAAGAGAACCCGTATAATACCTTTACACTCAGGCCGCCTCTGCCATACCAAAGATTCATCCTAACCTGTTGCATCCATATTCTTCACTCTTCAACCCACTCAACCCACGCTGTCTTCTGCTCAACTGGCCTGGGTGGCATCCACATAGAAATGCCCAGGATCCCATCTTTTGTACCGCTACTTGGATCTTTGGCCACGTAGAAAAGGGCGTTGCGAATCCCCCATTGACATCGTATTCCTAGGGAGACCCGGTTTCGATTCAGATCGACCTTTCAAGTTTGTTAGTCGAACTAAACGAAATACAATGAATCAGATACGTTGTGGCTTGAAGCTTAATGAGATGCGAACAGAACCATATGGGCAAAGTTGAACGAGGATAGTTCGCGACAGGATAGCCATGACACATCCTTAAAGGCTTGGAAAGACTATGAACTATGGAGTACAAGCGTACAGATGCCCGGGGACACTATCCCTAGTCTCCTAGTTGCAAACTCGACCGAATCACCACCCATGCATGCTGAGAACGGGTGTATCGGGCATCCTGTCTCGTGGGGCGCCCAGCCATCAACGACTCACCTTGGATCGATCATTGTACACCCACAGGTTGTACGGGTCATCCTTGAAGGCCTCCTGGATTGTAGTAATGGCGCCTGGAATCTCTACGTCAGTAAGGCGAAGGATCGAAAGTGGCATCTTGGATGTCGAGGTTGATGTTGCGGGCGTTCGGTTACAGAGGAACTTTGTTACACACAGCGAATATTGACTGCCGTTGAAAACGGGGGAGGTTTAGGCGGATGCCTTCTTCGCAAGAGCTTTATCAATCCGGACGCTGGAGCCGCCGTCAGGAGAGGCGCTCTTCGCACGGCATAAGATATCAGCAATGTCTTCGTTGCTTCCCGAAGTACCGGTACATGGTGTGGCTCGCGACTTACTACGTAAGTTAGGTACAGTACCTACTACTGAGCACTATTTACTAACAAGCGAGAACAAGTTTCTGGCGGGCCCTTAAGGCTTGAACTGCAGCTTAAGCTCACTGTACGAAGTACTTCATATAACCCCCAATCCAACCATTCCTATCACTTGCGAAGTTGCGATTGGCTATTAGCATCATACGTAGCGCATTGGGCGCCCACTTGGCGCTAGCCGTTGTTTGAATATGAAGCTATTCAAAGTCTGGTAACGCCTCGTCAATACTTACTTTGGTCCCGGATCGCAGTGAACCGTCGGTCCACGTCCAGGTCTGAGGCCGAATCTACATAATCATGTATTGCTACTACAGAATATGTTCCTGCAGGCATTCGTCGCGTGCTGGAGCGAGGCTGCGGGCATTGCACAGACTCTTCCTCTGACACGGGGCCGAAACATGGCTTCTCCAGAATCCGTCCCAGCCAAGACTCCAGAGCAGCTTTGCTACTTGGTGATCGCCGACTACTGGCAGCTTCCTCGACTTGCCTTCGAGAGCTCGCATCTCCCCGTCTCAGACTGCATCGCATAGGGTAGGCTGCAAAGAAGGGCATCCGCCAGACGTCCCCCGGACCTTTTCTCCTCTCCTGCTACGGTCACAGGCTGCCCCCGCAGAAACCGAATATGCGGGACCCTCGTTGAAAGGGATATGGGGCTCTCGGAGTTTTAATTTTGATTGATGTTGCCCGGATGGATGTACACCAGCCCCTCGGCGCCCAAGCAAAGCAAAGCATGGCAAAGCATGGCAAAGCATGTCATGATCTTGACCTAGCCGGTCCCCGGTAGCTGTGCGGCGCTCTGATGATCTTCCGTCCTGATACACTCGATTATCCCATTCTCTTCATCCTTCCTTTTTGTCATTTCTTCCTTTCTCCCCTCTTCTCTTCTTCACCACGACCGGCTCGTGACTTCAATTCTTTTGTTACGTCTTTTAATTGTGTTGGGGGTTTTGAGAACAACAGTATCTATACTTGTGGCCAACCTTATCGAGAGAATCACTGCATGCCCTACCTATCGGGAAACCTAGCGTTCCACTAGGTACTGCCCATGCTTTGCGGAGGATGAATACGACGATGGCACCTTTGGACCCGCTTTCGCAGGTCTCCTTGGGAAGTTTAAGACGGCGGCGTGGTATCGCTCAAGATATCCCATCGAGGAGGAGGGCCCCTGAGGGTGGTAACAATGGACCGAAAGGCCTAAACCCCAACTCGGGGGGCGGTGGCGGTGGCGGCAATGGCAATGGGGATGGAAATGGGGATGGCAATGGGGATGGCAATGGGGATGGCAATGGGGATGGAAATGGAAATGGGAAGGGGAAGGGGCCCGGGGGAGGAAACGCGATTGGGAACGCGATTGGGAAAGGGCTTGGGAAGGGTCTTGGGAAATTGAAAGGGAACGGTAAAGGCAAAGGAAATGGTATTGGCAATAATCAAGACGACAGCAGCACTGATAACGGAGCTGCTCTGTCCACCTCAGCATCCTCCGATCCCCAACCAGCTGCTACGGCAGTTACCACCACCACTCCGATAGCTGCGGCAGCGACCACCACCACTCCACCAGCCAATATTGTTACCTCGACCACCCCTGAAGCGCTGCCCAGTGTTGTACCTGCAGTACCAGTAAGATCACTTCACAGATATAGTTTATCAATGCTAATGTTAAATAGGACTTGATTTCTACAATGTTTCCAACAACCCTCGGACCAGCCCCCGCATCCACTCAAACCTCAGCAGCGGCCACATCACCCCGAAAGGCCTTAAATCCCGAGGAAGATATCACGTCCGTTTCTAACCCCGCGGAAACCAACATACCTGTTGTCCCAACAACAACCATAATCATTCCTCAAAGCGTCATCGCATCGACACCCAGCCCTACTGACAATCCTAGAAATGGAACAGACTCGAGACCCAGACCCAATTTTGGCAACAGACCCGACAAACTCGACAAACCCGACAGACCTAGAGGCAATAACAATGGTCTATCCCCCACAGCCGAAGGACTTTTAATTGCCGCGGGGGCCATAGGTATGTAACTATAAAATGGTGATATGAGCGTTTATAATAACCATGAATTTCTAGGTGCTTTCGTCATTGTCTTGGCTGGTGTTTATTTATTCTTGAGGATGAAGAATATCGATATATTCACACCCGTTAGGAATCGACAGATACGTAAGGGAGGGGGTCGTGGTCTATACGGATGGCGGAGGAACAGCCCAGATTCCACTTTGGAGGCTCCCCCCCAGTACGACGACACTGCTATGCTTCCTTCAGAGGAGAAGCAGTCCTCAGTTCAGACCCAAGTTGGTGGCGAATTCGCACCGGCTCTGGCAGCCTCTGAAACAACAGACAATATGCCACGTGCAGATCTCCAGCCTCAGAAATTGACCAGAGAAGCCCTCCTAGAAAATCCAGCACCTCTCGGATCGTTCTCCGGAGGGGATACTGTTACAGAACCTCAAGCTTCCTATAACAACACTGGACGACTCAACACTCTTTTATCACGAAAAGTTTCGAGTACGAACAATAATACCATGGATACCAAAAATACATTTATTACACGGCAGACTTCAAATCTTCGAAATGCATATCAAGGGCGAGATTTGAATCGTATGAGTTATCTCTCATCCCTTTCATCTGGTTTCGGCGACGGCCTCGTAATGAGCGAAGCCGGCGGCCCCAACGGTAATCAAAGTACGACGTCCCAAAATCATCCTCGGATGGCCCGATTCTCGTGGATGCAGCAAAATCCAAGAGGAGACAGAGATACTGTCTACACAACCACCACAACCACTTCTGACGAATCCGCTCCCCGCTTTCGTAGCGTCAATTCGTGGGTGGCTCAACAGGCTGGTCATGTGGAGAGACGAGCACCGCTTAATAGCAACCCCCCTAGCATGCCCCCCATACCGTCTACTCTTCAACCTGGACAGCCAGTTCAGCACCGAGATACAAGTGAAGATCCGGTGTTCATGTTCCATCCCGGGGAAGAAGTTCAGATCTCCAGGGGCTCCAGGGTCCCAAGTGAGATTTTGAATAAAAAGACGGGAGTTGATTGAACCTTTTCCCATGGGTGGATGAATTATGTTATGGTTCATGTGTATATAACTTTAACTCAACGGGCCTGGAGCTTGTCGGTTCGATGATTGAAGCTTCCCAGCTTGGAGTTGCATAGCGCGGAACGGAGCATGAGATAATGATTTTTTTGTATCTTACTAATATTAGGAGGAGATACTAGAAAAGGAATGGTAGAGATTACTTATACCAAAACAATACCATACCTGATAATATATACGGGGGTTTCTTTAGGCTATCGAAAATAGGAATTTGATATGATACCCAAAAGTCCGTGCAGGAACTATCTATGTCGGAATGAATTGTACCCGTACCGTCTACACTCTTCCTGATACCACTCGGTCGTGATACTGTCAAGTCCATCACCTCGTCTGAACTAATGGCTTGACTTTCGCTATACGAAGTATTATTAATACTCAGTCCGGTTCCTGTGCCGGCTCGGCCCTGCGCGGCTGCGCCAAAAATAGCGTGGCATTACGTTCACCTCTCGCCAGTGACGACAACGACGACTGCTTGGCGCTGCTCAGCCTCACCAACTTACATTGTGGACTCGTGGACTCGTCAGCCGCACAGTTGTTCTGGAACTGCCCTAGAGAATAGAGCAACAAAACCTTCAAAGACTCGCCATGATCCTCCCGTTACTTGGTCATATACCTTTATACCATTACTGGCAAAACTGCTCCCCTACATAGCCTAAGTCCTACCTACGTTTGACCGTGCCAAGTCCCGCAATTTGACCTTCGAGATTCGAGGCTCCAGCTTAGAGATCCCCTCTCGCCCGCAACGGGCTTCTCCCAGTTGTAATCGGCGAGCATCTTGAAAACAAAGACATCATGTTGGACGAAAATCTCCCAACGTTCTTTATCAAATCCCCTTCTTCCGATAGCCCCCTCACCAGCACCATCTATCTCACCCAAAATGCGTCCGAACTGCAGCCTGAATATTCCCTCAGACGTCCCGACCCAGCTCTCCCAACGGCAAAGAACTGCTATGCCGTGGCACTCTATGATTCCCACAGCCCCGATGTCCTATACGCAGAGGTGCTAGTCCAGCCAGAATGGACACAGCCCACACTCTCCCAAGCCGAAATCCGAGCGCAAAACGGCATCCCACCACCTCCCGTACCCATCGTCCCAAGCAGCTTCGTGATCCAGCTCTACAACCCCGATCAGCAAGTCACCGTCCGGCAGATTGCGGGGTCATGGAATAGTTCTGCGTATTGGGAATTCGAAATGCCTCAGAGCAGTTTCCGGTTACCGTCCGTCTCGGCACTTGATCGTAGTCAGAGTGATCCCGCGATTTCGGATGTAACACCCAAGATAGAATTTAAGTGGAAGAGGGATGGGAAGCTGTCGAAGGATATATCATGCTTTTTAGCTGGCAAGACGACAGATGGGAAAAAGAATAAGGAGCCTGATATTATTGTCGCTATGCACAAGAGCGGCAAAGATCAGAGTCAGTTGACGATATACGAACCGAACATGCATCGAGTGGATGTTGAAGACACGAAGGGCTTAGAAGTTGTATTCCTCCTAGGGTCAGCTGTTATCAAAGATATTTTCTTCAATGCTAGCAGGGAGCTCTTTAACATCAGTTCACCAACGCCTACGAACCCGAAGCGGAAGAACAGCGGGCCGGTAATAGGTGGTAGGCCCAGCGTATCCTCACCGAGGATGTCAGGTGCCATAATGCCTCCAGCAGCGAGTCCACCAAGAAATAATATCCCACCATCACAGATTCCACCTCAACAATACTATCAACCTTACCAACAACAACAACAACAACAGCAACCTACATCCCGACCACCACCACCAGCCGACCCCCAAATACAATGGGAGATAGACGCCGAAACAGCCCGCTTAAAAGCCATGGTCGAAGCGGAAGAAAAAGAGCGCGAGCGACGGGACCGGAAAGAACAAAAACGAATCAAAAAGATGCTAGAAGACGAAGAAAAAGAGCGCCGAAAGCGTGAGGCAGAAGTAGCCAAAGAAACAGAACGACTTCGAAAACAATACGGCGTGCCAGTAGCAAACCCCCATCCATTATCTCAGCACCCGCCATTACCACCTCGCACACAACAAGCAGGGCCATCTCAACCAGCCTTCCCACAGTACCAGAGCGCCCCTCATTCGCAACCTGTTCCTGTACAGAGGCCTGTCAGCACGCCGGGAAACCAGCCTGGTAACTCTACGTGGGCGGGGGGGTCGCAAGGGCAGTCTAGCCCGTATTTACAGGCGCCTGGGAATGCAGGGGCGAGCTCGAGCGGGTTTTTTGGGCTAGGTGGGGGGAAGAAGATGCAGAAGAAGCGGAGTGTTTTCTTTTGATGAGTGATTATGATACCAAGATGAACTTAACTATTCTTTCGGGTTACACGGCGAGTAGGTAGGGATGGTGAATGATTAAACGTCATATTCCATATATTGGCAGCAAGAATAATTGTATGTCAATTAGATCGTTATCTTTTACATATTATTCGTGCTCTAGGTTCCGTGTTTTTCTCCCACTCGACATATACCCACCTGACATACGTCACAATAGAAATATATATCTAAGGAGTAAAAATATATTTTCTTCAATTCTTTGATCTCATCCGCTCCTCTACCTACACATGATGACCAAAACTCCATCCGCTGACCATGGAACAAGAAGATAAACCTAGCCATGTATAAAACTGACATATAAAATAAATAGTAGTAGACGTAGAAGTCAAGCCAATCCAAGGTATCCCACTCCATCCCAAGTTTCCCATTTTTCCATATATGAACAAATACATCCCGTGGTATATATATGCAGCATACGCACATCTACATCTTTTTAAGTAATTACCGCAACATTACGCTATGCGAATAAAGCAGTAAGTGAGTTCGGAGCAAACCGACCAAGGCCATTCTACAACCAAGAAGCGCCTTGAGCAGGGGTATTATTCATATAATTCCACCAGGAGGATCATAAGTCGCCCCCGCGTTTTGATGGGCACGACCCATCCCCCTATCTAGTCCCGCACTCCCAGGAGCATCGCTGACTTGCCCGACATCGGGCAATTTCCTCAGCATAAACATCGGTTTCTTGCCCTCCTTATCTAATTGTTTGAACAAGATTAGAGGCTTCTCATCTCTCCCTAGGCACCGCTCCTTATCTCCGTATACGATATACAATGCATATTGCTCCCACGGTGCATTGATGTTGTATTTCTTTAGGGCAGCGGGCAGGACCTTGTAGCATGGATCCTCCATGCTTACGCGGAAGGATTTGAATATTTCTACTGAAGCGCCGCCGCCGGAGCTACCGGAGGGTGTGTCGAGAGCAGGTGTTTGCGCGCGCCGTAAGGGAGCGGGCTTGGTAGAATCGCGGGAGTATGTTGAAGGTTGGTATTGGTCGTTGTCGAAAGTGCTACGAGCGGGAGTCGGTTGATCTGAGCGATAATAGTGAGAGGCAAGGGTGGAGCCGTTGAGTGTCGGGGGCGATGTTGGTGAAGGCTGGTTTGGAGATGGGTGGCCTGGGGATATGGATGGTTGCGAGCCGCCGTTCATGGCAGCTAAATGTGATGACGATAGGACGGCTCGCTCTGCAGCATTGGCAGGATCGAGCGCTTGTTCCATCAGAGACCTTTCTTGGCCTATTTGCATATAGGTTGGTGACGCATTTTTCGGTGGTTCGAAGAATAGCTTTTTCGTGGAGAGATTCCTTGATACACCACCCCCAGATTGTCCAGAGGATGTTGTTTGCGCCGGTGGGGAGATGATGTTCGAGGTATCGTAGTTATAGGATATTTGATTGTTCGTGTCGGTGGAAGGGTAAGGGAGTGGTTGTCCTTCTTTCGCCATTCGAAATACAGGGAGTAAATCCTCCCTTAGTCGAGTGTATTCCGCGGTTATTCGTCGCAATTCCTGCTCCGCGATGCTCATCCGCTCATCTCGTAACCGTAGTTGCTCGACGAGGAGTTTGATGTCTTTGAGGGTTGCCGTGGCATACTGCGCCTCGGCATCTGCGGCTGTTCTTCGAGTTAGAAGCTATTGTAGGGAAGTCGAGCTGGTAGACACTTACACAAAGGAACATAGTGATCGCTTTCTAGGGGGATATCCTGCTTGATTTTGATATCATAAACGCTCTTCAGGATTGTGAGTCGATGGCCAACGCTGGTCACCCCCATTTGCTTCAGGTCGTCATGGAGCAACGCTACCAGTGATTCACCAACGATATCATTTTCTGCTCCACATCAGCGCTACTACTCTACAGTCAATGATCCTCAAAGAGGCCGGTCCATACCTAAGAATTGTTCTGCATATTGGCGCAAGCCTAGACTGCCTACAAAGTCGGCGCACTCATCAGCCGTCCATTCCGTGATGATAGTCTCTGGCAGCCTATCTCCGCTGCTATGGGCGCCATATGTCGTCGGAGTATGCTCGTTCGACGATAGCCCTTCCGAGTCGGTGGGCGAGGCCTCGGAATCGGTGGCCAGGACGGGCGAACTGGCGTGTACGCTTCTCTCGTATTCATCGTCCGCATCAGACTCTGGATACGCGGTGCCCGATTCGAATGCCATGCTGATGTTGAAGCAAGGGGGAACACCAACGGCAGGAGGGGACTGAGACAGGAACGGCGTGGGAGTTGGGCGGCAGTCGTAGTTCGGACGGTCGCAAGCAACGAAGCAGTAAAGCAGCGCAGCGCAGCGACAGTGGTCTCGTCGTTAATGAGGTCGCAGATGGCCGAGGTTGGCAGAGTTGACAGAGTTGGGCTGTTGAGCTGTCGAGCTGTCCAGGTGTGAAGCAGTTGGATCCTTGATGAAGTTGCACTCGTTCGCTTCCACCTCGCTAACTCGCTGAGGCTGGGCTCGCTGGCAGGCTGGCTGGGCTTGGAGTCGTGGCCGCGGTCAAAGGTCAAAGGCCAAAGGTCAATGGTCAAAGCACTGGCTGGCCGGCCGGCCGTTGCGTGTTGATAGCCGTCCTGCCAATATCTTAGTCAAGATTTGGCCGCGTCGCTCCAACCCGAATGCCTGCTGTTAATATACGACTAAATAAGCGTTGGCCTGTCGGTCATGGTTGCGATGAACTTAAAAGTGCAGTGCCGCGCGGCAAGGAATGCAAAGAATGCAAAGTCAAGGCTTTCAAGTGGGACGACAAATTCCAGAGATATTGAATATAGAGTATAAAGTATAAAGTATAAAGTATTGCACTAATTGCATGCACGCCAATTCGAGACCTAAGAAGGGCGGCGCTTCTTCCTTCGACATGCGAGAAGACCTCAGTCAGGGAGAATGGAAGGGAAGATATGTACGAATGCGCCGAACAGTATACAGATCGCACGAAAGCTAAATATCCAATATGGTATCGATAACCCGCGCCAGGGTCCATTTGCTCCATTCCCTATTTGCCAGTACGCCAAGTGAGATTGAATTGCCACCAAATCTTTCGTTATCATTTGCATCGTCTCGACGCCATTTCTACCTCGACGCCTGCGCCCTCATCTTGCGAGCCAGCCAGTCCCCAAGCATGCCATCCAGGCGCTAGAAGCAAATTATTAGCAAGGTTCGAAATAAACATTGGACGCCGCTTACATTGGTTATGTCGGCCAATTTTGCATTCTCTTCGCGGAAGAGATTCCCCACAACCGGATGGTCCGGCCCAGCAGGGACTACACCTGACTTGTCGTATACCACGACAAGTAGGTCTTTGATATCCGCGTCGTCGTCAAAGAATGTTCGCAGGTGAGCATCGCTCCACGTCGGAGTTGATGCGGACGTCGTGGAGCTTGCCTGGTCTTTCTTTTCTCGAGCATCATCCGCGTCAATAAGCTCAGGCGAAACCGACGACCGAGGCGAGGGTGGCTCTTCTTGACTCGAATTGTCACCCATCAGAGGGGGTGGGTACGATTGCACAGGGGTCATTGGAGACACCTCGACTGGAGACTCTGATAACCTCTCTTCCGTCGGGTTGGGTTTCTCTTGCGCAGGAGTTGATGTATAACTATCCGGGAAGCTGCCTGGAATCGCTGCCTGGAATTGCTTACTAGGTGCTAGTTCGGGTTCCTCAACAGAAGAGTTGTCTGGTGAGGAATCGAAGTCATCTAGCTCGACACGAGCCTTGGCTTTCTTAAGCTTCACGGGTTTTGGTTCGGGGTTACCCGATCGAAGTATCTTCGAGATAGGACCAACAGATTTGTGCTCCTTGGGAGCTACGGCAACAGGCGTAGGATCCCGAGCAAGCTCAGGTGAAAGGTCTCGCGGTTGCACTGAATTTTCAGCCGGATCAGATTCAACCAGACGCATAGATGGTGTTTTAACAGGTTCTTTAACAGATTCAGCTGGGGTTGCCCGATCCTGAGGCTGCTCCAAAGGCTTAAGCTCTTTCGCAAGGCCTGCCTTGCGACCTGTAACTTCGTTCCGAGGCTGCTTCTGTAGCTTACTTGGGTGCCTTTGGATTTCCGATGATGATACCGGGGTTTGTTCTTCGATAGATGCGATATCGTCCGAATCTTTACTGGGAACTGGTGATCCTCTTGCATTTTCAGTTGACCGCTTCCCGGCCATGAGTTCGTCGACTTCTTCCTCTGTCGTCTTGGCTCGCTTTTCCTTCCGCTTGAACAGGCCACTGAGCATACCTGGCTTCTTGTCTTTCTCTTTCTTGTCCTTCTTATCCTTCTTGTCTTTACTTTTCTCTGGGCTAGAGTCCTTTTCAACTTTATCCAGGCTAGGTCGTTGTTTGAAGTCTTTAGAATCATTTGATGTTCGGGTTGAAGCACTGGAATCATCTCGAAGCAGGTTCGGCGTAAGTGTAATCTTCCTGGTTTCCACGGTATCGTCCTTGAAGAACGAATCTGTATTTCTCACCGTTCCGTTCCTTGACTTGCTCTCCAACTTTCCATCAAAGATCTCATCGCTTGTTCTCGTAGTGTCATCGTTAACGTCGGATACCATCACCTCAGCTTTAGCATCAGGCTCAGCTGAAGCCGATATAACCTCTCTTACTTCGGCACGTGGCTTCAGGGGTTCGACTCTGTCAACATCTTCCTCATCAGCAGTAGCATTTTGCTGGTCAGCAGTTTGTTCTGCTTCCCCATTCTGCCTGTAGTATTCTCCCTCGCCGTCTTCTTCCTCATCTGTTGAGTAGTCGATGTCGGAGGCTTCTACGTAGGTGGGAGCAGCAAATGCAACTGTTTTGGCATTTCTTCTCCGAATAGCCATTTTAAGAGGATTTTTGGTCTTTTCGGCTTGGTCGCCCAACATGGTAGATGTGAGCTAGAAAGATTAGCAGGGTTGCTATATTAGGCAATATGAGCTATCATAACATACATCAATATTTCTATGCTTATTTAAACGTGCTAACCGTTCAGTTGGCGTCTCAATGTGCTCTGCAGGTAGGTACCCTGTAAATTTTGTAAGCTTCATGCTAACTGACAAACACCCTACTTTAACCAACTTACCAATACTACTGTCTTTCACCACCCTTACGAGCCACCAGTAGCTATTGCTGTCATCCAGAAGCACCATGGTGTCTCCTTTCGTGGCATTGGCCTGCCCCTCGACTGTTGCGACAAAGGTATGGAGGGCGTAAACGAATTCGAAATCGATATCCTCTGTATCTTGTAAGCATTCTCCACCCCAACCCGAATCAACAAATCTAGAATCAGCACTGTAAGGAATGTCATAATCATCATCTTCCTCGTCGGAACTGTCGTAAGGCAAAGTCAGGGCACATTTGAACTGGTCCTCAGAATTGTGTCGGTCCAGGCATCTGTCAGGCAATCCATCGGAAAATGAATCATGCTCACAAGTTTGGTGGTAGTGGCCGATATACTGCTTCATGAGTTCTGCTGGGCTTGGTGATACCATACCATCTGCTTGACGGCGGTCGTCCAGTTCGGTATCGCTGTCGCCATCACTGTCGTCCAAGCGGTCCGGATACTCACCCGGAAGATGATGATTGTATTGAATTTGACCACCTTGGATCATCTCTTTACCGACTTGTCCATGCTGGGATTGTAACGAGAAGTAGTCTGGCGTCTCCAAGAATGGAGGTGAACTTTCGCCGCACGCTTGTGAAAACGACACAGGAGTGGATGGACTTTTTGAGAGCGGAGAAGACCTCTGAGGCCACAATTGTGGAAGGGAACACCCACCATCGTCGATTGACGGAGAACTTGAAATCTTGTCCATCATATCATCATCCATGTCATCGTCACCCTCTGCATCCGCCATTTCAGCATCCTCCGCACTCAATCCCGTGAGGCCACCATTTTGCGCAATCGCCAGGGCATCTTGCTGTTGGTAGTTGGACCCATTCACCTTGGAACCGACCGCAGCAACCATGTCATCTTCCCCATACTGTTCAAGCTGCTGCACCTCACTGTTGGCCCATTCTCGCGACACTCGCGGACTCCTATGGTTCTGCTCCGCAGCCTCTGCAGCCACTTCCCGCAATGCTTCAGCATGATGGGAAGCTGGGGACCCGACCCCTATAGGGCCTGCATTCGGGGGTTTTCGCGAGTGGTCCTGGGCGGAAGGGGCATTTTGGTCTTGCAAATCAATCGAATCTAATCAAGTCAGAAGCCTATTAATCGGTGGAGGGGATACCGAATTGTACCTGCTCGTATAATCTCTGGTCGTGTCATGGTGTCTTGAGCGCATGGAGTCTCCCGGTTCCAACACGGAGGAGTGTTCGGGGCGTCGTCCTAAGGGGTTCTCGATGCACGCAGCCGTAGATATCGCAAGCTATCCAAGCAGCCTGGGACTTCCGATGGTATATCCGCAGGAATCAGCCTGCGCGGTCTCAACGCTGAAGTCGCGTGCTCCAAAGGGCGGCAGTTGTGTCACTGCGAAATTGGGCTGGCCCACAAGGAGACTCGGAGAAGTCAAGATCGAACGAAAGGAGTCCCGAAACATGGAGCTTCGCCGGCCAGGGACTACTTCGTACGGATGCGCGCACGATGCGAGAGAGTCGATTATGGCCGGCGGCGTCGTCGTCGTCGCTGCAGATGTCGGGTGGAAAGGGGAAAGGAATGTCGACCGAACTGGGATGTGCAGGTACAGTACCGTACTTTCGTAGGTGATGTGATGCTGTCTTGTGGGTTCTGTCCAGAATCCGGAATTTGTTTCCAGCCACCCCCCGGGTCAACATGAAACGAGCGTCCCCAGACACTTTGGCGCCCCAAGAAATCCAATCCTCGCTTATGGTGGGTGCTAGAGCCTAGAATACACTCCAGGACTAAATATAACTGTTGCAGTACTGCTTATTGTTATCACTCCTCCCGACTTCGCCCACCAGCTGGCTGACCCGACATTAACATCATTTACGATATCAAGATGCCGGGACATGCGAAAATATGCGAAAATATGCATCGAACATGCGCCTCCACGCTTTGGAGGACACGTGGGCCGAGCGAGGCGGCGGCATTGAGATGCACCATCGGTCTGCAGATCAAACTCGGAATTCTCCTATATTTGCAAGGGGCCAGCTGGAATTTGGCTCTGAGCACTACGCACGAAGGAAGTATGGTGGCATTCATAGTCCGATGGCCGGCGATAGCTCACTCTATGCCACATATTGCCCATACGAAGTACACCTAGGTAGGTATTAATGAAGAGTCTTCCGGTGCTTTGTTATTAATCCTGGGTGCCTGAAATGCTTCGTCGATGGGGCGTTCACTTCACTGCACGGATGGCCCCCAATCCGCCCCAATACAACCTTACAATGCCTTAGAGCATCAACCCCAACTTACTATTAGTACTTAGTGTCTTATACTTAGTTGACTATATATAGTATTTTTTTTGGGGTCTCTTAATACTATATATATGTTCTTTAAATCTATTGCGCCTTTGACTTCCATTAAGGTACATAGTCTTTATTCCTCCTTGCCTGCTTAGAAGCTTTATGTAAGTACCACAATTTTTGCCCCGGCCGTATTTTCTTCCATCGCTTTATGTGCTTCAACGATTTGGTCGAGGCGGTAAGTCTTTATCGGAATTTTAATTGAGCCATCCACGACTTTTTGAGCAATATCATCCAGGGCCGCGAACTTGTTTGGGGAGGTGGAAGCGTATATCGTGAGAGAGACGGTGCTAGGAATAAGCTCCATGGGGTTTATATGATCCATCATCCACTACAACATACTAAAGGTTAGTATCGCTATTTCGAAGTACGGTTATGCGTTCGGCCAAGCGTGGAGATGTAGAAAACATGTAGGGAGATTTAAAGTACCTTTCCTCCTGCAATACCGGTCAAGCATACAATTCCCTGTTCTTTAGCACATTTCAGCGAGTCTGCAAGCACCGTAACACCGACCAGCCTGTAGAATACCATTAGGTCAGCTTCTGCTATTCTATGCAGTTTCAGGAATAGATATACGAGTGAAGAAGGAAATATGACATCTCTCAGATGAAAATAGAATGAGCACTGGGGCGCTTGTTGATGCTTACTCTAGGATCTTGCTGAAGCCTTCAGGGTGCCTCCGTCTCACTTCTTTCGCAATAGAGCCATTGTCTATGAATACGTCATCGGCGCCGCTGTTTTTCAGCATTTCTACTCGCTCAGGCTTTCTGGTTGTGAGTGAAACAGAGGCGCAATTGCCTTTCGCTAGAGCTAGGGCAGCCAGACCGATAGACGTAGTTCCACCTCGAATAAGTAATTTGTCCTCTGGTTTCAGTTGTAGAGATAGGTAGAGTGAGCCCCAGGCTGTCTTCATCATTTCCGGGAGAGCACCAAGTTGTTCCCAAGGAATCTTAGTCTTGACAGCTTGGACCTGACCGGCAGGTACACAAGTGAACTCTGCATAACCCCCGTCGAAGAGTCTACCCATGCCTCCCATAGCCGTAGCAACGACCTCTCCTTTTTCAAATTCGTTTCCGGGTGACTCTTCCACTAAACCCACCGCCTCGATGCCAAGGACTCTTGGGAATTTGACGCTGGGTGAGTGGCCTCTGCTTTGGGTTAGTTGCCATATTCTTGAATCTGCTATATTTCAAGTTGGACGAGAAGTGAAAACTCATAATCTTCCAGCTCGGTTGACTTATACTTCGCATATAGTAGTTGAGATGATCAGCGACGAGTTTATTCTAGCCAGAGACGAATACGTTAGAGAGCCCCTGCGCTCCAGGATATTTGAAGACTCTTCATGATTCTCCCCAGAGCCGCCAGAGTGATACGAGGACATACTACCGGAAACGATGCCTCGACTAAGAGATTCGATGCCCTTATAGCGGAAGACCAAGCTGGTAAATATAGAAGTATTGACATCGGGAAATTAACAAAACTGGACTTAGGAGGCACATACTGTCGGGTGAACATCTCTGATCGATTCAAGCCGAATGCCTTCACACGAATAAGGACTTGTCCCACGATTGGCCTTGGTCGCGGCCATTGCTGCACCTTGAGAACCTCTGGGCCGCCCGCCTCATGGATCACCACAGCGGTCATTGTTGGTATTGTGGTCATTGTTTTAGACGCCATAGTGGGCAGAAGTTGGACGCTGATCCAGGCACTCTACACGGTGGCTTCGACTTCGAAGCTTGGATGGCTTTATATCAACACTCCAGACAATGTGGGTACCATAATCTCGTACATATCGGGCGGCGTTAAGGCGACGGAATAAAGCGAAACCCCGAATGATGATGTATTTTTGTTCTGCGTACTGCTTACTGCTTACTGTTCAAGGGACTTGGTACTCTCAACGTATAATACCTTGACCTGGAACCCCGCAGCCGAATGCCATTAATAATAAGTGCCATTCTGAAAACACCGTGGTTTGGGAATATCTCCAAGACTCTCACCCGTGGCGCCGGGCTGCCATTTCAGCGCCCAGCGGCTCTTCCTTCGCTGGGATCGCGGTGGTCTGAGAGCACTGGGTGATCATACGTAGTAAATCCCACGGAGCGATGTCTTTGTAGTCTTGGTACAAGAGCTTAATCCATCGGTTGAGTCTTGACATAAGCTTTTGCCAAGTCGCCCAGTTTTCTCCAAGCAACTGTGGCATGCGTGGCATGCGCGGGAGACTTGGATTTCGTCCCCGTTCATTGATTGTCCATTGAAACATTACCTATACTGCGTCGCAAATCCCAAGACTCCCGGAGGATTTCCGCCTGCTGTTCGAATTGATATTTCGAATTGTCAATGGGTGGGTCGGCGTCCCAATACTCAGCCTATCCAGGTACGAGTACGAGTCCAGTGCTACTCTATTCTCACGGCACTACGTACAGTCCTACTCCCGTAGGAACAGCCTGAGCGGCACACAGCGTGAAACCCCACGGTTCAAACCTCCGACACAGCATTCGCATTGAGATCATATGCCTCCTCCTCCAGCTTCCTTGGGGACACGAACACGAACATCCAGCGCAGCGAAGCGGTACCCCATGTACCCCATATCCATATCCACATCCATCTCTATGACCGTCGGACTCTGTTGCGAACCGTCGCCCCTCGAGCATCGCAGCGCTCGCCACTGCTGACTCTAACGACTTTTCCTCTATACTAATTCATACCATGTCGAATTTCGATCATTAAATCCCCAACGAAGTGCCGCGGCAGGGCCGCTACGAGATATATAATCGAAAATGCATAGACGACAGCTCATCAACCTGGCCCGACCAACGACGTCCTCAGCGCCGCCGAGGCCACAATGTACTCCCTTCACGCTGCCCTCGAACGGAGTGCTGACTCTGGGAGTCTCGTCGGTCATCACCCTCACGTCGGATGCGGTTTTCACACCGGAGTGTACCGGCTCGAGCGACGTACTCCTCACCAATGGTAACGGGTCGCCCCAGTCCTTCAAAGACCTGCGCGATCCGTTCTATGCCTCGATCATACCCGAGTGCTATGCGCTTGCGTCGGCGACGGTGATTGCATATATGCTTGTCATTATGCTTTTCATCACCCCAAGGACCTTTTTACACGATGGCATGATTATACTGGGACGGCGAGGTTTTACAAATGGCCCTTCTGGCAGCGATACCGCCGGGGTTGGAATCGGTGGGCGGCCATGGCTTCAGAAAGTGGCAGCAATGACGGTGGCTATATCTCTTACGATCGCAACAGCAGATAGCTTCCGAGTGGCAGAACAGCAGTATGAGATGGGACTCATGGACGCCACTGCGCTCCAGACTGAAGTTGAGGATGGGATGGAACTGAAGATTATACGCGTCATATCCGACACATTCCTCTGGCTGGCCCAAGCCCAAACTCTGATAAGACTATTTCCCCGCCAAAGAGAAAAAATCATCATCAAATGGACGGCCTTTGCTCTCATTACGCTGGACACGCTGTTCAGTATCCTGAACAACTTTGTTTACAATGGGAATTCACGGCCGCGCAGCTTCGTCGATGCCATCCCTGCTCTGGCCTACCTTTTCCAGCTAGCTCTTAGTCTGCTTTACTCGGCGTGGGTTATCTACTATGCTCTCACAAAGAAGCGATATGCCTTCTATCATCCAAAGATGAAGAATATCTGTCTTGTGGCGTTGCTATCTTTGGTTGCAGTCTTGGTACCGACAGTCTTTTTTGTATTGGACATATCACAGCCAACGCTTGCAGGATGGGGAGATTATGTTCGATGGGTTGGTGCAGCGGCAGCCAGCGTGGTAGTCTGGGAATGGGTGGAAAGAATCGAAGCCTTGGAGCGAAATGACAAAAAAGATGGAGTCCTAGGAAGGGAAGTATTCGACGGGGACGAGATGCTTGAAATAACACCTTCATCGGATTCTGGCTTGGGTCGAAGAAGAGGCCAAAATGACGATGGTGGTGGTGGTAATGGTGTCACCACGGGCTCCAACGGGGTATCATGGCCTGCTATGGCTGGCATCGCGAGTCGTTATCGACCGCGTGCCTCCGCTTTGCGAGAATTTGAGAGAACGAATAACCGAAACAAACCTCTTCGAAAGGCCACAAAACGAATAGCTCGGGCCCGGCCGCCTTTATGGCCAACGCGACCTCCACCCGCACTTACGCCTGTCAGCAGAACAGATACCACAAGCGCTGAAAGCACTGTCTATGCGGTCCGATACCACCCTATCAGCGAATCAACCCCACCTGCTAGAGAAGCCGAGAGATCTTCGGATGTACCTGGGACTGACAGCATCGAAGTTACTGGCGCGCCAATAATCAATCAAGTTGGCGTACCCGACCCTAACAAACCAGTCACTATTGAGCAAATGGAGGAGGTCCAAGAAGGGCCCGGTGCAAGACAACGCCCAAATATTTTACGGAATCTTGCAAACGCAAACCTTTTCCGAAGGAAAGTTCAGGGCCCACCCCTGGAAGTCTCCGCGCACACAACAAGACCAGAGGAGCCTGTCAATTCCCATGAACCGACCTACGGATGGGACATTCGCCGAAGATTTGGGGAGTTTGCAGCGACGCAGGCGGACAGGTACCATGATAACGCTCGGCCGAAAGTCAGCGCTGCTCCTCTCCCAGTCACAGTAATTCCGGCGCCTCCTCGACGGCATAACCTCCAAGCCACATTGGAGGAATTGGAAAGTGCTGAGAGAGGCGAGATGCCACAGAACGATCCCGGATCAAGATACATACCATCAATTGGTCACAGCCGAACCTATCCAGACGAACCTTCGCGGTCTCAAAGACTAAGCGACACGTACACATCCAATAGTGTCAACCGGCAGTCTATACACCAGCGAGGGGCTGTATCCTTCGTCACTACAGAGCGAGACCGACAGGCGGAAGCTGAGGAAGCCCCACTATCATCGATGAGCGGAGACAGAGATGGGAGTGGACCTCTTCCTTCTCACAGTAGTACCAGCCGAGCCCGAACTCCCGCCTCGCCGCTAAGAGATGGCCTACCTGTCGTGAGCATTCCTGCTCCCCCTAGGCGCCCGAGACCTCCCGATGACGGTTAAATGGTTAAATGATGATACTTATCATGTGCTTTCTGGTTGCTTATATAGCTCATGTATGAAGAAAAGGCGCTGGACTTGTGTTTGGGGATATTATAGCGAGTGTGGCGTTCGGGCATTGGGAAGGTGGGCGGGAGGACTACGTTCCTTCGGAGTATTTATTTGCATGAGGGATCTGCATTTGCATATATGTACAAATGACATGTTGACGAAAGGATGATATAAAAATCTAGGTTTATCTTACGAATAAATAAACATAACTGAAATGAGATTAAAGACATTTAAATATCACTTTTCAAGTAAATTTAAGCTGCTCCATAAGTACCTGTACCGCCTACCTTAGTAACCGAAATACATGTATATGAGAATATAAACGAAGGGCTCAACCATATATGATGTCTCCCCTCAAATCACTTGCTAGTAGACAATGTGTTTTTAGAAATATCTTAACTGTTTTCCAAACTTTACCACCTAGGGACAAGAGCCGAAAGTCATATCAAAGATCCCTGCCCGAGGCTGACATACGCGATTACTATAGACTAAATCCGGTTATTGTAGCGAGATAAGCTGGGAAGTTCGGCTGCGCGAGGCTCGCGGGAAACTCCATAGATTTTAATTCCACCTCATCGAATTGTCAGACCAGCTCACGGCTTTGAACTTCTTGGTGACTGTGAAACGGGCTTTTCTATGTGAACACGCCATACTCTGTTTCTGGGATGATTCCGAACGTACAATCCAATATGGAGGCGTTCCCGCTCCTCTCTACGACTACCAGCGACACATTAACGCCCCTTGCCACACACCAGCAGAGCATTGAGAAACCCCGAGTTCGACGACGGTCCAGTGGGCTAGGGAGCGAGATCAGAGTTGGGGATACAAATGCGCCGGCTTTTGCGACGTTGAACGGAAGACCGGTGACTCCCGGTGCAGTCAAGGTCAGTCTGGCATCTTTAAACCCCTATGCCACAACTAAAGATTACGTAGCAGCAAAATGAGACAGATCGAAGGAAACCATTTTCGAAAAGACGGAAAGCGAAATCCATTCTTCGGCAACTGCGTCGGTACGCTGTTAAGCATACGTGGTTCACGCCCTTAATATTAATAGGGCTGTTCCTCTTCGCATATTCTCTCAACCCTACCGAGTCGAATCCTATACACCACTTTTTATTCTTGTCTTATCGATTACCTATTGAACCAGGCAGTGCGCAAGGAACAGTGCCTCAATATGGAAAGGGACCATGGGATATTGCGTTTGTAACCTTCTACATCATTGTTCTATCATTCACACGTGAATTCATTATGCAGAGGTTTCTACGACCACTGGCCAAAAGCAGCGGCCTAAAGAGCAGGGCGAAGCAGTCCCGGTTCATGGAGCAGATGTATACCGCGATCTACTTTGGAGTTCTAGGACCCTGCGGGTTGTTTGTTATGAGCCGGTCGCCAGTTTGGTATTTCAATACCAGAGGCATGTACGAGGGGTTCCCGCACAAGACCCACGAGGCTTATTTCAAATGCTACTACCTCTTCCAAGCCGCATATTGGGCTCAGCAGGCTCTTGTGCTTACGCTGGGAATGGAGAAGCCCAGGAAAGATTTCAAAGAGCTGGTTGGGCACCACATCACTACCCTCTTCCTCATTGGGCTCAGCTACCGCTTCCATTTCACCTATATGGGACTCGCGGTTTACATCACTCATGATATTAGTGATTTCTTCCTCGCGGTAAGGCTTTCTTTGAACATTGCAGACAATTTCTAATAATAGACAAGACCTCTAAAATCCTCAACTACCTCGACCACGTCTTAGTAGGACCCTACTTTGGATTTTTTATAATGACGTGGTTATATCTCCGACATTACCTAAACCTCCGAATCCTGTTGTCCGAATTCAACGAGTTCAAGACCGTAGGTCCGTATGAGCTCGACTGGGAAACCGAACAATACAAATGCTGGATCTCGCACTGGGTCTCAACCATCCTCCTAGCAAGCTTGCAAGGCTTGAACTTGTTCTGGCTGTACTATATTTTTAGAATCGCTTACCGATTTGTATTTTACAATGTGGCCGAAGATGACCGGAGCGACAACGACGACAACGAGTTCGCCGAGGAGCAGAGATTGGAGGCTACACTAGCACAGAAAAATGAAACTGGTATCCTCGAGAATCCAAAGGCCGTGGTCAATGGCGAGGCGGTTATGGCAAACGGGAAAACCACGGCGGCGGATAACCGAAGCGATAGCATGGTGAATAGGAAGACCAATAAGAAGACCTGAACGGATCCAGACAGCAACAACGGAACCTAATGGCGCGTGGGGAGGAGGCATTCCTTGATCTGCGGCGTAGGTTGTCTGGAGGAGGGACGGACGTCGAGCCAAGATTCCTGTTGAAGTCAGCTTGAAAATCGTGTTGGAGTAGGACCTGAAGGGGCACCACTATCGGTATAGTACCGATGCCGACACAGACGGCACCAAATCCACTTCTATCCCTTGCTGGCATAGGACAGACGGGATATGTACAACGTTCGCTTCATGTACTCGTTCAGCCAGATAGTACCTATAATGAACAAATCAATGACTCAAGAGCGGCAAGCTTGAATATGGAACTGGTGTTAAATACCATATTATGTCAATTTATATGTAGATGCTTTGTCCCGAGACTCTGCAGGTGTAAAATCAGATGGCTTATAAGCAGAAATATAGCGGTATTAAGAATTGTCACGCTCAATATACTATAGAGCATGTAAAGGAATTCTGATCCCTTTACTTGCTATACACATCACATACTGGGCCGATACAATAGGTATAGTGCCTAGCCTTCCACAGTAGCCCGGCAATGCCGGAACAGCAGCTTCTTGGCCGCCAATCACTTAGATCTTCACATTTATTGTAAAGGTTGACTTAGTGAAAACTATTTCCGAAAATATATTATTAGTGATATGCTGTGCCACCGAGTGATATCGGTATTTTCCATATACTAGTTTATTCGTCCTCTGGAAATGTTCCAGAGGAGTTTCTTTTCCACAACAGCGCCGACGATATAATAGGGTAAGCTGAATCTGACGAGAGACTCTCTTTTGACTTGCGGAACGGTGCGGTACGGTACGGTACATTGCAGGGCAGACGTGGATACTTGCTCACCGACGGAAACGCCATCCTCAGCTTGATAATAAGTTTCTTCAACTATTAATCTTACTTTTCCCATTCCATTACTAACTTTAAAGCCGGAAGAATGCACTCCGCTAATGGATTTGGGGGTTTACTATTCTTGTCCTACAGAGCTGGCTGTGCCACGACCAAGAGTCTCCGGCCCATTATTGCAGTCTATATCAGATCCGAGGGATTCCGTCCTTGGTATGCCGAAATCCATCGGACGGACGGGTAGGTTCCTCGCCGGCACTTGCCTACCGCGCTGTACTTTTCGTCATCGTTCAATTGCTCGATTGGATGGGTTTTGGGCGCATCTTCCCGCCCAAGGAAGATGTTTCATGGTAGCAGCAGGATGAGCAAGGTAAAAAAGTAAGCAAGGCAAGGCAAGCAAACTGCGAGTTCGGCCGCTGTTCACCTTCTTGAGTCGCGGAATAGAAAGCACCGCGCCGAATGGCTCTGCATCAAACGCATTGATTTCTCTCTCGCCTTCTCCAGGGCGTCAAAGGATCTCATCCCCGGACCGTTGCGAATTCTGCTGACGATATGCGTGCCCTCTCCTATATTCAGGCTGCCTCTGATAAGAGAGTTGTCCCGATCGGCTATCGGTATACGAAGTACCTACCTGGACCTTGATATCTTCCCACTCTCTCGTCGTGCAGATCCCGGCTTGGCTATTCTCAAAGGCACTGACTGGATAAGGCTCGTGCCGTACTTTGTACCACCAGATAGCTTCAACATAGCCGTTCCAGGGCTTGCCCGCCGGCATTCGGCATCGTCATCACCAAGGAAGCCGGTCCCAATGATAATGAGCTCCCCGCCCGCCCTTCGACACACGGCGATGCTGGGGAACGTTCCCAGCAATCAATCTATAACTCTGCTTCGATGCCGCCTGCCGTGCGACATTGGGCAAGAGAATTATACGAGAGTGTGCGCGGTGACCAAAGTACCGAAACTGGAAAACGCATCCGGCGGCCAATGGGCTCTTTCCAGAGCTGGACTGGAGACAAGTCATCGTTCGGGATAGAAGATATGTCCAATCACCTTGTTCCTCTGGTAAGGGAATGGTAACTTGCTCAAGGATGGAAGGCTTGACCGCTTGACAAAAAGCAGCTCACGGGCTGTTATAGGGTACTTGCTGGGTGTTGGTACAGTACGGACAAGACACGATTTGATAATCGGCTGTACGAGTGCATCCCGGGGACTGTGAATTCGAAGCCGGGGAAAAGCCAGGACTGAGCTCTGAAGCAAGGAGAAACAAGGTTACGAACGGACGGAACGGGACGCCCGGGATGAGCTGGTGCCTCCTGCTCACCGCTGATTCCCGCAACGCTCTGCTTTCGCCGACAAATGCCAATGACGATGACGAGAGTCTGGATGGATCGCAACTACCTACGTCGTTGCACCGAAGGATACATGCAATAATACGTCGGCGGAGCTGCGAGGTCGGACGGGTGACCGTGGACGTCCTGCGAGTCTGCGTTGGTTTCCCCCCCCCCTTTTACTGCAGAGTATGAAAGCTCCGATACTCCAGCCTCGAGACTCCAACTTTATCCATGGTTGATTCCATCATTCCACCGCTCCAGGAAGCAGGAAGCAGGGAGCTGAGGTTCCGGGGGGGCTCTAATTGTTCCAGGGATTTGGGGGATAGGGATAGGGGTTGTGGATAAGGGGGCCAGTGCACCAATCTGATATGGAACACTTTCTGGTTCTGCTGTTTTGGGTTCCCGTCAGATCGGATGTATCTGATTTCGCCAGATATAAATGAATGGATGAACGGATGAATGGTATGGCAATTGAGATCAGGATGGGGATTGGGATTGGGATTGAGCTGGGGATTGCGTGGCAGACACTGCTGGCACTACTCTGGCATGGACACAAGTACAGTATATAAATAAGAGGATGGCGGGGGCAAACGATTCTGGGGATTGGGGGACGAAGGTGGGAAAGGGGTGCCAGAGCCGGGGGAGGGGGCAGATAACATCCGGGGGGAGGGCTGGCGGCGGTCGAATGGCGGGAGGACAACTCGATCGATGCCCAGTATGTGCTCTGTGGGGATTCGGGAGTAGGCAGTGTGGTATTGTTCTCGAAGTACCAAGGCCCACGTCACGTACAGAGGAGGGAGGAAGAGGGTTTCTCGCATATCGCGGTGAGCTCAGGGACGAGGCTACTCCTTGTACGCTGTACGCTGTACGCTGTACGGTGTCTGGTGTCTGCTGTACGCTGTAGGAGTTACGGAGTCCCGTCCAGACAACAGGCCTGGACCCCGCTGGCTCCGCGCCGTCGCCGCCGGCCCTGGCCCCGGCTGGCGTGGCGGAAAAACCACGTGTCGGTCAGTGTAGGCTGAGACGCCGCAGCAAGGGGAGCCTGCGACGAGGTTATTGCTATTGCTATTGATTCTGGCGGTACGAGGGTTGGGTTGGGCGAGTTGAGGTGCGCACAGCGCGCTAGCAGCAGGCGAGGTGTCCGGGACTCCAGGCGTTCGAGGGCTGAGCTTCGAGAAGTTGGGAAGTCAACGAGCTGCTTGCTTTTGGCGGCCTGTGGGTTCTCCGGGCTGGGGGAGGGGGCTTTGGGCTTGGTGTGCGTGGTGGTGGAGGTGCTGCTGGTCGGGTTGTTTCTGCCCAGGGCCCCCAGCAGAGCCTGAGCGACAGGCAGTTCGTAGAGTACCTCGAGACTGGAGTACCTAGAAGTACCTAGACGTGCCTAGGGAGACGCTGTAGACACAGCAATAGGGACATTAGGGGGTGGGTTTAGGGGCTGTCTCTTATACACATCTAGATGTGTATAAGAGACAGATTCTACCGTACTCCTGCCCTGCCGCTGCATGCGGCGTTGTCCCACGGCACTGGAGTAGGGAATATCACTTACATAGCACAACAGTGCAGACAGAGCTGTTCTACCTAATACCACCACTACCGTTGTACCGCCGTGTACACCACCACTGTCTTACTCGACCTACGTATTATTCTTCTCCCCCAGAGTCAAGACGACATCATCCACCAGAGCTGCCATATCAGCCATCAAGCCACCGGCCATCAGCCCTCTGCCCAACTACCCAGCATGTACTTCATGCTTCTCCCATTGCAGTATCCAGCCTGATGATGGACTGCAGCTCTCCTCTCTCCTATCTCCCCTCTCCCCACCTCCTTGATTTCATACCGTCCCGCCTGTAAAGGTTATATCCGCACAGAGTCTGGTTTTCTTACGCTGCTCTGGTCTGGTCTGCTGTGGTCTGCAGCCTCTTGCTCCCCCGACGGCGAAGGCGTCAGGGACCAGGGCCAGAGGTGCTGTGACAACGCAAAGTCCCTTTTGGAGCAAGTCTGGTGTGGTCTGGTGTGGTCTGGTCTGGTCTTGTATTGTCTTGTCTTGACTTGCAGATAAAAGCGCGGATCAATCCCTTTGACCGGGTCTGGCGAGTCAATAATACCTTCCAAGTACCGTTTGGGCGGAGTCAGTAGATACCGTGCCTTAATCGTGTCGTGACCTGAAGCCTCTAGCAGCTTCAAGGCGGTGAGAATAATTGCCAGAGCTCCCGCCGGCCTTCGATTAGTCTTTCTTCCCCAGCTTTTGATAATACTCCTCCTCTCTCCCCGTTGCTCTCCTCTTCCTCCTCCTCCTCCTCCTCTATTATTCCTCCCCATCCTCCCTCTCGCACTCCTATTCCTACTCCCCACCCACCCCAATTACCTCACGGCCGCGGGCAGAGGAACTCCAATCCGCCACGGTAGATACCCGATCGTTATTCTCGTCCCTCCCTCGCTCCCTGCGTCCAGGTCCGGATCCAGGTCCAGGTCCAGATCCCAGGTCCAGGTCTTGCTCCTGGTTGCACCCGACGGTCGTTTGAATTCTGTGGCCCTGCGATTTCATGCGAGGGGCTGCTATCATATCCCATTTGCATCTGCATCTGCAAGCCTCTTCTGCCAATCTCTCTTTCTTTCTTCCGAGCAGAACCCCCCCCCGCCTCCCCTCCCCCACCATCTCGATCTCACCGGCCGACAATCGCTATCCGCCTCAACGCAATAAGCCCCTCCTCTGCTTCTGCTAATTGAGGGCTCAACACTGCTCAACATTTTTCGACGCCATTGCGCAGTTTAGGCGTCACATGGGCAATTCAAGTTGAGAGACCATTGTACAAGCCACAGCGCTGACGGCATCGTGTGATCTATTGAGTGGCAACCAAACGCGGGTACCGAGGCACCCACTGCTTCGCGTTCTTCTCCCACAGAACATCCCCCCAAATTCGAACTCGGTCCTGATTGAATAGGTCATGACCTTTCCACGACGACCGCACGAACTGGAATACTGATGTGGGAAGGAGGGTCTCGGGTCAATAATCAATAACATCTAATGGCGGAAGAGGAGTTTGAGCTGAGCTCGCAGCATAACGGGTTTAATGGCACAGCGACGAGCATGAAGACGCTCTTGGAGGTGGTTCATTTCAACTACGCCTGGGTTTTGTTCGCTTTATTCCTGGTGGCATTCGTTACAAACAGTATCCTCACTGCCGAACCCTCGTCCGAGTCGAAAGAGCCCATCCTCACAGGGCCGGGGGGCAAGCCATTGCCTCGCTCGGGTCGTAAATATGAGGAGGAGCGAGAAAAGAAAAAGAAGCTCAAAGACTTCAGTGCAGGCCGCAAGCTTGTCTTTCTCTACCTGTGTGCTGCACTCCTCGCTACGTTCGTTGCCAACGGGGTCAGCACTGTCGTTCATGCCCTGACCACTAATGAGGAAGGGGGTTGGTGGTGTGGTGAAGCTACAGCTGTAAGTGGCAACCTAAGCAAGGTATTCCTCGGATCTATTTTGCTAATGTTGTTTGCAGATATATTATTGCGCTTCGGCGTTCTTCTACAGCATATTCCTTATCTCCCTCGTCGACACCACACCATCCCCGAGCATTGTCCACCAGCTGACCTGGGTAACGTCTCTCGTTGGAGAATTGATATTGCTAGGGGGCACAATCGCACTCTACACTTCTCCGCACCAAGCAATCAACTCCCTCCGCGGCAAAAATCAGAAAACAAGAAGGTCCCCAAATGAGTGGGAAGTGGTCGAAATCATTATTGGCATCGTTCGGGTGATAATACTTTTGTTCCTCGTTGGATTCTACACTGTTTTCTCACTTGAACGTCGCTACAAAAGCAGAATCTCGGCTCGTCGGACCGCCGACCTTGATGAACGTGCTCCTCTGCTTGTCAACGGTCAAGCAAATGGCAATGGCCATGTTTCTGCAAATGGGACTATCAGAAACGGTAGTCCTACGGCTCCCGGGGCAGTAAACGGAACTACCATGGGAGGTGGTGTACTTGACGGCAGCATTAACGCGTCTGCACCGGATGGAACTACCAGTGAACATCATACTCCACGTCGAAGCCTGGATGAGAACCCCGCCTTCTATAAACCTACAACTGTGCCGAATAGGACGTGGTGGGAATATATCAAGGGCTATTCCTTGTTCTTCCCATATCTATGGCCTAGTAAATCTGTCCGGCTCCAGTTGATTGTCCTGGTTTGTTTTGTGCTGGTGGTTCTTCAACGTGTGGTCAATATTGCTGTGCCGTTACAGATCGGGACGGTGACAAACGAGCTATCAAACAAGGATGGCAAGACCCCTGGGATGCCATGGCGATCCATCTCGCTACTTATCCTTTTCAAGTTTCTCCAGGGAACTTCTGGTATCCTGGGAGCCATGAGATCCGTGCTTTGGATTCCAATCTCCCAGTACTCCTACAAAGCCTTAACGACCGCTTCCTTCGAGCATGTTCACAGCCTCAGTCTCGATTTCCACCTTGGAAAACGCACGGGAGAGGTTCTGTCGGCTTTAAGTAAAGGCAATGCCATCAACAATTTTCTTGAGCAAGCGACCTTCCAGGTGCTTCCCATGGTGTTCGATCTCGGAGTCGCTATCGTTTACTTTGGCATCGCCTTTGATGCATCCTATGCCCTTATCGTTGCGATCATAACCTTCTCATACTTGTATTTGACGATACGCATGGCTCGCTGGCGCTCTGACCAGCGTCGTCAGATGACGAATCTGAGCAGGGAAGAGGACGCTGTCAAAAACGACTCGCTGACCTCGTATGAAACCGTCAAATATTTCAATGCTGAAGAGTACGAGTTTAACCGATATCGCCAAGCGGTCGGTGCCTTTCAAAAGATGGAGTACAAAGTCATCATCTCTTTGAACGTCCTGAATATCTCACAGAACTTGGTATTCATGGCTGGTCTTCTAGCCACTTCATTTATTTCGGCTTATCAGGTCACAACTGGGGTCCGGGCTGTTGGGGACTTCGTTACCTTGTTGACCTACATGGCTCAGCTCCAGCAGCCACTGAACTTCTTCGGTACCTTTTATCGTAGTGTCCAGAGTGCAATGATCAGTGGCGAACGACTTTTGGAGCTGTTCAAGGAGCAGCCAACCGTTGTAGACGACCCTGAGGCTCTCGACATGCCGACTTGTGAAGGCCAGATTCGTTTCCAGAACGTCAAGTTTTCATACGATTACCGCAAGCCAGCGCTGGAGAATCTGAGCTTTACCTGTCGTCCAGGTACAACCACTGCCTTTGTTGGCGAATCCGGAGGGGGGAAGTCCACCGTATTCAGGCTACTTTTCCGCTTTTACAATGCTCAGGATGGCAGCATTCAGTTGGATAACAATGATATCAAGGACATCACCATTGATTCCCTGCGGCATCATATCGGCGTGGTTCCCCAAGATACAATTTTGTTCAACGAGACGCTCATGTATAACTTGAAGTATGCCAACCAAAACGCCACCGATGAAGACATATATGCAGCCTGCAGAGCCGCCTCTATCCATGACAAAATCATGGCATTTCCAGATGGGTATGAAACTAAGGTTGGCGAACGTGGTCTTCGTCTAAGTGGTGGTGAGAAGCAACGTGTTGCAATTGCACGGACTATTATCAAAAACCCACGTATTATCATGCTGGACGAAGCTACTGCAGCACTGGACTCGGATACGGAGCAGAATATCCAAGAAGCATTGAGAGCATTGTCAGAGGGAAGAACGATGCTTGTGATTGCGTAAGTTTTCTGAGCCCGTTTTCGGATGGCCATGTTGCTAACTATTCTTAGTCATCGTTTGTCAACGATTACAGCTGCAGATCAGATCCTTGTTTTACATGCAGGAATGGTTGCGGAATCAGGAACCCATCAGGAGCTATTAGCCCTCAAAGGTCGCTATTATAACATGTGGAGAAAACAGATTCGAGCAGAACAAGCGGCCGAGCAAGCATCTCGTGCTGTTGCAAAAGCTAACGCTCTCAGGGAAGCTGCCATGGATCGGCCTGGAAGCTCTGGTAACGGTGGCCCAAGTGAGGATTCCAGCGAGAGCGAGGCGGATGCTCGGAGTACCAACACTTTGAGTATCCCGGCTCCGGCTTCCAGAGTTGATGGGGCTGCAGAAAACCCTCGCGGCGCCGGTTCCTCGGTGACGGGGTCCAATGTTGACACCCTAGTTGACGACGCTTCAGAGTATGCTAGGCCATATAATAATAGCACAGCAAGGCAAAATACATCAAGAGAACAGCAAAATGCTGAGGCCCAACCAAATACAGCCCACGACGCCTCATCAGACGACGGTCGGGTGACCGCTCAGCTAGCGGGAAATACCCTACCATAATTGGCGGCTCCAGTTAATCATTATAGAGGGATGCCTGGTCTAAGCCGGAGTGTGTTGTTTGATTGAAACCGGCGTTCGCCATGTCATGAGTACACAGTCGTGGACCAAGAGACGTCTCACGTAGTAATATTTGCAGCCTGTTTTCTTCTTGTTTTTATGATTTCTCAACGATCAGTTGTCTATAATGAATATCCAAGCGACAATGGTTCACGAAGTGTGGCATAAAAAGGAGCATGATGGGCGGTTAGCGATTGCTTTTGCTTCATTTTGTCTTTGGTCTATTCCCACTTGGCTCATCATAGAGGATGGCGCCGGCGGCGGTTCGCTGTATTTACAAAAAACGTGGCAGGACAAAGTGTGTTAAACGGGTTCTGACACAGAGCCTTAGATAATAAGATGCAAATCACAGCGCAAATGGTTCAAGCATTACAGATAAAGGGGAAAATTTCCCATCGTGTCAACTATGCTACAGGATGTCCGCACTCTCCTCCTACCCCATATTCTAAGAAACAAACCCAGAAGTTTATCGGTATTCTGGCTTAACGAAATCAACAAAAGTCTTGGGCTCCTCAGGGGCGGCGTGGTGATGATCACCATGGTCATGAGCATGAGGATCCTCTTCTGGGCCAATATACTCCATCTTCAAAACGTTACCACACTCAGGGCAGCGTTCGACTGGGCGCTCACGAGACATCTATAATTCACGTATCAGAAAAAATAATCCTGTGAGTAAATGCCGAGGTAAGGGATTCATACCGTGAGCCAGATGGTGACGTGGGAATCGGCGGGATAACCAGTGCAACCAGCATACTGCTCATCACCAGCAGACTTGACCATAATTGGGTTATCAAGCGTCCCTAAAGAAGGTAATCTGTCAGTTGCTTGAGCTAAATCAATTGCCCCTCCCAATCTCCCAAAAGTCGAATTGTGGTCTGATGTCGGTTGAATCGTACCTTTGCGAGATGCATCCAATGGCTTCATATCGAAGACATCAATGCCCTGCATCTTCCCCAGAATCTCCAATCGGTCCAAACCAGTCGCTTGCTCGAGGTCGGTGGGTATAGTTCCCGGTGCAGCTCCAGGGCCGATCAAATCGGCCTCGCTCTTGATTTCTATCACGCCCATCAGCTTGTGATCTCCACTGCACAACCCCCAATGCCTATTTCCCCTCCCAGGCTTGGAGCACAAGTGTATATACCGTTGAATTTCTTAATCTTGCCATCATTGGAGCCGGTTGCTGGTGTGGGGGTGGGAGTTGCGTCTCCTGTACACACGGAAGGGGGTCAGTCAGTTATTTTGCTTGATGGAGCTCCGGATAAGGGAGGGGGAGCTCGTACGGCGCACAAATGTGGTGGCGAAGCTGCGCCTGGCAATTGGGCTTGCTGCTGCCCGGCGGGCAGCTGTCACTGCTGTGCGCTGGAGGAACATGTCGACGCAATTGAGGTGTTTGATGTAGGTAGTATGGTATGATTTCTGACGTTCGTGACGGACCGAGATCGTAAGCGAACTTTGGAGATGCTAACAATCACGTGACATTATATATTATTGCCAAGTCACGTGTTTTGGCACGTGCTAGGCGTAGATCTAGCTCCGTTATATTCCGTCTCATCCCCTCCTATGGAAAAAGCTCGGCTTGAGCGTCTAGGCACGTGTCGTACTAGCGCAGGGGAGCCGCGCTAGCGATCCTAACTCCCGTCTCGCGTCGATCGCCTATCTTCACTTATTACTTACTAGCTTACTACCGTATACTAACTCCTACTAACGCTGTTAAATCTATTGCTTCTTTAGGAGGTAGAAGGCTCTTAGAGGCTTTCTAGAGTCGAGGACGACTTGACTAACGCCAGCTAAATGTATTTCTTTGCAATGGCTAGAATCCATCGGACCTATTACCCAAGAGAAACTGTCTAGGAAGCAGATTGTAGAAATGAGGCTGGAGATTTATAGTGCCCGACATGTCTGAAGACCGGCATGAAAGACAACTATTTCTGCTTCTAAGGTTTCTTCAAGAGGAACTGAGTTTGTTTACGCATCCTCCTACTAGGACCTCAAGCTGACAGATCCCGTGTTGCAGAACCACATAAGACCCTACACAAAACGGCGAAAGGCAAGACACAAAATAGTATTACCCAAAGTCATACCTCCAAGGCTTGTCTCTGACACGATCCAGTTACGGGAATATACAGTCCTTCCCCGGCACTATCCGAAACAGGCGTCGAGGACTTGATTGCGGCAAACGCAAATTCCCCAGGGGGCCCAGTACCGATGCTAACGATTACGAATGGGACTGCAGAAGCTAACGGCGCATCCAACGCATAGCTCGGCCTGTCGATGTTGAATGACACAGTAGGGCATAGATTTTTGATTAGGCTGCATGGAGCTTTGATCAGGTGGATCAGGTATGGAAAGATAGGAGATTCTCAAGCCGCTGGTCGCAATGCTGGACCAGTACGCGCACTATCTGCAGTTACTGATATGCCCACTCAACGTCTGGCGATGACCCTCATTTCGCGCCATTCAACTCTTTCGGTTCGAACAGCTTTCCCCAGGACTTCGAAACAAGACGTATTAAGCCAAGAAACAAACAGCTCTCTAAAGTCCGCTGGAGCCCTGCTAGGGAAATCAACACTCGGCCCCTGTCATACAATTCGATTAGAACAGACGCCCTCGCATTCTGGCGTCTTTACGGGACAGGGGCACAGTGGGATCTCCTCATCTACGGCCGTCGGTCGCAGCTCCGAACTCTTCTCCATTGGTAGCAATTCATGCTTCTGCTACCCCTCAAGTCCGAGATTTGCCAAGTATTTGCTGTGGTTATTTCCCTGCCTGGGCTCTACCAAGCCAGTACCCTCGAGCTGCTAGCCGCGCGACTCGCCGGCAATTCAAACCTTGTGCACATCGACTGGGAGAAGGAAATGGAGCTAGATAACATGACGTTCGGGTCACCACGTTCCGCGAATGGACAAAAAACCCCAACTCGCAGTACAGAGGGAATTTCCGTTCCCCTCAAGGGTCCGACAGGCTTCTTGGGAACTGCTATTCTACGCCAGCTAGTTCATCTTGCCCACATCGCCCATGACCACTGCGCAGCAATCCGCGTCAATGCCCAGGGCGAGCCTCGATGACTCGGCGTAGATTCGCCAAAGATCGTGCGTCACTCCGGTGATCTCGCGCTCCCCAACCTAGGCATGAGCCGAGCGCAAGTCGATAATCTGATCAGCGACGTCAACTTAATTATTCATAACGAAGCCGAAGTGTTATATATGAAGAACTATCGCAGCTTACGAGCTACCAACGTCTTAACGATCGTATTTGCCCGTCTGGCTCTAGGCGGCAAAATACCGATCCAATACATCTCGAGGGGCGGGGTCTCGCGCCTCAGCGGCGCTGCATTGCAGTCCAAGTCATCTTTGGCGGCGTTCTACCACCGGTCGACTGCTCAGATACATACGTAGCGTCCTAGTGGGCAAGTGAAGTGTTCCTCGTGGGAGTCCACAGGCACTTCCGCGGGCAAAATTGGATTATCGGCCTAGCAGCATCGCCGCTGACATGTGCCGGCCCTGGATATGGTGCTAAGGGTCTAGGGCTACGATGGTAGGTGACCTTAGGAAGTACCTACATTACCTATCTGCATAATCACCTACCTAGTATAGGGGATATAAATTCTCGTTTCCCCATCAGGCTGTGATATGCATGTTGAAACAAGCATTCGTCACCTCTTCTCTGCGTCCACTAGAGCCGCGTGTCTCACTCCCCACTCGTCCACTGCCCTAAGCAGGAAAGAAACAAATTTTATACTCGCGGAAATATCCGTCATTGCAGGGGACTTCTCCTTCTCGCGGCCTCGCGCGCACTATTATCCAATAAACGTCCAGGCATTGGTCAAACTTTATCCCAATCTCGATTGCGAATAAGGTTGACTGGTAGCACAGTTAATATCCCCTATCCATTCTCCCCGGCGGAGCACATACTCCTCGCTCCTTTTGGCTATTCGGTGAGGCTGTGTCTACGTTGTGTCTACGTATACACAAGTTGTTGGCCTCTTGGCACAAGTTAATTAAAGACCTCTCTTCGAGTAATGCGAACTCAAGTGAGTACCTATGTAAGGTATATATATTCTCAGTATCTCCAATGTTTGGTTTGCTATTCCTCACTTCCGTTCACTGCATTTCTACCTTATCCACCTTTCTACATCTCTACCTCTGTTTAAAGCTCTCTTTGTTGCTTAACCTCATTAAAAATGCACTTTGCACCTCTCCTTGTAACATCTCTCTTTGCTGGCAATGCTCTCGCACATCCAGGCCACGATGTGCAAGCCGAGATAGCTGAACGAGCAGCATTTATGCAGACCAGCAAGAGGGATCTTAGTCATTGCGCAGCAAAGATGAAGGCCCGTGGCATTGAAAAGCGGTCTATTTCTCGACGCGCAGCGTCAGCTGAAATGCTCCGGATGAAGAGAAACATCGCCAGCAGTATGTAACATTTTCTAACTGATCTGGTAGATAAACCGCTAATAATGAGTTTTAGACGCTCCTTACTACAAGGCCCGTGATGTAGGAACTGTTCTAAGCACCTCACATCTGTCAAGCGAAGCCTATAGTATTACCACGGATGAAGCTATCCTATTTGCCGGAAACAACTCATGTGTGCTGTCACCAGAGGTCACGCAAGGCCCGTACTATGTTTCAGGAGAATACGTCCGAGAAAATGTTGTTGAGGAGCAAAAAGGTGTTGAGCTTGTTCTTGACACCCAAGTTATTGATATGGCTACTTGCGACCCTGTCCCTGATGCAATGATTGAGATCTGGCATTGTAACTCTACGGGCGTATACTCTGGTATTGTGGCGCAAGGGAATGGGGTTGGCACTTCAGATCCGTCCAATCTCAACAACACCTTCCTCAGAGGGCTTCAACCAACAGACGCGGAGGGGGTTGCTCAATTCACCACTCTGTTTCCAGGCCATTACACCGGTCGAGCAGCGCACATTCATATATTGGCCCACTTCAACGGCACAATCTTTCCAAACGGAACTTACGGTGGAGGATATGTCTCGCACGTTGGTCAGGTATTCTTCGACCAAGATCTGATTACGCAGGTGGAAGCGGTATCTCCTTACAGCACTAATACTCAACCTCTCACTTTAAACTCGGAGGATAATATTTTTAGTTCCGAGGCTGCCTCGTCTGACCCTGTTATTGAATACTCTCTCGTTGGAGATGATGTCAGTTCTGGCATATTTGGATGGATTGCTTTTGGAATTGATTTGACGAATGAGTTTTCTGTCTCTGCAGCTGCTTCTCTGTATGCAGAGGGGGGCGTTGAGAATCCTTCTTCTGGTGGTCCTGGTGGTCCTGGTATGGGCGGGCCTCCAAATGGCACCGCTCCCCCCAACGGAACTGGCCCTGTGTAAGAGGAAATTAGTCAGGTGATAACGCATACGTTTGTGAATAGCTTCATACATATCCTATGCAATTCAGTTTGAGCCAGAGCTTTCCTTACGAACTCTATCCCCCTTCGTAACAATCGCATTAACCCGGTCGTAATTGACCACGTTCGTGCACTTGTTCCCTCCCATATTGTTTACCAAATACTATCATTCGATATATCACTGTACCACATCTAAGATGCTCATTGTGAATCCCAGGACCTTAAAATGAAGTTTTCTCAGTCGTTCCACAACTTCACAACTCAGTATATTTACCTTGCGGACGAAGCCTAGATCCCAGCTGACTAGCGTTTCGAGGAACTCTTCAACCATCTCACAACTACCATTTGGGTAAAAGTTGTCACGCTTCGAGGGTTTTTAAATAAAGACTTTAATAAGCTCCGCTCCCACGTGGCCGAACCTGATGTCGAACTTAAAAGACTAAATGTAAAAGCATTAAAGCCTATCAATGGGCTGTGGCTCTTAATACTCGAAAGGCTTTAATATTATCACTCAACCACTTTGTGGTATTAATGACCTAGCTTCTTACTCGAGTTCTGTAATAAATTTCTGTCCATTCTTTCGTAGTATACTCAGGAGATGTCAGACAAGGGGCCATCAGTCTCCTGTTTCTTCATGCAAACCCAGCATTTAGGTTTTATATGCCTGCCAAAGAAAAGACAATGGTTGCTTCCTCCTCACATACTAGATCGCTTACAGCTCCCTCATCTGCTCCCGGGCAGTTCTGGAGTAGAACCGTTTCCAAACCGATCTGACCACAATTTCCTCGACAATGGAAACATAACATGTACATATTCCTTTCCCAAGGCGGCCTCCACAAAGAAGTACCCCAGTTATCACAGTTCCGCAAAGCGTCCCCTTGGATCCCTCACTGACGCACCCTCAATCCCTCCAGCCGACCCCAATCCTCGCCGAACCCGGGCCATATCTGGCATCTCTCTCCCCACATCCTCCATCCGCATAAATTCCATTATTTCTGCACTCAAAAGAGCAATACTCATTGACGTGTTGCCGTATAATGTTTTGTCGATTCGGGAGGCATCGGTCTGGGATTCGAAAAGGGAGACCGGGTCGAGCTCTTTCTGCTGGGTCGTTGATGCGTTGGAATTGGTCGTATATGAGGTAGCAGCTTGACCCGAAGAACACAGCGCTGTGGCCGCAGAGGGCTTCCATTCTCCAATAGTTACACATGGTGCAGATGCGATATGTTAGGATGCTTGAGCTGAAGGGTAAGTGCTTGGAAGATGGGCGTGGTTGATGGCCTCTGTGTATAAGTGGTTGGTTATGGGTTGAAAGTGTGATTCAGAGCGTGATTCAAAAGGGTTATACCTGTCCTTGGAATGGGAAGATCGGAGTCAAGGTTCCACAAGCATGTAGGTTGGCCATTTAGTGAATAACTCTGCGTTGGTATTGTATGTGTTTTATACCGCTATTTAATATTTTGTTACAGTTCAAACATAGATGCGGCGAGTTACCCCTTACCGCCTATTTTGTTGAAGTTAACGGGCTTAACAGTACGCTTGAAGTGTATGACTTGTGATTGCAATGCCTTTGATTGCCCTTGCGGAATCGAGATAATATGCTAGCAAATAAAACATCACAACGCCAGCGAATTAGGCTAAGACACACTTATCTTGGGATGTACGCAGCCACTGACAAACTATTATCCTCTCTCGGGGTTCCCGTTCCAAGTCGGAGCGCCTGCGTTTGGGCCATATAATGCTACTGCAGACAAAGGCATTGTAAATATCAAGACAAGCACGCTGATGGCAAACGATAGCTTATTGTGCAACCCTCGGGGACAATCCCGTGGTTTGTTGGTTGCAAGCACGAGCCCTTATAGGAACATAAAACAAAGCACCTGGAAGCAAACACTGCTAGACCGACAACAAAACAACTGGGTATTTAAAGATAATTAATTCAGCAGAAGACAGTCTATGAAAGTGGTCTCACTTCTAAATCTTTATGGTTCCATTTCATGAACCATCCCATGCGTCATTTCCATTGACTGTAACATCTCCTCGGTTGGGATTTGTCCTGTCCAAGGCGCTCCGCCCATGCTGTTGATGCTGAAGTCGGAGGACTTTTTAACCAGCTCGTCCGTAATAGCATCAATATCCAAACCTAGATAATCCGCAAGAAAATTACCAACCTCAGTATTCTCGTGGTTTCCGCGAAGAGGGTCTGATCCAGATGATCCATATATATTCACATCAACCGCTGAATGGCCGTGGGTAGACCAGCCGATTCGTGCGCGCCGGCTAATCATATCGGCAAATATATAGTGGCTGACTTCAGGATTATCGAGGGCATTTTTAATTTCGGCATCTGTAGCATCCATAATACCAAGACCCTCCTGAACAAGCTCCTCACTCACGAAATCTTTGAGCTTATCACCGCCATTCGAAATATGGGATCTTAGGCGTCGAGCGGAATGCTCAGCAGAACTCGAAGCATTGGCGAGAACTTCCGGGTACCAGTGATAACCTGGATAAGAGGGACTGAGTTCTATTGATTATTAGCAGAATGAACATACCGCCACTTGGAACTAGCTCCCAGTCTATCAGGACGTTTCAATAGAATTAGACTGCTCATACACTAGGAGGGATAAGGGTACTTACGTCTTGCGACTGATAGTCCTCCAGTCTCATGATCACTGGTTGCAACAAGGACACCCTGGGTATTTGATCGCTCAAGGAATTTGACAACACTTGCAAACGCTTTGTCATATGCTAAAACTTCATTGACCTGAGCAGCGGGGTCATTTCCATGACCAGCATGATCGATTCGACTTCCTTCAATCATAAGGAAGAATCCCTTGTCACTGTCCTGGGTAGCTGCCTCTAAAGCCCGGAGAGCAGTTTGTGCCATCTCATCCAGGGAAGGATACTTATCATCCATGTTGCGTCGGTCAAGCTAGGGTATAGTCAGATAAAAATGAATTTGAAAGGGACTCTAGGGAAGATGCGGTGTGCAAGATTGAGATTGGGGATCAGAGCATTGGAAAGGCCCAGTTTGCAAAATTGTGAGAATCGTTCCAAGCCTTCATGTCCACGAGCGATTAATGGTGATGGGTATGCCGCTTACCTCGAAGGGGAAGTTATAATCTGCGAATAGACCCAACAGCGGAAGCTTGACGGCACCCTCTAGGGAGTCGAAGTCTTGCTTGCTGTCGATATAATTCCACCCATACTTTTCTTGAGCTAACTTTGTAATATCTCGATCATCTCCTCGGCAGCTTCCTGATGTGGTATTCGGCAGGAAATGACAGCGACCGCCTCCTAGTATGAGGTCCACCACTCGTCCTAGAGGATGTTCGCCAACTTCTTGTTGAGCGATCAAATCCTCCTCCTGTCGGTAATTAGCGTGCGCTGCAAAGCTTGCAGGTGTGGCATCGGTGACAGAGGTTGTCACAACTAGGCCCGTTTTGTAGCCTGCCTTTTTCGCAGCTTCAAGGACCGTCCCGCATGGTGTGTAGTCAGGCAGAACTGATATCGCCCCATTATAGCTCTTCAACCCACAGGAGAAGGCAGTGGCTCCAGCTGCTGAGTCGGTCACAAGGCTGCTAGTTGATCTCGTTCGTGAGGAACCGATAAAATGCTGATCAAGGACGAGGATGTCATCGCGGGGTAGGACGCCTGGAGCTGTTAGTAGGCGTTGAGAAGCTCTCGGTGTCAACACTCACTTTGATACTGGCGAAAGCTGCGAGATAAAGAAAGACTCGCAGGTCCCATCCCATCCGATACCATGAAAATTAAGTTGCGTTTTCCTGAAGGCTTGGCTTTCTTTCCACCATGATGGGCAGCCTGATTGTGAAGGACCACCGCCAATACAAGCACAGCTGCAGTTGCTAGAACTGCCCAAGTAAATAGACCAACTTCTCGCCAGAATTTGGCACTCCTTCGGGGTGGAGATTCGTCTGGCCGCTGGCCGCCGAGCAACGCTGTATCTTCCTGGGCAGCTCTCTCTTCAGAATGAGTCGACGAGTCGCGTCGTTCCGAGGCAAACAAGGGTTGGTTGGATGACATGCTGGTGGCTGATGGACCTTATTCAGGTCTGAGAGTCAAGATTGGATTGTAGAGAGAAGTACCGGACCATACTCGAAACGAAATCAAAAATGTGGGAGCTGTGCTACTTTTATATAGTTGGCAAGTACAACATCATTGCTCATCGACCGACGTAGGCTGAGACTTGTGATGCGTACGGGTGTCAGGGGTTCACAGGGTGGTGGGCTTGGCGTGAGGTCACAGGACTCAGGGACTGGAAACCCAGCCGCAGTACGAATTACAACATATTCTGGATTGCGGTCGTAAATGGACATATCAGTTGCTGTAACGGCTGCTGGGACTATGTGATAATAATAGAGCTTGATTTTTGGGAACTTTTATTGATGGGATTGCAAAGTGGACGGTTGCTATTTGCCCACAACTCAATCAATCTAAATGTCCTTGCACCCGTGTTGCGACTTCCGTCACGAAAAAGGTCATGGTGGGATATGCAAAGTTAACCATTTCCACTCACAGCTTCAATGGGTAAGTCTTCAATTCAGACGCAACTGTGGCTCATTGATTCGTCGAACCCCTCAAGTAGGTAAATACAGCGAATTCCTGCTGCACCATGCAAGCCGTCCAGTCAAACACCCAAAGCAACCCAACCAAGAATTCTATCACTTCTTCTGCTGCGATTCCTTGAGCACCTTCTTGACGATCTTCTGCTCCTCAATCAAGAAAGCCCGAACGATACGGTCCCGCACGCAGTTGGCGCATCTTGATCCACCATAGGCTCGCTGAACAGTCTTCTTTGGTCGGGAAATCTGGGCGTATTCGCGGGGTCTGAGGGCCGGGATCTGTAGAGAGTAGTATTAGTACTGGCCCTTAAATGTGTCTAACACCGATGGTTAAATTCCACGGATAGTAGCTTCTTCCACTATGATATCGAATGACGACTAAACCACTGCCACTACGGAGCTCTTCCTCGTAACGGATCGATTGCGCATTCGTCTGTATGGTAGAGCAAATTCGTGACTGGCGGTAGCGGTGGTACTGATCATCTCCATCCATCCATCCATCCAGCAGACAATCTTCCCGCCCGACCATAAAACATTGCAATAGAGGTAACTCACTCCTGGCAGTTTAATTCCGCAGTCTCCGCATTTTGGCGCAGTACCAGCCTTCTTGATGTGAAGATATCGAAGCTCGCCGCCGGGAGTCTTAACAATCCGGACCTTGTTGGACTTTGTGTTGTATCTACCAGTCGCGTTAGTTTCAGTTGCCGGGTTGCGCGGTGTACATGAGGACGGATTAGATGCTTACGGGTTGCGGCGCCTGTATGTCAATCTGTGGGACGGCATCTTGAAGGTGTTTTGCTTCGGTGTCGAATGAAGCCGTCGTTGGTCGTTTGGAGGTGGAAAAATAACTTTGATGTTCTCCAAATTTCAAATGTGTGGGCTGAAAATCGAGGCGCGGTCTGATTGGCGAGTCTAGCGACGGAATCGTGACAACGCTAGACCCGAATGGGTCGGTACCAGACAACGCTAAGAGCGCGTCCGAGATAATTTCTGACCTGTTCGACACCTCGCTCCAAAACACATCCGCCATCAATACTAGGAGTTTGGACATCGTTTGGCATCATTATGTCGTCGATACCTCCTCCGCCTCCTCCAGGATGGAGTTCCTCGGTCCCCCCCTCTCTGCCGTTGGGCGCGCCACCGGGTGCTCCTCCTCCACCAGGCTACCGGCCCCCCGCCGACACTCAAGTGGCCAAGTTTGCACAGAAGAAGAAAGAATGGCTACGGTCGCAGCGCAATCGATTTGGCGAGAAGAGGAAAGGAGGCTTTGTTGAGACGCAGAAGGCGGATATGCCTCCTGAGCACTTGCGAAAGATTGTCAAGGACATTGGGGATGTTTCGCAGAAGAAATTCAGCACCGACAAGCGCAGTTATCTTGGCGCACTGAAGTTCATGCCCCATGCGGTCATGAAGTTGTTGGAGAATATGCCAATGCCATGGGAGTCGGCCAGGGAGGTCAAGGTCTTGTACCACGTCAATGGATGCTTGACGCTGGTTAACGAAACGCCGAGGGTTATCGAGCCCGTCTTCCACGCGCAATGGGCGACCATGTGGGTTTGCATGAGGAGGGAAAAGAGCGACAGGAGACATTTCAAACGGATGCGGTTTCCTCCTTTCGACGACGAAGAGCCACCGCTCTCATGGTCCGAGAATATTGAAGATGTGGAGCCGTTGGAACCAATTCAGATGGAACTGGATGAGAGCGAGGATAGTGCAGTCTTTGACTGGTTCTACGAAAACCGGCCACTTCTGGATACGCCACATGTGAATGGACCGAGTTACAAGGAGTGGAACCTCACCCTACCGCAAATGGCAGCATTGTATCGACTCAGTCATCGACTCCTAAGCGACCTTGTTGACAAGAACTATTTCTACATGTTTGATCTCAATAGCTTTCTGACAGCAAAGGCACTCAACGTTGCCATTCCCGGAGGACCGCGATTTGAGCCACTGTACAAAGATGTGGATCCGAATGAGGAGGATTTCGGCGAATTTAACGCCATTGATCGAATCATCTTCCGCGCACCTATCAGAACCGAATACCGAGTCGCTTTTCCGTTCTTATACAATTCACTTCCACGAAGCGTCAAGCTCTCATGGTACTCCTACCCGCAGGTCGTGTATGTACGTACCGAAGACCCCAGTTTACCGGCATTTTATTTCGACCCTGTAATCAACCCCATCTCTTCAAGATCTGTTGCGCCGAAAAATATCACGATTAGTCATGAAGACGAAATATTTGGTCCGGGCAACAACGAAGAGCCTGAGGAAGATGCATTTGAGCTTCCTGCTGAAGTCGAGCCTTTCTTGGCAGATGAAGAATTGTACACAAGTGAAACTGCGTCAGCAATCTCGCTCTGGTGGGCTCCATACCCATTCGACAGACGATCAGGCCGGATGGTTCGAGCTCAGGATGTTCCATTGGTCAAACAATGGTACCTAGAGCACTGCCCGCAAGGCCAGCCTGTCAAGGTCAGGGTATCATATCAGAAACTCCTGAAGACATTTGTCTTAAATGAGTTGCATAAGAAAAAGCCAAAAGCACAGAATAAACAAAGTCTAATGAAGACGTTGAAGCATACCAAATTTTTCCAACAAACCACCATCGATTGGGTTGAAGCCGGTCTTCAAGTCTGCCGCCAAGGATTTAACATGCTCAATCTTTTGATCCATCGGAAAAATCTGACATATCTTCATCTCGATTATAACTTCAACTTGAAGCCAGTCAAGACCCTGACAACTAAAGAGCGAAAGAAGTCGCGATTTGGAAACGCTTTCCATCTTATGCGCGAAATTTTGAAGCTCACTAAGTTAATCGTCGATGCGCAAGTTCAATATAGATTGGGTAACATTGATGCGTTTCAACTTGCCGACGGTATCTTGTATGCCTTCAATCATGTGGGCCAGCTGACTGGGATGTATCGATACAAGTACAAGCTTATGCATCAGATTCGATCATGCAAAGATTTGAAGCATCTCATTTATTATCGATTCAATTCTGGTCCTGTTGGCAAGGGTCCTGGTTGTGGATTCTGGGCGCCAGCTTGGAGAGTTTGGCTCTTCTTTATGCGAGGTATTATCCCGCTGCTTGAGCGATGGCTTGGGAACCTGCTTTCTAGACAGTTTGAAGGTCGGCATAGTAAGGGAGTAGCAAAAACCGTAACCAAACAGCGTGTTGAATCTCATTTCGATCTTGAGCTTCGCGCATCAGTCATGGCTGATCTTATGGATATGATGCCGGAAGGCATCAAACAGAATAAGGTCAACACAGTCCTACAACATCTATCTGAAGCATGGAGGTGCTGGAAGAGTAACATCCCTTGGAAAGTGCCGGGTCTACCAGCGCCTATTGAGAACATTATCCTTCGTTACGTGAAGAGCAAGGCGGATTGGTGGATATCGGTTGCCCATTATAATAGAGAGCGCATTCGCCGAGGTGCGACTGTTGACAAAACGGTCGCAAAGAAGAATTTGGGCCGTCTTACTCGATTATGGCTCAAGGCTGAGCAAGAAAGACAACACAATTACATGAAGGACGGGCCATATGTCTCTTCTGAAGAAGCCGTGGCTATTTATACCACCACTGTCCACTGGCTCGAGTCTCGGAAATTTTCGCCCATCCCATTCCCGAGCGTTTCCTACAAGCATGATACCAAAATCCTTATTCTTGCTTTGGAGCGACTACGAGAAGCATATTCCGTCAAAGGCAGACTCAACCAGAGCCAACGTGAGGAGTTGGCGCTGATCGAGCAGGCTTATGACAGCCCCGGAACCACGCTGGAGAGAATCAAGAGATTTTTGCTCACTCAAAGAGCCTTCAAGGAAGTTGGCATAGATATGAACGACAACTACAGCACCATAAATCCTGTTTATGATATTGAGCCGGTCGAAAAGATCAGCGATGCATACCTTGACCAATATCTCTGGTATCAGGCGGACCAACGTCATTTGTTCCCGGCTTGGATTAAACCATCGGATTCAGAAGTCCCTCCATTGCTCACTTACAAGTGGGCTCAAGGCATCAACAACCTCGACAAAGTATGGGAATCTGCTGATGGAGAGTGCAACGTTATGATTGAAACGCAGCTATCCAAGGTTTATGAAAAGATAGATTTGACGCTTCTCAATCGACTACTTAGACTTATCATGGATCATAACCTTGCGGATTATATATCGTCAAAGAACAATGTTCAGCTGACATACAAGGATATGAATCACGTCAACAGCTATGGAATGATCCGCGGTCTTCAATTCTCGGCTTTCGTCTTCCAGTACTATGGCCTTGTTCTTGACCTGCTTCTCCTTGGTCTTCAACGTGCGAGCGAGATTGCTGGACCACCACAAAGCCCCAACGACTTCTTACAATTCCGGGACCGTGAGACGGAGACAAGACACCCGATTAGATTATATACCAGATATATTGACCGTATTTGGGTGTTCTTCCGCTTTACTGCCGATGAGTCTAGGGATTTGATTCAGCGATTCTTGACCGAGCAGCCTGACCCTAATTTCGAGAATGTCATTGGCTACAAGAACAAGAAATGCTGGCCACGCGATTCGCGTATGCGGCTTATGAGGCACGATGTCAATCTTGGCCGTGCAGTCTTCTGGGACTTGAAGAACCGTCTTCCGAGATCCGTCACAACAATCGAATGGGATGATACATTTTCGAGTGTTTATAGTAGGGATAACCCTAATCTGCTGTTCTCGATGTGCGGTTTTGAGGTTCGAATTTTACCGAAGATCCGCAACCAGAATGATGAGTTCCCTGTCAAAGACAGTGTGTGGTCTCTGGTTGATAACACCACGAAAGAAAGAACAGCCCACGCTTTTCTTCAGGTGACCGAGGAGGACATCGCCAAATTTAACAACCGTATCCGCCAAATTCTCATGTCTTCTGGATCTACTACGTTCACCAAGATTGCCAACAAGTGGAACACTAGTCTTATTGCACTATTCACATACTATCGTGAGGCCGCTGTTTCAACTGTCAATCTCCTGGATACAATCGTCAAGTGCGAGACAAAGATCCAAACCAGAGTTAAGATAGGCCTAAACTCAAAGATGCCCTCCAGGTTTCCGCCAGCTGTCTTTTATACTCCAAAAGAACTTGGTGGTTTAGGTATGATCTCTGGTTCTCATATTCTCATCCCGGCAAGCGACAAGCGTTGGTCGAAACAAACCGATACTGGCGTCACGCATTATCGGGCTGGTATGACCCATGACGAGGAAACCTTGATACCGAACATTTTCAGATACATCATCCCTTGGGAGGCCGAGTTCATCGACTCCCAACGAGTGTGGACTGAGTATTCCCAGAAACGGCAGGAGGCCAATCAACAAAACCGCAGACTCACACTCGAGGATCTTGAGGACAGCTGGGACCGTGGCTTGCCTCGTATCAACACCCTTTTCCAGAAAGATCGAAGTACCTTGAGTTTTGATAAGGGCTTCCGAGCTCGTACCGAGTTCAAGACTTATCAGCTAATGAAAAGCAACCCCTTCTGGTGGACAAGTCAGCGGCATGACGGAAAACTGTGGAATCTGAATGCTTATCGAACCGATGTAATTCAAGCACTGGGTGGTGTTGAGACAATTCTTGAGCATACCTTGTTCAAGGCCACCGCTTTCCCATCCTGGGAAGGACTCTTCTGGGAGAAGGTATGTCTCCTAAAACATCTGTAGAATTCATATACTAATAAGGTCATAGGCGTGTCTGGCCAAGGGAACACAGTTGTTGCGTCACGATGGCACCAAGGTTGCAGTCGAAGACGTCAAGGAGGGAGATCTTTTACTTGGGCCAGATGGTGGACCTCGCCGAGCTTTCAACATTGTCAGTGGAAAAGACCAGCTCTATCGCATTAAGATCGACGCTTGCCATGAGGATCTCGTCGTCACTCCAAACCATATCTTGGTCCTTCACCGGGACGCACCCGGGCCAAGCTCCGATCCAGCGGAGGCGCCAACAACTAAACTGTACGAAACTGTTGAGATGACAGCCGCTCAATTCGCAGCCCTTGACAATAAGGAGAGAGACAAGTGCCAGCTCTTTAGCGCTCCCGGCTTTGAACTACCCCTGCAGCACATGTCGGTTAAGCAAATCACACTTGAATCCAAGTCCACAGAATGGGCTGGCTTCCGCGTCGACAAAGATCAGCTCTACCTCCGTCATGATTACATTGTTCTTCACAATAGCGGTTTCGAGGAGAGCATGAAGTTCAAAAAATTGACAAACGCGCAACGATCCGGCTTGAATCAAATTCCAAATCGCAGATTTACCCTCTGGTGGAGTGAGTTCACCCTCCAACCCAAATTTGAATGATTTATACTGACTTTACCGAATAAGGTCCCACCGTGAACAGAGCCAACGTGTACGTTGGTTTCCAGGTTCAATTGGATCTAACTGGCATTTTCTTGCATGGAAAAATTCCAACTTTGAAGATTTCGCTTATCCAGATTTTCCGAGCCCATTTGTGGCAGAAGATCCACGAATCAGTGGTTATGGATCTGTGTCAAGTGTTCGATCAAGAGCTAGAGCAGCTGGGTATTGAAACCGTTCAAAAGGAGACTATTCATCCCAGAAAATCATATAAGATGAATAGTTCTTGTGCCGACATCCTCTTGTTCGCAAGCCATAAGTGGAATGTTACACGGCCGTCAATACTATTTGACACCAAAGACGTCATTGAACCCACTACTACGAATAAGTTCTGGGTAGACGTTCAACTCCGTTATGGAGACTACGATTCTCATGACATTGAACGTTACGTCCGCGCCAAATATCTTGACTATACCACTGATAGTATGAGTATCTACCCATCTGCTACCGGTCTCATGATCGGTATTGATCTAGCGTACAATCTATATTCAGCGTATGGCCAATACTTCCCTGGCCTGAAGGTCCTCATCCAGCAGGCAATGGCAAAGGTCATGAAGGCCAACCCGGCATTATATGTTTTACGAGAGCGAATCCGCAAAGGTCTCCAGCTTTACGCCTCAGAAAGCAACCAAGAATTTTTGAACTCGCAGAATTATTCGGAACTTTTCAGCAATCAGATCCAGTTGTTCATTGACGATACTAATGTCTACCGTGTTACAATCCACAAGACGTTCGAAGGAAATCTAACAACCAAACCGATCAACGGTGCCATTTTCATCTTCAACCCGCGAACTGGTCAGTTATTCCTGAAAATCATCCATACCAGCGTCTGGGCTGGTCAAAAACGTCTCGGACAGCTGGCCAAATGGAAGACTGCCGAAGAAGTGGCCGCTCTCATTCGTTCATTGCCAATTGAGGAACAACCCAAACAGCTGATTGTCACCCGCAAAGGTCTTCTTGACCCGCTTGAAGTGCATCTTCTCGACTTTCCGAATATTTCTATTCGTGCGTCTGAGCTCCAGTTACCTTTCCAGGCTGCCATGAAGGTTGAAAAGCTCGGCGATATGATTCTACGGGCCACCGAGCCTCAGATGGTACTGTTCAATCTTTATGATGAGTGGTTGAAGACTATCTCCTCATATACGGCTTTCTCCCGTCTGGTTCTTATCCTTCGTGCACTTCATGTGAACCAGGACAAGACTAAGTTGCTTCTCAGACCTGACAAGACTGTAATTACTCAAGAGCATCATATTTGGCCGACGCTATCCGAAGATGATTGGATCAAGGTCGAAACGCAACTTCGCGATCTCATCTTGAATGATTATGGCAAGAAGAATAACGTTAACACTTCAAGTTTAACGATGAGCGAAGTGCGCGATATCATCTTGGGCATGGAGATTAGTGCGCCGTCTATGCAACGTCAACAGGCTGCCGAAATCGAAAAGCAACAGCAAGAGCAGCAGCAACTGACGGCCGTAACTACCAAAACTCAAAATGTGCATGGCGAAGATATCATTGTAACAACTACTTCGCAATTTGAGCAGCAGACCTTTGCATCTAAGACCGAGTGGAGAACAAGGGCCATTGCAACCTCAAACCTTCGTACGAGGGCGAATAATATCTACATCTCGTCGGATGATATCAAGGAAGACGATCATTACACTTATATCATGCCAAAGAACATCCTTAAGCGCTTCATTACGATCGCGGATCTTCGGGTACAAGTTGCCGGCTACCTTTACGGATCGTCGCCCCCTGACAACGATCAGGTGAAGGAAATCCGTTGCATAGTTATGGTGCCTCAAATCGGAAGCACACGCGACATTCAGCTACCACAACAACTACCACAACACGAATATCTTGATCAGATGGAGCCCCTGGGAATCATTCACACTGTCTCTGGGAACGAACCACCATATATGAGTGCTATGGATGTCACGCAACATGCACGCCTGATGAATGCGCACAAATCATGGGATAAGAAGACTGTCAGTATGACGGTTTCCTTCACGCCGGGAAGCGTATCCCTTGCGTCATGGGCGCTCACGCCTCAAGGATACAAATGGGGAGCCGAGAACAAGGACATGAGCAGCGATCAGCCCCAGGGATTCAGCACCAACATGGGGGAGAAATGCCAGCTGCTACTCAGTGATAAGATACGGGGGTACTTCCTCGTGCCGGAGAATAGCACGTGGAACTATAGCTTCATGGGCAGCGCTTTCGGGGGAATCGAGAAGAAGCCAGTGCATGTCAAGATCGACACTCCACTGCCATTCTATAGCGACCAACACCGGCCCCTGCATTTCCAAAATTTCGCCGAGTTGGAGGACATATGGGTAGACCGGGAAGACACATTTGCTTAGAGGCCTGTGTGTCGTGCATGCGGAGGCAACGGGATCTCTGCGAAGTCGATCTGGGACTGACCAGGAAATTGGAAGGGGGGATCATTTCTGCGTGGTTGATGGTAATCATTCGAGGAAAGAATGTACTAAATTTCGGTGGCGGGCGTTTGATCGGAGGCTAGGAGTAGTGTAACATTGTGTATCGGTATAAGCATAAAACTTTCCATAGCATTCAATTGTACCATAATCTGAAGACTGGTTGATGTCTGCATGTGGGTGTGCGTGTGGGTGTGCGTAGGTTAGGGTGTGTGGCCCTGTATGATCGGCATTACCTGCCCTCCGCATTCCGCCCTGATTCAAGGCTAGGGGAGGCATCCGTGATTGTTGTGACCGTGGCCGTGGCCGTGGGTGATGGGGATGGGGATGTCGATGGTGATGGTGATGGGGGACACTGGATGGAGATGTGGAACGGAGAGCAGCCGGACGATCAAATGCAAAGCCCGAGCTACGATCATGCGCCACGGGAGCGACCGGCCACCGCCAGGCAGATTCCACCAGGTCGGTACGAAGTACTTCGCACCCAAAGTAGGGACTGTACCTGCAGCGTGGCCGAGTATGACGCAGGAACATCCGCGTCGCATGGCAAATGCAACGTCGTGCGTAGTTTGAAGAGGAGAGTACGAAAGCAATGGGGATCGGATTGGCCTTGGAGCTGGAGTTGGGCCTGGGGACAATGGGACAATGGGACGTGGAAAGCTGGGCTATTGCTGTAGAGCTCAATTGCCTGGCAAAGTATCGAGTTACTACAAATCTGAGCATATTTAACTACGAAATAGCAATGTGCCCTATTGTCTATGGTACTTTGTAGCAAACTTGATTATATTGTATTGTATATTGACTTGGGCAGGGCAGGGACAAACGGCAAAGAGAACAACAAGGTGCATCTAGTCATTCCCCTCCTGCTCTTTCTCGTTTGTCCACCTGTTCTGTTCTGTGTCTTTCTGTTCTTTCTCCACACTCCACACTCCACACTCAAAATAGCCTCAGCCCGCTCCCCGCAATGTGTTATATCTCCTCTCTAGAAGTCATTCACCCAATATGCCTACAAGAACCCTTTACCCTCACGGAAAAACCACATCCGCGGGATGGTCCCATGTTCGGCCGGTTGTCCTTAATTTTTGGTATTTTGCTACCGGTACCTAGCGACCTCGGGCAGAGTGCTCGACCCTCGTCACGCCCCCCATCTCCCACCGGAATACCTCGCTCCTTGATGAAGCTCGTCATCATGCTCTCCAAGCGCTGACCCGGATTGCCCTCTGCGAAAGCGTATGTGTGGGGGGGATCCGAAGTCAAGGCAGATGTAGCGCTCTCCACACCGCGCCTCGGCGGCGTGTGGCTACGATAACTGATGGCCACGGTGGGCGCCGCTGCGGCACTAGGCACGAAGCATAACATGGTAATATCACGCCCAATATTAACTCGCACTACACAGGGGCCAGGTTCAGGTTGGGGGTCACGGAAATCAGTCTTGCAGATGATGCTGACGATGATCAGCGATCAAACAGACGTTGGCGATGCGCTGAGATGCAACGCAACGCAACGCAACATCTCCTCGCCACGCCAGACCAGCACTGGCACTGGCACGCCCTATGGGGATACCACAACGCGCGCGCATATACACTCGCTCCGTGCAATATGGAGCAGAGTCTGGAGTATGCCGTAACGGAGGTACACCGTTGATGATGCCTCGTGTCGTCCGAGCAAGTGCGCCGAGACAGCCTAGAGAGCGCTGAGCAGACGCTGGCCCGCGATCAACCTCCCGTCAATAATACAGTACCGGCACTTTACGAACAAAATACGAGTACATTATTATTTGAGGACTCGAGTATCGCGCAGGTTCAGCGTAAAGCGGGTTATCTGATTGGCCTAGTCGAAGTCGAGAGCCCGCCCGGCCAATTGCTATTAAAAAGTATCTTCGTGCAAGGCCGACTCGCGATCCTCTTCTGGTCGCATTACTTTCGTCATCTCCGTCGCAAATATGGTGAAGCGCCGTCATCCTATGGGTGGCCGCGTTCGATGGCTTTTAATATAACGAGATCCTTGTGCATTAACACACTCAACGAGGAATCTCTCGGTTCTGGAGACCGATGCCTGCGCTGCTCGTTCGAGCAGCTCTTGACGACGCATCCGCCCTCCAAGGCCCGATTTTTTCCCCTCGGGTCAATTCCTCGGTCAGCCTCCAGGTCCCGCCTTCGAGCGCCATCTTTTGCGAGTTGTTCCATGAAGTGTTCAGTGTCCAGTGTTGGGCGGTTCTTCCAAAAGCCCAGGCTTTGCTTCTGCCTCTGCTCCCACCTCTCCCTCTCCCAAGCCATCCATGCCGAGCAATGCCTGTTTGATCCCGCTGGCCCTGTTCGCCCTGTTGCGCCCTGTCGGGTCTTGAGTGCTTCTAAGAGAGCGGGTTTCAGTGTGTCTAGCTACTCTCCGAGCTCCTGAAGGCTGAAGCCTCTTTCAATGTCTCAGAAGCTTCTATGCAGTCTTCTAAAGCTTCATGCAAGTGGAGCGCTGGCCCACCGCAGCACAGGGCTCCTGGGCAGCTCCTGGACTACAGGACTCCTGGGTGCCGGCCAGCACAGCACCGCAATGACAACTCTCGTCTTCTCTCAATCTATCTTTGCCCTGGTCTCCAACGCTGCGTCCAGATGCCCATGCTGCCTTCCCCCCCCCCATGCTCCCCACATGCTGCACGCTCGCCGCTCCCGGGTCGGGATCTTCTGTCTTTGGTTTCCCTTTTGGGCCGTGGGCCACCTAGGGCATAATCGAAATGTTGATGCTCCCCCCAAAATGTCTTTCTACATGCATCATTCTCCTTACTGCTCAACACAAATCACGTCTCGTCTATGGCGAATCATTAGTGTGCTTGGAGTGATTTTCAAGACCGTCCGCGCCTTTAATTAGTGGCCGCCTACACGCTGATGTCAATGCCTGCTTAAGTGAAAGATCAGACGATAGATATAATGCAAGGCCTGCCCCTCCCTCCCAGCTATTTATCTCGCCTTGTTCCTATACCTCCAACTACCGCCATATCGCGGATACAGCGTCCCTCACGGAAGAAGGTTGACCCTTTTGTTTCGACTTTTGCCATTCCCTATCAGATGCTCTTCGTTGGGTGGACGGTCATCAACCTATATAACGCCCTTATATAGACGGCTTTCGAAACACCCTCAGTCGCATTGCACCTGAAAAAAATACAACCGACACGGCACCCGCGAGCCCTTCCTGGAAACATACCACGACCTGGCAGTGATCCAGCACGTAGTCAGTCTGCCCCCGGCGACCTGCGAGAGCAGTTCGCTGTGGCGGGATCCATGCATGTCTGGGTATCGGCCAGGCCACGATGCAAATGCAAATCCATATATCGAGTATGCCTCGCAATCAGATCATCACCCCGAGGAGCGCGTCTTCGGGTCGCATCCAGGAGACATCCAGCACGGGACAAGTCAAGGCATCACTACGCCTCATGGGCATTACGGCGCGCATCAACATCAACAGCAACCGCCTCACCCACAGCACCAAGTGTATCCAGGACCACTTGCTCCGGATATGGCCCACCACCAATCGCCTCAATACGGTGGTGGGCAACCGCATCTGTTGTATGGGACACCTCGACAGATGCAGCCAGCGACCGGAACCAAGAGACAGCGAGACGAGGATGACTTGGAGATGGGGTTGCCAATTCCACCACATATGGGAGGTCCAGGCGAGATGTCCATGCCGTCACACATGCAGCAGCCGATGGTGGACTATGGCTCTTCCTCTATGCAGCCGCAGCAAACATATCATAATCATGGCCTTCCGCCGTCTATTCATCCTTCCAAACGATCCCGGAGTGATGACCCGTCTTCAAGCATGCTATCACCACCATCAGGGGGCGCACCAAGTGTTGTGGGACATCCCGGCATGCCCGACCCAGCTCCACGGCCTCGCGGGCCAAAACTGAAGTTCACTCCAGAAGATGACCAGAAGCTGGTTGACCTGAAGGAGAACAAGAACTTGACCTGGAAGCAGATTGCAGAATTCTTCCCGGGTCGATCTTCAGGCACATTGCAGGTCCGCTATTGCACGAAGTTGAAGGCAAAGACTACGCAATGGACAGATGAGACAGTAAGTTACTCGGCGCAAGATATATAAGCCGATCGCTAACGGCCTCATCAGATCCAGAAACTTCGGACGGCCCTCCATGACTATGAGCAAGAGAAGTGGCGTATAGTAGCACAAAAGGTGGGCACAGGTTTCACGTCAACCGCCTGCAAGGAAAAAGCTATGGAAATATTATAGCATTCAGCGTCTCCAGCAGAAGCACCCGCTTCTGATCCTGGGGACACAGAATATTAGCTCAATGGAGCACTACCTAGAGGGCATTTCGCATGGTCTCGGATGTCTCGCCTTTTAAGAGACATTCTCCTTCGAATCCGCTACCCTCCATCTCTTCTCTAAACCTCACAACACCCCCCTGACAACCCTGGATGATATACCGCTCATCCCTCTACCTGTACAAAGAAAGGCAACGAGACGATGCACACGAACGATACATTTACTTCTTCACATTCGATCGCGCGACTGGAGCGCGCCTATTTATTACAGGCACTTTTATTTCGCGGTAATCAGCTCTACTCGAACATGAGCAAATACCACAAAGTAACGATAGGCTTCTCCGCTGGATGGATATGGCGGGCAAGAGACGAGGAACGGCAGTAGGATTGGGCAAAACAGAGCGGAGCATATGAAGGCGCAATCGGAGAAGAGGTTGATACGTTTTGCCGCGATGGGGCCTTCATACGACTATTTGCACTTGCCTATCCAAAAATACATATGGGCGAGAGCGGCGGTGCGTGGGATGGTGGGCAAAGGAATACGAACAGACAGCTTTCCTTTCCGCCCGCTTTTCTTTTATTCCATTTCTCCCCTACTTATCTACATTTTTTTCTTCTTAAAAGAACTATACCCCCCAAGATTACTGTGATTGGCCTTATTCTATTTCTTCTTCATATATACTTTTTTGGGGAGACTAGGTTTTTGCTTTTTGGTGGCTGGTTATGGATGACGAATTGGTATGAGAAAAGCAATAGATGAGCAGTCTGGAATATTAGTAGTATCTACATACAAAGTATAATTATCCCCTTTGTTGATTTCAGGTTCAGGTGCCTGCATCGGCGCTCCTACAAGTATGTACCGTATGCTGACCAGCAGACACCCCCTCGGCCGCCACTCCTGTCCAGCGGGAGGGGCAAACCCTACTCTCCGAATTCCTGATTTTTCGACCCTCAAGTATCGAGAGGGGCAACCCGCAGCAAGAAGTTATGTTACATTGTGAAAATCTTAGCACGAATCAGAAGCCTCCGGACGCCTAGACGCCCCTGGTCTTCGGCTTGCCCCAAGAACTCCTCAAGCCGTTAACTGGGATCAAGTAATTGTCAGCGTATCACTCACAACTGACACGCAGCAACACCAACACACCAAGCAGTTGGAAACACGGTGACTCGGCTGCTACTGACGTGATTTCTGGTACAGTACCGTCGATTTCATCTTGATGGGAAGGGCTGACGTGTCGAGTTGTGAGAGGCTCATGGGGCTCTTTTCGAGCCTCGTGGTGTCTGACTTAAGCCCTAACCGGAGTGAAGCCGGTTTCAGAATAATGGCCTTTTCGGAGAAAATGACTAAACTACTGCACCTGACACCGGAGCATTTTATTTTCTTGTTAGGGGGGTTGCAGTGTACTGTTGCGCGCAGTGTGCGGTTGGGTGAGAGCGTGGCGTTGGCGTTGGTGCTGGCGCTGGAGGGCATGCGACTAGCGAACGCATAATGGGAGTTTTATAAGTGAATGGTATGCATTATGCGTTGAGGACGTCTCCATATCTTTTCGATATTTTCGATATTATTTCTTCCTTTTTGTTCTCTCTCCTTCTTTCAGCTTTGAGTCGACTATTACTTCGTTAATGGAGGACCCGCTCTTTCTTGAATTTTGCGCATTCCGATATACTTATTACTTGAAGTATTCGGCATTCTCTCTTCAGATTTTGCGCCTGATGTATGACATCTTGTCGCAAGTTGCGATGACGCTGTGATTGGCTAGCGCGATAACAGCTGGCCAGTTGGTCGGATGCCGAGAATGGAAAGATAGAAATAAGTTCTTTTATGCTTTGGTTCCAAGTTTCCCAAGTTGGGTTTATCGATAAGTATCCATGGCCTCCATTGACTGCCAGAAGTGGAGTGCAGCTGCGGCGCAGAACGGCAGCGCAAAGACAAACGCAGCTGCAAGTGCAGGGCCCGGCAGAGCAAGGAGTGAGTGAGATGAACTTCAATGTACAATATTATTCGATGTTCGTGCAGCTCAACGGGCCGCAGATGCGGTCGCATGGGAGATTGGGCTACATATTGCACCGTTGCGGCGGTACTGTACTCACTAGGTACCTTGCTGTTCATACTGTCGCAAGGAGCAGTGCAGGATGTACAGTGTAAAGTACACCTGTTCCAGGCCCGTGGATAGACGCCCAGTAGGCGGGCGTTTCGAAACACCACCCTTTATGCTTCTATTATAGTCTGAGCTTTACCGCCCCTTTTTCGAGAAGACGGCCTGCTAGCAAAATGATTTTCCATGAACGCCGCCTCCGTGCGCAGACGGAGTAACCCATGAATTGCGCAACAAGCTGGGTTGGAATTGAGGCTTGTTTCTATTTCCATATCACATCCCACGCAGCTTTCCCAAAAGGACTGAGTGGCGGAGATCATTTTCCTCCATCTGACCTTGTTTTGGCAGCTTGTTTATTTCAGGGGCCTACGGCAGCACCTAGCTAGATACTTCGGACCTGTACTTCGTAAGTAGTGCCAACGCCAACAGCGCAACAGTGTGGCGGCGAGGTTCGTACGTCAAGCCTCAAGGTCAAGGCCAAGGTCAAGGAGAAATTACTGTGCCGTCCCGTCTGTAACTCGGTGGTACAATTACAGTTACGTCGACTAGTCGGTACGACGTGCTGGTACTACGTATTGTACCTGAAGCCAGGTTTATCATGTCGTCCAAAACGATCTGCCGATCCGCTTGTAATTAAACAAGGAACAATGCGGGGCTCTAGGGCTGGCGTGCCCCTTAAAGAACTATTCTGGAAGCCCCCGAGGGGAAATGCAGCTCTTCAGCGTGGCGCTAGGGACCTAGTGAGGGCCTATGTGCATTTGAATCGATGGATGTGGAAGTTTCCTGGTTTCTAACAATAGCCTGAATACCTGAGTTGTCTGTCTGAGCGTCTCGCCTTTCTCTCGGAGATTTTGCGGCCTTTCTAGAAGGTTTTGGTGCGGCTTCTGTGCCGGCGGGGTATTAGGCAAGTATGCCTATTCAATGCCGTCCACTTCCCTGGCAAGCGCTTGGGGTTGTGGTTGTGGTTGTGGTTGTGTTCCCAGCATGATAAATAATGTCACTTGGAATTGGATGTATTTTTACCCAAAATTAACCAATTCGACACGTGATGCTTTGTATGCAGGCCCCTTTTCCCCACCTGGTGATCTCGGTTGAAGCTAAGGAACAACAGTTTACCTACCTTACCTAGTATCGCGCGTTAATCCCTACAGGGAGAAAATCAGGTTTTGTTTAAAAAGATAACGTAAGGAAGGGTTATAGATAAGGAGTCATGACGTAATAAAGTAGATAGTAAAAGGGACTATATTTTACAGACAAATCTCTAGGGATCTCTTATTCAGAGTGGAACTCTCTTTCTAACGCTGTTATTATCTTTAAGAGGTTATAGTAATATCTGCACATCCCCAAATAAGGGCAGTAGGGCTGAACTCGGATTTAAACGAGTAAGTGACAAATGCCGGCCATTGGCCCGAAAAACAGCGTGGCAAGCTTATAGAAGTCCGGATCCACGTCATTACAGTCTAGGAGGTTAATAAACCCAAGAGTATTTACAAATCACAACGCACTGTATGGTGTGATGATAGAACCGCATGAGCTGGTAGTGGCTCTTGGAGTACTTCTCCGAAATACCGTTGAATACTTTCTTAGTCGTTTGTAGAGTTGAGATGTCCATATATATTATTGCTTTTGTTTCATTAACAACTCCCTCCCTTTCTCTACAATGGCCTTATTCATCACCATCTGCTCACTCCCTCCATTGATAGCCAGATCTGCCATCACTGCCGCTAGACTCCGCACCGAAACCGTTGGTAACAAACATCCCAGCAAAGCACTTCCGTCTCCCCCCAAAACTCCTCCCGGTCTCACAACATACGTCTTCACATTCTGGTTCTGTTTTCCATACTCCAAGAATTTTGATTGGGCAAGCCCCTAACGGAAGTCAGTATATTACACGAAGGAAAATGAAAGGCGTTGTAAGAAAATGGACAAGGTCGTACCCGCATACGTCGTCCTTTAGAATAGAACCACAAATTCTTCTCCTGGTCCGACTCCGTGAAAGCACCACCAAGGTATACATATGTAAACGTATTCTTGACATCCAAGACCTTCAATAGCGCTTCCTGAAAAGCTTCTGGGTATTCCAACTCCACTACCGGATCCCAATTATACGTTCCCATCGACCTTCCACTGTCAGTACTTATGCTATTATCTCCCAATCGCTCAGACTCACCATATACAAGCATTCGCACCTTTTAACTGTTCTAAAACAGACTCGGGGTACAACTTGAAATCTTTAATAATAACTACGGTAAGCTTTGGATTTGCGGTTTCTTCAGGAAGATCGCGGCGCGAGAGCGCGATAAGGGAGGTTATAGTGTAATTTTTTAGGCATTGATCCAGGACTGCTTTGCCAATGAAGCCGGTGCTTCCAAAAAGGATAACCTTCATGTTTCTTTGAGATTGTGAGTGTACTGTGTAGGGCTGAACAAGAATAGCGACATGATGAATGGTCACTTGCTACTAAATAGTAAGTGCCACTTGCGGAGGGGATCTGCGGATTAGAGTTGCGGAGCGGAGTTGCGGAGTCGAGTTGCAGGCCACATACCAACCTCCACCAGCTTGCGCGCCAAAGTCCGCAGAAGCCTCCTCGTCGGACAACCATTGCGGCAACAGAGAAGGCCTACCGATGCATCAATGACGGAGGACCTCGCCCCTGAATCCTCCTCCGCCTCGCGGCAAAAGAGCTGCCACGCCTGTGTAAAAGGTAAACGAGGCTGCGACAAGCGGCATCCGGTCTGCTCAAGATGCGAGGAGAAAAAGATTCAATGTATCTATGCCAAGCGGACACACGCCGAAGCTTTCTATGACTTCGATTCGGTGGACTTGGACATGTCCTGGGCAGGACTCACTACTCTGTCGCCTGCGATTGATTTTGTCGACGATATCCCGCCGAGCCTCGCCACTTCGGCCAGTCTGGATCCCACCAGCCCTCCGACCCTCGATGCATTCATTGACCCGTTCCTAACATTTGTAGAGAACCAAGCTATACCATCGAGCGACTTGCAGCTCATCAGCAATGCCAGCGAGCCGCTCGATCAACAACAGGAGAAAGAACAGGCACTCAACAAGTTTGACTATACTCCAATGGCTGACCTATGCGTTTGTGACTCGCTCGTGAAAAAAATGCCACCGCTAATTTTTAGACAAGATCCAATATGAGCCATGGCAGGTCTATGACCCTAACACCAAGGTGCATTTCATCGTACAAACCATAAAAGGCTACCCCATCACTTTCGCCAAGGATAACAGCACGCCCTGGATGCATAGGCATTTATATAAAGACCAAATGCCGTCCTCAATCCGGTCCTGCTTCACTGTTAGTACACTTTGTAGCAACATGACTAGCAGCAACAAGACTTCAGTATTCAGAGTTCTCTGCCAAAGTCTGAACGAGCTGAAGCAACAACAGTTGGCAAACACTCCCCAAGAGAAGCTGGCACGGACCCAAGCGCTATTCCTATATCAGATAATCGGCCTGTTTGATGGAGATGTTACTCTAAGATCCAATGCCGATCGGAATATGCCGTTATTGCAGGACTGGCTAGATGAACTGTGCAAGATCAGAGAGAACCTTAGGACGCCAGAGAGTATGAACGATCTGAATCCTCCAAGGTCGTGGGAGGTAGGTACTTTAACCTTCCCTCCCATTCCACTCACTAACGACCCAAGTGGTGGATATTTTCTGAGTCTGTCCGGCGAACCATCGTTATAGCCTATGCCTTCCTGGGTATGTGGAGTATAATGAGCGAAAATAATGATGGTAAGGCGCTCTCTTCCGACAATGCCTCTTATTAACCTGCGAAGATGTATTTTTTAGGGCTTGGAAATACCTTCACTGTTGGACCATGTCTCGTCCCTTGTGGGAGGCGCCATCGTCCTTCGACTTCTTTCGGACTTGGAAGGCGTATCCCGTTATTGAAAATTTTGAGTTTGAGAGCTTTCTCAAAACTGGAAGAGCTGACGATGTTGATGATTTCTCCAAGCTCCTCATGGTAGTGTAGGTAATTCAGCAGCATGCGGTCGTTCGCTAACATACTTAGTTATATGGGCTTAGATGAGTCGAAGCAGTGGTTCATGGACAAGGGTAGTGTATTTTGAAGCTTTGGAAGGAGTTTTTGCCGGGCTGCGGTTGTCTAGTGGTTGCATTCCTAAGTAATTAAGTTGAAAGGCTGGCATTCAAGAAGGCCGAGGAATCGTTAGCAAAGTTGCGTAATTGGAACGTTTATAACAGAGCCATGTCGACTTGGAGCTAGGTTTGAGAAGGACGCTTCGATTTGCTCTGCTTTCTTAAGCTACGGAATGGGACTAAGCTGTCTCGTTAAGGCAAACATGCCGTCGGGGCTGAATCCGAAAGGTCCAGGGTAGCCTAAGAATTTGAGGTACCTTAATGTTAAATAGAGAGGCTGGATTGGGTTGTTAGTCCGGAAATCCCGGGAGGGAAGATGACCACATCGTTAGGGAGCATATGTGGCAGTTGCAGAGACCTATATTGTTCGCCTAGAATATGCCAAGTATGACTTCCAGGGTAACTTCCACTCTCTAGCTCGCAATTCTGGCTTGAAGATATCAAAATCATTTTTCTCCAACTTCTCTAGCCAGAGCCTGGTGGATACAGCTGGCATCAAGACACCAAATCCCATCTCCAGTTCGTCGATTTGGGATTTGCCAGAGATGCCCCGTTCCGCATATTGGTGGCCATCCTCGCCTTCATGTTCGAACGCGTGACCCGCATCTTCTCCTTGTTTTAAATTCTTCAACATCTCTCCAGCTGTGATCAGGTGGTCATTCGCCCTTGTGGCTATTGTAAAAACGGCATCCCTAAGGCCAGGAGCGTCGGCGCCCTGCCTATAAATATCCTCTTCTCTCACTCCAGCTTCTGCCATCACTTCTAATGGCAGAACCACAGCTCCCTGGCGCCCACCAACGCTGCCGCCGAGAGCGCCACTAAAAGCTGCGTTATTACTATGATGGTTCGGGGGTGGTGGGAACGCAAGGAGCGGCAATCCTCTAAGTATCGCAGCAATCCCAGTGGCCTTCCCAATGTGACTGGCGACATGATCTGTTGACATTGAGTTCAATGGTATCGTCGCTAGGGTCAAGTAGAGCAACGTCGAATATGTGTTTTCCGCATACGTCTCGAGAGCATCTATCGTAGTGAACGGTCGATTGTCCATATATTGCTCTCTGATATTTACTATCCTCATAAACCACCCCTTCATGACGCTTGTGCTGAGACCCGGATGCCGTGATCTGAGGGATTGGAGGGCGGTATGGAGGAGGATCGCAACAGGCTCTTTTGGCGGCGTTCCGGCGAACGTTCGAGTCAAATTATCCCGCCAAAACTGCATTCGAAGTGCACCAACGGTTGGATTGGAGACTAGATCTGGTATTCTGGCAAGCTCAATATTGAGAGCCCGTATGGCGAGGTAGGCATCTTTCGCAGAAGCTGGGATGAAAGTTTGGAGGACGTATGATGGCGAGTCGAACTTCCTAATAACCGTCAATTGGCATCCGTTATGTACACAATTCAGCTCAAGACCTACTGCAGAAGACCAGCGCAATAGGATCTCGCTCCATTAACGTCGGTAGCTGTTATTTGAGAAGGATGAGGTGCCGGCGCGCCATATGGAGTAGTTGCATATGCACACCTAAGAAGTGGTTTGCGCCTGATATGCGCCCGGAGCCTTATGCTCGCCCTTGAGGAGTACATTACATTATATTTCGTAACGAGCAGATTTAGGAAATAATAAAAGGAGAAGACATTTACTTGTGTGTCGCTGTAGCTCAACTAAGATAAAAGTTGATTTCCAGGCTGTAGATCGGCTAGGTATGCCTAAGGTACCTAGGTACTTTGTACAGTCACCCACTCTAACTTTAAGTGGCCGAAACGCGTACAAGCGCGACTTTCGCGAATCCTACTTTACTTCTATATAACTTTTCTTTCTAATTATATCGAAACCACGTACTCCCCTAAGCCCTCTTAATAGGAATAGGCAATTGCATGAGGGAGGTCTGGCCTGAAGCTTCTTATTTTTATTTCTCCAGACAGTCTATCGCTCTGCTGGATGCATTTGTCATCCCATCTGTGAAGGACATCCGATGAGGCCCTTTAGGCCTTTATCAGTCTCGTATACCTTCAGCGCACTCTCCTTCCACTGCGACCAACCTTCCACTACCCCAAACGCTTTCAATATTGCATTTGCTAACGGGAGGGCGTACTTCCATTCTGACTCTAAGGCCAGGCCCCAAAAAAACTTCTTACCTTTTCATCAGTTATATTGCTGGTCAGATCAGATAGTCCTCTTCTCCGTAGAATATCAGCTAGTACAAGATCGTTAGGGCTGAATGAGGACTTCCCATTACACAGGGAGGCCATATCTGCTGTAACAAGCGATGGTCCAAAAGCTTCGTGTCGAGGTATAATACGTGCCATTTGCCAGTCAATAATGCCGGTGATGTTCAGCTGCTCGTCGACGAGTAAGTGGCCGCCTTTGTCGTCGACATGCTTCAAGTAGAATCTCTCTGTCACTTGGTTTTCTTCTTGCGAGACTAATTGGATCGCGTTATCCCTTAAGAAGCGGTACACTAGATAAGCATTGATAGGATGTTCAGTGTATAGCTGGCCGTCTACGATGAGCTCCAAATACTGCTCAGCGAAGGCAGTATAATAGGCGGTAGATGTAGCAAATGGACCTGTTGGGGTGAGGACGAGGAACCTGTCGCTCGCAACGGCCGATACCTCGATTTCAGATGATTGCAGGCATAGGGAACCAGCCTTAGGAAAAGGGTGTTTTTCTAACTCCATCAGAATGTCCGCAACACCTCTCCAGACCCTTGCCTTTTCGTTCTCACTGGCCTCGCCGCTGGACACTCCTGGCTTATCTATCCATGGTGTTCCCCGTAGTTCTTCCATGAGGATGAAGCTGACGCCAGTACCATGGTCTGTTCTAGGTCTACATATGCCGTAACCCAATGCTCGAGGTGCAGGTACTGTGATAGTTTCAAGAAACTTTAGGGTTGCATATTCACTAAGTACAAGGTTCTCAACCAGCGAAGACGGTAGACTAACAGCGAAGCTGGCAACACGTAGAACTCGGAGTAGCCATGAAGGAGAGCCATCATGGAAACGAATTCGTGCGTGGTAGTTGGCGCTCCCCATCAGAGCGCCGGACCCTATCGTGGAAGAGTGTTCGATGGTGCAATTCCGGCCACCATTTAGACTTGAAGCATACTTGCACTGCTAGATCGTTGATCCGAGAGCGGAGACGCTCAATTTCAGCGGCCGTCTGGAGTATATAAGTTGCATCATCTATGAACTTTTCTTCCAGAAACTCTCAGTATCGGGTTTATATGAGACGTAAGAATGAGGTAAGGCCAAAGGCTATGCCACTTGCCTTGCTGCACTTGTGGAAAGATGGGGACATGTGGATGAGGCACAGATAACGGTTGCACATATCGCATCCACCGATGGCTCTGACACTTGGTCGTTCACATTCCGGCACCGAGCAAGTGAAGAATCTCGAGTTCATTTTAGTGTAACGTATGAATAAGATGAGCTGTGATAGCTACCTAGGTACCTTATGGGAAAATTAGCCATGAATTACTTGTAAACGATGGAAAAGGTTGCGAGTTCAGCTGCTCTGCCACCGCCTTCATTCTGCCCACCAGACAACTCCACCCTCCGCGTGATTTCGGGTTAGCGACGTCACGAAAATCATTTACGCGGCTACAAATCGCGTCTCTCATGATGCATCTAGAAATACCCTCCGGGGCCACAGGAGAGGAACCAACGTCGATATGAATTTCGCAGAGCCTGAGGGCCCTCCACAGAAGAAAAGGAGATTCTTCGCAGAAGAGTCGGGCATTCTTGACCCCTCTCTGGGATCTAGCCTATGTTTCTCGGATGAGACCGACGCGTTTCCTGCGGCCTCTCCTGAGGGTCGCCATATCCCAAATGAGATCCCACCGCCAGACACTGGAAATGGACGGCCAATACACCAGGAGGAGCCTTGCACTAGTAATCCTACTCCAGGGTTTGATTTGGATACATTTCAGAGCTTCGTTGGCGACAAAGTTACTCCCGAAGTGCTGAAGAGCTTGCGGGAAGCATCGGGAGATGATATGGAAAAAGCTGTCAATATGTACTTTGATGGGTCATGGAAAACTGCTGCAGCGCCCTCCAATGGCAGCGACACAGGCTCCAAATCTTTGACTATTAATAGCTTTGTCAGGTCAGGTACGGCTGGCGGGAACGGAAGCAATGTTATCCAGCAGACAAGCGAAAGCCCTCCTTCAAGACGCCGACCCAAAGATACAATGCCAGAATATAGATATATTGGAGCGTTTGGGGTTGGCGGCTGGGCAACAAGAAGTGGCACGACTTTAATCAAACATGGGGAATCCGTTCGCATCGAGAGACAAAAGATACAACCCCCAAAAACCCCGGCGGGCAAGGGCAAAGGAAAATCCGCTTCAATACAATCTTCACCGAGGCCTAATACGGCCGCCGCCAGACGAGTGGATGTTATTGTACGGTTTACAAATTCGAGGGGTGACGAGGTCGGAAGACTTCCTCGGGAATGTGCAAATTGGGTCTCGACGTTGATTGACCAGAAGGTTTGCAGGTTCGAGGGTACTTGTGTTTATGCACCCGAGAGGATCAGGACAAACGATACCATATTCTTACAATTAAGGTGTTCATTACTTCGAACTACATTTGACAACGGAGGCTTCAAGCTGCCGGAAAACCGAACAACTGGATTATTTGAGGAGAAGGAGACTTCGGAAGAAAAGGAATTACGATTGCGTCAAGTGGCTCTTGTGAAGCTTTTTGAGGAAGTCAACATCCTGCCGTCGAGGACGTCCGAAACTACTGCGAAACACAAAAGGGAAGGATTACTTCAGGCGGCTGAAGTGGCTGAGCAGTACGAGAATTTGAAAACAAAGAATGGTGATCCGTCTGAGACTGTTGGATCATCTCCACCATCTGAAGAGGCTGAGGATGGAAAGGAATTGGAGCAAGACCAGCTCGATGCGCTTTATAAGAAGGCGCAGTCATTCGATTTCAATGCTCCGGCGGCAGAGCCAGCCGAATCCTTTGCTATGGATCTAAGACATTATCAAAAACAAGCTTTGCACTGGATGATGGCAAAAGAAAAAGATGAAAGGGATGAGAGTAGGGAACTTTCTATGCATCCTTTATGGGAAGAATATACCTGGCCAACCCGGGATGTGGATGACAAGGATTTACCCGTGGTTGATGGACAGGACCAATTCTACGTGAATCCCTACAGCGGCGAGCTTTCCCTCAATTTTCCTGTACAGGAACAACACTGTCTTGGTGGGGTTCTTGCGGACGAGATGGGTTTGGGCAAGACCATCGAGATGATGAGTCTCATCCATTCCCACAAGTCAGATGTTGCGCTTAGATTGGAAATGGAAGGAGCCACCTCCATCCGAACTTCGATTAACAGCTTAACGAGATTACCGATGCATTCTGGAGCCGTAGAGCGCGCTCCCTGTACAACTTTGGTGGTAGCTCCGATGTCATTATTAGCTCAGTGGCAAAGCGAGGCAGAAAACGCTTCTAAAGAAGGCACTCTTAAGAGCATGGTCTATTACGGAAATGATAAGACCGCCAATCTTCAAGCACTATGCTGTGAAGCCAATGCCTCATCCGCTCCCAACGTCATTATCACAAGTTATGGTGTTGTGTTATCTGAATTCAATCAGGTAGCTAAGCAAGGAGGTAGAGGCACCCAGGGTGGCCTCTTCTCCCTGAAGTATTTCCGGGTAATTTTGGACGAAGCTCATCATATCAAAAACCGCCAGAGCAAGACTGCCAAGGCCTGTTATGAAATTGACGCTGAACACCGGTGGGTATTAACTGGCACTCCGATTGTCAACAGATTAGAAGATCTTTTTAGCCTTGTCAGGTTCTTGAGGGTCGAACCTTGGAGCAATTTCTCCTTCTGGAAGACTTTTATCACGGTTCCGTTCGAGTCCAAGGACTTCATGCGTGCACTCGACGTTGTTCAGACTGTTCTCGAGCCCTTGGTTTTGCGCAGGACAAAAGATATGAAGACACCAAGTGGCGAGGCGCTCGTGCCTTTACCTCCCAAGTCGATTGAAATTGTTGATATTGAATTGTCGGAGCCGGAGCGCGAGGTATACGACCACATATTTACACGTGCCAAACGGACTTTTGCAGCCAATGTTGAGGCAGGCACTGTTCTCAGAGCATATACTAGTATATTTGCTCAAATTCTTAGGCTACGACAATCTTGTTGCCACCCTATCTTGACTCGCAATCAAACTCTCGTTGCGGACGAAGAAGATTCTGCCGCAGCCGCGGACACAGCAAATGGGCTGGCAGATGATATGGATTTGCAGTCATTAATTAACCGCTTCACAGCCGAGACTGACGATGCGTCGGATTCGAATGCGTTCGGAGCTCATGTTCTTGCAGAGATCCGGGATGAGGCAGAGAATGAATGCCCAGTTTGCTCAGAAGAGCCAATGATTGAGCAAACTGTTACGGGATGCTGGCATTCTGCATGCAAAAAGTGTCTCTTGGATTATATCAAGCATCAAACAGATAAGGGCGAGCTACCTCGTTGCTTCAATTGTCGTGAAGTTATCAACTCCCGGGACTTATTTGAGGTTGTAAGGGACGAAGGCCACCCAGAGACAAAGATCAGCCTGCAAAGGCTGGGATCCAACTCCTCTGCTAAGATAAGAAGTCTGATGACACACCTCAAAGCCTTGAGGAACGAACTTCCTGGAACGAAATCTGTTGTCTTTAGTCAGTTCACATCATTCCTCTCATTAATTGAGCCAGCGCTCAACCGCGCCGCAATACCTTTTCTTCGACTCGATGGATCGATGGCCCAGAAAGCGCGTGCCGCTGTCCTCACCGAATTTGCTTCAAGCAACAAGGGCGTCGTTCTTCTCCTCAGCTTGAGAGCAGGTGGTGTAGGGCTGAACCTGACGATGGCCAAGAGAGTTTTCATGATGGATCCCTGGTGGAGTTTTGCTGTTGAAGCTCAGGCTATTGATCGAATTCATCGCATGGGTCAGACCGATGAAGTTAAAGTCTATCGGTTTATTGTCAAAAATAGCGTCGAGGAGAGGATGCTGAAGATCCAAGACCGGAAGAAGTTCATGTGAGTATGCCCAGGTTCAAATCCACTTACGAGAATGGGGAATCCACGTACTAATGCGACTCTACAGAGCAAGCTCTTTGGGAATGATGAGTGATGAGGAGAAGAAATTACAGCGTGTTGAGGACATTAAGGAACTGCTCAGCTGAACTGACAACATTGGGATTTAGCATTACATGTAACATATATCGGTACAGTTTTTGGGCAGTGCACATACCGAAGTCGTCGAAGAACTCTACGCAATTTTCAGCCATTGCAGTTTTAGGAATGGTAGATACCCTTGCAGGCTCATATACGATGAATAATATATTGGTTCTTCAACCGTCCTAGGTGACGCCGGCTGCTATTATTAGTAGAAGTAGTAGGTAGCTAGAGTTCTCGTAGCTGTGGTATCTCCACCTATTTAACGAAGAGGGAATTAGCCCCGCGATTAAGAGCAAGGCTTTCAAAAATATTGTGAGTGGTGTAGAGCACTTTGGTAGGAGTTGCCAACTGGATTTGTCCAGCAATTTACGAATTACCAATGTTGTGGTCGTAGCTGTGTTTGGTTGGACTATTTAAAGTTAGAAGTGGCCTTGTTGAGCATTGACATGTCTGTATTAACGGCAATGAGTATTGCTCTGCCAATCCGTGCCAAAGAGATAAATGGTCCATCTCTCCTTGGTGTACCGCATGTTTGAGCCCTCCTGCTCTCGACTCTTGTTAAAGGCAAAGTTGACTCAAAAATAAAGGCATACATCGTTGAAAAGAACGATCGAGGGCTTGACTAGAATGCAAGAATAAGTAAACTTGCTACCCTATTAATAAGTAGGACCAAGCTCCATTAATCCTCACCTCCCTTATCTAACGCACGAAATAGGGGGGAGGGCCTTGGCGTCCCCTCTCGTGATGTGCCTTTAATGGTAAGACCTGGCGTAAAGGGATTGGTTTTTTAACGGCAGGATAAGCCCTGGCTAAATACAATCCAAGTGCCTCCACCCAAACGCTAATACATATTTAAAATTCAAATAGCCTATGTGAATTGAGATTTAATGTTACCACGCTGTTGTCTCGTCACAGGCTCTCGCTAAAATCAAAAGCGGGGTTCAAAACAAACCGGAAGGAGGAAAAGGGAAGCTCAAAATCGTACATGGCAAAATCGTTGTACCTACAAATCATCTAATCTCTATTGGCCTTGGACTAGTGTTTGAGTAAGTCAATTTCTCTCCGAAATGGGTTATTGAATGGCGCCTATGGGGAGGTACTTATGGTGTTCAGCCATCTTCTTGAGGCACCAGGTCGAGACGGCGGAAAATGGCATTAAGAAGTGCTGGTATCTTCAAGATGCCCTCAAGTTATATACAATATGCTCTCACGCAAGTAGCTATGCCGGACAGTTACTCACCCTTCCCCTTCCCCGTCAAAAGTACCAACTTCACATCCACCCCAACCACCCCACTCTTCTTTGCCTTTTCGAAATCCCGCCTTAATACTTTCACCGCGGGCATCTCAAAATACATCCCCAGCATCCCCCCATCCCCATTCCCGTCCTTAACCTCCACCAAGTTCTCTTCTCCAACTCCTCATTCTCCTTCAGAACGACAACCAACTCCCGTAGAGCCGGACATGTAGCCTGCAACCCCACATTCCCCCGGCGCAACAAGAAACATCTGGCATCTACGAGATGCATTCCCAACCTCTCGACCTTCATCAACGACTTTGGAGCGATGGCGAGAAAGCGTTTGTAAGGGGCGCCGAGGCCCAGGACGGCAATGGTGAACGAGAGAGAATGGAGGTAAAGGATATCGAGCTGTGGGTGGAAGATGATGGCCGAATCGTATGAGTAACCGGTTAAGCGCCGAGATTCCACGCACGCGCGTAGGACCGCTGGAACCGGTGATGATTGGGCGGTGGCCAGCCGCGGGATAAGAGCCAAGTTCCAGATCATGAGACGAATTTCGGCGGGTAGTTTCCGGAACCCATGGAAAGTTGCTGATGCTGCAATTCGAGTCTGGGATCTTGTGATTGCCATGATGCCGTTAGTATATCGAATTCAAGAATTTGGAACGGTCGAAAAGGGGTTCTTCTGTGGATGCAGGGAGGGATTCTTGAACTTCGAGCTGCTAAAGAGAAAAGAGAGGCAAAGGAAAGAAGAGCAGATATACTACAGGCTTAAATAATTTATCTCCTCGATAGAATCTCGCTTCCCAAAATCGCGACAATACCGACCTACCTATTGTTATGCTGCTATTGTCTTGTCCATAGGCGAAGCGAGCAATTCGCTCACCCCCCTTAGCGAGTATTGTCGGTGGAGCATTCATCCTGACAATACTAAGCTTAGATAACAATGAGTTTAGCCAATAAGAAGTAAACGACAATATCCATAGGGCTGATGCAGATACTTTCCGAAGGGCTGGTATTACAGCTTCTTGGCGTTATCAATATCAAACCACGTGATGCCACAAAGTCGGCTTTGTTTCGAGCAACGTCCCTTCTATGGCTCTATATTCCTAATAGTGAATAGGGAATTTTTGTATAACATTGGTTAAAAACAAGAAATCCTGACGAGAGAACTTCGGCACTTATCTTTTACCAACTCTGCACATTCACACTTGAGGCACAAGCGGCTTCATTAAATAATTATATTAATTTTTTAGCTTCTCATATTGAGTGTGCTTGCTTCTAATGTGAAGCTAGGTCATGATATTATGAATGCAAAGTATCCCGCTTCCATCGCAAACCAGTTACCCGTACGCCTTGCTTTGAAACATTCAGATGTGCGATGCCTAATTTTAAACCCTCATTTGCTACTATTGCGCCCATAAAATCCATCGCTTATATATTCCGATTGCTTTCTGTTGATCAGGGGTATATCCGCCGCTTGAACTAACTCATATCATGTTGAAGACTCGCAAGCTAAAACAAATTTCGAAACCAAAAAAAAAAAAGTATACGCTCTAAGGCGCCATGGCCGCAGATGACCGCAATTAGATTTCTTTAGGATGTTCTAGAAGAACCCTCCCCATGGTCACGGATGGTATTCGCGACTGGATCTTCAATACCATCATCAAGCGGACTCAGATCATAATAATCTGGAATCGGCTCCCCGTCGTAAATATCTGCGTTTCCATATGCCGGAGGACTTGCCGGAACGTTCTCGTAGAGTGGAGGCTGCTCCTCGTCCCAAGAGATGCCTAGGCCCGCGCGTTCAGTGAGCGTAATGTTGAAATGCATCCTGAGAACCCTCGCAGCCCCGGTTGGTGTGACCTGAGTTGGCTTCTTGATGGGCGCGAATTCTTCCGCAACGATCATCTCCACAACCAACGTATGGGAGACTTCTGTCCCGTCCTGGGCCTTCATATCGCATACCGGATGCGATCCCGCGCGAACGCTAAAGGGGAATTCCAACTCGATACGACCATCAGGCGTAGAGTAGTCTGCCTTCCAGCCAGATTTGATTTCTTCCGTGCCGATTGTCCGTGTGTCCTGATGTTCAATGCCCTTCTTCCCATCCTCGACGTTGCCAAGCTTCGCGGCATGCTTTGGGCACGCTGGCGAGATGTTCTTCTGCGTTTCGTCCAGACGCCAGGTCAGGCGCTTTAACTTCCAGTGCGTCTGCGTCTTCGTGTCGGAATTCCGCTTCACAACCCCATCCATGCGCATTGAAACGGTTGTTTCACCGATCGGGTGGATGACTGGTGGAAGCTCGCAATTCGCAGTGAGATTTGTGGGAGGGAAAATGCGGATTGAGTGTCGAGGGAATTCGGAAGGGTAAATGGCGCGCTTGATATCAAGGGGTTGGGAGAGCTTGAGGACTTCTCCGTGCTTTGGAGACATTGTGGCTTTGAGGGCGTAGCTGATGGTAGAAAGCGACCCCTTCATGGAAGCAGGCAGATGGCCTGGAAGGAGGAAGCTGAATGGGAAATTATGCTCCCCTGCGAATTGTTAGCATGGCCGGATTTGAGAGGAGGTACTCGGCGATCTCACCTTTCTTTAACGTTGCTGGACCTTGCAGGAAAGTCCAGGAGTTCAGGTCGGTGGTCTGATGCATACACTCTTGACAGTGAGCGTGAAACGGCTTTTTATTTGTCACTTCGAGAGCCAACCTCATGACGAACGAGTCAATTACCATCGAGTCGTCATTGATGTTGAGTTTTAGCTGGCCCGACAGCAATGCGCCGGTGCTCGAAGATGCAGGACCGTAGACAACCAACGGCGGCGACTCAATCACCACATTCAGCACGGCTGGCGGGGGGTGCGTAATTGACTTGGAGGAGCTCTTGGGAGAGTAGCCATGGAGCTGGATGTTGGGGAAGGAAAGCCGCTTGTGGGACTGCGAATCGGGCATCTTCCAGCTTCTCTCTGAGCGCAACGAGGAATTGGAAGAAGAAGGCGTGCGACTAGTAGACGCGCGCTTTGATTTTGAATTTTGTCGTCGTGAAGGCTTCTTTGGCGCTGGAAGGTCGACAGAATGGGTGACAGGACTCGGGCTCGATTGCGACCTAAAGAAGGTGAAAGGGATGACTTTGTGGGGCATATTGGTGATGGTGGTGGTGGACGATGGTGGCGGGAATTGGTGTGTGGAGGGGTGACTTCCAGGTTGCCAGGTTGACTTGGCGCCCTCTTCAAGGCAGCGTAGAGAAGGAGAAGCGCGCAGAGAACGAGGTACTTGTATTCGCACAAACGCGGCACAGTAAAGAGAGGTGGGTGTGCTTAACTTCCTTCTCGTGATTTGTTTTTGGGGAAGAATTCCCACCAGAGCTATGGTAGTTGAAACTCCGCGGCCTTCCTATACTAAGTGCTCCAGAGGCTTCCCTCAATGACTTGATTTGAATTGACTTGGTTGGACTCAATGAATGTTGCTCTGCGCTCCTGCGTCCTCGGAAAGCGTCTTCTTCTTTGTTCCTGGCTTTGGTTTGTTGCTTGGGTTGTGAAATGCATTTGGCTTTCTCTGTCGCCCACGCCATGCCTCCGATTGCGGGGAATGGCTCTTTTATACCGGGCGTGTTTTGGCGGACAAAAACATGCGTCAGCCATAATGGAAAGGCAAAAGCAAGAGTCAAGTACTAGTAAAAGCCAGCAAGGCTGGCCTGGCCCAAGGTACCGGCGCCATGGGGCTAATCAGAGGAAACAACTCAGGGCGGAAGTCATCTGCACACAGTTCTGCGCTCGGGGAAGTGAAAATCAGGACCCATCCTTGTTCTTGTTACGTTTAGGCGTCTGGGGCCATGAGGACGGGAGTCTTGCCCGGAGCACGTCGATGGGGGAACCCTATCCAGCCCTCCGCTCACTGCAAATACTGCACTTCGTAACTGCACCTGGCCCCCTGGACTCCTTCGAGAACACCTCCGGACGGGGCGAAACTCTAGGCAGTACCAATACCAATACCAATAGTGCCCGTACGGAGTGCATCCAGGTGCCCCATTATTCCCATACTCCGTATTCAAAGGCTCGATGGAGGACGACCAAGTTAGAGGCAACCCTTCAATGTCCCGCAAATGCTATCCGCACACCGCAAGGAGGCGAAGAGGCGAAGGGGGCGATCAGGCCAAGGGGCCAAGGGGCCCAAGAGACGACCCAGGTCACGATCCAGACCAAACTCCCACCAGAACTCAATTCAACCCGCCAGCTCTCAGCCATTAGAGCTCCTTTGCCGAGTCCTTGGTGCAGCGCCCCAAAACCTACACCGCGGTCTGCAGATCGGCTCCAGCTCGAGATGTCTTCGGGGTCCAATATATGGCCCTCAGCCAGGCTCAGGATGCTGGCGATGCGGGGCAAAGGTGACATAAGTTGCAGAAGCACCAAACCAACCGTCAGCTGCCCTCCTGCCTCTTCTCCCTACCGAATCGGAGACTGCCGAGTAGCGGTGCTGAGAGTCTGAACTTTGAACCTTTGAAGAGATCCCTTGGCATGCAAGTCTAATTGAAGGTTCATTGTGCTCTCGAACTCTTCGACGGCCTTACCACTCTCCCAAAGCCAGCCTCTTCGGATGCGGGGTGGCATACCTACACTATTATACTCTAATACAAGAATACAACAAAACAAACTACTAGCAACAGCAACGACAATAATTGCCAGCAAACACATCTTACTATTGATGGCGAATCTACAAGTCGGCTGCCGGATTGCCGACATCCCAGCGACTCCCCGCAAAACAAAACAATGGCGCAACGCCTTTTGGCAACAAATAATCGAACTCGGATGCCGTCAGCGGGCATCATGTGGCCCCCTTTGTTCACGCCGCATCCCAGCCTCAGTAGTCGAGGCTCCAGGAGGAGCAGCACGAGCAGGACTACAGGCGCCATGGCAGCTGGCATCTGCCCATAACGAACAGCTCATGATCGCCAACCACGCTCGCCGTCACATCCACCGCCCACAACCCCACAACCCCACGATTCGCCCGGGCGCATTGCGTTATTTTGTTTCTTCGCCTGAAACTCGGGCGGCACGACGTCGATGAAGTCACAGAACCCGACGATGGCACTGCGGGAATTCTTATGTTGCTTTCGGACAATCTTCGGAATGTGCTACTCGTACCACGTTCTCTACGAAGGTACAGTACAGTACCTATTCAGCATTATTGAGTCTTGGTTCCTGGGATACATTGCATCACCCAAACAGCCAAACCGCCAACCTCATGCCTCAAGCCTCAATGTCGATATTACATAATTTGGAGCGCGCGCTCTGCTGGTTTTATGACTCCTCGGAATCCGGAGTGCGGAGTGCGGCGCATTGTACACGGTGGATGCAATAATACCGTCGTTTCTTCACCCAGCACGGAGTTGGATTTCCAATATTCCTCGGTCTCAGGTTTATTTATTACTCAGAACATATCCACCCCGAATCTGGACCTCCGTCAGGATCTGGATGGCCAAAGCACCGCAGTCTGAGCCAACCCTGATGTTGGGCCCTTGTACGTCACCAGCTCTGACAGGTTCTTCACAGTGTATTTTCCGATTGGCTTTGGCCGAAAAGTTTCTCCCCTGTGCGTTGGGCGGAGCATTGAACACGCCATTAGGTGAACCGTGAGTCGGAAGAGGTGTGTAATTAGATATCCACCCTTCTGCCTGCCTCCGATCTTGGGGGTTGAAATTCTTCTGTGGCGCCAGTGGCTAGTACAGAGTTTTCAACTACGCCATACCCGCAAGAGCGGGTGTCGTCGGTTGATTTTAAACTTTTTGCGTTTGCTACCACTGCTAGGCAGCTATGTCTCCGTATTAACAGGGCCGGCAACCCACTTGGAGAGGGCCGAAGATATTATCCGCCGAGCCTACGAGGTGCGTATCGGGCAGCTCCGATGATGATCAGGGACACTTGCAACGTTCCAGTCTCAATCCAATAGTCCGATATTGTAGCTTTTAATAACCAAGATCTTGATTTCTTATAAACCCCCCCTGCTGTCGTTTTGAGATTTTTGCTTTCTAGGCTTAAAAGCTGTACCCAAGGAACAAAAGGAGATTTCGAAAAAATGGTGGGTCTGATATGTTTCAAGAGCATTTGACAATTATGCCGCTCCTCGAAGAAAGCGAGTCATGGTTAAAGCAGCAATTAGTGCTGTGCATATCAGGCCTCATTATATCCTCGTGTGAATCACCTATAGGCCTGCCAAGCGTTGATGATGCCATGCGTGTCTTGTCATTCGCAAAAATATTTTTGCCATGGGTTCCAGCAAGTGGTTGGTCAATGACTCGTAGTTTATCTTCTCATGATCGCATCTGTTACTGCCAATAAGATTTCGATCTTGCGGGATCTTAGGCTCTCAGTATCTAATCTTCTGCAACAAAATCTGATCACCTCGATATTCTCAAATCACGCTTTCAACTTCCATTGTTAATTCTCGTGCTCGCGAAGTATCTCCAAGCCGAGCTGAAAATTAAAGGCCATGCCAAAAACCATTCCGCATCAGTCATATCTCAAGTACCATTACGTGCGCAATTTAGGTTTCATATAGCAGTTTCAAACATCCTTACGCAGTCTTTGCAGATAGGCAGCTTATACATGCTCATTGATTATGAATATGTATGGTGGTGCATAGTTCCATGCTTGCTATAAGTTCTGATTTCCATCTGCCACGCAAGCTTCCAAACTGGGGTTAGAGATACCCTTCTATTACGTACGACAATACCATTACAATCGCTCGTAATAGGCCGATTCTCCTGTTAAAATTGCCCAACCTTGCTAAGTCAATTCACCAAATTTGGGTTGAAGAAGATATATACATAACTGCAAGTCTGCAATGCGGCATGATTCTGAAACCAAGGACTGCGTCTGTTTAAAGGGCGAATTTACTAGATAGGGAAATGTATTTGATTTCGTCCACACATTCCATACTGGTGATTGTATGGATAGCATAATATATGGATTAGCACACATTATGGCGCATTTGGAGGAGTCGCCTATGTAATATATGCCCGATATGTTAATCCCTAAAACTATATTTCTATTCTGCCACTGCTCTCAATTCCTTTTACGCATTTACTGAATCATTGGTCTTACTGTATATCCAATGTTCTGCGGTTAGAAGTTGCGATGTCTCAAAGAGAGGGGGGGGTTTCACGTGATCGGTTAATTGGCCCTGGTCTAAAATATTGGTGATCTTATTACAACTACATCTCGTTAGTCAAAGCAACATACACCAACGCCAAAGTGTAAAATTGTACAAATTCTCGTGGATTTCAAAGGCAGATGAGATATATCGCTCCACTTATGCGGCTTTAATATTCTCAGTTTTAATCATATCTATATCCTTGACCCCCTAATTCTTCACTCGATTTTATAATTTCGCAGACGCAGACAAGGACTAAAATTCAAAACGCCATCTCGCCGCTTCATGGCCTACGATAGTAACCCAGTACTAGCCTTTTAAAAACCTCACCTGCTTCATTGATACTACCGTGGCGATGCGATCTACTGGTAGTGCTGGAACTATGCTCTCGTCGTCAATTACGAGGGCGAGTTCTAGGCCCCAACCATAGAGACAACAATATTGCCGATTCCGAAGACGCAATTATCTGCTCCCTTCAAAACTAATAATCTTGAAACATAGTAGCAAACCATTACGTTGACAATGGTGTAATCTCCCGCAATAAGTACCTAGGATTTGATAGTTGTTTGAAAAGGACGGAAGCCGTCCTTCAGCTCGCTATGGTTGCAGATTGTTGAAAAGATTCCCGAACTTGGAGACAATTTCGTTTGCTACTTGGGGCGGCAACCGCAGGGACTCTGCTGCTGGGCCACTGGCCGAGATTGGGACAAATTACAGCTGGACCGTTTGGGTTTGAGGCCGATGGCGATGAGTATTGTTGAGGAATATAAGCCCAATAAGGGACAGTTCGATATCGATGCTAGATATAGGTTAGTTTGTATGCCTGATGTTTGTTGCCAGTATCGGGACGGCCACTGGGAATATGTGTTGAAAAACAGTTGTGGATATACTGTCCTAACAATCTAAATCAAGCCATACTGAAAACATCCCTAATAATACCCCTTATTTATTAGCATAATTTTCTAATAAAATATTTTAGGAGAACAAGTCTACCTCTAGCTATGGGGCCTAACAAACACAATTATCGACTGTGCTTCTCCCCAGGAACCAACTGTTTCCATATCATAAGCCTACTATTAAGCAGGAGACAATTCAGTCGATGCTAAGAATTTGCTTATATGCACTCGTTGGCTTTGTCCCCGACCAAATATAAGCCGAACTCACTTATAGCTGCACTGTGACTACGCAGCAGAAGTATCAAAGCATATCCAAATAGCTAGTGCCTTCTCCCGTTCAGGTTACAGATGCCCTGAAGTCATCTAGCGCAATGCATTAGCTTTGATCTGTGCTCTCCAAATTATGGTATTGCCTACCTCGCTAGTTGTCAGGTTTGCGGCCGCGTCAGTTTCGTCGGCGGTGTAAGAAGGAGGCAACCATGAATGCAGTCTCAATTGCTTAGAGGCGGTTCTGAAGGAGACAGCAAGGCTTGACACTCCAAGATCTTGCGTAATATTATCCCCTGCTGTGAGGGTTCATTGTTTCCAGCATTTTTTAAGGTGTTCTAGTTTTTGACGGTAACAGCTCTTGTCTCTTTTCTGCCATCTGCCATACTATCATTTATATAATGGAACAACTCCTTTCCGGTCCCCGAATATCTAAGCGAATATCCACAACGCGAAGTCCACCGCGGGCCATTATTATAACATGTCCTCACTTCCGATTTCCACTCTTCCCCTTCAATCATGCAACCCAGGAGACGTTCAGGTGCACAGCGTTTCTCATCATCAAGGTATATCTGTATTCCCTCTTTGTACTTTCAGAAGCTAATCGAGCTCTTAACTAAGTCTCCGCTTGGCCTTTCAGGGGCTCTTGGAGTCCGACCCCACGATCGTGAACTCTTGCGACCGGCGACGCGTCGTCCTTCATTCGCAACTCAACTCGGCCATAGGAGCATCTTTGCTTTGGGTCTCAAGGTATTTGTGCTTTCTGTTCTGTGAACCCAGAGGCTAAGTCGATCTTTCTAGTCTCATTGTGGATTAGGGTTTGTCGTAGCTTCCAGGCTGCTTTTGCCAATAGGGGAGTTTCTGAGGTGCTGGCTTTGATTCCCTGAAGGTATTTTGTTCTTGTTCTGTGCGCTTTCAGACGCTGACCCCATCTATTAGTACAAACATCCGGGCTTGGAGAAGACTATTCTATACAGGGCACAATACGACTCAAAACTCCGAAACCTTGTGTGCACGAACAATCACCTACCAAAGATCCGACTTCCATTATAAACAACCCTCTCTAATCACCAACCCCCTAGTATAGATCGGTTGGTAGCTGATATCGCGGAATCATCAACTTGGTTCTCTATCCAATTTTGTGTCAACCGGGCTTCACTCAACATGAACGGATCATCGATTCAGATCCCTTCCGCCGCCGGCCCCCAGTTCACCATGTTCCCCAAGCTCCCCCTGGAAGTACGAGTCCTGATCTGGAGACATGCGATGGAAAATATTGGGTCTCGACTAGTGAACTCCACCTTAAAAGAACCAAGCAATACTGTCCCAGGGGTTCTGCAGGCATGCAAGCTCAGCCGTAAAGAGGGTCTGAAAAAGTACCACCGCTGTGGAGTTTGTCTTGGCTGGTCAGGCGAAACATATGCTTACTTCATCAGCTATGATACCGACATGTTGGTTCTCGACGTCCCATCTGGAGTTGAACCGTACATGCTCGAAATGATTGACGACATGAAGTGTGGTGACGTTCCTATTACCTTGACCCATATGAATCAATGGAAATTCCTAAAGGTAGAGAAACTTCAGCGCCTGGTGGTGGGCTGGGACTACTGGAGATGGCTCTGTAAGAGCGCGGCCCGTGAGGGGAAATTTAGGGATGTGGTTGCTGAGGTATTTCCAAACCTGCAGGAACTGCTATTTGACCTCCTCCCTGCCGAAACCCCTAAAATCTTCAATTGACACAGGGCCACTGTGCGTAGCGTCTCTGACGATCGATGGAACTTGATCCCCGCCATGATGAAGGTATAGGAGCTTTCGTCTTGCATTGCTGTTGTTCCTAGAGTGGTGGATGGTGTGCAGGAAATTTTTAAATTTTCGCTAAACCTTTTCCTTTAGGACCATGGCTCTAGTGAGATTAATTCAGATGATGTGTTTGGTTCGGGTACTGTAGTAGAGATAAAAATAGCAACTGGGAAGGAAGCTATTAGAGTTCTCTAAGCTGCAAGGCCCACGGGCTATCCAAATACTCAGACACTCAGCCGCCCTCTACACGAGAACGATTTGTTTTCTTTCACTTTGTATCACTGAGTTGCACTGGCCTATAATAGAGAGTCTAGTGCTCGTGGACTCTATCTACATTAGTTAAGAAAACCCTAGGCCGATAGATAAATGACCTCTTGCCTTAAACGAACCTTACAACGAAGTGATCGTAGTTCTCCTTTCTGTCTTTTTCTTTTGTCTATATATATGCTGCAATGTTACTGTATAGATCTCTAGTTATATTGTTAATGTTATGTTGTCTTCTTTGCATCCGTGTGTTTTTTTTATAAGCTTCGGTGTTTATTTGCTTTGAAGTGGTTGTTATATATTGTCATGGACTGTCAAATTCACCACGTTGTTAGTCTGCTACTTCATTGATACTAGTAGTATCTGTTGTAGCTAAGACTTTACTAAGAAATTAGTGAAACTCGTATAGTTGGACGCTTTACTTACTTCAATCCCTTTTGCTTAAAGCCCTTTAGATTAATTGGGTCCTACAACGCTACGTTTAGTCCTTGCAGGTGAACTAAAGAGCGACATATCTATAAGATATATGATACGTTGTCGTCATAGTATAAGCCAAGAGTTCTTATCTAGGTTTAACTTTCAAATCTGCCCCTTTTCTGCGTATTCGCCTAGTCGCTCAACCGCCCAACCGGTCAATCGGCCAACTACATAACCGCCCAACCGCCCAGCTATTCATTATATAAATCACAAGTCGCCAACCATCTCTTATATAAATCACAAGTCATTCAGCTTCCCATTCAGTTTTCTACATCCTCCAAGTCACAGCTTGTGGCAAGGTGGTCTCCTGGCTTTCCTTCTTCCCAACACCCAACACCCACCACACAGGACATATATACCTTACGCTCTAGCAGGCAACATCACATATCACTTTGCATCACTCTTCAACTCAGTGGCAAGCTTTAGTTTGTTACTTACCTATACAAGGGTAAACATCAAATAATGGACACCGGAATATCCTATTCGGAGGTGTTGAATGCCGAGAAGGCGCAAGCAAGTGTTGACACAAGTTCAAGGTAAGTAAGAAAGTTTAGTATCTCTTCCTTAGAGGCTAGAGCTCAAGACCGATCTAACTCATTGAAACTGGGTAGAAGCTCGATCGAAGTGTTGGCCCTAAAGACAAAGAACGCGGCAATTATGAACGAATGGTGGTCTTCATTTCCCGTGGAAGATTTGTTCGAGGGTGCACCTCGCACTTTTCACCTATTTTCAAAGCTTCTGGTGGAACTTCGTGTCAAAATCTTGAACATGGCCTTGGACGACATCCCTAGACGCATTATACCCGTTCAGCCGATTCGGAACTATGAGAAACCGTCTCCGCCACTCTTTCGGGCCTCATACCTGACCAGACTGGTTGCAAAATCTCGTTATGATATCCACAATGGCGAACAGGGAGGCAAAGCATTCAAGATCTATATCGACTTCGCCAAGGACTCTCTTCATATTAATTCAAACTTCCGCGTCGGCGGCAAACGCACCCCATCAGACCTTCATTCGACGGTATGGTTCGACTGCCAGTTGCTCATACGTGTACAGCGCCTGATAATGAGCCTCCTGGAAATGATGAAGCTAATCTCTAGCTACCGGTTAAACAAAGCCGGCAGCGTGGGCATATACGATCTCTGGCATATGTTGGAAACGGAGTGTCCTAAGTTGACCAACTTATGGGCTGTCCTCAATGGACCGCAGCCGAACTGCAAGAACCTAAAATTGAAGCAGTTCAACCGGAGGGAGAAAAAGTACTGGAATTCTCCTTCTTCGCCTGCTTTGCATATCATGGACGACTGGGAGGAACTTCGGTGGTCATTTCTGATAGCTCAGGACGAGGGGATGTGTAAGGGGCTTTCACTAGCACTTACGATCGATAAAGAGTCGTGGTCCAGGGTTTACGGTTCGGTACCTCATGTCTCCTGAATTTCAATAACGCAGAGTGAAGCTGCCTGATCTGAGATGAGACATAGCTTAGCAAGGTTTTATCGACTATTGATAGTCTAATTCTTTCAAATTTAATTTTATTCACTGACCACCGTTGATTCTTCGCTTTGCTCTCCAGACTGTAAATTACCCCATATTATAAACCTGACGGTCGTTATTGTATTCTAATTACCGCTGAAAAAGGAGCAGCCTTAGAAAAACACATCCTTTTATTACGAGCGTAAATCTCAAAATACAACAAACTAAGGGAATGCTAGGAAGCTAAATTTGATTTGATAACACTCCCCAAATAGAAAATCCGTGTCGTGGTTTATTTCCGCAAATCATTTTGATACCTATGTAAGTAGGATTCTAGTTCATGGCTCCTACTTAATAGACCTATTCATTTCTGGAAGCCCAAGATATCTCATATCGTCAAATGCAACACCCTCACAGCATTCTCACCCAAAGCTCCGCTAGCTTTGTCATTGTGACTTCCTAATGCCCCTTGGATAGCTTCATAATTCGTCTCCACACTAGCCCATTTTTCAGTTTCCCCCTCCAGCGGTGGGAAAAATGGATGATCCGTACCAAACATAATTCTATCTTCCCCACTAGCTTGAATGGCAGCTTTCAACCCAATCTCACTATATACCACCGCATCTAGATAGATATTGTTTTTTAGTATCTCCCATATAGTTTTCCGATCTTTCGTCAGCTTCCCCTCGGTCATGAGATGCGCATCGTGCACTATACAGCTCTCGATCCTCCCCGCTAAGAATGGAAGCGTACCACCGGAGTGTGCGAGTATCATTTGCAAGCCCGAGACTTTCTCGAATACGCCTGATAAAATCATTCTCGTCACGGCAATCGTTGTTTCTAGTGGGAATCCCAAGGCGAGTGGCAACACATGGCCATAATCATTTGCCCGCTCTCCCCATACAGAACTAGGTAATCCGTAGTGCGGGTGTAGGAATACTGGCAGTTTTTCATCTTGCAATGCCTGGAATATCGGCAATAACTCTGGGTCATCGAGGCCCTTTCCCAATCCCGTAGTTCCCAATATAATACCCCTAATGTATATCAACCCCTTCAACCTCTCAATCTCCTTGAGAATGACGTTTTTACCCCCACTCAACGGCAACGTGGCAAACGCAAACAATCGCCCTGGAAATTTCCCGCATTCTTCGTTGATTTCATTGTTGATATTTTCTGCGACTTTCGCAGCTTCTCCAGCTGGAACCCAGTCGAGCCAGGGATTTGCGAGCGATATAACAGAGATGTCAATTGAATGCGTATCCATAAACGCTATCTTCCTGGTAATGTCGTAGTACTCTGGCCCGACTGGTCGGCCTCTGGAAGTGCTCTCCGTGTCCTCGGCGGGAAGGATGACGAGACGGAGTGAAGATGAGGGGGGGAAAGAACGTATATACGGAATGCTAGATCGAGATTTGAGGAGGGCAATGTATGAAGGTGGGTAGACGTGCGTATGTATGTCTACGACAAGACTAGTGGGCCTAGTTTCGGTCATTACGGCGGTTGATATTACGAGGTGTTGGCTTGTGAGTGGCAAGGACAAGCTGAAGCTTGGAAGTTGGGAGAAGTGGTAACGGTATCTGCATAGCCGAGGAGGAGCAACTGTGCTTCACATTCATACCCCGTTTAGGGCCCTAGTCTTGTGATACGTCCCGCTCCCAATAGATCGTGGTTGCAGGCAATTTGATATTTGATTATTGGTTCGGTGTTACCCAGTTACCAACCCCCTAAATCCTTATCGCTGCCCCGCTTCTTATCTCTATCCTCCCCACTACAATGATATGCTCAAGGGTGCCAAATCCTTCACACCGCTTCATCGCCAGGTTGTCCTCGTAGATAGATCATTCAACATAACTCAGTACCTACCTAGATACTGAGTAGGTAGGTACTGTTAACACCTAAAGCGTATTTATGGAAGTATCCCCGCGCGACTCACTCAACTTCAGAGCTTACCTAGTCATAAAACACAACGGACTTAACGTATAGCTCTCAAACGGGAAATGATATAAGCTATGATTACCTTGTGCATTGAGTATGAAATTTTAGTTCTTATCTTTTTTTGCCAGTTGTATGCCTATATGATGATATGCGGAAGGTGCAACGTCACTCTGGAATGTAGGTCATTCCTCGTTGTACTACATAGGTACCTACCTACCTAGGTAGTTACCTAGTTACCTTGATTGCTAGACGAGTTCTCCGCATCTGACAGATAAACATTTTAGAAGTTCGACAGACCACTCTAACACATCTAAAATCAATACCTCACATGTAGTTGCATGTTTATACCGTTACTGATATAATTCCCGTAGAATGGCATCAGAAACCAACGCCGTTAGCAACAGCAGTCTCGCCATTCCGGTACCTCACTCCGTTCAGCCTCTCACAGAATACCTATAGTGACAACCATACACTAATGCTTCTTCTTTAGCTCATAGATTTTTCTCATTTCCTCCACGGCACTCCTTCTCAGCGCCTCTCAACTGCACAATACATCCTACGCGGTTTCCAAACGGCTGGATTCATCTACCTAACCAACCACAGCATCCCCCTCCCAACGGTTTCAAAAGCTTTCACCACATCCTCACTCTTCTTCCAACGCCCACAAAAGGAAAAAGAAGCCTTGGGCTGGACAACTCCAGAGTCAAATCGAGGTTACGTCTCGCAGGGTCGGGAAAAAGTTTCGACCTTGCTCAACAAACAAGATGTCGCGGCGTCTCGCGCCCTCGCTCCGGATCTGAAAGAGAGTTTTGAGATTGGAAGGGAAGGTGCAGATGGCACGCCGAATAACTGGCCGGGTGGCGAAACTGATATGCCAGGGAGGGAGTTCAAAGAAGTGATGTTGAATTTCCATGATTTGTGTAAACAGCTCCATATCGAAGTCATGCGCGCCATAGCCGTGGGTATGGGTTTGTCCGAGTCCTATTTCGACAGCTATACAGACGTAGGCGACAATACGCTGCGTCTACTACATTACCCTGCCGTGAATAAGGAAGTGTTTCATGCAAATAAATTGCAAGTTAGGGCAGGTGAGCATACGGATTATGGGAGTATTACGTTGTTATTTCAGGATGACCAGGGTGGATTGCAGGTGAAGAGTCCAGATGGCACCTTTGTTGATGCTACGCCTATCCCGGGGACGGTAGTTGTTAATGCGGGAGATTTGTTGGCCAGATGGAGTAATGATACGATTAAGAGTACGCTGCATAGAGTTGTGGAACCACCTACTGCTGAAGACGGGGATATGCATTCTGCTAGGTATAGTGTGGCTTATTTCTGTAATCCGAACTTCACGAGTCGGATCGCGGCTATCGAGGGGACGTATGGAGGTGAGAAGGGGAGCAGGAAGTATGAGGACATTAACTCTGGGGATTATCTGGTACAGAGGCTATCGGCTACTTACTAAGTTTCTTTTAATGCTTGCTCTATTATCTTATTCGAGGTTGGCAAGTATTCTTTATAGGGTTTCCTCGTTATGCTTTTCTTAAGCTATTAGCAATATGAATACATCAGCAAATCCCACACAAACTCTCATAAATTCAACCGATTGTGGATTTCTTAGAAGAGATAATGAGCAATATCAAACGGCCATATCCCATCCGACCATAGTCCATACCCTTTCAATAAACCAAACCGGCCCGTAAGGTACTATATCGGTATTGGGGATAATGGGGATGTCAATATTTTCTATAGGCGAAGCAGGAAATTTGAGACTCTCGAACTCATCTCCGCCAATAGCGCTTTTAACTAACATATTCTGGATGCGATTCGTCTCTCTGAACAACAAACTTGAGGTGTTGTGTTGCCTCTGAGTGCGGGGCGAGTTTTCGGATGCAAGAACTTCAGCAACCAAGCCTTTCCTTGCTGAACCGCCAAGAGCGACGTAGAGAATCTGCACAATATACCGAGATTCCAAACTCGCCGTGTTGCTATCAGACCCAACCGACATCTCCGTAATGTTGCCTGGGTTTTTCGATGACCCTACATGCTCCTGGAAAATGGCTTCGGAGACTAGACGGCCAGTCTGTTTTAATACAGCGTATAGAATCCCTTCTAGAACAGGGCGATGTCCTGGCTTGCCGACCTCCCACTTGAGGTTCGATATAGTTGACGAGAGGGCTCCTGCCAAATACTTATTGACAGCATACTCTACGCCCTCCTCTAAGCAAGGCTCGCGTAGTGATATGTGACTTCCTCGTTTATTTTCATAGGCAGCTTGCATGTTAGAAAGTTGCTGTAGAAGGCCCAACGCCTTGTCGAAAAACACGGCGATTCGATATACGACATGGTTTCTCTTTTCTCGGCCCGCAATTGTTCGGCATAACACATTCAAGAAGTCGAAGGAGATTTGGACCGCTAGACTGACTTGCTGCATTAGTTGTTGAAGAATATGAAGAGTGTGGGCGTCCTTGGTGTTTGTCTTTAAATACTGTAAAGGTATGCAACATTCGGTGATAGCCGTGTCAACTAGTAGAAGAAATTCTCGGCTGTGTGCAATAGCAACCTGGAGATTACTGGGATCTAAATTTTGCGCGATCTTCTCTAGATTACTGCGCTCGCGGCTGATTCTGAGGGCTGCAAAGGGTTAGCTTATAGCCTTGTTAACACTAACTTTCCGTACCACGAATAGGGAGAACATAATAGTAAACTATTTCCCAACCCCATTAGCGTCCTCACACAAAGTGCTTACCGTAGCTGCTCATACGGAGAAGGTTGTTATCAGCCGGTGATGTCTCCATGGTATCTACATTCGATGGCGCCCTAGGTAGTATCTCCAAGTCGTGAGGCAACTGGCGTTTCTTCGATGCATCACTAGTTGAAGTACTGGATTGGGCCACTAATTGTCGTACAATGGAAGATCGTGCTTGTGAATCCAGGGAATTTTCTTGAATAGTAGTTTCCCTTCTCAGGCGTAGTTCTTCCTCCAATCGATGGACTTTATCCTCAAGATTCTTTTTCTCCAGATAAATTGTATTGTACTCGTCTTTCCAGAAATCGGAACTATCAACATAGCGATGTTCTTTGTTTGATATATTTCGACCAGTATTGATTCGTTTGCGTAGTCTCTGGCAGTATTCTGTAAACCATATAAGAGCCGCCACGCATGGAGATTGCTGGGGAAGCATACCAATGGTAGATACACCCTCAGGGCGCGATCTCTCGATAGCAAAGGCAAGAGCTACTTGACTTCGGCTGAAATGACACAAAATACTGGAAGTTGGGGCCTGTTCTGGGGTCAGGATAGTGACAGTTGTGATGTGGGAAGCCGCGCTAGTTGTCGACAACGAGGGACCCGTTGACGATGACTCGCCATGCGTTGCCATGATGTATAAGGTAGACAATTGAGCTGTACATTAGATAGATTGAGGGCGAAGTAAAGATACGAAGAAAGTGGCGATGTTAATAGCAAAATAAAATAAGAAGCGGCATAGGCGAAGTTCGCTCCTTCCTCAGATAAGGGTAGAGTGATGCAACTCCATCACCTCTAGACCAATATGCAGGCAGGTGCAACTCAGAAGTAGGCCGATGGGAAGTCACCAAGATGGTTCTTTCTATAATAGCTATGAGTAGCACGCCTAGTATTGCATGATATCCACTCCTAGGGAAGCTTGCCACCACAGCATTGTCCCTAGTTCTTCGACAATCTAATAATTCTTTCTGCTAGTGCTGTTTTAGGAGGACCGAAAATAAATAATTGAGTCACTAGAAGAGATACGACTTACTGCGACTTGTTAATCGCAAGTCTTGGATTATGAGAAACTAAGCTGGAAGGATCTGCCTATTGGCTGATGACGAGGGGCCCATCGTTCCATAGGATCAGGCCCTCAGTGAGGACGACATTCCTTTCGTGACCTTCCAGAGTGCAGGCGACGGTATTTTACTAAAAGGGACGGTACTTATTATGTAGTTGACGACGGGGCTTCCTACAGCTCCTAATAGGGCAACTAAAACATCAATACTTTCCAAGAGAGTGGTTAGTTACCTTAGGAATTCATATATTGGAAGCTCAGCTCTGGCAGTGAAGTAAAATACACCGTCGCCCAGGTCGAAGCAGGAGCTACCATGTGCCCTGGGTGCTGAAGACCGCGCTGAGTCAGCCGGACATGTCCGCAAAATATACTTTCCGAGGCGAATCCGGGAGACTTTAACTTCTCATCATCTGGAAGATCAACAAAAGTAAACAGTGCCACCAAGCAGACGCGAAGCTCCATGCTCCTCCGCAGATTTACTTATATCCATCATGGCTAACAACGATCTACTGAAATGGGTCACTAGCGATGTGGATTTCTACGAGCTGCTAGGAATTTCGTTTGAGCAATGCACAGAATCCGAGTTGCGGCGCGCATATCGAAAGACCGCACTCAAATACCATCCCGATAAAGTTGGCAAAGATTTCGATCCAGAAAAATACGAGTTATTCCAAGCAGCGAATGATGTTCTTGCCGATGTAGAGCTGAAGGCGAAATATGACAGCCATCGACATGCCAAAATACAACGACAGAGGGCGAATGAGCTGTTCGAGGGAAAGAGGCGGACGATGAAGGAAGAGCTGGAGGCCCGAGAACGAGGTGGCCTATCTACGGCTGGTACCAAGAGACCTAGGGAAGACGATGCGCAGAGCGAGATGCAGCAGGAACTCAGACGGCTGGCCGAAGAAGGCAGAAAACGAAGGGCGGCGAGGGTGTCGATGATGTCCGAGAATATCAGAGTCGATGTCGCTTCCTCTCCAGTGCCACCAACTTCGCAAAAAGAAAAGGCCCCAAAAGCAGAAGAGCAACCACAAGAAGAAGAGGATGAAGTAGAGAGATTGGAGCGCATGATACGAGAAGCAGAACAAGCCAAGGCCAAGCGGAAAGCAGAGAAGAAAGCTAGGAAAAGCAGTATCTTCGTGCCTGCTGACTCGCCGTTTGTAGGCTCAGCGGCAAAAAAGGAACCAAAATTGGCAGATGAGGCTACAGCTACACCTATCAAACGCCCCGATATATTCAAAGGATTGAAAGCTGACGAGAAATCTTCAGCATCTCCCAAGTTCTCCTTCTCACCTGGCACGCCTAAGAATGACTTTGCAGCGACTATGGTGAGGCTCAAAGCAGCGGAGAAGCAGAGATTAGAAGAGGAGATTCGCCAGAGCGAGGCCGAGACGGCGCAATAACGATTATGAGATATTTCGAGATCCGTCAGATACCCATTTGTCATTTTTAGCATAGCGGTAGGGTCAGGGGCATGGAGCTTGTTTGCAATAGCACAACCCAAGACAGCATAGATTAGATGCATCCAAAATGCAGTATGCCATATATTTTTCATGAATTATGTTTGTTTTACATGTGAGATGCCATAAATTACAGATGCTAGAGTGGATATATTGGTTTATATTGATACATAGCAAGGCGGATTTGATATTGCCAGCTCCCTGTATAATACAGCATCCATCTTATTTCCTGTTAAGATGCCAAGAAGGAACAAACGCCTTGATTTTGACGTTCTGCGTATCTCCACCCTCAGGAACCCATTCCAACTTAAACTCATTACCCTCTTTATATCCACCAGCCTCTCCCTGGACGTGAACGTCCGTCATAGTCTCCAATCGACAGAGGCCCAACCCAATATTCCCCACACCAGTCAACCACTTCCCCGCACTCCTACCCCTCTGATTAAACCTGGCAATATTGGTTTCCCTTGCAATTCCTTCCACGCCCAAATCAACGTCGGGATCATACACCAGTGCCTTGGGCATCTCCTGGTCCATCCCGTACAGCATAACGGGCAGGATCCTCTTCCTGACGACCCCGGTATGATGCGTTCTGATTGTCAACTCTTGCCCCACGTAGCAGCCCTTCCTGTAATCGATACCGCCCATATAGTCAATATTGCTCTCCTGTGGCAACGCTGATTCGCGGATCAGCTCGTCCTGGCCCTCGGCAACACCCATCAAGTACCTCCTCACCCGATAAACACTTTCATCACACTGTTGCACATCAACCTCCGGGGCTTTGCCAGCAGGTAAGATAAGCCTTGTCCCCATGTCTGGAGCCCTCGTATCCACATATCCCACAAAACCTTCCTTCAAGTTATCCCCATCTAGCCCCATGCCGGCCCCCCATAAACTCCACACACTTTGCTCTCCTTCCGGAATTACCCTAACGTCAAACTTCGCCCTCAGCTTAAACCTCTTGATATGCTTCGCAAACCTCTCCACTTCCTTTGCATCGACTTCAATCAACCAACTATCCGCACCCTTTCCATCAGGATAGATAATCACATCATTCAGTATCCGGCTCTGCGCATTGAGGAATGCGGCGTAGAACCCCGACTTGTACGGCGTACCGGGAGATATATTCGCTGTTATAACTCCTTGGAGGAAATGTGTTGAGTCGGGGCCGGAGACGGATACGAGTCGCCTTGAGGGGAGGGATGCGTATCCAGCGGAGGGGGGAGATGGTGGGTTTCTGGTGGGTGCTGAGGTAGAGGCGAAGCGTGCTGATTTGGGAATGGAGGTACGGCGTCCACGGATGGAAAGGAATTGGCAGGATTGGCAGATGTAGGGTGATGAGACCACTATGCGTGGGAGGGTTATTCCTGAGGGCTTCATTTTTTTTGAGTTATTGTGAGCTTCGAAGTTTAACTCAATAATATGGAGGGCGGGTTTGGGGAGGTTTGTAATGTGCCTCAGATTACGTACCGAGCTCGGAATTGGCAGCTTGCAGGGATGACGTCTGTTAGTCTCTGGTCAGGGACATTAACCGACCTGGCCAGGGGAGTCTCTATTACAACCACAAGTTGTTAGTGGTCTACAAACAAACTCTCATCATTGGGAAGGCATAAGCGCGAGTACAGTGTCAAGGGATATCTTTGGATTATTGGTATTTCTTCGCTAGCCAGCCTTCCTAACCAGTCAGAGCAAAACGAGCTCTAGCGCTTACGGTGATAGTCATTTCTTAGAACCTTCCCACGATATCCATCGCGAACCACAATTCATGTCACATCGGATACTAGTCAAGCTAGCTGATACAAAGCTTCTCAACCCCCCAATTACCGTTGACTCCCGCTAGCAACAGCATCTAAATAGCTCAACAAAAAGCCTTTATCCGCTGGTGATATAGAGTCTTTACTCCCACGGCGCGAGATATCCCCATCACCAGATGCAAGACTGCCTACTCTAGATCTTGCTGCAGCTTTAGCAGGCAGTTCCATTGGATTCCCTAAAGACGAACCATCCTGTCGTTGGGGAGAATGTGCGGTCGGTTGGGGAGAATGTGCGGTCGGTTGGGGTTTACCGAATAAAGAAAGTAGTGTTTGTTTCTGATCTGTGGATTGGATTGGACGGCGGTCTGGAGATGTCTTCGGAAGCGAGGTAGGGCCAGAGGGAGAAATAACAGATGAGAATTGTGGCACTCCCGAGGGGCCAGGCAAAGGTCGTTTCAGAATTTGGGGCTTGAATGGCATTCCTTGAGACTGAGTTGCCTGCCCATTGGCATTCGTGCTCGTTGCGGGCCCATTCAACACGGACTGGCCTGTGAGCTCTGATGACGCTTTCGTTTGGACTTCCTCATTTTTCACTTGTTGAGGACGGGATAGAATTGACATGGGCCTGAATGCTCGGTTGGATTCTGGATTTGGCACAGTCATGTTTCTAATATTTGCCACGTGATCTGGAGTTCGTTTATCGTTAAGTAAAACAGAGGTCGTCGGGGCATTGGTAGAGAGAGGTTCTACGGCAGATAGCTCGACTGCGGAGGGCGTCCCAGTGGTAGGAAGTGCATTCGCAGCGAAGGATTTTGATAGTGATGCTGGCTGGGCTGTTGGACTCTTGAAAATTCCCAGGAGAGCCGACCTTTGTGAGTCACTAATAGATTGTCGTGGCGGGAGTGTGCCGGGCGACAATACCGTGGTGTTCGGTTGCATCCCAGTAGAGGGCCCAGCTGCCAAAGGACGGTGAGCTTCGCCCGCAGGGAGTTCTTGTAGGTGAGTCCGTGGAGCTGCTGGATCTTCTGCATATCCTCGTAAAGGGAGCTCTTTGGAAACAGAAGAACCACTACTAGCTTGATCTCTGCCTTTAAATGCATTAAGGAGTGCTAGGGAGTGACTCGTAAGTTCTGGAGCCGGAGGAGCCTGGGCTATTGTATTGGGCAGCTCCGGAGTCTGGGTAATCGAGGATGGAACCATTGGCGCATGGAGGCCAGGGAACTGAGGATTACTCACCGTCACTGAGACAGTAGAGGATGGATGGACATGTGGTTGATGTTGCTGAACAGGTTGTGGAATCGCCGGTGAATGTACAGGCCCACCTGTAAAAACGGCCCTTTGTACATGAGGTGGCAGAGGTTGAGGGTGCATAAGATGTGGCTGATAAGGACGCAGATTCTCTTGAGCCCTTGGAAGATTTTGTGAGTCTCCATTACGGGATGGCTGAAAGTCTGCAATATGGCCTGTATGGTGGCCATTCTGGGAACTCGGATCGCGGTAGGTGAAAGAATTTTGAACTGGGAACGCTGGCGGTGGTGGCATGCTCGGAATGTTTGGAGGACGCGTATGGGGGTGATGAGGCCTCCCAGGCATCGGTGGCTGCATGGTTGCATACTCTAAGGGCGTGTGTTGGGGTGCATTGATTGGGGTTGACTGGTCACTTGTTGTCGGCTTGCTATGCAGTAAAGCAAGCAACGCTTCTCCGGAATTCTTTGCTGCCGATGGCTGAGAAGTCGCTTCAGGTTGCAGTCCTTCAGTTGGAGGTTGAATCTTGAGAAGACGACTCAGCGCAGCGGTTGCTCCCTCCAATGTGTCGAGTTCTGGAGCAGGACGTTTTCCATAGGAAGATGGCTGAGCGATCGACTCTGCTCCCTGATCCTCCTCTGTCAAGATCTCATCATGGCTCATCCCAGCTGACAAGTATTGATTGCTCGTCGTTCGCTTCGCATCCTTCTTTTTTTGTTCGATAATCCATTTCCGGAGTGGCACTAGAAATGGGGCAACCATATAGAACTTGTTTGGATTGGAGTTTGAAGGGGCCTCCGGTTGTTGCTGGCCCTTCTTCCTGAATGCTGGCAGTTCTGACAATCGCCACCACTGTATCTTGCTGATCTCTTTCCGTGTCCTAGGCTGGAAATGGGTATCCATGGGCACATTCCTGAAAACGAACAACCGCATTTGTTGTTCACGCATGCTGACTTCAATAGATTTGACGTCTCGGTCCTCGGGCATCAAATTTGCGGCTTGCAGGTCGAAACCGGTTTCCTCGTACACTTCACGGATGGCACATGTTAAGTCATCCTCGTCTTTGGCGATTTTGCCTCGCGGGAAACTCCAGCTAGCGCCTTTCTTCCAGCCTTTCACCAAGACGACCGAATCCATATTGTCATTGAGCATAATCGCGCCTCTCACCGGAACCCGTGTTTTATACGCCAGGAAATCTTCGAAAGCTCGCATATGATGTCCTTGAGAGAAAGGTGATAGCAGAGGACAATGGGCGAATATCCGTAGACAGAAATTGCGGAGAGACATGGAAGGAAGTGATGGGTTGAGAGGCCGAATAAAGTCCTCGTAGAACCATTGTGCTTCTTCGACCTGGAAGCATATTCGAGGAATGTCCTTGAGATCATCCTCCGGGAGATTTATTATAAAACGGACACAAAGATCGTCCAGCCCTGAGCAGTAACCTATTAGCTCTGCATTGCACAGCGGGAGCTCTCCAGGTGCTCTGCTCAGTAGCAGTTGGAGTAGGCTCCGGGGAGACGCGCAACTCAAATCTTTCCCGCGGTCTTGCAGAACTTACATTCTTCTAGCGTCAGGTTTGTCTCTGTCATGTTGTTTGCCCTTTGCCAGCATATCCACGACTCAAATGTGTATGGCGGGGGAGCACGCGGAGTCACCCCAGTGATGCGAGATAGCTGACAGCGAGTGGCACTTGCTTGATCGCGGGATGACCCCGAAGCTAAGGTATGGCAAGCTCTTGCCAGGAGGTGTCTTGGGGAGGAAATGGGCTTGCCGGTAGGTGGCAAATGGATGCTGCGCGCGATGGCTAAGGGTGATGTTGTAGTAGCCAAGAGCTACGAGTTGATATGTGTTTGGTGTTTGTTGTTTGTACTGGTCTGGGCTGGACTGCCTAGACCACTGCCGCTGCTAATGCGCTTTGCCATCCATCGATCGCCGGTGCCAACGAGACCACTCCGCAATATAGGCCTAAGGCACCAATTCTATGATGGGGCCGACGGCCCCGTTCCGGACAAAGCGCTGTGGCGGTGTGGCGGTGCAGTTATGGCGGTGCAAGATGTGGCTGAATACTGCGAAGGGCGAATCGCGTCGTTAATTGGCTACAGCTTCGTGGAATGACGATGAGCAGCATAAACAGGGATCATTTACAATCCGCTGTTGAACCTGAACGCGACTGGTGTCCGAATTGATCTCTGCATCGGTTGGGATACAAAAGAGCTCTGCTTGCCACTTGATTTCTAGATACAAAAATAACTCGACGTCTGCGACGAGAAACGGTCAGGAGTCGATACTATTAGCGCAGCGACCGCTCTGAGCGGCTTCCGAAACCAAAGATAAACCATCGCCATCCAGTCAACTGGAGACACAGCTCAACGCATAACGCAAACTCCGGCTACCACCCACTGCCAGCATAGTCCTTCCGGCTCTTGACACAGCTCACTTTGACTACTTAAGGTCAACGACCTGCCTTACTTTTATCTTTCATCAACGTGCCAGCAGCAATCATGACGAGCCTAGTAGCAAAGTACATCAGCAAGAAAGTCTTGGGGGAGACTCTCCAGAACAACTTCGGGAAAGATGTAAGTTTTTCTTGTTCCACACGCGCATTCATTGGTTAACATCTACATAGGATCCCTATTTCGAGACCGTTCCTGCAACCCGATTAGATGGCCGGCCATCGAACAAGACGAAGAAGCGGCGTAAGGCTCTGCCACCGGGCATCTCGGAACACGATGGAAAGGTGCTCACGAAGGTCAAACGCAGGGCTTACCGCCTAGATATGAGCCTTTTTAGTTGTTGTGGCATTCGCATGGGATGGAGCAGTCTTATTGCAATTGTTCCTGTGTAAGTTTAGACTCCTTTTACGTGATACGCAATGCATACTAACCTGTATTCTCTGATAGGATTGGCGATGGTCTTGACGCATTCATGGCTATGATGGTTCTCCGATCATGCCAGAAAGTGGAAGGAGGACTTCCCAAAGACGTACAGGCTAAGATGATGTTCAATATCATTCTCGACTTCGCAGTAGGGTTGATTCCTTTTTTGGGCGATGTGGCCGATGCTTTATTTAGAGCAAACACTAGGAATGCTGTGATTCTCGAGAAGCATCTCCGTGAGAAGGGTGCCAAGGCTCTCAAACAACAAGGCCAAAGGACACCCTCACGCGATGCTACAGACCCCGATGAATTCGATCGCCAATTGAGGGAGGAACTCGGCCCACCACCCCAATACACTTCAGGAGGCACATCGGGACGAGACAACGTGCACGGCAGATCTGCGGATACTCAGCAGGCAAGAGTTCCGGAACAGAAGAAGAGCGGATGGTTCAGTGGATTCGGAAGCAAAAGGAAGCAACCAGACGTCGAACAAGGACACGAGGGCCATGAAATGGACAGCCGCGAAGCCGCCCCTCTGCCAAACACACCTCATGATGGATCTCGCCGAGATAAATCTGCCATTCAAAACAGCAGACGTTAGTTGCTGGCATTGGTTTCGAATATGCATTGGGGAATGGGGTGTTAGCGTCTGTTATTGTTGTGCCTTTCCGGCTCGGCAGATAAGCATGGGATTTGTTGGTTTTCTTTCTTAGCGGTGCTTAGCATGTGTAGATACCCAGGATCTAGAATGGTCTTATAATGAACAGCAATTGCTACCTAGAAGAAATCGGTCCATTTCACTTCTGTTATGAATTGAATTGAATTACTCATGGGTAGCTAAGCCTGAATAATCATGGATAGCCCCGTCGTACGGAGGATTGAGAGTCTAGCAACCGTGAAAAATCCCGTATCTACGTAGACAGTGGAGACTATGACTCCTACGCGCTGAAGAAACCAGTCTACTTACGAGACTGACCAGGATCCAAGTCTTGTCAAGCAAAGTTGGGGCTGGCAACGGCTTCTCACTGGCCGAAAACCTTCCCAGCCTCGCGCTTTGTTTAATTCAAGACGCGTCTCCGGTACGCGATTAATCGATTGCACGTGACGTAAAATATAGCTTTAAAGCCCACCTCGCGTCCTCCTCCTTCCCTCAACACAACATCAACACCTACACCCACTTGTCCTGTAATATATCGTTTCACCTCCTCTTCCGTCGCCCAATTACACACTTAGATTCATCTGTCATCATCATGACTACTCAGATCACTCCCTCGAAAACGGTATGACTCCATTGCCACCACGGCCACATTCTCCTCGCCGTCGCGTCGTTCCCATTGCTAACTTCATGGTTCAATAGGCAGCATCTGCAATTGAGAGCCTAAAGATGGGTGACTCCCCTGTCAAGAAGCTCAATTTTGAGTCCGCCGGGAAGGAGAACATCCCATTGAACGCCGACGCGCCAATTATGGACGACATCGAGGTCAAGAAACCAGTCGTTGAGGAAGCCAAGAAAGAACAGGCGGTTGCCATTACATCAACGCTTAAGCCCGAGGAGGCGGATGAGCCTCTCCTCCGAGAAAACCCCCACCGCTTTGTCCTGTTCCCGATCAAGTACCACGAGGTAAGTCGCGTCTTCGACGCGTCCGTCACGCGTAAAGTGTTTTGATCCGAGCTTACAATTGTCCGTCCTACAGATCTGGCAGATGTACAAGAAGGCCGAAGCATCTTTCTGGACCGCGGAAGAGATTGATCTGTCGAAAGATCTCCACGATTGGAACCAAAAGCTTAACGACGACGAACGCTATTTTATCTCCCACGTTCTTGCATTCTTCGCAGCATCAGACGGAATCGTCAACGAGAACCTTGTCGAGCGCTTCAGCGGGGAAGTCCAAGTACCGGAGGCTCGTTGCTTCTATGGTTTCCAGATCATGATGGAGAATATCCACTCCGAGACATACTCCCTCCTCATTGATACATACATCAAGGAACAAGCCCAACGAACATATCTCTTCAACGCCATTGACACCAGTAAGTTTGGATCCGTAATTTGGAAATTAGAAATGATCTAACTCATCGTCACAGTTCCCTGTATCAAGAAGAAGGCAGACTGGGCAGTTCGATGGATCGAGGACAAGGACTCTACATTCGCTCAACGTCTTGTAGCATTTGCCGCAGTTGAAGGCATCTTCTTTAGTGGATCATTCGCATCCATCTTCTGGTTAAAGAAGCGTGGATTGATGCCCGGACTTACCTTCTCCAACGAACTTATCTCGCGTGACGAAGGTCTCCACACCGATTTCGCATGCCTTCTATTCTCTCACTTAAACCACCGCCCAAGCAAGAAAGCCGTCGAAGATGTTATCACCGAGGCAGTTCAAATTGAGCAAGAATTTTTAACTGAGGCTCTTCCCTGTGCGCTCCTCGGCATGAACGCAAACCTTATGAAACAATATATCGAGTTCGTCGCCGACCGTCTCCTGGTCGCGCTTGGCAACGACAAGGTCTACAAGTCGGCCAATCCATTCGACTTTATGGAGAACATTTCTCTTGCTGGCAAGACCAACTTCTTCGAGAAGCGTGTTGGTGACTACCAGAAAGCCGGAGTAATGGCCGGCACACAAAAGAAGCACGAGGATACAGTTGCTCAAGCCGAGTCCAAGGCAGAAAATGGTGGAGACTTCAACTTTGATGAAGACTTCTAGATGTGTTCTAATACTTTTGATGTTTGACTATTGGCGTTGGGTATATCACATCTGTACATTGTGGCATTGCATATTATTCTCTTCTCAGCATAAGATTGCGTTGCATAGATGGCGACATCGCCAGATGCAACGCGCTGGCTATTTCGCCAGGGTTTGTTATTTTTATACAAGGCGTTTGGGAGTCTACTGGGGCTATGGATGATGAAGGTGGAATAGGATAACGAAGATAGTATAGAGCAGTAGAGCAGAAATGAACATGTTCCTGAATACCTAGCTTTATATTTTGCATACTGTGATATGCTGCTTCTAAAAGTAGACTCGAAGTCAACAATTCATCTTGGTAAACCAGTTGGCCTACCATGCTATCATCCGAACGCCATTCCATGCATGCTCTAAATATGCAAACTATGACAGCCATCACAACCTTGACTGCGCCTTCATTTCTTCCCCTTCTTCTTGCCCTTCTTTCCACCAGTTCCTCCACCAGCAATCACCTTCCCCCCTTGCCCTGCCGCCGGCACCTTCTCTGCCTCCACAGTTGGCGTCGCAACTCCGCTTGCAGCCGCTCCCTCCCCACCCTCACCCATCACAGCGTCCTCCTTTACTTCAGGCAGCCCAGCCATCGGCCTTGCCAATCGTCCCATAATCTGCACCAGCCTCCCCACCTCCGCCGCTTTATCTGTCTTGTACTTTAATGTCGTGCCGGACACGGGATCGAATGTCTTGAGGGTCAGGGTTGCGACTGGTGTTGGGGATGGAGCTGGGGGAGCGGCTTCGGAACTGGTTTTGGAGCTGGGAGGTTGGGTAGATTTGGACTTGGTTTGCCGTGGAAGGCTGTATTTGGTTGTTATCCTAGTCTATAGCGAGGGGGTAGTTAGTGTGTTGTAACAGTAATATAAACTTTTAGAGAATAGAGACGTACAGTCAATGGGCGGGCTTGTAGGAGGAGGGTCGATTGTGTGAGCCATGATTGGGCTGATTCTAATGTCGGCATGTTGAATTGTGCGTCGTCCGGGAAGATAGGTAGGGATGCCTTCTTGTATAGAGCTTCTCGTGAACTCGAGATATTATGGAAGGTGCTCTCGGTGAGTTTAGGTGGTACACTGTGTTCTTTAGATGGTGGTGGGGAGGATGATCCGCACCAAGCAAGGCTGAAGATTGAGAATGTGGGGAGTCGCACAAGCGAGCTCCAACCAACATCTCGTATCAACCTTCCCCAGCTCATAACATCCAACTCAATCCTAAGCACCGCTATCTAACTTCATGGCCCGTGGAATCTAAATCTAGCCAGTGCAGGTACCTACTATTAAATTTTGTTCCAAATTTTGTTCGGCATATTGTTGCCATATTCTTCCTTTTAACGATCGATTGTCAATATTTGGAATGGAAACACATACAGGGAATGTATACCTCAAGCTCTTGGGTTCTATGGGGCGGCCATTTCCGAAATACCTAGAGAGGAGAGGATCAAATTCAGGTGCAAAGTATTGGGAGATTCGGGTTGCTTTGTCCCCCACAGTAACGGGAAGAATTGGGCAGGCTTTAGTCGGATATGTCTATGAATACGGGAAGCTGATTTCGGTGTCTACTCAGTGGTGAACCGCAATAACTGGAGTCGGCATAGTGGAGCCTGAGCGGATCAAGTGGTCTAGAGCACAGAACCGCTAGAACATAACTTAAATATGTTGGTGTCTCTAATTAATATCAAGGGCATGGAAGAAGTCCTTGGTATAGGCTTAGTGGCCGATCAATAGGACTTTTGGCTTAAGAAATGCAGAGTTAATTAATTTAAGAGCTCCTACTATTATTCTTTCAATTCTTGGGCCATTTTTCCAAAATTGGACTGTATATAGAATATATGCTTTGTATATTCAAACTATTTAAATATCAAGTCCGGTGTTTTGGATAAAGAGCTCTTATGTGCAACGAGTATCCCAATAATCGGCCCTACGCAAGTGTGCACCTGAAAGATACTTAAGCCCCCCTAAGTAGGCATACCGGCCTAACGACTGTCCATTTCCTTTGGTCTCGCCTTAGCTAAATTTTTAGCTTAATTTTTAACTTCTATCAAAATGTCAAAAGCCCAGAAAAGACAATCAAACGCGCCAAAATCTCACCTGGATAGCTGCTTTTAAATTAAGATATTTATAGGGAGGAAATATTGTTTGTATTATCACTGTCTAATGCTCTTCCTTTCTTCCCTTTTCCCTCAAGTTCCCCAATTTAATTCTTATCTAGGGCACCGAGTAGACACTAGTGCTCACTATGAACTTGCCACTTAGTGTAATACCTACTTGGCAGAATAAAAGGGGGTGAGCTATCGTAACGCAACGAAATCATGCCGCCTGGCAGAACCACCTGGCAGAACTAAAAGTGATGAGCGGTCGAAACGCAACGAAATAGATGCTGCCTAGCAAATGAAGATATCAGGGTTACAGGTCGTGACAGAATCAAAAGGTGGTGAGTGGTCGTAACGCAACGAAACCATGCCGCCTGGCAGTATAACTGGCAGAACTCCGCAGGACAGCAGTTACACCTGAAGGAAATTTTTGTTTAGTTCGATTTACAACGCACAAGTGAGTGACCTTATTGAAAACAAAAGGGGTTTATATCACGTGCTGTGGACAATGCCAGGTCGCCAAGAGCAACAACTGCCAGCTCAAGGCGGTAAATAAACTTTTAACAAGTATTAATGTACCAATATTTGAAGATCTACTCTATGCACCTACCTTACCTACATATCTATTATATCCCCAAATACTGCTGTTGTATGTGCTGCAAAAAGATTATCCATAGCAAGAATGCTCCGGGCCCGACTAAGAAGAATACCTAAATAGGTCGGCTCGCCAAGCCTTCCCTCCCAACCCCGCGACGGAACTTGAGGTGGGGGCCTCTTCACCAATGCCCTGTGACTCGAACTATGACAGTATATCGAAGCTTCTGGACGGCTGCAAATGTTTAATATCTCTGCGTCTTAAGCATCATTGCTCGCCATGACTGCTTTTGCAATCCTACAAAATAGAGATTGCAGTTTCTGGGAAACACATTACGCTGTCTCCCGCGATAGCCATGGACGGCAACGTGGTCATGGATACGAAGATTGATCCCGATATCTCGCGAAACCACAATTCGCTCGATCGGAAAATGGAAAGCCTAGATTTAACAGATCGCCGACCCTTTGTTGCATGCTCTGCTACGGGGTCCACCGAGGCTAGTTCTACGCCAGAGGCCAGCTTTGAAGTCGATCCGGAGGCACTTGCTCTGGATATGCAGCAGCGCTGCAGATTACTATTGAATGAATTGGAACAGTTTCAAGCATACCTAAAGGAGAGAAATAAGGCGAATAACGTCGAATTGCGGACATTCAAAGGTGGTCTTCAGGCAGAAATGAAATTAATACACAAGGTTACTCAATCCGAAATCACTTCTACATTCCTCCTTGAGTGCTAACTTATTTATTATTCCAGCTTGCAAAACAGGAATCCTCCGATAATAACAAGACCGTTCACTCCCTGAAATCATCCAACTTCCTATTTTATAATGCGGTCTGGAACACTGCGAAATCCTGTACAGGAATCATAGCCCTGAGCAGGCGCTTCTATTGGACACCCGGCCAAAAAACGCCCAACATAAATGGGAAGATCTCGAAACCGGGAGCTAAACATAGGACATGTAGCGCTCTGGTAGATATTGTGTGTCAGGATGGCTTGGAATGGGTTAAGGTTTCATCGAATACTGAGAAACGAATTATATGGGATTTAGCAAAGGCAGGTTGGGTGGGGGTGGAGTCCTCTGGCGAGGAAAGCGAAGGAGATAGTGATGATCCTGACGAGGCAGAAGGTCTTTTGAAACAAGTCGAGGCGCTGGTTAAGGCATCCCGCGCGACAAGAGTCAGATATCGCCATCCTAAAGTCCGCCTTGTGTTGCCGAGAATATCGAGTTCGCCTCAGACAAAGGAGGTAGCTAAAGTATTGCAGAAAATACGGAATTTGGGTGTGACTGTGCAGACCTCGGAGGAATGGCCCATTGGCCCCCCTGTGGCGACTGTTCTCGACAGCCTCATTGCAGATCGTTTCGAGACGTTTACTAGTGTGCTCAACGTGGATTGCACAATCCTACTGGCTTTTGCTAGTGACCTATCGCATGGTCGTGTAGAGCCTGAAGATTGGCACAATCAAATGATATCCAGACAGAGGGAGATGGAAGCTGAAGAGCAACTTCTCCCGGATAGCCTGTGGCCTGCGTGCGGATCCAGGAAGCTGGTATGTACACGGGAAGCGGCTGTGAGGATGCAAGAGATTGTCGAAGTTATTGGCACAACGACTGAGAAGAAACGCGTGGAGTTGCTCATAGATCTCTCTGGTGATTCTCAGTTAACTCTAGAAGAAAGATTGGAGGAATTTCAAAAACTATCGGATTATGAGATTCCGAAAACTTGGCTTCTGCCCATTGAGATAGTGGATGTGGATATCCCGGTTCTCATTGCTGACCTGCCTCCTATCGCGGGTAAATTGGCGGATTCGCTGTCAACCATAAATAAATCCGTGTTTTTGTATGGCTGGGCGAGTAAGACGACTACTATAAGTAGTAATCGCAGTGTGGCGAAAGAGGTCGAGACAACTGTGGAAGAGAATCGTTCATCTGAGGAAGAAATAGGGCCTGATATTTGGCTGTGTTCGACGACAAGGTCTTTGGTCGGGAAAGAGAAGCAGAGGAGAGGGGCGCACGACCGTGACTCGTGCGAAACGGAGAGTAACATAGAATAAAATATAGAGAAATATTCGACAATAAGCACACTGATACAAAATTCTGATTGTCTCATAAAACTGTGCGAAAAGTTGAGCTTTCCTTAGCGGACGACCAGTTTGTAACAGGTATATCACGGAACACCAACAGTGCGAAAGGCGATCATCCTTTTTCCGACCTTCTAAACGCCATTTCACCCAACCATTTTGGATATCTAGTCAGAGCTCAAACGAAATGCTGTGTGAGTACTACGCCAAATTCATATCCGGAACCCAGAACACCACCTCCTTGTCACCCGTCGCGAACATATTGTATTTCGGATTGAACGCAATGACCCCCGAGTCACCCGTATACTCCAATTCGTGGGCAGGTCTAAGTAATTTGTCCGGGGCAGGAGATAGTGTATCCCATACCAACACATTCTCCCTTCTCGCCCCGCTGATTACATATCTGCCATCAGGTGTAAAGCAGCAATCACCGGTACTAGGGTATAAAAACTCGCTCGAATGACGATCGATATGATCAGGATTATGGTCGCCGACGCCCAAACGCCTCGCTCCGCCCCTCTCCCGACGCAGCACGGCTTTTAGGTGCCCATCAAATGCATCGAGGAGCAGGTGGCCCTGCCCAGTCGTTCCGAGCAACAGGTGCTTCCCATCGTTGGAGAATTCGAGTTTGTTCCAACCTTTGCTGATAGAGCTTGGGTTTATTTCTTGTGAGTGTTGCAAGACATCAAAGGTGGAAAACGGTTCTCTATCGAAGTTACGGTAGTCATAGAGGAGGATTGACTGCGACGTGGGCGAGGCTACCGCAAATACATTGCCGGATGGGTCCCATGCAGCCAGATAGCCTCCATTCAGATGAAGCTTTCCGCATGCATTTTTGGTACCGGCGTCCCAGATACGAACTGTATTATCTTCGCTACAAGAAAGGAAGTTGTCTTGGCCTGGGTGAAGAGAGAGGCATGTAACGTTCTTCTCATGTCCCTCAAAATAGCGGAGATAGGAATTATCATGGGTTGAGAGATATCTGATAGTATCTAATAAAACATCAGCTTCTGAAGCAGTAATTTTGCTGGTGGGCTTACGGTTTAGTTTGGTGCTGGAATGAATAATGCACGGGGCAGAATCCTTCGTTTTGTGTGTGAACATAGCATGCATTACGCCATACTTTTGACTCAAGCATGTCTTATGGTGTTTCCCCTTGTGGACATCATATATTTGCATGCTATTATCACTTTCTGACGTGAGAAGAAAGTCCCCTTCATCGCTGAAGTCTATGGAGAGGATAGGAGCATGGGTTGAGTGTGCTCTGCCAGCGTCTTTAGCAGAGGGGTCTCGGCGGAAGAGCTCGGTATCATTAGCAATTTTCCCATTAAGCTGTGCCTGGGGACATATTCATACCTTAGTTGGCCGGAAGAGTGATATCACGTCGGAGACCTTGGAAGTATTCGGGATTCCATTTGAAGGAGCCCCGGTGTTTGCTCGAGCACTTGGGCCAATGGGAGAATCAATCGCCATAGGTGTTGAGGACATCGTGAAGCGCTGTCTCCAATGAATTTAGGTCTTGACGTCCAAGGATGATATTAATAATTCCAGCCAGGCAGCTTAATTTTAATTGAAATACATGGCCATCACGTGGGTTTTCCGTGGCAGAATCAAAGCCTTTGAAGATTGATCTCTATCTCCGCGTTTTGGACCGTGGCTGCTCCGAACAAGGAAGCATAAATCATAAAGTACATCCAGGGGTCTACCTTACAGATGAGCTAGCCTTGTCATGTGACCAAGACTCGGGTAACTGGCATCACCTCCCTGCCCGCCGGCTTCGGAACGGGAAACCTGCATCTAGTGAGTACCTAGCAGATCTCGGTGATATAGTACGAGTAAGCCGGGCTTTTTATAATAATTTGTTCCCAGACCTTACAAACCTCGGAGGAGGAGCGCAGAATCAGGTTTCGAGCAGTCGCGTTCATAAACCCGCCCGTTCCCTCCTTTGGAATATTGGTCTCAGACTTTTTTGTAAACTGGCGCCGCGATAATAATTAAGGGAACGAGGGACGCCTTCCACCCTCCGAAGGGAAGTTGAGCTCGCAATGTCAACAACAGTAGGGTAAGGTCGAGGTTCAAAGGCAGTAACATCCAGCTAACAGTCGCAGAGCTTTCCTTGCTGGCGGCATTGCTGCGTGTGGAGCTGTGACAGCGACTCATCCATTCGAGACTGTGAAGATTCGGTGAGAAACTTTTGCAATACTAAATCACATATACCGAACCACGCTGATACCCGTCGTTAAAGCATGCAACTGCAGGGCGAACTTCAAGAAAAAGGGTTACAACCACGACTATACAAAGGTCCGGTCCACGGCGTTTCAGTCATCATACGGAATGAAGGGGTTCGGGGCATCTATCGCGGAATCGGCGCGGCGTATATCTACCAAATCATCCTTAATGGCTGCAGATTAGGCTTCTACGAACCTATACGGCAGACGATCACATCTGCGATCTTCACCGATAAAGGGACGCAAAGTCTCGCTGTCAATGTCTTCGCTGGCGCATCATCTGGCCTTTTGGGCGCGGCGGGTGGAAGCCCGTTCTTCCTAGTCAAGACAAGATTGCAGAGCTTTTCGAAGTTTGCTCCGGTGGGGACTCAACATACGTACAAAAATGCGGTGGATGGGATGAGACAAATATACAAGGGGGAGGGGATTAGTGGGCTCTATAGAGGTGTTGGGGCAGCTATGGTTCGAACAGGCTTTGGAAGCTCGGTTCAGCTACCAACATACTTCTTCGCGAAAAGGAGGTTAGTAAAGCATCTCGGAATGGAGGAAGGGCCAGCACTTCATCTGGCAAGCAGTACTGCAAGTGGCTTCGTGGTGTGCTGCGTGATGCATCCACCTGGTGAGTAAATATTTCCAATTGCTTTTTGTATACATGGCTGACTATTGGCAGATACTATAATGTCTCGCATGTATAATCAAAACGGCAACCTTTATGAAGGTGTATTTGATTGTCTTGCAAAGACGGTTCGGACTGAGGGATTCCTTGCTATCTACAAGGGTTTCTTGCCACATCTGGCAAGAATATTACCCCATACCATCTTAACGCTAAGCTTGGCGGAACAGACCAATAAGCTGATGCGGAAGCTTGAGGACCGGATCATTCCTTCGTCCATCCATGATAATTTGTAGGGTATGAATGCCTCCTGCTCGTACCACTATTTGTTTCCCATCTTGTATATATCCAAAACTGCATATTTGGAGGTGTTGGAATCCTTGCCGGAGCTAAGAGGTCGGGGGGTGTACCATGCTCATATATTTTTCACCATTTCCAAAGCATATGCGATTTAGCTATTCATAGACCTCGAACATCCATAACACAGAATACCAGAGCGGTTTTCGTTCGTGGGCTGCGATCCTGGGTTCTGATCTCCTCCCCAGCCATGGATACCATCGGTTCCTCTGGCGACGGGGAGTCCACAAAGGCCGCACTCTGTAGTATCATCGGTGGTCGGAGATTGGAGTTTACTTGATGTCCTCACGACATTTGCCACGATGCTTGGATAATTCTCTTCAACAGATTGGAAATACTGTGCCATCAGATCATCAATCGTTGTCGATTTCGAAGAAGCAGATATGTGGGACAAAGGCTCTTGATAAATGACCAAGTCCGAAAGAGGAGGCGTTGTCAGGGTAGTGTATGCCACGATCTCCTTCTTGAGAAGATCTCGTAGAGGGTAGTTAAATGCAATGCCATATGGCGATGCCTTATCCGAGACTTGCCATGGCAACGCAAACCCTCGGCCTTTGGCAGTTTCTGTCAAGGTCTTCTCGGCGAGTCGGGTAGTTGAATCGCCGAATAGAACACTGTCACAGTTATTTCTCTTCGCAGTATCCACTAGGAGGCGTGTGAGTAACGTGGATGCAATATCAGCCCGTGATGTAGCCGACGACATAGACCCTAGGAGGTGCTGAAGTCTTTCTGCAGCAGGTCTTTGGACATCTGTTTCTGGGGGCCGCTCTATATTCAAAGCCTTCCAATCTATGTCATCTAGAAGGAGAGCTTCTTCAAGCCCGATACTCAAGTATGTATGCCTGGGAAAACGGGCCTCGTATTTCTCCAGCAACTCAGAGGCATCCTTTCGATCCGCTGGGTCGAGGTATAGATCTATGTGAACCACATACAGCTCATACGCAGCACGCCTCCTGCGATCAAATTGCCCTTGGATATGTTGATCCAACATGTATAACAAGGACGCCGATGAAGGTCCAAACGAAAAGGGTAATAGAAGTTTTCGAACTTGTGTAGATGGCCCTCGTACCCGGTAGGTTTCCATACGCTTCACGGCTTTAGTCATGACATATTGAATAAAACAGTTCCTGGAGACAAAATCAGTAATGTTTCTCAAACAGGGATAGGAAGGACGGACTTGCAGACATGCTCAGAGCGAATTTGGTGGGTGATAGGATATTGATGGCATCTCTTGCACAGGGCATTTTCAGCGCCCGCCTCTGTGATTTCAGCTCCAGACATCCTTTCCGAGAGACAACCTAAAGTCCTTTCGTGTTACAGTCAGCACCAGATGACCTTGTTCAGCACGTAGACCATTTGTGTACTTTGGTTACCGCGAAGCCGGGACTCGCGATTAATATAATCTTGACAAGGCTTTTGCGCCGCCTCGCGTCCGTGCGCTGGATTACTGTACCGGCCGGTACAGCCCCGGCCCAAGCTCCTGCGCCTCTTGGATCTCGAGAGTGTTACGTTGCCAGGTTGCCGATTCGAGACCAGAGGCACGAAATTGAATACAAATACAAATTTGATTTACATCACGGCTTCCGCAGCTACTACTATAGCTGCAGCTTGCAAGCCTTCATCGCACCCGGCGGACTTAACCTGGATGGCCATATCCATACCATCTGCACCACACAACCCCTTCACGTCGAAGCCCAGCTCCGCAGATTCCTGAAATCCTAGAAGAACCTCCTTCGGCCCACGAGGCTATCAGCAACGATGAGGAGCTGGCTCCATGGCGCCCTCGTGCTTGGGCTGTCGTGCATGGCAGCCCAAGCCTTGGAGACAACTTTGGTCAGTTGGCCGTCAGAAGCGTCCACGAGCCTAGTTTGCGTGCTTATGCTAATGTTTCAGCAGGATCAATCCAACGAAAACCGACAAGTATGCGCCGGGATGTACAGTAAAGCTTCATGGGGAGGAGCAGTGAATCCACATATACTTGTCAAATGGATAAAGCAGGAGGGAGAGGGTGATGCAGACCCAATTGCGAGCATGGTTATTTTCGAATGGAAAGACTACAACCTCATAGGTGTCTACCCAACACCGGATTCTCTTACGGTACCAAACCAATCTATTGTCCGCTAATCCGGAAATATGCTAACTCTAACCATAGAAAGAATATATCTGCGATCAAGAGACCATCAGGAACGAATACTGCAACAGCAATCAAACTGGGGAATTTATCTTGGCGCCGAATGCGACTGACGTTTCGAAGAATATGATTGTAACTAAGGCCGTGCATTTAAAGGATCCTGGGGGGCCGATGAATTACGCTATCAAGAAGACAGGTTACTATTGTGTAGGGACGACCGCCTTCTCCCCGACAGATGCAAAGTATAAGGCTGTTATCGAATTTCGAAATGCGTATGGGGAGCTGCCTGCCTCTGAGATCGCTAAACTCCCATTTTATGGAGGTATCACGATTGTGTATGCGGTTGTTGGAGCGTGAGTCGAATCGATAATACTTGAAAGTAGAGGTGCTAAAATTCCCTTTAGGTTCTGGGCGTTCCTTTACGTTCAACACAGACGCGATATATGTGAGAGAATGCTGGTCCGAAACCTTGCTTGGGAATGACTAATTGTTCATTCAGTACCGGTTCAAAACTATATCACTGCCATCATCATATTCTTAGTTGTAGAGATGTTGATGACTTGGGGCTTCTATGGTACATATATACTTTATGTGCTATGAATGACCATCGCTAATGCCCCCTAGATTATCTCAACCGCAATGGATCCAATATTGGCTCGAAAGCACTGATGATAATAGTTGCAATATTAAATGCAGGCAGAAATTCTTTCTCCTTCTTCCTTGTCCTCATCGTCTGCATGGGATATGGGGTTGTCAAACCTAGCTTAGGCAAGACTATGGTTTATGTCCGCTATCTGGCCGCAGCACACTTTGTGTTCAGCTTGGTCTCCGCAATTACCAGCTTGACGGTTTCGCCTGAACATGCTGGTAAGCTAATTAACTCATTATATATATGGATGTACTAACTCCGCCTAGGTCCACTCATCCTACTGGCCATTCTCCCTCTGGTAGGAACCCTAACTGCTTTCTACATCTGGACACTTAACTCCCTCAACGCAACCATGAAAGACCTCAAAGAGCGCAAACAAACTGTCAAAGAAATGATGTACCGAAAACTATGGTGGTGCATCCTAATCTCGATTCTGGTAATCTTCGGGTTTCTTTTCTTCAACTCCTTCACATTCGCCTCAGCCTCCGACCCGGATTTCGTTCCTTTCCACTGGAAGAGCCGTTGGTTTATCCTCGACGGCTGGGTCAATCTCGTATATCTCGCAGACGTCATTTTCATCGCTTATGTATGGAGGCCGACTGCGAATAACAGGAGGTTTGCTATGAGTGATGAATTGGCACAGGATGATGAAGGTTTCGAGATTGCGGATTTTGGCGCAGATGATGAGGATGATGATGATCCTGAGAGCTCCGCGGCACATAGAGGCGACAGGACACAGGCCGGCCAAGAAGGACCGAGGTATGATCCCGCTCCCGGGGCGAAGACGACGAAACCTCCGCCAGGTGCCAATACGGCGAAGGATATCCCTCGGGATAGTCTTGATGGAGAGACCATTTTCGCGGTTGGCGAAGATGGTGATCGGTGGTCAGATGATGGTAGTGATGAGGAACGGGGAAAGCTTGTGGGAGGTACCCATAAAGATTAGTTAAGAGTGTTGGGGACTGGCGTACGGGACTAGTAATACTATGTTTGCGTGAATAGCATCATAGGCCACGGATTTATGCCCTATCGGCTGAGCAATGTTGAGAGGTGCAATAATCCATTTGTACTATCATCGGATACCTTGAGGCTGAATAGAATTATTTATATGTTTTCAAATTTTATTATTACTCGTTCCATCTAGTTTTATTTTCGGTTCTCCTACGATATGTAGTAAATGTGCCCATGCTCGAGAGCGACGAGACATACTTCTCGAGCCTCTATAGCCTGCCTTGACATGGTCTTAAAAAGATTCTGCTTCAATACCGACCCCACAGTTTGTGAACAAAGCGGGGTTCCTAGAGGTTGAGGATGATCGACTATAAATATAATAAAGTCAGAGACGTAGATCCCGAGGCTCACCCAGTTAGTCCGTTAATCTGATTAATCTGCGTCCTTGGTATGCAAGCGTGGTATTTTCCGATATACCACATTCGTCTTTCATTTCGATTAAGAGGCAGCCATATACCCTTCGCTATTGCTCTATGGCGCATGAGAAAACCTACCATTAAGTGCCTAAATGGATAAGTTGTTATGCTACATGCTGCTACCATTCCCGCAACCCTAACATCGACATATAGTAGTGTATCTTGACACTTGATGGACTCGTTTCGCTCGCGATCATTATACTTCGTCTACCAATTCGATGCCCTCATGCTTAGATTGGCCAGCAACTATAAAAGAAAATAAACGGGGGAGAGCTTTGAGTCTGATGCGGTTGGTGTTAGTAAATGGGATACTCGTGAGAGGGGTGGTTTAAGGTACCGACATACAACGACTACCACGCTCGGTGCCGCTTCATTTGTCCCTGAAAATAAACGTAATGATTATTCCAAAAAATCCTCGCTATTCCATAGAATATTTTAATAGGTCATTTGTAATCCATCCTATTTACTCACTAGATGGAGATATTTCTGTGGCGTGACATGCGTGTTGTGCGTATCGCTATCGATTTTAAAAATGTGGCGGTAAATGAAAGGCACGATACAATGGTATCGGAAATCAGCCGAACAGAATTTAGGCTCCCACAGCTACTTCGGGGGAAAAAATAAATCAACGCGAATTCTAAATCGATATCAAAACAGTAGTTATAATTATTATTAACTTATTTAAATATATTTCTATGATCTAACTTTGATACAAGGGAGAAAGTCTCTAAAATACTGTTTATTGACCTTTTTAGAGCGATTTTAGATTTTAGGTAATTCGTAATTTTCCCCGACGTAGGTGTGTGAGCCTAAATTCTGTTCGGCTGATTTCCGATACCATTGTAAGTCGTCTTGCACGAACAGCTAATGTGAAGAGTAGACGCTCGGATTTGGAGTAAAGTGGAAAACAAGAGACTTGGTGAAACCCAACTGAAGTAATGATTAGCTGAACGTGAGAAGTGAAATTTCAGATCTTGCTGATGTATGAAATACCAACAGCTAGAAGGCATATATGATGGGGGGAAGATCAGCTTAAAATAAGTTATCTTTCTCCAAAGACCTCCTCTAGCACTTCCCTAACATTAACAACATAGGTACCTATACGTCGGCAGCTTATGAGAGATGACCATCCTACTGCTGGGCTTACTCAGAGGGGGGATCAGTTGAAAAAATTGTGCCATATGAAGATGAGACGAACGCTCACGTTGCAATAGCAACCACTTGATTCTGTAGGTTTACGAGCTGAAATTATATTATCCCGAGTTGCCGTCCTGCCCGATGGGCCAATACCGCTGCAGCAAGATCTGAGCTGTGGTTGGATGAGGCGACTGGCAATTGTGCTTGGCCGTTGAACCGATCGCCAAAAACTGCGAATGGAGTCTCCCTTATCGGGGTGCCGCCACAGTACACGTCAGCGTACCTCCAAGGAATTGCGAACGGCAACTTAATTTCCACAAGGGGAAGGGGGCATAATTGAGGAGCCCACGTAGTTGCCCGACAGCCACGGTATGTTCCATCCGTGAAGGCTACGTTTGATCTCCTTGTCTTTTTCGAAGTCGACATCGGACTACTTCGTATGAGCGACAATGACGGCCAGTGGAACATCCGCTACTCGTACTGTACCTACGTATGCGGGCTTCGCACAGCATACCCAAGCGAGATAGCAATGTGCATGTTAGCCTTGGACACGACATAGATCGTACGCGGCTTTTATGTGCGCTAGCAGAGCCCCGATAATAGCATTTGGTTTATTGTCTTTTCAAGCTTTTAGGCTCGAGGAGAGAGTTGAAGTTTCAGGGAGCGTTAAGCTTTTTCATTGCCTGTTTGGGAAACCTGGGAGTAGCTTGTTTGCCGCTCGCTTCCAGTCACAGTTCCAGGGTCTGCAGTTAACGGACGAAAGCAAGTCATCATTGTCATTGGCTGCCCCAAGAAAAAGAAGCTCTGAGCCCCCCGCCCTTGGCCCGGCATTGGGCTGACGGGCTTAAAATACGACGCCATCTTACTCCTGTGCTAAGGCTGAGCAACGTACTGTGTACCGCAACGGTCCCAACCATGAGGATCATCAAGCAGGATCATGGACACGGCCACGCCGCAATTTGCACAGCGCGTTTCTGATCCAGACATGTTGGGGAAGGGTAGGTGTAGTTACGTCCGTATATAAGACGAGCCTTTTCTATTTACATCTCATATCGCATCCTTCTCAAAGTCCTCGATCTATTGCCTTTGCTGTTCTCCTCTTCATTTCTCTTCAACTTCAAGAAACAGAACGCAGTCGTTCTTCCCTGTTGCAAAACTCCCTACATCATGACCCTCACCTACCGCGATGGACTCGCCATCTTCGAGATCGCCGCCTACGTACCCTGTCTCATCGTCGCGGTGTTTCTCCTCGTCCGCCATGGCTTCGGCCGTAGCGCAGGCTGGTACTTCCTCGTTGCCTTTTCGCTGTCTCGAATCATCGGCGGCAGCTTGGAACTAGCAACCATCAACGACCCTACAAATATCGGCTTGTACACCGGCAGCGCCATCTTGACGAATGTCGGCTTTTCTCCCCTCATGTTAGCCACACTCGGTCTCCTTAGCCGGCTCGTGGATAGTATCAACAAAAACTACCAAACCTTTGTCACAAGCAAGCACCTGAAGTTCATTGAGACGGTCATTACCGTCGGGGTGATCCTGGGCATTGTGGGAGGCGTCAAAGCAAGCGACGCCCTCAAGCAGCCTGGAGGAACATACCAACCGCAGACCCTGAGTAAAGTCGGGACGATCCTATTCATTGTGTCATACGTCGTCACCATTGCGGCCACAGTCCTGATATCCTTCTCGGCCTCCCACGCCGACGCTGGCGAACACCGCATTATATTAGCCGTGGCATTTTCGCTCCCGTTCCTCTTCGTCCGCCTCATGTACAGCTGTATCAGCACCTTTGCGCACAACTCGAAGTTCAGTCTCATTGGTGGGAGTCCCACGATCTTGCTTTGCGTCGCACTGATTGAAGAACTCATCGTCACGATTACATACGAGGCCGTCGGCCTCACGCTGCAAAAGCTACCCAAGAAAGATCAGCTTAGGACGGCGGAGAGTGTTGATAGCGTGGAATATAACGGCAACAATACAGCCTATCGACACCAACCCAAGCGAGACAACCTCGCTTTGAGAATCGCCAAGAGGACTATCATTGGCCGCATTGTTATGGCGTTGATGCCGAAGAAACAGAATGATGTCGAGATGAATCAACAATTTGTGAGAAAGTGAGCCGGGAGAGGAAAGGCTGGGAGAACGTGCCTAACATGAAAGGGGCAATTGTACAGGAAGGCCGCCTTGAGATAGCTGGTTGGACTCGTAGGGGAGGTGTTCATATATTTTTATTTGTTTGTTCGTCGATATTACATGTTGCTAGGATCATTGGGTTAGCATGGGCGTTAAGGGACCGCAGCTGGTAACTCTAGATATACCTAAAATTGTGTATAATAACAGTGTATTGGACGTGGAGATCTTAATACGAGCATTTTCCATCCCCGTCTTCGGAACTAAGCCATTGGAGGAAAATGCAGGATGTTCACTCAGTGTATACATCGGATGCCGGACCCCTCCGTTTGAGAAATAGCATAAATTATCTATTATCTATCTATATCTAGGTAGGCAGTAAAAGAAGGGTACTAACTGGTAGAAAGTCCCAACAATATTCTAGACCTGCTACAACTTGCTTTTCTGTATCCCCCAATGCTAAAGAGGCTCTGCCCCTGGATTCTGCGAATATACTAAGTGTCTGTCAATGTCAACTCTGAACAACACTAATACAACAATATTAGATGTCGCTTTTTTGTTCCACCGCGAGAGAGTTCCTATGCTGTCCCGTTCAGAAGCTTAAAGGCAGATGATATATATACTGGTAATAATCACCAAGCCAACTTCCTCCTTTCTGAAGGACAACATCGTCTATGCCTGGCCCTTTCCTAATAGGACCAAATTTGCGACATTCATAACTGCCATAACCAACCAAATAATAATACCACAAGCAGCAACGAACCAATTATTCCTCATTTTCGTCGGTTGCGGTGCCAGTGAGTCACTCCCTGTACTATCGAGTCTATAAGCATCGGCCTCGTCGCCATTACCTCTCGGTCCATGACTCGCACGAACAGTCATGTATTTATTCCTGCAGGTGAAGTAGATAAGCGGCGCCGTAACAAACGGTAGCACGACGCTGAGGGCGACCTGGCTACCGTTCAACGCAGCATTGAGTCCTGATCTGCCGACGGCGCCAGCGATGATGATACTAGGCGTGATGCTGATACTTCGCGTGATTAAGCGGCGGAGCCATGGCTTGATCGTCCAATTCAACGCGCCTTCTGAGACCATCTGTCCTGCGATCGTGCAAACGATGCCGGCGCTGATGCCGGAGAGTAGAAGCGCGAGAGCGAAGATCGTTCCTGCTGCGGGGGCTATACTAGATGAAAGGAGGCTGTAGATCCCGAAGAGGTCGGCACCCGCTGCGGAGCTGTCCGAGGAGAGAGAGGCGCCCGCGGTGATGAGGATGGCGCTGTTGACAAACAGTGCGAATGTGAATAGTGCGATTGTTAGTTCGGCGATGGAGTACTTGAGGCAGAAATTGATGGCTGGCAGGGAAGGATAATACTGCTCTTTTTCGATGCCGTCCGATTCATTAGATGGGCTTGCTAGGCCATGCTTGACGTCGTACTCCAACAAGCGTGGTTGGACTATTCCACTTCCTAGGTAAAGGCTGTGAGGCATGACGGTAGCGCCAAGAATACCGCAAGATTGGTAAAGGCTGTTGACATTAGTGATTTATATCTTCTGAAGAAGGAAATCAAGTTACCCGTCAGACTGCACAATGGCCGAAGATGGAAGATACCCTCGGAAGACCTCCCCTATAGATGTATCCTTAATCAAGCTCAGCTGGATGCAAAAGCAAACCACAACGCCTAGCACTAGTGCCATAACGAAGAACTCAAACGCCCGGAGTCCCTTCATAGACCCATTTGGTCTATAGAAGAGTAGTATAAGGAGTACATCGACGATTGAAATAGCGCACCCTGCAACCAATGGGATCTGGGGTATCAAAAGATTGATTGCAATGGCTGTTCCAATAACCTCGGCGATATCTGTAGCAATGATCTGATCACGCGTCAGCACACACACATATATTGTTGGCTAGCAAGGGAAGATCTACCGCCCCTTCCGCCATGACATAGAGCATTATATTCAGCCATCCCGGAAGAAATGCCCTACAGGCTTCGGCTAGGTTGAGACCGCTAATACTCCCAAGCTTGATGCACAAAGTCTGGAGGAATATAGCGAAGATATTGGACATCAGCACGATAAAGAGGAGCTTAAATCTGTAGCTCGCACCAGCAGCAACATCCGTGGCATAGTTTCCTGGGTCGATGTATGCTACGGAGATCTAGACAGAGAATTAATTTCTATTCTGGTACGTACGTGAGTACTGGGAGGGCTACCTACCATGAATCCGGGGCCAATGAATCTGGCGAAGTTCACCATGAACTTTCGAATTCTCATGAAGCGGTTTACAGCATAATTGTGGTATCTCCGTCGTTCGTTGGCACTCCTATGCGCGCTCCCACTCCCCTCGCCGCCCTCTGCCCCAGCCCTGCTCCCATGAGCATCGCTGGGGCTGCTCGCCGCCTGGATCTTTCCAGCGGCCACCCCCTTCACCACCGCATGCCCTTTATTTGTATCCTCCTGCAATTCGCGGTCTGGTTCAAGGTCTTCCATGGCCCGAACCTCACTACTCGATATCCTCCGTAAAACGCGAGCATTCGCCATGCCATTGAGATCCTGCCTAGTGGTGAGATCGGCAGAGAGCGAGCTGGGATTCTGGTTGAAGCCGGTGCCCTCTGGCTCGTCGGTGCGAGAGGGGCAGTTCATGGTGCCTGGTGTTGATGGTGATGCTGGCGTTGGCGTTGGTGTTGGTTGTCCCAGATATCGTCACACAGAGAGCTGCAAATAAACAATCGGGAAGCGGAAGATAGAAGGGAAGGATTTCTTGAGATTGTTGAGAAAAGCAACACAAGCGGGAACTTAGCTGAACCCAAACCAAGGGCTTGGGCTGATAATACAATATGCAGTACTTCGTACTTGGGCTGCTACTACTACTATTAGTAGGTACCAAGCGGCAAAGTACGTACCACTGCCCCGCGAAGGTTTCCTCCGGCTCTGGCTTGGACGTTGAAACCCCGCCGAGCGTTGGCACGCCGCTGCGGTTTCTCCCGATGCCTAGCAGCCAGCAAATCAGGGCGTGGCGTTGTGGCAAGGAAACTTCACCGGATTGCGAACGATCATCACCGTTTGCTATTATCGGAATCATGCGGAGCAGTTCTTGCGCTGCCATAGGTACTACGGAGGCTGGCACAGTACCAAGATATGTAATGTAATATACCGCAATGTAATAGGTTGTGTTTACTTACTTTAGGTAAGGTATTAGTCTTCCCCCCGGAGTTCCAAAGTCGAGATCCCGAGGTGGCAGATGTGGGATGGGATTTTCGCGGCGCTAGCAACTCGGCATCATCCATGCAGTTCATAAAAAGCAAGTATTTGGGAATATCACAAATGACTCCTCCGAGGTCGAGGTCGAGATCAACGTCAAGAAAGGGGGAACGAGAAGTAAAATATTAAGGCACGGGGTAAATGTGGCAAAGCTTCTTATATGTAATATATGCATGCACCGTTCCATATGCCACCAGTGCCATGCCTCGAATACCCATTCTGATGGCCGGATATATCTCATCCACATCCACACCCTCATCCAGAAGCATTCTGCTCGATCAAAACGCCATTTTCCATGCAGCGCCACGCAAATTTGTTAAGGTATCAGAATACAAGGGAGAAACTCTCGTCGTAAACCAAAGTACCCAGCCTTTCACATCCCCAAGTTTTGCCCCAACCCC